GATGATATCAATAAGATTTCATCCAATAATTTTTAATAAAGTACTATTAATGTGCGATTTTCTTTGACAGATGTTCAAATAAGAATACGTGAAAGCATTCGCAACAATCAAAAGAAGAAAACCGCAACGAATTAAAACCGCAGCAACCCAGTAATCCCAACCCTGATTGCCTCGATGGCAGCCTTTATGTAATAGTTCAAATACGAGACAAAGGACTTTACCGGGGATTTCAATGTGCGAGTACTTTTGAAAGGCCGAGGGGAATTTAGCCACAGGCGAGCAATCTAGTCATCTAGAGACTAGACCCAGTCATCTAGCCGCATCATACTATGGTAAGCCAAATTGGCCAAAAGTATATCTAGAAATGTAAAGGTTAGTCGAGAACTACATATACAATATATGAGAAATGTATACTGTTGCATTGCCTCTGGAACTTTCTTTGTTTGCGGTTTTCAAACAAACGTACGTATATATGCATGAGTATAGTGACTTTCAGCTCTGCTGATGGCTTCGCTACACACTCTTTAAAATTAATGCCTTGTGAAGCTTCTGAAATGATGTCCTGTGCTCCGAGCTTAAAACAAGTGAACAACTCAGGCAGATTATTTCTATAGCCTATTCTTACTCCGGCGTGTTTGAAGATTATCTTATGCATGGCACAGTCTCAGTACTATGAGGACATATAGCATCCTATCAAGATATAGTAACGACGAACGCGGCCGGCCTTGCATATAACAAATAATACACATGCATGCATGTCCGCATCAGGCGCATCTCCGTTCACAGTCAGCCCACTGAGTTAGCCAAGTAAATGAATGAAGACAGATAAAGTAATACTTGCTATACTTATTTTTATTCAACGACATATAGGTTCTTGTTGGCTATAAAGGACCAAATTATGTCGCGACACAGTAGCTCAAACCAGACACAGAGCCAGCCCAAGACAAAAATTATTACTCTCGCGGTCCTAAGAAATTTAAGAAAATTTCAAAAAAGTGAAATGCCCTAGTCTCGAGAAAATCAATCAGTCAAATTTTCGTGTAAAAATTGAAAAAAAAATCGATGTAAGTGAACTGAGTGAGTTTTTTGAAAGCGGTTTTTTTAATGAATTTTAGGAGACACATGCATGTTTTTTCATTTTTTTTTGACTTGGGATTTTTTTTCATGATGAGCATTTTTTAAATTTTTTTCAGTTTTTTTTACTTCCAAATTTACCGTCTTTCCTTAACTTTTTTTTGCTTCCAAATCGTACCAAAATTTTTCAGCTAAATTTCTTTTGCATTGTCAGGAGTTGAAAAATTTCGTTCGATCGAAAAATTCCGCCTAGTTGAAAACCGACTTTTATTTGACTTAATTCTTTTCAAAGCATTTCTAAATAAATAGTATAATTTCGGGGGGAAAAATCGAAACTTTGCCATACTGGCCCATGCAGGATTCGAACCTATACCGCTTACAACCTGGAAGGCCGTAGCCTTAACGACTCGGCCACCGGATCGCGTTAATAACTTGTAAAAATTTCTAAAACTGTGTAGTCAATTTTGCCTATTTCAGCATTAAAAACCTTCGCTGCCGCAGTCAGCGTGTAATAAATAATCCCACAATGACCACATTGGGGTATATAAATAAATAATCTCACAATGACACACATGTCATATATACTCAACCTTCGACTCTTGGAGTCATATAATACCCACAGCGTTTTTTGGTCTCAGTATTTCTTGCAACTTTAAACGCGGGGCGCCGCGAGTTTTCGTATAATATAAATAATATATATCCAAGGTTGGGATCAACATATAATCCGGTGGCCGAGTGGTTAAGGCTACGGCCTATACCAGGTTGTAAGCGTAGGTTCAAACCCTGCATGGGAAAGGTTCGATTTTTTCAACCGAAACTACTATTTAATTTAAAATTCTGCGAAAAGGATTAGGTCAAATAAAGAACAATAGCTTTCGACAAATGATGCGGTGGTCTAGTGGTTAAGGCGTTCGTCCCTCAATCCGAGGACCGACGTTTCAACTCCTGGCAATGCAATAAAATTAGCCTGAAACGTTTCGGTGTGATTTGGAATGTTTAAAACAGTTAAAAGACTTCCCGGCCTTTCCGAAAGACTGTAAGTTGAAAAAAATTTGAAATAAAAAAACACAAAAAAAATTATTGCGTTCAAAAGTACGTGAAATTGAAAGAAACGCACAAGTAAAATAAGTTTTAAAAACACGTGTCTTCTAAAAAGCCTGAAAATGAAGAAAGTCAGACGGAAAAAAATAACAATTTCCCGCTTTTAAAAAACTCATGTTTACTTACCTTAATTTTTTTTCACGAAAATTTGACAGGGTGATTTTCTCGAGACTGAAAAAATTCACATTTTTTCACTTTTTTGAAATTCCCTTAGATTTTTTTTTTAAAAAAAGTATTTTGTCTTGGGCTACCTGTGTCAAGCCAGACACAGGTAGCCCAAGACAGACACAGGTAGCCCAAGACAGACACAGGTAGCCCAAGACAAAATACTTTTTCTAAAAAAAAATCTAAGAGAATTTCAAAAAAGTGAAAAAATGTGAATTTTTTCAGTCTCGAGAAAATCACCCTGTCAAATTTTCGTGAAAAAAAATTAAGTTAAGTAAATATGAGTTTTTTAAAAGCGGGAAATTGTTAATTTTTTTTCCGTCTGACTGTCTTCATTTTCAGGCTTTTTAGAAGACATGTGTTTTTAAAACTTATTTTACTTGTGCGTTTCTTTCAATTTTCGGGTACTTTTGAACGCAATAATTTTTTTTGTGTTTTTTTATTTCAAATTTTTTTTAATTTACAGTCTTTCGGAAAGGCCGAGAAGTCCTTTAACTGTTTTAAACATTCCAAATCACATCGAAATTTTTCAGGCTAATTTTGTTGCATTGCCAGGAGTTGAACGTTTGTCCTCGGATTGAGAGACGAACGTCTTAACCACTAGACCACCGCGTCATTTGTCGAAAGCTATTGTTCTCTATTTGACCTAATCCTTTTCGATGAATTTTAAATTAAATATAACTTCGGTGGGAAAAATCGAACCTTTCCCATGCAGGATTCGAACCTACCCTTTAAACCCGGTAGGCCGTAGCCTTAACCACTCGGCTACCGGGATGACGTATATATTAAGGCTGCTATCGACATACAATCCGATGGCCCAGTGGTTCTACGGCCTACCAGGTTTTAAGGGTAGGTTCGAATCCTGCATGGGAAAGGTTCGATTTTTCCCACCGAAGTTACTATTTAATTTAAAATTCATCGAAAAGGATTAGGTCAAATAGAGAACAATAGCTTTCGACAAATGACGCGGTGGTCTAGTGGTTAAGACGTTCGTCTCTCAATCCGAGGACAAACGTTCAACTCCTGGCAATGCAACAAAATTAGCCTGAAAAATTTCGATGTGATTTGGAATGTTTAAAACAGTTAAAAGACTTCTCGGCCTTTTCCGAAAGACTATAAATTGAAAAAAATTTGAAATAAAAAAACACAAAAAAGGTTATTGCGTTCAAAAGTACCTGAAAATTGAAAGAAACGCACAAGTAAAATAAGTTTTAAAAACACATGTCTTCTAAAAAGCCTGAAAATGAAGAAAGTCGTCAGACGGAAAAAAAATTAGCAATTTCCCGCTTTTAAAAATCTCATGTTTACTTAACTTAATTTTTTTTCACGAAAATTTGACAGGGTGATTTTCTCGAGACTGAAAAAATTCACATTTTTTCACTTTTTTGAAATTCTCTTAGATTTTTTTTTTAGAAAAAGTATTTTGTCTTGGGCTACCTGTGTCAAGCGAGACACAGGTAGCCCAAAACAGACACAGGTGGCCCAAGACAAAGTACTTCCACGTCGAAAAAAAATCTTAGAGAATTTCAAAAAAGTGAAAAAACTTAAATTTTTTCGCTCTCGAGAAAATCACCCTGTTAAATTTTCGTGAAAAAAAGTTATGGTAAGTAAACATAAGTTTTTAAAATCGGGAAATTTTTAATTTTTTTTTTAAGGTTTTTTTTAGCTACTTTCTTAATTTTCAGTCTTTTTAGAAGACACGTGTTTTTAAAACTTTTTTTACTTGTGCTTTTTTTCAATTTTCAGGTACCTTTAAACGCAAGAATTTTTTTTCAGTTTTTTTATTTCAATTTTTTTTTCAATTTACAGTCTTTCGCAAAGGCCGAGGAGTCTTTTTTAACTATTTTAAAACTTTCAAATCACACCGAAATTTTTCAGGCTAATTTTTTTGCATTGCCAGGAGTTGAAACGTTTGTCCTCGGATTGAGAGACGAACGTCATAACCACTACACCACCACATCATTTGTCGAAAGCAATTGTTCTTTATTTGACCTAATCCTTTTTGAAGATTTTTCAATTATAAATTGTAATTTCGGTGAGAAAAATCGAACCTTTCCCATGCAGGATTCGAACCGACGCTTACAACCTTGTAGGGCCGTAGCCTTAACCAATAGGCCACCGGTCGTGTTGATACCGCTTGAAAATTTTCTAAAAATGCGTTAACATGCTAAAAGAGGCTTCATATGTTTCCTAAGACTAATCTCTTTGGTTTTTTAGCATATTTTCAAATTTTACATTTTTAAAGTTTTTAAAACCTCGTGCTATTTGAAATGCGCCAAGTTTAAAAGAAAAAATACAAGAAACAAACAGCATACGCATAAAAAAACCCCTAAAGAAGTTAGTAATAACAGCATGCTTAAACATTTTTAGAAAATTTCGAAAGACGTTTTGACAAGCCGAAATTGACAATTTTTTCACTGTTCCAAAAATTAACTAAACATACTCAAAAAGCAGTCTTAATAGACATTTGACCCATTTTCTGCATGATAACTGGGGTTTTTAGAAAATTTTCAAAAATCGTCAATTTTGGCCAAAATGGTAAGATGTCGAGAATTTGCCTCCAAATGTGCTCCTCAACAAGTCACATAGTTTTCAATGTATATTTATATTAACAAAGTAACGTATTCCAAATGTCGATTACAACTTTCCAAACGAATCTCACCACTCACACCGTCAGATAGCACACGGGCTATAAATTACTCTCTCTCGCTCACAGTTCCTCACTCACTGAATGTCTCAGTCCAACTAACTCTCTCGCTCTCGTGACCACACCACATACACCTTCATCCTATCAATCACTGTTACAAAACTAGAATATAATTAAGTAAAGGAAACATTTGTCTATATAATCATCTTATCTGTCAATTCCCGACAAAGAGTAGGAGGTACTCGCTCGCTGCTGCAGCAATTTTTCGAATGGATTGGTTGGCAATAAAAACACGAGGCAACTATTAGAAAATACAGGATTACACAATTATACGGCCTAATTTAGCACAATTAGACAAGCCTATAGGTGATAAGACTTTAACGTTCCCATTCTTATAAGAATATTTGGTTCATACAGACAAAATGTGATACAGATTAAATTTATGAAAGAAAACTACAATATTATTATATTGTATAATGTCATCTAGTTCAAATGTGATCATGTACATAATATAACATAATTACCACCGTTGTTGCATTTTACAAAGAAAATATGTTTTTAAAAATACATCCAATATTTACAGTTACACATTTACAGCTAAAAGTACGACTTAAAGTTGTTAATAAACCTAGTCGTCCAGTTGACAGAGCATCGCGACGCCGCGTTTTATCCAGTGACTTTCAGGTTTATCAGTGGATATATATACAGGCATGACATAGTTCGTCGAATGCCCTGTAGTGGACAATGTCCCACGTCTTTCACTTGTTTTATACACCGGACATCTGTACGTGTGACTGTACGTTATGTCAATGGTTTTGCCTACAGAGACGGAAATATTGATTGTTACCATTCATCCTCATGCAATATGTTCACTGCTATAATGTCTGTATACAGTATGTACTATAGGTACGCACCTGGCTTGACCCAAATTGTTGGCATGGTATCATGAAGGATTTTTGGAAGAGATTCACCAATCACACCCCTAAGAGCAACAACAATGATATAATTTATTATACCTAAGATTTACATGTATACGGTCCATGTACCATGCATGCACTCACTTTTTACGGTCCCAGCGTGCTCCTTCAAGAAACAAACCATTAATGTACACACCATCATCTGGTTGTTCGTCGACTTTATCCTTGGATATTACCTACAACAACGGGGGTTAAACACACAGAGATTTGACACAGGGTATGTATAGAGCAAGATTTATGGGCTGACAGGCTTTATATTTTGCCACAACATGCAAAGATAATTCTGTGAATTCTGCATTTTACACCTAGTATTTAAAAGGAGCTACATTTCACCCAATCTTTCAATATCTCACCTCAAAATCGAATCCAAGCAAGTCGATTGGGATTGTATACTTTCTTGCGTAATTCTGTTTTGCTCCAGTTAAGAATGCCTGAAAGGAGTAAGGAAGATATGAAGACATAAAGGGGAAAATAGGAAAAAGAAAGCAGGAAACACACCTGTGTGAAATAAAACCCTGATATCCAGAAAACAACTGGTTTTCCTTTGTCATACCACTCCTAAACAAAGCACGTTTCTTCAGTAAATATGACTAAAACCACGCACGCTTATCTTTCATGCGGATGAACTGATAAAGTGTGCAATAACATTGTAATCGGTACAACATTAAACCTATTTAGATTCATATATGGTATGTGGAAGTCATGCAATATTAGTATTAGCCTTTTTCAGTGAGTTTATAGCATTGCACATACCTGCAGAAATTTTAATCTGTTAAGAAGATCAGTAATGTAGCTTCCCAAAGGCTTGAGACTGGGATACGATCTTTTCATCCACATTACTGGAACCTTGTAGGGGAATCAAAACAAAATGAATGCACTTCATTTGTGTAATATACTATAGGGAACTAAAGTGGTAAACCGGTTATATTCATTTCTTTTGCAGAGATAAGATAGAGATTATTTCTATTCGCCGGTTACATAATATCATTAGCAACGACAAAATTATAACACAGTAAAGCATTTTTTTACTATCTAATTTTTATTATCTAACTCACCTTTCCAACCAGCAAACTTGAAGATAAAGCTTCCAAATCGGCGGACATAACAACCAAACCCTTGATGGCCTTTTGAAGATTCAACAAACTTGTACGTATGACTTGGATAAGACTTGAAAAGTAATAAAAACAAAGAAATTAGTCAATGAAATCACCCTATAATCTGTGACGAACACTATAATCATAAGGTTATCGGTTGATATAGCATGCAAAGACGAAACTTACTTGTTAAAACGTTCCATTTCCTGAACCAAAACTGTATTCATGCTTTCCCCGTATGTAACAGGATATTTCAACAAAGCTGCTTCCAGATCATAGTTGTTTGGCAACTTCATGACAGAGAAAAAAAAATGCTATACAATATGATTCGAATTATCTAAGTAAAATACAACATGGTCCTTGATGTCATTTTTCGGCAGTATAAAAAACGAATATTGGGGTTAACGGTTTAACGTTTTACATTTAGCAATAAGTTTTCTCTTTCCTAAGTTTAGTAATGAAAAAGGAATGCTTCAATACTTTGCTCAAAATGTCTTTTGCAATTTCCAGCAAAGCATCGTCACCCTTCTTTCCTCCCCCGCCAGAAGACTTCTGAGACTGGGTCAACAACACGGAGTTGAAGAGTTGCCTTGTTTCTTGAAGTTCCTTCGCAATATCAACATTATCATGCATTCCAAAGACCTCGGGGGTTTGAGTTACGGGTAGTTCCTACAAAATGATAAAGGCTATACATGGCAAATGCTCAACCTCATATATTCTACAACTTGACAATAAAAAATGCAGGAAACCCATATAATTGTATTTGTACGGAAATATTCGCCAAAGTATAGTACAAAATAGAAAAATATTTCATAGTAGAAAACAATTCTAAGCACTTTTTTTGAGTGCATGTGCCGCAATTAAAAAACTTTTTCCACACGCGGGAGTTACCTTAATGAATTCCACGTAGCTGTCGTACGTTCCTTTTGGTGGTGCAAAGTATTTTCCACTTTGGGAAAACTTGTACTTTGCATCATTGATGATTTCAGGAGTAAAGAAATCAGCCAGGATACTCATCAGGCAACGCCTGCAAAACAATGTGCATACTGTCAAATATACTTAAATAACAACCAACTGAAAATATTCGCGACAACGATAAAGAGTCCAGTTCTCTGATGGAAAGTAGCCACGAATGCAGAGCTAGAGCATTCGGTCATTATATATTGAAATATAACTTTCCTTTGGTATCTTTCAGGGTGCATGCGCGATGCTTGCGTTAGCTGGTTATCCAAGTGATAGACGTTAAAGGAAGAGAAAGATTTGTTTATCCGCGTGCAACGAATTAATGGTAAACCTGTTTGGACATGTAATGATTTATTGATGGCGAGCATGCAGGGGGGAGAATCGGCCTCAAATTTTTTTTCTGACAATAGGTTTTTGATACAATTCTGCGTGGGTTGTGAAATCGCCAATAAGTTCTGGTCCCGCGATATTTTACAAATATTTGAATTACTTTCAAAATTTTCAAATTATTTTCAAAATTTTTTGAATAAAAGAAATGGGAACAATTCAATATTTTACGAGTAAAAAGATCAGTTAGAGATTATCGTTCATACCGGTCATTATCATCCGTAACACGACCACCGTAATTACATTCACCAGTGAGATACGTCACGGCCTTGTATGGAACTTGTTCATATTCATTGATAAACATCTGATATGGAATGAAGTAAAGACAATCATATAAAAGATTATGTCTCAACTGTTGGTGCCACATTTCGTATCTCACAAAACGTTCGAGCAAAGATCAAATCAAATGTTCATCCAAAGCTAGCAGATTTTAATACATCAGCCAAACGTTTTTTAATACCAGCAGCAGTGATGTGCTGGTTATTCCAGTGGCAGTGATGTGCTGGTCACCACTTCTGCTCTAGTGTATGTAATTCTGGCTAGGCTTTCCCAGAGTCCCACAGTTTTTACCGACCGATTGCGTTATTTTGCGGCGTAAAGTAGTACGTGATCACCGCATGAAATAGTGGAACAAAAGACTTTTGATGTAAGCAAGAAATACAAAAATCAGCACCTGAAGTTGGCGTACACTGATCCTTAGGTCAGACTCGTTAAAACCATACGGGATATTCCAACCCAAGGGCCCAAACTTCCTTCTTTCTTGAATATGTGCGTGGAAGAAACAAAGGCCAAACAGCAGCTTCTCAAAGATCTAAATCCAAAAAGGGTAATGCAAAGAGTAGGTATATAAACATCCGTATGAACGGAGAACACATGGGAGTAGTTTGTTCCGTCATACTTGATAGAATAATTTGGTTCAAAGAGAACATGAGAAAGTAACAATTCCAGTGACAACTATATAGCAGATACTAGAATGTAATTATATAAACCAAGCTCTCTACATCCCTTTTTTCTTACGAGGGTACTCTAAATGGCAAACAATGAATTTGCTAGCTTGTACGAAAAACCTACCTAAGCGTATCAAAGTAAAACTAAACAATCATCTTAAACAAATGTACACCTTAAAAAAATTAAGGGTTTCCGAAACTTTCGTTTCAAATAGAATAGAATATACATACAGGTTGCTTTCCCTGACATCCATTAAAGAATGTTTCATCAGATATAGGATCAGATATGTACGACTGCAGCAGATTCTGACGTAATCCAGTGGGTGGCTCATTCGTCATTTTTACACTATTTTGTAGCACAGTTACTGGAAACTATTAAAAGATAAAAAAAATTTTGAGGGGATAAGAGGGTCTCTATAGTAAATGTTGTGTATACTTTTACGAAAGATGTTTTGTTTGGGTTTCCCGTTTAACAAAAAAAAATTTGGGGGAGATTTAGAGAGTATAGTAAATAATAGTAATCCAGTTACAAGGCTGCATGTATGGATTGCTAATATTATACGTTGGATAATCCAACTTGGATTCTGTGTTTTTATGCAGCGAAGTGAGGTATGGTATACCGTTGAGACATGAATCCTACATGCAGTAGTGGGAGATTTATTGGAATGCGGAGATATGGCAGAGATAAGTACCAATTTCCTTTACATGCATGCACTAACACAAATTACACAAATTCGGAATTTTGATACAATAAATATAGACTGGAAGGCGCTTTGATGAAAGCAACTTTCGTTTTCCGTTTCTAATTTCATTATCAATTCATCTGGTAAGCCTTCTTTCGATTCCTTTTTTCAATTTCCATGCATGCTTGTTGAACTTTCAATATTCGACTTAATTTAAACGAGCTCATATTCTTTCATACGTGAGATGTAGACAAATTTTTAAGTGCACATTTCTTCAAAGAGATAAGGAATACTGCTGATATTTGGCTGAAATTTCCATCAAAGGAGTCTGTTCCATACACAGAGTTGGTAAAGTGTCAGGAAAGCTAAACCCGTTCAATTTCGCGTATATCAGCAGGATTCAGTTGATCTACTTGGAAAGATTATGATTGAAGAGTAAACCACATATTTTGATTTTTTTCATTAAACAACCAGACTGCTCCCATACATGTGAATGGATCACAACTCTATTATCAGGTTTGCAGAACGCTTATATTCAGTACACGATCTTACTGTCTTTTTAGAGGCCAAGTAATGATTATTACATGGTTTAAGAGTGTATGGTCATGGTTATGGAATATCGCGGTTTACTTTCGATCCAAAATAGACAGTTCTAGTAATGGTCATGACAGCGATGTAGACGGGGTTTTTATTGACAGTGCTGACAACGCACAGAGAAGATCACGTCCCAGTATCGGCGTTGCACGCTCCGGTCAGTTAATCGCTCTATGGAGCATATATACTTGTTATATTATTATTTCTTTACTTCAACCCCTTGTCACTTCAATTTTTTTCAGCAATTTAGTATAGCCCAAATCGGCGCCGAAGTACAGGTGCACTTATTCTAATAGACCTTTTTCATAATGACGTCAAACGCGGAAAGTCTGACGTTACACGAAGTTTGATTGGCTCGATAGTTTTGTGGAGCCAATTAAATTTCGTGTAACACCAGACTTTCCGCGTTTGACGTCATTAAAAGAAAGGTCTATTGAGCATCCATAAATTTTAAATTAAACAGGCAGAAGGCGCGTCGAAACTTCCACCCAACATGAAGAATATTTCGTTTTCATTTTATCACCAATATCATATCAAAATATTGAGAAATTTTTTTGCATTTCAGTATATAATTTTTGACAACGTAACGAAAATTTTAGACAACATTGAAATATACTACGACTATAGTCTAACGCATTACATACAGGCGAAGTTGAGAATTCTCTCTTATTCTTGGAAGAAAATTCATGATTATTTTACGGAAACATTCAGCCAATGTTCAAATAAATCTGCGGAATAATCCTTAAATTTAACTTTTAAACAAAAGTCAGCAGGGCTCGGGATTATACGCACATGTTTTAAGTGAAAGTAGCTGGCTCAAGACTTGCATGCAACTTTATTAAATTAAAGTGAGGCCCATGCACCCGCATGCACATATATAATAATTGCGAATAGCGAATTTAATTTTTTCTTTCAGTTCCAACACGTAAATTCAGAAATCTGAAAGATGACACCGTTCACCTTACGGTAAGACTGTTTAAAACAGAACAACTTTTCATTGTAACGACAAGCTACACGGGTCTCTGAAAACACACCCCATTGCACAAAACAGTAGGTACAGACTAAAATCAGAACTTTTCGATCGAAACTCCTAAATTTAGTCTATAACAGCTGGATTTACGCTAACTCTGGTTTGAATTCGATCCCTCGCGTGCACAAATCGCTTCAGTATATTTTTATCGGTTGAATCACAGTTGTAACTCTGATATACACGATTCTGATTAGGTAATTCTCTCCCAAAGGAAGGTTAAAAATCGACGACCTTTTTATACAAATAACATTTAATTGGCTTCTGTTTTGCGTTGGTTAACTTTGTCTCCGCAACATTTAAAACCATAAAAAGAGCCATTAAATTCTATCGATCCTGAAAAGATTTCTGCATAAACATATTCATGTATTTCTGTATAAACATTCGAGCAAGTCCCGGTGAAGTTTGATTCTAGCAAACCACCAAACTCAGACTAGGCACATGCATGTGGTCGGAAACACAGACTACTACACTGGTCGTTGGGTGCAGGTCAAAAAATCTAAACTTTCACGATAACACGATTCTGTTTAGAATCCGTACTGCGTGGTGATTGTAAACATATTTTACAAGAACAGAGTAAGTCCACGGAACGGGGCTCAAGCTGATCTCGAAAATATCCAAAGACTTCTGAAGGACAGTGCTGGTTTTAAATCTGTTCATGTTCATGTGGATGTGACACGAAGAAACATTTTAGAGATAATGGATGAAGTTTCTAATTCATCAGAAATGGGTACGTTCAATGTCACTGCAGTGTAAGGTAATCCATGGCCATGCATGAAGTAGGTATAAAGTAGTCGAATATATACGACTTGCTTATCACTGATATTTTTTACTCATTTCTATTCTTTCGGTTTCCAAACAATCCAAACTTTCTTCTTATTGAACCAAGTTTACTGATCGATCGATCAGAAGTTATTAACTAATAAATGATTTGATTTCCACCAACCAACTCCAACAAACTTTGCTTTCTGTTTAAATCGAATCATTTTAATTTCAGACAATCACGATGGTCTCGTCGTTTTTATTTCAAGCCACGGGAAAGCAAAAGGAATTATTATGGCAGACAATGAAACGGTAAAAGTTGACGAGATAACCTCAAGAGTTAACGGCAAGCAATGCGACTCCCTCTGGGGAAAACCAAAAATATTCTTCATTTCTGCTTGCCGGGGAAAGAAAAAAGATGCCGGGGCGACTGGGCCTCAGCTCGTCACATCAGATTCAGGCGAGGACGAGAAACTAGCGGTGAGACTCCCAACCGAAGCAGATTTCCTGATCTGTTACTCAACCTCCAAAGGCTTCATATCCTACCGGAGATTTAATCTGGATATTAAACTTACCCCGGATATGGGAACTTGGTTAATTAGCACCGTTACCCAAATATTCGAAGAAAGAATGAAAGATGAAGATATTATGCAAATGTTGACACGTGTTAACGCAACGGTGGCAAGCAAAGCAAGTGGTGGTGATCACGTGGACGGCATGAAGCAAATGCCAGTGCAGATGCACATGCTGAGGCACCGAGTGTTCTTTGGAAAGTGACAAGTCGTCATTTACTTAGCTTTTCATTGTTTACGTAGATTACAAACGGATAAGAATTAGCGGATATTTTTAAAACTTGGGAAACGCGAAACTTGTGAAAACTATAGTGACCTAGCTCGGCACATTTCGTTGCAAACCTCAAATTTGTCTAACTTCAATATATATATTTACATATCAATACTAAAACCTTTATTTAACAATAAAGTACCAAAATGTTTTCACGTAGATATTTCACAGTGTATATATAGCAGTTGAGAAAAATAAGGCATGCGGGCAGGTAGTTAGTCATTCAGTGACAAAATTTCAATAGAGAAAAAATAGACTATCAAATGGGAATTCATTGTCAGGGTTGTATAATTCACTTTCTTTTCTTATAATGGAAATTACGTCAACTTTTGAAACCATGGACACAAGTCCCGTTTACGCTACACTAAAGTATTATCACCCACAACCAATTTTAGCTACCAATACAAACCCAAAGGCCGCGCAGTGATAAAATTTGTTTTAGCTGTGCCGTGCTAATAAATTGAAAGTTGTGTAAACGGAACTAAAAATTCGAACGTCCAACAAAAAAGGTGGCTTGCCTACCTTGTCCGATGGATAGCTGGTGAGCCAGAGTCTAAAGTCATTATGAGTGCTATCTGGGGTAAGATTCTCACATATGCGTTCCAAAGCGGACATCCAGGAGACAGCCAAGTGGCAATTTTGTAACGCCACCCATGTTCCATTCTGTGAGGCATCGGAAATCATCTTGGCGGCTATGGGGCCCTGAAATTAACATTAGTCCACACGTAAACGGCGGTCCACAACAGCGACACGCACTGACTGTCTTTACTTTATACATTACTACCAATCAACATTACCTGTCCTTGACCAAGTGAAATGGCATTGAATTTATCTCCGGTAAAACCTTTGTCTGCTGCAAATTTGAGTAGATCTAAAAGCAAGGAAAGCTGGGTTTTGAAAGATTTTTAATAAAACCGGTTCTTGTTACATTAAAAGTAATAGATGTTCATGAGATACACGAAAAACCCCCTGCATATTGCATGCTACCACCGAGCGTATTTTCCCTGGGTAAATCCAAGCGTAAACGAGTGGGGGTTAGGAATCAAACCCTTGGATGAATTAGACTATGCACTAGTCAACGTTGACCTCAGTCTTGCATATTTTTCATCAGACTACCCCCAATGTTTCTATCAAAATGAAGAACCTCTGTGGAGGAACCATGAAACTGACACGCGGGCTTAACAACATGGACAAAGAAACAATAGTTTGAGACGTACTAGCCATAGGGTCAGCTCCAGGTGAGAGGACAAAAATCAAAGGAATGCATTCATTGGAATCTTTGTAACTTTTTGTCAGGTCAAATGGTGGAGGCTGGACAAATTTGCTTCCCAGTTTATCTTCAACGAAATTGGTAACCAAGGGAACAACCTAGGTAAGAGACAGACATTAACCGGAATAAATTTACAAAACTTCTATGAAGAAATCTCCAATCACATGCACAATATCAGTGTTGAAAGGAGAGAGTTAGTGGTCAGAAACACCACTAAAAAACCAAACTAATCATAAACCGCCGTGCAAAAATGGAACGGAATTTAATTTGGGACAAAAATGGAACGGTATTAGCAATGGCAAAATTGTTATAACTACGATTTCCCCCAAATATTTGAGTGGAAACTTACCTTGTCTGGTCGTAAACAACGTACGACGATCATTTTTTGGAAATCTGTTAATTTTTCTACCCAAGGAGCTGGAAAAACAGCTTTGTGAGGTTCTTTACTGTCGTATATTTTACGCCATTCATGGATACTGGTTGCAAAACCTTTCCTATAATGGATAAAACATAAAAAATCTTGTACATAGCGCAGAAATGTTTCGAGTACTGGTTTTAGCAGCTATAACCAAATATATTGTTGCGTTCCTCACGACAGTCTTATCATGCACGTTGTTGGAAATTTCATTACCTAAAATCTGGAAAGCCATTGAGATCGCACATTCGACAAATTTCGTCCCATGACTTGTCGGATAACCACGATGGATCAGGATTTGCTATCTAAAACGCAATGGTATACGTGAAAATAATATTTTTAACCAATATTGCTAACCATGCAATACATAAATTAAACCACATATACCATATACCTTATTTTCTAGGCCTATTCCACCAGTAAGGAAGAACAGAAACTCTTCATTACCCAGTTCGTTCTTTGATCTAAATTAGTACATTACGCACATAATTTACACACTGCATACATAAGTTACACCCCGAGTTTAACTTACACACGATTCAGGCCTAGGAGGTGCCGGGAGACCCTCATTTCCACAAAACGGATCAAATATATCACTATTTAGCAACATATCTAACATTATAAATGTACATCTATAGTATTATATCTTGGTACAGTACATGAATAAAACTAGGAGTAGCTAGAACTAACGGCTACTGGATTGCGAATCTCTTGTGCATCCCCTAAATCCACGACTGCATGGTCATGATTCGATCATCCAAAACTTACATTAGTATATTAGAGCATAGAATAAAAGAGAAGAGCAATTTGTCCTTTTCAAATAGTGATCTGCACACATTACAATACAAGTTGTAAGTGAAGTGATCTGTGAGGTATCGAAGCCGCCTTTCCAGAATCTTTGACTTGTTACTAAAAAAAAAGGAAGAAGATAGAATGATGCTAAAATATACAAGGCTTGTTTTTTGACCCGAGCAAAACTATACTGATATAGGCACACACCTGTCTGCGATGGAGTTAACAAAAAGATTGATAAACCATGACAGGGAATACTGGTACATTGGATCAATATTCGGTAGATCGGTGATGGAGAAAAACAGAACCGATGCGTGGAAAGCAATAGGACGATATCCCAATCTTGACTGGTTGATCTTTTCCTCGGTTTCATCTGCAATCTTTAAAATAATACCACGTAAATTTATTTATTTTTTATGCCAAATTTACCGTTATAATAATAGCAGGGGTTGAAGGTGGTTGACCTTGAGGATCAAGAGTAATACACATTACTACACTTCTACTCTATGTATTTACCATACAATAATTTTTCCTCGAGAAAGAATGCAAACACACAATTGAATAACAATTCGTGGCACCTAAACTTACTTTTTGTTTCTTGGAAATCTCGTTTGACAATACCTATATATATTGGAGAAATGACAACCGTGTTATTTTCGCGAGTGTGGCGATGGTAATATGGATAATATGATCAGTTATACTACAAAGTCTACAATTAGGACATTATGATTAGATATACTATAGGAGCATATATAATTTTGACATTATGAACAGATATACTACAGAGAAATTAAGATTAGATATACTATAGGGATATAGAGACATTATGATCAGATATACTTAAACTATAAGAACATTACCACAGCAACAACATACACGATCAACTGGAAGGGGAGATTACCTTGGATGAGTCAAGAATTTGGATTGCAGATTCATCCTCCAAAATATTTCCTTGTGATGACGACAGTGTTTCCAGTATTTTGTCTTCAATTTCCTTCAATTGTTTTTTGTTAGCAGCACTTTGTAATATTAGGCCTTGGCGTTCTTCTTCTAACTCAGGTCTGAAATTAAGTAAGGCGAGCACAGGTGTTAAAAAGAGACTGCCATTGACATTGTATAGTTTTTCATTTGCTTTGCTTCGTGTGAAAAAAATTTCTAATTCAAAGAAGTATTTAACGATGTACTTGCCTTTCTTTCGCAACAACAATCCCGAGAAGCTGATCCTCTAAACCTTCTCGTGTTATCATGAAGTTCAAAAGTGTTACCTAACGAAAAACAGGCGAACGTTGGAGAGAATTGAAAAGATAATGTGTTATATGTAATCTAACTTTTATGTTTACATTCTTTACAGTTTAAAAACTATTGCGGCCGTGTTGCTTTGTACGTAGGCAGAGAAAACTGCACTAGTTTCCTCATACAAATTAATTTTTATCAGAATTTTCATCACTTATAAGTTGGGAAAATCACTTCGGTAATCTGGCCCAGTGAATGCACTTCTTGAAGCGATAAACCTAAAAGCTGTTTTCGCTATATGTGCCGAAGTATTTTGCCTCAAATGAGGCCGTTGAAACATGAAAATATGCATACCTTTGTTGATAACTCTGGCAGGTAATGAGGATTTCGAAGCTTAGTTGTGATATAAAACCTAAAATCACTGGAGTATTCAATGACGGTTTCTCCCAAACGGATGCACAGAACTCCACCTGTATAAAGAAGAATTAAATTATTATTTTAACATGAGGATTGCAATTTTTTTAATTTACGTGTTGCACATATAATCGTATAGAGAAATCAAGTTCCAATCCCACCTTGCTTAAATGTCTGTTTCAATAACAATGGCTCCAATGATGGGTCAAGCTCCTCACCAACATTCTCGAGTAGTACAGGTGTCCCGAACTGGATACTATTTTCTAACGTACGAATGTAGTCAGCATCAGTCAGTTTGATCACCTACGAGGAAACATAAATGAGTCAACAAGCAAAGTCAACAGAAACAACTCGTCGAGAAACATGAGCATTGCAACTTAAACAAAAGCTATTGTAATATTTTGCATGAATATATTTGCTTGTAGCTATTATTTAACTTACTGAAGTAAAAAGTTAGGAATTAAGGAAATTGAAGTATTTCTTACCGAAAGACGATTATCTTTCTCCGAATTCTTTACCCACTTATTAGCTTGGCCTTGTGGATCAATCATGAGTGGCCTGAAATATCAACGTGTGATTAAGGTCATGTCTAGGCTGGTAAAATTCAAAACTTGTTATTGAGGCTACGATTACATGGGATCGTAGTTTTGGGACTGCTCAAATTCGTCAGGTTCATGTGTTCACATGGTCGAAATGGATGAAAATGTCTTTGCTCTCACCACTCCATAGCGGATAAGGCAGTACAATGTTTTTATAACATTTCAGGGGACTAGATGCGTCATTTTCACATAACACGTGATGTCATACATAGGCATTTATACCGCTTGCCCATGGCTATAGTGGGAACCGTAAGCAACACCACTCCCCAAACCCCAGTAAACACATCCCCTCATTTAGTGTGCACTCACCATCGTCTTGCGTTGTCCACAATAACACCATTATCAATAGAGAATGCATCAGTTGGTAGACCTGCGATATTCCACGCGCGAATCTTTATGGGTTCACCAAGAGTTTTGCTCAATGAGAAATCTGACGAGCAGGAAATACCTCTAGCCTAGAAACCAAACAAAATCATAGATATATAGCCAAACGAACCAAGGATGCAATTTTTTGATGTGCTATAATCAGCACTATGTGACTCACCTGGCACGTTTGTGACCAGTCGTCTGTGCATCTTTTACGAAAGAGGGATGTGAAGGCACCAAGATAAGCAATGACACCAGATGATATAAGAACATCACCAGTAAGATTATCATAAATACGTTGTAGATCTGTAGCAGCCGCGGACCATCTGTCTTTTTCACCTCCAAGACCACCGATAAGCTTTTGTGCGCGATCGAGTTTTTTGGAACACAAGTCAACCTAGGAGAACCATACGAAAATTATATCACTTCGCGCATGAGAGCGCGACTTGCTGGTGTTGAAGAAATTGGGCGTGGTAGAATGAATTTCCGCTAATCTTTATACCCAAGGAAGAGTGAGGATGAGTTTGGTGGCATTTACATAACATTTTCATTCAAATCTAATGAGTGTGTTTTTTTAAAGGGAAAATAAGTATAAAATATAGTTTTACGAAGATTGCTGTATCTTACCTGAAATTCGAGATGTTCTTTCTTTTCAGTCATTTCTTGGAATTGACTCTTCAAATTGGCCAGTCTTTCCTCAACCTCAGCCAACTCACGACGTTTAGACTCCAATATTCCCATAGTTTCAGCCAATGATTCCTCAGCTTCGGCTAACTTGGCTTTCTTTGGTGCGACAACCTTGGCTACCCGGTCATAGATCTCCATAGCGCAAACCCACTTACACAAGCCTTCTGCAGCTGACGAGGCTGAGCGAACTTTCGTCGCGTCAAATTCGGGATTACTTATATACTCTTTACGGATCTTCGCCATTACATGAACCTACCGAAACAATTTTAGTGGATAACATGTATTGGTGGAAAAAGAGTAGGCCCCAAACGGGTACATCGACTCTGCGTATACGGTCATAAAAACAGATTTGGTGCCCTGAAATACCGCCTTTGGTTTATAAATGTCGGCCATCAATGGTTCTCGTGGACGGAAAGCACCTCATTCGAACAGAAAACGCAACCACACATGCATGCGTTTACAAGAACAGAACGACGCATTTAGGCAGAAAAAATTACTTACAGGAATGTTATCCTTGTCATATTCTTTCAAATTATTCAAGAAGTTCATATCGCCAAGAATTTTCTTTGATGGTCCCCAGTAATCCAATATCTTTCCTCCTGTCCCCGAAGGATCGTTGATCTTATCAGGTTTAACATCTTTCATAACACAAACGGCAGCCATAACCAGTTTCACTCCTGCAGGGGGGTTCTTCATTGACTTCACAATGGTTATGTCTGATGGCTAAAATGCAAAAGAAGAATTACATAAACGACCAAACACCAGACCCATGCTCGAATGAAACATCACCATGCAGTTTGAAGAGAATATTCTATAATATCCATTCGTTTAATTGTGTTAGAAAACTGCACCTTTAAGGTATTGAGAGCGACAAGGGCAGCTTCAAGAGCAGGAAGAGCTTCCGCAAGATCACTTTCACATTCATCTTTCAGAGCCTGAGATTCTGCTGCTTTTGCATTAGCTACCGCCTCGTCTTCACGAACTATTTTACTTGCTGCTTCCACCTCGGCAGACTCTTTTTCAATCACCTTGGTAGTAGAAGTGTTAACAAATGTTGACTAACAATGTTGACTAACATCGTGATCTGTGAGGTACCTGAATTCTACGAGAAGTCAAACATAAACATGCAAGGAATACATGTACGAGTGCACAATATCTTAACCGGGAGTGGGCTACCACATACCGTAAGCATCTTGGCATTCTCAGCCGCTGTTTCTACAAGTTGTGGCTGCAGTTCTTCTAGTTCCACTTGCATGTCTGCCACCTGCATCAGACAATTGAAGAATTAAATAAATTTGTTGCTTAAATGGGTTAATAAATGGGTTAATATCGTTTGATTAGTCTACTGTATGTACATCAAAAGCAATACGTGCAATCGAAGTTATCTGCCCGAAAAATTGAATATGTTTTGTTTGCAATCTACAAACCTGTGACGAGGCAAATTGAAGCTTTTCCAAACCAACTTCGTACCGTCGTTTCATTTTCATTACCTGAAGTAGAATGAAAGCATAGAATATGAAAATAGGCAAATCGATAGTATGTGGGCAAGGCGAGGCAATGCTGCATGTACGATACTTACTTCGTCTTGTTTTTTGTTAAGAAGTCCTTTGAAAGAAGATATAAGTTCCAAATATGACGTTGGTGTGACATAGTTATGACGACCGAGTTCATCAAGATAGCTGAAATAGAAAATGAGACACAAAAATCTGAAAAAAGAGCTTTCGCTGTTTTACATTGACGGGATGCTTTGGAACATTGAGAGAATACTAAATAAATCAATTGAGTAACAATCCGACTTAGATCCAAAGTAGCGACCATAAAATTAAATAGTGATCTTGATTGAATAGTGAAGTTTTAAAGTAGTGATCATAATAACTGCATTGCAGTACTCTACTCCTGAAGAGTCTCACGGTCGACAGACTGGTATACTAATTTATAGGCCGAGGGAGGCACATTCAGCTATGTATTATTAGCTAATGGATTAATCCTATACTTCATACAATCCTATCTTTATACAAGTCACAGTCATTTCTCACCCTAAATGACACAATGATATTACCTTTCGGAGAGATTTCTGGCACTGGTATGAAAATGTTTAACAAGTGGCACAACTTCGGTCCTTTCCTTGTCCGTCAGGCTTACATCAGCCAAGAACTTGGTGGCTACCATCGCCAAAGCATCTTCAGGCCAAGGCTAAAGGTTATGTAGACATGAACACAGTCAATGACATATGACATACTGACAAGAACACCACACGTAGCGGTGTACAGTAGCCACGGTACGCGAGAACCAAATACAACAATGGCATTAATATCATAGAGATTACAAATAACACCAGAGGAAGCATTGGTATCGGAAACATCAGTCAAAAAGGTAGCGCGTTAATGGGGGCCAATTCAAGTCCCGGATGCTAAGCCAAGCGCCTTTCGGCTACATCAATGCCTCCTTAGCAACCAGATTAGCAACAACTACAATTTGTATTAAAAAATTTATACTCGTTTCTCAGTTCGCTTTGCTGGTCTTTGAGGAAAAATAGTGTTTTTTTGAACTGGTTTTACTACCTTAAACATCCTGAAATGATATTTTGGGAAAATAACAAACCTCCTTTGAAACGACTTATTTTGGCCTCGGAATTTGTGAATGAGTGAACACCCGGGACTTGGATTTATTTGCCCCCCCCATTAACGCGCTCCCCAAGACAAGAATCTATCTACTTGACTAAAGTATGGCAAGACAAATGAAAATCAATGCTCTTACCTGAAACCAATCAATGGTACAGCAATTGATCAAAGACGGAAATTGTCGGAGTCTATTACGGAATGCATCACCAATGGGGCTCATACACAACATTACATGAAGGTTTTCACGACAGCGGCTCACGAAGAAGTTGAAAAGAGCTAATGGCGAAAATTCGGCGTTTTTGTCGTCAGCTTGTGCCTGAGCTATCGGTCGTACCATCTGTAATAAAAAAATAATATTTATTTATACGAATACTAAACACATTTGCTAAAAGGGCGAATGAATTATATATTAAATTTTCATTGCCGGTTCTGTTGCTACCCTGTTGAAAGCCATATACAACTGTCTATATAGGGTAGTCATACAGGATATAGACTGTGGCGCTAATGTTCTGTTACAGTCCAAAAGACATTCCAACATAATACAACATAGTCTGCGCGCAGACGCTATGTAGTAATAACGTCCAGGCGCTAACATGTGTTACGTAAACTAAATATACAACACAGTTTCATGCATACAAAAATCACTGGCAAGAACCAACCTCGACAAGTTCAGCTTTTTCATCAACAGCAAATAAATTCGGGACTTCTCCTGTGTTGAGTAAGCTGTCGATATCCTCAAGGAAAGATTCTTCTTTGATTTGAGTGTCAGTTAACAAAAAGACGGTTGGCTTCATTTGTGCACCTGCTGTCTTGAGCAAAGTCTAAGACAAAAATATAACCAAATATATAACTATTAATCATTCAGAGAAAACTTTATTAACTATATCCATGCAATTTTTTCTTCATGCCACGTGAAATGACTGAAATCGTGTCTGAATTATATTGTACTGTCCCTGTTGAAGGTATTGCATGATATGGACATCGTAAAACAAACGATGCAAAAGTAACGCACCTTGATATCTTCCCTCCATTCCGCCATACCGTAACTCTTGGATATTTCAGGTTGGAAAACATGAAAATCTGATATCGCCGCAGCTAACCGTGACAATGATTGTCTACCACTACCACCAACACCAACCAGCAATGCATTACCACCAGCTTGTTTTAATACGCGACTGATTCGAACCAAGTGCTCTAAAACATACCTAGAAAACGATAAATGTATATGAATGAATAACCATGCACGAAGATGCTTGATGTCAATGTCCCAGCTGACGAGTCTCACACAAACATGAACACTAGAGATCGCAAACAAACCAATTCAAGCATTAATTCGTATATCCCACCTGAAGATAACAAGGTTCATTTGAGCTTTATGTAACTGATTGTATTCCTCCAAGTATTGCTCAACAATTTTATAGAGTTCATCCATCGATTGAACCTCTTGGTACAGTCGATCCTCGACCAGCTAAATGAGTAAAGTTGCAGAAAACATGAAATTCCACGCCCTGTTTTAATTTGTTTCTATACAGACGACTGTCAGAATCACATCACAATAGTTGGCAAAGAACATGAGAAAAGCTTGTATGTGCGGATTAACCAAAATAGGGCCCATATATTGCAGTGGTAATTCGCGATTTACTGTCAGAAGGATGCCTGAACGAACGAATTGCCTGAACGAGATTCTTTGCTCTTGCACGGCAGGTATGTACAAAAATATACTCACCAGGTCTGGATTGAGGAAATCACAAAACATCAAACTTCTAACATCATCTTCCGTTATCTGTTAGTGGGAAGCAAAGCCTTTGTATTAGTATTGAGAACATCAGTTTTATGGTATGAGAAAAAATCAGTCACTAACACTCTTGCTGCTTCCAAGGTGCTTAAACATGGCATCAAAATCTTCCTTGAAATGTTCTTTGGTAACTTTCTTCAAAGAGCCATGCAACCAGGCACGGTCTTTGTCGTCGACCAAACGGTCATAAAATACACGATATACTTCATGCACCCATAATCTAAGTCAAACAAAACACGATTAATGTATGTAGAGATATGTAGGTTCCATTGCCCAGTGTCTTTATAAGAAAGTGAAATTTTCCTAGAACGAATGTTATTATTTGTAAACTACTTACCTAATGACTGTCTTTTTATCATCCAATGCCTGTTTCTTGATCAGCAATACTCCCAGAATGACACGGGAAAAATCTCGCAAATTGAAGGTGTAATGGGATTTGGTTGGTGTTGGCAGCAAATTCGTCATAGCTGATTTATAGATCTAAAAACAACACGTTCAATGAGTTATTAACACGCAATGTTGTAAAACACCATGTTCGTAGCTATAATTTGCTTACTTCCATGGTTCCAGAGACAATCTGTGAGCCCAAGGCATAGACGTCGTTCGGAAATTCATTGTTCTGTATTAAAAACATGTAAGATGATTGGCCAAGATTTTTAAAACATACATCGAAACGACAAAGTTACAATTTATGTTATTCATGTAGAATTATACCATTATTACCACTGTATACTGTAGCATCCATGATATCACATCATCTATCTACTGCACCATCATGATATCTTTCTACTCTAACATGACATCCAACTGCCCTACCATGATATCCTATATATTGTACAATACCATGGTATCCTTCTGAACTACCATAATATACCTTGAAATAGAAGCTGACAATACTGGAAAATATTCTTGTCATTGTATCATCGTTGAACTTCGCGACAGACACGATATTAAAATGACGGACAAATCTTGGAGTGATAGGATTTCGACCGCCGCCAGGTGGACCCAAGGCACAGATGAACTGAAGGTCAACTAAACTAATTTTTGACGTATCTTTTTTGTCGTACCTGGAAATCAAACAAAACCAATTTATGGACTATAAACAAATAAGCAACTACCGGCACAGTTGCCAAAAAGAACGTGGAAAATACACTCTTTCAGATGCTATTGTCCAGTTTGATATAGATAATTCTCATGCAATTGTTAAGTGTATAACAGTGTTTTCATACCAATTGCCATGATCCAAGTACTGTCTGAGCAGCTCAATAGGGGGCTGGGCACCATAGATTTCCAAAGCAGGCATGTTTAGGTCATCCACAAAAATGATAAATCTAAAAATTCATCAGGAGAACGTAGGTTGAACCATAGCCAACTTTACCCAAATAGAAATCGATTAAGTGTTAAGAACCATTATAGCTTTGAAAAACGTTAATTTTATAATGACAACGGGCACTGAAGAAAACATTTTTTCAAAAAAATATAAGATCAACGGACTCATTTCACATCAAGTGAAATTCATATAGCGATACTTGGCAAAAATTGCCTTATTTTGAACATCTGTAAAAAAGATTTCGTGATACATTCAGTAGCATTTCCTCTTACTTCTTTCCTAGCGACGGCCCAAAGACGCCTTTTCTTCTTTTGTCGAGTTTTGACATTATGATGTCCTTAATTCAAAAAGATTAATCAAATCAATGATGAACAACCATTTATTAGATAGCATACTGCATTTGGAAATGGCTAAATGGGAATTAGGACAAACCTGAGTCTGACCGGCACTTGTTTGTGCTGAAAAGTTAAGAAATGCTGGAATAAACTCGTTCTTGTCCAGTTCATTCATGAGCTTGTCCTTGATGTAAACACTCTTTCCCGTGCCTGTAGGTCCAACTAACATAACTGGTTTGTTGTGTCGGATTAGAATATCCATAAGAAACTTATAACGAGCTGTATCCATAGTTGGTACAATGATATCGCTGATCTTTGTTCCTTTTCCCCCAAGATTGCTCGACTTTATAGTTTTCGTCCAGTGGATCCAATTTCCACGACCTTTTGCCTAAAAATTCGAAAATCTTGATTTTAACAACAGATGGGGTATACCCTGGTGTACAAGGTCCCCTAAACAGAATAGCTGTGTCTCGCGGTAAGTCATTGTTGATATATGTATACCAAGATTTATTTCGAAATCTCATTCTTTAACGCATAGATCAATATGAGAATGCATTATTTATGCATAGGGGTGCATGTCTTTCTCTTGCGGATTGCTTCACGTCGCTTTTCAAAAACTATTGCAATTGGAAAACGGATAATACACATCAGAGCACATGACTATGCCAATTACCTCAAACAAGAAGTCGTAAACCAGACCATCAGTCGGAAAAGCGTTATCAATCTTTCCAATGGAGGTGGGAATGGGATGTTTCTCATCTTTGCCAGTCAATATTTCACGTAGGAATGTGTCGAACTTAACACGGCTGTCAGTATCGATGCTTGCACCAATTGACCACACCAAAGAGAAGAGGAATGAGTTCTGAAACGTACGTATAAAGAAAATATAGATTAATGTAAATACAACATGAATAAATATAATTTCGTTGCAGAACTTACAACCAGCCAGAGTTTTAAGTGTTTACTATCTGCTTCTTTCTCTGTGGCAAGTTTCATCATGATTTCCACAAGGTTCATCAGCGAATGAGTAAGGTTGCTATCTGATGTTGGAAGATATTCCTAGAAAAATATAATAATAGCTCATATAAACTCGATTTCTGGGAACTGATCTATTTTGCAGGTTCAGACAAGTTTCACTGGGGTATTAGAAAATACATGCATGGTACACGGCTGTGACGCTCTTAGAACAGACCAAACTCTGCGGTCATAATATCTCATACTGTACCTTGCACTGTTTCCTGACAAATGTCAGACAAGGTGGAACAATCCATTGAAAAAGAGCATCCACCACCTTGATGAAATCTTTACCGTACGATTCAGGTAATGTATTGAGCCAAGATTTCAATATCGGATCCCAGCCCAATGCTGCAGGCTCGAGGTAAATCATTCCACAACGACTTACGGTGGCAGGCTGAAAGACAATGTGTTCATTAGAGACTTTATCTCTGAAATAACTCAATATATGAAAATGACTTTCACATTTTCATTTAGAAAATAAAAGCTGGGAAAGTTGTTTATTTATATTGACAAGCATACGATTTTCTTTCGACCGATCGACGAGAAACCCAATTCCAATCTGTGACCCAAACCTAATCCGATTCCGAGGTTAATTGATTTGCTTACCGAAGCTTGCGATAAATCACGACACTCAAAAATGAGGCTCATCACATTTGACAACTGAATGATCTCACCGCTCATCAAACACAGCTAAAAGAAGATGAATAGTGCAGTGCATATTAGAAATGCATGGCTTCGTGGAAATATCACGATAAGGTAATCTGAAATGCAATCACCTTTTTATTGTCGTCCAATACGGTGTTCATGCTTTCAATCCATAGCGTATCAATTGGTCCATCAAAGATAACCCACTTGCGAATATCTGATTGATCTGATGCGTACTCTCGAAATGTGTTAGCAACAACACCATCTGTCCATTCGTGTGAGACAGGGTCAAATTGACCGAAGAGCTGTCCCATTGTTATAGACTTGGGATTAATAACACGGGTCCACACCTAAAATACACAGTACATAAAACACGATCATTTACCCCGTCCAGCACGCACATTGCTATCAATTCAGTTGGATCAAGACCCTGCTCTAAATATAGCGAAAGCTAGAAAAGCAAAAGTTCTGGTTGAATAATTTCACAGAATTCTTCTTCTCGCACTATAGGTGGTAGATTGCCGTTATCAAATTTGGTTGTTATACTGTTCCCATGAGAACAAAATCACAAAGAGCATTTTCCATGCAGACGCTTATATACCTTATTAATATTCTCATCTCCATGCCCTCGCTCGGTCATAAGAGTCAAAGTTTGAGCGAGAACATTAAGCACTTTAGTCTTCCCAGCGAAGGGGTCTCCAACCAACATGAAACTGTAAACAAAAGGAACACGTTTTACTTAATTAAACTTGTAACATAATGTGCTAGTTTAGGCAACAAATATAATAAATTATAAGACGCTGTTTCTTCGCAAAAGATACAAGTAAAAGGGAATATTTACCCGTGCCGAACAACCATCATTTCGTATGTTTGAATTAATTTTTCAGTGAAAAAGTTTACTGTTTGAAGATTCTCCTTTTCACAAACCTAAAATGTAAAATGTTCAAAATTTATCCATAGAGAATTCCAATTATATACTTATACACGGTATTTCATTTAGTAGGTCACATAAAGACAAGATGAAATAACAAGCCACTACAATATTCATAGTTACCTCGGCAACAGTTTCGAGAAACAGGGCATAATCAGCTTTAGGCAGGTCAATTCCAGGAAACAGATCTGAGATAATTCCTTGAAACAACGGGATGTCGTGTGACAAGAATTTGGGTAAATTGACATCAATTATAGAACGCAGTAGCAAAACATTTTCATTCTCGTTTGGAAATTTCAGTTTGAGATTACCAGCAGCAGCCAAGACTGCTTTCACTGCACGCATACCATAGTCGTAATGGAATTGAGAAGATAACTAAATAATAATACAGAAAGAACGTTAATGATAGTTGCACGATATCTCAAACAAGGCATGGTATAGATATTATATCAGTGGGAATATTATATGGAAGCACCATGTTGGTAGAAAATATTTAGAATGTTACTATGCTAGAATATGCTAAAATGCATTAGGGTGAAACGTAAAAATTAACCCCCAAAAGGCAAAGATTTCGTCTACATTTCATTCTTGGTTTAAGGTCCTATTATAAAGCTCGTGTACACATTCTTATGCCTATACAAATCTTATTCTTATTATGTACAGAGGATATTGTGGATATTTTCTTATCAAGACGATCGTATTATAGAAAGCACCTATAAAGAACTATATGATAAAGACCGTTGAGAAAGGTAATCAGCCTCAATCATACATGCATGCATGCATCGTCCATACACAGCATCACTACTTTATTATACAGAATCTAACCTGTTCTGAACATAATTTATATGTGGTGACGATCTTAACAGACAGATTCCTGGCATCAACAAAACCGTACGAATATAACATGATTTCACCAATAAGCGCGTAATCTGGCACCATCATTGCAACTGTACGGAACAAAACCTATACAAAAAAGTGATTCGTATCATGGTAAAAGCGTATTACCTGCAATGGTCATAATAACTTCATTTTTACAATCATTGACACAGCAAAATCTCCACTACAGTACGCTGATGTCTTATGTAGCTATTTTCATCTTATTTCATATATACATATAGATAGTGATCTTTACCTTCAAGTTGTCAGGCAGTTCTGATCTTCCAGCGTAACCTGGATTCATAGTGATTGCAACAAAGCAATTGGAGTTTAAATTCAGCTCAGTCCCTTCGAAAATAAATCGGTCTTGATGGGCAGCTATTGCTCGCTGGATACAAAGAATCTAACAAAAAACCCATACGAATTCATATGAATACAGAAAATGCCTAAAATGATTAACTGTGAAATTTTGACTGAAACATTTTTTTTATTTCGTCACCAAAGAGCTAACACTAGTGATGCCAGCGAAATCACCATTAATGAAATAAAGGTACGTTTGGAAAACTATCGCCTGTATTTAATCTATGATAGTGTTCTCACCAGGCTGAAGGATTGATTTTTAGTTTTCAACTGAATATCACATGCACCCTTGATTAAGGGACAGCTGGGACATTAACGCCCGAAAGGGTTTGTCAGTCAAAATGGTGGATAAGTGTGAGTGACGTTTTATAATATGCATGCGCGTAAGCAAGATTTGAACTTATAGTAGAGATTTATATTTAGTTTTTTTCGAACAAGACATTATAACTTTAATTGCAAATGTCTTTTGAAACTCACTTGTTGAGCGACAACAGAAAGAACCTCAAGTTCGATCCGATTAAATTCATCAAAACATGCCCAAGCTCCGCAAGATGCCAGGCCTTTGAAAAACTAAAAAACAGAAAACTTATAGAGAAGCATGCCAAGAATAAAAAACCATGACATGATGGATTCATTTTTACGAACCTTTCCCATTTGAAGATAATCCAAGCCATCTGAGCAGTTGAAAACAACACATTGTATAGCAAGCGCTTTTGCAAGATCCTAAACAAACAACAAGGCCCTCTTTTATTTCATTGGTAACTCCATCTATTATCAATAACTTACAGTAATTTCACATTTAACCACACAAAAAACGTTTTAACTGCAATCTTAACGGAATGTACTTTCTAATTGACACACATCGATAAACTGCCTTATATTATTATTTGAGTGGACTGTAGAGTGATCAATGAATATCACGGGTAAACATTTGTTGTACTTATTATATGTTATTTGGTGGTAAGCAATTATAACAACATACGTACCTTGGTAGTTTCAGTTTTTCCAGTTCCTGCAGGTCCCTCCGGGGCACCGCCAAGATTTAAATGAAATGCACCAACCAATGTTCGATAGCAACGATCAGTAAGAGGCGTGATTACCAATCTACAAGACGTCATTCACCTTATCAACAATCACTTGGCACTCCATGCATTAGGTCAAAGTCATGAAAATTAAATACGCGTTTCAAACAAAAGACGAAAATCTTTCAATAGTACAAACATGCGTAATGAAATAATATAAATAAGTATATTAGGTAAGATTTGCGTTTCCAATTTGAATAAAGCGTGTTTGACTATCTGTACGTATGTTAATTGATATAATAAATACATACCTGCCAGAATTTCCAAGATATTCATAACCATAATTAACAGTTGCGTTGATAATCCTCACAAGACAATCATCTTTCTCCCAGTAATAACGAAGCTGGGACAGCCAATCAAAATCATTCTCCCGAGAAACACCTAAAACAGCACTTTTGTTAGAAATATTAAAAACGAAGATTACAATTGGAGTTATGAGGGCATGAGTTACGATACTGAGAGATTACGATTGTTGCCAGGGTAACGCACGTTTACTGCAGCTATGCCATACCTTTTTCCACCATATCCTCTACAACATCTCTTGCATGAACATCAATCGTCACTAAAGCTCCAAGAGTCGTTCTGTTCTGCTTTGAAAGTTTTCCTCGAACGAGACTGACAATATCCTCAAGCTATAAAAAAGAGAAAAAGGAGGTAACAGCCGGCCAGTTCTGCTCTACCAAGGTATCGTAACGACATGTAGCTCATTCCTTTGTTTCAAAATAATTAGTTATAACCGAGTGGCCTAGAAACAATGATATACGGCTAAGATACGGTTGAAGTGGAAACAGATGAAGACATGCATAAATTCAAAAGCATGAAATAGATTCAACAAAGTCATATTTTCTAACCTGTTTCGTTAATTTTTGATGGTATTCCTTTAAGCCATTTGGCCCACTTCGTATAGCTTCGTGAACCTCAGAGGTCCAATATATTTGGCTAACACAAATAACCACCTGGATGAACGCAGTAAAGTCATTTTACGATAAAACAAACTCGTACCCACTCATACCTAGAGCATCCCTTATGTATACCCTCCCGAATTCGCCCACCCTGGGTTAATCATCATTGCGCACTCGTCTGCAATGCTCGGACGAAAAAGTACCCATTTATGGCGACATACATTACCTGTCCTGGCCATTCGGTTACCCAATGTTTTCGTTCCTCAATTGCATAAGACTAAAGAAATCAAAAACTAAAGTCACCAACAGCACTGGCGTGACTGACAATGATGTTTAGTCAATTGTGATTAGCTTCCTTTCTCTTCATCACCAGGGATACATTTTTTTACCAGGTTGGTTGAAAATGTGGAAATTTAGGGGGAAAAAGATCAAAATTGTATACAGCTATAGTAGCTAAATAACAAAGCAAACCACAACAAACTACTGCATGCATGAGAGGCGAAATACAGTATACCTACCTGCACGGACTTCTCAATAATATCCCTGATGCTTATTAACATAATATCTTGAACCTAGGAAACAAATAATTCAAAAAACTTGCTGAATACTTAACTATATAGTTGTCGCAACATCAATTTTATTCCCAAGCATTTTCATAAAAATGACTCATTTAAAATAACTCAAACCTGTAACAACCATTTCTCCACTGCTCCTCGGGCTTCTGAAGTTGAAATTGTTTCACTGAACGGAACCTAGCAAAAACGAAAAGCACAATGTCGGTGAAAAATCATACAGTCGGGGTGTCTGAGTTATGCGACGGCACATTTTTAAGGAAGAGAAACAGTGATTAGAGTCTTCCGTTAATTCCAAACAGTTCCCATAATAGTGTCCTCCCCCAAAAAATTCTTCAAATTCTTTTGCATTCTTTTTTAAGTTCCACTCATTCCCAAGTCGTAGGGATTCAGTTTGCCGTACCTTCTCTCCTTCACTGCTGAACATGTGTGTAATATCCAGGTTTTCTTTAAACTGTAGTTTTGCCATTCCTTCAAAACACTTTTTCAGATGTGGTTGCACTCGATATGGATCTTTTGTTTCAGACAATATTTCAAGCATCTCATCATTAGAGAGAAAGAAAAACCTGAGAAAATTAAACAACGACGTTTAACTTTAGTTATATTGACCAACGAACTGATGATTATAACTAGTAACATATAATTTACCTTGAGAAGAAGAGACGTTTCTTCTCCAAATAAGCATTGAGACCTTTGTTAATTTGATCAAGCAAATTGTTGCTGTCTACTAGTCTATCGAACATTCCAGGCATTGAAGTTGCTGATAAAACCTAAAAATTTCGAAAAAGAAATCTTGTATTGAGTAACTAACCCATCTATCTCACTGGAACACGCAGTGTCACACCCTTCAGGATAATACGCCACTTAAATTACTGAGCCTCAATATTGGCTAAAGCTCTACGTATATGTAGCTGAGGAGTTCCATTTTACGTGAAAGTGTACTTAATGGAATGAACTCGTTGAAACACAGTGCAGTGTTTCTACTACAACAAGCTATTCGGCCTATAACTCTAGGTGTGTTGATCAATATTCTTCCAAATCAATAAACACAGAAAAAGACTTACTTTTGGATCCCTGACAACAAACTTCATTATGTCTTTCCAGTTTCTGTCTACGGTTTGGAACTTGCGACCTTCTTCTGGCATTTGTTGCATAATATCTTCAGAACTAAAGATCGGTTCCAGGTACAACCACTGAGCTTGGACCTATTGCGAGAGTGTGCACAATACAGTCAACCAACGAATCAAAGTTTCTTTAACAAATTAACTTATGACGGTAAATACTTTAAATATATCTATGTAGAAATTGTCGCTGTACTAATTGAAGTTCTATTCGCTTAACGGCCAAGGGGAAACCATATAATTATAATATACCTAGTAAAACCGTTGATGGGGTCATGCAGTGATGACGTAGCCTATCAAAGTAGTCCGAGTTTTTGGTGAACTGATCAAATGGTGTAACATGTATTTCTGTCATATGTACTTGACTTCACAAAACAATTTCTACCTTCAGCCATTCATCGATAATTTCCTGCATCTTCAATAACCGCTCCTCCCAAGTCTAAAAATACAACCGCGACAATGGTTCAAGCTAATGCTTCGCCAGTATACGACAAGCGAGTGCTGTCGTACAACAAAAGATACAGACAAGGTTATAAAGCTTTTATTTATCGTACCTTGATCTCCGCCTCAAATGGTTTGATAAAAGGCGATCCTCTCATGGTTTGTGTTTTCACAATTTGATCATCCAATGTTGTCTGTATCTCATCAACTGCAGCAAGAATATGAACTCCTGTGTCTCTGTATTGTGTTGTGTTGAATATGATCTCATCCCAATCATCCACCATCTTCTGCATCGCTTTCTCCAACGAAAATTCCTAAAAATTCCATAAACGAGCACTGTAGTTCAATACAACAGAGGAGGCAAAGCCAGTTCCGCAGGTAATTGTCCCTCAACCTCGATTTGAATCAAAACTATGATGAATCATTACCTTACTGGCAGCAACACTAATGGCCTCAAATTCCGTCATATAGGGACCCAAGTTAAACTTCAAGAACTTTCTTAAAGTACTGCCAGAATCTGGAGTGATATCAAAACCAATGATATCGGACATTTGCTTCCAGTGACGTGGTCTTATACCATGATTACACAATGTTGTGATAACTGGAATATTCTCCTGTAGAGAAAAACAAAATAAAATATAAGTACCGATTATACTGTACCTTCTCCGTAAATCAGCGCAATTTGTATTTGTATACACCTGCACACCTTAATTCGCTGAAAACTCGTATAATAAAACTTCGTTATATTTTTATCTTCGTTATTACATTTAATCATACACTACATGCAATGAATAGTACCTTAAAGTCTTGTATTTGATCTCGAATACTGTTGACAACTTTCAAAGCGGATGATTCTTCTGTTTTTTCTTCTTCTTTCGAGTCACGTACTCTGGATTTCTTATCCTTCTCCTCCTTCTTTTTTGACGTGAAAAGTTTCGCAATCTTGTACATTTCACGAGCGTATTCCTCAGTCTAGTCACGAGAGAGAAATAGAGAAAATATGGATTCAACTTCGTTTAATTATGAGGACACACAACTACAAAAACTACTAGTTACACACAATTTTTGTTTCATTCTATATAGATGATTAAGGTCAATTTGGTCCCACGATGATGAACTTTATGTGAAACTGTCTAACTATAAAATTTATTGTGAACCTTAAAAATTGAATTATTATAATATCGTTGGTATTTATTACATTAATTATTATCGTTGGTATTATATTAGCATCAAATGTGGTATAACAACTGCCTACAATAGACAAAGACACTTCTCGACGTTTCGTCCTGACGTAAGTTGTTTGAAGACTACGCTGCCACGCTGCTCCCTGGTTATATATTGGTATTATATTATATTAATTATTATCGTTGGTATTATATTATATTAACATAGAATACAGTCATATCGACAGACTCACCTCCGCCTCAATATTCTCTGGTTCCAGCTCCATGAAATCTCCATCCATCCATTTCTTTTCGGCTCTTTGCCATTTCAAGACTGTAGAGAATAACTTCATGTATGGATCGATACTGTGCTGGATTACCTCGAGCTGTGGGTAAGTTGTCTGTTCCCATTTGAACAGTTCTTCTTCCTGCTCGCGAGAAAGAGGATTGCTTGCACGCAAAGTAACATAAAAAAAAGATATCTAAATGGTCAAAAGATGTTAGCATTTCAAGCCTGCATGCGTAAATATATAGCACCTCGTTAATGAAGGTGATTGAATCAGTACAATCAACAAGTTTCCTTTGCACTGCTTGAACATCTTTTACATATTGCATCATCATGTCCAAATCACCGTACTCGCTGAATTCATCTACACGCCTACAAAAATAATGTATGCAGCTCAGTAATGTATAAACATTAAAGCTCAGAAAACACGTTTCATACTGTGAACAACAAAAGAATGAAGGATAAGTTGATTTGCCTACTTACCTCTCTAGTTTGTCCAATTCCAACATAACCTTCTCTCGTTTCTCGGTTAAAGCATTTTCTCCTCTTTTTTGTGACTCTGCGACAATCTAAAGAAATGCAGGTGTTGACCCTCTACAGTAGCTATATACCCATGCGCCAATGTAATTCTATGGTCTATACGTATAGTACAGCAAACAACACAAACGATAGCTTCAACAATTTACGATTTTAACGAGTAGTGTGTATAGTATTGGTAGCTCATTTTAATGAAGGAAATTTCACACAAAACTTAGGTTGGCCAACTAACAAGCACGAGCAAGTAAACAAAAGTGGAAATGAAAAATTTATAGGAAAACTTGGTCATCATAGTTATATAGTGTGCTAACAATATAACACTAGTGCATCTGGGAAAAGGGTCGATGGAGTCTAGTCTCAATATACGCTGTACTTGAATAAACTTGAGTTTGCTCTATCATGTATAGTTATACTGATAATATACCTCGTCATTTTGATCAAAAACGGGCCCAATTTCTTTAGGCCAATTCAGCACTACGCAATTCAATGTTATATCTTCCTGGGTAAAATTGTATGATTCCAATAAGTAGGACAGTCTACTTTGCGATTCCTGAAACAAAAAAAGTCCAGTTCAGATACATTGAACGAGTTTATTTAAAACATTTTTAGTCCACTTGCCTTTATCTGCTCATTTAGTTTAACCAATCCAGTTGTTTTTGCATCTTTGATAAATTTCATCATGTCAGTCATTTCCTTGGTGTCCTCGGGCACCTTTAATGCCCGTTGTTTTATATCTTCAAATTCTTTGCATATGCTAAAAAAACACCAGAAAGCTCTAAAACTCATGCATTTACGAATCTACAAAATGCAGTCAGGCCTTGGGATTGCCTAACTTTTTAGTTCAATGGTTAGGCCTTGGGATTACCGAAAAACGAGCGGTAAAAACAAATACAAATACACCTCCGAAATTTGTATGTTTATATGGAACATACAGAAAATTGGAACACAGAGGTGACTGATTTTCAAAGGATTTCTTAAGAATGCCTGTTCAAGAAGCTGGTCGTAGAACAATTTTTTAAGGCTTGTTAAAAAAATAAAGAGCTTTGAAAACAGTTGTGCATGCACGCATTAGTCACAGCAACAATATATGTCAGTACATGTGATGAGGTTTTATTACCTTATATTCTCGTTTCTATGATCCGTTGCTAGTCGGGTTAGCAACTGTTCAGCGAAACTGTGAGATTTCGACGCTAATCCTCTTTTCAGATCGTCACAATCCAGCTCCACCATGTCGAAGGAAGCAATATTCGGCAACATCGATACTTGACGAGCAAGACTACGATATACTTGAATCTCCTGAAAGAGAACATCTTAACATTCGATGACACGAAACCAATGCCATGACATCAGGGTCTGGGGGGGGGGGGGTGCTGGGATTCGCAATTTTCCAAGGTTCCAATATAAAATATGGTGTCATTTTACTAACATGTGTGTACTCCTCAAACGTGTGGTCTTCGTCAAGGAATTTTTCCACACTTGCTTTTGCTTCTCCGGACACAAGCATCTTAAATTCGTCTAAAATAGAAACAAACAAAAACAAATGAAGAATATTCTCGAAAAGATTAAGCGGTATGTATTTACATCTTGTGGTACCTTTCAAAACCGCCTACAGAAACGATGTATTTATCCTAAACTCTCATCTCATATTTTTTGTAAACAGCTGAGGTTGCGTTTAGTGGTCATATCATAGACGTGAAGTTGCAGATAGACTAAATTCATTGCATTTAACATGGTAGAATCCAAATTCCGATTTCCCACAATATCATGAGATATAACGTTTATAATTTTCGTTTTTAGGGCGTAGCGTGCAAGATGTTAATCTTATAGAAAACGTCACTTTCTGAACCAAACCTTTCTTATTTCAACCTGGGATTGCAGTAAATGCTTGGTATAATCATAGGTTGTTGCTTTCGAGCCCAAGAGATGATAACTTACCAAATCTCGATAAATATTCTATTGGTTGCTCGAGATGTCTTTTCACTGCTTCTGCTAAGAACTTCTTGCAATCTCCAAGAACAACTTCATCGACCCTAGCATCAATTGGCGTGGTGGTATTGCTACCAGACAACCAAGACTAACAAAGAAGAAATAATGTTCACATCTATTCATAACAACAATAACGTAGAGAGTAAATTGGAATAACTTGTACAGTGGTTGTACATTAGAATGCAGTGATGTCAGGACTTCAAAAATTAGAAGAAATTTCCCGCAACATGGCCACTACTATGGATCAAGGGAATAGACCATACTCATGTCACAAATTTGTTATTCTTTTCAAAAGTTCTATATGCAATAACTTGTGGAAGCCTTGCTTAAATTCTCTAGTATAAGACTACTTATTGCAACTACGGCTGAATTTGAAGCTTATACCATATAACGGAGTAGTGTATGGAACTATGTGCATAAAGACAGCTTCAAAAAGAGCATTCATAATATATAATACCTGAACTGTAGGCACACTTTGCATAGTGTTTGCAACGGAATCGACGACATTGAAGACTACTGCTTGAACGTCACTCAAGACCGGATAAAATTGCATATTGTCATCGTCGTCCAGAATAAGCTCAAGTTTGAATTTCGGCAATTGATCCTCGTGCTTCTCATCAAATAAAGCAACCCAGGCTTTGATTGTTCGAATAAGAATTTCTTTTAACTGCAAGGATTAAACAAAAATAAAATGCAGGTACAGTACTATATGCAGTACTATTATATTGTATGTAGCTACTGTGTAACGAATGTACTACATGATGCTAATGTATGCTATCCTGTTTCAGAAGGAGTATACGCATAAAAAAAGATTTTCACTGAGATGTTCAGGATGAAGTTTTTTATCTACATAATAAAGCTCCTTCTCGAAAAACGTAAAAAAACAACCAAACACTGATAAGCCTTGATTTACCTGGTTTGATATTAAGACAGACACACTGTTGTAGAACGAGTCAAGTTGATCAGATTTCAAATGTTTTAAACTGTTTTTGTCCACAAATACTTTAACAATTTCTGGGAACCAACTAAAAACAGCAAAAAATGTTGAGGACGAAGCATGCTCCTGATGGGCCAATGCGCCCATGCATGCAGTTGACCAATCAGAATCATGCTTTAACCGCAAACTACGTCACAGTTCAGTAAGTTCTGTAAAGCTCTATATGCATGTATGTACGTATAATATAAATTACACATATATCTATACACATATGATATACCTGTGCATCATTTTTTCTTCCATTTTCTCACAATCAAGTGTTACATTATTCTTTAAATGTTCACACTCAACAGGTCCTTGCGATCTGAAATAAATATGAAGAACATATGTAAATATGCTATAAAAACACCGGCAAGAGTAGCTCAGTTGGATGTCTTGTAAAAATAAAATAGCTCACAATGTATACAAAAATATGCATACTGCATAACATGTACTGTATATAAGGAGGTCACCTTTTTTTGTGGTAAAATGTCATGTCAATGGTTTCTTCTCGTTGTTGGTCAGTAATTTATAATTACAATTTAATGAAATTATGAATCACAGTAATTCTACATGCGATTGTCCTTTTTTCGATATGGTTATAGTTAATCGCAAACAACCATCCAAATGTTCAATATATATATACGCATGGTGTTACCTATTACCTCAACTTGGACAGGTCAACAATAAGTAGAGAAGAGTAAATGCCACTCTGGCAAATTCTAAGTATGGTCTGCATTGAATGATGTAATAGATGAAGATTTTCTGCGATAGATCTTCTGGCTTTACTGAACGTCTCTCGCCAAGGACTAGAAAAGTCCAATCCCCTGAAGATGAAAATAAGAACTAACCTTTATATATATACGGTGTTTTAACTGGATTAAACATTATTAAACAAAATAGTAGTATTGTATTGTAACTTTTGCGTGTTAAACAATGAACAAGTAATTAAAGATTTGTATACTTTGCATGAGAGGAAAAAAGTTCTTATCTCTACCAACTTTACTGTTGAAACTACCATGATTTCAAATTACATCATATTTTTGCGTAATATTACAGGGTACACAAAAATCAGTTTTATGGGTTACATGACCAAAATGTACAAAAAGTTCGAAGTCTCAAAGCACGGAGCTTTCTAACACGTTTTGCTGTCATGATATTGTAGAACATCAATAAATGCAACAGAAAAAACGTGATTCTGGATAGTGGTTGGTAGTTACTGAAGACACCTGTGTGACCTATTATCGCCAAGTAGTATCCGCGTTATCTTTACGGATAATAAGTTCAAGGACATAATTGTCTTGTACATTCAAACGCGGAAAAAATGTTCTTAACAGTTTGGCATGACTAAAGCAAAACACTGAGCTAGTTTTACATACACCGGGTCTTCGGGTAAATCTTCGTCATCTTCAACACCTTTCACGTCAGGCTTCAGCAGAACGTGTTGCACTAAAAAAGATCATCAAACTAATTTTCTCGAATTTTCTAATTCTAAACTCGAATTTTCTCAAGGAAAGAGAAGCTGGGACTCCTTCCTAAACTTTGAAGCAAATAGATTTATTTTTCAATACTTTTTATTGAAGCAAATTCTATAGAAAAGAAAGGGGAATTTGGCAACAAGCTGTGTTTGAAAATAAGGCTCAAAGTTATGACCTACTTCATGTGCATTCATGCCCAACGTTCGTGTGAAAGTTTAGTGTTGATTTCCGCATTTCTTTGTTGCAAAATAGAAACTTATTTCATATGCATATATTGAAGAAGGATAATTACACAAAACACTAAAAAAACTAAGAGCTGAAACTGACATTTGATAGATTAGCCACTCAACTACCTAAATGACACTCATTCCCATGACAACATAACTTAACCCGTGAACATTTCCCAGCCGATAATTTGAACAATGCAAATGTTGAGGCGAGGATCTATATAGAATCTAATGGCATGTCAAAACCTTAACGTACACAATTCCGATAGAAATTCAAACGATCTCGGGCAGTCACATGATGTTGCATGTAAAAGCGCACAATGTGCAGACTACCTACTGTAAAGGCTGTATGAGAAGTCATGAGCATTTTATCTCATGAGCATCAATCATATCATATGAGCATCTTTGTGAATGCAAAATCTATAAACCGGCGTATAGGTGTAGATTAACAAATAAAAATGCTTCGAAACAGAAATTCCGCCGCGGACCTCTTAAAGTTTGTACAGTTAAAGTTGCAAAATTTCTATATATAAATAGCGGCAAATAAATATTACCCACATATATTATTCGCTTGTACCAAATGCCCACGTTTGTTAATCTATCATGTTAATTATATTTCCCACGTCAGAAGATGATAAAATTTGTGTAGCTATATATATGCCTTTGTCTTCCCGAACGAACTTGTTTTTCCATAGACTCAATAACAAAGTAATTTTCAGTAAATATTATCAATGACCATATATTACCCATGGCTTTCTTCATGCTGGCTTCATATTCCTGGTGGACCTCCTCCTGAAGCTCGGTAATCTGAGCTTGTAAATGCTGTGCGCTCACAAGACGTGGAGGTATCATTCTTAATATATCCAACCACCACTGTTCTGCCATTGGAGTAACTGGACCGTTTTGTACGCATCTTTTCATATACTGATAATTAAGCTATAAAGGAAATAAAAGGTAAGCGTTCACACAAGTCAAACACAATTTGGGGGGAACTAACTGTATCAAGTAACGATACATATGCTTGTTCATTGCTTGAATGATAAATTTTTGAACGACTTGCAAACCCTAGCTAAATTATACCATAAAATTTGAGCAAGAGAGGATAACTCATATTCAATTACGTTATTCAACTATAGAGCAATAATGTGCATTACAGATGACATCGCTGTCATAATATGAAGTCAAGAGACTTACTCTGATCCTTCTCTCTCGACTCATCATCTACATTGTAATCAATAAAAACACGCATACATACAGTGAAAAAGCAATTAAAAATGGTTGATGAAAGAAGAATTAGCTTATAAGCAACGTAGTATTTACACTGTGAATTTTATTGAAGGTCATGCAGCTTAAACTAAAGTCAATAGTTCATGTTCGCTTACAGTGGATGGCAATTCAGGGCCATCAGAGGGTGGAGGTCTTCTCCTCAATTCATCCTCAACTTTCTCCTTATCCTGCGCTGCTTTTTCATACCTAAATTCCGGAAAACACAACATCTTAACTGCTTGTCAATCTGCCCGGTTAAGGCGAGGTAACAAGCGCGGCAACTTTTATCGCATTTCGCGGTCATATTGGTCTCACAGTACGCTTCGCACGCGGGATGATTGCCGCCGTATTTAGATCGAAAATGGTGAATCTAAAACAATTTCCGCACGCTATGCAAAGTACATTAATGAAATTACTGACTTTAGTATGATGTTCTTTCAGGCTGTTGGTGTTCGATCGTCTTTGAAAGATACGGTTTCAACTTAAGTTTAGTAATTATGATTATGAGTACTACAAGAATAGTACCTTAATACTTAAAACCTGTGTCACACCTAGCTTAGCCCTGCATGTGGAAGATGCTGAAAAATTGCAATGCAGGTAACATAAAGCACATTTTCGTTAGTACTTCTTTACTTAACTGCTAAAATTTGTATTACATGTTTATATATAATTTCCGGTTATAAAATAACAAAATACTACATTTTCTACTAGGGAATCCCTTACGAAAATATTCTATAGAATATTCTATTGAAATATTCTATAGAATATCCTATAGAATATTCTAAAAGATTTTGGCACTAATTCTATGGAATATTCTATAGGATATTCTATGGAACATTCAATAGAAGATTCTATAGAAGATGCTATAGAAGATGCTATAGAAGATTCTATAGAAGATCCTATAGAAGATTCTATAGAAGATGCTATAGAAGATGCTATAGAATGCTATAGGATATGCTACATACAGTAGCATATTGTACAGAACATGCAATTGCAATATTACACAATTAAGATGTGCTATTCACTCTTCTGTGCAATATTACCAATATATGTCTAGCCATGAGAAAACATCAATGATGAAAATCACTTCAAGAATAAAAAGATATATATTAGAAATATTGGCATATATGTATCAGTGCATCAAAATTTGTGCAACATTGAATACTTTTGTTTGTAATGTATTTTGGTAATATTAATTATTGTCTATTATTCTATATGTTGGATATTTTTAAAGTGTTTGTCTGACCAGTAGCTCAGTTCATTATTTTTCGCAGGACTTCTTTTTAGCATTTTCTTAGCATTACTTGTCACAGTTCAGATGCAGGACAACCATATCTTTTTGAAGTATACTCTACATTAAGGAATATGATTGAAAAATTATTTAAAAATGCAGGACTTGTCTTACCATGCTGTGAGTGATGAAATAGTATACAATATATATTTATAGCTAACTGAAATAAGTTATCAGCTTACCACATATGCCATTGACTTTTTCCTTGTCAAGTTGTGGCTTGGCATCCTTCTCCTTTAATGCATTGGAGATCTTTCCTGTCATGGAGTGTGTGGACAGAACCTCCCGGCTCCACAATATACCCATAATATTGAGTACACAAAATCCTTTAAAATTAATTGCCTTTTCCTTTTAAAACCTTCTGTTGAGTCTTTGTTATTGAGACACTGGGACATAAGGGCACCTACAAATATAATTATACCATTTTGACCTTTGGTTTATAGTATGATGTTTGGACATAAGCAAATCTGCAATTTAATAGTAAATGCAAAATTAAACACTTGAGACATTATATTCACTCTTAGAATGATATATTAAAAATTAAGTATTCTATATACAATATAAAAGGTATATAGAATATTTGTTAATTGCCTGCACAAACATATAGGCTATAGCATATAACTACAAACACACTCACCACTTAATTCCAATATTTTAGCTTCACATGTTATTGTTGAAATTTTGGATGGGTCAATGGAACCTTTCAGAAATTTTCTGATGCCTTGACACAATTTCTTTCTCACGATCCTAGTCTATAGTCATGTACCATTCACAAAATTATCCAAATCTTCTGATTCTTCTCACATAATCCAGCGCGTTTCACCAACCTTCTATACTCCTCATCGACAAATTCATGTACTGCGTATTTTATGTTCAAATACGAAAGAAAAACTCGCTAAATTCTACCAGTATCAGTTATAAAACGTTGAACGAATGACAAAGACGCGCTCACAATTTGAAAATAATGCGTTATGCGTGTCAGTTACACAAGTCCCACATAACTTTGCGGCCTTGTTTGGGCAAAACGCCCGCCATCTAACCTGCGAACAGGCATATTATGAAACAGATATGTCTAAAATACTTGTGATTTGTCCTTACAAAACGAATGATTTTTGCGGAAAATTTTAACATTAAGATTTAAAAAGTATGTCGAGAGGACCTCACACAAAATACGAATATGATGCTATTCAACTTTTGTGTTTCTAGACAGATGAAAACACATTTATCGACCAATATCAATCGTGTACTAAAATTGCTATATTTTAAATTGCCTTAATTATTACATAAAGTCACATTCTGTATAACATTTTATAGATTATTGTGTACAGCATGTTCTATAGAATATATCATTCGATATTTAATGTGAATTTATGTACAATAGAATATTCTATAGGATCTGTAAATTCTATAGAATATGGCAATGGAATATGCTATAGGATAAGAAGTCCTATAGAATATTCTATAGGATCTGTAAATTCTATAGAATATGCCAATGGAATATTCTATAGGATAAGAAGTCCTATAGAATATTCTATAGGATTTAGAATATGCTATAGCATATTCTATAGGATTCTATAGAACATTTTCCTAAGGGATACATAATTATATGTGAACTGCATTACTTCTTGACTCACATGATCAAAGATCACGTACAAAATCAGCGTAGTTTCGTATTGATCAAGCACCTACTGGTAGCTAGCTGGAAATTATCTTTGGTGTCTTCCAATAAAGTGATAGTACATATATAATTAAGCTACAGGGTGCATGGATTTTAGAATGGCCTGCATTGCAATAAAATATAATCTTTTATGCACTTACACATATCTTTTCAGAAGTGTTTGAAGTTCCTTGCTTCTTCTGTAGGATCTCAAGTAACTTTTACCATAAACAGTGGATTGTGACATTGAGGATGTGATAGGAGGCAATCTGGGTAACCTTCCACTTGATGTTGCAGCAGCAATCTCATCTTGGCCGGTTGACATTTTAAACCACTAGAAAATATTACAATAGAGAATGAAACAGCTAGTTTTTAAATAAATTTAGGGTAATTTTGAAACTGCATAAAAATCCTCTCATACATGCAACATGATGTTAAAAAGAACTGATTCTGGCTAGAAAATTGTAATATTTATATATGTGCATGTTTGATAAGTTATATAGCAGTTTTTTATGATTTAATTGTATTAATTAAAAAGTCTCATAAGACCAAATTGATCAGATTGTCATGAAGACTTCTGCCTCCATTAAAAATTCTACATTGTCCATGTTTTACACAGTTTCACTCTTCCACAGTTCCTAACAAAGCGATGAAAATTGATGATGCAAAGGATCAAGGACCCTTTGTCTTCCTATCATTCAGCACACCCCATCATTAATTGCGCCTTAGGTAAGCGACTTGGGACGAGTCAGCCAAAGGAACCCAAAATATGCGTGTACCATCAATGTTTATGACTACATGAAACTTAAACGTTTATAGTTCTCTTGTTAAAGCATTTTTCATAGGATTTCTGCTCAGACTTTAGGAACATGGGCAGCAAAAAGCTATTAGCTTATACAAATAGTAGAGATAGACCTAGTTGTACCCTATATAACTTTTCAGGACTTTACGCATATACCTTTAATCTTATCAATGTCTTCCACCATCGGCCTAGACATTTTTTATATAAATAAATAAAGAATCATCGTCACTATAAACATACCTTTTTGCACTGCTCCTGGTTTCGGTGAGTATATAAAATTACATTCCTCCTAGCGTGTGTTGTTCGACAGAATGAAGTATCATATATGCTCGTTTAAATATCTATGTACTCTGAAATTCACATTCAAGTTTGTGGATAAGCTTTTGCGTTTTCAAATCAGACATCTTGAATACGGGAGTTGCCATGACAACAGGAAGCCAAACGCAAACGAGAGGAGGACTGGAGCTGAGTCTTCTAAGTCTTCAGTCTTCTACTCTTCTACAACTTCTCTTCTACAGTACAACAGTACAACACTATGTATAACTCTAGTACAACTCAATCATGTATAACTCTAGTTACTCTACAACAGAACAACGAAAAGCTTTTAACTTCGCGAACAAGTCTCTCAAATCTTTCATTTTGAAGTAATGAATCCATCATGGTGTCATTGGTGTGATGATGATGCATGATGATCTAAAGCTAAAACGATCCAACTTTGTTGGATCCAATTCACTTCTGACATATGGAATGTAGTTTTTCATTGGTAAAACAGTACTGCACTGGCTTTAGTTGATTTGCAGCCCATTTTACCCGCATATACTTTTGCAAGTCATGACAGATTAATAAAACATCCATCAGAAGTGAATTGGATCACTGTGTGAACAGGCCTTAACAACAACAACCACCTGGCATGGCGGCCATTGGCGGGGGTGTTTGGGATTGTTAGAATCCGAATGACCGTGTCAAGGTAGTACGTTTTGAACGAAAGTCGTGTTAACTGTGAACCCAAAACCACATCCGATCATAGCAAGATCGAAAATTTACTTCAAGCATTATCCTTCAAAACCAGGAACCGACTACAATCAGTAGAAAAAAAATATGAAATGTCCGTAACTCTCACGCTGTTTACCGCCACAGTATGTGACGCTAACCAGCCTTCTTTTTTCCGCGATCTCTGAATTCTGAAGGAAGAAATTTGTTTAGGACAAGAGAATTTCCTCATTCTTTTGAAGGTAGTGCAACCTTCCTGTGGCGGGTAAAGTTCCTGTCGCCAGTATAGGGGGCACTTTTAGGCTTCTGTTGAGGTCTAATACAAGAAAAATAGAATTTTGTTTGTTTGAAACGGGGATTGATGGGGATTGATTTCATGTAACGTGAAGGGGCTATAGTCGAAATATGTACGGAAATCTTACGAGTGATGTCGTGATGATTGATGCAGAATTTGATGCAGTCTATAGACATAGAAATTAACCGAAAAGACGACAAAACTTACGTGTCAAGCTAAATTGGTAGTGATTGTTACCTTCTTAATGCATATTTTGTAGAAATGGGATAATCTTTGTTAAAAAAAGTTTCTATAGTTTATTTCTCTTGCTCTTGAGCTCGAGCTTGAGCTCTTGAGCTTGAAACAGCGTATAACTATAACAATTAGCAATCAACCACTTCGGTAAACAGGCCAAAGGCCGCCAAAGGGCTTAGATTTGTATTAAATGAAAGACAGACAATGCATTAGTTAATCTTTTGTGTACAAATGCTCTTCCAGGAAGAACACGAATACCTAAAAACAACACACAATCTGAACAGAAATTTATTACTTTTTTATACGAATTTTATAACTCAGCGTTAATTAACGGTGTTGAACGTCAATACTCGATAGCCTTAGCCTTTCAACATAAATCGAAAATTGAAATTGGTTCTATTCGATTTCGATCCTATAATTACTTCAGATAGACAGAATTCTCCGGCTTTCTTTTATATAACCTGCATGGTGTCCATTGGTATATATCTATATATCAAAATTTTAATTTCAGTTTGACCTATATTATGCGTGGCAACGGCTTCGACGTTAAGTGAACGCGACGCTAAACTGGTGGCGTGAAATTAAATACATTGTGCGATAAAAAATAAAATGAATTAAAAGCAACCTAAATCGTTGACCGCGCTGTACGTTATAAGTAAAACACAGGAATACGACCATAAGAATTAAGAACAAATACTATATAAGATTTTTTAGCGGGTAGAAATATACATTCATACAGTTTCGTGTAAAAGGCTATTATATATATATATATATATATATATATATATATATATATATATATATATATATATATATATATATATATATATATAGATATAGATATACTTTATTCTATTCATTATCAGATGCATGAAAGTGAGCTTTTGCGGCTATATTAAAAAAAAATTTAAACCTCTCCCAAAACAGCCAAAACACGATGGTTTATCTGTTTGATTCATGCAGCCCTGTGACGTGGAAACTATAAAAGCTACTTTTCTAAGTTCTAAAATATAGCAAAGCCTAAGGGTAAACTTCAAGGGTAAACATGATCGTGTAAGAGAGGACTGACTGCATATTCACACATTCCTGATTTACTGTTCTATGACTATGCCGGTAAAATTGCTGAAACTTTTAATGCATAACTATTTGTATGTCTGTATATGACAGAAAATATAAAATGCAAAAGACGATGAATCTTACGTAATCAAAAATGTTGATTCTGCTGAAGATTCTCCATGCATAATAAATTCCAATCTGAATTGCGTGGGCAATTGAGCGTTAAAACAAAGATAAAAGAGACAAGTAGCTGATATCGAGCAGTTCTAAGTGAAACATCGTTCATATATTTATTAATATAACAGTAGTGCATGTCAATTTATTCAACGGATGTTGCCATTATTCACTTCGACAACTTGAACTTTCGAAAGTTTGCCTTAAGTAAAGCTTAAGCTGTTGTCGATTCAAACAAACATCACGAAAGGAAGTTCAAGGACTGAACAGTGCCAGTGGGTGACTTGAGATGACTTGACATCCTCGACAGTCGTATCACCATACAACTTATGATTCACTTACTGGGAGAATGAAGACGACAAATTCTATCATCCTTATACTTTTATTCATTGCTATTCGATTGGTGAGTGCATTATTACAACTTTGTATCTTTGTATATTTCCCGGTAATATTTTTACCGTATATTAATATGTTTCTAGCCTGATAATCTTTTAGTTTACAATTATTTTTATGATTTCCGAATGAGAGTTAAAACTGCCTTACATATACAGGAGTCCCCAAACAACTTTCTTGGTCAGTCTATACTGTAGCACATGAGATATGAATTTCTAAAATGTAAAGTTACAAATATTTGCTGATGTTTAATGTTACACATCGGTACTCATAAACTAAATAGCCACTGATGAGTGCATTTCATTAATTTTGTTGTTGCGGATAATAACGAGATTTCGTTTTATAATTGTATTCCATGGCTAACTGTGATCAAACGAACTAACGAAGAGCCACAAGTGGGACAGTGCATTGTAGACAGCAAAACATGTATTTTCGTGTATTTTTTTGTGATCAGTGCATACATACATCTGTAATCTTTTGCGAGATAAGCAAACATACCATTGCGGAGTAGGCTCAGCAGAGCCAGAGCCAGAGGACGGGTAAAAATTTGCGAGAATGTTTCTCACTATATCGTTTAGAAATATTAGCTAAACGTGGCCCTACAGATAAATTGATAGATATTGAGCGATCTACCGAACCTCATCATTTGGTACTTGATAATTAATTGAAAACATCAACGCAGACTAAAGATAAGTTGTTTCAGCAATCATCTGTGACTGTAGTCTGTTCTGTGGTTATAATAATGTTTGGCTACGCAGTTTGCATGCATGATAATTGTTACCCAGTAAGCGATGGCAAATGAGAATTAGTTGTTTTCATTTTTTTATCGTATAACTGTTGAAGTGGGCACATTAAACTTACCGATATATTTAAGTGTCGATTGACTATATATTGGTGGAGATTTACACTGATATGCAAGCACACTGACGAACTAATTCGAATAGCTAACTGGGTATACGTAAAGTTTGTTTTACTGGGAAACGTTCCTTTTTACAGCATATCCCATCTTATATTTTGATTCAAATTGTCTGCCATGGTAGTTTTAAAAGTTTTTTGTATGCGGTATACTCGTCAGTAGAGGAGTTATAAAGAGGTATAATTATTTAAAGGCAATATAAGTGGTATCACGCCATACTAGCTGAACAATGGACAACCGCTGTGTAGTGGGCGAGAAATGAATAGTCTCTCCCACTTTAACTTTTATTTACGAATACCATGCAAAGGCCTGAAAGGCTGGAAGCGACTTGACCTTGCCGGTTTCGAAACATTAAGTATATTACCTTTATCGCGATTTGACTTAGCATGTGGTCAGTTGTTGGGGCGTCCAAAAACCGAAGTGTTAGTTTATATTTAGAGAACTGCGCGCTGGCTCCTAACAGTGGGGGTTTCATTGGGTTTTAGAGAGGAAGTATAAGAGAAGTGCGTGTATTCCTGCCGAATTTGTGTAAGCCACACGAACAAAGCCTATCTAGTTACGAGCAGCGTTCTAACTTCTAAGGAAATTTCCTTAGAAAAGTTTGACTCCATCGAGGGGAGGGAGAAATAGTTAATATATTTTTTTCAAATGTTCCTTGTCACAGGTTATTCAAAACAACCTCCTTCACAGGAAAAAGTATGCATATTCAAATTGTGCATGAGAGCACTTGTTATATGAATCCTTCTTTGTTTATATATTTGCACTGAGATATTCCTATGAATATCTTCATTTGAATACGAACGGCAAATTAGGCTATGTGGGCTATAGACACGGAAGTTGGCTCGACCTGACTATATTTGCCTCTGATTGAAAAACTGCTCGATTAAGGAAATGCTGTTTCATGAACTTCATACTTTCTGATACCTTCTGAAAGCCTTCCCATGCGGCTGCCCTTACCCATATAGGTGTAGAGTTTTGATTTTATCTGAAAGAGGGGTTCAAACTCCACAGTTGCTAGAATTTGGATGTAGTAACCTGATTAGTCTTTCATTGTATGCGGTTTTTACATCGCCTAGCCGGGATAACTCGCTCATAACTAACTCCCTCGATTTAAACAGAGGCTTACACCTGTTCAGTGGCAGAGAACCAACGCACCAAGTATATATCTCAGTCTTGTGCCCTCAGTAAGATTTCTCGGTGGGCTGAAGTCCCCATAGTACCCTACGCCTATAAAAGGTTAAGACGTGGCTTATTTATTTACTTTTTATTTAATTAATTTCTGGCGGAAATTTAAAGAAAAAGTGTGACGCGCGCGGGCCCATACAGATCGACATAAATGTACTTAATTTACATGCATGACCAACACAGGAAATTTTCGTTGATAATCGGTATAAATAGTATTATATCCGTTCGTCACAGCATCTTCCAAAAACATCCTTTCTATAATGTGGTATAACAACTGCGTAAATTTTAAAATAGACAAGTTGCTATATCACTTTTGATGTAATATATTCCTCATAGTTTTTTTGACGTGTAAAAAATAAAATTCGCATTTTTTCGTAACTTAGGAACTTAGAGCTAGCAGCAGGTACCCGGACATTTTGCCGAAAGACACTTTTGTCGAACAGACTTTCCACAGAAAAGACATTTTTACACAAAAGACAAAGTGTCTTTCGGCAAAATGTCCGGTCGCCAGAGCAGCAAAGGCTTTTTGCTGCATGATCTATATCATACAAGGTTGTAATCTTCCGCTTGATACCTGGACGAAAATTATAATTATATTTGCCTGCAGTTTTTATATCGAACTAGCTGGCTTTGTTCCTTGTCAGAGGATCCCCATACAGTCATATAGAAATGGCAGAAACCCCAAGTACTGAGTAAAAACGTAATTAATATTCGGACAACTGCATGCCTGTTGATGTTTCATATGCATGGATATTTATACCGGCTAATAATTTTATATACTCGAACTATGCTTGATGATAGTAAACTTAGTTGAAAATGTAGGCCTTAATTTGCCGAAATCGATATAACCATGCTTGTATGAATGAAGTATAATCGTGTTTTTCTCACTAAAGATCCATTCTAACGAAGGGAGAAAGTCCCTGGAAGTTACTAGAAAGCTAAAAAATAAGACATACGTCAAGAGACAGAAAGTGAATATTTCTTGCACCGTGGATGGCGCCACTAATTATTCTTGGTATAAAGATGGCAATTATATAAAGAGCGGTAAAAATATGGTGATAAAACAATTCAGCAAAGAATTTGTTGGTACCTACAAGTGCAAGGGAAGAGATTCGTACGGAAATTCTGGCAGAACTAAAGCTAAATTGGATTTGGGTATGTATATATTATCTGAAATTATAATAATTCGTTTTTCATGAAGCGTATATATAAACCAGCGCGAATAAACAAGGAAACTTCAATTTTAATACCTAAATTATCCGCCTAACCGTTTTGCTCAACACCGGCCCCGTGGGTATTGAAATTACTCAGTATATTTATTTGAATGTTAATAATATGTATATATATATATTATATATATATATATATATTATATATATATAATTATATATATATAATATATATATATATATATACAGTCGTTACCATTAAGGTTGCCACCTGGAAATATATATAAATACCTAAATATCGATCACGTGATTGTACTGCATACGTTAATTTTATGGGAAATCGTTGGAAATTTATCGTGAAAATTTCTTAAATGTTATAGTAAGGTAAACAAGATTAATAATAATAAAGAAACAAGACGTAAGTGAACAAAATAAGCCATGTTTAATGGTCACGTGATTGATATTTATATATTTGTATATATATTGACATGACGACTATAACCTTAATATATACGATATATATATTTATATATATTATATATATATATATATATATATATATATATAATTATATATATATATATATATATATATATAAATATATATATATTATATAATATATATTATATATATTAATATTATATATATATAATATATACCCATTTGCAAAAACGTTGGCCGCAGATATATATATTATATATAATATATATATATATATATAATATTATATATAATATATTATATATAATATATATATATATATATATATACCCATTTGCAAAAACGTTGGCCGCAGATAGATAGATAGATACTCGAAGTCTAATTATAATTGCATATGATTACATTTCCATGGGATTTTAATCATATTACACAACATATGCAATTCTAATTAGATTTCGAGTATCTAAAATTCTAATTAGATTTCGAGTATTCAAACTTATTTGTGTCTATGTTTAGTTTCTCCATGCAAACGACCACACGCAAGTGAGTATGTTATGTTGTTTTGAACTTTATATATCTACTATATATATCTAGACGTATAAATATAGGCTTCTTGACCATGGCTTATATTATTTAATTGTAATTTTTCTTTAAATTAAAGGTTCAAAAACAACGTGTTTTGATGCACTTGACCAGTACAGTTGCAGGAACCGCACAACTATTGCACCGAGTGCCGAGAACATGAAACTCGAGATAGAAGTTGCATGGGGCCAGCCATGGCTTCTTATTTATGTCACAGTAACGTGGGATGTGCCCACAAAAGGTAAATATTCGAGAAACGATTCCGTCACCAAATCTGTTTTGAATGTGATGAAAACCTCGTACATTATTGTATGTTTCTAACTTCTTTTTCCTAAACCACCTGGGGCAGGTTGTTCGAAAGGCGTTTAGCTTAAACGAGGGATAAGTTGAAAATGGAAAGCAAAATTATCTATTTATTGAACAACTAAGCTGAAATATTTCGATGTAAATAGTTTAATTGTCAATGAAAGTATACATATTAGATGCATAAGATGCAGGTTCAGGCATTCACAAGATTTATGAGAGTGTTTTTAAACTTTGGCTTATCTGCCGTTTAAGCCAAATGCCTTTCGAACAACCGGCCCCAGGAGCCAGTTTTTCAAAGCTATATAGGTTAGCGCTAACCTTTGGTTAAATTGTAATTCGCTGCACCCTGGTTGGTTTAAAAACTTAAAAGAAATAAGTCTTCTATTGATCCAGAAAATACTCATGGAAAAAATATTCCACTTTTTTAAACAAGCGGTTGAAAAATTGTCAGTTTGAAGATTTGCGTTCACCTATACGGTTAGGTTAGGCGCCTCAATTTATTTAATTATTTCCATCCTTGACAGAATTTTCCATTGCAGAAGCAGATCGCATTTGGGGTTGGCAGATAAGAATAATTGACACCAGCGGTCAACCACACAATAATAGATCCAGTCTTGGCGAACAAAGGTGCTATCAAGTTAACGTTGGGACAAAAGGAAATATGCTTACACTGATGCAAGTTCGGTACGTTTTCACTTTTCAGTACGGATGCCGGACACAGTGGCGTAACTAGAAGCCGGATAATTGGGGGGGGGGGGGGTGAATATACATATATCCAGTTCTGCCCTACGGATTTCTTTTGTAATTGCAATAGCTTACAATAGAAATCCGTCGGGCAGAACTTAATATATGAATATTCACCCCCCCCCCAATTATCGTTCTAGTTACGCCCCTGGTCGGACAATGAATATCTATGCGTGCATAGATTGCACATTCCGTTGCAACTCGTAGTCATTTTTTGCAGGCTAAGGAAAAACAGAAAACAATAAAGAAAAGATAATTACCATAATTCAATGCCGTCGAAGACTGTTTATAAAAGTTTACAGTAAAGGCACATCCGAAGATGTCTTTTTCTTTGCTTTGTTAAAAATTATTACGCGCTACTCCTCACTCTATTTTGCCCGATGCTTGCTAGCAAGGCATTATGGTCAGTGACATCACAGTGTGGTGACATACACCAATAATATGCATTGATTAATAGACAAGCATTATTAGAAGCTAGTGATTTAGAAGCAGAGATAGTACATATGATTAAGAACGTACGTTACAAGTATTTTTTTCACACTGCATGGTCTTATCACGTGGTGGACTAAGCGGTCTCTGTCACACAGTTCAACAAGTGTAATGCATCGGCAAAGTGTATAGTTGCCGTGCGTAAATATAGTGTAATTGTTACGCATACATAACCCGGGATATTTTAATAGATCATTAAAGAACGTCATGCATTCTCAGTATCCTATCAGACCAGTTACAACGTTTGGGTGTCCAGTCTCCCGAGAAGCATCACTGCAGTTAAAAAATCTATTAAAACTCCAAGTAAGTTCACACAGCGCAGAAACTATTTGTAGATATCCCAACTGTTGATCAGTATGTCGATCAAGCCTAATGCTAACAATATTGAAGAACTTATTCAATATATACCTTTTTCACAGGTTTTTGCGACACAACTGACAATAAAGCTTGTTGCGGTAAGTTGGCATGTAAAAATTACTTATCTTGAATTTTTTAGTCACTCTCACACTCCTAGGAACTCACCTTTTTCAACACACTTCACTATTCATCGGCTTAATATGAACATGCGGTCTTGTTTCATGAAATTGATGGATACACTATAGTCGATTATTGAATGTGTTACGCCAACACCATGTTCCAGTATACGAATAATCTCATCCGGAGAAATGAAGGAATTGCCTATTTTTTTTACCAAGCCTTATAACCCCAACTATGATAGAATTTTTGAGATATTTGTGTTAATAAAAACAAATATCAATTCTGGCATTTCTCTGAATCAATATACTATATATTTGAATTATAGAATCGTATGTAAATACAAGTCTTGTCGTGAGTGACAACGGAACAATGTTGAATTGGACGACCTATTATCCTGTAAGTTTGAATGTCGGTATTGAAGGTTTCCAGATCACATGGTTTAGTGGACGAGATGGTGGTGCAAGTAACTGCGATTATAAGAAAGTCGTACTGGATTCAGTGAGTAACTTCATTTTTTCCTTTGAAATGTTTTCCTTTGAAATGTTTTCCTTTGAAGAGGTTGGGGAGACTATGGTTTAAATCCAGCCCAGGCTTAAATATAGCTTGGTAGAAAAGATCGATTTTCGTTCCAAATGAAATTACTGTTACGCTCATTTGACTTGACACTTTCCAATTTTCACCGCCTTTCGGCTCCATCCTGTGTGTAGTCACTTTGCGTGCATGAGTGTAACAGAGATTATCTTCATTTTATAGATGCAGTCCAATTACACAATTCAAGGTCTGCAATCATCTGGCTGTAGGAATTACACGATTATGGTAATTTCATGTTCGTTATTCAATTCAATTAAAAAAGGATGCGGAATTCAGTAGTTTTTTAATCATTGTTTTGGATATTTTGACTAAAGCCTATTCTGACTTTTTAGTTGGAAGTGATATTTAAGAGTGACACGTATCCTGGGTGTACTGAATCAAAACCCGAAATATTATTTTTTATTTCACCTCCAGGTATTTTTATTATTACTTTAGTATTATTCATAAATTTCAGTTTTGAGATATAGAAATGGGGAATGATTTGTTTAATTTGTGTGACACATATATTTTATAAAGTCACCTTATAAGGAATATTCGTGCTTTGCTGTATATTACAATATAACCTTAAATACTCCCCACATGAACTTGTATAATTTGTACGATATATCTTACCATACAGCGGTATGTAAGACCGATTGAATGTTTATAATTTCTTCTTTTACTAACATAACTCATCTTGTACTAGATCCAGACGTTACCAGCATTACACCACCAATTCATATTGCCAAATCATCATCTTCTGGGGCAATGGCAACAGCAGGCTTTGCAGTAGCTGCTATTCTTGGAGGAATTGTTATTGTAGGATTGATGTTTCTTTGGATGAGACGGAAAAGTATGTCATAGAAACATAAATTGATTTCTTTACGATGTAAATGTACGCCTTGGTGTAGAAAAAACAGTATAATGTAACCTTTCGGCCGGAACGGAGGCGAAACGGGGGAGGGAAAGTGGGAGGACTTTACAGTCACTATCTGTTACGAATATTTCGATGTACTGTATTTTTTGTGTTGTCTTATGAACGTAATTATGTTGTACTGTTTAGAACCCAAACCTAGCATGGAGGCACTAGGAGTGGAGAATGGCCAGATTCAAGACTACCAGATAACTTCATCGAGCTTTTGCGAAGGATTACCACCACAAGAGGGAAGACTGCACGGTGATGCCTGCTGGTCTGCTAGTGGGAATGACAAGAATCAATGGATTCAAATCGACCTTTCCAGAGATAAAGATATTACAGCAATTGCCACTCAAGGTCGAAAGGATGCTGACGAATGGGTGAAATCATATATTGTCTCCTATAGCACAGATGGTAAAGAATTCCAGTGCTACCAAGATGATGGCGTTTGGAAGGTAGGCGAATTCACATACGAATGATGACATGTCGAATTTTAAAATGGTCTGATCCTATCAGGGTTGTGCAGGTTAGAAGGTCAACTTATTTCAATCCGGCCCGTTTAGCACATTGAAGTCTTCTGTGACATGATTCGTGCTTACTTTGGATCTTGGGAAACCGGGGTCATGTAAACAACCTTTTAGACGGACAATGATCCTCCATTAGTCTCTTTCAATTAGGCTAACCATGTACGAACACTCGTTAGCGACTTAGTATCTTGTAACCGAGTCATTTCCTTACACGTTATGGCCCTACGGTCAGGTATAAAACTAAAACTTATAATTCTAACATATTTTACGCAGTTGTTCGAAGGTAATACTGACAAGAACACCGTCCAAAAGAATGATTTATCTTCACCAATAACTGCACGTTTCATTCGCATTCATCCTCAATCATGGTTCGATCACATATCCATGAGAATTGAACTTTATGGTAAGTTTTTCATAATGATTTCGTCTGCTATATAATGTGACCCTTCGGTTTTATATCTAACACTATACATTTATACTATTGTTTTTAATAGGACTAAATGGCTCTTCCCAAAAAGGTAATTGTTACATAATTGTGCATCATAAAAATGAACAATTCTAGTTTCCACACTGAACCTAATTAATTTATTAGAACTGAAATTACTTAAGATTAACCAGGGGGTAGTCGGTCACAAAATAGAATACCTCAAGAGATGGTCTTTCGCAGTATATTTTTTTTATCATCACTTAATTTCACGTCTGCCAGAGTTATCAAACTCTTCCTGGTACAACTGGATCAGTCTAAAAGCGGATAACAAACGGAGAATCTAAGACTCGGCTTTTCATCCGCTGACCATCATTTACATAGGTCACCCGCTGACATTATGAGCCTGCACTGGTGGGTGAATTTCACCAACTTTTAGCATTTCATTATTTAACAATTGACTAATTGTCGCCTCAGGCTCGGTGATTACAAGCCTATTATCACTGAGCTGAAGGCAAAATAAAGTTCAAATTTAGTATAAATTTCGCGGTGTTTACAAATAAGAATCAACACGATTTCATAAAAAATTATAATTACTTCAAATTTCTTATTTGAAAAAAAGCATCAAAATGCTAAAATGCTATAGTCATGCATTGACCAGTGACTATCGCATTTAGAAACAGTGAATTTTGACTAATTAGAATGCAGGAAAATCAATAGTCATCTCGAAATTTATATTAAAGACTGATAGCATCTTATTGAAATTAATAATTTCTCATCCACCGCTCTCTCTGTTTCTAAAAAATTTAAGGCGTGAAAGTTTTAATTCTGAATCCACATCATTGTAATCTATGTACTGGGGTCGTCCACGCATTGGGAACACTATTGATTAAAACGGGTCACATTCGCTGTGCAGTTGACATATTTACCCCGGTGAGAGATATGTGCAATGGCCTGACAAGTTGGACACAAGACATGATTTTAAATAGTGATTATGTTATAATCCCATGGTTGTGCAAAGTTAACCCTCCCAGGCAAGGTAAGATTATGTTTTTTCTGATTAAGTGATACTATAGCTTGAAAAGCTAATATTATATACAGGGAAAAAGGGGTTTTTAGTTTATCAAAAACGTTTTGGTGGATTTTCTCCTATATAATAAAAGCGGGCAAGCAGCGGGCTTTATTTTAGCCCCATGCACAAGCTAGTGTCAATGCATACTCGACACCGCGGAAATTGTTCAGACTTTTTAGCAGACAACAATTTTCAATACTCAGGCTTGAAAATTTGTTGGGGAAAAAATATGTCTTGCACAAACGAGATCTGGATTATCGCCCTTGCAGGTTAAACTTCAATAGTTCTCTCTTTAATAACGATACAGAAATGCACAATTGTGAACCAGTGATTAGATTTTCGGATTGAAACTTCATAAATACCAATTTCAGCGGTATTCACTTTAACACTGCATGTTTAACTGATATCTTGAATTGATATCTTAACTGATATCAATACGTGGAACTTCGTTGATATATAATAACGGTTGGGAAAATAATTAGATCATGTGCAGGTTAATTGGAAGTTAGAGCGGTAGATGCTTTTAACAATAGACAGTAACAGAATTAGGATCGTTTATTTTGGAGCTTACTACGATTTAAACACTAAAAATGTGATAAATGTTTTATACTGACAACTAGCTCCGGAATATCAATACTGTTATAATTTGTATATATATATTGTTCATTATAGTTTAAATGTGTCTTTCGTCTCTATTCTAGATAACACAGTTAACGATATAAAAAGTCTTATTTTTGGTGCATCTTTGAAAATTGTTGAAGCAGAACTGGTGACGCAAAATAGAAGGAATAAATTCATTCCTGTGTGTCTCGATGATTACTTATTAGAAGATCTTCCACCAAATCTCATGCTTCTGCCCACATACAACATCCCATCCGAGATAGATGATTTGGTGATAAATTTGTTGGGGAAAACAAAACAGCGACCGGATACAAAATGGCCAATTGTGGAATTTGAAGACAAAGATTATCGTGTTGCAAGAAGCAATCTACAAGAAGCTGTAAATAAAAGAAAAAAGGACCACCCCCATCTCTAAATAAATTAGGTACGAATTTAATATATATTTTCTCCTGTAATTCCATGGTTTGTCGATTGAACTGCATGCATATTTCCATGTTAAAACCTTCGGGAAACCTCGATTGCATTTTCAAAAATTCCTGACAACATGCAGGCATTCTTGTATCCACAATCATGCAAAATGGACTCGCTTGATCGCTGCCTCCTGCCTAGATGCATGTCCTATAACTATATGTGCTGCATGTATCATACATCTGCATGTTTGTGAATCTCACAATAATCACCATCGCAACGAACTTTTAGACGACGCAACGTGTAAGTGAAGTTTTTGAAGACCGTGTAAGTGAAGTTTTCCCGGTCGTCAATCAGTCTTCCTAAAACCAAAATTTTTTTTTCGTCTATCATGCACTGATTGAAATTTGCTTCGAAAAAAAACTGGATGATGAAAACTGATGAAAGTTGTATATATACACCTTGTTATTCTATATGGTAAAGGAGTATCTATTTCCCTCTTAAGTATATTGACATTTGCAGGTGGTATATATTATTTGGTATGTACTTATTTTTTTTCAGTTTCAGATACGTCGTACATAAATCAGGCTAATAGTGGTTTAAAACATACAAGATAATATGGCAAAAAAGTTGCGAGATAACATAGTCGTGCACAGAAATATTAAGAAAAACACAAAAGAAAACCCAGCATACAATTCTGCAGGTTAATTATAATTTATCATGGGACCCCAACTGGGTATATATATTCGGCGAGAACACAAGATTGCAACGCAACCTTATACATACATGAACGTTATGTAGAATACATGCTAGCATGCATGTACAGCAAGAATGCATTGCACAAATTGTCACTGGTATATTGCATGTTTAAAGTAACGGTTTCATTATTGTAGAACAGGATGAAACTTAGTAGAGCAACTGTGTTGAACATTGAAAACTATACTATTACATAACACATGCATGCATGAAAGTCGAATCGTTATCGAAAAACACGAATGCATGCATAAAATATCATATAATTATACGCATGGAAATATACAGCAGGTATAGTAGTGTGGAAAACAAACTCTGGAGCATAACTAAATCGTAGGACACAACACAGCATAGAAAACTGTTGTAAGACTCACGATAACGCGGAAGCACAGCTATATATTGTATAAGTATTGTACAGGAAGCATGAAAGGGAAAAAATATTTAGCAGCATTGTAAAAAAACAAGATACCACGTAATATAATCCATACAAAATTCCACGTTTTATCAATAATGTGTGATTAATATGCTGGGTCTTCAAGAGGAACAACAAATGAGCCACAGAATAAGAGGTGACGTTTATACAGACAGTTATTTGTTGACCAATGATCATCCATGGGAGAGATCGTCACAACGAGTACTCATGGACTCATCTCTCGCCAGCACGCTCCTGTGTTTACCAAACGGCACACGAAATAACTTCCTATAGGAAATATATATGTCTGAATGTAGAGCTAGACAATGTCCATCCAAAAAATTACTACATTAATTTACACGATGCTACATGATCGAGGATTCATGTTTAAAATTTCTCCATTTTTTTACTTTTTAACCGTATTTATTTTTTTATACCTCTTTACCGATGCAAGGCCACACTAAAACACTAAAACAACTTTTATTTTAAAAATCCATTTTGGAATAAAATTTCAGTTTATTCTCTAAAATCCCCGAATTCATCGGCTAGCCTACAGAACGTATTAGGTTTTCCAAATATATCATGTTCGTTCAGTCCCATGGGGAAATTGTGGTTTCCATTCCTTGCCGGACGCAAGATGTTTCAGGTGTGACCATAGACGGAGTCTTCACACATTTTGTGGGTTGATTTCCGCTGGCGTTTCTGTGGTACTTATACACACCCTTTATTGCCTCATTTGGCAGACAAGAACTATTGTATTCATGAAAAACATTTCGCCGCCTCGCTTTTTCTCTAATTATCATGAAATTCTTTAGAAAAATGCTTCGTCAATTCGACTGTAGCTTTAATTTTGAGTATAATTGCGCTCATTAAAAAGTATAGAGTAACGGCAACTATTGTGGTAGAATCTTCCAACAATTTTAGTCCGCCATCATTATCATTAATATCGGATGTACATGCAGCCTATTTGAGTGTTTGTTTTTTGATCTTGAACTTAATATACGCATGCATAAATTATATTTATCAAAGAAATCGACACTCTCATTATACTCTCCTCAGTCACGAACTGCATGTCCTCCTCCGTACGACACGGGCACGTTGAAAATACATGCTATGGACAGAACGAAGTCGTTCCAATGTAGTTTTCATTTCCTTTTCGTAATGATTACTGCGTGCTGTTTTCCTTGCTGTAATACGTTAACGACAAGTGCACCCACGGCCACACCGAAGATTGTAAGTCTATATTAAACATCTTTGTTATACGTTGTTATTGCATATAGCAGTCAGCTTTTATAGTGTGTAAAATATTGTTCAGGTATACTTTCACTTAGCTTCAACTATATAAGTTAGACAAACTAAAGGAAAGTAGCTGTATTAAATTAAGTCTTATAGTCTATACTCAAATGTTAAATTATACTTTAATTATGTTAGATTTAATCAACTGACATGATATGCAAAAATTAAAGTCCTAATGAAGTTAATGCTGCGGGTAGCAGGTTGTAAAAATATATGTGTTATTTTCTACTATATACACCCGCGATTAATATTAAAACCTCCGGAACTTAGATAACAAAATAGAGTGTGAGTCACGAAATAAAGTTTCATTCAAACTCCTATATAGAGAAAAGAAAAGACGTTCTATACTAGCTTGTATAGAATCAATAGAATAAAGTGTTATTTTTTCCAATCATTGAGTGCGAAAGTTTAAAGCTGCTTTCTACATGCACGAATTATAGGGGTATTATATATACGCTATGATATATGCCATTAGCCTTTATTGCCTAGTCCTAGATATCAGGAAAAGATTTTGAGCACTTTTAAAAATGTGTATCATGTACTTTACTGCCCTTGCTTATACTTTTGGCTTCGGTTGACTTTATTACCTTTCGTTTTCGTGTGGATAAATGAATGTACCATATGCTCTCAAATATATATCGTGCCGAGATCAGTAGCGCCGTAGCGGCATAATCATGATACAGGTCCCGAGTTGAACTACCTCAATATCAGATATATGTGAAAACAATAACGTTGTAGTTGGCTGATTACCACTAGCAGGCTTGGACTATTCCATTCTCTTCGTCAATTCATTCATATCAATCGTTCTTCAATCAATTTTGAATCCAAATCTAATGCACTGAAATTTGCATTAAAACACGTGTATATATATGGACTATGGTTTACGTTTCTTATACGACGCTAAATTTTAAGCAATGTTAAACACAAAACACTAGCAATGATAAACATATTAAACAGATTGGTCAAACATGGTTATTATACGGACCCGGTTTTTCAGTTTCATATAGATCAATATATTCAAGGCACTAATGCATGTGATGACGCGTTCATGCGATACGGACACAGCCGTTCACTATATGATACTCACAACATTTCTTGCTTTTTACAATAAAGAAAAAGACAAATAGATTTAACTGCCCGGAGGCAACAAATGTGCGAAAGTGTCAAACAAATTCCTCATTGATTTCCTACTTCTAAAAAAGATGCATTCTATCAAGTATTTCATTGAATCATAGAACAAAACAAAGGAAATCTACATCGACACAGTTGAAGTAGTCTTTATCAACAAAACAGTTTTGACCCATGAAAGTGTTGAACTGGTTTGCAAAGTTGAGCCAAGGAATGCCACATTGACTATAAAATGGATGAAGGGACAAGAAAATCTTACTGAAAACGAAAGGATTAAATCTGAACGAAATAAAATTACAATCAACCGTACCGTAGCAAATGATACTGGTTATTATACATGCATTGTAAAGACTCCTCTCGGTTTTAAGAGAAAAACAGCACACTTGACAGTGGAGGAAGAAGACGACGGTAAGTGTTCGTGATGTAGATCATGCAATTTGGTTAAAGTTTTTTGGTTGGAACCTAATTCTGATCTTGGATGAATCATGCCCATGACCTTGGTTATTATGCCTCTTCATGCATGAAATAATTATTGGACAGTATATTTAGTGTAGAGCCCGGCAATAGCAATCACGTGCAAGCCTATTTTGTTACCGCATTCACTAGCTATTTACATTACACGAAATACGAACGGAATTGGTGACATATATTCATCGAGTTTAACGAAAAATACTATTTCGTTGCATGCTCGGCAGAGCCATTACCACGCAAATAAGTTTATAACACAGTCCACGAGTTTGATCCTTGCATTATGTAAATAAAATAGAAAATAAATGCCCATGCGTGTAGCTTCAGTCCAGAAACCAATTGACGAAAAAACGAAATTAGTCTAATCATATCTAAATTCTCGACTATATTTTTATAATTAACCGTTCCCAATCGAGCAGGGTACTAGCGTCTAGTCGCGAACCGCAAAGCATCTATGGACTGTTTGGAGGGACAAATGATTATTTCATATCATTTGGGAAATGACTAATTATAGTATTATAAGTGCTGCTCAGTTGTGTCGTGACAAACATTTTGAGCTAACCGAAAAATTGAAATATGAGGTGTTTTCACTAATATTTATACCAGAATTTGACACGGAACATTTTTACTTGCAGACGAGGAAGAAGGTGAAGATGATGGTAAGTAGACAGATAGAACGAATGGGTTGTTTTATCGCCATGGCCCATAAACTAAAAAGCATACATTCGTATGACGTTTGACATCAAAAAAGGACTTGAACCTTAGTTGAACCAAATTTGTTAGTTAAGTTGGCTCATATATAGTTTTGATGTGTCGTCGATAGTCGGAATTAAAGTTGTACATGAGGGATATCCTTTCGTGGTTTTTGAACTGAGAAGTACTCTATACAATCACGTTAAAATAACGTCCGATTTTTGCGGTGCTTTATTGCACTTTATTGCACGGTGGCGTATGTCGATGAAGCCTATATAAAGACGAAAATGCCCTAACGCGATGTGTAAATACGACTGACGCGAATTTTCAGTTTTTAGAAGCAGAAAAAGTTTGATTCTAAATATAAAAAAGTTAAACCGCTTTACAATCCTTAACATTGTCATAACAGGATAAAATTCATTTGCTCCTGGAAACAATATAGCTTCGGGCAACATTGGCTTCACAGTGTTACGTGTTCCCACTTTGGTCATTAAAAGTACTTTTGTTTCATATACAAGTGAAGTTTCACCCTTATTTATATATAGGCATTTCGTATTGTTTTTGAATTTAGATTTTTCAGGAAGAGGTGATCATGAAGTATCGCCCGTCACCGAACCTCCATGCGGACGCCCACAAAGGAAGGAGCGTAAGTCTCTGTATATAGGAACTGAAAATATATGAATGAAAACACCCTTATACACGAGAAGTCGATTAAGTCCATTATACATGAGAAGTCGATTAAGTTGTTATACGTTTCACCGAAGGATGAATAAGTAGCAAAACCGCATGATGATACGTTTCATATAAGGTTGGAAATAACCTATAAGATTATAAAGAAACATGCAAATTCGTTCAGCAAAACATTAGAATGTAATCTTTGTAATCTGTCTGGGCTATACTTATGGTTTAACATCGATGGAATCATAAGGTTTATAATTTCTGGGATACTTGTGGTTTAACATGAATGGAGTCATAATACTGTGACGAACGGACCAGTATATTAGAGAATAACTACTATATCACTCGGCCAATCAGCTTCCGGTATTACCATGCATGCTCTATATCGCTACCTCATATGAGCTATATCGATGAGTGATTTTATTGAATTCATTAACAAATCTATATAGAGTCACTTATGAGTTCAATCCCACCTGAAGGTAGCTATTCTCGAATACGCGGTTAACTAGAACACGTGCATGTATGCCCTACGACGAGTACGCGGAATATATAAACTATAAAGTCATCTCGAGTAATATAAAAAGCCACTTGGATGGTCGTTTATCTAATTATTTGGATTTTATTTCCCAAGAACATGATCATGCTCTAACCCGTACTTATAATTTTGCATGCCGACAGCCGATCAACGAAACAAATTAGCAGTTTGTAGGTAATACACCTAAAAAGCTACGATTAGTATATTGAAAATCATTGCTGATAAAAATTTACTTATGCACACATACTATGGATCATAGGTACAACATGTAAAACCTTGGAAGGTTTTCCGAACTGTAAATCAATTGCCCCGGATGTGGACATCAACGACATCGCGATTATACAAGAGCAGTCAAAGCATAAACATTTTCTGCGGATAAGAGTTGAATGGAAGGTTCCAAGAGCGGGTAAGGCACTTAAACAACTTTGATTTACAATAATTTGAATCAGCTGTTTAGAATGTTTGAAGCCAACTGCAGGCAAGTTGAGAGGTATACATTGTTACATATCGAGCTATACTTTAACAGAAAGCATTGAGAGGCTTGAGTAGTTCTTATATGTGAGATTGAGGGCGGAAGCGTCAAAGACGTCTTGAGAATGACAAATAGAGATGTGCCACGTCGCGTCTTTCACTCTCCAGTTCCCAATCTAAGCCTGCCTATATTCAGTACTATTTATTATTGCTCAGGCTTAGCAGAGTATCTGCCGTTATGGCCGACCTTCGTAGTTATGCATTCAGACTAATTTAGTCGAAACACGTAGTTTAATTTTTTACACATAAATATAAGACACTCAAGTGAATGAAGCAACCAGTCATATGTCGATATGAATCACTTAAATTTCCCAAACGTTCCAAAAGCTTTTGAAATCTCTTATTGTTTGAATTTGCACGAATGCCTCAGAACTCTTACCCTCTAAAATTATTATCTAAATTCAGATCATATCATTCTGTATTCTACGCGTTTAGCTTAGTTTTGGACCCTTAAGATTTTAACAATGGGTGACTTCGATTGGGGGACCGTCAGGCGGGGACGCCTTGTACAGTATTGGTTTTGGCTGGCTGTTCGTGGAAAATAATTGTGAAATACAATACACACGTGATAAGCAAGAAAAAGTAATTAATGTTAATTAATGACTGAATTGCACTACATGCACTGTATAGTATAATATTAGTATCCACAGTAGGATGATCGATTGGTTTGTCATGGATGGATCAGGTGAACTATTCAACTTCCTTTCCCAAAATTTCCTTTCCCAAGGTTTGTCATGCAGACGGACGTGATCCCCGCATGTCAGTTATGGAACAACTCATTTCTTTTTGCTCCTGTTGTGTATCACACGTACGGGTCAGACAACCAAACGAAAAATTCTTGCGAAAAGCCCTTACCAACATTTTCAGTAAGCACTTGGCTGTTGGTTAAACCTTCCAGACTTTAAGGCATCAACAGCTGCACGTGCATAACTAATGACTGAACTGCTTGGCATAGAATACAAAGAATCTCTTATTTTGTGTTATATTGCTTTGACAGTAATTATAGGACATGAACATTTGCATACAATATATAATATCTATTTCGGCGGAATATTTTTATTGGAATATATAGTCTTGAGAGCAAGCTTGATAGTATATAGGTATATAGGACCCAGCAATAAGATACCATGAAAATTAATATTTATAATTAATATTATAGAAGGTAGCTTCCTTTTATGGGCGGCTCCGAAGGTGTACCTCTTTTCTAAGAAATGTGCACACTTAGCTAGCTATCTCATTGTTTCGCTAAAGAAAAACCTTTTTTAAAAACTGGAGGAAAGGCATTTACTAACTTCACTCCTCCGATATGCTTACCATGCAGTTGCGATTGCCCTGGCAGTTTGGCATTGCATTTCATTACATTACATTACTTTTGAAGACTATTTATGTTTGTGCATTTGAAGGAAATTCCGACATTTGGGGATGGCAAGTCATGGTATCTGATTTATTGAGACGTCCGGGTGTTACCGAATGCAGACAAATAAACAAAATGGTATGTATGGTATAGAAAACCCCCCAAAATGGTTCAATCTCGTCTGATTCGTGCCTATATGCAAATTTTACAATTCGAGATATGAAATTTTAACACTATATTGACCGACTGTGCCTGAGACATCCGCCTCAATGATCGGTATATTAAGTTAAACACATTCATAATTTCTACACATATTTGTATAAAACTCTAGCATGATAAAGAATTGAAGAATGGCGATTTTTTCGTCGAAGAAACATTCCATAAGATAGATTACAAGTCAAAGATTGAAGTAGAAATAAGAAGTCTTCCTTATAGAGGCAGGGAAAAAGGAGTGACGAAAATCGTCTCGACAATTCAAAGTAATGTATCGCATAGGGGAGAGAAAGTTTAGCGGGCGAAGATGAAAAATTTTTTAATGGGTAAATTCAACAATTGGTAAATCTATTTCTCTTCTTTTATATTCATATCAGATGCTAATGACTGCCACTTTTTCCCTGAAAGACCCTGTTGTTGTAAGTAAAATTATTTATCTGATTTATCTAATCTCAACTATAGAATGCAGAGGAAATATCACGGATCTAGGAATTGGGGGTGGTGCAATAGATAGATTCCGAATCGTAAAATTTAGTATTCGAAAGCTCAAGTTACCAACACAATTCTTTTTTTCTTATTTTTAATAAAAAACCCGAGTATCATAAAAATAGTTCACATGCATAGAATTTAATTTCTGTTCTATATCTTCACATAAGACGTGATCAAGAATATTACTGTGGAACAAAGGGGTTCTACCAGTGCGGCGTTATCGTGGCCAGATTTGAAAAATTCTAGCCTCGCTTCAAGACTGAAGTTATTAGGATTCGCTGTCAGGTACAATGCAACAAAAAGGAACGACGATTATTGTCAAAAGGGAGTGTTTGAAACACGTGCTTCGGTAAGTATATGACATCTTCTGGTAAGGAATGGAAACAAATGTCGCGTAGCCATGTAGTATGAACAATGCAAACCGGAATAAATTATAAGATAATCAATGAGTTTATTTTCATTTGTGGTAGGATTTTTTATTTTATGAACTGAAAACACAAATTCAGATTCATGAATTTAGGTTATTGTCGTGTTGACAAACTAACCAGAACTAGCGGTATGACGTAATAAGCTGACTAACCAATTTCGTGATTAGTTTTAGCTTAGCTTATTTATGTATTTCGTGTTGAAATTTAATTTTCGGGCACAAATGACTCCAGGCGCACGATTATTCAGTTTTGTCCAGGTGCCTTATGACGTCATGATCTCAGATCAGCTGAATTAGCAAGTCCTGAATTGACCAGAATTGATCGACGTCCTTGCCTAATATAAATAACTCCGTTATAAATTTGAATTCAGAGTTTGTCTTGAATGTTTCGACTGAATACTAAACTTGACTCATTTTGTAACCTATTTATAGGACGCCTTTAACAAAACGCACATAATGGTTGATGGCCTCCAACCATTTTGCCAGAATTACTCCTTCAAGGTATCAAATCGTTACTATACTGCACTTTTGTTTCACAGAATAGGCGCTAGATGATTGCAATAATTTGGGGAAATACATTCCATGGAGATCGCTACATTCTTTATTTCTTTTAATTTGGAACAACAGCATTATGAACTACCAGCTTGTTTGCCAAAAAAAACAACTGGAGAGCTCAGGCCGGTTGTTCGAAAGGCAGTTAGCTTAAACGGTAGCTAAGCCAATTATGAAAGTACTCTCATACATTTTGCATGTGAATGACTGATTTGAGCATTTGTGTGTTCTTTAGGTCGCTCCGATTTTTCATTCGAACTTTTGTAGAAGTTGTAGTTTCGATTGTGATCGAAATTCTGGGGAAGGAATATACTCCAACTCATATCATTACCAAATGATAATTATCGAGCCGCCCGGTAGGTTTTTTAAATGAAAAACTAAATGTCTTTAAAATTTGAGTTATGTTATTTATGATAATTCTCCTCAATTTTTTAGAAAAAGCAGCCAGCAACAAGCAACGTTTGACAAATGTGCATAAAGCTATTGTGGTTGTGATGACAGTACTTGCTGTTTCAGTAATTTGTCTAACAGTGTTAGTTGCTTGGAGGAGGAGACGTGGTAAGCTCATTATAAAACAGATATATAATTAATGCAGCTAATTCAGGAAGGTTGTCCTCTACACGTGCACCTATAATTAATAATGATCGCCTATATGTTTATACGCCTCGTAATCAGTACAACGCCTTACAATATAGCTACAAAGCTATTCCTATAATATACAAACGCTACAAAAGTCGGTCCCGGAACGTAGAACACCTTTTTAGTCTGTTTGTTGTATTGCCCGTGTTTCTCACAATTCGTGACAACACTGAACGATATCGTTGAAACTGAATCGAATATAGTGTGTTGAAGACTGTGAACATTTTGGGAAGCAAAACTGATTTACACTGTTTAATCCAAATACTCAATCCAAACGCTTTATTCTGTTAATTTGATTTAACAGCATTTGAAAAAGGCAAGGAAACTGAGACAATTCCATTAGGACCTGGTAGGTGACGACTTTCTCATCCTTTTTTTCCACAACTCATGTTAAATTATTAAGGCTACGTCGGAAAAGGGCGAATTTCAGACCGGTTCCAACCGGTTCTTAATAAATATTGAAGATATGTAAGAACGCGAATATGTTTTATTTATAAATAAAATAATATAATTTGTTATTTCTTGTGAAAATAGTCGAAATTTTCGGTGATTTTGTTTACTAGTTATAGGAGCTACAGCTCTGACATGAATTTGAAATTTGAAACCGAAATAATTAAAATTGTTATACAGGTGCTGTGTATTTTAAATGTGATTAGTTCATTCGTAGTCCCATGACTTTAAATAAGTGCAAGTGATTTGCAAGTGATGCAATTGTTGCCCGCTTCTTGTCATAACAAAGTAAAGCGGGTTTTTTTAAGTGAAAATGTTGTGTAATATATGTATTCAGACTCTTGGGAAAACAAAACTCACTATATTTCCCTCGGAAGCATACATTAAGTGCATAGCATATTTCAAAGATATTAAGTTGTTTTAACCGAGAGGATTTTTGTTTGACACCAGTCCAAGTCCTTTCCGCTATTTCATACCATACCTGGATATGTACCAGTCGGCACTCCTGAGAAAATCTTACTCTAAAATGCGATTCACAATCGTTGGAAACAAAATAACATTAAGAAAGATACCTGATAAATAATCTTCTTTTTATTCTAGTGACGGAAGTTTTCATCGCTCATGCCAGTCATTGCAAGGATTGTGATGACGCTGTGCTTTCTGTAGCAACATATCTCAACATGACAGGGCATTGCAAATGTTCCCTTGACTTGTGTTCTTTGCCAAAGGAATGGTCTCCTGGCATGACACAGTACTATGAAAATCAAATTTCAAAATGTCCAAAAGTCATCGTTTTGTTTACAGTCAACAAAAATCACGAATGCGAAGATACCATAAAGGGTGAGTGTAAAGTTAATCGATCAAAGTCAACCAAAAAACGAGCCCACCACAGTTAACATATTCAATATTTAATTACATCTGCTTGGAATATATCATAGACAAGGTGACGCAGCTCCTACTCCTGTGTAGTAAACGAAGTTGAAGATAATTAAAATTTCCCTAAAAGATAACCCTTTGAAGTGGAATACTTCTACCTTCAAATTCATCTTCAATTCGTTCTTGCGACACTTTATTAAGGTCTGTTCACACGATCCAATTTTGTTGGATGGATCCACTTCTGATGGACTTTATAGTCTGTTGACTTGCAATATACGTGGTATTTTTTTGCTAATGGTATTCGACATATATTAAAAATCATGCAGAAATTATGTGAAATAGTTAAATCCTTATAATCCTGCCTTAATTGCATGATGTCATGTGTTCATGCACCTACTTTCTAAAGGTCTGTTCACACCATCCATTTGACGTATGGAATTCAGTGCGTTGTTTTAAGTTGATGTACCCAGCTACTAAAAGTAATCGTATTATCATATTTTATTTACAGCAAGAAATTATACTTACCAAGAGAATCTGATTCGCTCGGAACTCCTCACGAATTGCCCGACGACAAAATTCATTCCAGTCTACATGGATTTCCTATCCGATCTTGATATCCCATCCTTCTTACGAAACAGAAAATCGTTCTCGCTGCCTTCACAGTTAACAGAGCTTGTGCTGTACATTATTGGTGAGCCTGTCTGCAAGCCAGTCTCCGATTGCCCGATGCAGGCCCTGGAAGAAGACAGCAGTTTGTTGAAGCACAAGAAAATCCTGGAAACAAAAATTAAAGACCTGAATGCAAAACACCACAAAAAATTGAGAAACAAGAACAACAACATGCTGGAAAAGGTAATAGAGACTTCCAGATCGCACTCGTGCTAATATAAAATCACCGGAAAATACACGACTTTCTTTATTCGCCTTTTCGTTTGAAAATTTTCTATGAGACTTGCATTTCAACAAAATTTTCACTGAATGCATAAAAAATTTCAATAAAAATGACTAACAGTGAAAAGTTTCTCTGATTCCAACAACACATGCCTTCGTGTATCCTTAATTTGGGGATATTTGATCATATTTCTGTTTAGATCGTATGAACTGACTGATCGAACAAACTTGACGACCATAAAACCAAAGCCAACAAATGGAAGATGAACTCAAGCAGTCTAAACTAGTTATGACGTGCATCCTAATTTGTGTACATACATAGTCTTTTTTTGTAGAGTGATACACCGCGGTTTCATCTCAAAAAGTCTTTTACTACTACTAAAGCTACTTTTTTTAAACATTGTGAATATGTTTAGCTAAGTCCCTAAACGGTAATAATGGTAGTTTTTGAATGAGGCCTCTGTGTCAATTTTTACCTAATTTTACCGCAGCCTTGTGATCATTATCGAAAATAGTCTTTTCTTGTTTCAGAAAACTGTAAATATCTTAATCCAACAATAAAGTTTTTGAACAAAAGCTTTGGCAACTCACAATAATTTTTTAGAGTGTTTAAAAACGAATTACAGAAGCTATGAACTACATGGCCACAATAATAAATTATGACAGGACACAGAGCATATTTTGCTGGGATTTTTTTAGCATTTACTTCAATGTACTGAATTTCAGTCAGAGAAAACATATATATGCCTTCCCACCAAGTGCACATCAAAGCAATCACATGATAAAAATGATTTAATGAAACTTCAAAATATGAAAAATATGTTACAAAGTTACAGTGAAATGATAAAAATTTAATCTTATAACATCAAACGAAATGCATAACCATTAGTTATGCTTGTTAGCCATTAGTAGTTAACCATTAGTTAGCTATGACATATAATGTTTTTAGTAGGAGTACTCTAGTTTTGAGATCCACAAGGGCGTGGCGAACGAGCCACAGAAATGGATGGGGGGTGTTCATGTGATCTTACCAACATGTGATCTTACCAACACATAAATACTGTACAAACAGTGACTAGCTATGATGATAAACACTTGTTATAAACACAATCTACTGAAACATTTGATAAGAGGTGTGACGAGTTCGGAACAATTACGTAATTTTGGTTAATCTAAAATTAGTCGTGACAGTCTTGAACACATATTTCCATATACGGGATAATTGGCTTGTTTTACAAAATGAAAAAGACAAAAAGAAAGAGATGCGAGGGCGTTATTATAAAAATGGGTAGGGGTAAATGCGGATACGGATTGCGGATGGCGGATGCAGATGGGAAAATACGGATGGGGGTAAAATGCGGATAGGAAAATGCGGATGAGGGGGTAAAATGCGAAAAAAAGGAAAACGATTTTTATATGTAAAAGCTAGAATTTTAAAAATATAAATTTATTGCCTTTCTGAAAATTTTTTATCACCGCAATGGCTGCAGCTGTGTCCCGCGTGTTTTAGATTTCGTGCAAGAGAATCTGCGGATTTATAAAAGCATTTTTGTCCATCGATGTCTGGTTCTTTAGATAATTTCGAGCGAGTTGGTACAAATGTCGTTTTAGGCGTCCTGAAATTGACATACATGCCGAGATTTTCTTTAAATTTTTCCACAATCTCTTTATGATAATTTTAGGTAATCTAGTGAACTAAACTAGTACGTTTAAATTTAATTACTTATGCTCAAATTTACTTCACCTGAGTGAAGCAGAGTTTAAGCGGGTTGTTCGCTGAGCTAAGAATTCTTGTGTGCGCCGGGCCTGAAACATCAGTTCCCTAAGTGAAAACCAGAGTAAAATTGGATTTCAATGAAAGAATATGTTTTCTTCCCCAAAAAACAGTGACGGGTTTTCCATAAATGTATATTCAGGGCTCGTTCACATGAGCCGGTTAACCGAGAAAAGGACCGAGATTCAACGAAGCGTGAGAATACATCAACAGGGTAGGAACAATAACCATCATACGCCAACGATATATTTGCACCTTAAATTTTTTAAAATTCGTACTTCTTTCGCGAAAAAAATCTCTTTTCTTCTTGTGTTTCTGTTTCTTTACCACGACTAGCTTATCTTTCACGTTCGCCAAAGAAACGTTCCCAAAACTGCCTTTACCAATTTTTGATCGCGTCGCGTAGCGACAGCGATCTATAGTTTCGGCTTGGTTTTTTTTCCTGTCGGGTCGACCCCCAGCGTCGCTAGCTGCGGGCCATATCACCCTAATCACGAACCTGCGCACAGGTAAGTTGCTAGTTATATCACGTGTTGTATTCACTTTGGGCATATTTCGTTTCACCTTCGAACTTCGAAGCAGTAAAGTAGAATCAATAAAGCGATCAAAATGCTCGCAAGTGCTATCTTTATCTTTACACTCATTACACATACAACTAACTACACACGCCGAGCAGAGTAAGCCTGCACTAAAGGATTTCAAGCAGTTTCGAAATGGGCTGTTGTGTGTTTCTCCTGCTTTCAACATGCGACTATAGTTCGGTATATTGTTCATTTTTATTATTAACAACATTTACGACACAAAATTTGCATAGCTGGGCTGGCTACGCCGCTGTGAACGACGCGATCATATAACGCCTAGTAGGCGTCTTGTTAATTTTCGTTCGAGAGCGATGGAGCCGCTTTGAGAACAGGTAGTTTAAACGCATTTACATACATGAAAATCACATTGCAAATTACTGAAAGTATAACTCAATGCATGGCATGCAAATTTTCATTTTCCCGCCTTTTTCTGTTCACTGAGCTCTTGTTTGATCGTAAGAGAAATTCGCAAGTTGGACACAGCCATATTTATCCACTCATCCGCATTTTCCCATCCGCATTTTACCCCCTCATCCGCAATCCGTATCCGCATTTTACCCCTACCCTATAAAAATTTGATCTTATATAACTTTGTGAATTTGTAATATATATCATTAAGGATTGAAGAATGTTGAGGTTGTATTCTAAGGACAACTTCGGCTTGTAAAAACAGTGCACATGCACGATACAGATGATGGGAATACCAAATGAGCTAGATCCTTGCTATAAAAGTGTCTTTGAAAAAAAATATTTCATTCACCTCGAATAATTCAGTTAAAATCATGTACACACATTTAGTATATTTATTTTTTATCATTTATTTATATTCTTCGCCATGTTTGCATGGCTAGTGAACCACACTGAGTTTTAACTCCAGTTATGCATGGGGTCCCTTGCTTAGAAAATACAATTATACTAAATAGTCATAACAATATTTACATGAGTATAACTATTAGTGGTGGATATTATTACAAGATATTATGTACAATACAAGGCTGTTTCACAATATGCTGAACATGGATAATTCTCAACAACACAACTTCACATTTAGACTATACAAAGGATGAGACGAATTACATTTTACACATGCACTCTTAAAAGTTTGTGGAATATCCACGTCATATACATGTTCTGTGAGATAGTTATAATAATTAAACAGTTCAGATTTGAATTTAGAAATTGAGAGTTTGGAGTCGCGGAGATCTTCTGGTAATTCATCTAAAATTCTTGGGGCTCTGCAGTAGAAACTGTTCTGAAAGGTTGTCGTGTTTGCTTTATGTTATTAAGCGTGGTATAACGATCTGTGATGTCTGATCGTCTTGTGATGCGTTCTGATTCATTTATATGATCACAGGGTGTGGGCTACAGACTTGGTTTCCTGTCAGCACCGCTCCCAGACTTGTTACAACCTGCTGTACGATGGTACTCGAAATGACGAGATATTAAGGTTGCATGGTAAAAAATACAGTTACCATTTTGTAATTTCACAGACTACCAGACAAGAGTATAAACATGCAAATATGTAAACCTTTTTATTCTACGTGTCGATCACGCGGGCAAGCAATTGTTGAGCTATAAAGATCTGCAAGGATGTACGTCATACAAACTGCGCCAGTCCATTTCTAACAATCCTAGCTCCTCAACAAAAAAATACAATAATTCTCAGTATGGATTGAAGGCAGAATTGCCTAGATAAAATGTTTTTCCTGGCTATTTGCCATAAATGGCATGCATTATATATAATTGAACTAGCCGATATTATATACAACACTTAGTAACGCATCCTTGTTTCTGAAGTGCATGTATATGCATTCCTCTTTCAACAATTAAATTAGTTTGAAACTCCTATAGGATTAGCATTTGTAGCACACTTCTCACTTATCAAAAGTTAAAGAGGTTCTCCAAAATGTTTAGAAAACATACAATCCGTCTCCACATTTAATAGGGTGATCATGCAGCTTACAAATAGGAATCGGTGGAAATGGAAGTCGAAAATTGTGTACCATTCACGAAGGATATATTACACTGTATGTGCATGTTACACTGTATGTGTAGGGTTCCAGCATGCAGTATACCGTGAATGTATGTACATATATATATATACATTGCAAGCTCGAACTGATCCCAGAGTTATAGTTTCACTTTTAAAAACTATTTATGAAATTCGAATAATTGCATTTGCATTCGGTGTTGGCATTGACATTGCACAATTATCGCGGTATTCAGCAAGGCCCTGCTGTGCTTTTCTTTGCACACTTCAAAGAAGCAATTTTAATGCAGATTATATCTGTCGCATCAAAACAAATCTCGCTTATACACACAATTGAATTTTCCATAATTTCGAACTACGCCTCACTCCTGTTTAGACAGGCACATATGAAGTCACTATGGCACATTTAGCAAGTTGGAAAGTCGTTCTTATCCAACTCCTCTTCAATCAGCTATGTATAACAGCTACGAAAGATCAGAATTACAAGGTGGGTATGTATGTGATGGCAAGCCTGAACACGTATATAGACATAGGGGCATTTTTTATTACATGACGGGTGATGTCTTCAAGATTTTAAATTTCAAATGAAATATCAGTTTGAGATTTAGTTATAGTAACGATGTAGCCAATTGTAATTTTGTAATAAATGTATATCACATGAAAGTCACCCAATGATTAATTCTTATATTCCTTCGCTAATTATGATATTGCGTACTGATACAGCTTTGATTTAACCTAGTCCTTCAACTCTTCAAGTGGCTAACAATTTCAAGAATATAACAAATATTGTGTTATTCTACTGCATGCAGCAATTGTATTATTCTACAGCTCTCTTGCCAATATAGTCTGTACATGTGATGTGATGCATATTATAAATATCATCGTGACGACGTATCAAGGGTGTTTCTGTCATTCTGTGCATCTTACTGATAGATATTGTATGAGGCACTTTGGTAAAGTTATAACTTCATATACAGTTAGCCCTTCGTTTATATTCAGTAATCAGTACCGCTTTCGATGGTCGCTTATATAAATGTTTATACATAACTATTTCAATTCATTATCTTAACATGGACTCTAAACAGCGCAGACACATTTGCATATATCATTGCACGCCAACGCATCAGTAAAATAAACTAACTAGCAAATCCACCGGAGAACGCATTTTCAATAATATTACCGGTTAGTTTTTATGCGAAAAGTGGGCATCAGGATTAAATGTTAAATTTATGATACTTTTATATGGTAGCAAAGGGCACAAAGCTGCACCCGTTCGGGACATGTCGCAGCTCTCGGAAGCTTTCGTCCAATTGGATAATGCTTTTCTATGCTTTCTAAAGAACGAAGCTCTGCTATTTGTTGAAACAGAAATGTATTGTAAAGTTCAGCCAATGAAAATCATTCTTGCAAGGAGCAGTGACACTACCCCCCCCCGTTCGCCCCCGTGAGCGAAGGGCAGAGAGGGCAGCTGGCCCCGCTGCCCCCGTGGTTCCGGCGCCCCTGATTCATTCCCTCACACGAATGACGCTAATAATTATATAGAAAAGCATTCATGCATCCATATAAAATTATACGTCAAAAAATTTTGAAGAAATCATTCAATGAAGGTGCATGCACGCCAATGCAGCTTACTGCCATATTCGGATTATTATCTATAGCTGGCATGTTTGTGAAAATCTCTATCTTTTAGCGCGGCCTAAATGAAACATGGAATAATTGAGTATAGATCTGGAGATTACATATAGTTAGCAGTTTATAGGCCCGTTTGCACCTGTCGCGATTTTCGGTGCGATTTTCATCTTTTGATAAATGTGAACGAGTAGTTCCCAAGAAAATTTAGCAACATCCCTTGGTACTTATAGTAAACGTAATATGGTACTCGCGTGCTGATTGGTCGAGAAGCGTGTTTTTATCTATCTATGTATAGAAACACGTGACATTTCCCGCCGAGCTTGACAAGCGAAGTAATGTAATGAGAATTTGTAATTGAATCGAACTATAATATTTGTACACAATCTTTTTATTGACTTTTATTATAAAAGGAGTAGAAAATATTTTTTCCTGTGTTTCTATACAGTTATAAAGACACTTGTGGGAGTTTGGGAGAACTCGAAATATTACTGATTATTTCTCGTTCTTGCAAACTCCCACGCGAGTTTCAATGACTGTATGGAAACACGGAAAATGTTTTCTATTTTTTAAATAGTAAACGGTTATTACAGTATCTGCCAAAAAATATTGTGACATGACCCCATCAAATGGGTTGTTTATAAGTTCAACTTTAGTCTCTCTCGATTATATGTATATTGGTATTAATTAATTAATTGGACTGCTATTCTTTATTTCCTTTTCACAGAAAGGAGAGGTAGAGACTGAGCCGATAGAAATTGATAGAGGAACTCGTCAGTACAACCTGTCTTGCAAAGAAAGTAATACAACTATCATCTGGAAGAAAAATGGTGAAAAAGTTTTCATTTCTAAAAACAAATCTGGCTTAACACATCCGTATAAGCTCCATTGTATTGACAAAGAAGATGAAGGAATATATACTTGCCATCCTGAGAAAGATGGACCTCCTCTAAAGAGATTTGATGTTCGGGTTACATGTGAGTTATAAGATATTTTCACGGCCTCACCACCCATGCAGTATTGTAATCACTCCAGAATTCTTTAATATCAGCATGCAGTAAATAACGTGTTATTTAGTTTGGAGGCAAGCGTTATTTGAGTAAAAAGCTATAGTAAATGTGCTTTCTATAGCTATATATCACAAAAATAAGTCGTTTTATTTTTTCCTTGCGGTCCGAATTCATATTTTAGCGTCTCCTGCAATCTGATTGGCTACGGTCTATATGAGGCCGTACGCAGACCGCACAGAGCCAACGCTAAAATATGAAATCGGACCGCAAGAAAAAAATATATCAATTATTTACCAGTTTAGTCGGTCCGTATAGGGAAATATTTCCCTCGGTCTCAAAAACGTCCCTCAGCCTTCGGCCTCAGGCTGTTTTTGAGACCTTGGAAAATATTTCCCTATATATACGGACCTCCAATCTGGTAAATAACATGCATATATATATTTTATGCACTTTTCTTATTTCATTCAATATAGTAAATAATACATTCGACCTATGTGGCAAAGAAAAAAGAGGTAAATATTTTCTCGTGGTCGTTCTATATAGTCTGTATATAAACAATTAGTCGCAGCGATACAATGGCGCCGTCAGGCCTCCGTAGACAAATCTGAAAACCGATTTTGAAATTTTTGGGGGCAGGAGCATCGTTGTCCCTCTCATACCGGCGTGGACATAAGAACTTAGAACTTCTAATCCGATTATCATTACAGTGCATGTAACTACTAAAATTGCTATTAAATTCATTATTTTTCGTTTATTCAGAATTAGTAAAAAAGGATGGTTTCGAGTGCACACCGTACTTAGAAACAGACTATCCTTGTTGCAAAAATGCAGCACCGAATGGTCCAAAAACTATGAGGACGAGATTAAAATTATCACGCCGGCTTAAAGGAGACAATTATTGTGATATATATAATGGAATAGACGATTACAAGAATCCCTGGGACATTTTGGTGGATTGGAAAGTGAGAGCAACTGGTAAGATATACTGTGGATTAATAAACTAAAGTGATTATGAGCTAAGTTAGTGTTATTTATCCCGGAAAGGTTTTCCTCTCTTTTCCTCTCTATATCTCATCTATTTCGGTTTAGTTCAATCCATCAACACAAAGTCTGCATGAATCCCCTATAATATGGTCTTGATTGAATATCCTGTTCATTGAAGGCCTTCCTTTCTGAATATCGATTTATTGTCATCTGTATTCCTAGTCTATAGAAGGTTGTCTTTCGTTTTCTTTAAATTCGTTTTCTTCAAGTTTCATTAAATTCACTATACAGGCAGTTATCGTACATGGGGTTGGCAAATCAGCTATCTTGGTCTTTCTGGAGCAGCGGGTGAACGGGGGTGTGTTCAGATTAATAGCGAGGTATGTATAATATATACTCACGAAGGCGTTGCTCCTGATTGGTCAAAGCACACAGTTGGCCTGAATCATGTCACGGCGCAGACTTTTTTTAACAATCTACGGATCGGGCACGGGTTTAAAGCATGGCCTTCTGTATGTTAGATACAGTTCCCATTTTATCTTTTTTCTCAGAATAAACTTTTAAAATGGAAATTTCGTTCTAATCGATTCACCTTGGGAGCAGAATATAAAATAACTGTGCAGGCATTACCGGAATCTATCCATACTGATGAACCAAATGATGATTTTAGAATCGTAAGAATTCCAACTTTGCAAGGTATAAAATGTCAAAAGAATTGCAATGAACCGTATATATATTAAAAATAAAATTAAAACTCCAGGACAAAAGTTACAAGAACTCGACAGTCATCACTGAGCAATATAATAAATAATTCCAACTACATACTAGATAGTATAGCGTTCAGTGACAGTTATGTTTAGTTTAAGTACATTATTCCCGACAGCTATCAATCGTAGAAACGTAATGGTAGTATGCTGCCTCGTATAGCAGGGACACAAAGCCCGACAGGATTCAACATTTGATATTTGTCTTGCGTGTGAACTATATATTTATGTCCATGCATAAATGGCATGCGCTCGACAGTCGAAATTAACTTTTCTTATATATATACATAATATATAGCATAATTTTTTTTAAGTCTGACGAGCGAGTATATTAGGCTGTATAGCTAGCTTTCTTTAATTTTTTAGACATGTGTGAAACGATTGGTAAAGGCTGCAATTGGGAGTTTTGTTGTGAGTCTACAATGAAAATGACCTTTTTCAATTTATATATATATATATATATATATATATATATATATATATATATATATATATATATATATATACAGTATTGGAATAAAATATGGAAACACTAAAGTTAGGTTTGAATTATAACAAAATTTAGCTAATTAGGTTAACAAACTACCACAATCGTGGGACACAGATTCAGTGAATAAATACTAAGTGCATGTACTACGTTAGTGCCCATTGGTAAAAGTTCACAACAAAGAAGAAGAGAATGGCCCCTGGGAGAGAGACAACAGAAGTAGAGAGGATTCTGAGGGATGAAGGCTACTCATTCAGGAAGATTGCTGACAGGATGTGTGTCGAGCACAGTGTATAAGTGTGTCCAGCGTCATGAACGGAATGGCAATTTCAGAAACACCACAGGAAGAGGAAGAAAGAAAATCAGACGAAAAGTACCTGAAAGTGACGTCATTAAGAAACAGACAAATGTCCAGTAAGGAGCTGGCAGGAAATCTGGAAGCTGCGACAGGGAAAAAAGTGTCCTCAAGGCTGGTTCGAAAGACCTTGACAGCTGGTGGTCTTGGAGGTTATGTAGCTGTGCGAAAACTTTGCTGCGAAAGGGCAACAAGCAGAAAAGATTGTTATGGGCCAGAAAGCACAAACAGTGGACGTCCGACCAATGGGAGATGTTCACAGATGAGAAAAGTTTGAACTGTTGGAAATGCGGCAGTATGTGCGGCGACGAAAAGGGGAGAGGTACAAGGAAAACTGCGTTTTACCAACCGTGAAGCATGGCGGAGGATCTCTACAAGTCTGGGGTTCCATTACGTACAGTGGGGTGGGCAGTCTGTACAGGATCACTGACATCCTAACGGCAGCCAGGTACAAGCAGATACTCATCCACCACGCTGTGCCCACTGGGCGGGCTCTTATTGGCAACAGCTTCGTTTTTCAGCAAGATAACGATCCCAAGCATACAGCAAGGGTAGTCAAACGATACCTGGAAAACAAGACACGAGATGGCAGTTTGACTGTCCTAGACTGGCCGGCCCAGAGTCCAGATATGAACATCATTGAGCAAGTGTGGACGTACATGGAGCAGGAGAAAGTGAAGAGAGCTCCTGCAAACTTGCAGCAGCTGTGAGGTGTTGCAGGACATCTGGAGAACTATTCCTGTTGCCTTTATCCAAAAACTTTATGACAGTGTTCCCAGTCGTGTCAATGAACTGTGTAAAGCTAAAGGGCTTCACACTAAGTATTAAAGTTCAACTGTGTGGAAGTCTAGCGTTTGTCTTTTTCTTATACTAATATTACATACAATTCTTGAGTTACAATAAAATTTGTTTGCATGTCACAGAAAATATCACGGAATGTCTTATTAATGGATATTTTATAAGATGTTTCCATATTTTATTCCAATACTGTATATATATATATATATATATATATATATATATATATATATATATATATATATATATATATATATATATATATATGTATATATACATATATATATATATATATATATATATATATATATATATATATATATATATATATATAATTTATGTATATATATAGTCAACACTGAAATGCGATTAATTTTTCACTTCTTTAGTACCAATTGAAAATGTGACAGTTGCAAACGACGTATTTCCTCCACTTCTTTCGTGGAATCCTTCCAAACTGTACAAGTCCCGTCATGTTTATGAAATTATATATACGAATGAAAATAAGTCTGACACCGATCGTTTTGTAGAGCCGGTAAATCATCTCCTACAATTCGATCAGCCATGCATGCATGCATATATTGTTGTTTTAAACCGCGTTTCCACGTATGAAACATCGTATTTTTAACCCGATATCGGTTTACACCCTTCAAATTACGCTTCTAACCACGCAGCGGTTTCAACTGCTCATATTTACTCCGGCGTCCGCGACGGAGTTGAAAATTCGCCCCGGTTTTGTTTTGTTGTTCTTTTTTTTTTTGTTCTTTTTTTTTTGTTTTTTTTTTTGTTGTTTTTTTTTTTTGTTCTTTTTTTTTTTTCCTTTTTTTGTTCTTTTTCTTTAGTTCTTTTTTTTTTGTTCTTTTTTTTTTGTTCTTTTTTTTTTGTTCTTTTTTTTTTATTTTTCGTCGTCGCAAGTCTGAAATGGCGCAAAACATTCTAGTAATTAAAATGTGTATGTGACTGTATTTATCTACGTCCCAGTCTTATCTCCTAATAGTTGTGGTGCACAGCTTTGGCTAATTTTCCGATGCGCGATTCGATTTCGCTCGCATGATACGGCAATTCCTTCAAGAGGAACAAATAAACCGTTGTTTTCATGCTCTTCGATTAAGTTTAGATTGAATTGGAGTAAGAATATATTTAAAATGCGTGTATCTAAGGGCCATTTGTTTTTCGAGACACAGAAAAACGAAAAACAGTCTTCAAACTCGCGTTTTCATTTTTCGATTGCATAAAATATTCTAGAAAACAAAACAGAACACGTTATAAGTTGTTGAAAGGGCCAGTCGTTTTCCACAAGCTTGAAAAACGAAAAAAAATCGTCATTTCTATACTTTGAATTGCTCGAGCAACAAAAACGAATCTCGAAAAAAATTCTGTTTTTCGTTTTTCGTTTTTGGAAATGAGAAAATCTTGTTCGGAACAATTCGGAAAAATTCGGAGCGAACCAACTGTTTATTTAATTTAAAACAAATCAGTATGAAACATGGCTGCTCTGGAAGAGCATGAAAGTTTTATCCGAGAATTTTTGTCCAAAGAAGAAAACACCATAGAAGATTTATCAGATATATAATTATATGTAATAAACGGATGCATCGGTAGAACAATAAACATTTAAATAACATTCTTATGTCATTCTTAAAGGAATAATGTTTTAGCTCATAATTTGCTATATCTTAATCCCTAGTATAAATATACATGCATATACTAAAACATTATTAGCTCATAATTTGCTATATCTTAATCCCTAGTATAAATATACATATACTAAAACATTATTAGCTCATAATTTGCTATATCTTAATCCCTAGTATAAATATACATATACTAAAACATTATTAGCTCATAATTTGCTATATCTTAATCCCTAGTATAAATATACATATAACAAAACATTATTCCCTTAAGAATGACATAAGAATGTTATTTAAATGTTTATTGTTCTACCGATGCATCCGTTTATTACATATAATTATATATCTGATAAATCTTCTATGGTGTTTTCTTCTTTGGACAAAAATTCTCGGATAAAGGTTCATGCTCTTCCAGAGCAGCCATGTTTGATACTGATTTGTTTTAAATAAACAGTTGGTTCGCTCCGAATTTTTCCGAATTGTTCCGAACAAGATTTTCTCATTTCCAAAAACGAAAAACGAAAAACAGAATTTTTTTCGAAATTCGTTTTTGTTGCTCGAGCAATTCAAAGTATAGAAATGACGATTTTTTTTCGTTTTTCAAGCTTGTGGAAAACGGCTGGCCCTTTCAACAACTTATAACGTGTTCTGTTTTGTTTTCTAGAATATTTTATACAATCGAGAAATGAAAACGCGAGTTTGAAGACTGTTTTTCGTTTTTCTGTGTCTCGAAAAACGAATGGCCCTTAGATACACGCATTATTTAATACATGTATATTCTGGTCCTATTTTAATAATATCGCTGCTATTTCGCCGTTTAACAAGATGATGTGGTCGTGTATGGGCGCGTTGACACGTCGTAGTTTGCACAGGATTGAAGATGTAATATATAAGCGCGAATTCCAAAGGCTAAGTGTAAGACAAAGCGAATGTATCATGCGGTTTGTTTACATGTTCGAACTTCTATACTTTTTAAAGTACGATGTGGTGCTGAATTTCGCGATCGAACATTTAGCTTCGTAAGGCATCTAAATGCGAATATGAAGTGTATTGTTTATGTTCAGAAGCTCTATATTAAAGACTGGCACGTGCGCCGGAGTTAACGCCAGAACAGGCGTCTTGTTTAATATTAATATTGTTATATTTTAGACAGAAAACTATACCCACCTTACAGAACTGAAATACAAGCATAAATATTATGTTCAAGTAAGTATAAGTATATTGTTGATTGATATTTGCCGCACAATTGATTTCTCAGACCTAAATCATCATCCGGCTTTTTCAACCGTCATGCTACTGGCTCGTAATTAATCTTTGAACTTACCAATGACTACTGTTTTTTAAGGTTCGACCGGTATTTATAGCTTCAAACGACCGTTACCACATAATTTATGGAGAAAGATCTGAAAAGATTGCGTTTAATAATTTCGTTAATCCAACTAGTAAGAAAAATAAGTTTCGTATAGACATTTTTTTTAGATTAGAAGCATGTCGAAGACTCGAAGTAAAGCTTATAATATAAGTCATAATCAACTCATTCAACTGGGAGGATGAAGGGTGTAGCATTATCATAAGGTGAAAAATGAAAAAACTTTTTAATTTCATACAGATTCCCGTACTCCTAATACCTCATCTAAACATACATTGAAGATAATAATCTCGGTCTGCGCTACTACGGCAGCAATCCTAGTGATTATATTCATTTATATAAGAAACAAGTTGAAGAGAAATCCGGAAAATATACCAAATCCCACCTCAGGTATTGTATTGTTGATAGTTTTGTCGTTAATTTTGGAAATATTGAACGAATACAATGAAAGTTCTTCACGTAAGATTGCTCCTATACTCCTACTGAATTATATTTGCATTTATATGAAAACTATTATCCTTAAATTGGAAAGACGATACCGTTATTAAGTCCCTTTATAGATTTTCACAATCGTCTGCACATTTTCAGCTATTTGCAAACCATCTTGAATGCGCATAACTCATAGCGCCCATATAGTGTTTGTAACGAACGCCGGTTTATAAATCTTTAAATACACCAGTCAACCTACAGGCACAGGGGCGTGGCTATCGAGCTGGGTTTGGGGGGGGGTATCATATGATATTGACCAACATTTATAACAAATTAAAATGACAAATTTTTCCATCCGCGTACAGATGATAGGTTTTCACTTTTTAGTGATAGCAGTTTCTCTGGCTTCCAGACTCTCCATTAGGAAAAAGAATATATATAACTGAAAACCACAGAACTAAAACACGTACAATAGCATATTGAAAGTACTCATATGCGTGTCGTACCTCCGTGACAGGTGGAGTCCGCAGCTTCAACCAATTTAACGAGACTTATTTATTCGTATAAAGGTGAAAACTAAAAACAATTACAAATACACGATTGACAACGAACTATAACTACAGATGCTAGCAATATAATACAATAACAAACAGACAATAAAGGACAACTTACATCATGCTCTAACTGTCACCGATTCCCCGATTCCCCCAAATTACTCCAAGTGTGTTCAATCAGTTCAAAATAAAGTCCGTATTTCTCAAGGTTCAGTATATCTCAGCGTACGCGCGTCTTTCTAGCTACTTAGTCAAGCGCGGCTCATTTTATACAAAATATTAGCATATTTAAATTAATAGTCCATTAACTAGTCCATGACACAACACTCCTCACCCAAGGACGTTAACAGTATTGCGTCCTTGCATATCTTAATTATAGCTCATGTACTCATTAAAAAGACGAAGTTGCTTATCGACCTCAAGTAGCTCTTTTTTTCTCCGTCTTTCCATGTAATTACTGTGGCTTTTCTTACTTTACCATCTTGGCTTTTGATTGCTTCAGAGACTCTACCCAAGGGCCATTTGTTGCGATGCGTGTTATCTTTGATCATCATGATGTCGCCGACTTCTAGGTTACGTCGTTGTTGATTCCACTTTGCTCTTGACTGTAGGTTTTGTAAGTACTCCCTCTTCCATCGTGTCCAAAATTGGTCCGCTAAATATTGAACTCTTCTCCAATGGCGGCGGGAATACAGATCATGGGATGTGAATAAACCAGGTGGTGACGTCAGAGGTCTTGATTTCATAGTCAGCAACATATTTGGGGATAAAGGTTGTGGTTGCTCTGCGTCTGATGGTATAGTCGCAATTGGTCTGGAGTTCACTATGCCCACCACTTCTGCCATAAGTGTAGTTAGTAATTCATGTGTCAGTTGCCTTGGACCAAGATCGGCAAACATTCCGTCGAGAATTCGTCTAATTGTTAAAATTTAACGCTCCCAGACGCCACCAAAATGTGAAGAATGAGGCGGGTTGAAAATCCATTCACAGTTCTGTTGATTGACGTAAGATGCTATCATGTTCTGATCCATTTCGTTTAAGGACTCGACGAGTTCGGATTTTGCCCCAATAAAGTTTGTACCTCACTCACATCGAAGGACGGATGGAGGTCCTCGTATGGAGAAGAAGCGTCGGAGGGCGCAGATAAAAGAGTTTGTTTCCATTGTTTCCAGAACTTCGATGTGGATTGCGCGACAATTCAAACAAGTAAAAACTAGTCCCCATCTTTTGGAGTTTTCAGCACCTCCTCGTAATTTTCTTGTTTGTATTGTTCACGGTCCAAACACGTCAAATCCGACATTCGTAAAAGGTGGGGGTGTATTTAACCGATCAGCTGGTAGGTCAGTCATAAACTGCGTCATCAATTTCCCTCTAAGTTTCTTGCAAACTAAGCATTCGTTGATGATTTTCGAAATCGTCCTCTTTGCGCCAATGACCCACAGCCCTGCGTTTCTAATTGCACCATGAGTTATCTGTCTACCTTGATGATAAACCTTTCGTGATAGTGTTTGATTACCAGTTTTGTTAAATGACTCTTTTTGGGGATGATTGCCGGATGTTTCTCTTCATACATCTGTTCTCCGTGTCTAAGTCGTCCACCAACGCGTAGGATTCCGTTACTGTCAATAAATGGATTTAGACGATATAAGCTGGATGTGGCAGGAATACTTGCTGGTGGTATCTGTTGAAGGTTTTTGAATTCTGTTGCATATTGTTCCATTTGAACAGTTTTGATTAGTATTTCTTCACTTTGTTTCAGTTCCGCGGCGGTTGGATGTTTTGTAAGATCTGTTGCGTTGAGGAGAAGAGCGTTGGAACGTCGGCTAGATATTTAATCTCGGTTGTTGGTTTTGACACGCTTAATTCGGATGATCAAGTTTGCGATAGCCTTTCGTAGAGACGACAACTTGGAAAACCTTTTGAATCGTTCGGATCCTAGTCCTTGAGTTGTAGAAGGTTTAACTGTAAAACGAGTGACTTGAGTACGAACCTCTGGGTCGTTTGAGCTTACGTCGTACTCCATGGGATCGATTTCAGCTAAGGAAGGTTCAGAAAAACTACTGTTCCTCAGAAAATGTGGTCCAGTGAACCAAATCGAATCCAACAAGTCTTTGGCTGGTTTTCCCCTTGTGGCCATGTCCGCAGGGTTCTCTGCCATTGCGAAGGATCTGACCCAGTCCGAATAACTTGAATCCTATTGGTGACATAAACATAGAAGCGTTTGCTTTCGTTCTGGAGGTATCCAAGGACTACTTTTGAATCAGTATGGAAGAATATCTCGTCTATCTTTATCTTCAGCTCATGAGTGATCCATTTAACTGCTTTGACTACGAGGACAGCGGCACAAAGTTCAAGTCTTGGGATCGTTGTTGCTCGTTTTGGTGCCAATTTTGCCTGAGCAAATACCAATGAGACCTTGATTTCTCCAGATTGATTTGTCAACTTTAGTAGCTGCGATGCCAATTGCGAGATCGCTGCCATCTGAAAAAGCGTGGATCTCTGCTTTCTTTATCTGAGACGTCTTCTCTTGGAGAAAACATCTTGGCACGTAAGTTTCTGCGAGTATCGCGAGTGATTCCTTCCAATTTTGCCATTTTCTTTGTAAGGAAATGGGAAGTGGATCATCCCAACCTAGGGACGGGTTTGCAATTATTGACGTGGTAAGGTGGCGCAATAATAACCTTCCAGTTAAGGTGACTGGAATAACAAGTCCCAGGGGATCGTAGATAGAATTAATTACTGCTAGGACACCACGCCGAGTGAAAGGCTTCTCAGGTAAAGAGATTCTGAAGGATATGGTATCCTTTTGTAGATTCCAGACTATACCTAAGGAAAGTTGCGATGGTAGAGGATCACGATAAAGATCAAGGTCTCGAAGGCTCTCAGCCCGGTCTTCCACTTCCAGTGGTATAGCTTCCATCACTTGCGTTGAGTTTGAGGCGATCTTATGTAGACGAAGGTTTGCGGTTGCCAGCATTGACTGTGAGTTCTTAATAAGGTCAATTGCTTCTTTGCTGGTTGAACACGAGGTTAAACCGTCATCAACATAAAAATCATTTTTAACAAATTCTTTGGCGACTTGACCAAATTTCTCCTTACCATCATCAGCTGTCTTTCTAAGACCGAACATCGCGACAGATGGGCTGGAAGTGTTTCCGAACAGGTGCACTGTCATATGATATTCAATAATCTTCTTTGTTTTATCGTTCCCTTCAAACCAGAGAAATCGTAAAAGGTTTCGGTGCGTAGGGCTAACGTAAAAGTTATGGAACATCTGTACTATGTCGCAGACAACTGCGACATGGTTTAGCCTGAATCGAATGAGTATTTCGAGAGGATTGTTCAAGATGTCTGGACCTGACAGCAGTTCTTTGTTCAGCGATGAACCTTGGAATTCTGCGGATGAGTCGAACACCACGCGAATCTTGCCTGGTTTCCTCGGATGGTAGACTCCGAAATGAGGAAGATACCAAACCTTCTCGGGATTCGTTACTTCACTCGTGGAATCAATGGATGGCACAGGGCAGCATGACCGCGTTCTAGCAATTTTTCCATAAATTCCAGGTAGTCCTTTTCCATCTTCGGTTTTCTCTTGAATGATTGTAATAAATTGTTCATACGACTTTCTGCTTGTTTTCGGTTGTTTGGAAACTTTACATCCAAGTTGCGAAGAGGCAATGGCATTTCCCAGTTCCCTTTCTCGTTCTTGTGGATTGCTTCGTCCATAATTGTTAGGAATCGTCGATCTTCGATAGACAAGCTTGGTTCATTATCACGAACTGTAGTCTGGAAAACAACATCTTCTGGTTCATCGTAGCAGTCTTTCACCTCTAACTTATTTGGGCATGATAAATATTCAGTGTACAAGGTTTGGTATGGATGATTAACCTTTGTTTGTGAATGAACTTGAACACCATCCTCAAGTTTATTGGATAAATCGCGAACGACGGTTCGGTGAGTCGTAATGTGAATAGGTCCTCCTTGACGGTTGACACACATTCGACCACATGGTACAGCCAACAGCCAACCTATGCGCCCACGGAGCTCCTTTCGGCCCATTGCGGACTTCCCTAACTTTCATTATCTCGGGTGCATCACGACCAATTAGTAGTTGGACTTCAGCTTCCGAATTTAATAGAGGTAATTTGTCTGCTACTTCACGAAGATGACCGTACCTTCTAACTTGTTCAGGTATTGGGATCTCGCGTTTATCGGAGGGTATATTGTCGCATTCAACTAATGTTGGTAATTTCATTAAAACTCCGTTCGTGGATGTTATTGTTAGTCCAGAGACGCGACGGCCATAGTGGGTTTCTTTTGATGAACTACATGTGGTTAGACAATACTTCTCTTTTGGTCCTTCCAGTCCGAGATCGTCGACGAGCTTTGGAGCAATCAAAGACGCATTGCTTTGTTCGTCAATCAATGCGTAAACTTTTACTATATTTTGTGGTGTTTTTGGATGAAAAACATCTAACAGAACGATCTTGCTGCATGAGACCCCTTCAATAGACGTTGGCGAAATGTCCGTGCAGGCTGATTTTACTTCTTCTTTCTCCTCTTCCTTCATTATTTTCTTCTCCATGTGCAGTATCTCGAGGTGGCGATTACTGCCGCACTTCGTACAATTCACTTCTGTTTTGCAGTCTCTTGCTAGATGTTTTTGTGTCAGGCATCGAAAACATAGTCCAGCTCTTTTCAACCAGTCTGTTTTTTCCTGAAGCGTTTTCCGTGCGAACGTTTTGCACTCTAATAGATTATGACCATCGATATCGTGGAATATACAACGTTTCTTGTTTTTCGACTCTTGTGCTTGCCCCATATCTCCTTTTAAGACTTTATAGTGTTGTTTTCCTGCCATGTTCTTGTCTCTTTGTAAGCTATCCGCTAAGGCTGTAACGTTAGGGTGGTTACGCAATTGTGACTGCTTTTCTACTGTGTTCGCAAATACTTCGAACTGTGGGTAGGCGTTGTTATGGCACTTTGCAAATTCAACGACTTTTTTCTCCCAACTATGACGAATTCTCTCTGGTAGAACATTAAGGATTGGTCGCATTGCCGTCGGATAATTCAAACATCCAAGCCCGGGGAGATGGTCGATTTGTGAAGCTACATCGAGACATAGATCCGAGAATGCCTGCAGCTTTTTCTTTTCTTGTTCTCCAAACTTTGCTGATTCTCTCAGTTGCACCAAAAAGGCATTTGTTATGGTGGCTGTGTTGCCATATCGATTCTCCAGTTCTAACCAAAGCTCTTTCAATAATTTTGACGTATTGCTGTACTGTCTCTTTCGAAAGCTATTCACCAGCCTCTGGGGTCCACCTCTGGTAAACATGTACAGATAATTCATCTCCTGTTCTGGAGTAACATCGGCACCTCGTAGCATACTATTAAACGCGCCTTTCCAAGGGTGGAACATTGTAACGTCTCCGGCAAACAGGTCAGGTTGGCATTTAGGAAGGCTCATTCTTGCAATGTTTGCCGCCAATTTCTCATTCGTTGTTGCGACAGCTCTCTCATACCTTCGTGAAGTATGGGTCCTGAGTTGTCTGTACGATTTTCTTGGATTTGCGTATCTGTATCTAACTTTGAGGCTTCTTTTTGCAGTTTGTAGGCAGGGGGTGGTTTTTCTGTTTTGTGCGCTTCCCGTCGTTTCGTTTCCAGTTGGACGTTATCTTTTTGCTGACTTCTTATCCAGGATTTAGTGCGTGACGTCACTGACACTTCGCTTTGTGCAACCATCTCTGTTTTGCTCATGCTTGATCTTACGTCACTGATAGACTGTTCGATTGCCTCTAGTTTTGCTTCGGCGATAGCTTTTTTCTTTTTCGCCTCCAAAACCGCCATATCTCTATTGTGTTGTGCTCGCGCAGCTTCTCGATTCCATTCCGCTTCAGCCTCTTTCTGCCTTCGTTCGTTCTCTTCCTCAGCCATCAGGACATCATACTCCGCTTCTTCCCTTGCTGCCGCTACATAAGCCATGGCTTTCATTCTAGCTGAAGTCGACGATGCATGAGATGATACTCGAGATGACTTTAATATTCTTGAGTCTTCTGATAATCTTAGGTCTTTGGATGCAACATCAAATTTCTCAGCTGTACTCAAGAGTTCTGCTGCTTGTCGTAAAGCTGAATCCGCATATCGAATATACTTTTCCTTTGTTTCTCTAACTACGTCTTTCATTTCTGCACTCTCATTCCATCTGTCTTCAGTTATCAGGGGCTCTAGATTTCTATAACCGCTTTCAAATGTTTGCTTGTTTATTTCAAGTGACGTAACGGCGCGCTCAAGCGTGATTAATTTTTCACCCTTTTCAATCGAGGTGTACACTGAAGCGATAGCTTGCTGCAATAATTTTGTTTGTTTGTTAAAAACTGCCGTTTTCTCGACAAGGGAGTTTTGAAAATCCTTTTGCGTCGGAATTCTCGATCGTTTTTCTCTCCTATCGATTAGTTCGACGGTTTCTCCCTCCTTATCCTGCTCTGAAACGTCAGACATTGTCCTGTGGACAAAGGTTGTATTTCGTAATACTCAACTGTCCGCAATGTTCACCATTCCAACGTTGAGAGTTAAGCAGTTTCAGATTTTTCACTGTCGTGCCTCCGTGACAGGTGGAGTCCGCAGCTTCAACCAATTTAACGAGACTTATTTATTCGTATAAAGGTGAAAACTAAAAACAATTACAAATACACGATTGACAACGAACTATAACTACAGATGCTAGCAATATAATACAATAATATACAGACAATAAAGGACAACTTACATCATGCTCTAACTGTCAACGATTCCCCGATTCCCCCAAATTACTCCAAGTGTGTTCAATCAGTTCAAAATAAAGTCCGTATTTCTCAAGGTTCAGTATATCTCAGCGTACGCGTGTCTTTCTAGCTACTTAGTCAAGCGCGGCTCATTTTATACAAAATACAAGACGCCAATTCTGGCGGTTACTGCGTCGCGCCAATCGTTGCATGCAACTGTGCCCCATTTCCTGTCAATATTCATTCCTTTAGAAAAATGTTTCTTTCTTAGGTTTTCTAGTAAATAGAGCACTTCGTACAGAATATACGGGTAAAACTGCATTATTGGTGCTAGGCATATGTAGCTAACGATATACGTGAATAAGGCTGAGTTTGGAATCATGTACTCTGGGAATCAGTTTGTACTGAAATTCAATAGGATTGGTCTGGCCGTTTTTACCCTTGAGGGGAAAGTGCGGTTTGATTGAAAAATGGCATAGAATGGCATACAAGGCTTTCATAGCATACAAGGCTTTCATGGCATACAAGGCTTTCATGATTCATGTGATCGTTGTCTGTAAACCCGTTTTAGTGTAGGTTTACCATCATCAGTGTGTGCTAGTGTATGCAGAGTGAGCATATCAAACAAGACAAGTCGAGAAATCAGCATTATGATTACCTGTATGTATTTTCTCGAACGACAGACGTCTAGATTTCCTGCGCTATCGGCCATGCACAGCGACTCGTGTACGTGTTATTTTATATGACGTGTATCGTGCATGCTGTTTCCTGCTTTTGGTTCGCACGACCCGAGTTCGAATCCCGGCGACAACAAACTTTTTCAATTTTTTGTTTCAGTAAAATATTTCTTTTGTGGGGGTTACTAGGCTTAGATTACTATTTGAAGTGTGTTTAGCACAAAAATATTTCGATACGAAATCAAACGAGTTCAAAATACGACTATCTTTAGTTGGCCTGCGCGGCCAGGTAGACCGGGTCGAAAACGTAAAAAACACAAAAAAAAAACAACAAAACAAAACACCGACGGCAATTTAAGACTGCGTTCGCGCAGTGCGCGACGCAGTAATTAGCATATTTAAATTAATAGTCCATTAACTAGTCCATGACACAACAATGCGGCTTGTCTTCGGTTGTTTTAGAACTGTACGAACATGATCAACTTCAACAAAACACCCTCTGATTTTCTGTTCTCTATTTTTATACTTCCTGCAGAAGATCCATCCAGAAATGACAATTCAGTGCTGCTTGTTCATGATGGCCATTGCAAGTTATGTAACGACGTCACGCATATGTTTGCGAATGTTCTTTCGGCAACAGGTCGTGTAAAGCCATTTCTTGACATTTGCTCGGGAAACGAGTTTAGAGAATCAGGATATGCGTGGTGTGTGGAAAAATTCCAACAATGTAGAAAGGTTGTAGTCATTTGTACAAAAGAGGCAAAGAAAATATGGGAAGATACGAGTTGCCGAGGTATGCTTGCAAGAAAAGCTTGTATTGAGAAGTTATGGTAAACATTTACTGGGAAAATTTCACATTTTCACACTTCTACCTTCTTTTTCCTGATATGCTTTTATATACTTTCTCATAGTCGCCTATATGCCCGTCTTTCGTCTTTTTTGTGTATTATTTTTGATTCATTAACTTGGGTCTCAAACCCAAGATTAAATTTAAAGAAGTGAAGAAAAAAACTTAATCTTACAGTCGCGGCAATAGAAGCGTTCCGAAAAAAACCCGAGTAATTCATTTGCTCAAATTTATCAGTTGGCTTACGGAGTTCATCAAATGTTGGAAAAACTTCCGGTTTCGGAGTGTAGGTGTTTTTCAAATATTTGATGAAAACGCAGGGTAGGTGTTTTTCAAATATTTGATATTACGAGCGTACGCCAAGTGATAAATTTGAGCAAATTAATTACTCGATATTTTTCGGAACGCTTCTATCGCCGCGACTGTAAGAATCAATATATGATTCAAACTAGACAGTCTCAACCTGTCCGTCTGGTTTAAATGACTCTGCATCTTTTTTTAATTCTTTTAAATTGCACAATCAGTTGACTATCGATGCATAGGATGCATGCCATGATAAAAAATAAATGTTGTTTACTTTTGTTTGGTCCAGGTTCAAATACTACAGGCCATGTACAGCCCTCGTTTCATCTGGTACTCAGTCTAATTCTTGGGGAAAAAGCCCACAACAACAACAACATTCAGGTTGTCCCGGTATGCTTTGACCATTCGTCTAAAGACGACATTCTATGCTTCTTACGAGACAGGCAATATTACTCCTTGCCGTCTGGAATGAAACAGCTGCTATCATGTCTTTGTGACGTTAATGAAAGAAACATAGGTGATACGGCAGAATATGAACTTGAATACACGATGGAACTGCGACGGAATATAAGAAAATTGGAAAATGCGATTCGAAGTGTCGGAAAAAACCATTGTTGTCCTAAAGGACATTTTCTGGTAAGTCTTTTCCTTGATTAATTTCTCATAGCACATTTTCACGGCTGCACCCTTGATTTTTGAGCTAGTATCGTATTGGAACATCATCTCGCCCCCCGTTTCGCTGAATTCGCTCAAAGATTGCATTTAGAAAGTTAGATATATTCGTGTAAGAAAATTGATTGACACTTCACTGTTTCACTCATTGAGAATATGCCCGGCTATATCTACATGCACCATGCAAGCAGATGAATAAATAAACCTCGTAAAGTTTAATTAAGGTAGTATTGTATTTCGACATCAACTATCGGAATAATCTCATCAATTAAGCTCCCACCTATACAGTAAAGCTCACAAAAAGAGCAAACTTGCCCAAAAAGTTATTTTCTAACTTTACGTTCTTAATAAAGAGGAAAACTCGTAGTCTATTATGCGTTAGACTACAAGATCCTAGACATCTAGGATCCTAGATCCTAGACTAGAAGTTTTACTAAGAACACTCTTTTTTTAATCAGCTGTATAAGCAAGGTTGAGATAACAGTGTTTCTTGCTCCACCAAGAATAATTTCGTTACCTTGGTAATTTCCTTACCAATTAATTTTGAATTGAATATAATTTTCAGAGGTCTTCATCTTCCACGTCAGCTGATGAACAATACAGGTAACTCCTTTCTGTCTACTTAGAAATAGTTTACACTGCCAAACAGCCAAGGACGGACACAGAGAGATTAGGATAGACATTTTTCTTAATAGATCTTAACCTCAATTATCGATCCAATTAGGATTTCTTTCTAATCGATTGACTTGTTGCATTATCCTAGTTCACAGGTTTGATCAATGATGCAGCAACTGTCCGCGGCAATCTTAATTCCTTCATCTGGAGTCATGGATTATACTTTGATGAAAGATCTAAACTAGTTGCAGTAATTTCCTGAATCAATGCAGAATGTTATTGTCCTGGGTGAAACGAACGAACTCACCCACCGGCAACCTCGTGCCCAGGAGGTAAAAATAGGTTAAAAATAGCGTGATTAATTCCAAAATCGCACTATTTTTGAGCATTCAGTAATCACATCATTTATAAGCCAATAAGATTGAAGCTCTTCACCACAATGACCAATCAGATTTAGTATTTCAGTTTAATCATCCAATTAAATTACAGGGAAAAATGGCACAAAATTTGATTATTTTGAATTTTTAAATGCCCCGCAAAATTTCTTGACAAAAATACAGATGAAAAAATCGTTTTGAATTTGTTTCATTTTTTGTATGATTTCAAAATGAACTATAATAAAGTGGAAATCAAACTTGTAATCACAAATCGCACTCCCACTTCGCGGTCGTGCCAAATTGCACTCCACTCAATGCAATTACCATTATTTATCAGGATGTGTGATAAATCATTCTGCCCACGCCCCACAGGCACGGCTTAAGTTAGACCTAACGAGAAATCGCACGGTGGAGCAGGGAAGGTACACATGCATCTTTATTGGTAACACTTTTATAATTATAAAACACATTATTCCTGATTTAATCAGGATTAAATTATAATCATACATGCACGATTTGGTAAAAAATCATAGCTTGAAGCGCAAATTAAAAGGCTTACACTGAGAGGACAATTAAGAGAAGTCCATGCACTGTGCACGTTCATACAGTTACAACGACCTAATCTAAACCATAGTCTAAATGATTTAATATTACCGTGACAATACCAGTAAATCAGCTTTTCAAGTTTATCAGTGTATTTGAATAATTTGATCACGTTAAATATATTTTATAGCATATAAGCATTGTATTGGATCAGTTTTGTACTTGAATTGCATGGAAGGCTATAGCATGCATGCAGTGCATGCATGTTATCGGAGTAGAAAGAAAATGTTGCCCAAAATTCGTTCGTCAACCTACAGGGTGTATCAAAAAAAACGCAACCACTTAATATTCTAAAATTCATATTGTTTATAAGCTCAATAGATTTTATGCCCCTGGGATTTTAAAATGGCTTCTAATCGTACAGTTCAACTGCTAATGGTCAAATCAGCTAAACTAATAACGGTGCAGCAAACAACCGAACAACGAGTTTTTATTGTCGTGCATGATAACTTGAATGCTAAGTGTCGACCTTGTAAGATAAATTGTAAATAAAATTTTACTCGTTAAATACTTACCTTAAATACTCAGCTCGTTGGTTTACGCACCCGACTTTGTTTACCAACGATTGTGCCGCTAGAATATGATTACAAGCTTTCTCGCATTCCAGGGGCCAAACGTCTTTTGTGTTGTAGAACAAAGAGGATATTCATGAATATTAAGTGGTTGCGTTTTTTTTGATACACCCTGTAGAGTTTATTTGTTTTGGCCTTTTGTTTTCTTTGTTTGATACAAGTGAGAACACAATAAAATGACTGCGATCAGCAGCTTTAATTATGCATACCAGATGCGTGATTCAGTTGTATTTAGATCGGTGCTTTTAATCCATTTTGCTGTGAAAAGAAAAGCCTAAACCTCGAAATAAAAGCCTAAACCTCGAAAATAAACCTCGAAAAGCCTATAACGTTGTCACGCGTGCGTTTAAAACATTACGACAAAGTATACATATATATGCTATAATAAATTTCATTTCTGAACATATTTAAAAGTCAGGCCGTCATTGACGTAAATGCATGCAGAACAGTTGTAACGGGCTTACAACAGCTGAAAGGTATTTTATTCTTTGTAATTTATGTTGTTGCTATAGCAACGATATGAGTTTGAGATAGGAAATTGAAAATATATGTTTGTGCATAAGAAGCATGGACCAGCATATTGTTAGACTTGTAGCCATATTTTTGTTGCGTTTACAGGTTTGCAATTGAATCTATATATACTGCATGATAGGTGTATGTTATTCCGAATCACTTCTAGTACTGTAAAAAAAAGGCATATAAAGCTCCTTCAAGTAAACAGAGCAATTCGTACTTCCTTGAGCAATGTTTATTAGAGTTAGTGTAATCATTAAAATGAATTTAATTTAAGGTGAGAATCGTTTTTGACAATTAACCCCCAAGTGAGGCTTGTGGCGGTATCCTTTTCTTGAAATGAATGCAGTCTCCAACTGTTAGGCATGCGTATCAATACTCGTTACACATACACATGTACACACAACCGTGACGTTGTGAATACTATCATTCACGGCACATTATGACGAGGAGCACTACAAGCATGCGACGCCACTAAATTGGGAATTTGGGTTCCGTGAGAATGTTCTGAATTGGTTCTCATCGTATCTAAGTAACCGTCGCCAACAAACCACAGTCCATGGAGCAACATCAAGACCGTTAGCCGTTACATCTGGGGTGCCGCAAGGTTCAATACTTGGTCCTTTATTGTTTTTGTTGTATGAGAACCATCTCTCCAACTCCGTGAACAATTCAACCATCGCCAGCTTTGCAGACGATACGAAGTTGTTCCGTACTATCAGTTCTTCATCGGATGCATCATTGCTTCAAGAAGATCTTACGAACTTTGAAAGTAATTCTAGCAATGTAGACCTAATGCTCAACGCAGAGAAGTGTAAAGTCCTGAGAGTAACCAGAAAACAAGCAAAAATAGAACATAATTACACACTTAACAACACTGTGTTAAAGAGTACTGACTTTGAACGTGACTTGGGAGTGTGGACATCATCGACCCTCACCTGGACCAAACACATTGAGACTCAATGCGCCCAAGCAAATAAAATGTTAGGATATATCAGAAGATCAACACTTGACATAAAATCTGTCTCCGTTCGAAGACTCTACTCTACTACACTCTACTTGTCATTGGTGCGCTCGCAGTTGTGTTATGGCTCCCAAGTCTGGGCTCCTCAATATGTCAACCTCATCAAACGTGTGGAAAGAATTCAAAGACGAGCCACTAAGTATATCCTGAACCTCCCCTTCAGATGTGACCTCACCTACAATCAGAGACTAGAAATATTAGAATTAATTCCGATATGTTATTGGCATGAATTTCTCGACATGGTCTTCTTCTTCAAATGTACTCATGACATCATTTCTCTTAACACCGAGCTACTACCCACAACCCAGAACCGTGATAGACAAACTCGTTCTACGGATCAAAATTGCGTGGCATTCAACACACCACAATGTCGAACCACCACCTACCAGAAATCGTTCCTGGTGAGATCAGCACGGGTGTGGAACGTGCTTCCAAAGGATCTCCGACAAAAAGATATCACATTTAACGCCTTTAAGAGAGGACTTCTGAAATACTATCAACACGCTGTTCAACATGTCTTTGATGTAGAAGATCCCAGAACTTGGAAGTCAATATGTTTATGTTGTAATGTGTCTCGTAACCTGTCTTGTCCGCCATCGTGCTGTAGTTAGTCGTATTGTACAGATGTTTGTTAATTTTTTTTTTCTAAGGGTCGCTGTAACTGGCTGTAAAAGCTGTAGCGATACCCGGCCATGTCAGTATATCATTAATTGTATATATTTGTTAGGTGTAATTGTATTTAAATAATTGGCAAAGCCTAATAAATAAATAAATAAATAAATAAATTTACGCCGTAAATCGTAATGCATCTACATTTGATAATGTTGGGAATGCTTTCCCTCCAGTGCAGCCGTCGCACGACGATCGTTCGCGGGGACCCATGGATACATTCTGGTCACGAGGTAAACTGCACGGAGAATGTTAAGATACATCTTGCGTTTCAAACACAAGATTTTTAGAAATTCGTGGGGCATAAATTCACAGGGTGTGGGGTATAGACTTTCCTGTCAGCACCGCTCCCAGACTTGTTACAACCTGCTGTACGATGGTACTCGAAATGACGAGATATCAAGGTTGCATGGTAAAAAATACAGTTACCATTTTGTAATTTCACAGACTACCAGACAAGAGTATAAACATGCAAATATGTAAACCTTTTCATTCTACGTGTCGATCACGCGGGCAAGCAATTGTTGAGCTATAAAGATCTGCAAGGATGTACGTCATACAAACTGCGCCAGTCCATTTCTAACAATCCTAGCTCCTCAACAAAAAAATACAATAATTCTCAGTATGGATTGAAGGCAGAATTGCCTAGATAAAATGTTTTTCCTGGCTATTTGCCATAAATGGCATGCATTATATATAATTGAACTAGCCGATATTATATACAACACTTAGTAACGCATCCTTGTTTCTGAAGTGCATGTATATGCATTCCTCTTTCAACAATTAAATTAGTTTGAAACTCCTGTAGGATTAGCATTTGTAGCACACTTCTCACTTATCAAAAGTTAAAGAGGTTCTCCAAAATGTTTAGAAAACATACAATCCGCCTCCACATTTAATAGGGTGATCATGCAGCTGACAAATAGGAATCGGTGGAAATGGAAGTCGAAAATTGTGTACCATTCACGAAGGATATATTACACTGTATGTGTAGGGTTCCAGCATGCAGTATACCGTGAATGCATGTACTTATATATATACATTGCAAGCTCGAACTGATCCCAGAGTTATAGTTTCACTTTTAAAAACAATTTATGAAATTCGAATAATTGCATTTGCATTCGGTGTTGGCATTGACATTGCACAATTATCGCGGTATTCAGCAAGGCCCTGCTGTGCTTTTCTTTGCACACTTCAAAGAAGCAATTTTAATGCAGATTATATCTGTCGCATCAAAACAAATCTCGCTTATACACACAATTGAACTTTCCATAATTTTGAACTACGCCTCACTCCTGTTTAGACAGGCACATATGAAGTCACTATGGCACATTTAGCAAGTTGGAAAGTCGTTCTTATCCAACTCCTCTTCAATCAGTTATGTATAACAGCTACGAAAGACCAGAATTACAAGGTGGGTATGTATGTGATGGCAAGCCTGAACACGTATATAGACATAGGGGCATTTTTTATTACATGACGGGTGATGTCTTCAAGATTTTAAATTTCAAATGAAATATCAGTTTGAGATTTAGTTATAGTAACGATGTAGCCAATTGTAATTTTGTAATAAATGTATATCACATGAAAGTCACCCAATGATTAATTCTTATATTCCTTCGCTAATTATGATATTGCGTACTGATACAGCTTTGATTTAACCTAGTCCTTCAACTCTTCAAGTGGCTAACAATTTCAAGAATATAACAAATATTGTGTTATTCTACTGCATGCAGCAATTCTATTATTCTACAGCTCTCTTGCCAATATAGTCTGTACATGTGATGTGATGCATATTATAAATATCATCGTAACGACGTATAAGGGTGTTTCTGTCATTCTGTGCATCTTACTGATAGATATTGTATGAGGCACTTTGGTAAAGTTATAACTTCATATACAGTTAGCCCTTCGTTTATATTCAGTAATCAGTACCGCTTTCGATGGTCGCTTATATAAATGTTTATACATAACTATTTCAATTTATTATCTTAACATGGACTCTAAACAGCGCAGACACATTTGCATATATCATTGCACGCCAACGCATCAGTAAAATAAACTAACTAGCAAATCTACCAGAGAACGCATTTTCAATAATATTACCGGTTAGTTTTTATGCGAAAAGTGGGCATCAGGATTAAATGTTAAATTTATGATACTTTTATATGGTAGCAAAGGGCATAAAGCTGCACCCGTTCGGGACATGTCGCAGCTCTCGGAAGCTTTCGTCCAATTGGATAATGCTTTTCTATGCTTTCTAAAGAACGAAGCTATGCTATTGGTTGAAACAGAAATGTATTGTAAAGTTCAGCCAATGAAAATCATTCTTGCGAGGAGCTGTGACACTACCCCCCCCCCCGTTCGCCCCCGTGAGCGAAGGGCAGGGGAGACAGCTGGCCCCGCTGCCCCCGTGGTTCCGGCGCCCCTGATTCATTCCCTCACACGAATGACGCTAATAATTATATAGAAAAGCATTCATGCATCCATATAAAATTATACGTCAAAAAATTTTGAAGAAATCATTCAATGAAGGTGCATGCACGCCAATGCAGGCTTACTGCCGTATTGATTATTATCTATAGACTGGCAGGTTTGTGAAAATCTCTATCTTTTAGCGCGGCCTAAATGAAACATGGATTAATTGAGTATAGATCTGGAGATTACATATAGTTAGCAGTTTATAGGCCCGTTTGCACCGGTCGCAATTTTCGGTGCGATTTTCATCTTTTGATAAATTTGAATTTGAACAATTTGAATAATTTGAACGAGTAGATATAGTTGCAAATACTTTGATGCATGAGAGTTCTTCTTTGAACATCCGTATGCACTCGTTAACATCTATCAAAAGAGGAAAATCAATGAAACTTTGAAAGTCACATTCATTTGAAAAGGTCACTAAGACAGCCTCGTTCCCAGGCGCTTTAAATAAAATAGATATAGGAGCACTACAGGCATAGATCATAAGAAATTAACTTCTTTACAATTATACACACACCAGGGGCATTCTATATTTTTTGCTTTTTTTATGATTTCTGTACTTCAGAAATGTAAATGACATCTCTTTGAAACTTTAATTTTCTCAAGTAAAGAAAAGTCTAGACCAGCTTCAAATGAATAACGAAGTCGTTGTAGTGATGAAGCTTTTAATAGTTAAAATTGAAGTGGTTCCATTATGAAAATTGAAAAACCTTTTTCCACAAAGCATTCTTTGAGTTTGACAAAAATTTAAATTGCATGCCCTTCACTGCCTGCGTGTGGGCCGCATGGATATCACCATAGCAACAGTCGAGTGGCGCCATTAAATGATCCATCGGTACTTTAACATGTAAATTCACTTCAATTATGTTTTGTTATTTAAAATTTGCGGAAATATTTTGTGCTTATCTAGTAATTACTTTTACCTCCATGCGTTTGGCATTTCTATATATATGAATAGAAACATATATAACTAGTTCCTAAGAAAATTTAACCACATCCCTTGGTACTTATAGTAAACGTAATATGGTACTCGCATGCTGATTGGTCGAGAAGCGTGTTTCTATCTATGTATGTATAGAAAAACGGGACATTTCCCGCCGAGCTTGACAAGCGAAGTAATGTAATGAGAATTTATAATTGAATCGAACTATAATATTTGTACAAAATCTTTTTATTGACTTATATTATAAAAGAAGTAGAAAATATTTTTTCCGGTGTTTCTATACAGTTATAGAGACATTTGTGGGAGTTTGGGAGAACTCGAAATAACGTGGAAAAACTCGCCCTACGAGTTCGTTTTCCCACTGATTATTTCTCGTTTTCGCAAACTTCCACGCGTGTTCCAATAACTGTATGGAAACACGGAAAATGTTTTCTATTTTTTAAATAGTAAACGGTTATTACAGTATTTTACAAAAAATATTGTGACAAGGCCCCATCAAACAGGTTCAATTATCATTAAAATGGGTTTTTTATAAGTTCAAATTTAGTCTCTCTCGATTATATGTATATTGTAACTATTAATTGATGGACTGCTATTCTTTATTTCCTTTTCACAGAAAGGAGAGGTACAGACTGAGCGGATAGAAATTGATAGGGGAACTCGTAAGTACAACCTGTCTTGCAAAGAAAGTAATAGAACTATCATCTGGAAGAAAAATGGTCAAAGAGTTTTCGTTTCTGAAAACGACAAATCTGGCTTAACACATCCGTATAAGCTCCATTGTGTTGACAAGAAAGATGAAGGAATATATACTTGCCATCCTGAGAAAGATGGACCTCCTCTAAAGAGATTTGATGTTCAGGTTACATGTGAGTTATAAGATATTTTCACGGCCTCACCACCCAGTATGTAGTATTGTAATCACTCCAGAATTCTTTAATATCAACATGCAGTTAACGTGTTATTTAGTTTGGAGGCAAGTGTTATTTGAGTAAAACGTTATAGTAAATGTGCTTTCTATGGCTATATATCACGAAAATGATTCGTTATATTTTATGCCCTTTTCTTATTTTATTCAATATAGTAAATAATACATTCGACCTATGTGGCAAAGAAAAAAAAGGTAAATTTTTCTCGTGGTCGTTCTATATAGTCTGTATATAAACAATTAGTCGCAGCGGAGTAACGTATACAATGGCGCCGTCAGGATTTTTTTTCGGTGGCACAAACTCTAGGTCCAGCCTTAGACAAATCTGAAAACCGATTTTGAAATTTTTGGAGGCAGGGGCATCGTTGTCCCTCTCATACCGGCGTATATAGGAACTTGGAACTTCTAGTCCGATTATCATTATACAGTGCATGTAACTACTAAGATTGCTATTAAATTCATTATTTTTCGTTTATTCAGAAATAGTAGAAAAGGATGGTTTCGAGTGCCCACCGTACTTAGAAACAGACTATCCTTGTTGCAAATATGCCGCACCGAATGGTCCAAAGCGTATGACGACAACATTAAAATTATCAAGCCAGTTTGCTAAAGGAGACAATTATTGTCATATATATAATGGAATAGACAATTACAAGAATCCCTGGGAGATTTTGGTGGATTGGCAAGTGAGAGCAACTGGTAAAATATACTGTGCATTCATAAACTAAAGTGATTATGAGCTAAGTTAGTGTTATTCATCCCGGAAAGGTTTTCCTCTCTTTTCCTCTGTATACCTCATCTATTTCGGTTTAGTTCAATCCATCAACACAAAGTCTGCATGCATCCCCCTATAATATGGTCTTGATTGAATATCTTGTTCATTGAAGGTCTTCCTTCCTGAATATCGATTTATTGTCATCTATATTCATAGTGTATAGAAGGATGTCAGTTTCATTAAATTCATTATACAGGCAGTTCTCATATATTGGGTTGGCAAATCAACTATCTTGGTTTTTCTGGAGATGCGAATGATCGGGGGTGTGTTCAGATTAATAGGAAGGTATGTATAATTTATACCCACGAAGGCGTTGCTCCTGATTGGTCAAAGCACACAGTTGGCCTGAATCATGAATATTTCATTTTCTTGTCTGCAACCCCATCAAACCATGTCACGGCGCAGACTTTTTTTAACAACCTACGGATCGGGCACGGGTTTAAAGCACGGCCTTCTGTATATTAGATACAGTTCCCATTTTATCTTTTTTCTTAGAATGAACTTTTAAAATGGACATTTCTCGCTAATCGATTCCAATTGGGAGCAGAATATAAAATAACTGTGCAGGCATTACCGGAATCTATCCATACTGATGAACAAAATGATGATTTTAGAATCGTAAGAATTCCAACTTTGCAAGGTATAAAATGTCAAAAGAATTGCAATGAACCGTATATTTAAAATAAAATTAAAACTCCAGGACAAAAGTCACAAGAACTCGACAGTCATCACTGAGAAATATAATAAATAATTCCAACTAGATAGATATTATAGCGTTCAGTGACAATTATGTTTATAGTTTAAGTACATTATTCGCGACAGCTATCAATTGTAGGCACGTATCAGTAGTATGCTGCCTCGCATAGCAGGGACACAAAGCCGGACAGGATTCAACATATGATATTTGTCTTGCATGTGAACTATATATTTATGTCCTGATGCATGAATAGCATGCGCTCGAAAGTCGAAATTAACTTTTCTTATATATATACATAATATATATAGCATAATTTTTTTTGAAGTCTGATGAGCGAAAGTTTTAGGCTGTATAGCTAGCTTTCTTTAATCTTTTAGACATGTGTGAAACGATTGGTAAAGGCTGCAATTGGGAGTTTTGTTGTGAGTCTACAGTAAAATTGAGCTTTTTCAATTTATATATAAAATTTATGTATATAGTCAACATTGAAATGCTATTAATTTTTCACTTCTTTAGTACCAATTGAAAATGTGACAGTTGCAAACGACGTAGTTCCTCCACTCCTTTCGTGGCATCCTTCCAAACTGTACAAGTCCCGTCATGTTTATGAAATTATATATACGAACGAAAATAAGTCTGACACCGATAGTTTTGTAGAGCCGGTAAATCATCTCCTAAAATTCGATCAGCCCATGCATGCATGTATATATTGACGTTTTAAACCGCGTTTCCACGTATTATGAAACATTGTATTTTTGACCCGATATTGCATGGTTTACACCCTTCAAATTACGCTTCTAACCACGCAGCGTTTTCCACTGCTCATAATTTAATATATTGTTATATTTTAGACAGAAGACTATACCCACCTTACAGAACTGAAATACAAACATAAATATTATGTTCAAGTAAGTATAAGTATATTGTTGAGTGATATTTGCCGCACAAATGATTTCTCAGACCTAGCTAAATGATCATCTGGCTTTTTCAACCGTCATGCTATCTATACTGGCCCGTGATTAACCTTTGAACTTACCAATGACTACCGTTTTTATAGGTTCGACCGGTATTTATATCTTCAAACGACCGTTACCACAGAATTTATGGAGAAAGATCTGAAAAGATTGCGTTTAATAATTTCGTTAATCCAACTAGTAAGAAAAATAAGTTTCGTATAGGCATTTTTTTTAGATTAGAAGCATGTCGAAGTAAAGCTTATAATATAAGTCATGATCAACTGGGAGGATGAAGGGTATAGCATTATTATAAGGTGAAAGATAAAAAAACTTTTTGATTTTATACAGATTCCCACACTCCTAATACCTCATCTAAACATACATTGAAGATAATAATCTCGGTCTGCGCAACTACGGCAGCAATCCTAGTGATTATATTCATTTATATAAGAAACAAGTTAAAGAGAAATCCGGAAAATATGATACCAATTTCCACCTCAGGTATTGTATTGTTGATAGTTTTGTCGTTAATTTTGGAAATGTTGAATGAATACTATGAAAGTTCTTCACGTAAGATTTCTCCTATACTCCTACTGAATTATGTTTGCATTTATATGAAAACTATTATCCTTAAATCAATTTATGGGCACGACACGGCTAAAATTGGTACCAGTACCCAAATTTATTAGTATTCAGGCTACCAAAACAAAGGCCGAGCACATATGAAATGGACACGGTAACCCAGTTTATCCGTGCCGTGCCAATAAATCGAGTGTAGTGTAAACAGGGCTTAAGTCCCTTTACAGATTTTCACAATCGTCTGCACATTTTCAGGGATTTGCAAACTACAAAGATTTGTGACCTTCGCCATCTTGGATATGCATAAAGGCGCCCCTAGTGTTTGTAACGAACGCCGGTTTATAAATCTTTAAATACACCAGTCAACCTAGGCACAGGGGCGTGGCTATCGAGCTGGGATTGGGAGGGGGGGTATCATATGGGATTGACCAACATTTATGACAAATTAAAATGACAAATTTTTCCATCCGCGTACAATAGCATATTGAAAGTACTCATATGCGGCTTGTCTTAACCTGAATGATCTTAGGCTTTACTGTGGCCTAGCCTGCAAAATAGCTTTGGTTGTTTTAGAACTATACGAGCATGATCAACTTCAACAAAACACCCTCTGATTTTCTGTTTTCTATTTTTATACTTCCTGCAGAAAATTCATCCAGAAATGAAAATTCAGTGCTGCTTGTTCATGATGGCCATTGCAAGTTATGTAACGACGTCACGCATATGTTTGGCAATGTTCTTTCGGCAACAGGTCGTGTAAAGCCATTTCTTGACTTATGCTCGGTAAACGAGTGTAGACAATTAGGATTTACGTGGTATTTGGAAAAATTCCAACAATGTAGAAAGGTTGTCGTCATTTGTACAAAAGAAGCAAAGAAAACATGGGAAGATAGGAGTTGCAGAGGTATGCTTGCAAGAAAAGCTTGTATTGAGAAGTTATGGTAAACATTTACTGAGAAAATTTCACATTTTTGCAGTTCTACCTTCTTTTTCCTCATATGCTTTATACTTCCTCATAGTCTGCCTATGCCCGTCTTTCGTCTTTTTTGTGTATCATTTTTGATTCATTAACTCGGGTTTTAAAAACCAAGGGCAAGACTAAATTTAAAGAAGTAAAGAAAAAAACTTAATCTTAAGAATCAATATATGATTCAAACACGACAGTCTCAACCTGTGTCTGGTTTGAATCACATATTGACTCTCAAGATGTCTAGTCTTCTCGAAATTAGTTTTTTACTTGACTCGGATCTTCTTTAAATTTTTTTTTAATTGCACAATTGACTATCGATGCAACGCCATGATGAAAAATAAATGTTGATTTTTTTTTATTTGGTCCAGGTTCAAACACTACTGGCCATGCACAGTCCTCGTTTCATCTGGTACTCAATCTAATTCTTGGGGAAAAAGCCCACAACAACAATAACATTCAGGTTGTCCCGGTATGCTTTGACCATTCGTCTAAAGACGACATTCCATGCTTCTTAAGGGACAGGCAATATTACTCCTTGCCGTCTGGAATGAAACAACTGTTGTCGTGTCTTTGTGACGTTAATGAAAGAAACATAGGTGATACGGCAGAATATGAACTTGAATACACGGTGAAACTGCAACGGAATATAAGCAATTTGGAAAATGCGATTAGTCGAAGTGTTAAAAAAAACCATTGTTGTCCTAAAGGACGTTTTCTGGTAAGTCTTTTCCTTGATTGATTTCTCATAGCACATTTTCACGGCCGCACCCTTGATTTTTGAGCTAGTATCGTATTGGAACATCATCTCGCCCCCCGTTTCGCTGAATTCGCTGAAAGATTGCTTTTAGAAAGTGAGATATATTCGTGTAAGAAAATTGATTGACACTTCACTGTTTCACTCATTGAGAATATGCCAGGCTATATCTACATGCACCATGCAAGCAGATGAATAAATAAACCTCGTAAAGTTCAATTAACATAGTTATTGTATTTCGACATCATGCAACTATCAGAATAATCTCGTCAATTAATAAAGCTCCAACCTGTACAGTAAAGCTCACAAAAAGAGCAAACTTGCCCAAAAAGTTATTTTCTAACTTTACATTCTTAATAAAGAGGAAAACTCGTCGTCTATTATGCGTTAGACTACAAGATCCTAGACTTTAAAGTTTTACTAAGAATAATCTTTTTTTAATCAGCTGTATAAGCAAGGTTGAGACAACAGTGTTCCTAGTTCCACCAAGAATAATTTCGTTACCTTGGTAATTTCCTTACCAATTAATTTTGAATTGAACATAATTTTCAGAGGTCTTCATCTTCCACGTCAGCTGATGAACAATACAGGTAACTCCTTTCTGTTTACTTAGAAATAGTTTACACTGCCAAACAGCCAAGGACGGACACAGAGAGATTAGGATAGACATTTTTCTTAATAGATCTTAACCTCAATTATCGATCCAATTAGGATTTCTTTCTAATCGATTTACTTGTTACATTATCCTAGTTCACAGGTTTGATCGATGATGCAGCAACTGTCCGCGGCAATCTTAATTCCTTCATCCGGAGTCATGGATTATACTTTGATGAAAGATCTAAACTAGTTGCAGTAATTTCCTGAATCAATGCAGAATGTTATTGTCCTGGGTGAAACCATAGTTGAAACGAACTAACTCATCGACCGGCAACCTCGTACCCAGGAGGTAAAAATAGGTTAAAAATAGTGTGATTAATTCCAAAATCGCACCATTTTTGAGCATTAATCACATCGTTTATAAGCCAATAAGATTGAAGCTCTTCACCACAATAAGTCAATAACCAATCAGATTTAGTATTTCAGTGTTAACTATCCAATTAAATTACAGGGGAAAATGGCACAAAATTTGATTATTTTGAATTTTTAAATGCCCCGCAAAATCTTTTGACAAAAAGATAGATGAAAAAAATCGTTTTGAATTTGTTTAATTTTTTGTATGATTTCAAAATGAATATAATAAAGTGGAAATTGCACTTTGTGTCGTGCAATTTGGGTGTGAAATCAAAGTTGTGATTACAAATCGCACTCCCACTTCGCGGTCGTGCCAAATTGCGCTCCACTCAATGCAATTACCATTATTTATCAGGATGTGTGATAAATCATTCTACCCACGCCCCACAGGCACGGCTTAAGTTAGACCTAACGAGAAATCGCACGGTGGAGCAGGGAAGGTACACATGCATCTTTATTAGTAACACTTTTATAATTATAAAACACATTATTCCTGATTTAATCAGGATTAAATTTTGATCATACATGCACGATTTGGTATAAAAAATCATAGCTTGAAGCGCAAATTAAAAGAAGACAATTCAGAGAAGTCCATGCACTATGCACGTTCATACAGTTACAACGACCTAATCTAAACCATAGTCTAAATGATTTAATATTACCGTGACAATACCAGTAAATCATCTTTTCAAGTTTATGAGTGTATTTGAATAATTTGAACACGTTAAATATATTTTATAGCATATAAGCATTGTATTGGACTTTGTACTTGAATTGCATGGAAGGCTAGCTATAGCATGCATGCAGTGCATGCATGTTATCGCAGTAGAAGGAAAATGTTGCCCAAAATTCGTTCGTCAACCTAGACTTTATTTATTTTGATCTCAATCTCACAAGTGAGAACACAATAAAATGACTGCGATCAGCAGCTTTAATTATGCATACCAGATGCGTGATTCAGTTGTACTTAGATCAGTGCTTTTAATCCATTTTGCTGTTAAAAATGCGATGTAGCCATATCCCAGAGTCCTTTAAGCCTCGAAACGCCTATAACGTTGCCACGCGTGCGTTTAAAACATTACGACAAAGTATACATATATATGCTATAATAAATTTCATTTCTGAGCATATTTAAAAGTCAGGCCGTCATTGACGTAAATGCATGCAGAATAGTTGTAACGGGCTTACAACAGCTGAAAGGTATTTCATTCTTTGTAATTTATGTTGTTGCTATAGCAACGATATGAGTTTGAGATAGGAAATAGAAAATATATGTTTGTGCATAAGAAGCATGAACTAGCATATTGTTAGACTTGTAGCCATATTTTTGTTGCGTTTACAGGTTTGCAATTGAATCTATATACTGCACGACAGGTGTATGTTATTCTGAATCACTTCTACTAATTTAAAAAAAAGCATTTAAAGCTCGTTCAAGTAAACAGAGCAATTCGTACTTCCTTGAGCAATGTTTATTAGAGTCATTCTAATCATTGAAATGAATTTAATTTAAGGTGAGAATCGTTTTTGACAATTAACCCCCAAGTGAGGCTTGTGGCGGTATCCCTTTCTTGAAATGAATGCATTCTCCAACTGTTAGGCATGCGTAACAATACTCGTTACACATACACATGCACACACAACCGTGACGTTGTGAATACTATCATTCACGGCACATTATGATGAGGAGCATTACAAGCATGGAACGCCACTAAATTTACGGCTGTAATGCATCTACATTTGATAATGTTGGGGATGCTTTCCCTCCAGTGCAGCCGTCGTACGACGATCGTTCGCGGGGACCCATGGATACATTCTGGTCACGAGGTAAACTGCACGGAGAATGTTAAGATACATCCTGCCGGTTTCAAACACATGATTTTTAGAAATTCGTGAGGTATAAATCTCTTCACAATCAGGAACTTCGATTGTGAATTTAGCGAATATACACGGCGAATTTTCGCCCACTGTACGACCGATTGGTGACTATCAATGTGATGTTTTGCATGTATGTTTAACTATATTATAGTTTCCGGTGCTATATTTAAAATTGTCTTGTTTACGACATGAGAATTTAGAAGCCAATGATTTGGCGATTGTGAGCGATTAGTATCGGAGTTGTAAAGAAAAAAAATTCCCGTTCAATGATGCGCAGTTTTCTACTTGTCAAGTTTTCCTTGACGGCCGAACACACGAGCATTTTTCCTTGTTGAAAAGATGGCATGACTACTAGCTTTTGAACAAGGCCCCCTGTCAAGGAAAACTTGTCAATTTTTTCGCGTACACATGCACGAGCAAATAAAACTTGGCAAGGAAAACTTTTCAAGGAAAATTTGCTCGTCTGTATACGCAGGGCTTTACTGTCAGAGAAAAGCACGTGTATACACGTGACTGACTGACAAATACGCTTTAACAATCCAACGTTTAAACTCAGGATGATGCCAGTCAGACAGTAATACATGTCTGCATGTCTAGAACTGTTCCGACGACGATATATTTCCATTTCCTAATTTACAATGCCTGCATGCATGCTAGTATAATTGGTTATGCATAGGGTTTTTGCATCATGATGATTATATATTATTTATACGCAATGATTTTATGATTACTTTTATAATTGTGCGGGGGGAGGGAATATCTGAGACATGCAATAACTGTACTCGATTTTGAAACAGTGCATGTGCAAAACCTTAAAAAAAAGTGAGAATGTATAAACTCTGAAAAGAAGTGATGATGAATGTTTTAGTGCATTGTAATGATTGCATCAGTTTCTCTTAAAAAAGTCAACTGGATTTCGTCTGATACCAATTCGAACATTACAAGCAGCTCGTGTGGCGGTAATGTTAAACAGATCATTACCACTTGTTTGACTTCGGATATTGACACGAGTTTTTTCTTTGAAAACACTATATCAAATATATATAGAGTCCTCAAACAAAGATTCAAAGTTTACTTAATATTGTTCTAGTTCACGAGGTGTTCGAATTTGTTTGTTATATATCGCCATATCGGTCAGGATGAAACGAAATTCCTGCAATGCCTGTATGATATTAAACCTTTGCTGGAATAATTATATGAAGTTCTGGAACAACTCGAGGCCGCGGTCACGCGTCTCTTAATTTCTCTTTCATAAAGAACAATGTAGATGATGAGGCATCTCAAGTACTTGATTATGTGATAATTTTAATGCAACGAAAATTGGTCAGTTACATGATGCTGCTTTAGTTTCATTATTACAAACTAATATTTATATGAGTACATGTACCTGTGGTACAATGTACCAAGTATATATATATATATATATATATATATATATATTATATATATATATATATATATATATATATTATATATATATATATATATATATATATATATATATATAATATAGCCTCACATTGAAAGTGTAACAATATATACATTATAAACATTATTAAGAACGGTTACTGTGAATTGACGTTAGGGTTAATATAAGTCCAACATGCATGCAGTAACAACTAAATAATTAAAAACATTTTAAGTTTTTTCTTTAAAATATTTTAAGACAGATGGGTCCTTCAAGGTACTTAGAGGCAATGTTTGATCGCGGCGTTGCCTGATATTGTTTGTTAATACAGCTGTAACCACACACGGGGTCATGTTATCTCAAGCGTGTGAAACTATATATGCATTATACAGGTTATAAAGGAAATAATCAAGCTGAAAGAAGGTACATATTATTATTATCCACCCCTAAACTGTTCTACGACCTTGAATGGTTCTAAAGTCAATGTCTTCTGGAAAAAAGACGGTGAATTAGCACCTTTTGGATCCCGGGATTACTTTCCAATATACTACGTTCGTTGTGATCATAATGGCAATTACACATGTTTTGCAAATATCTCCAGCACAATTGTGATTTTAAAAGAATACGTCGTTGAAGTTTCAGGTAAAAACTGTAAAAAAATTGTAAAATTTCCGTGTTTTTCACTTCTGTGACCCGTTGGGCCGGCCTATTTTCGAGTAGGATATACTGTACTTATGTTCCGGACACATTAGGGTTAAACAAACATAAAAATGTTAAACAGATTCTTCTAATTCTTATTTCACATCATCATTATTTTACTCCCTACAGCTGAAAGTACTCATGACGTATGTGGACATCCTGGACAAAGTATGCATGTAGAATAATATTCTGTAGCGTTTATATATGATTTTATATATGGTTTACATATAGGTTTGCTGACCAGTCAGTTTATTGTTTTTATAGACAGACCAGTGCGTTAGAAACATATATATAGCTATATATACAATATGGTCAACGACTGCATGTCGACAATATACAGGCTAATACAGCGCTTCTAAAAAAAACCCGGAAAGCAATCACTTAATAATTACTTACTTCACATTTTACAAGCTACTTGTGGGGCCCTAAAGGATGCTTTCAAGTTTCAAGTTCATGCAGTCATTCAAGTTCTATACAGTACATATAGCAATTAAATTCTTATTAGTGATTTCAATGCATTTCGGATTTTTTGAGACACCGCCTATATTGAAACCAATTGAAACCGTCATTCATCTGTAACGTCCACTGTCTGAGATCATTGATGCACTGATAAAACACTTCATCTGTTGCGGAAGGTTTTGCGAGTTATTGACAATGTACAAAGGATTGTAATTTATATATTAGCCAGTTACTTCAAACACATTCTTTCAACCTGCAGGTTTGTGGCAAGGAAGTTTATGCTTTGTCCCTACGATAAACGACTATCCGTGTTGCAAGTTTCCTATCCCTCCTCCAACAATGTTGCGTTTAAGTCATAAAATTTCCAAGGAATTCCGAGGCAAATGCGACTTGAATAAAATGCAAAATCCCACACCGTGGAAGATTGATGTCGGATGGGATTTCAAACATAATGGTAAATTCCACTGATACAGGGTTTTCTATTCTCATGCGATTAGTAAGTTCCAATAACACCAGGGAGCAGCGTTGCAGCGTCTTCAAACAAGCGTCGACAAACGTCCTCAAATGTGGTATAACAACTGCCTAAAATAGACAAAACACTTCTCGACGTTTCGACCTGAGGGTCTTCTTCAAGAGAGTTCGTATGCAGAACTAACTCTCCTGACGAAGGCCCTCAGGTCAAAACGTCGAGAAGTGTTTTGTATATTTTAGGCAGTTGTTATACCACATTTGATGCTAAGTCGTGTGATTAGTATCCCATGTTATTAATAATGCATTTTACCAAACTGATTCGTGTGTCGGAAATTGTCTATAGAGTCTGAGAGACATGAAAGCAACCAGGTTTCTTTCTCTTTGTATTGCTAGAATTTTAAATCATTAGATGTTATCCGGCTTTTGATCATGCATTCAAGTAAAGTGCACATCCGCTTTTTTGTAATCAGAGATTTTTCCCGATTACTTGTTCGTATAGAGGCGACCCTTTATTCTTGTGGAGTGGAAAACATTGATCTGCATTTGGAAAGCATTTCAAATGTCTTCATTCATTTATTCTGTTTCAATCGTTTCGTTAATAGCTACGGGGTTGTGGGGTTGGCAAGTCAGCCTTACTGGACTCGACCAGCACCTTAACGTTCAACGCTGTGTACAAATTAACAATAAGGTAAGCTCGATGGTTTGAATTTATGGATCTGAAATTAAACTTCTCTGTTTTTTTTAAACGACTAAACGCTTCAAGCAGGGACTTTTAATTGGCTAATTTATACAACTAATGTCATGCATTTATAGAAAGTTTTTCAGTTGTATATGCGCGAGTATCGGGAAGGGATCACAGGAAGATGTAATGTTCATCACTAAATCTGACAATCGTATTGCATGGTTTTCATGTGGATCGAAGCTGACTGAATTATTATAATTCAATTTTTATAGCATTGGCTGAACTGGACGTTTCATGATCTGCCGTTTGGTGGTAAATACGAGATCAAAGTGCAATCACTGCTTTCAAATTTAAAAAATTACGTAGTTCAAAGTATTGTTCTTCCGAAGTTGATAGGTATTGAAATTATTTTATCATAGTATCAGTTGAGCATGATTTCATGTCGCAAACATGTAGAGCTCTTAAAATATGAGCAGGCATAAAGCGCATATGTTTAAGACTGAAAATATTTTTAATATTTAAGAATTTAATATTTTACTGCATGAGACATTATTCTGTAAGGTATTAAATTTAAAACTTTGCGCGGAACTCTCATATTGCAATTTTGTATTCCATAATTTCCGCAACTGAATCTTTCTTTGCATAAAAGTGCATTGAGCAACAGGCTGAGTGTGTTGGTCATAAGTCATTTAATAGCTTTTCTGTAGTTTATTTTATGTAACTGTAAAAGTGAACAAGGCCGGATTAATACACCGTTGGGCCTGCACTGAGCATAAGGAGATATGTAGGCCTATTTCCTGTTTTATTATCTATCCTGTCAGGGTGTCAATACGGTTGTTTCCAAAGAAAAGGTTATCTTTATGTCAGAGCCTGGAGCTGCCGCCCTATCCGCCCTTACGTTAATCTTGCCATGAAAATTGACTGTTTTAGTGAAGAGTGCATGTGAATTTTACCGGCTGACCACCGGCTGCATGGTCATGCAGCAACGGGTATTAAGTTTAATATAAGTCGGTCATGGTAAACGGTCGTGATATCAGTTGTGCAAAATTGAAATTTATCATTGCACATAACAATTAGATTTACGGCGTGTATGGCCATCTATCTGCTATAAAAACCAAACACCACGGGATATATCTAGCAATATGCTCTCTCAGTGTGAAGCCATTATATATTGTTTATCCCGACAATCAACATGGCGCGAGGCACTGCTTGGGAGCGTAATTAAACTTGTGCACATGGTGGGAATGCGAGAAACACATAAGGAAACATCACGTACCCCTCTGTTCTGTAGGACGAGTTCTTTGTTTTTCAGAAGTCCCCAGTATTTAGAATAGCGTTCCATCGACAGGATTGTCATGATTTTAGTGTGCAAACCGGTTCCAAGGCAAACGTTATTGAATATCAACGCGAATATCTAGTTGTCATTTTACAACAAGGTGTTGTCCACAAATCTTGTTCGTAAGAACACATGGTCAACTCGATTTTTATCCAGAAATATTCGAGTGTTCAGCAATTTAAACTAGTCCCTTTAAAGAAACACATTTCCCTCCCATTCGCGAAACTAGCCTGATGTTTTAGTCTCGTATGTTAATATTTGGTATTCATTGACTGTGAAAACAATTAATGTCTAAAGAAATGAATAATTGCATTTATTATATTCATTTTGAAATCAATGGTGTTTCTAGCAATCTGATTGGTTAAAAATAGTGTGACTAATTGCCAAATCGCACTATTTTTGAGCATTAACCACATCATTTATAAGCCAATAAGATTGAAGCTCTGCAGCGCCAGTAGTTGTCAAAAAATGTTAATATTGCAAAATTTTTATTTTTCCGATTAATATTACGTTCCTCTTTTCCCAGATATTTGCAACGAGATTGGTAGAAAATGTCATTGGGAACAATGTTGTAAGTTGCACTGGAATTACAAAAATCTTTATTAGCGAAAGGCCAGATTGAGAGAAAAACTCGACTAAACAACAAACTCTACGTCAGTCATGTCCACGACCGTTCACAGGCAACTCGGCGCATTACGAGGCTTCATTCCCTTCATACCTAATTTGTTGTGCAGTGATAAACGCAGAATGCATGTGCAGATCTCAACCTCAATCTGCCGAGATGGATTCATCAGGAATTGTCCAGCAAAATACTGGAAATCAAGTCACAGGGACTCAAAAACACAGAAAATTTTCTGCGAGTGGTCCTGCAGACCCCCTACAATTTCCCCACTTCAAATTACCAAGTTCCAGTTTGGAACATTTTTATCATGCTCCCCCCCCCACTCTACTATTGGGATGATATGTGTAGTGGTAGAAAATCTTAAAATTAGCTATATAACTGTGACTACGAAATATCATGCATGCAAGTTTTTGGAAAGTTCAATTTATCACCCTAGGGTTAAGAATTTTCCCACTCTTTGAAAAAGGTACTTTCGCTGAAAGTGGCTGCATCTATACTTGGAATCAGTACAGAAATTTAAATAAAATAAAAAAGTTTAAACAATTTCTACTATACAACATACTTGCAAACCAGCATGATTTAATAGATTGGTAAATATTAACAATTTATTTTTGACATAATTTCTTCCCATATAGTTCCTGTGAATGATTTCCATCAGGAAAAGGCAAATGCAGTCCTGGCATGGCGTCTATCAAAGTATCATAAAGCACCCAGCGGTTTTGAAATATATTATAAAAGTAGTGAAATAAATTGCAACGATATTGGGCGCAGAAAGCTTAAGGTAAACAATCATTTAGAAAGAAAGCCTCATAACCTCTTATGGTAGCTAGTATCAGTGCAAAGAAGGAGCTAAATGCGACATATACTTGCACTAATCATTCTACAACGGTTAACACGTAAACCGCGATTGATGTTGGTCTCTCGCAACCCCTAAAAGGAGTCGTTGTGTTTGAAGGGGCCATGTGGGGTTAAAACATTACCCCATACCCTGATACCCAGTGTAAACGCTGTGTTCCTATTGGCTATGAGCAGGTGCGTTCGGTGAGTCCGTGATTAACGCACCTCGGAAGGCTGGGCCGAGGTTCCAGCCTCCCTTGGTGCGTTAATCACGGACTCACCTCCCTGCAAGTATGTTTATTTTATACTATAAAACACCCAGGTGAACCATTGGAATCAGAAATGCAAAGGGGGGGGGGTATAGTAGGTGCATATCTAATAATCAAAATTAGTTTGTACGAGCATTCGCTGTAAACAGTTTGCTGTGCATGATTTAATTTTTATAGTGAAGAAATACATGCTATACGCTACCATGTCCACTACAAGCTGCAGCGATTATTGCTACTGATTGGTTGCAGGTTATTAGGACGATAATAAACTATTGCTTCTCGTTTTTAGAATGCAACTCGCGTTGTTCTGGAATTACATAAATGCTCGCGATATCACGTAAAGGTTAGTTTTGTGCGAAACTGCAAAAAGCGGTGAGAGATCTACAGGATGAACGCGTCGTGGTTCGGTATAGTTCATGTATGTCTACTATCTGCATTGGTTATCGTAAACTTAGTTATTTTTTTTCTAGCGATCCGAAATCATATTTTACGCTTTTCTTCAATCTTGTGACCTCGGGAAATATTTCCCTACACAGACCTCCAATCCGGTAAATAACATATATTTATTCCACTAGGTGCGACCAATCTTTTCTGATGGCGAGAAAGGAACATTCAGTAAAGAAATTGTGTTCTTCCCTCCTCAAAAGCCAACAGGTAAAATTATTGCTTCCCCGTAATAATGCACCATCGAGCATCATGTTATATTTTCCATTTTTGTCCAGTGAAGAACTGTTAAACAGAGCATTAATTTTGACACATCTTGTTTTCACATGTAGGTCGACCGAGGACAGAAAGCTATACAAACGTGGAAGTCGTAGATGTAATCGTATCGTGTAGTGTTACTTTTGTGTTACTCGTCGTGGCTATAATCGCTGCTATTATTATCAAAAGAAAACGAAAACATCAATCAAGTGTGTATATTGGTTTTTAATGTTTTATTTTGTTTAAAAAATAAATGGTTTGTGCATGCTCATGACTGTTCCTGTAAGTTTTTTCCATTCGTCTGTTTATAATAGAAAACACATTGTTCATGATTGTAATAATCCAAATTTATTTTGATGTTTTAGGTTCTTTGTTGACTGGTTTAGAAGTCATTCCAAATCCAAGTCATCATATGTTATTAGGAGATCGAAGCGGGATTTCGTTAAAGAAAACCAAAATATTCATCGTTCATGACAACCACTGCCGGACGTGCAATAATGTTACACATTCTCTCGCGAATCTACTGAATGAAACTAGTTACGTTGAATGCATTTTGGATATCTGTTGTACGAACGAGATCACAGACAGAGGAATGATTTGGTATGAAGATAAAATTAAGCTTTGTGATAAAGTTATTGTTGTTTGCACCAGGGATGGAAAAACAATGTACGAGGAAAACGATCACACAAACGGTTTGTAGCTATACTCTCGGTCTCAAAAAAAAAACTTAAAACCGGACTAGTGTAGACAGTATAGTAGTGAGCAACCACACGTTTCTACTTTTCTAAAACACGTAGCAGCTATTTCACGGTTTGGTGGTTAGCAATTCTGTCCATGCGGCCCTTTACATCAGGGAGTTGACATTATGCAAAATGTTCTTGCACCTTCTTAATCCATTTAATCACAGTTAATAGAATATACATGCATGGTTTGGAGACTAAATAAAAATACAATACAACTTATTAACTATGTTATTGTCCAGGTTTATGCAAAAAATGGTTCCTTTCTCGTCACGTGTCTATTGTCTTTTAGCCAAACGTCCTAAAGGCTAAACCTTGAAAGATATGTTAATTAAAATATTGCTATAGCTTGATCTGTGCAAAATACAATAGACATGTGATGAGAAAGGTACAATTTTTGCATAAATCTACCTCACTCAACATATTCTATTAACTGTGATTCAATTAATATTCAACTGATTATTATTGATTATATCTGAGTATATCTGTGAAAGTGCTTCTCTAAATCGGTAAATTGGTACTTCAACATTCATCTGTTAAGGTGTTCTTATATGCATAAAAACGCTCCGCCATCTTTATTTAGCATTTATAAATTCTACTTCTAGGGCGCATATATGGAATCTCATCGAATCAACTTAAACTTTTTTATCTGTGATTTAGATGGTCCATATGTTTTTATTCTGAAAATGTTGTTGGGACAAATGATACATCATCAGAACAGAAAACTGCACATTATTCCACTCTGTTTCGACATCTCCTCTCATGAGGATATTCCATTGTTTCTCAGTGAGCATGCGTGTTATTCAATACCTTCACAAATACAAAAATTGTTGTCAGCGGTACTCCCCGAGAACCTTTCCAGCAGTTCTGGTGAACCTAGCATTTACGATTCATCCAGTGAAGCAGCGCTGCTGCCTAGTATCAAAAGATTGAAAGAAACAATCGAGATGGTGAGGCGGGATCATAAAGGATATTATTAAAAAAAACAGAAACTTGCATGCAGAAACAACGTCAGCATGTTTAAATACATGCAGTCAGCGACCTATTTGTGATGTGCTGAAATCATGACTGGTCTAACTGGCTCAAAGACTGAAATTATAATAATCTAATAATCTAAATAGTGTTATTTGTTTTAATTTTATGCAAGCACGAAACTACGAAACATACATATTTTATTTCAATAAGACACAAAAGAATGAATAACTCTCGTCTATATAAGCCGGCCTCCACTTGCACGTACTGTCAGTGCGCCCGATTTGGCGCTGCTCGATGACTCGAAAGTGGTCGCTAAGCCGGCCGTCGCGGATAATTTTTTGTACGTATGACAGTTGAACTGTAGTCGCTAGAACAGTAGATAGGTCCGTTAACGCGCAAGCCGTACGTGCGATTTCAGCGTGTAGCTACATACGTGCAAGTGGAGGCCGGCCATCTCCCATGTCGAATAATTTACAAACATTTACCACAAAAACGATCGGTGCATGTCATGCATAGAAAAGAAAGTGCTGAGACAAAAAGATGGACCCATATCGACAAGTTTGATGTTAATGGTGTGTACAAGGTCGTACGGATTAATTTCATATATAGGGAATCTATGATTGTAAAAGTATAGTCTATTCTAGTCTATAGTTCATACCTGATTCAATAATGAACATGTATGGAAATGTATGAAGTGTAAGAAATCTATGAAATTAAAATTCTTGCCGATCCATGCAGTTATATAGCTATGTACTTATATGTTATTGAATAAAGAAGAAGAAATGTCTCAGAGTGTCGTGAGTTAAAGCTAGTATATATATATGAGCTTAATCACATTTTATTGGTTTCACTAAATTATACGTTAACTTAGTAAATATATTAACTTAAAATATATGTACATGATAAAATATATAATTCACTATATATCTATATACAACAGTAATGTACTACAGAGGCATTAAACTAAACGTATACAATATATACAACAATGCTGAACAATATGAATATATATACATTTTGCTTCAATAGTGCATGTTTTCATGTGTAGAAATTAAAACTCTCAATTGGAATCGTGCGCCGATAAGATATTCAATTAATTCTTAAATTTGCATAGCGAAATAAGGAATGTTTAATTTGGTTTTGCGGACGATCAACGCCTCTATATGGATCGAGAACAATGCGAAATATATACAGCCTTCCAGCTATATATAGTTATAGTTATAGTTATAGTTATAGTTATAGTTATAAGATGGCTTATCAGAATCGTGAAGTAAAGCTGCTACTCAACTGTTCAAAATATAGTCAACAAGAGTTTTATACAACCGACCCCTTTTACAACATTAGCCCTGAATTTAAATTGTACCTTTATAGCCATTATATCGTTTTGGAAGAAACCATTCTGTACGGGCGAGAAATTATTTATAGTGACGACAAAATGCACAGAGCTTAAGCAGAGGTTGTACATCGAAATGCAAGATTATTGGTCGAAACAGAATTCAACTACGCTGCCGATTTAACTTGCAGAAGCAATATAGTTGTCGATGTTAAAACGAAGCATTTATAACCAAAAATAACGCCACGTATGCAGTAGTAGTACTTTAGCGAGCGCGACCTTATAACTGCAACGTGACTGTTTCCACGACAACATTATTAAACACCGCTTCCATGACTCGTGAAGCGGAATTGAAAGTCTCTCAAGTACTAGTTTTTCATTCACGTTCTCCATTCGTCTGTTGCCATGAGATATTGAAGTATTTTTTCGATTCATCATCCCGACACGTAGAGTGCTGTAATGCATTCAATTTTCGTTCAATTTTGCATTTCTCTAACTGCGGTAACGGAGACAGTGGAGCGCTGTACGTTGAAGGGACTTCAAATTTCCGATATTCCCCGCTTGCTTCGATCTCCTTCCATTGTTCCTTATTTTCATCAATTACCGTACATAGCACCTCCGTTTCGGGAAAAATTTCTGCGAGTAATCTGGAGTGATAAACATTGACAGATTTCACTCACTGCAGCGACATATCCAAGAAGATCAAACATAGCGGGGGAACGAGTCACGAGATTAAAACGGATAGCTGTTGATAACCTCCTTAAAACCTTCAAACTCTGGGTTACCCGTCGCTAAGCAGCTAGACTTTCGTGCGGAGAAAAGAGTTATCTAACCTGTACGTTGGGTATACGACACTATCAATAAAATCAATCTGTAGCTTTGGGATGCACGCTCGTTCGCGGTCCATCATTTCTGAAGGTTTATTACCCATTGCCTTTTCCTACAACAGAATATGAATGAATTTTGTTTGAAATTCAATCTACGACTTATATTCAACTGCATAGATTGGTAGTTTCAACCCTATAGGTCATGCAGGATACCAAAAAGTTTCCATTTCCGTAAGTGGATTGGGTCTTTGATACTCTGTACAACACCGAGATCTTTCGCCAACTTCGGAGAAGTGTAATTCGATGACCTACATGATTTTGATAGTGGGGCACTCTGAATCACCTGATAACAATTTAATCCCAGCACTCACCAGATCTCCTTGAGAAAAGAATTCTGCATAAACGAGGTCCTACGTAAAATACGTGAAAATATTTCTTAAATATAGACATTTCCTTCCCATTTATGCAGACATATGTCGTGAAATTTACTAGCTGGTTGTTATATTACTCTAAAATTCATGCTGGTGGTAATACTGTCTTTGTCTTAATCCATATCACGGTGTTCTCTAACTGATCCTAAATAAAGCCTGGTTCTCATATGTCGCCGAAGAAAATTTGTTCAAAATAACAAAGCATTTCATTCATGAGTGATCGCTGACAGTGGCCATCGCCGACCGTCCTAGACATATGAAGAATCAGGCTTAATGATATGAAATAAAATGGTACATTGCATTGGATCCGGAGTGAGCTATAATCCCCAAACTGTATTCACAATGTATACATCAACGACAAAATAAATATACATCATGGCAATAGACCCTTTCGATAATTACGTCACAGCATTATAGTTTTGAAATTAGAACCACCTTAAATGAGATACAAATTTCAAATTAGGCAAAAAAACAGTGTACTAATATATTTACCGCTGCTGCACTTGCGGAATCAAACGGTTTCACTTGGTCAGATAAATCACATGACGTCATCATGAGATACAACAGAAGTTCCCTCTGAGTCTGATCAGATGGACTGAAACCAAGCCGAGCAAGTTTTTTTAAATCTTTTAATATTTTGAAGTGATGTGATAAGTCCGTAGCTAATATAATTTTTCTTGTTAAATCCATTATTTCGTGATATTCCTAAGACATAAGAATGGAATCGATGATCGAAGCACAAAGATCATGAAAATCATCCGCACGCGACTTCACGACTTCCTAGTACGTAACTTACTTTTCCAGTCAGATTTTCAAATATATTACATCCTTCTGTGTTTAATATGCAACACGTCTGCGCGAAGTGGTGTCTCTATAAATGTTACAATAACATACCAATGAACATTGAGTAACAGTACTGCAAATACGGTAGAAATCAAAACATGTTAGAATTGTACCTCCATTACCGATCCCTCCGAACTATACAAGGCAGCAAGGACTGAATTCTAGAATGACAAATGTACAACAGGCAACGATAAATAAATAAGCCCAATTGATTATTGTGATAAAGCTATATCGCGAAATGTTTATATTATGCAGTAATTTAATTATACATTCGCACAAGACAAATGTTCTACTACGAAAATATTTGGTTAAAGCAACTTTTAAAAAAATGGTGAAATTTTGCACAAATGTATAAATTTTGGTGAGTTTTACAAAATATTGCAATGAAAACACAAAGCCAACATATAGAGTAAGCAACGAAGTCGCTCCAATCACTGAGTTGCAATACTGAGTCCCACCCCCCTTCGCCCAAATCTATGGCATGAAAGCCATAGCTATATAATTATTCAATTAAGATTTCATGTTCGCTACTTGATTAACGACATAATATCTTTAGGACTAACGTAAGACACTTGAAAAGCATTATTCGTTCCTCGGTGGTCCAGGTCGTGACAGAGACATGATACAAACAGCGAAAGAATCTCCATATCGCTAGAAAATACAACGTAATATGGCACATGCGATATATGAATAAAGAGTATAGTTCATGTCAACTACCGATGGTGACGAGGGGAAAGTAAAAGATTTTCTATTACGTTTGGTCTTTAAGTAAACGACATCTAAATGGAAGTGTGTAGATTTACCAATGTGAAATATTCAATTACTCACCTAAAGCTATCGATTTGTTGCAGATTTTTGTAGAGTAAATAACAGAAATGACTGACTGTAAATGCGTGCGTCCAATTGTGATAAGGTAGATCTCTATAACCTTTCTTAATCATTAGGATAAATCTATAAAACAGCGAGAAGATAAGACGTACGGTTTGTTAGAACGAATTACCACATCTGTGAAAGTGTTTATCTACATGCACCTGTCGCTATTAATTATAGTCTCATCATTATAACCAACAAATGAAAATGATTAAATTGTGGCGCATGCGGAGGCTGCTCCTCGCAAGAATGATTTTCATTGGCTGAACTTTACAATACATTTCTGTTTCAACCAATAGCAAAGTTTCGTTCTTTAGAAAGCATAGAAAAGCATTATCCAATTGGATGAAAGCTTCCGAGCACTGCTAAATGTCCCAGAGGCAGCGGAAGATCGTTAAATGGGGGGGATATTCATATACGTTCGGCATTATTAGTAAAATTGATTGTTTGTTACGGTCTGCTAACATGAATTTATGAATATTTGTCCCACACTTAGCGATCTTCAACGGTCCCTACTAGAAACGTTGACATGCAGTTGAAGTTCAGTTGACGAATTGACGTTTTATATATAATATTTGTTCAGTAGCGTATTTTTAGCGTACTTCAATATTTACAAAAGGAGAAACGGTTAGGTGTATCTATATAGCTATATATATATATATATGTGAATGTTTCCAGCGCACCCGAGAGTCTTAGAACTAACGAGTTCGGAACAAAGAAATACGTTATGTTTCGCTATGATTGAAGTGGAAGACGGGCAGAATCAAGGCTACTTTCCACGTACGCATGTTTCATACGTGCTTATGCATGTAATATAAACACACGCGGAAGTCTGCGTTAACAGATATACTGAATAGTACGAATTACATATAGGCCTATATGTATACAAAAAATATTCCGCCGTTTTCTACGTGACCTATTTTTTTTTCGCACGTAGACCAGGAAAGCAGCTTTCAGGAAGTTTAGGATGGCAACAACAAGCCGCATGTTACGGTTAAAAGATTGCTTTCACACTATAGCTGTATGCATTGACATCAAATCAGTCGACAAGGTTTGAAAGCTGACTCGAAAGTAACACTGTAGTCATCATTTTTATGCCGCGTATGTTAAAATAATGTACATTAGCAATCTGAAAACGTTTAAAAGGAACTTTGAAGCCGCCTATTTCCATTGCTATCGATGACATTAACCGATCAGCTGTGTAACTGCCTTAGCTATAGGTTAGCTTCAATACTGGATCACAACGTAAAAAAATGTTATACGCGTGTAAAATATCCAACACACCTGATTAATGTTTCGTATGAAATTTTCCATTTCCTAATGAGATCCATGTCTTCAAACATGCTCATGCAAGCCTGAACGTTGTATAAACAGACATTACTGATGCATGAATTGCAAATTTCAATAATTTAAAAACGTATAAATGAGCCTGTTCTTGCCATATCTTACGCACTATCATACCTTAACAAACTCCAAATTTGGCGTTAGCCTCGGTCGGAAGAGGATATGATGAAAATCTTTATCTACTTCCTGAGGTTTAAGAATCCTTTCTGAAGAATAGTACTGGACGTCTTTTGACGTAACCTGCATAAAATAAGATCGTCACAGCAGTCAGCACATGCAGTATAAAGACTGCCATAAAGAGATAGAAAGATGGGGAATAGAAGTGGAAACAGCTAGGATAATCGTCAATGCTGTTGCAACATATGCATATTATACAAGTAAGAATACAGAACATTGTACTTGAGAATCCCTTTCATCCTTTTTCTTCCTATGGCTCCCGACTCATGAGAGGTTCGATATAGTACCTGTACCTTCATATGATAAATCATCAGCTCATTCGTGATCTTGTCCCGATTTTGAGCGTCCATCACTTTTTTGTACAACAGACTCTACAAGAAACACAACCCCTTATAATTCAATTATAGAATATTAAGGTTCCTATACCTCTATATGTACAACTGATGACTATTGACAATTAATATCACGAGTTGTCATGATTAAAACATACATGCATGCACGTACTTCCCAACCAACGTAAATAATTTTTCACATATTGCAAATATTGGTAATTAGTTACACTGTTTGAAATATGCCTAAATTTGCATTCAAGTCCTGTTAAGCGAGTGCATATGAACAGGGCCTTACATGACAAATACTGATTCCACAAAAGATGGCAAACGCTTTCGTTAAATCCTCGTCAAAACGGGTAAAAGCTGGACCTAAAATGTGTAACATACCACTGAATTTAAATGATATCGGGGAATTTCAGGAGTCAAAGTACACGTTCAGTGCACGTATCTTTTAAACCATTTGAACACACTCAGTGCTGACTAACCGTTAATTTTGTTAACCAGTTGTCCGACACCAATCACCTCTGCAATTATAAAGGGAAAAGAAATCAAATTATATGCAGTAGTTATCTAATGTGAAGAGATGCATATAATGATGATGTTGTTATCTAAGGCCACGGCTACACGGCCAATTTTTGTTGGCGATATTCTCTTTCTATCGTGTGTTATTGAGAAAATTATGTACACAGTTGTATAATATTTACGAAGAAAGGAAACTAATTTGTTAAATATGACCAATAACATACACCAGCGGAAGAGAATCGCCGTCAAAAATCGCCCGTCTATAGTCGCGACTTAATGCAAATTCTGTATATTAAAAAGCACAAACATCAAACCTTTTTCATCTCTGATGGGGAAGCAAAGTATATTTCTTAAAACAAGACAAAGAAGACTATGGTTACAGTTTTGAAATTGCAAGAATGCGAGGGAGGCATTTATATACCGAGACAGAAATCAGCTTGTCGTATTATAAATATATTCACAAAAATTATCAACATGTACCAGGACTTTTCATACCTCGTCTTAAAACCTGTTTCTCTGTCGACGTCCCGACAAAATAAAGGATGAGAGTATGCATCTTTGATGTTTAACATTACTCCTGAAGAAAATGAAGCATTTTTTTCAAAAAAGAGCCTATTTGTATTCCAGTACATCGTTTTCATGTAGGGAAATTACTCACACGCATTCTGCACGGAAATGAAAGTATTGAACTTCAATTACCAGTTTTTGCAACATGTCCAGAGATACCTTGTCCGAGCGGTACTCTTACTTCCCTGGTCTCCTAAAAATACATAAAGTACCAATTCTCAGAAAGTTTAAATTTCCAGTCCAGCTTGGAGGAGCCTTATCTTTTCATTTTGCACTATAAGGCCCTTGCCCTGATTTCCTTCTTTTTGGTGTGAACGAGAGAAGATGAGTTACGGACACTCAAAAGAAGAAAATCGCAACGAATATTTTCATTATACGTTCACCTTCATGATTGTTTATTAATTTTTATTCCTTTTTTATTTTTTAAATGTCAACCGGTACTAGGATTTGAGCTGTTTTGTTAGCGACAATGGTCAAAACAACATAATTCATTCTTTCCTTATGCGAACAATACTCGCACAAGCTAGCATTATGGAAAGACTATACTGTAGAGTATACCTCTTTCTCTCCAATTTCCTGTCCACGATGATTGAAAAATACTTTCGAAACCAGTTCCTGTCGCTCTTTGTCCACAAGAAATAATGAACCACTAAATACAAAATGACGAAATCAACCAAAGAAGTTCTTCAAAACGTTTCCTCGATTTCTGGTTACTTGCAAATAAAATTTAAGAACTTAGCATTCCATGTCGAGCTTTCATCGGTACACCTGACTCCAGTTTATACTCATGTTTTTTTATACGTACATCTCAGCTTGAGTTAAATTCCTGGCCTCTTGTAAGATCTCAGTTAGCAGCACAGTTACGTCATCTAAGAAAGACAAGTTATTACAATTTCTTGCAATTTATATAGACAATTCAACGGCGACAGATATTGCAGAAAAATTATAATGGGGAAAACAAGAAGACTTACCAAGGTGAATAAATAAATTCTTCGCGACATTCAACAAATGCTATAAAGAGGAAATAAATTTTTCAATTGACAATCACCGTTCGAATTTTTTAAATCTAACTGAAGGATTTTTGCGATTTGAAGCCCTATCGATCGTCGAAAACAAACTTTATTGGGGAACCCTGTGCAAAATTCACTTCTATAATTTTTCACTTTCGTGGAGACGTTGACAAGATTTGGCAAAGGCTGGCTTCCACTTGCACTTACTGTCAGTGTGGCCGATTTGGTGCATGCTCAGTGATTCGAAACCGGTCGCTAGTGCCGGCCGTCGCGGTTAATTTTTTGCACGTATGACAGTAGAACTGTAGGCTACTTTCAAGGCGGCCGTCAACACGCAGCCGTACGTGCGATTTCGCGCACGTACGTGCAAGTGGAGGCTGGCCATAACTCTTTTTGGTTTGAAGATCAACACAAATGGCACAGCACCTCCTGTTGCCGACGGTAAACAAGCTCCTTCTCCCATTCTAAGGCATTGAAAATTTGTGCATTGAAATAATCACACGTTGAGCGAACAATTTCTTCTTTCGCCTGAGAAAAACTAAACATAAACAAGCGACATTCGATAAGTTTCCATCGTTCACAGACCTCGTATACGCGTATAGTTCAATAGCTTCTCCAGATCTTACCTTCCGCTTGTTTTTTCATTGAAAAGGCAAACTACACAAAAAGTCTTTTGACTTTTTGTATGAATGATTGGAATACACAAAAGAGACTTTACAGGGACGTCTGAAAAAAATCCAGATACAACATACTCAACAGATTTTAAAAGTTGTAAAGCCTCGCGACAATTTGGGTGCACTCTTTTCGTTAACAGAGCACTCTACACAGGGAACAACCCCGCGAAGAAACGGTGCGCAAGTGCTAATTAAGATATAAAAATATGGCAAGAAATTTCAATATCAACTTGAAAAAAACATGTTTATTATCTTAAGGTGGCTCCTACAGTTTCAATTAGGTTGCACACAGTTGTGCAGAAAAGATCATTATTTTATCATGTTGCCAGGTTTGATCACGAGAATGCGGGCATATTTTAATGTTCGTGCATGACGTCACAAAAAATGAGGATTTTAATTTCATTGCGCGAAAACCCGCGTGTTCGAAATGCTGCTCCAAAAGGAAGCCATCCTAATTGAAGTAGACAACGTTGTGTAGAACAGACATTCGTCGAAGACGTCCTATGGCATTCTAAATATGGGATGAAATGGAAGTCGTGGAATTATTTTGTTTTTCCAGGGGTGACTGTTCTCGAAAAGTTACAAGCTTCTTAATCTATTTAAAATGTAGAATACATGCTGAAGTTTATTTATTAGGAACACGAAAAATTTTAATAAATTAATGTTAAACTTGCATGATAAACCAAACGTAAACGATAAATTTGTTAACAGTCAATCTTCTCGTATTATGCAAAATCTTTAACTTTTTGAAAATTTTTATTTTTTGTTAATAAAATGCGATGTTTATTTTTTCGCTCGATATATAGCTTTCAAGACAAACAACGAAGTCACTCCTTTTCGATTCATCGCCATTTTGAGCGAAAACTTTCAGTGAGTTTCAGAGTCGTCACTTTCAGTGAAGACGTATACATGTTTTAATACACAGGTTGGTTTAGTAGTACAAAGATTTCAAGACCAATAACAAACCTGTTAACGTACTGATTATTTTCTCACGACATAGTGAAACCTGAAGAAAAAATTATTCAATTATTTTTTATGCGCAAGCGTATCTTGAAGTCAGTGCCAGGGACATCCTCCCCCCCCCCCAATTGACGAGTATTTTCAACCGGAAGAAAAACTTGGTTGTATACTAATCATGTAAATTGAGAAAAAAATAGAAACTTACGGATGTTGTACCATTTACATTGATTTTGGATCCACTCTTGACAACGTTCTCGAAGAATGTACCGGTTAGCTAAAAAAATGGAATTAAGAGTTATATACTGTACTCGACAAAAGTGGGCACAAAGTTGTCACAATATACATAACACAGGAGGGGGTATAGATATTATAGTGTCTGAATTGAAGTGTATTTTTTTAGACACCAGTAAGTATCATTTATATAGCGCCTCCGACTCTAAACGATACAGGTTGTGATAAATGATAAATAGCCCTACTTATATATTAGCAGGTAGGAGCAGGTAGGTGTGAGCTAAAACAACTACATGCAACATACAGTTTCTCGTGTGTGTGTGTATGTTTTAGGGTGAGTCGCGATTGCAAGCCTTTATAATGGCTGTAATAACTCTTTTATGAACGCTATAGATTAAAATCTAATTTAAACAAGAAAAACATTTATTTAGCTACATTCACTATAAAGTTACAGAATTTACCTCAAACCTATTTTCAACCAAAACACCGCTCGTTCGTTTTACCTGAAAAATTGAATTTAAAATTATCCTCAAACAAGACACTCCAGATGTTGTTGTTCTTTGGTCAAAAAAAAAGACTCAATATTTCTGGCCAGTGACGCGACTATTTTTTATGTGTCCAATATCAAAGTTGATATCTTACTCGCAATATTATATATGTTATGCATATTGGTATTATATACTGTATAAAACGATATCTTTACTTTGTGATAAAGTTCGTCGGAAGCAGAGTCAACGGCCAAAATAAGCCCTGAAGATGCTTGGGTGACCTCTTGAAGCTGAATAAGAACAAGAAAATTATGCATTCATGTATGTGACATGCAGAGGGGAATCTCTCTCCCTCTAGAGCTCTCTCTCTCTCTCTCTCTCTCTATGAAGGCCCGGGTTAACGGACCGAAAGCTTTGCAGTATTAGAGCCTTACGTGGTGTACTTACTAGCTAATTTACTTAAGACAACTATGGTAAGGCATTACTGAATATTCGTATCCGCGAAGGAACAAATCGCTCAAAACAGGTGCACGAAAGAAATTGACTCCTAAAATTAAGAACTTTTACGGACTTAAAGATTATATGATTTCCAGACGAACGAAATAAAGTATATTTCCAGGCAGAGCTTTGAAACTTTAGACAAGGATGTTGTGCAAAACTATTGAAGTGCTCCGCCTCTCTAGTCTCAAAAATTATTTGAATAACACGGCTTCTTCTCTCGGGTTTCACGTGACGTCATAGACTCCAGTGGGATCAACTCTAAATCCAGACACAGTAATCGGATGGACTTAATTGTCCACTGTATGTGTTGACTGCGCTTTGCAGCTATAACATGCGGAATTCTGTATCGTAATTTGCTCCCTCCTGTGTAGTAATTTTGACTAGCATTCAATTCCTGATTAAAATGCCCAATACATCCCACCGCTATTTAAATCCTGCTGCCCTCGGCTTATAGTATTCATTACTTACGTATCGGATAATTCTTTCAGACAGGAGGGCAAAACTTTTTTCGTACATTCCACCTGTAAAGATCGACAAAGTGAATGGTAATTTACTGTGGTTAAATGTGCCCTAATGGATTGTTCTGAATCAGAAAATTAGACCCGTAGAACATTCGTGTGTCAATTTGAATGCAAATGAACTTAAACAAAAACTTTAGCTCATTAACATTATATAGCTTTGGCTGTGAGTTACGCACATGAAAAGTTTGGCACCTGAAACGAGACTTGTTAATATAGCCGTCAACAGTGGCGTAGCCAGCCCGACAATTTAGTCATGCTATGATAATATTTTGTTGTTCATTGACTGTGAAAACGATGAATGTCTAAAGAAATGAATACTGATAATAACATAAAATTTGCATAGCATGACTAAATCGTCAGGTTGGCTACGCCACTGGCCGTCACCTTTGGTGGATATTCATCAAACATCTCAGACGGGAGTTCGGTACAAGGAACAGCGTTAGATTCTTCCCGTTATCAAGTACAATAAGTTAATCAACTAAAATAACCAAGGCCAAACTCAAATCCAACCGTCATCGTTTTTTCCGCAAATTCTTGTAAATTTGGCGGAAATATATTCGCATTCGCGATATAATATACAACTCAGTGACCTCTGAATTCCTAAACTTTTGAATAATGGCTTTATCATTGCCAGACATTTCCTATTTCCTGCCAAAGATTGCCAGCGAGGGGGTAATTCGAAACACAGGAAATATATAGTGATTCTAGCTAGTGATTTCACTACACCTTCATAGTAATACCTACCTAATAATTTAAAATATTTTTGCTCGGCATTTGGAAAATGTCGCAGCAAGTTTTGGTAGCTTGTGCTAATCTGAAATGTAATAAACGATTATTAATAATCATTTCATGTTTGTAGTTTAGCCTTTAGCGAAATACAACGTCCAACGCGTATAGTTCGAGCAAAATTCAAGACCAAGGACACAAGATGTGTGAATCGAAAATAGGACCGTGCATAAGAAGACTGCAAAGAAACTTCCTTGACATGTTATCGAACTAAACCTTATATCAAACGGGAAACGAGAGAGGGGGGATATGGAAGCCTAAATTAAACATCCTTATTTCGCATTTGAATATTCATATTGTACTTTATCATGTTTTTAAAACGTACGTAACGGTTTAATATTCTGAAAGTAGCTAATTACTGAAATTCATGAAGGACGCTTGCACTGAAATCTTGAATACTGATTTATTATGAATCATAATACGGAACTACAATGGTTCGTGAAAATACAGATAAACACTTGTCGAAATTTTGTCCTAGCTCGCCCACTCAAATGTTATTCTTGGAATTCAAACTCAGACTCACGGCCATGCATATATGTGACGTGGAATGAAATACATTGAAAAGACTCGGTCTGTTTGCAAGCAGATAAACATTCATGTTGTAGATGAAATCGTCTCAAACAAATTTTTCATTGGTTCTTGCCTGTTTTTCAAAGAACTCAAGTTGTGATTCTTCTTCGTCGGACAATTTCCTGGACGTCAGCATCTAAATTGATAAAGATCAACAATAAGTAGTTTTACGTCATCGCATGCGATATAGTTATGACTATACACTATAATTTGCTATTACACTATGCGCACATAATGTTTCAACAAATTCAAGCATGTGAATTAGGTTAAACCCCAAAACTATGTTGTATAGCGACGTGAACATGCACATTTGAAAATGTTTTGTTATAACTGCCTGGCCGTTAATTCAATTCGCGTATACGCCGGATCTCTGTGTGTGTTTCAACACAGAGACGTCTGCATAGTCTGGTCGCCCTGGGTAAACGCGCTTGCAAGCGTATATATATTCGAAACACGTTACTGAAATATACGACACCTTACCATGTGTAGAACAACCACTTTGTCCGTTCTTCCATTCACTGGCCAGAAATAAACTATATGTATGAAGCAAAGTATATATAAAAAAACGCTACTTCACAGCATACTATCAAAGTATACTGCAATCATGTATATAGATCGCCATCATATAGGTTTGGCGTGCAGCTCGCCGTAAGAGAGTTGGCTCAGTAATCTTGTCTAGGATATGCGTCCATAGCTGACATTATAAGGACTAGGCCGAATTTTGTTGTATAATTGCTCTATTATAAGTTTATGTTGTTCCACAGAAGGAAGCACACGTACAAAAACTAACTTAAGGCCGATATTATAAGTTGTATACTAACGTCACTCATTACGTCATTCGTCTATAGAGTCCTTAGAGCAAATATTCCGTATAGCATACGACGCTTTTTGTTTTTGATAATTTGCCAAAAGATCAAATTAGGGTCCCCTGGAGCACAAACACATTTTCATAACCTCATCAATAATTTCGCAATCGGCCATATTACAATGAACACTGAACAGGATCTTGCAAAGCTCGTGCGTAAACAAACACGAAAGGAATAGCCTCTGTAGAGACTGTGTCTGTGAACATAAGTATATACGTTGCACTGCATGTATATACAGCCTTGGCGCTATTCTAAGTTCTTTTCATGTACTAACCATGCTTTAGAGCTTCAGGCATTAATTTCACTAAGTAGCTATATACGTTGTACTGTATTCCTTAGCGCTATTCTAAGTTCTTTTCATGTACTAACCATAGTTTCCAGAACTGAGTGGCTTTAGAGCTTCAGGCATTAATTTCACTAAGGGATCATCGAGTTCTAAACCAGGACTCAGCCAAAGCCTGTTTTGTAAATTCCCGCTAAAGTAGAGTATATAAAATTTTTAAAAATTAAAAAGATTCTAATCCGTCTATATATACATATATATATAGACAGTATACAATATGTAAAAATGCCCGTGTTTATAATAACTACAATTACCTGAAAAAAGTTTCTTTGTCATGTTCACCAAATGACGTAGATTGCAGTCCATCGGAAAATGGATTCAGTACAAAGCCAACTTGCTTTATCTAATAAAATATATCATGCATGCAGTCTTTCAATTCTAACATACTGATTCTTTTTACAATCAACATACAATCAACATATTAAGTCGAGTATAAGGGGATGGGGCCGTGGGGATGTGACACTCGGTCATATAGTCGGTGATGGAAGTAACTTTTAAGTTATCGACAATGATGCATTGAAATGATTGAATACGTGTACGATTATTTAGTAAACTGATAACTTGCCCGAAAAGGATAATCAGACTATAAAATGCTCTATCCGAAAAAAAAGTCATATAATATATATTTGCGCCATTTTACAGTATACAACTCGAAAAGTGAAGTGGTTATGGCGCTACCTCTTATCACGGTGTTAAACATCATTGCTGTATATAACCGAGTACAGGTCAAGAGGACGGCGGTAATCAGGCGAATAAGCTCAATGATCTTGACTCGGGGTGGCAATTTATGACTACAGAAAACGTAGCGAATGAACATTTCGCCATGCAGAGAGCAAGTGGAAACGAGAATGTTTGTCCTTCAAAGAACGTTGATGCGCTTTTCTAAACAATTCCAGACTGTATGCATTTTGGTAAAATGTACATTCGTATAAGTGATGGTATAAGAGTTTCAAATGTTTGCATAGTCTGTGTAGTAAATATGAATTGATGCATTAATTTCATTGCATTGACTGCATGAGATGCGCAGGCCTTCTATGGAGCTTTGGCCTTCGTGAAGCTAAGAGTGTTTGCTAGGATCTATGACCAGTGGCGTAGGAAGCACGATAATTGGGGAAGGGGGCGCGGAGGGGTGTATATTCACATATTCATGACTCTACCTGACAATTTCTATTTAAATTGATTGTCTTTACAGCCTATTATAATCTCCCCCTTCCAATTATCGTGCTTCCTACGCCAATGATGACTGCAGTGTCTTAATCAGAAATTTCACGTAGTTCATACTAGTCATGAGCTCGGGAATACAGCAGAAAAAGTATCTTACACCAATCAGCTAAATAAGATTTACTGTTGTGAGCCAGGATTGTGAAGGATATTCATGCAACAACTACAGTACACATTATCATGTTCCAACTACACATTATGATGTTCCTTATACCCCTATTGCTAGCACATCGCGCAATTACCCGCGTCGCATTTTAGTTTCGCTCGAAATCCTCGAATGCTCTATAGGATTCAATACAACGCCGTGATATTTCGATATATGAACTTTTCAAATAATATGAACTGATCTATTTCTCGAAAACAAGGCATCCCTTTTCGGCGAGCGGTTGGCCGTCCAAAAAACAGATCGATGGTGGGTTATACGATCGCTTTAATTGGTTGGTAGTTCTTTAACTCTGTTGGGCACTCCTATTTTGTTAACTTTGCATATTTGTACCTTTGTACACACAACGCAAGAGCGTAATCAGTGTTGCTATCTGTGCAGTTGTGTGCTTTCCTGTTGCAAACGTTGTTGAGATACACCTCTCGTGAGAATGGGGTCTGAGCATGTTCACACCACATTGAAATTACAGGCATGCAGATTTAGCTGGTGTTGGTCAACTTGGAAACACCTCAGTAACCAAAGCAGTTCGGGAAAACTCAGAAGCTTGGAAGTTTTGTGACTTTTGTCATCAACAAGGATTACAACATTAGGGCGCTTTTCAATTTTCATCGGTTGGTAGGATTAATGTTTTAACCTTTGGAAGGTGTTTAATGCTTTAATAGCATCTACAGGTTGTGATCCATAGTGCGAGGTTAGAATTAAGTCAAATGTTTTGGTTGTGCCTCAACTAGTTTTAAATCTTATTCAGGGATGAAACCCATTTAAGATATTGCAACCCTGTGATGAAACATTAATGCAATTCAGGCATTGTGTAGATTAACATATTGACAATTGGTATTATTTCACTATATCATTATGTGGGAATCTGCACTTGAGCGAATTAGCTGACTTTTATGATACTTATCCTGGTGACTTTTGAGTAGCTTTTTAGAAAGTGAAATGAGAAGAGTAGATTGCCTTCTCTGGAATTGCTGTGAGCTTTGCCAATTGGGTCACATACTGTACCTCAAATTAAACTCAGAGAACCGCTTAAGGTTTTAGCAGCAATTGTGTGAAAAAGGTATATATAATCAAACAAGAAAAAAAAGTGGGGCAGGGAAGATTTTTTTAATTTCCCGTCAGGAAAGGACTCTGAATTTCTTATTAACACTAAAGTAAATCAGATTTTGAATAACTTAGAATAAAATTTAGATTAAGAATAAAATGTTAAGGCTGATTAAATTCTTGTTCGTCAAAGAAGATTATGCAATGCATATTGAAACAATTACTGAATTCTGTATTTGTGGTATCATGAGTCAAGGTCTCTGTCAATGTTATCAACCTAATGCTTTCATCTGGATAGATAGCATTCAAATCGCCTTGATAATCTAATTGTATATTTATATACTCAATGTTTCAGGCCTCCATGTTTGGGGACTTTTGCATATATATTCTACTCTTGTCCACTCATCAAATGGGCACATGACATTGTACACAAATAGCAAACAACTGATGTGTTTTACAGCTGTACCAGAGCTGGATAGCTAAATAAAACTTTAACCTGCAAAGCTTGTGAAAATTGCAAGTTTGTAATCTAACATCCCAAAATAGCACACTCAATAAAACTATTTAAAACAATTATTAAAACTGGAGTTAAATTAATTCAAATTCTTAAGAGATGTCAGCACCTAGTTATTAAAAAGATGGTTTTAATTTCTCCTGTCATAATTTGAAAACTATTAAAAAATACTGATGTTGACAATTCTTTTATAAACAAACAAATATGTGAAATACACTCAATACTTTAATATGCGCTCTAAGATATTAACCTTAATCTAACATTAGTCGTGCTCGGCAACTTTAATATTATATTATGCTATGTATATGTAATATTATGCTACCGTAAATTCAGCTGCACACAATAAGGGCAAAAACTATAAACAAGCAATGAAGGTAGTGAAATTTTCCGAATACGGCAGTTGTATCCAGTAGTAACCTCCTGTGTAACCTCGGGTCATGTTCTATATTTCATTTCAGTGCCGATTGCCCAATAGAATGCCTGGAATTTTACGATTTAGTGACAAGCACTTTCGATCCGATGATTTTGTTGTACCGCCAAGGATAGCGTCAAATTGAATCAGTTTGGCCTAAAACGAGTTAGTAAAATAAAAAGTCGTAGCTTTAAGACTTACTATGCATGGCAGCACAGATTTCAGCAGGTCCGATGTTGCTTTCCCAAACCTGTCAAAATCGTCCGCGCAGTTCAATGCAAGAAGAGCGTTCTGCAGAAGAAAAAGTCTTAATCAGCTATATAACACAGTGTACATTCATTGACAAATATATATTGACGTGGCTAAAAGACGTGCAATTTAGACACCTTAATATAAAACCACAAACGGACCTGAGCTTCATAGTCGAGGCTGATCGATCGCGGCATAATATTTAAAACACACACACGACCCACACTGTCTATACAATTTAAATTAATACAAAATATGGAAACGACAGATAGATGTGACAAGATAATGCTTTTCAAATAAAATCCAGAGCATACATATGACCAAACAAAATTTCCTCAATCCCTTTCATTTAATGGAAGTTCTATGCACTTGCATGAACGATTCTTCACGATATTTCATTTATTACGGTTTTCCTGCTGTGGCAGTTCGCCACAGTCAGGCTTCGAGATGGAAGTGTTTACTTTCCTTTTATGGAGTTATGACGCAAATCATTTGTCAACGCTCCAAGCTGATTGGCTCAAAATCTAAGCAAATCCAGTTTGTTTGGAAAAAGGTCAACTCAGGAGCCTGCAAAAAGCTCAAAAGCACTTACCGAAAATTGCATATAATAGAAATATAAAACTGATTAATAGTTCAAAGGTTCTTTTATAATCTTACTCAAAACTTTCGATGAAGTAAGCTTTGTTTTGTAGATTATTTTTTGAGCTATATAAAATATAATAACGGTCAGAGTTTCCAAAGTCAAAACACAGACAAAATGTGTAAACAATCTTTTTATTGCATAAATGCGAATAAGCACTGCTTTACAATTCACGCAGGTGATTTGAGTGCCCTATCGGGCCGCCCTATCCAGCGTTTTTAGTTCATCTTGGTTCTGACTTCTGAGCCGGTTCATGAACTCGCATCCTGAATCCTGATATCCTACATGTTTGATCTAATAGTAATATCACTATTTGTCATTTTCCCAGAAAATTTCATAGAATGTGCTTCCGAATCAGATGCAACTTTTATGCATTTTCAGTCTTCACATCCAAGTATAACAGTAGCAAGGACCTTGCAATGATATATTCTTGTAGTATCTCACTTGCCAACTGAAACCCAGCCTAGGGTGTACAGACATGTTGACCAGGTTTGGAGGAATATTTTGACGACCATTTCGTTATAAAATATTCTTCCTTTGCATATGACGTCAGAACTGTCTTTCGGCGCCATCTTGGTTGCAAGATTCAGCAATGTTTACGTGACTTCTGCCATTAACTAAGGTAATTACTTTTTCTTTGTTTATTTTAGAACTTCCGAACTGCTTAACATTGTCCATCGTATTATTGACAGTTTTAATTTTAAATGTGCTTGTTTAAGTAGTCCTTTAGGATGACTAGTCCGGCTTTTTTCTACCTAAAATTGGTGGTTTTTTCGATTAAATAATCAATTTTATACACGGAAGCAGCCAGCAGGGCTATGGTGCGTTACGCATATGGTCCCCCTAGGCCTTATTTTCACGCCCTTTCAGGTTCGAGGACTTCTAATTATTATTGGCGTGTCAAGGCTTGAGCACTACAATAATTTTTTTTTGGATGCAAGATAGGTCAAGATGGCAATCTCGAAATCGCGGGCTCTGGTTACGAGATTTGCGGGATGGATGCAAGTTCGATCCCAATCTCGTAACCAGAGGCTCTGGTTATGATACTGGTTCTTAGCATTTAATAGTTCGATCCAAAAAATCCAAGTTTGGACGCTGACATGTCAGCTGCTGAAATTACGTAAAAATACCGAATAGCTAATGCGCCTGAGTCAGCATGACCAATCAGGAAGGACTGAATACAGACGAAATGTATAATCACGATAAATAATAAAAATAGATTTATTCACAACTGGAAACTTGCTTACTAAAAATCATGTATACCGTATACATCAGCAGTCATCTCAGTACAAAGTACGACTTGCACATGATGCAAGTCGGCCAACTTGCACATATTATAATCTATTATAATTTAATATACAACCTTCGTGCATAGGCCTAATCAACTCACGCGATTGGTCAAAATCCATCACGTGGTTTCTTGTTGCCTGGCGACAGATCATGGGAATAAAAATTTATTCGCAAAAACCCAAGAAAATCTTGGTTTATTCGCTGTAACCCATGAAAATCATGGTTTATTCAAAATGACAGCCTGCAACGAGGCTTGGATTTTCAATGCAGCAATCAATGAACTCAGATTGTATATTAAAAAAACTTTACTCCTGTGTTTCTATATAGTTATAGAAACACTTGTGGGAGTTTGGGAGAACTCGAAATAACGTGGAAAAACTCGCTCGTTTTCCCACTGATTATTTCTCGTTCTCGCAAACTCCCAGGCGTGTTTCTATAACTGTATACAAACACGGAAAATGTTTTCTATTTCTTAAATGCTGTATACTGTATATTTTTATTGACGGGTAAACATCTCATATTAATCCAAAAGATCTTCGAGTAATGTCTCTTCGTTCGCTGTCCCGATGTCGGGAAGAAGATGCGGAGATGAAATGGTCATGTTTTTCACATCTTCAACTGTATTATCATATTTTCTTGCGTCTTCTGAGGTCTCAAAACTTTCTCCAAACACACCAGTCTTGGACATATCTTCCGGCGTAGTAAATCTGGCCTCTAAAATTTGTGGGTCGCAGCCTGTAATTCTTTCTCTTCGGTGGTAAAACAGTATATATGCGTTTGTTTCTTCCGTCACATCTTCCTTGACACTACTCACTTTACTATCATCGTACCTCAACCAACCTTTGGGATAAAAAATATTTGACCTTAAAACTTCGAATTTTGAAATTTCGAAGCATTTGTTTTCATCAGATGCAAGCGTCTATACCACAACAATTGGATGCTAGGTACTTATCCATCCAATGCAATATAGCTTCGATAAAGTGCATGAGAACAGTACACTCACTGTCAGTTTCTGTCAAAGCCAGAGTATCGAGTTCGTCTTTTGAATAAGGTTTACAAAATGCAATATAGTGGCCGAAATTCATAAAACCATAATGACTGCTAACTGCCCGGAGATCATAAATGGCTCTATCAGTTGGCATTCCAGGATGTGCGAGTGATGACATATCCAAACCTCTGGAAAATAAAGCACTTACGTATATAATAAAAAGACAATATAAAGGTATACACAAGGCATAGATTTAGGCAACGGCGAGCTAATTAGCCATAATTATATATATATATATAAAAAAGGTTAGAGTTTTTCTTAGCACAGGTAAAAATATGTACGAGGAACAAGAACCCTAATGATATATTTTTTCGTGATATATTATTTCCTAGTATCGGCTTGGACAACAATACATTTCATAAATATATTGGATGCATGGCGTTACGTTGATGAGACATCTTGACGGAAACGTCACGCTTTCGATAAAGTTCACTAAGAATATGTGTGGGTATAAACACACCTGAGAGGAAACTGAATATGTTTACGAATCTTGCGTCCATTTCCAGAGTATGCAAATCTTTTGAAGTGAATGATTAGGTTCTCAGGATGTTTACAGATCATCATCTTTCGAGTAGCTGTTCGAACGTCTTTGCAATGATCACATCGCCTGCACCAAATGCAAAGTTCGTTTCAATTTATCCAACATTTTCAACTGCATTTTCTGTAAGAGTGCAGTGTTCAAAAACACTGTTCCAGTGTTTTTATCTATTTATTTCGTTATGGGAAAGCCTTTTCTACACTGAGCATTATTTAATAAATTACTCGACGAAAATACGTTTAAGCTAGGACATTGATCAATAATGTCATGTAGTCTATATTAGACAATTGACAGCCATTTATACCACATTTGAAGAGATACTTTGTAAAGTTTCCAACATTATACTGTCTAGGGACATAATCAGGTATTCTTACCAGCCACACTCCTTGTTAATGTTTTCAGGATTCCAATACAGTTTGAGACACTCCTCCAATGAGCAATTGTCACCTTCAGAATAGAACGTAGAAGGCAGTTACTGCAGAGAACTAAACAACCGGCAACAAGAAAAATCATAAATTCACTGCCACGATTTAAGAATCAACACCATTACCGACATAACGACAGTAATTCAAAGCATGCAACGCCGACAACACCACATGGGGACGACACCTCATAAACACCGCCGACAGTGACATTGACATAGGTGAAAATGATACCCAATTTTACACATAAGCCAAGTAGTACATACCTTGACTTGAAGAATTCTCGCTTACACTACTATGGATATTACAAACCTGTAAAAATAAGCAACCACGAATTACGACGGGAAATTGAAACTCCAATAACAGCATGCTTTCTGCTCAAAGGTAAGAATTAAGGCAAGGGGAGACGATTCAAGTGAAAGGGCCGGCACTTGCCAAATGATCTTTGTCTCAACGCGATTCTCTTTGTTAAATGATTTTAGTCGATTGCGCTATTCCTGAAACCCCGGCATTTCTACGTGTTATCAACGTGTAGCAATGCCATCATTTAAATTGATTTAAAGGTAATCTCTGCCTCTCTTGCCCTGCTGGTGAAAGGCAAGAGGAACTGCTACCCCTGCTACTCCAGAGCCTAGCTACGAACAGCGAGGGGCAATTGTTTTCAAGGAGCGAAAACTCCGTAGCTATACATATATAGTTCTTCATAATGTTCTTCAAGAACAAAATGTATCTTACAATGTCTTTAGATATAACTTTGGTATCTGATGTTTTTGTAACCCAATCCAGTGCAAGACACACATTCTCATCAACAACCGGTTTATCTTCTGAAACAATAAGTTTTATAATAATTGTTGTTATATGTCGACATTGTGTTTTAAATACAGGAAGATTTCCAATTTTTAGTGGGATAATCATTAAATAGGGATAAATGGTTTTTGCGCAAATCGGCTTTATTCCTTTGGCCTCCAAAACAAATAGTCGCTTTGAGCGCGAAATAGTTTGCACTATAAAACGTGCAGGTATTCAGAGTATGTTACATGAAAACAGTGGCCATTTGTGGTGACAAGTTATTGTGGAAGGGGATTTTGACAGTTTATATACTTGAAATGTCAAATGTGCGTTCAATCAATCCGGCCTTAGCATCCGTATTCGAAGACGATAACACGTGGCTTAAAACACTTTATAAAGAGAGTTAAGGTGGTTTCCCACTAGGCGGAATTTTTCGATCGAACGAAATTTTTCGCTCGATTTTCGTGAAGGGAATCCGCTACGGTCGAATTCTCACAATTGAAAAGAACCAGACGAAAAATTTCGTTCGGTCGTAAAATTCCGATTTCCTAGTAGAAAACCGTCACGACTGAAGACATTTTAGACATTATCATGACTATTATACAAATGCTATAAATACCTTTATCATTCAACTTCTTTCCTTTGCTGTGGATATCGGCTACGTTTTCTAGTAATGTCATCTCAAATTTACTTGATGCTAAAACAAAAACACGAATTACGCCTCTTACTCTTGAGACAAAAGTCGTGCATGTTTATAAAACATATTGATGATTTTGCTACCCGGCGATGAAAAATTGTCTATTTGAAAATGATCGGTCGTTCTTGACCCTAACCTACGGTTTCGAGTAATTTGAAAAGTGTCTTAAGGACACTTCTTGGAATTATCAATAAACCAATAAAAATTCGTAATACTCATCCGGTTCAAATTCAATTTTGGGTAGTTACGGGATACAGAAACATATTTCATCTGTACACGTGCATATTTCCAGAAGTGGAATCAAGAATGTGGTTTTCGCACAGCAATTTTGAACACAAATTTAGTTCTTTCTATATATACAGCTATATCATGAAATGAAAGCTAAATAATTCTACATTAAAATATAATATATTTTATTTGCATTACGTCATAAATACACTAACTTACCTAGATCACCTTTCACTTTTGCAACGGAATACCTAAAGAATAATTTACATGAGCTCGAATATAGTAACGGTCAGAGCTTCCAAAGTCAAAACTAGGCTTAACATGCGAAGGTGTTAGTAGAACCCCATTTAAAAAAGATCAATTTCATTATGCATTAGCGATTAATGTAAATCACCTTGCGTAATCTAATGCGATCTTCTTGAGCTGCTTCAATGTTGCCTCGGATGCGTTCACACTGATGACAAATGGTGCACCAATTATTGATGGGCGAAATTTGCAGTATGGACGATGACTTTTCCAGTCGTTTGTTTGACACTCCCTTTAAAAAAAAAGTTCAAGGAATGTATCAGGCCATATAGCTAGCTGTGTACCGCAGGATTACACATGCATTACAGAGACGCAGTAAAGACCTGCATGCTTTTTTCTTTCTTCAATTTTAAAAGGTAAACAAACTAAGAATAACAAAAAACAATAACATAGGACTAACGTGTACAGTATCTCTTAAAAAAGGCACGACTGGTACAAAGGTGTCCTGTCATCTAATGCGATCAACTTGGTATTTTCACGAAAAAGCACGAATATACAGTAGCTTACCCCTAAAATTATAGGGTCCAAATAATAGAAAACCTACCTATCGCAGTACGCCCTTTTACAGCATTTTGAACAATAAGATAAAGAGGATTTCTCGTCTCCACAGTGACTACATTCCTTTATTATCTTGTGCGTTAATCTCTGAAATGAAATGAAAAATATTAAAGTAGTTACTTCACATTCAAAAGATTCATGAAAATATGTTTCTTCTAACTGGACCTTCTAGCTGGTAATGATATGACAAGGTGCTGATTTAAATCTTCCACGACAATGCACTTGCACGGAGGTGACGCATGCGTATAATTAACGTGTTGAAGAAAACATAAGTAAGCGGAATTTTAGAGGATTGAGGGAATGCATCTAATTAACAAAGGTACTATCTTAAATCGTGGTCTTAATTTATCATGGGTGCAATTAAGGTTAATGTACATGCATATAGGTTTATTATTATTGTCCATTTATCTATTTGCTACAGATTCGTAATCTTCGTATAACACTTTCTATAAATCACCTGAATAACTGGGATATGAAGGACACGATTGTTGCATCGTTTGTCGTTATCGTCCACCGCATAACTTTGACAGGACTCGATATATTCTTCTTTCTTACCGGTATCGCTTGAAGGAAAGTCTTGGTTTGAATCCAGTATTTCGCAGCTGCAAAATTGATGGGAGAATGGAATTCAGTGTTAAGGAGTCGATTACCAGGACTGGTACTGATTAATTTACTCACGCAATAATCACTTCATTATTTGAGGGAAATGTTACTTTTTCTTCTGGATCAAAAACACGAGATATTTTACCGTCTTGTGAACACAGCAAAAGAAGCTACAAATAGTAAAAAAAATACTGTCAAATATTTAGCTAGGGCCAATTTGTTCGCAAGAGATTTTTTAGCCATTAAAAAATGCTTATCTGAAAACTTACACAGTGAGCGGGAACGCCAACAATGTCACTGAGTTGTGCTAGTAAATCTGAACAACGTGTAGCTTGGAAAACCTTTAGTTTAGTCTAGAAGAAATTGATGCTTTGCAATATGTTTTGGACAATCCAACTACAAGTACAGTAGAGCAATGAAAACAGATAGATATCACTAAAAAACAAAAACAAGGGAAACAAACAAACATATAAATATTAACAGCATACTTTTAGTGGTATTTTCTCCGGATCAAAGAAAAATACGTGGATGGACAAATACTTCGGATCCTCAGGAATTGGAAGATTAAGTTGCATCCAATGATCAAATGATGTTGAAGGCTTTGCATTGAAAGAGATGTAGAACAGTTGAGAAAAATATTTCGAAAATTTTATGAATTGCAGGGTACAAATTTGATGTCGTGTTACAATCATCGTTGTTCGAAAGTGTGAGATAGCATACAGTATGACAAGTAAGGAAATGGGATGAATATATTATATGGTGGTTACCTTCGCACATTCATCACAGTAGATTTCAGAAACACTTTGTCCTTGGAACAGATCACTAACGATAGATTGATTGCCATTTACATAGTTCTCCCAATGTACACGACTGTTATATCTAATATCCTTTGAATCATCAGCCTTCATCTCATCTCCTGGTTTCTTTTTCTCCTTCCGTAGTTCCTACAGAATTTACGGGAGTGTAAATGTTTAATATCGGTGAAACGAACCAAAAGAACAAAATTAACGTTTGATACCAACCCTAGTCGAAAATATGACAACCAGTGATGACAACTCACCTCATGAAGACCGTCAAGTAGAAAGGTTAGAAATTCCTGCGCATCACCCTGGTCATAATGTTTGAACTGCTTGTTCTTCTTGCTGATAATATGCTTAAATGAAAAGTTGAAGTCTTGAAGCGGTTTGTGTTTTAATATACAAGCATTACTTCCATGGTTTGCGTTTGAGCTGTACGAAATTAAAACTCTAAGAAAGACTACAGTATATTTAAGGAGATTTAATTTTCTTCACACATTACTTACCTTTAATTTTGAAGCGGAAATACAGCGTGTCTTTCCTGACCAGAGTTGTTGTATTAACCGTTGGAAGGTGATTATAAGCTCGCCCTGGTAACCATTCTTGTTATTCAAATTAATATGGCCAGAGTATTTCTTAGCTAAAAAAAGGGAGCAGTCTGTTATGAGCAAATAACCATACATATAGAAAGTTAGACAAATAGGATTTAGGAAACATGGCTGAAGTGGTGTATGTTTGGTAGTAATAACCTACAGGAAACGAAATTTGACTAATATTTCTCGTAGATTCATAATATAAAAGATTGAATGCTTAAATAAACTAAATACTCACATAACAAATAGGTTCGTAGTTCTCTGACAGAAGAAAGACATTGGACAATAGAATTAATATAACAAAGATTTTCAGTGTTTAACAAGCCAACTGAACCAGGCCGACATTCCTGTTTACAGGCATCGTAACTCAATTTCAAATCCTGATTCTCGTCGACACTTTCGGGCGATTTAGTTTGGACTCTGTTCGTACTCGTCACCTTCATGGGCAAACTATCATCGTTTGAATGACTGGGATTGTCTGTTGTCTCATTATTGTCGTCACCAGTGCTGGTCGAATTAGATAAATTTTCATTCTCAAGTCCATTCTGTTTGGAAATAGAGTTTGTGCATTTCATATTTGTATGTTTGCTTGTGCTGTCACACTTATTTTCCTTATCAACTATACTTTCGTTTTTCTTCGTACTATCGTGTAGACCAGCTTTACTGTAATTACAATCTAATCCAATACTCTTCTCGTCAACTTCATCATCTTTGTTCCTATTAGTATCACCAGTTTTGTTTGTTCTAATATTCCCGTAACCTCTGTTAGATAATACACCATTCGCATCTTCAGCTAAACTATCAGGAACACCCGTTTCATCAAGAACAACATTGTTTTCTGCACTCGCAATTTGGTTTGTGTTACATAAGCCATCCTCGTTTCCATTGCAAAGTTTGACATCGTCATTTATCTTCGTACTGGTTGTCCTGCTATCACTTTTTGCTTCATGCAGGTTTCCTGTAGTATGATTTTCTGCACTTTTTCTAGACTTGTTATCACCAACAGCTGAAAAAAAATACGGTATTGTAGCTTACATACACGGTGAAGACGGTGGATTTTTGGTATAAGGAAGCAATCATCTGATGACATCGCCTCGTCGAATCACTTAACCGTACTGTTTAATATTAGTAATTAAAATTCGAAAGACGTTTCACTTTCACAGTCAGGAGCTGTCTTACGGTGTGAAAAAATTATGTTTGCCTGGTTGGCTATATCAGCTTATATACATACAACCCAAGCATATTGTATAATTGTTAAGTATGAGTACCATGGCTTGCAGTGAGTTGCAAATGATCAGAAAACTACCACAAATGAAAACACTGCTGAACAATAGAACATACATACCACTGAAATGAAGTTCTTCCAAAGAATTCCATGGATCCCTTACACAAGCTCTTTTTAAAGTTATCGTCAATTTGAAAGGAGATAGCACATACTTGCAGTTTTCTTCATCAATATCATGTCTTTAGGGAAACAAACAGAAAATAAGCTAAAAATATTGATTACTGCATAAACTATGTGATAAAAAAGAGTCAAACAGGGCAAAAAGTAAGATTTTAAAGATGGTATTATATGGAGTTACTATGTTTATTTATACACTTTCATCATGTTTAAAACATTTTGAAATCATGTTTAAAATAGCTCACCTTAAATTAACATTCCACTCAAAAACAGTCTCTTCAGACACTTGGTTATACAATTTCAGAAAGTCTTTGGATCTTAAAAAAATTTGATAACTTTGATGGAGATTAAAAAGGTGATGGTTGGAATATATATAGTTTGCAAGTAAAATGCACCATGTCTAGGCTTTAGAATCTGCTGCTACACAGGCTAACATAGATATTAACAGAGAACATTATAATCAGGGAAGACTGGAGTCTACAGAAGCATTGTCATCAGTTGGGTGCAATATAGCTTATAATATCAAAAAAACAACATAGTTGCCAACAATCAACATTTTCTCCTTCATTGCAGTCACTATTTTCTAAAGCACCCTCTGATATTACATGTATGCCTCTTTCAGCAAAACATGTCATATGATTTTAGCATGTCCCACAAGCAATCTCAGTCCTCTATCCATTTGACATAAATTATTTTGAAAAGGTTTCCAGGCTGGATAAAATCATGACAACAATAAATACCTTGTTTGAAATTTCAAGTGTAAAATCTTAGCTCCAAAGATTACTTGTAATGAGCTTTTATCAATTTCTTTCACATACACTGAAACAATCAACAGATCTCGAGCCTAATGGTATAAAAAGTTATGGAAAGATCAGTAGCATTAAAAAAATTACAATAAGTCTTGTTTTTGTAAGAAAGGACAAAGTGAATTTCTTCTCTGCATGCAAAATTTAGCAATTGCAGAAATGGAATAGTGCAATGGAATAAAGCAGTGCTACATCGAATGGCAAAAACAAATAACAACTAGGGAATTTTATTGTACAATTTTCTTTGCCAAGTCTTGTAAAAAAAGTATGTAAAAAGTCAGCATGACGACTGATATCAAAGGAATGGCCTCTGTGGTTCCTTTTGTTATCTGCTATTTTTGTTGTTTTTTTCATTTACTTTTTAAATTTTAAAAATAAGCTTGCTTTGTCATCGCTTAGGCCACCCACACATGTTTGACCTAAAGATAGTAAAAACAATTTGAGATTGTATGTACCTTTTTATAGAAGTCAAAACGGAGATGCTCTAGCAGATATGTTTTCACAGCATCAGTCTTTTTGCCTATAATGATATGATTTTTATTTTGTTTAATTTTATTTATTGTTGTTAGGAAATCCCAACTGCAATAAATCTGATTGACTGCTCTGGACTAAAGAATTACCATTTACCTTAGGGAATTGGAAATTCTGATCAGAAAAGCAAATGGTACAAGGAATTCTCATAGGACCATTCACTTTTCCAACCGGAATTTTCTGATTCTTCAGGATAAATAGTTAGCCTTCAAGGTGCAGTCCTGAACAAGTGCTGCAATTTACAATAATGCTTCATATGAATTACCTCTGTCACATTAAATTGTAAAATGTGAAAACCCTGGCTAAGACTATTGAAGCACACTTTGTCTTCGATTCTGGACAGTGATCTCTCAGCAATCTCAAAAGATTTAAGGCACTAAAATGCCCCCACTTCCCAACATCATTGCATTTGGTGAAGTATCATTTATTTATAAATTTCTATTGGCATATTTAAAGTATTTAATAAAGCTGAGCTTCTTTCCACAACACTCAAATTATGCCTACAATTACCTTGTTTCAAATCGATATTGATAGAGTCGTTATGAAAGACTCTAGATAGCAAGATAGCATTATGAAAGATAGACTGCAAAAAATAAATTGTAAAATTTGCAAACTTACCCGGAACATTATTGTACTTGTGTTCCGCGCAAGACTTGGTGCCTGAAGCGACTCCATCGCATAAAAACGTTTCTTCAGGCATATTTTCAACCAGACGTTAATTAATAACGATGTTCAACCAGTGTTCAAAACAATCATTCATCCACTTAAATCATATTCAAAACTTCAACCAACAAAATACTCAACAAATCATCGACAAATATACGAATGAGAGAAATATTTTTCTTATTTTTACGTTCACACAATTTACGTTCTACAACTTCTGAACCAACTTCAGTTTTCAACAGCGTTTTCACCACGTTGTGCGAACAAATCACGCTGGCCAAAATCAATCAAGGCTCAACCTGATTTAAGTTAAAATGGCCACCTTAAATATGAATTTCAAGTTTTGCTCTCACGAGCTACGTGAAGGGTAAAACTTGAAATCCATCTCATTTAAGGTGGTTCTAAATTTGTAAGGACAATGTTGTGATGTAATTATTGAAAGGGTCCATTGCTATGATGAGCAGTCTACCAGGCCAAATGATGTTATCCAATACCATAAAGAACAAGACCAGAGTTTGTAAACATACACCATGCCCTAACCTTCATCCTCCCAAAATTTAAAAATCTGTCATCCATAACAATAAAAATTTCACAATTGGTGCATACTATAATTTTATGACTACTTTCTTGGCTGATGTCTTAGAGATTTACATTTACTATAAAAGTACCCCAAAGTGAGAAAGGCGATCACATGCATCTATCAGCACATGCAATTGAATTTTTTCAATAAAGACTTGTAACATATAATGCTAGAACTGTAAAGACTGTAAAATTATTCAATCATTGCATTTTTGGAAGCAAATATGATTCATCAAAAGCATGCCTGCTTTAATAGTACATTAGAAGCATTTAATACAGGACACAACAAAGCACTACATTGTAGAAGCAAATAATCAAACAAGACCAGCGATTGAGAATACACCACCAACCCAGCCTGGTGAAAGGATAGTGAGGTGAAAATATAGCTGTGGATGAATAGCATTAACCCCGGAACAAAACATCAGTGATGGTTGAAACAAGTCCATGAGCCATTTGTGAAACTCCTTCAAATTTTCCTCACTGGCTTGCATATTCGAAAATGTGTTTTCGAATGAGTTAATTTTTTCATCATAGCTATCATCAGAGCTGTCAGATTCAAATCTTGGGTTGTTTGGTAAGCTATCTGCAATACCAACAAGTTCACTCATGTCAGATTTTACAATAATTTCCTTGTGAACATTGAATATTTCAAGAACTTCTTCAGGCCTTGGTAGTTCATCACCAGCCCAAGGAAATAAGCAAACGTCCACAGAAGAATCCATAGTACTGTAATATGGTGCACAGCTTGCTCCAAACTCTTCACACTTCTTACTAAGTGTTAGTAACAAATACAACGCTTTGTTAAATGCTTGATAGTCATAATTTACATCTTCAGCAAAAGGGTTGAAGTTGACTGGTGTCATGATGCCATTCTCCCAGATTTGTGGTAATGGTCTAAATACATAGCGAGATGGGTCATTTGCTCCAGGCTCATCACCCGAGTCATCCCAAAAGCAAAACCAAAAATTGGTTATTAGATCAAAGTTCATATATCTAGGTGACTTCAGTTTTTCAGCATCAAGCTTAACTGGTAGGAAGTTGTAATTTTGTTTTAAATAATTCTTCATGAATTCTTGAGTTGTTAACATGGCTTTAAATCGTTTAGACAGCCTCATACAACGCGCCAAATCCGGCAATGAAAGACGTACGAATATCATTTTAGATAATATCTCGTTGGGAAGCGCAACAAAACGTGAATCACCTACTTCAAGACTTGTAGCTTTCTTCGTCGCCATTTCCATTGGGATGGGCGGTCATGGGCCAGTGATGGGCTATTAGCCTATTACTGTATTAAATTCGTACCCCCCTGCACAGAGTAAGTAATAGATAAATAATTTAAAATAAATAATAATATAAAAGAAATAAAATATAATGATAGATAAACAATAGACTTCTATTAAGTACTCTATGTCCTGTTGTTCCGTTTTGTGCCATGTATAATACAAAATACCCGGAAAATACCTCGATTTCCATTTTCCAAGTGCTTGGACCATAGTAGCCCAACACTCGTGTTTCGCGCGCGTACACGCACTCAGTGATTAGCATATTATGCTGTACGCGCGCGGAACACGAGTGTTGGGCTACCTATGCTTGGACATGGGTCCAAAATAGGTGTAGCTCGCTTAAATTCCTACATCGCAGCAGTTCAATGCATCGCAACTAAGAATAAATTAGGTCGTAAACATCCAAAAAAATAGAGCAGGGCAGCAGCCAATCCCTAGTAAGTAATATATATTACTTATATTATGCATATTAATATATATACATATTACTAAAAAAATAAAATTCGATGAAGTGACTCGTGTTTCTCATCACGTGTTACACCGCTCTGCGCAAGAATTGAGCACTCTATCCGGTTTTGTATGCGTCAGTTTCTGTCATCACGATAGTTTCTACCTCTACATTTAACGAGATATCCTTCCGAAGATGGGTTATAGCTTGCAGTCAGGTAAACAGTATCGAAGTCAAAGAAAAATATTTCGAGCAGCAAAAACAAAAAAAATGCTTGAGTTCATCGACTTTTACTGGAAATACTTTAAAAATTTCACATTAACCAACTGCATACAATCATTTTGTGACTACTTAAGTCAACGGTCTTGCAGATTTAGAGGCTTTCTTGGATGGCTTCGATTTCTTGACCAAGTTTCTCCCGTTTAGCCGCATTTGCCTCGTCGTTTTCAACATAGGCTTGCTTGCTTATCTTTCCATCAACAACTTTTTGAGCCAAGACAATGGCATCATCCATGAGGCGCTTCAGCTCACTTTCCTTTCGTTGCAGCTCAGTGATCTAAAAAATACACGATAAAGTCGATAATCATTCACTAGTAACAACAAGCAGGAGAGTTGTACATATCGTCCATATGTATTTGGAGAGCTTTTCGCAGTAAAATATTTCTTCTCACGAAACTGTGTAGTTTCGAGAATTTGTCGAGTTGTAGTGTAGAGGTATCAGCGATGCCATGAATTAACAGGGAAAGGTTAATTCGGTAATCAGTAAAAAGTTCAGTTCAGTGACCAACAGTATACGAGGGTACAATATGCCAGTGGTTCAATATTATCCTGCACAGCTATATCAGATTGCATGTTTCACTGTAGAGTTATATATTCTGTACTACCCCACCTTCAATAAAGTCGTTCTTCACTTACATACACTGTTACATAGCAACTTACAATCTTTTCGATCGAGATAAAGAAAGAAGTGCAAGTACCTAAACTATACACGCAATATTGTATACCTTGTCTGCGCTGTCTGGCTGATCCTTGGCTAGCGCAGCTTGTCGTTCTGCAATCTTGCTATTAACGCCGCGATAATCACTATCAATCTTCTTTCGAGCAATCAAAAATGCAGCAGCATCTTTTCCTGCCTTGAATCTATTCACAGCATCATTATACGAGTCGTACAAACGTCTGCGCTGATCCAAAAGTCCAAGAAGTTCTTCGACCAGACCAGCAGCACGAAGACGTGCTTCCTGAGCTGCGTCCTAAAGTGTAAAAAAAATTCGCTTCAGTTCAGAATTAGTTAGAAATTTCTACTTTCCTGCAAAACAAAGCTTCCAAGTGTAATTTACTAACCTACAGTCAATAGTGCTTTAACTACTGTAATAAACACATAACCAGCTAGCTATACATAAACCGTGGATATGTTTGTCATTCGACGTCTCCATACCTTTGTGATCGAAAAGTCCATTCGTACGTAAACGATCACTGCCAAAAACATGAGGTATAGAGCACCAACCAGCAACAAAGGTTCTTGGAGAAGCAAAATTTTGTTGAATGCGTACTTGAGCTAAATGAAAAAGCTGCCTATCAGAAAACTTTGACCAGAAAACTATGCACAGTAGGTAGCTTTAGTGGCAACTGAACTCTTGTTACGTTATGTGAGATTACTCGGTATAATAATTCAGGGAAATACTGTGCAGCGTGCACGTTGAAAAACAAACCTCAAATTCTTGAATGTGCTGTTCAACCAAATTGTTCTTATGATAGACAACCACAGGTCTCCCGAATGTGTCAAGATAGGTAAAATGAAGCTCTTTTTGCCCATGGGTGGCTTCAAAAGGAAGTTTCATGTCTAAGTCCCTATATAACCAAATCAAGGACAGTCAGATTTAACTAACCAAAATCCATATGGTAGCATTGGGAACATGTATCACATGCTACTGTTAAAAACTCAAAATCGTTGGGTGAAGCAACTAACTTATTCACAAAAATTGTCATAGTATGGGAGAAGATTTTAAATGTTTGAGAGCTGTACATACTTGGATCCTTCTGGCAAAATAATTCGTAATGTAAAATGGTCCACAATAAAGTCGTCAAAAATATGGTCAACAAATCTCATCTTCAATTCGTAGCTATTACCTAGTAAATGGAGTTTAAAATTTTAATCTTGAGATGGTGCAGTGGTTGAGGATAGGATTTTATTCAGGCTTTTAAAACAAACCTTTATTGAAAAGATATTCATAACTTGGAACATTATAACCGACATAGTAGCGTGTTTGCCAACCACCAAATAACGGGAAACGAGGTCGAATCTCTAATTCAACTGAATCATCCATGGCCAGAAGATTGCTTGTTGAGATGTTACCAATTTCATCACGATAATAAACATCAGCAGCAGAAGCAGGTAAGACACTTTTGAAAGATTTTATCACAGCAAATGTTTGACTTCTTTGATAATCATATCTTGAGAATGTTCCCTTCAATTAAAAGCACATAAAAAATTCTAGTCAAAAATCAGTAATCAGCAGTTTAGGAAAAGCCATTTTTGTTATATAATTTACGTCATATAATTTTTGTTGCAACTTGGACTTGGAGGACAATTAAACGGGACCATGGATTTGGTAAATAGTTGGAATTCATAGTATCCAGAATTACTCACAGTTAACATTGTTTCAATACAGAATACAAAATTTCTGGTATTTCTTGGTACTGTGAAAACCTACCTTCAATTCTGCACCAGTATGTTTTATGTGGAAAGTTTCTTCGACTGCAATGTTGCCCCAGTGTGATACTTCAATTGTACGGACCATATTCACAACCTGAACAATATACAACAGAACCAAATACACCTGTCAGCTAATCTGTAACTAATGTACCAACCCCAAACTTGACTGTGCCATTTGTACGTTTCTCCTAGACTATAATAAATAACCTCTTCAAAACAGGAGATTTCTGGCAGCAAAACCCATTAAGTGGAGTAAAATTCTATTTATAAAATTTCAATTTCCTAGGATTAAGCCATCCAGCTGTTAGATCAATCCTATTTGGAACATCTGTGAAAGCCTGATATCAAACCAAACATAGACTTACAGTCAAAAATGGAGAATTATTTTCATAATGAATTTTCATGTTGCTTTTCTGAAGAGGTGCAATGTTTTCATATGGTCCATAGGTTAATGTTTCTTCTTCTAGAGTAGCGGGCTTCAATTTGCTGTAGTATTCCACAGTCGACGATGCTAGTTTTACTGTTGTGGTTTGTTTAACAGTATTGTATGGTGATAAGAAATAATGGTTTCCTTCGAAAACAACATTTTGTTTTTCTGCCTGACCAATTTTCTCAGGAAAAGCTCTCAAGGCATGAGAGAACACCATATCAACAATTACTTTCATGGATTTACCAGATGAAAGTGGACTAGGCAAGGTAACTTCAAATCCTCTGTTGGCACTATAGAAGAAACCTGGATTGCTAGTCTGAACAATGCCAAAGCATTTCTGACAAGCTTTTGCCTATGGCCAGGGTAGATCATTACATGGATATACAATAAACAGCATTGACTAATTTGTCTTGGGTTAAATGGATGTTAGAGGCTAATTTGTTCACCAGAGTAAAATTAAAATTGTAAAATGTACTGTACATCCTTTTTAATTGACTTTAACTAAGCAGCCATTGTGAATGATTAAACCCTTTTTTTTCATTTATTCTGCAGAAAATATTCAATTGGACATATTTTCATTTATTCTGCAGAAAATATTCAATTGGACATGTCCCTGATCTGAGTCACATGTGGACTTACTTGTGGTTGCATAGCCTGGGGAAGCTTTGGGGAATTAAGTATGGAAATACTACATCACATCTTATCTCATTTTTATATTTTGTGAACAAATAGCTGCAGTGCTTCAACTCCACCGTGGCCAGCAGCTGACCTGCACTATACGGGATTCATCCCTGATTTAAATGGAGGCCAATTCAAAATGTTTGAATATGTGTAGACAACTATACTGTACTATTGTGAAGAACTGAACTTATTTAATATTGTGTTTAGATTACCAGTTCACTGAAATTTTATGTGCAAAGAAAGAATGCAAAAGGAACTTTTCCATGCAATATGCAAGCTTTGCAGTCTAGTACATACACAAGTTTCAAGACTATAAACAGTCAGCTGTTAGCTAAATGCTGTGGTCAAGCAGTATATCTCTTTTAAGACACAAAACATACATATGGAAGCCTCAAGCACGACCTCAGATGTTCTCTCAAGAGATAATTTCCATATTTTCTAAAAACTTACCCAAATTCTTCAGTTCGCACCTCTTCCACGTCTAAATTATTCGACTTTGCATCGTCAGCCTCAACCTGAAAATGCAAAATTTACTCAATTTACTGTAGAACAAAGGTCTACACATTGTTCATTCCATTCAAAAGTATCAAAGTTTTAGCTATCAAAATCATGCATTACATTCGAAAACATCTTACCGTTGCACTAATGTAGGCCAGATAGTTTGAGAGAACTGCATCGACTAGAACGTGAAACTGCTTTTCTGATGATTCACCAGTATTTTCCAGAGTTATAACTACATTGCTCTTAACAATTTGACTCGATATATCAATAGAGCGTATTACTTCCCTATTGACAAGCTTTTCGTTTATCGACGCTTGCAATGAGATTGTGCACGAACTAGAAAGTATAAAGAGGATAAAAAACTGCAAATAAATTTGCCCCATTGCCAGATGGAAGAGATTTTGAAGGATTCTAAAATAAAGTATAAACCAAATGGGAATCAAGGTAGGAAAGAGAACAAAGCTGAAATTACAACAGCTTAGTAACCGCACCGGTTGAATACATGTACACGCTGGTGAAATCTGATTGGATGTCAGAAAGTTATCGCTGTCTTTGATGTCTGACCCGTCGATCCAGCCAACACGGTCCAACAGCCAGCAAATCAACCTCGTACCCAGGGTTTTCAAACAATATAGTCTCAATCTAGTCTGGCCTCTACCAAGAAACGAATACCTAAAGATGCCTAAGGACTGTCTGTCCAGACCGTCCATCCTTGTCCTCGTAGCCAACCTGGTTCAACCTGGTACGAGATGGATAACATTAACTAGAGTCACTTTAAGTTAGATAATGTTGGATTATGTTAGATAATGATTCGACTCCGCCGTCTAGAGTTTTCATCCAGCTAGAATAGCTAGGCCAATATCTTTTTGGAATTGGGTTTCCTAAGTTAGGTTATTACTTCAGCTTCCTATGGCAGATGGTTTCCTTCGTGTTCCAAATAACATGTTGCTATTCCATTTTTAAGATGTGCATGAATTCGTTGAATTGTCTTGGATTGCTGTAACATGCAGGTGGCAACAGGCTATAAATACATCGCAACTAGGAAGATTTGTCGGATTAAAAATGATCGAGATTTATTTCATAAATAAAGTTTTTAATATTAAATAAACTGATAAGAAGAAGATAGTGCTTTCAAAACGAAAAATGAAACTCGAACAGTTTTACTTATTCTATTTTTAAAGATTCAAGAAGATTAAAAAACGAGGTCACTGGAACGTAGTATCAATAACACAAGGTATATAAAATAATATATCTCATTCATGTTTCTTTTTACCCAGATTTTATCATCATCCCATTCATGGATTTATTTCTATACCATATATAACGAGCGTCATATATAATGTCATTCATTGTTTCCCTTGCTGACCTATATACACGTTCTCTTAATGGCAAGATGATCTGCCGTTAACCAGCCACCTGACCTAAACATCGAAACGATTTACTTATATTTATAATTACATGTTAATTACAGGATCAGGTACAGATATGCGCCAGATATTTTCTACTGAAATCACAATCATAATCTTACTCGCAACCTCTCAAGTTTTGATTGCTGAAATTGAATTTGCATCTACAAGGAATGGAAAGCAAGTTCCAGTTAAAAGTGCAAACGAGCAACAAAGTACTGTGGTTTTACGAAACAGTGCCAAATTTTCTAAATCGAATGCGGCAAAATTTGACGATAAAAATCACGCTCTAGGTGAGACGAACAACGGTAGACACAATCCAACTACTTATTCTAATGCACGGGGTAGCTCAGAGAAAAAAAGGTTTAGCTTCCTCCTGGAATCAAATGAAAGTACGAACCATGGTAAACAGTTAGCAAATCCAAACCCTGATACTTCGAAGAATGCACAGTCTGCAGATATGATCACTAACACAGACATTCAGGTGCTGCAAAAATTTGTCAAGAAACTTAAAAGTTCTGTAGGAACTAAAGGAAGAGGTCCTGTCATTAACATTCCAAGACGAGAACCCTCGAAACAAGGTGACAACATGGAGTCCAGTAGCGACGAATCAACATGGACACCCAGTAATAAATTAGCAAGAAACCCACATCAGCAAGTAAATGTTCAAAATCCTTCCAAAAACGGGCAAAAGTATCCCTCTGATCAAGATCAGTCAGCCTCAAATATTCCTAAAGATATATTTTCAAAAGAGAGAAGAGTCAATTCTCAGCCACCATGGAACCTAAATAATTTGTCGAAATCTGATGTCGATGCGTTGCTAGAAGTTGCTAAAGAATGGAAACGCTTACATTCAGATGGCAAGGAGCAGCAACGATACGGTCATGAACATGAAGTAACTGATAACATCAAAAATAATCATCATGCAAAACCGATCAAAATGAAATCAAGCGAACGTGTTTACAACAGTAGAAACCCTAAAAATCATAGGGCAGGTTCTCAAAAACAAGACTACAAGACGACGAAGCATACATCCAGTGCATTTAATGAAGCAGAGGCTGAAAAGAAACCCAATAATCTAATGTTACCATTAAAAAACATGCTTGGAACAGAACGCACCAATGGGAGTGCAGCATTAAATGATCCTGGGCAACAATTAAAGGAAACAGTTGATAAAGCTATTGCCAATACAACCCAACAACTACTGCAATTCATTAAGCTGGAAAAACAATTAAAAGGATTAAAAAATTCAAGAATGAATGAAAGTAAAAAAGAGATTCCTTATGCGAACTCGCTCACGAAATTGATTACCTCGATGCGTGATTTTAAAAACATGGAAAGTGGCTGGGTTGTACCAAACAGTACTAAAGCTAAATCCTCAAACCTTGTTGAGAAAAACAATCCTAAGAGTACGGAAGGTAAAACCGGCAAGCAGGTTCGATTACAGAAAGAGCAATCTTTACATATAAAAGAACAGCCAAATTCCTTTCAAAACAGTAGAGGTGACCAGAATTCCAAGGCTGAATTGGAGCAGAAAAGAAAAGAAGATAATCCAATTTATGGACAACACCAACTAACAAAACCTAGCAGGGTTGGACAAGCACAAAAACCTAAACACAAACAAATAAAAGAACGAAATCAAAAGACATTGGAGTATCATCAATCAAAACAACGAGAAAATAAAGCTGAATATAAAAGGCCACCACAACAAATAGCAAAGCATGAATCCCACAAGGAAGAGAAATCATGGCAACAACAACAACAGCTAGAAAATCAAAAAACGTACGAAATGAAGAACAAGAGGAAGAGGAACAACAACAAGAAGAGGAACAACAAGAAAATGAACAAGAAACTCTGGATCAAAATCAACAGAGACAAGTCAAACAACGCCAACAACAACAAGAAGATCAGCAAGACAAACAACAAAGTCAACAGCAAGATGAAAAAAATGGGCCCCGAAATAACGAAGAAATGGACGCCCTGAATGAATACAAAATTCAGGCTAGCCAGCAAAACGAAATGGAAGAACAACCACTTCAGCCTCCAAACACCTCTATATCACACCAACAAAGCGAAGACGACGTTTTAAAAGAAGCCAGGCATTTCCGTATCAATACTATGAAACATCTGATAGCTTCTTTAGCTGAGGATCCATTTGACACCTGGATTTACCACCAGAGAAACTTTGGTGAACTTGGAATTACACCAAGTCTTCTTAAAGCCGGGATAGTAAATCTTGGATCAAGTAAGCCAGTGCAACAAGCAGTACGAAAAGCGGTGAGAGGAGAAAACGTCAAACTGCTTGTGGTGGGGGGTTCAATTTCTGCTGGGGGAGGATTGTGGAAAGACCGTGGAAACGTGGATGGTGTGTATCACAGAGCCCTTGCACACTGGTGGAAGAGGACGGTCACTCCGGTTACCAACTCCAAATTGGACGTGAACAATGTAGCAATTGGTGGAACAGACTCCGAATATTTTTCTTACTGTATAAACAATTTCTTGGAAGATAATCCTGATATTGTACTTTGGGAACTATCCGCAAATGATTACAATAGATTTAACGAACGAAATTTTGATCCAAGCAAACCGTTGGAACAGCTCACAAGGATAATCTTGCAACTGCCTTCACATCCCGCTCTTATTTATGTTAACTTTTTTCGCGGAGATAAGCAAAACTTTCAACTGGGAGAAAAATGTCCAGACTCGGAAGAAACTGAAGTAGATATCTTGTCACGGTACTACGACATTCCGTCTCTTAGTTGGCGAAGGATGGTTTGTAATTTGATTACAAAAAGAACGTTTGTAAATCAAGAATTATTCAGTGACGACGGATATCATCCCAATCTCTTAGGGCATGCTCAAGTCGCGATGCTGCTAATGATGTACATCAAAGGAGTATTTGAAAGTGTTTTAGCCAATGATTTAGACAACATGAAGAGGTTTGATATTCTAGACGACCACAAGGCTGATTTTCAAGATGCATTTCAATTGAAAATTCCAGCATTCAAAGACCCACTCAATCCTAAACCCAGCTGCTGGACCTTGCTCACACCAGACTATACAAAAGTCTTCAAAAATACTTTGAACGAAGTCAATGTTTTAAAGGGGTATGGGTTCGAGTTAAGAAATTTAACAGCTTGGGGTGTTCGTACAGATAGAATACAATGTCTCCTTGCAACAAAACCTGGTGCAGAATTAGATCTCAGTCTGAGTGTGCCTGTTTTAGACGACGATAGAAATTTACCATTAGCTGATGCACAAACGAGAATATTGGCTATCGCAACTCATAATAAATTTGGTGGAGCAGCAGAGATACAGCTTGATGATTTACCTAGCAAAACATCGTTATCAAACGGAACTGGAAAGCTAAAGCAAAACAGAGTGTATATAGTGAGTGAAGATGTTCGACCAGGCGTGCACAATTTAAGATTCCGGTCTTTATCATCTGGCTTTTGTCTAACATCAATAATGGTCATTTAGTAACATTCGTAATCTCAGCTGTGGTCAGTTCTATAGGTCTAGGTTAAGACACCACATTCAACTGTCATCATTGAAGTTTGGAATAACTATTATACTTTATCGAATTTGACCTCAATCTATCATTTAAATATTGGCGCTGTGGACAGTGGACACCCTTCGTAAATCTTTAAAAATGTAATACAGAGTTAATAACAAGCTTAGGTTCTGATAGGTTGTTCAGTTTTTCAGCATTGTTACGCACCTTTTGTGCATTCCTTACAGTTTGCAGATTCCTTAGTTTGCACATTCCTTAGTTTGCACATTCCTTAGTTCGCACATGCCTTGTTTCGCATATCTTTTGATTAGACCATAGACGGCCCAACTAAATCAATTTTATCACATATTAATCCTCCTAGCGTGTGCAAGGCGGCGTTACTGTGTTTGTCGCACGATGGTCTGTCCAGTCCCGCGCGATGTTCGCGTAGTCTCATCAGTTTAATATATTCCAGTGAAAACAAAAGTGGAATATATTAAACTGATGAGACTACGCGAACGTCGCGCGGGACTGGACAGACCATCGTGCGACAAACACAGTAACGCCGCCTTGCGCAAGCTATAAAAGGAGTAATATGTGATAAAATTGCACGATTTATTAAGTCTAAAAAACCACCAATTTTGGGCCGCCTACGATTATATTGCACATTCCTTCGTCCGCACATTCTTTGGTTTAAATATTTCCTATAGTTGGAACGTACTTTAGTTCCCACATTCCTTAATCTGAACATTACTTAGGGGCGGTTCACATGAGCCCGGTTACCGACTCGGATTTAACGAAGCATAATTTTACGTTTGAGACTTTGAGGTATTGAAATGAGTAAATAACACGATTCTGGTAGTCGTGCTATTATCCTAACAATAGCATGTGAAGACTTTTTACACTACCTCAAAGTTATAATTTAAGTTAAATTTTACGCTTTGTTAAATCCCGTTAAACCGGGGTCATGTGAACAGCCCCTATAAATTCGCACATTTCTTGGTTCGCACATGCCTTTGTTCCCACATTCTTCAATTCGCACATTTCCATAGTACGCAGACAGCTGAAGTCGTACTCCCTCTTAGTACGCAGATTCTCTAGTACACACACCCCCTTATTACGCACATCCTTATAAGACGCACACTGTCTAAACACGCGCATCTAATACGAGTGGAAACTGCCAAAAATAATTTTTAACAATTATTATAGTCGAAGATTTATTGCGTAATTCTACAGTTCTATCTGCTTCGAACTTCAAAGTTGAAACAGCTGGGAAACTGTCAGGATGAGTTAGAAGCCGCTGGAGCAAAAACTTTTCGCTGCATGTGACCGTTTATATCTTAATGGAGTTCGTTAACTTTTCATAAGACTAATCCGGGGATCTAATCGAGGAATCTAACGGATCCTTCAAAATGTGGAATAGATAGACAGATAGATAGATTAACCGAAAAGCACGTTGCAGCCTAAGGGCAAAATTGCGTGCTAAAAATTGAGAAATATTGTGGATATAATATCATAAATTATCATATGTTATCATAAATTAATTATGTTATCATAAATTAATCGACAACTAAAGGTTATCGACAACTAAAAAACGTAGTCTGTCGCGCAAGTTGTCGGCAACTAAACTCAAAATTATAAGTTGTCGTCAACTAAGCAGTTTCCCTTTTCGGGAATTAAACTGCGTATAGTTGTCGAAAACTAATAGTTGTCGACGGCCAGTCACGGCCTCGTTTTTTGGCGTTTTTCTAGGGTGTGAAAACTTTTATTTTAGTTGTCGACTTTTAATCTCCGCGCTATTTCGGTTGCTAAATCAGTATTTGAGTGCCAGTGTGTGGAATCCTTCATCGGACTTATTTTAGTTGTCGATAACTTTTAGTTGTCGATCACAAATAGTTGTCGACAACTAAATCCCTAGTCTGTGTAGGCCTTATAGTCTATTTATATCAAATACCGTTAGAGCATTGCAAATGAATTTGAAAATCGTTTAGTGGTGAGGCATACACCCTTATACTGTCACTCACACCTTGTGAACGAGTGTTTCGTATATACGTAAATAAACTCTTCAATATTTCATGCATGCGTTCGACAATACCTAAAATCATTTCGTTATATATTATAGTTTTTTTTGTTTCTGCCCCCCACGCAGCCAGGCTCAAGTGATGGCAGTATTTCGCTATGTTAAACAGCAGTGCCCTAATCGTCACAGCTTAAGGTAATCGATCTTTATCCTTTAACCTCTTCTTGCACATATATAGCTGACAGGATAAATGTCTCATGCGTGATGGTAGTACACTGTACAGTCATGCATGAGACATTATCTAAGACTATTAACTAAGACTACTGAGTTTAAAACCTTTTAGGTAAAAAGGTTTCAGTTCAAAGGAAGGCTTCAGTTGAAAATACTGATCTAAAAGCGACAATACGAATTACTTGCTGTATTATATGCATGGAAATGTTCTTAAAAACAAAAACGTATAAAAATACCGTCTTAAAAGAAACGTGAGAAAGCATGCAGTTAACAACGCAAGAAAGGAAATATTTTTAAGCTAATAATCACGTAAGCCCCTTCTTTAGCGTGCCTGATTCCCACAAACATGCGCCTCCCATGTGTACATTCTGGTAACGTCAATAATTACCGATAGACAAATAATCTTCATTATTTAGAGGAGTTCGTTCCCACATTATTCACTTAGCCATGGGCGGCAATTTATACAAGAATTCGTCAGGATGGGCTTGCTATATATATAATACTGGATTATCGATGCGTTAACGCCCGGATTACAGTTTGATTTAGCATCGGTATAAATCCTCGGTTATAAACAGTTTGATACAAATATCAGGCTGAAATAACTACTCAAATATATTCTTGAAATATTTCCACAAAATCCACCAAACGTAGAAGATTACCTATGCAAAAATCCAAATAGATCACAGCAGGACTTCAGTTGCATTATTCGCAATCCGGTTGAGTCCTAGACATTGTCATCGTAAATATCCGAAACATTCGTTATCCTACATTACAACAACTACATCAGTCTACATGCATGTGCATGCATGATCATAGAACTTTGACAATTCTAAACAGGGCCTAAGACGCGTGTGTAATGTTTTCATACAAGGCATTGTTGCTTTTAAAACTAGTATTATAGACGAGATAAAATATCCTCATAAATTATGGCCAATATACATGAACACGCGTCTATATGTATATATACATCGATCATCTCTTCAAGTACATGCATGTGTCAGGCGAAGTTTCACAACATAGTTATTTCAAACGTTCCCCGTTGCGCATGCTTGTCGGTTACGCGTTTTCTAAATTAAATGTAAAAAATGTTCTGCAATTTCCATATCAGCAGTGAACTCAACAGGCAATGCGAAGTTGTGGGACGTGCAATGGCAAGGTTAAATTATGCAGTAGTATTTGTTTTTGACTTTTTTCTCCTGACACTGTAAATTAAACAAAGCATTTTTTCGAAAGTCAAAAAAGATATATCATATGATCGACAATACATTTCAATAAAGCATTTCTTTCGTTTTTAATATAGGACTTTAAATATAGTACTTGCATGCAAAAAGACCAGACATCTTGCGATTTTATTCACTTTGCCTTGTTATCTTAATCAAACGCTAAAAGACATACTTTATTATTATTATTGCCGTAACGCAGACAACACAAGAGGTTATCAGAGAATATCTAGCGGTAAAATTGCGATCGCCAATATTTTTTAACACAATAATTTGATGTTATGACAACAAGCGCATTATATATATAATCAAGTGCTATAGTCTCTTTGAGAGAAAAAACCCCAGAAAATGTACTGAAAACGGTCGTTCAATAAATACGAATAAGGGAATTAAGATTTCGTACTTCGTATTAGACGTGATAACTGATAAGAACACATCGGTCAACCAAGCCACATGCTAAATTAAAGTTGTCAAAAAAGGTCTTAACAATTCCTCATATGGCCCACCAAAGCATCATTTGCATAACCGTATAAACCACGCGTGCAAATTAGATTTCATTATTTTGAAAACTAAAAAGAGTAATTTAGACAAGGAAGGGAAAGTATCATAATTTATGGTTATAAATTGTGAATCCTCGCAGTAATTTCCTGTCGAGGTCCTATTTTTTTCAATGCAATCGATCTTCACTAGTATATCGTTGTTAGGCCCTGTCATAAAAGATCTGTTTGCCGCGTTTGACATGCATGCAAAAGTTACATTTGACGGAATGGATCACATGCACAGTTTCAGTTTAGAATACGTGTAATGCTAAATTATGAATATCGATTCTACTGAAGTGATATGCTCGCATTGTGCAAACCGATGATAAATAATAGAATAATAAATGTTTGCTGACATAATATTGCGAGGAAATATTATTCAACGTACAAAAATTTGAATGTTGATACTTCTTATTCTTATGTCTGTACACCAAAGAACTCAAATCGACATGGCAAATATTGACACGCCGTACGCCATATATTTATATTCCCATAGGGTGACTCATTATGCAGTAATGTGAAGTAGTATGTCTTCGTCAAAAATACACAAGGCTGCCGGAAAAGACAACGGAAGAGGCATAAGATTCGTGCCTTATGATTCATGTGGGATGTAGGTATAATCTTCTTTTCTCTCGCGTGTTGAATGTATCAAAGCAAATATGTCATTAATTTCTCATTTTAATCCGTTTAATCATCGATTGTATTTATTTTTAAGAAACGAGTCCGCTTAATGATTATTCATACTAAACGCGAGGTTGTCAATGGTTTCACGAAATGCATGCAGAAAACTTTCCCACACAGTTCGTGTCTAAATTTAATCATCTCTCAGTTTGGTTTTACAATATTTGGTTTTATACAATCTTCAAAATATAAACAGAGCGATACAAAAGTCCAGCGGAGTTTCCTGCAAGTTTAAGCATCCACGACCAGCTGTTTTGAGGCTGAGCATCAAGAGATCACAATTCGACAAGGTGTGCGCGACGAAGAAAACAACGTCCACGCGTCGCGGTCGCCAGTTCAGCCTACAGTGGGAAGTATTATCATCTCTTGACACGCAGCTCTTCCTACTTTATTATTTGTTGGTTTGCAGAGCTCAAGAGCATGAACTGAAACGATATTTTCATGTTATTCTATATGTTTATAATCAGTGTTTACATATGTCGAGAAAATGAAAAATGTTAAAAGCAAGCGAAAATCACTTAGGCGACAATGGTCCGTAGATGTTCCATCTAGTATTCAGAAGAAATTTCGCGAGGTGACTGCGGCCCGACGATCCAGATCATTTGACGAAGAGGTTTATAAAGAGAAATTACTCGATGATAAAGAATACAAAGGAGAAGGCAATAATAAATGCAAGGGCTCTTTCGATAATTTTGGACAAGCTGATTCAGAACTACCTCATTCGTCATGCTCGAGTGGTTCCAGTCCTTGGTATTCATTTGACGACGACAACGAAGACACGGAAAGAGAAATAAATGAAACACAGCCTGGGTTAAACCGACCCGACATCGACGACATTCAAATCGATATAAAAAGTAGCGAAAACTTGTCGCCGGCCAAACGAACGAAAGATATCGTAGGTTTAAGCACGATAAACGAACTTGTTCCACGCAGTCCCATTAAAAGAACATCGCCGGCAGCTGATATCAACAAAGACAAAACAGGAAATGATGTCCCTAAGAAATTTGCGAAAAACGAAGAGATTGCAACTGGTGAAGAAGAACCGGAAATTGGTGAACGTTATCGTCGCTACGCGATATGTGAAGAAATGGAAAAATATATCATAGTTGATCATAAGGGTCTCAGTCTGAGAAAATATCGCGAGACATTGATAAGGCATCGAGTACTCAAGGAACTATGTCTTCTTTGAATCTAACTCAACTACACTGCTCACGCGAGTGAAAATTTCCATGTATATAAACAGTATTGAAAAACTCAGCCTTGGGCAACAGTATTAAAATAATTTCTGTTTTGTAGTAGACTCAAAAGCATTTATTTGCATGAACGACAAATTGCGGCCGGCTGCGCGCCTCTCTTCAGTTGCTGCGATAACATTTTATTTATGCGTAAAATTTCCATGTCAGTATGTGGTTTCGAAATATGACAGTATATAATAGCGAGGTCTAATGACAGAGTTTTGTCGGGCAAGAATGAATAAAATCTCTTTGGTTGTGGATTGTTTGTTGTCGAATTTAGCGCCGACGACGTTGATTGATCTGTTTGCACTTGCACAGAGTATAATAACAGTATTTGGCAATGCTAACCGATGCTAATTTTTATCGAAGATATTGATACGTTCTCCGCGGCAGAAATAAATTATCCACTGGAAAAAAACGGCTCATACCGCGATGCCGTAGACGTTTATTAGAAAATATAACGATTGGGAAATACTTCATTCAACATATTCACATGCATACTATATTCAATGATTCAGACTTGGAATTGCATGTAGACCATGTAAGACAAATGTAAGAATACGTGCATGCATGCACTTATCATGTATGCATGTCTACGAAAACTGATATAGAACGCCCTGACGATTGCATAGCGATTGGTTTTAAAATTCTGAAACAATATTAAATGTATCACACCAGCAGAATAACAAATTACTTAAACATTAAAAACGAAAATTTCTCATGTTTTGTTTTCAGTATAGCTTGCATGCTATAGCTGCCAAATAGTTAAAGGCCTTATAGCTATATACACGGGTTGAGTAGTATGTTTATTGTTTAAGACTTGAAGAGGTGCTTATTTTGTATATTTAATTAAGGTAACTATATAAACAATCGCATTCAACGAATATTATCTATTCAATTGTGATGACAACACAGAGTCAGAGCTATAAGAAGCGTTTTTAGACCGACTTGGCTGCATGCACGTCACGTGCTATGTTCGAGGGAAAGTTCACGATTGAGAATCTCGTAATTTTGCGTACATACACAGTGCCGTAAGATGCACGACGCACTAAATGCATGCATGCACTAAACACTACATGCATGCACTTTATATGCCTTTCCTGTGAGATAACTCAAAACAGAAAAAATCTACAAAGCATGCATATCAGCAAATCAGTGACGAACGTGGCGGACAGTACAACGAGGTTTATTGTTTCAAATAAAATACTTAAAGACCATAGGTTCTTCTTACAAAATGTGCAACGGTGTAGTATAAAGAAAAATCACCATGTATAGCCTTTTAATGTTTAGACGTACAGAAGCCATCCTATCTATAAAATTTTCTATGCATGCCTAATTTCATCCTTTGATTATTTTTACAAATTTTGTTTGTGGTAAATAGAAAAGATTTGAAAACTTACATTTCAAAAAATAACGCTGAATACATCTGGGGGTTGAATAGCTGCATGTGTTCGGCCGATTTTTTCTGTAAACTGAGGTTACTTTCCACTTACACGTTTTTTATACGCACGTACACGTACGGGAAATTTTAAATGCTTTTAAATTTTTATTATTTAACATCTAGGTCAACTAATGCATACTAAAATATGCAGAAAACTAAGTTCCTTCGATTTATTCACTTAGTTTTTTTAGAGGTAACATGTGAAAGGATTTAGACTTTTACGTGCGTGTACATGCGTATGAAAAACACGTAAGTGGAAAACAGTCTTAAGACTCGGCGAAAAGTTGTAGATATAGTGAATAGAAAATATGCTATTTAATTTTAGCTTTAGAAACTTGAATTAATGATGTGGGAGAACCACTCATCAGTACTCCGAACAGGCCGACTTATTTATTGGTTCTAGGGCCAACGAGAGGTTAAGCGGGGCCTGGGTAAAAAACATTGTCTATTGCCCTCGCACCTAATTATGTTACGGAGAACGGAATTCTCTTTTTAGATCTTTAAATGTCTCAAAATATATTGGTGAAATCCTGATACATATGCGCTAAATTATTTGACAAAAATAATTCTGTGCCCCCCCTTCCCCCCATTTTTGTTTGTCTTTTCGGGCCTTTTTCAACTGTAGAGGCCCCGCTCTCCTCTATGCAACGTCACAGTTTTCCACCGATGCGTGATAAAGAAAAAAAAACAATCTTTAGGTCAATCCTTGGCCAATTCCTGTTGACACACTCGTGGCTTTTGTGACAAAAAAAATCATAAATAACATATCATACAGCATGTTCAGTCTAAACCAGCTTCTTTTAAAATATCCTCGCAAATCTTTTTATAAGCCCAGGTATCGCCTTTTAAGCGTTTTCGCCGAACACCTACAAGACACAGATAAGACATGATAAGTTATGACTGAAGGTATGGTGTACGGATCAGAAAGTTGTCACCAAAGGCTATCTCTGGTTCCTTAGAGATTTTTACTCATAAACACGAATTACGTTATTCGCTATGTTTGTTTGAAACAAGCAAAATGGCTACTGATCACACATTGGTAGAACTTTCAGTCAACTGGCTCTTTTATTGTTAGGCGCTTCGAATTCTTTTAAAAGGTAAAAGCAATTTTATAAAATCATAACTATTTCTGCATATTCTAATAAAAATCGTTGTTACTAGGACCCTAAATATCTTATTCTTATCAGTCATAAACAGCCTTACCAATTAATTGACTCCTCGGAAGTTCACATATTTCCAGTTCAAAATCTAAGACAATTTTCCCCCGATCGTCTACGGTTTTGCATCGAATAGTATAACTAGAAAACATCAAAAGTATTGCATGAATACATCAATATCTGCCAAGTGATCTGAAATAGGGGAAAGGACTGCGATTATTTTCCAATAAAAATCCATTTATCGTTTGAAGCAACTTAATATGTCTTTAAAATACTTTATTTGGGGTTTAAACTAATGTCTAAACATATAATCACAAAATATCGGCTGGTTTCATAAAGAATAACAGAAGATAAAATCGATTAGATACTGAAGAATGGATTTCTATATCGACAACCCTTCTGAATGCTGATTGGCTGAAATATGAGAGCGAGATCGTCTGTAGTGGGGGCTATACATCTCTAGATTAGATCTGTGTTTTAGCATTAGGTTAGGTGTTGAAAATTGTCTGTGAACGTAAAAATTAATTTACTCTATTCGAATGCAACGCTCGCTTCTGCGCATCGGTTCTACTTCGAGTAGTCTAGTACTTGTTTCAAAATTGCACAAATTTCGCATGTTTCATCTAAACGTATAGCGAACTAAAAGCGTGTCAAATATTGTGAAAATTCTTGATATTTTAGGAAATATACGGATTCAAAATGTAAACAAAACGTTTGTTTACATTGCGGACTGATTGTACACCACTTGTAAAAACGATTTGGTGGGTCAACTGTGCAGTATCCCAGGGGTGGATCCAGCACTAGTGCACTAATTTGCATTACAAAACAAAATGGCAATTTCGAGCAGTTTTCTTGTGTCATGCAAATTAGTGCACTAGTGCTGGATCCACCCCTGCAGTATCCAATGCTACGTTCGGCCCAAATGACATCCACACAATGAACGCGCAATTAGAACAATCTATACTCCGCCTATAGATTGTTCTAATTGCGCGTTAATACACGATTTTTCGATGACACCACGGTATGAAAGGAAATTAGTTGGTGACACAGTATGAAAATCAAAACACATTTCTGACAGGATTCGTGCAAACGTCCAGCATAGTCCAATCATAATGATGAACAAATTACTGAAAACCATTTGCGTTTATTTTTTCGTTTTTCGCGCAGTGAACCTGCAAACACGTCCATGCAGTTATCTCATCTCACGCGATAGTTTCCCAAAATAGTTCCACCTGCGCTGTAGCCCCCCTAGTTTACCTACCAACTCAATGTTCTATATACAAATTCTTGCCACCAGGAAATGTAAAATTCGACTGGAATTTCCCGATAATGTTGTCTAATTTTGATGGCTGGTAAATGAATTTAAAACCAAGTTAAAAATACTTTTAATGCTGGTTGACCTACCCACTGCATTTGTACATCCAGCCATGTCGGGTTTCAATAACTCTCTGTAATGCGTCGAGAGCTTCGTCTGCTCCTCTGCTCGTCGTCGTTGCAACATTAGCAACTTCCTGTAATAAGAACGTTCAAGTTTTTACTTCACTGAGGAATTTCCACAATGGGGGAAATTTTCCTTACACAAGGCTATCATGCACTGGGAACTAGGGAGGTGAAGGACAATATTGATAGCGTCACTTTATAGCATTGAAAATCATTTCAAAGTAAATTTCATACACAATTTCTGATTGCATGCATTCTGGTGAAATGTACATCCAGCTTTCTCGTTATCGATCGTAGATCATGCAGCCTTATCTTGGAACATGGCGTGATACATTATCTTAATTCTCCGGCAGTTACATCGTAGCATTCATCACAGGTCAAAAGGTGGTCGATTATCTGTATTTTCGACAAACAGACTATGCGTAGCCAAGCAACCTCGCAAGCCAACCCCAGCCGGTGTGATTTGGTAACTGATATCAAGTATGCTGATCAAGCTGATTTTAGTCAATACAAGATGGCCCCTATATATTCTCCAATGTTCTCCTTCGAATTGAACCCTATTTCTAACATACTTTTCTGAAGTACAAATGCATGTGACCAAGAGAAGAATTCACTCAATGAAATGACCGTTGATCAGGGGCTGGGTATCTTAAGTTCTTAACTTCTCTATAAGTGGAAACATGTACACGCTGAAAGTCATTATAATCAACCAAACAAATAATCTCCTGCTGAACAAGATATACAGAGGAACATATACCTTCACTTTTCGCGGATGTGAACTCGTAGATCTTCTTGGCGTGAACGCTCCAAGAAATTTATTAAGACCACCTTCAATACTGTTAAAGATAGCCTGTGAATTATTAACAAAAAAATGAGAAGAGATATTTTAATACCTCTATGACTGTCTAATCCTCAAAACTGATATCTTGTAACAGGTTTTTTATTTCTTTGTTTATCTTGGCCAAGGGAACAACTCATCAGGCGTGCTTTGATGAAAAGTGATCATTACAGGAGATTAATACTATAACCTTTTGACTAAACCTTCTAGACGAAGCGGATTTAGACGGTGTTCGAGTTGTGCCATTGGCCCAGGGTCCCCGGTCAAGGTTGCGGTCAAGAGACTGAGACCATCTATAATTTCAAAAAAACTCAACGTCAGTAGTTGTTAGTTTGAAACAACCAAATAATACCCTATCGGTTGTCTCAAAAACCACAGCTGTAAGTACTTTACGATTATATTATATTATATCCTCAAAAGCGTTTTAAATTCCTACGCTGTAGCTTTACATTACTCAATGAAAAGACTTACAACTTTGTTTCGGGTGATAAAGGTTTTCCCGATCCAATTTCATAATTCGAAACAGATGATGTAACCGGACTTTCTGGCAATAGAAATAGAGTCGTTTCAACCAGTGACAACTTAAGTGGTTTGGTTAAATACAAACGAGTAACAAAAAGCCTTTTTTCACTCTTCCGGCCGAGAGAGAGAGCTCTTTCATATGAAACGAAAGTACCAACCCCTACTTGAAACTAATGGAGTCAGAAGGTTACTAGGGGGTAATATAGTGCTTGGCATCTCGCCAATTGCTGGAGGCTCCGTAAAATCCGGGGGAAGAGTACACGATCTTGGTTTCCTGAAATCACTGTGAAGATCAGGGAATACGTCGTCTTCATCATCAACTAAGATTGATGGTGGATCTGCTTCGTGGTTCACCTCATTCTCGCTGTTTTCTTTTGACGCGCTTATTCTTTTCTACCGAAAACAACAACAATAGGCGCACGGGATCAATACAAAGACAAAGAAACATGCAATACAACGCAAATCACAGCGTGACACATGGAGTTTCACCATCAAGACACGGCAAGAACTTGATACCAGGGAGGTTGTATTAGGACGCGACAAGGTTTTCAAAATCAACAAATCATTATTTAACAGATACCTCAATTGCTAGCATATCTTTTCTCTTTCTTCGTTGAGATCTTGTTGATAGACGATTGCAATATAAGAAAGATGGGATATTAGGAACAAAATTAGAGGAGTTAAGAAAAATAACAATTTATTACTCTAAATCACTGCACATGCATTCCATAGTTAATCATAGATTGCGCTTAGTCAGTAACAGTACAATCAATACAATCGATTATCTGACTGATGTCGTAAGTGTGGTGAAGGTGGTTAGTCATCTAGCGACTGGCAAGAGCAAGGGGAGGGGGGTTGATAAATAACTCGCAACGAAGATGAACACAAGATAAACAAAGGTAGCCTACATTATCAATGAAGGACAACAGCGTATCAACGAAATGTAACCTACTCTCAATAGAAGACTCACAAGTAACTTACTTTGAACAATAATTGGTTATCTTCACAGGTTCCCCGCGACTCTTCTTCTTACATAGCAGAAAGTACGTGGCAGTTAAATCATCAAATTGATACTGTTGTTTAAAAAGGTAAAACATAAATAACCTATATTAGAAGAGACTTTTTAGTACTATGCATAGTGTAATACACAAAAACACTTATAAAGTGATTCATTTTATACTGAACTATTTGTTCTACTTTAGATATATTACGAAAATTTTAAATTTTATTCCTATATCTCTTTATGAATATCTTTGCCTTTGAAGGTGAACTGTGAACCAGGTTTTGAGTCAGGTTTTGCGCAATAATAAAAGTTGGACAATTTGCACCACTTGTGTAAAATAGTTTTCACTTATAATATTATCACTGCAACTCAACGAAATACTATTATTTTAGTTAATCTCTGAGACATCGATAAGTGTAATTTGGCCTGAAAACCTGATTAGTTTTAATTTTGTCATATGAAGTCTACGTTATACACACCTCTTTAACAAGAGACGTCATAGTCGTAGGTGATACACCATAATATAAAGCAAGTTCTTTAATTACTTCTGTGTCAGGCTCGTCTTTCTGGTTAGAGATGAAACAGTGAAGCAATGAATTATCTTTTCTTGAGACTATTTGTGGTATTTGAATAAGGTAAAACTTAATTAGATATATAAGAGGGTGATAGGCGTAATGTTATAATTAGGTCATTTATTTGGAAAACTATGTAAAAACTACTAAAATCAGGGCGCGTTCTTAGTAATTGATCCCCAAACGCAATGTTTTCTTTTAAAATATAAGCGTCTGGATACGAGGTCGGATGAGGTTATTAACAGATTAAATTGTCGCATGTTTACAAAAAAACCCCTCAAATATTTCTCCTCATACAGTACAAAACACATTTTACAATATCTTTGAAATGCAGTTACATGGCACAACTGCAACAAATCTCTTTGGTTGAAGCTTTGGTAAAATTAAAACACAACATTCTCTAATACCTTGACACGCGTTCTTGAATTCACGGGATTTGCGTATCCTTTGTTCAGCCATGAATGCAAGCAAAGTTGTTGGACGGTCAGACGCCTTCTAGGATCGGTCTGAAACACAGCAATAATGTCGGTATGAATTTTTCGAAAAGAACACTGTCTGAGAAAACCAACTAAAATTATGAGGCAAAATTATGAAACAAACAAATTGAGGCAAAGAGCACGCAAAAATACCTGCAACAATTGTCCGATTAAGGCAACACTTCCTTAATAATAGAGAAAAAAATTAATTTCGACGAAAAATTTTTGGTGAAAAATTCTTATGAAAAATTCTTATCGCTATACTCTGGCGATGCATGGGTACATGCTAACTTGATGCAGTTTATAAATGTGCATGGTCACCGAGGTATTGAAACACGTTTTTATGAGAGAGAGCAAAACAAGCACGTGGTATTGTTAAGATGACCATACAACTGCCAGGATCATGTTCAGTTTTTTCAAATTAATGATAGTGTTCTTGTTTCAGTAGATGCAAACCATTGGTCTACAAACAAAATGCTATATACAATAATATAAACGTGCATGTGGGTAAGAACACTTGCCTTTTGATAGGAAATCCGGAATTTCATATTCTCCTTTCTAAAAGTAAAAATAAGTTATCTACCTATCTAGTTTTTCTTAAAGATTCTACGTACAATGTAAAAGTCTACTTGCCTGGATCGCTTTGTACAAGTTGTAAGTATTATCGTCATCGAAGGGCAAAAAGCCACACAATAGAGCATAGAGCAAAACACCCAAACTCCATAAATCCGCCTAAAGATGTGAATGCATGGGCTTTATGTAAGGCATATAATTCAGAACAATTCCTTTATTTCATATGCAAAATTTGACCATTGTGAGAAGATTGGAATGCGCTATCCACCACAATGAATAAACAGAAACACTACTTCAAGAATAAGAAGGTTTAAAGCAAATTATACCAAAACACCGGCAGTTTTAGAGCAATTGAAAAAACCCACTGTCCGTTGCATGGATAGTGCATCCGACCTTCGCACAACCTTTCCCAGACTGATTGCGTATATACCTCATTACCAAAATAGGGTACACCAGATATTAACTCTAGTAAAAAAAGAAAAAATTCTCGAGTGATTGAATTATTCTCCCATAGTCAAGTAACGAGAACAACTGCAAGAAAGTTGGATCGCTTTCTAGGATCTCTTCGAACACATTGTTGGGAACGGGTGTAATTGACCAGAAGAACCACGTAGGGATGCGTGGAGGATTGGGTGAAGGGTTAGGTGAATGGTTGGGTGAAGGGTTGAGTGAAGGGTTGGGTGAAGGGTTGAGTGAAGGGTTGAATGAAGGGTTGGGTGAAGGGTTGAGTGAAGGGTTGGGTGAATGGTTGGGTGAAAGGTTGAGTGAAGGGTTGGGTTTAGGGTAGGTCTACGGTTGGGTGAAGGGTTGAGTGAAGGGTTGGGTGAAGGGTTGGGTGAGTCTTGATATAACTGTACCTGGAGCAGCATAAGCTGGTGATCCACAACACGTTTCGAGTTGTTGGGTCATTCCTCCCTCTGGTTTTCCCACCAATCCAAAATCAATCAGCTTGATATCCTTGAAAGAAACCATTATGTAAACATACAACCTGGGATTTAACGTTAGTTAATTTGATGACTGAGGTAAAAATTAAAGGGAAAATGGAGCGAATATATTCAAATATGCTTACTTGATTTTCATCCAATAAGAGATTTTCCTAAAAAAGAACAAATTCATCTGAGATTATGTTCAAATATAACCAGGGAGCAGCATGGCAGCGTCTTCAAACAACTTCTCGACGTTTTAACCTGAGGAAAAACACTTCTCGACGTTTCGACCTGAGGGCCTTCTTCAGGAGACTGAGTTAGTATATGAAACCAACTCTCCTGACGAAGGCCCTCAGGTCGAAACGTCGAGAAGTGTTTTTGTCTATTTTATGCAGTTCTTATACCACATTTGATGCTAATTTGAGATTACATACATATATTATAATAGTTGCATACTAGCAGGAATGATTTTTTTCCAAGATGATGGTAAATAATACGATCTATAACAACGACTCAATTTTCAAAAGATCCTGATTCTAAAACCTTAAATCCAATTGGTTTAAATGTGCATGGGTGGTTAATCATAAAAAAATATTTACTGACCGGTTTTAGATCTCGATGCGCATAGCCTTTCTCGTGCATGTAACCAACAGCGGACACAATCTGACGTAGAAAGTGCCTTGCTTCTTTTTCCTATGAGACGAAGGCATAATATACAGTTCTTGCATGTAAACAAACAGCGAAGAAATAGAAAGAACATGACATGAGTAATTAATCATACAAACCTCTAAACGGTCCTTCGCAACAATATAATCGAAAAGTTCTCCTCCAGGAGCATACTACAACAAAAGAAAGAGTTGTTTTTAAAAAGTTCTGTTCTCAAGAGGTTGTGGGTGTAAGGTCATTGAAATGTTCGGAAACCCGACAAAAATATCAATATTGACATTAGGCCAAGCACGTACATTTTCCGCAAAAGAATTCAAGAGTATTGTCGGGAAAACAAAATATAATCCAAATATTGGCGGAGACTTTGCACAAGAGACTCACGTTTTGCCCTAGACTGTTCTCGTTGAATTTATATTTCCACCATTTTCGAGTCAGCAATAACTAGACATATTTGTTTATATATATACTTATAGCCTAATAAGAAAGCACAATTTCAAACTTTTTTTGAAGTCTCTTTCTGTTTGAAGTGCTCGTAAAATTAATCTTTTAAGCACTCCTAATCAAGGAATTGAAGGACCTGCATGATAAGACTTCTTTCTCGTATTTACGTAAACTTTTGTACTTGCATGTGGAGGTTCTATTTTGTGAAAAATCACCTATTCGATGGTCTCATTACGATTACATTGGATTGAAAAAACTTTCATTGAAATTTTACCGACTTTCCAACATTCGGAAAAGGCAGAATTACCTCAGTCACATATTCAAAACATGCATGTGAGTAAGGTATATCATGTTCAGTTCGTGTTTATTGTTATCAGTACCAATACCTCTAAAATCATGAAAATTTCTTCCTCAGTCTCCAAAACTTCGTAAAGTTGACAAATGTTTTGGTGGCAAAGGTCTTTCATGGTCTCAATTTCAGCGTAAACACGCGGCAGATCGTGCTAGAACAGAAACACGCATCCAGATCACGATAAGTTTTGATAACGAATCATAACGAATGACTCAATTACCGCAGGATGGTAAAAACAAACATTATGTGATGTGTTGATTGGTATATCATATTTTGAAATTTGAACACCATATGTATATACATAGTCTAGACCTGAGTCTCAGTCCGCAGTATAAAGTTCATTGACCCCTTGTCTTAATTTGCTGTATTAAAAAACCTGGCTTTCTATTAATACATACATCAGTACTTACTGCTAGAGTTGATTTGTTCATCATTTTTATGGCGACCTACAAAATGTAGAACAATTTAAATACAATTGTCATGATGTTGAAATGTGCTATATCCACTATGGATGATTCAGTAATCTGATAGGTCGAGCAAAGTCTAATAAGCAATAACAAAATGGCTGACCATTTTTCTCAGCCGCTTTCTGGTGCCACAAAAAATTTCCCAGAAATATATAACAAATCAACAGGAAAGAACGAGGATATTTAGTTGCATATAAGTAGCTATTTTATCTTTGTGAAAAAGTTTTTTTCTTTAAAATTTAATTTTACATTAAAGGAAATTTTAAGAAAAAAATAGCGCTTAAATAGTGCTCAAAAGTGCTTTCGTCTTAGATGGCTGATAGTAATGACTCGGTACTAGGACTCGTCGATATGAGCTCGTCGACATACGACTGAGTTCGTGGTTCAATTGTTAACTACACTCCATGCCTCCATTGCGTTCCCTCGAAACTCCTAACTCGTGCCCAGGTTTGGTTTCGGTGGACAAAAAGCGATCTTACTTTGCCCGCTATTAACATGGTCTGGTAAACGCTTTAATTAACGTTCAGTTTCAAATCATACATCACACATACAGAAGGCAAATGAAATAAAAAATAACAGTGCAATATTTTCTCATCATATGAAGTTTCAACACTGCAAATACCTTTTCATTAGTCAGTTGGTGAATAGCAAGCTTCACCTTGGCGAACCCACCTAAGAAAAAAATCATGAACAGTATTAATTTTTTAAGCAATGTTCACAAAGAAAAAAATTCTGTTATGATAGACATCTGCCCTAAAGTTAGGCAAGCTGCAGGCAACTCCAGTTATCACGCCAACGCGGCGGCTACGAGGTCACATAAAAACCGTGAACACTATAGAAACCTAAAAAACTAACGTCTCTCAGAAATTTTGGGTTTTTACGTTAAAGTTGTTCGCAGCGCAATCTTTTAGAACAAAACATTGAAATATGTGACTTTACGACCAGTCGGCGGCGCATGAAATCGTTCCATGTTTGACTAGGTCTCAGGCCAACGCAAACCGCATGGAACGTGACCAACGCGTCGTGAATTTTCAGAAATTAAGAGTAACCATAAATGCCCATCAAAGAAATCTTTAACAGATATGAATGCAGCAAAACATAGGCGCTTATCAATATTTAAAAAGATAAATTTGGAACAAAGTTGCTTTTGCATTTGCAGATGATATTTGCGTTGCGTTGGCGAATTGTCTGGTCTGTGTGGGGCTGTGCATATGCGGAACCTGACTTGGCGACACGACGGGATTTTTCCGTTTTCAGGAGCCAGAGTAAATTACTGATTAAAAAACATTAAATTTATGATTATGCATTTTGACTATGTACAGCATAGCTTCAAATTATCCCTCCAGGCTAGGAAAGATTATTAATTAATCATTTTTACGCTTACGAAATTGTTGCCAAATTGCTTTCACCAGTTTTACTTTTGGTGTATATTGCAGCTAAGCTACATTTCAATTGATTTTAAGGTATAAAGAATACAGTTTTGCTATTGTATTCCTCATAGTAATCAACATACTAGCTCGTGATTAATAACAGCATCCTGCTGTTATGACGATTTATGATACTATTTAGTTTCTAATGTCTCAGACTCAGACGAAAAAATGCTATCCAACATTGAATATTACACATCACGCATGTCTATAATTCTAGGAAATCATGAAATCATCTTCCTGATATATGGAAACCAGGATAGCCAGGTAAGCTGAATTTGCTTTTCTTTTTTGTTTATATGAGAAAAAATTTCATCCCGCTAGTCGGGACAATTTTATTGTTTTGACATTGTTTTGAAATTTGTTAAAAGTATCTCGCTGCGGCATCTTTGAGTTCAAACTTTTATCCCGGTAGGCGGGCCAGCTCAGTCGTGTTTACGTTCTCGTCTTCGCGCTTCGTTCAGATCTCGCCATTAAAAATATATCTCGAGAAGCCAGTCATTCGTCAGCTGTTTGTTCATAAAACGCCCGGTTTCTCACAGCGAGATCTCGCTAGTCGCTAAGGCTAAAGGAAACTTGGCTTGGTAAACAAGCCAACTCTTTCTCTGCCAAACAGCCAAATAATTATTGTGCCTTGAAACGTTACAATGACATAGTCTATATGCTAATTGTTGTTCCAATCAGTTTATCTATTTCCGTTCGTCGTGATATTTGTAAACATGTTGCAATTTACAAACATTTTTTAATAAAAAAATTCGTTTGTCAAAAAATAAAATTTTCCCCAATTTTTTTTCTCAATTAAAATACAATGTCAAATTACTGTATCTAGATGCAGTAGATGTGGAGATATCTATAATAATCAAAATGTTTTAGTTCGTTTATGTTCGAGCTATTCACGCTATTGTTTACGAGGCAAATGCGAGTGTAAAGCACGATTATGTTAACAACATAAGTCATGATTAAATTTATAGACTCGCGCCCCGGTGTTCCCTGGACTACAGTGTATTTGAAATCGTCTAATTTAAGAAGAATTCATATTTCTTTTTAATGTTGACGAAATCAATTGTGCTTTTAGGATGTTCACAAATATCATTTACTTCGTTCATATGCGGCTGGTGATGCCCGGCATATGCGGTGTGTAATGCCGGCCTAAATGATTCATAGAAATTTATTTGCGTGAAAATGTGCGAAAGCGTTAAATGTATGTGTCTCACCACCGCTTTGGCGTCTCACGCACTTCACGTGTGATTAAAATTAAGGTCTGATTTTAAAGTGGACGACAGCTGATAAATAAGCGCCTTTTCACCGTAATATTCAGAAGGTATAAATTAATATTTACAAAGTTCCGTCCGGTAAAACGTAAACAAATAGTCGCCTGTTTTATGTCTCGCAACAAAAACCTAATTTCCCGACACACAGCTTGATTATTAAAGATCAGTCACAGCCATAGGGCTTTTTAAATCGAACCTTTAAAATTAAACATAAAATTAAACCGCACTTGTGAAAGCATATCTCTATGACTACGTTCATAACACGTATGATATTAAAATAGTCGAAGAAATCCTCTAATCTGTGGCCACAGTGACCGACAAGTTGACTGCATTTTTTTAAGTTCCCCTTGGTAAATCAATATCGCTTTTAGAGTACTGATTGTGGTGTAATACTTTGAACTCATTCTAAAGAATGTATCAATTATCAGTAGAATCTATGCATCGTTACACTGCTTTCTAGCAAAACATTGTTATATGTTTCGATAATATCCGTTGGGATTAAAGCGAATATTCATTGACCTCGTTTGTCGTAGTTGATATCCAAAATGAACAATTCTTTTTAATGGCACTGCATGCTATCACAATTTATCTAATCACATTCAACTGGCAAACAAGTGCTGTTTGAAATGTGCTCCAATACGGCAACGACTCTATCTGAGATTTTGCCATCTTCCTTCATGAAAATTACATGCGAGGTACTTTTTAGATACTTTCGATTTACGAGAATTTCCGATAGATATTGCATTGACGGAGCTCACAGCATATCCCTGAAGTTCGGCATTAAAAGGTAAAGCCATAAAAGGACCTACATTTTAAAACATGGCAATGTTCGAACATTTGGTGGTTAGACCGGAAGACTAAATAATACGCATGCCAGTTTTAGATCCTGATCCATCAGCTTCAGTCGCGCTATTCGCTAATCTCATGGTGATCTTTATCACTTGCTCAATGTTTGACTGAGAATCTGCTAGGTCATTGCATGAAGCAATAAATCGAATAGTGTCATGGCCGATAATCGAAAGCCGGAACAATTTTAAGAGGCATATAAACGTAGAGCAAGCTGCGAACATCTGCCATATTTTGCCGCATGAATCAACACGATTTGGAAATTATAAAGACAGCTTACTGTAATATTTTGTGTGGCGATATGTACAATTTTGTCATGATGATGACATATTTTAACGTCTTTAACCATATCATTTCAAAAGCAAGCTAAAACGCTGCAAATATGTATACAACATCGGTTCATAGCGATAAATTTCGTGTATTTGTTTGCCCCAATTAACTGCATGACATAGTGTGTTTAGTACTATGGATTTAAATAAACTAAATTACATGGAATCTTCCAGCAGTTCTGCCACTACTTACCACTGCCAATAGTTTCTCGTATGTCATAGATATCTTTTAACTCGTCTGGGTAGATTAAATCCGGCATAATGAGCTTTATAGTTTGAGATATAAAATGCAGAGATTCCAATAACAATGTACACAAATGTCGTATGTACGATATAGTTTCACCAGCTAAAATTTCTTCGACATACTCGCAGAGATCTTGGATAATGAATTTATAAACTTGAACAGAAGAATACGATGAATAAAAAACCACAAGCTCAAATCAACTTGTCACTATCTATGTGCATATAAATCAACAAACGCGATCCTCCGTGGTATGCTGCTGTTGTTGAAGTCAGCTGAGCCTTCCTCCCGCGGGTCAGTAGGTTTGAATGAAAATTCTCAACAGGACGTCCAATCACACTCATCGTTTCACCGCAGATATTGAGGAATAACCACAATTATGACCTTGGCGGCGATGTCTAAAACGTGACGTTTATCATAGTCTTAGATGTGAACATACATATATATTTATATTTTTTTATTCATCAAGAATTTTTTGTATCGCGCACATGTGAGTATTTATGAAATAATTTTTTTGAGACAAAATCCAACAAAGTGCGGATGCGGACAAACGGACAAGACAGGACCTGACGCGAACCACCGATCAGGATACAAGCATGAAAGGATTAAATTTCATTCTCAGACATGAATTTTATTGAAGGCTTTTTTTTAACTCACGAATGAAAAGATTCCGTTGAAATCGAAATGAAAGGCCTGAATATAGGTATTATAATTCAATTTCAACGCCGCGTTGAATCGCATCAGTTTACCTTTTTTTGTAATTTACATTACGGCAAATAAATTTACAAAATCGGGTAAACTTTCAAGTCTCGAGCCACTAAAAAATTTGCACAGACCCACGCTGTTGTTTAAACCTGTTTCTTTCAGCTATCTTTCAGCTAATTGTGCTTAAAGCCATCTTTGACGCGATGCTTGACACAACTTGTTACACGCATGGGCAATGGTTGTATAAAATCTAGCATTTAATTGTAATTGCTGTGACCATATCAAGATAGTTGATACGGGCAGTCAACAATGACAAAGTGTGAAGACAAATTTACATCTGCACTATTTCGTAACGGAGAATGCTTTGTTCACGACAGAAAGAAAACCAGGGGCGCGTCTAGGATTTCTTTAGGATTTAGGAAGTGGTGCAATTGCATTTCCGCGCTAGGCAGACGTTAATCACGATATCCTTGAATGCAGAGTAAATAACCTAGAGTTCTTGAACTCGAAAATACCGATAATCTGTCAGTACTGATTTAACAAGATGGCCACTTTTTCCGTATAAAGAAAGCGCTCTAGGCCTGAACCGAATCATGTAATTTTGGCGGATGTTATTTTAAACATGCATAAGCGATAACCCGATTCTCACATTCTTTGTAAAATTTGCTGTTACAAATTATTATTAAATTATACTTAAAAAAATCAAACCTATTTTAAGAGGATCAATCCAAAATTACAAGTCAGAGCAAGCAGAGAAAAGACACGAACTTCTATCCCGACAATTTTTTTTAAATACTCTAAAATCAGCCATGCCACGGGACACGACCTAATAAATCATATATAGCTACGAGTATAAATTGATTCGAAATAGCTCCTTGAGCACTCTAGTTCTGGGGCCGGTTGTATCAAGCCCGTTTAGCTTAAACGGTGGATAAGTCAAAATTAAATAACACTTTTACATCTCTCTTGAATGAGTCAACTTGAATATTATGCACTGAATATGTAGTTGTAAACAGTATCTTTGTATTAAGGTAAAAAACATTTAGTTCGCTTCTTGAATAAAACGGCAGACTTGCTTTCTATTTTGAACTTATCCACCGTTTAAGCTAAACGGGCTTGATACAACCGGCCCCTGAATCTTCACATGTGCACGCGCACCGATTCAGTTGAAAAGAGAATTAAGTCAAGAAGGTATTGAGTTGAAGAATCTAATTCATGACAGAGATCAACATGCACATTTACATATTTCATGCAATGGCAACGATGAAAACTGCTCAATTATTAAATTATTAATTTACCACTTCACTCAATCCCACTGATTCTTGCTAGACCATAAATACTATAGCATGCTGGGGCCGGTTTTATAAAAAGGTAAGTTAACTTTTAACTATATAGTTACTGGCAGAATTGGCCAATCAGAATAATGTATTTTCTAGTTAACTACGATTTAACTATACTTAAAATGTAGTTAAGAGTTTTATACTCAACCGGCCCCTGGAAGGCAATCGATCTAAACAAACTACTTTAATCTCAAAGTAAACTAAGACATCGGACTCGACTAAATTCCTGCTAAGATTCTATAAATCACTTTCCTAATTAGTTTTTGCTTTTATCTAATTACTTGCTTAAATGAGAAAAAAAATTCCAAAAGAGTGAAAAGTTGTTGAGATTATTCCACTGATCTGACAAATACTCTAGATGGCCTAGAATTGTTTAACTTCCGGTACCGGTGGGCAAATTTAAAAGACTGGTTAAGGCTTGCACCTACAGGAAAATGCCATTAATTATCACGATGCCATTTCGTTGTGACTGTATATAATTATTCTTATTTCAATTATGCGTGCATGGAAGGTCTGGACATTTTTGTTAGGCAATACTTTTCTCACCCATCATAAATCTTTCTCCAACCATGCATTGGAATTGGGACAATAGCAATGTCAAGCTCGAGATATATAGTCTAAATAGCAATACATGCACGAGTGTTTTGTTAGAAAGTTGGGAGAGTGAGGAAAGTTTTAAGATGTTTTGATCTCTGACTTTCTTAAGAATGGCGCATCAATATGTTTTGATGTGTTTTCAGGATCGGACAACTGACAACACAATAGATTTCGACATTCACATCATGTGTAGAACTGTCAACTTGCATGTGTACCAGGTTTTCAACGATGATTTTTAGCACACACCAGAGTCAACCAATCAAGTTTCGTAGACCTATACCTTCGTTTGCAATGCAATTGTGGTTAAAAATTTGCTGCGTGCAAGTGTAACATCAAAAGATAGATGATGGGGTCTCTGAAGGTTTCTTTATGAGATCTCTTCCTTCCTAATCATTTACAGAAACGATTTCCCTAATTGTATAATTGTATTAACAAATAACTAGTAAGAATGCCTAAATATGACACTCGCATTACCGGTTCAAATTCCAAACTTTACAAGTCATGCATGCCCGTTGTTGGTTCAATCATTTAACTATAGTCTATATTGTTCCATTTATAATCGTCCATCGTATATTCCTTTGAAACTTTCAACCGATGAGTCGCTTGTGAATCCTGCAATTTCCATTGAATCAGTAAAAGAATAGCTTCTCTCCGATTGGCTGTACTGACTATCACTTGATGACTGTCGTCGCATGATCTCAGAGCTTTGTGAGTCACGTTCCCGACATGCTGCACGGGTGGAGAACACACGTTGGACCATTGAGTCACACTGCCTGTGACGATATTGTGACGAGCTATCCTGAGATAACATAAATTTTCTAGTGTGTGACATCATTGGTCGTTTCTCCGTTCGACGATCTGTTGGTGAGTTTTTACAGAACTCTACCTGTTCCGCGGGTATTTTTACAATAAAATTAAGATTCTTGTTTGCATGCTCTTTTGTATCAGGTTTTGCGGTTACTTTTCCGTTTGAATCCACGGACAAATACCAGGCGAAGTCATCTTCATTTTTGTGACACGTCTCAAACTGACTAAAAAATTCACCCGTGACATACTCTTTGAAAACACACTCCTTACTCTCGGCTTTCTAAACGAAAATAGTTCATGACTCATGAGATGTTACACAATATGCCCTAGCAGAGTTTTGGGACACTTTTTAAAGGTCATAGTATATAGTATAGTACATACAGTCTCTACATATGGTCATGGTTTCTGTATGGTTAACTCACCGTTGTAAACACTGTCCCATCTTCATCAATCGCCAAATATAACCGTGAATCTACACCCCAAATAGCAACCATATTTGTACCAACCGTCAAAAACTGCAGAAAAACTGTGAATTCATTTTTGATCAGTCAACAATTAAAAATTGATTAACTTTAAATGACTATTCACGATTTCAGATATGTGTTTAGAATTCCAAAACCGTTCCCGATACAGCAATATGCAGATATAACTGAATCCAAGCTTTCTTGCGACTGCATTGTCTTGCGATGACGATAAGTGACAAAACTATACGTATGGGTTTACCAAGTGCAAATACGACCCAAATGATTTTGACTAAATTTTGAGTTCATGGGACATCGCAAATTCCCCCTCAATACTTGAGACCAACTTTAACATTATGAATACCGGGGTCACACGCATTTGACTAACCAGAAAATGAAAGCTATTTCTCGCATTTTACGCACATGCACCTCCGGGCACGCATCCTGCTAACAACGAGGCGTGCATGCATGCATGTATGCATGATGCAATTAAGCACACGGCAAAGATGAAAATGACACGCTATAACAAATTAACAATGCAAACTTTGCCATATACCCTGCATGCTGAGATATATGCACATATAATACAGTAATATATAGGAATTACTTCAGATAGATTTTATAATAACTGATAATAATACATGCATACAGTTACTTACAGGATTGCATCAATGCATGACAATACTTACTGAACGGACTTCTTATGTTAACTGTTGTCTGTACAACTCCATTTGGCCTCAACTCAAGGTACAATCCGTGCCGTGACTGTAAAATTCTAGTCCTTGTGTATTTTAACAATGGCAATGTACTGCTTCGAATGCAAGCGGACATTTTGGGGTTGCTGATTTAGTTTCAAGTTCAAAGTTTACAACTTTTCAAATAAATTTAATTCCTATTATTCGGTTATTCAATTTTTGTCAACAATTAAAAATTGATCATGTTGACGTCTTTGAACACGTGCAATGTGGTTGATGAAGTGAAATCGGCACCAGTTATTGGCAGAGCTTTTCTACACATATCAAATGATCACATCAAATATTCAGTCGCAATTTGGTCAAATCAATGAAAAATTCTATATTAATGAGTTTTGCTCGTAAAATAGCCATCCTCAAAATTCAGAAAGTTTAATGTTATTTAAAAACACTATATGAGACGTTGACGCATTGTTTATAATTATTTGTACCTCATCATTAATGCAAGTGTTTTGTCTACGCCAATTCAAAAACGCGTTTGTGCCACAAAACTTTATAGACATTCGTATAGTGTGTATGGGATGATCGGTATTTTAGGATATTATTAAAAATAAGGATTTTGAAAATAAGGATTTTTCACAAGGACGCACTTCACAGAAAATAACTCGCTTAGAAAATGAATAAGCCGGCGGGACGCAGGTATGAGCACTGTCGTTACGTATATGCTTTTATTTATGCGTGCAAGGTCTGATTCTCAATCAGGAACGCATGCACGTCCAAACGTAAAGAATTATTAGTTTCTTAATAAAAGTTTTTGTCGTTTAGCTAAAAGATGTGGTTGACTCGTTCCATTCTGATTCTGAATATTCTGACGCTGATTAATTTAGTGGAGTTGGTTCATTTCCAGTAACCCACATTGAAACAGCCACATGGCATTCACAAGCCATTCGTAAAACAATTTTCAACTTTCTTCACCTAAAGAAAAAATCATTGCATTTATCATGCAACGACTTTTTATCTGACTTCTTTTGTTATATTTCTGAATTTAGTTAGAGCTATAAGCCTATAATATGCACTTAGTTAATTTGAGCAATAAATGAGCAAGATTTTAAAGAAAAAGAAACGACTTACTTCTCTCTGGATGATTTAAATGGTGTACCTATTCCATTTTAAGTCACTATTGCTATATTGCTATATTGTTAGAAACCATGATCTTTGTCAACACTTTTTACTATTTTACACTATATATAGTGAACGGATCTTGTGCATCACATATATACATGCATATATATGCAACGAGACTTGATATAGTTTTGTTATATATATATACGTCAGTTGTGTTTGTGGTTACTATCGTTACTGCACGTATATAACTTGCTGATCGTGGTTCAATAAACTGGTGAAAATCCATGTTACGGTCACGAAATATTTTTTCTTGAATTGATCTTCACCGCCGGTCCACAATCTAAGTTACCAGACTGTTAAGGTTGAGATGCCCGCCCGGAAATTATCCCATGATAATATGAATTATAAAAAAAATATAACGACGGAATAATATAAGGCGTGGTTTACGACAATAACACATAATACTGACCAATTTTTTGTTAACAAAGAAATCAGGGTCCCGGTGGATGAAAGTCTCAAAGTTGTCAATCACCATGCAGTGTTAGTTTAGTGTCATGCGCAGTGGAAGATTCTACACTAAGTACAGCGCCGGTGCCTGACTGTTTAAGCAGCCTATAAGTAGATCTGGGCATGTTTCCCAGTAAATTCGTAAAACCTGGCCATGTTTCTGAAATGGTATTTTTAGCTTTTAAGGGCACCTTCATTGGGCAGGAATTATGCTCAATTGTCAACAATCTGAGCCGCGGGATGCATGGTTATAGCGACTGCTGTATGGTTTATTGTAATAATAAAGGAGTAAAAGGGTCAAACGCGCAAAGTACAACTTCGTGTTGTCCCTGCAAAGAAAGGCAACTCTTCTCTAAACTATCGTGTTAGCTAACGTTCGCGCGATTGAGTTGTTCTGCCCAAATCAGTTTGACCTCGGCAGCAGTTTGACTTCAAATGACCACTGCGAAATTCCGGTGTAAGAAGAATGAATATTACAGGGTTTACAACTGCTGCGAAAATCGGAATTAGAACTCGCATTTGTTCGAACGAATAAGAGAATTCAACTTCTCCATTGTGGATAAATACTGGGACCCAGTACACGCTCCACATTACAACACCTGGCAAAATTACAAGCAAAATTTTCCATGTTATTCTGATATTCTGCATCATTCGATTGTTCCCGCTGTGATTTGCTTCTTGAAGAACACCATTTCGCTTATAAAGAACAATCCTTGCGATGACGACATAACAAATTATTGTAATTAACGTAGGGATAACGAATGCAATAGAAAAATTGAAACAGGTTACGATGAATTCATCAACGCTCTCCATTTGGCTTACGGAAAAATCAAGTAATGTTGTAATAATACAAAATATCCACACAAAGATAATAGCCTTTATACAACGCGATCGCGGTAAAGTTCGATGATAAAATGGCTTTGTAATGGCCAACATTCTGTCCACACTGATACAAACGAAGCTAGTTAGCGAAACCATGGAACAAAAAATTCCGGAAAAAAAGCGAAGTTCATCACCAATTTCATACTCGATCTTATCGTAAAACAAAAGAAGATACAGAACGGGAATAAAGATTACCATGAGTGTGTCTGCTACCGTCAAACTAACGACAAAACTATTGGTAGAAGTTCGTACTCTTGGTAACTGAATAAACGTCAGCAAGACAAAACCGTTAAACAAAATACCCAATACGAAGAGAAAGAAGAGCATAACGAGAAGCCATTTTGGAGGTGGAAAGCAAGAATACTTTTCCTCTATTTCTTCTATGATATCCTCCAACGATTTGTTTTTGTCGAGATCTTTGAATAAGTGGCTGAAACTAAAATCAGAAACAATATGACGAAAAGAAACACATGAATGTAACTGAACACAGTCATCGCAGCGTCACTGCAGAGGGGATTATAAAAGCCCACAGAAACTGAACGCGATTCGCTAACGCGACGCAAATTTTCCATTCTCAGAAGAAAATAGATTTAATTCTGAAAGAACATTTTGAGAAATATAGGTACCAGACCAGTCAAAATGTACTATCATTCAGTAAATACTAAGAATATCACAACATTGTCACAACACTGAAAAATTCGTAAAAATCGCGTCGCGTTGGCGGATCGCGTCCGGTGTGAGTCGGCCTTAACATTGAATATTTTTTTTGTTTCTGTTATGAACTACTGCAGTTGCATTACTCAGAAGAGGGAATCACTTACTTCCACTTGCATATCGGCGTAAAATTAAATGGTAAACCTATTCCATTTCCACTCATATTGCTGCAGTTGGAAAAAGCAATGATATTTTGTCAGTAAACAGTTAACACGTCACGTCAGTTAACGCAACGTCTTTATATATCAAGTATATATATTATATACATGCAGTGAGAATACGTATTTTGTCCCAACGAATTTTTTTTGACATTAAAAATTGATCTGTCAGCGCAGTTGTGCTGAAAACAACCAATATGGATTATGAATTATAAATTTCAGTGATAGATTTGACGGTAAGTTCACATTGCACGTGAAAGCTATATTCTCTTGTTTTCCTACTTTTGCCTTAGACCAAGTTTAATAAGGGAATGAAAGTTAAAATTCTAATCTTTGAAAATCATAATCACATTGAATTTAACCAATCTAACACAACTTTAAAAAGCCGAGTATGTAGTTTAATTAAAAATATCATATCCGTATATGATTAATCATACATATATATACATGTCCTCAGTTTACAAAGAATAATAAAAATTCAGTTGTTACTGATTGCTTTTAGGATATTAATTTGCAGGTGAAAACTAATATTCAGACGTAATTTTGTTTTAATCATTATAATTATGCATCCATGAAGCTGTTTTATGGAAAAAAGACTATATATATAATTACAACTATATTTCTACTCTAAGTTAAGTATTAACGTGTATTAATGTGTTAACTATTTTTTATTCTTACTTTTTCAATCAAGTTTTTAGCAAAACTTGGCGGGCATGAGATATTTGATTCGTCCGTTCTAAACCTAGAGAGTTAATTAAAAATTACGACTCAGTTGTGTTTGTGGTTACTATCGTTACTGCACGTAACTTACTGGTCGTGGTTCAATAAACTGGTAAAAATCCATGCTACGATCACGAAATATTTTTTCTTGAATTGATCTTCACCGCCGGTCCACAATCTAAGTTACCAGACTGGGAGATTCTACACTAAGTACAGCGCCGGTGCCTGTACTGTATAAGCAGCCTATATATAAGTAGAACTGCATGTGCATCAGTATTTCCCAGTAAATTTGTAAATCCCGGCCATGTTTCTGAAATGGTATTTTTTGTTTTTAACGGCACCTTAATTGGGCAGGAATTATGCTCAATTGTCAACAATCTGAGCGGAATGCATGGTTATAGCGACTGCTGTATGGTTTATTATAATAATAAAGAAGTAAAAGGGTCAAACGCGCAAAGCGCAACTTCGTGACGTCCCTGCAAAAAAAGGCAACTTTTCTCTAAACCATCGTGTTAGCTAAGGTTCGCGCGATTGAGTTGTTCTGCCCAAATCAGTTTGACCTCGGCAGCAGTTTGACTTCAAAAGACCACTGCGAAATTCCGGTGTAAGAAGAATGAATATTACAGGGTTTACAACTGCTGCAAAAATTGGAATGAGAACTCGTATTTGTTGGAACGTATAAGAGAATTCAACTTCTCCATTGCAAAAGTGGATAAATACTGGGACCCAGTACACGCTCCACATTACAACACCTGGCAAAATTACAAGCAAAATTTTCCATGTAATTCTGATATTCTGCATCATTCGATTGTTCCCGCTGTGATTTGCTTCTTGAAGAACACCATTTCGCTTATAAAGAACAATCCTTGCGATGGCGACATAACAAATTATTGTAATTAACGTAGGGATAACGAATGCGATAGAAAAATTGAAACAGGTTACGATGAATTCATCAACGCTCTCCATTTGGCTTACGGAAAAATCAAGTAGTGTTGTAATAATACAAAATATCCACACAAAGATAATAGCCTTTACACAACGCGATCGCGGTAAAGTTCGATGATAAAATGGCTTTGTAATGGCCAACATTCTGTCCACACTGATACAAGCGAAGCTAGTTAGCGAAGCCATGGAGCATAAAATTTCGGTAAAAAAGCGAAGTTCGTCACCAATTTTAAATTCAATCATTCCGTAAAACAAGAGGAGAAACAAAATGGGATTAAAGATTACCATGAGTGTATCGGCTACCGCCAAACTAGCGACAAAATTATTGGTAAAAGTTCGTACTCTTGGTAACTGTATAAACGTCAGTAAGATGTAACCGTTAAATAAAATGCCTGATACCATGAGACTGACGATAACGACAACAAACCAGGTAGGAATTATTACAAAGCAAATTATTTTTCCTGTGATATCTTTCAACGATTCGTTTTTGTGCAGATCTATCACGAATAGGTGGCTGAAATTAAAATAAGAATTATACATTTGCGAAATGTATGTAATGAAACGGGGTATTTGGAACTAAATCATACATAATTTAATAAACTGAAGAGGAAAGGTAATAAATATAGTTAAGACACACAATAGATATAGCTATACCCAAAAGGAAGAGAGCGAAATTGTTGTTTCATTAGTTCGGGGTCGAAGAGGAAATCGACACTGCAAATATTTCTATTCCTAAATATTGGCTATATTATGTACTGTTGATGGGTCGAGGCATGCACTCAATCATATGTCGTGCGTGATCATTTATATATACCAGTTACAAGAAGAAAATAATAGAGCTAAATATATAGATGTCGATTAAACGTCAACTGAACGCAAATTTTAGCAATATTTTAAAGAAAAAGGAATGACTTACTTCTCTTCGCATATCGTGACTGACAAATTGGATGGTATGCCTATTCCACTTCCAGTCACATTGCTACTGTTTGAAACGTCCATGATGATGATGATTTTTTGTAAAGTTTACTACATCACTCCAGTTAACATAACATCTTGTTTATTATGCACCATATGCAGCGAAACTGCGTGAATGATCGAGTCACGATGTATTTTTATATATTCTTAAAGTTCAATTATCAAGTTGGCATTCAATTTATCTGCGTTACACTAGCTTGTGCTAATAATGAAAATTGTCAATAAATGATACGAATTTACATATTAAAGATATTAGGGGCGGGGTGTGAAGTTGAAGGACCGTATACCTTGCAGGTATACATTAATTTTTCTCCTTTTGTCTTATAGTCTAGATCATTTTATATAAAAAAGTTAAGCTAGATAGTCGTGTCCCTGCGCTAAGCCAGCCTCGGCCCTCGCCATGCATGTGCATGTATGTATGACTAAAATGCATATAAAATCTTATATTCATGGATCAGAGTTAGTCCGTTAGATAACGGCATAAATATAGGTCATAGGTTTACTCCAAGTAGGAGTTTTGCTTTCAATCAAAGAGTGATATATCTCTCCTATGTATAATTAACTATATACGTCTTTTTTTCACAGGATAATAAGCATATACACATCTATTTCTGATTGTGTTTGTGAATTTGCAGGTGACAATTAACAGCTACGTAATTGTGTTTTTAATTATTTTTATGCATCAAGCTATTTTATTCAGCTATATATAGTCTTGATGGATGTTTTTTAAAGCTAGTTTACTGTAAGCTAACTAACTGTAGTTTACTGTGCGACGAAAAGCACAAAATGTGACTGTATAATTAAATGTTAACGTCGCGGGCGCGATATCGCTGTGCTTAGAAGCGATTTTGTTTGTAAGAAAACCTTGCCGATTCTTTTTGCTCCTTTGCTATACTAAATCGCTCCAGAACATGGCGAAATTACAACTCAAATTGACCTTTATAATCAACTACCGTCACGCATTGCGCGCTTGGAAGATAAAAGGAGAAAGGTCTATTAATTATTTAGGTATGTAAAAGCAAGAAACAGGTCCTTGAAGTGAAATGCATAACATGTAATACACGCTTGTTGCTATTGATTTGCATTTTATGTTTGGTAATCAGTTGTTGTCATTCCTACTGAGAGTTAATCAAATCTAAACGAAAGTGCTGGCTTTCTCTCTGTGTCTCTCACTTGATTGCCTCATAACCGTCTGGGTTTTAGTTAGTGCTGGAGGATGGCGTGGGAAAAGGTTTTAATGTTACTTTGGGTAACATTAGTAGATGTTTTTGCAGGTAAGCTTGATGAATTTATGAAACTATTAATTCCAAAATTGATTTGATATTCGTACAGAAGTTTATAATATATATTTATGGTAGGTCGATACATGCACTATCGCTATCATTAGTAGATTATCGAAATGACAGGGGCATTCCGTTATATGCGCATTCCATATGCCTAACTAGTATATGCAACAAAACAACTTCTGATTAGACTGTAAGTCAGTCGGTATCTTATCTAAACTGGCCATTGAAAATGATACCTAAGAATTGAAACTGTCCTAGATGGGGTTCAACTAGGAAACGTGCATGTAACTAGAAATACATGCATGCAGCAACCCCTCGCCTGAAGGAATAAACATATATTTCCATATTTTAAATTCTGTAATACTCGTTCCTGTTGAATGTTCGAAGTTGTAAAAGTAAAATCCTATATCAAATACAATTATAAAGTCGACTTTCGAGCTATCAAATTCAACTACACTGTAATCATAATTCATTAATTGTGCTGCAAATAGTTTTAAATATTGTACAAAAATTTTTAGCGAAATTTCAATTTCTTTAACAGATTCAGCTTTAAAAATAAATGCTTTCCTAATCAAAATCATTTTAACGAAATTGACGAATAAATTCAGGTGTCGATACGTTTGTTGAGTCCACAAATAAACTTACAAAATACTTGTAGGTTTGCAATGCATGCTTTAAAATACAAAACCTAACCATTTACCTGTTCAAAAACACTTAAAAAATGCTTCAAAATCGAAGATTTTTTACCATCCGTTCGAATCAAAGTTTTTCTATCCGAAGGCATCTTTCACATTATATCTTAATCAATTTTACGGCTGAATTTTTCGTATATTTTCAAAACCATCCAAATAAAAAATATTTTTAAAAAAGTTGTATTTCAAAATGTCACGTCATAAACTCACGCATGCGCATAACTTACAAAAACGCCCAACGTCCACGACATAATGGCGGACAACTTTCATTTCGCATTTGCATTCCCGGGCGTAATTAAAATCCCCGGGCGGAATTAGTACCCTCGCACGGTGCTCCGCACCGGCTCGGGGATTATCGTAAATCGGCAAGTAACTAGAAGATTATACGACGTTTACAATTTGTATATTTAGAAACATGTTCGTCTAACCACTCCATTGGTTTGGAAAGCGGAGGTTTTACCGAAAGAGGACTGATAGCCACAACATTCTTGGATGCCGAGCATATACCAAACTGGGCACGGTTACACTATTCCAGAGCCTGGGCGCCAGCCGTACTGCATGATCAATCCATCGAGCAATATTTTCAGCTAACGTTCTTTAGTGGGCAATTTATAGTAACAAATATAGCGATGCAGGGAAGTCCCCTCTCCGATTGGTGGGTTACAAAATTTCAAATTTCAACCAGTATCGATGGCGAGCATTTTATCAAAAATGCACAGGTAAACCAAAGGATAAACTATATTGAGACACACACACAGTTGATGAACAGTTTCTTGCAATGAAAAACATGTGTGAATCTAGTGATATGTAGTGTGAAAAGGAAAGCTTTAAACAGCTTAAAAAGAAAGGTTGCCTAGATGAAACCAAGACAATTTTTTACTTATTACTAAATCAAAACCCGCCATCATTGAACATTAATTGGTTGATTGGTAATTTACTATGAATATTGGCTATTTTGACCAACATAGTATTCATTTCCTTGATTGCTAATTATTGATTGGTGAAAACAAATTTTAAATTTGATTATAACCAATTCAATTTGTTGGATTAACTTCAAATAGCTGTAATTTTTTCTGGTCAGATATATCTTTTTACGATTTGTATAATATAGTTGGTGGAATACACTACGGTGTGATGTGTCTCATGGTATGCCGAACCTTCAATTCTGATACATTCTCATTTATTTCTTTAGGAATATAACGGAAATTACGATAGATCTTCTGTTGTCATGGTGACATTACAGAATCCTTCACCGTCTATCTATTTTCGCATCATTCCAACTGGGTGGAAAAATCATATCGCGATGAGATTGGAAGTATACGGTTGCCTTAAAGACAATGCTTGAATGAGTTGAATCTAATAGTGAAATGAGCATGCACAAATTATTTAGCATTTTAGATCATCAATATAAAATAGTATCTGGCTTTATTAGATTACAAGGTATGTGGTTGGTAATTACAGAATAGCTTAAAATGGCCCAAATATGATAAAATTAGATATGACACAAGAAATGAAATGAGCATAAAATGCATTCTATTTAACAATACTCGTATTTGTAACCTCTTGTCTGACTGGTCTGACAGGCGGGTAAGCCTGCGTACTCCCATTTTTCTCGTAGGAAAACCATGGGTACGAGGTTAGGTGGGCATTCAGTATTCAATTCTACGCTTGGGGGGTATGGAGGGGGGGATATTCAAATATTCGTATTAGCAAACTCTTGTGATTCGGGAACTCCTCTAACCTCTATACATATAATATTCGTATACAGTGCCCCCAAAACTACCTTAAATCCCGCGGTTTTGGCATAATTATCAAACATTCAAATTTAAACAAAAGCTTGACACACACTACCCTCACTGCCTGCACTACTGCAAAACTTTATTAATTCCATCATGATATCATGATACACGATGACACACGCGCGTGTGTCAGGCATCACTCATCAGGGTCGGAAAGAAGATTATGGGATGAGATTCATGGGAAACTGGAAAAACTGAAAAATCTGAGCACATCCGGGTAATTCAGCACTTACGCGTGGCTCGACCCATTCCTCTGCAGTATTTCTTGTCGCTCGACCTTTACAGTCATCACAACCAAAGAAAAGTTCCTTCCCGAAGATTTTATACAAAATTGGACTTTATATTCAAATTGATTTAAAATTTTGGTACGTTTAATCAGTGCATTTTTCAATAGATTTACATCCTAACAAATAGTTTATTTATACATTACAAAATATATCTGTAAGCTCATTTTTACTTCTCATTATGTCGAGTCATGAGTGACTGAGTGTATGTTCGTAACATTTTTTGTGGCTGGTAATACTAGTAAAATTAGTCAATTTACTGATGATGTTCAATTTGATGTTTTCTTTCGTAAAATTAATTCGTATAGGATTTGAGATTTCATAATTTCACATACAATGTAGAAGTTTTTCTTAGAAAATGTGTCGTCGGTTATTGTACTATATGTGATTGCAGATTTGTAGTGTTTATACCATAGAAATAATAGACATTATTGTCTATTGTTTCTATGGTTTATACAAATTTTATAACGAGGCAGTTTGATAGATGACATCCACTTATAAAACACCAAATCTCATATTAAGAACTAGTGCATGTATAAATTGGAATTATAAATTGTATGTTGTCATCTTTTATTCACCACAGAATCTGAGCAATAATAATATATTCCCATTGTGACAGTCTGGAGGACAGGAAATATCATTGATCTGATGGTAGTCCTGTCCATAAAAAATTGTCTGGTAAAATCATTGCTGTGGTTGTGTTTTAAATTTATACCTTTTCAAAGTTCAAAGTTCAGTTCGAGTTGTGACACATAAGGACACATTTATTGTGTGAGTCTAGGGATTAAACATAGACTGTTGAAGCACCACATTTATTTTCATATCATTTTTTTTCTACAGCATACTAAATAACATACAGTATGTGGTTATGGGACTACTTAACAGGCATGCTAAATTACCTGGGTAAGAATTGCTTTTAATGACTTGTTGATGTCTAAAGCCTGGTTTCCATTTTGTTTTAATTGTTGTGAACAAGTCTTTTTCCCAATGAGAAAGAGTCTGGATGTTTATTATTTGAACTCAATCACCTTGACTGGCTTGACATCAACCACCTGAACATGTTCATGATGTATATTGACTAAGTGGAAACCAGGTGTAACATTCATTTATCTAATACCCATACAATCTGGGATCTTTCATATACAGGGTTTGGAATGCTGAGTTACAACTTGAAACCCTATCATATTTATTTTTTTCATATTTATTTTTTTCATATTAGGAGTTGAAAATTTCTAAAATTTGTTTTTTCAGGTTTGTATAAAAAATCTGGCAAGCTAGTGTTCTTAGGATTAGATAATGCTGGCAAAACAACACTACTTCATATGCTGAAAGATGATAGAATGGCACAACACGTTCCAACTCTCCACCCAAGTATGTTGTGATTTTTTAACCTTATGCTTGCTGTAATATCTGTAATATGGATTTTCTACTATTAGTGCTTTGCCAATTTACGATTATCTGGAGCATACTGAACAGCATCTTGAAATAATATTGTAGTAATGATTTATACATATAATATACTGTATTTGCAGCATCTGAAGAACTTTCAATGGGTGGTATGAGATTTACTACATTTGATCTTGGGGGTCACAAACAAGGTTTGTTATTTTATGTGTTATTTTATGTGTATATACTTTACAAAATCAGATCAACAATTTTTGCTATTTTAGAAATTCTTCTGTTACTAGTTCACAGTTTTTCATCCTCAAATAACATCAGGACAGCATTTGCAAACCATTTGTTTCAGTGCTTTACTTTATTTTAGACCTTGAGTTAAATGTTAGTGAATAAACTTTTTCTTCAGCTCGTAGGATATGGAAGGATTATTTTCCTGCTGTGAATGGCATAGTCTTCATCGTAGATACTGCTGATGTTAACCGATTACCAGAGTCGAAAGCAGAATTGGATGTAAGTTGAAATATGGCATTCAATAGGGGGATGAAAATATAATTTTTGTAAGGGGGGTGAGAAGCCAAAGGAGTGGGTAATTATGAGGGACTGATATTCTCAAGAACATAGAAAGAGGCAGAAATTTTTTTCCAGGTGCCACAATAGTTTGGGTTGATTGAGAATTTTTTTCAAAACAGAAAAAGCCATATTTACAGAGCCATGGAATAACATTCCACTTTTGAAATCTACATAATGAGCAGTCACTTATTATGGGCTGTGTAACATACCCCTTTTTTCACCCTTCATCCCATATCAACGGCAAGGATCTCGTAATAGCCTAGAAATGATATACTGCTTGATTGAACACGGTAATTATACACGTGTATAATAATTGTTGTAATTGTCATAATTGTAGAGTCTGCTTGCGGATGAACAACTCTCGCACTGCCCCGTGCTTATATTGGGGAATAAAATTGATATACCAGGTGCAGCTGGTGAGGAATATATTCGACAATACTTTGGACTTTACGGACAAACAACAGGACAAGCACCGGTAAGATTTATAAAATATTTGCACGAAACATGCTTGTCAATCACACGTGTTTCGAGAGATGATCCCCGTATAGGAAGCGACCTCGGCCACGCGTTATATCTAACCCGAACCATCTTTATGTTACAATTTAACACCTAATTTATCATTTTCGGGTCTCTGAATTGTAACCGGCAAAAACCACGGCAGCTTTTCATTGATTGCTACATTCCCTACTCCTTAGGCTGACTAGACGTGTGCGTTGTTATCACGAGCCTAATAATTCGGTTCATTATATTGTTGTAGCAAAATGTTAGAGAAACAAATCAAAGGCCCATGGAGTTATTCATGTGCAGTGTTTTAAAACGACAAGGTTACGGGGAAGGTTCGTGCAATAGCATTCTATAAGTAGGATCTATTCTTTAAAACGTTCAAGTATTACATTGATTACATTAAGTCTCATGAAAAGACAATAATTGTTTGTTATTCTGACATACAAATACATGTATAAAAATACGGTAGATACGAATGTATATTATTAGTTATCTGTTAAAACATCGCGTTTGCATGTGGAAACTAGATAAGCAAAATTTCATTTGATATTGACTTAAAATGCCAATCATTGTTCATCGATGTCTTCTCATGATCTCCTTACGATGCAGTGCAAGCATATTAACCTTTTTGATATTGTTGAAATCTTATATAGGTTTTCGATGGCTCGCTCAATATATATAATGACCCAATGATATATAACAGAGCAAATAAGCAGCGATGGTGAATTATCATATTGCAGAAGAACTACTCTCTTTCTCTACCTTGACTGACACGAACGTTGTACTGTAGCGATAAATTTCCTATAAACAATTCTATTTAATAATTTTTTTTATAAAAGATCATAGCAATTTAACATGTATGACTTATCGTCCGTGTATAATTTGAAACAATATAAATTTCTACCATTTTTGGTTATTTAGAAATTCTAGATGACATACTCAAACCATGGTCGCGAATGTCACATGTGTAATTTTACTACAATGATGTTAACTGTTGTTACGAAACTCTGTCTAAATAATTATTAAAGCATCGTCATAACAGTCTGTTGATTTGTAATAATAGGTTAAAACGTATAGTTCAACATCAATTGAAATTTTTTTTCTAAAATATTATATTGCATATCAGGAGATATCCGTATTCTGTTTAAAGATTTATAAGACTCGTGTTTGCCATGCATGATAAGTCTGGTTTCCATTTTCTGGTAATTGTCGTGTACAAGTCACTTTACCGATGCGAAATAGCCCGGATTCTAATTGGTCCTTTCTTCCTGTATTGAATTGGTCATTGTTGAGTGCATACACGTAGAAATATTCTATTCCCCACCTTGACCTGTCACGACAATTATAACTAAAACGAAACCAGTCTTTATTTTGGCCAGGTTTGCTTGTGGTTTGTGCGTATGATCGACTAATTTTGACGTTTTGAAACACTTCTTGACTCTAATACAATGGGATAACAAAAGAATGGCCAGCGCGGAAAGATTTAAATAATGTATCTTTTCAGTGCATCAAGAATGAGAGGCCTAACCGATATGGATTTTTACAAAGACCGTAATCTACTGCTTTGCCTATGGTTATCATTTCATCATCAACGACCAAACAGGAAGGTTTCTTCGGCGCAAAGTTTTCGACCGGCGCAAATACATTAAACGCAAACATTTTCCTGAGTGAAAAGCATTAATAAACTAAATTATAAAGTATTTACTGGACGATTGTATATGTAACGGCATGTATATTGGTACTTATGAGGTTGTGGTTATGCAAGTTCAAGACCATAAGACAGAAATATCTTAATCATCTTTGTACTTATATGCAAGAAATACCGGCCGGATGTTGCATGCGGATGTCCCCGCGTGTACCGTAAAATATGCGGGTTACTACCGGTTTCTACCGGTAATATGGAGTACTTAGTTTAGGAATTATAGAAAATATACTCAGTTCTTATCCACAATTGCCCCACACCTGTCACTTCGTCCACAACCGTGTTGTTCTATGTGGCAACGCAGCGCAATTTAAATGGAAATTGGGAAATGGAGATAAATAAAAGAAAAAACTTTGTGCATTTTTGCTAATTAAAGCCTTACGGTTTTTTTAGTTCTTAGAGAAGTGTCAGAGGTAGTTTGCACTCTGCCTTTACTAATGTACACCCTTTGTACCAAAAGATCCTCAGCCTCGAGACATCACGAGTCCTCACGCTTACTTTCAAGGTTTGTCCCCTGCGGTCACGTTTCAATGTACAGTAAGTGATTCCGCAAAAGCAGTATAAGCACAGACCAGACCGCAAGGTCACGTGTCTTCACGAGGTTTGCGGTCGACGAAAGACGTCATTTCTTATGTTTCCAAGGTCCTTTATGTTATACAGTTCACATTGCCACAGCAAAGCAGCAAACACTCCCTGGTCTTAATTTTACGATTCACCGCAAACCGCCCTGCCTTTGTTTCCTTCAGGGCAGCACGGGGAGAGATATATTTTCAGGCCTCTCTCAGACAAAACCACTTTGTTTAATATACATTCCCATAACCGTTTTTGGTAAAAACATCTTTAGCTACCAGGAAACATTATATTGGAACATAAAAAACATACAGCTAGCCTGCAAACACATTTCCCCTATATGCTTCTCGGTCGGGGTTAGTAAATAAATACTTTTGTCGTACTTTATTCCCCTCCATTTACTAGCCCGTCTCCTTGAACTTTATATTTGATGAAAATATCAGCAGTAATTTTTGCCAGAAGCATAGTTTTTTTATCCAACGCATATTTTGGAGTATCCGTATAGGTTTTCTAAATTGCTGCATCTTTAAAAGGAAATATTGAATCGTGTAATATTTTGCATTTCGACATATGCAGATGTTACTAATATTTTGAGTATATAATCAGATTAATACATATTGTGTTCTGCTCATACGGCCGGGAGTTATAACGATAGCGAAATGCTACTCGGCACAAGTATCTTCGTAGTTTTGTTTCTTGCAACTTTACTCGTTTCAGGTAAAACGTTCATTTGTCGTCTTACAAAATTATACTTGACAGAAACTGGACCATGGTTAGCTGTCCAAGCAAACATCGACTTCCCACGCAGTAATGTCATTTTGATTTCTGTAGGTGTTGAATCTAAACTGCGAACCAAACTCGTACGAAGGGAAGGTGACGTAAAGAACTGGAAGGCATTATGGAAAGTTTTTAAAGCGGGACATTTCGAACCAACCCGAAATTCAACGATCCTTCAGAAAATAATTTTCGCAAACGCCCGCGAGAGAGGTGAATATAAAGAATTTCCACAATTACCAAACGCCTCATTGATCCTTGAGGTTCGATTGAGAGTTTTGCAAAAAAGCAAATATACGTTCGCGCATAGCAATGTTATACTGATTTCTTAATAATCATGGTTTTATCCCGGATATTCATGCAAGGTTCAACCGGTTTCAACAATGTTATTCTCAAAAAATTTCTCTGGCTTTATTCCAAGTAATAAGTAATCATTTTGAAACCAGCACTAATTTCATTAATCGTATACGTTGTTTTTGTTCAGGTAATTCAAAAAAAGACGATGGCTATGTGCTATTCCAAGGTGATATTAGATTGAAAAGATCCGAAGTTGAACAACTCTTCAACAAAACAAAGGGTAAAAGATCAAGACGAGCCGTTCTTAAGTATTTCAAAGGGAACAGATGGCCCAAGAATGGTTTAGTGTATGATCTTCATCCATCTTTGAGCTGTGAGTAGACATAAATTTCGTATTTTTTTTTTTTAATACGGGAAAGCGTTTGTGGAAACTTGGAAACGAAGAGAATTATACACAGTAGCTTCCTCAATAAAGTAAGTTCTCCACTTCAACCGTATCGTAGCGATACGTATCGCATATATCATTGTTTCTTGAGCACTCGGGTAAAACTATAATGACTTTGAAAGAAAGAAAATACGCAATGTTTCGCTACAATACGGTTGATGCATGTGGAAAACAGTGTGCTTCTGCATATTTTGTACAAATTATACAATGTCTTATATACGTTGTCGCTTTTAAATAAACATTCCACTTATAATTGGTGCCAAGGTTGAGAAAATTTTCAAAAATATATACATTCTTTCGCTCGCAGAAGGCAAAATCGTTCAATCAGCATATCAATTAATTCCTGGAAATCCAACTACATTCTTCTTCATATAGTACAATATAAAATAAAATTTTGGTGTTAGCAATAGTGTTGCCGATAGGAATTGAAAGAAATACAGATGTTAAAAAAGGGACAACATCCATGCATCGTATACTAATCCATGCATCGTATATATAGGACTGAAATATTAAGTTTTAATTAAGATACTGCAATTACACTGAGAAATTATACGTATATTAACATTGATTAATTCCTATAACCATCCATTTATCATCAGTTTAATATTGCCAGGGTTTTTATATATTTCAAAAATGTTAGAATTCAAGCACTTTTAAAGCTCTGCCATGCATGTTTTGGAAATTCAAGGCCTAGTTGAAACCGAGCCGGTAACGACAGATCAAGCATTAGCAACAACTAGCACGATATCATAAACACATCGAAATTCTACTTAGGAGTCCACAAATCATCGCTGCTATTGCGAAGATTTACAAATATTAGGAATTCAAGGACTTTCAAGCACATCTTTTTTAATTGAAGGACTTTCAAGGCTTTGAATAAAAAATTTTTTTTTTTTTTATAACTAATTCAGAATATGGTTGAAAAAAAATAATTCAATTAAGCAATAACATATTTTAATGACAATACTAGTAATAAAGTAGAAAATATATCTATTTTCCTCGAGGTAACTGGTGATGTGGTATCACATGCACTCATTAATAATTGTTGTTGTTTCTTTAGATAAGGCTGAAAAGGTAATCATGGAAGCCATAAAAGAATGGGAGCGTGTTTTACCCTGCCTAGGTTCTTGGATAAATATTAAACAGCTTCGTAATAAACCTACTGCATACATACAATTCTACAGCGGACAAGGGTGAGAATTTATAATTTCAATTTTAAAGACGTAGAAGAAATTTAAAATGTAAATTTTGCCAATGAGAATTTAGTTTGCTTCATTTAAAAGAACTTTAACGGTAAACATATACATATTTGGCTGCTTTTTTTTAAACTTGCTTACTTTTCGAAATATCTGGTCGCCATCTTGCATAGCTGTTGATGACAATGTCCATGTCACGGCAGGCTGCATGGGTTAACACTATAGGGGCTTACCTGGCAATTTAATGAAAAACTGTGGCGCAATAATATACTTTGACCACCGTGTTAGAATAATCGTGCAGACAAATGAAATCATAATGTCTTTAATATCTTAAACAAATAAACCCGCTTGTGACGTTACTATATCAATATGGCGATCATTTGACTCGTTTCGGTCAAGATATTTTGAAACTATAAAAGAGATTTTTAAATATTTCAATATAAATTTAATATTTCATTTTCTTAAGAGTCCTACCAAATGAGACAAACTAAACTTTCGTTGTCGATATAACCTATGAAAGCTTGAGTTTAAAACCAGTATTAGTCAGCTACTTCTTATGACTATAACATAAGGAATAAAGCTCACTCATCAATTAGCCGTCAAAACGAGACCGCATGCACAAATGCCGAATTTGATTTAGATTTGCATAGAGACAGAAAATATCCAAATCCAGTTGGTCAATTCAGTTTCCAAATCATGCACAACCACAACTACCTCCTTTGTCTATCTATAGCTGTAATTCGCCCGTTGGTCGTCTGGGAAAACCTCAGAGGATATCGATTGGTAAAGGTTGCGAAAACAAAGTCATTGCAGTCCATGAAATTGGTAAGGGTTCAATAACAAACATCACAATATGACAAACATCTTTAAAAGACAAAGTCTCATTACTTTCTTTTTCTTAGGTCATGCAATGGGTATGTGGCACGAACAGTCAAGACCAGATCGAGACAGATATATAGAAATTTTATGGGATAATATTATACCAGGTATTCACAAGGTTACTGCAGCCTATAAAAAAGGCAATATCTTTATAATATCCGGATTAATTTATATACTGTGTATTTGGCAATGTCGTCTCGAGTTGGAGAATTTGTTAGTCACTCTAGTTCTACCTGAAAATCTGTGCCAAATTTTGTTTTTTTTCGAGGGCAGTGGGTGCGAACATGCAGACGTTGTGAAGGAGGGACGACTATACCTCCTGCCTCTCTGCCGTTTATAATTTCGTTTCTCGCTTCGTTTTCTCGAAGTGCTCCAAGGGCAAAGATATAGATTACGTCTTCGGGGCAGATATATTTGAATAGCAATACATATTTATATAGTGCAGATTGCAGTCGCTGGGATACTAAACATGCACCGTGACACATGATATTTCCCATGCAAGTAAATATAGTAACCTGATAGCAGATATCGCCGTTATAAAAGCTATATCAGCAAAGTCAAGTTCTGGCACATAGAAAAGGTTCAATAGGTCGCAAAGCAGCTATATTAAACTGCTCTCTAAAGTTGTTTTGCGCTCTTTCTACTGTCTGTTTTCAAAACAGTTTTGGATTATTTCTGCGTACTTTAAATCTATATAATCTTCAACTTTTTAAAAATTGATGGGTTTCTTTTGAAAGTAACCATATAGCTTTCAATCATTTTCGACATATTCCAAAACACATTTTAAGCCTTTAAGACTTTCGTTCACTGGATTGTGGTTACTGTAATTACTTTTTAGAATGGAGATCAGCATTTCGTAAGATAACTGCAAGTGTTGTCAATAGTTACGGTGTTCAGTACGACTTTGAGTCAGTGATGCACTACCCATCAAATGCTTTTGCAAAACATCCCGGGTTGGAAACAATGAAAAGTAAAGATGGACAAAGACAGTTGGGAAATAGTGAAGGATTAACACTAAAGGATATAAAACAAGTTCAAAGAATGTATAAATGTGGGGCCGATGGGAAATCGAAAGGTAAAAACTACTTGTTCTAATGACTAATGACATCAAAATATTACCAAACAGAAATATAAACAAGGAAAAGTAGTATATCCACTGTTGCATGAAGTATTACACAGCTTAACATTACGTGCACGCCTAAAAACTCTGAGCCTGCGGTTTATCAGCATGGAGGGATGTCGTGCTTCCATTATTGTTCACACTTGTCAACAACATTGAACAATATTGTTGAAAATGAATCGGTAATTGATAACAACTCTGAACAATGTGGGCAACACAACATTGTTCCATCCTGTTCATATCAATATTGCATCAACCTGATCGTTTTTAGGCGTGTACCATATAGTTCTATAACGCAGACCAGATTCACACAAGCCAATTCTCTTTGCTAAATTTTCTCTGCTGTGAAAAATTGGCAGCGGATTATCTTTCATGAAATTTGCCAAAGAAAATTTGCCCATGTTAACCAGACTAAATATCATATCCTATAATTCCTATTTGAATATACATAGGTTAGGGTAGGGAGGGAAAGAGAAATTGCTTTAAAATGTTTCGTATTTTGTGAACAATTCTTGGTTTGCATACGACGTCATAATCAGTCATTCGCCATCTTGGTTGACTCTACAAAGTTTACTTATGCTTTTCAAGAGAACAAACTGCGTTGATTTACTTTTTCCTTGTGTATTTTGTAATTGCTTATCATCTCTGTCGTATTATTGGGCAGGTATTAAAATACAGCAACGACGAAAAAATTATTTGTGCACATGATTGAAAAATCAACCAAGATGGCGGCAATATTGCAAACCACCTATTGTTATATTCTCTGGAAACAATGTCAATGATTCTTCACTCGTGACATTGTCTTGTGTCGAATGCACACAAGCATTTGTTCATTTTGCAGTTGCCTGCAGTGACAAATCAAGATCTTGCTTGGGCTGGCAAGAAGCTGGATTTTGTAGACCAGGAAATGTATATTACAATTACATGAATAAAAACTGCTGTAAAACTTGCAAAGGTAAATTTGCTTAACCAGACTGGAGATAAAATAAGATAACGTTTTGTGACAAGAGTGCTAATTCTAAACTCACAAGAAACGGACAATTTTGACTACGAAATAGACAATTTAAGGCTCAAAATGTCATACCCCAAACCCTTAGTCACTCGCTGACAAAATAAAAATTCAGATCGCTTCCATTCAAGTGTTAACATATGCATGCATGCTTAGCAATATAAAAGAGGTGTGTCACGTCAAAGGTGTAAAAACACCAAACCAATTAATTTTTAGATGCTTGTTCTGTGGAGGATGAACATAGATCGTGTATAAAGTGGTCTGAAGCTGGATTTTGCCACCATGTCTTGTACCAAAAATTTATGACAAGGTTTTGCAAGAAATCCTGTCAGTGTTAATGCTTGAGCGACACTCCAGTCCCACTGGTATGAAGAACATTAATATGCTTTTACATAGTAACCATAAACCGTTTAATTTTGTCAAAAAGAATAATTGTAAAATACGTTATAGGTGTATTATCTAATAATGACCAAGATCACTCGCATCCATACATATTTGCAATATCTATTTCTGGTTTTCTTGCGTATGTGGTCTTCTATTTGTACTGCTATCTACTACATGCATATTTGGAAGAAACATTTTCCTGTCGCACAAGATGTCTGCAGAATCGGATACAAAATAATAAATCGTCTTTCTTTTCTAAAGAATTGGAGCCGTCGAGCAGACCAAAAAAATGCTTTCTATACATATATCGAGATAGTTATCATAATTTTGAATATTTCCAACACTAACAGGTCGAATGGCTATTGATTTGAGATCAGGTTACCATTCTTTAGACGAGTGTCTAACTGAATGTATTCCACATTCTTACGCAATCATCAATTGCAAATATGTTTGCGTGAGCTTTGCTCACGCAACACTCGAAAACCCCGATAGAAACATCCTGAATTAGCGGGAAGTCAATATTGACACGAGTATTTACTTCGACAGAAAATATATCGCTCGTGAAGTGCAGAAGTGTCCTTATGTGGTTTTTCACAACAGTGCCAAAGTGATCGGCTATATCTGTTATGACGTGTTATGACGTGCTATGACGTCTTTGCCGTGCCTCTTAAATTTTTTGTCACCTACATTTCAACTGTTTCCATAGAGTCAATTCGTCACATTATCCAAGTTTCCATTTACTTCAACCAAATGTAGGACCCGGAAGTCCACATGATGGAAAACCTCCGGAAGCTCCACGATTAAAAAAAATCCTTCAAAATGCTCAGGCAGGTCAACGTACACGTAAGCAGACGTTCACTGAAGCAGACCGTTTAACAACTTCGTACCCAGGGTCTCTCCTCTGTGTGAGCGGAGAAAGCCGGAAGATGGAAGGAAGAGCACGACTTGCGAGGTTGATCGCTTTCAATTTTCTTTCGAGCAGTGCTTAGGGGTTATGAGTTTTACAAATTTACTCTAACTGGATTTAAATGCGTTTCTAAAAAGTAATTTTCAAAAGGAATATAAGGAAAGGAATGCATGCAATCATAGGACATACCAACATCCCCATTTCTCGACTGAACATGCAGTCTGCCAGGAAAATTATTTGAATTGTTCGGAATTTTGTTGGACATATTAGGAGGTTAAATTTGGCATGAATAAAAATGATCTGAGATTATCCTACCTTCCCTGGTTTTCCTCTTTTCTTTGCTTTCTTCTTCATTCCTCCTCCGTGTTTAACCAAGTTTGCAAATGTCGTCGAATTCATTCGATGGGTTGTTCGAAGTTTTATTGAGGTGAGCTTTGCTAAAAAATAAATTTTGTAACGTTTTCCTTTCAGAACACAAACACATTATTAACATTATACATCAGACACCAACGAGTTCTATAATCCCGGCTGAATAGTATGGGCACATTTCATAGACTGCTAAAATTCGACTTTCATCCAAAAAAGTAATAATCCCCTGTATTCTAAAAGCTGACTTCCCCTCAAACCTCAATCACCTCATAGCGGGGTCATTTCCACCCTAACAAGATCTTGATTTTCAGTGTTTTACTTATATAGACCGGTTAGCTTTTTAGACCGGTTTCAGAAGTCGAACTTTTCATGTGCCGAATCGAAGGAAAATGAGCTTTAACAACGACGTCTAAATCCTAGTTGGGACCATTTCAACACGGCCGCCCAAAATTCTCAGTTATATGTCGTCTTTAAAACGTGTTTTAAAACTAATACGAAATATTAGAAACTGTATTTACTCCTACCTTCCTTACGATCCATAAGAGCCTCTAAAAGTTCGCGACCTCCTAAATCACCAATCAAATTATGCTCCAAGTCAATTTCCTTGAGACAATCTGAATGCGTTATCAATCTAATCCAATGAATATGGATGAAAACCGAAGATTAACATAATTTCATATTGTAAATGTTGGATAAGATCATACATAAGATCATACATAAGATATTCGAGTCATTGCATGCATGGTCTGCTATAGATTTCATCTGCATGTATGTGAACTACTCACTTTCTTAATAATCTCATACACATGACTGGAGATAGGTTGGATCCGGGTCCATGAGCATCAATGCCATTATTTGCAATATGAATTTTTTCAATCCATGGTCCCACTCTGGGAGGAAGCTTCACTTTCTTTTTAGCAGATTTTTTCTTTTTCTTCTTGCCTTTTTTCTTGGCTTTAGTTATAGCAGATTTGTCTTCCTTACTATAAAAAATATCACACGTATCAACTGGAATAATATACAACTGGTAACTGATGTATAACTCAAGTGCTGTTGAATGTTTAACTAAATTAGGAAGTAAAGGGGCTTTTCAAAGGGCAGTAATCTTCGTTAATCGTTGTCAGAAAAGAACTAGGAGTTTTTAGCAGACGTTTTTGCACTAAGGGGTCATTGTTACCTTCTAATAGACGAATTCGCCTTGTGTGTAACGTATTTTATTATTTGGTTTTAACTTTACATTTTCTCTTTTTATGTTCTACAATATTTTTTGTATCTCTCTTAACTCAAAAAACTCTATGCCGATCTCGGCCATGCCGTTGCCAAGCAACGTAACGTATTTCCGTTTTTGTGTGCTTCGGGGTCTAATGCACTTCGGTGTAACTTTTGACACGTAGTATTGTGATAATTAAGGCACTTTACCATTATGTAGTTCTCAAAAATTTTAACATTACATTTGTTTGTAAAAAAAACTCGATAGATAAGATATTTTTCCTCTGCTAGTCTGTGTTGCTACGACCTGAATGCATCATCTAGAGCCTACCTTGGGCTTTCAGTTATTTCTGGTGTTTTATTTCCATTGCCGGCTGCACTCGTTGCGGACATTTGCGACACCTCAGCTACAACATTATTAACAGGAGGAACATTTTCCTGTTCTTTTTTCTCTGCTCGTTCAATTGCCTCCATTTCTGCTTTGTCAGCCAATAATTTGATCATTTCAATAACACCTTCACATTCGAGATGGTTCCCATCAAGATAGATCTCACTGGTAACAAGATTGAATAAAGTCGAAAAACGGAAGTCTGTAGACATGGTGTGGTATACTTGAGTTACAATCACGCTATCGGGACACACCAGACAATGTTGTTTGCACACGCCGCTTGGTGCTTTCGATAGGAATATATACTGTATTTTTTGCAAGTAATCAAGTTGTAACAATGCCGAATGGTAGGTGTTTTCAGAATCAACTTCTAACAAAACCTGACGGCAATAACCGCTGAACAAGCTACATGTACAGGGTTGGTAAAAAACTCTACGCATTGATATGCAAATTCCAACTGAGAAAATTCTTTCACATTTTTTCAGGTTGAGCAAGAGACTATATCGAAATTCGACTCTTATTATATGACCTAGGCTTGTAGGCATATGTATGTACATATAATTAACAAGACATCGTTTAACATCAATTTGTAATTAATTGGGGGTTTTTGTTAAGCATACAGGCTGTTCCACCAAAACAAAGAACTAACAAATAACTCTCTGTTGGAATTTGAATTCGTGAGCACTCTGAAGGTGAAATCAAGAGGGCCGTGATTACGATAATTTACATAAAGCTTCACTTTTTGGGGACATGCCCTGTAGATGCAGCTAACTATTTTAGACTGTACATGAAATTTATGTACAGAAAATGTTAAATCCTTCTTAAAGGTATTGCCAACACTAAACCTACGAAATATCTTCACAACAACCAAAGCCTGTACTCACCATACAGCAGTCTCTGTTAACAAGTCGCCAAGAATTCGACCAGAATCTGGACCAAGGTTACAATAGTTCAAGCTTAATCTCAGTAGAGTTTTGTTATTTTTCAAGCCACGACATAGTCCTTCGCATCCTTCGTCACCAAACCTATATCATCGAGGTAATAAAAAATAACCTTCGCCGATGCAAAACAATTACGTATATAGTTGTTACATCCAAGTATTATTAGATCAGCGAACATACGTGTTTTAAGAGCTACTTTCCCCATTTAGCTTTCAAGTGCGCAATGCGTGACGGTAGTTGATTATTAAGCAACTTTAGTTGCAATATCGCTCTTCTTAGAAGCTATTTTGCTTGTGAGAAAACTTGCTTTGTTTAACTAAATCGCTCCTGAACACGGCGATCAAATTGACATTGATAATCAACTACCGTCAAGCATTGCGCGCTTGAAAGTTAAAAGGAGGAAGGTCTATTGACGCTTTACCATTGGAAGCGTATAGCCATACACGGGAGGGATCGAGTGAGCCGTCACATTATAGTTGCTTCATAAAACCGGCGAAAAAGATCGATGCAGGTGAAAATACTACTCACTGGTTATAATCGAGTAGAAGTGTTGTTACGCAGTTTAACACAAATGATCTACACAAAATAGATAAAAAAAATTTTAGTGATTACTGTAGTACCAATAAAAGTAGTACCAAATAGTACAAAGACAAATCCAGCATTCTTGACTACAATGGTACACTACATATTATTCAGTTTATAAACAGCACAAAACATTGACATTTGATAAGAGGGAGTTAAAAAATCTTAGAAGCAACGTCTTATGATTCATAAAACTGTTCAATAAATCATACCTTCCTAGCCTTTGAACTGCATAACTTTCGATTGAACAGCTCATTAACTCCAGATACTGCACACGATAGATTCCTTTCTCCAAAAACAATGCCTTCAAATTAAAAATATTTTATTAAAGTACGCAACCAAACAGCCGTATATGCCGGTAAATATGATGACTTGAATGATTGACATACCAAGGTGGCCACATCCTCGTGTTTCATTGGTATATCCCAAATATACAGTTCTTTGATGTAAACATATCTTGTACTGCGTAGAGCTGATAATAATGGAGAAATTTTCACCGGACAATCCTCGCACTGACCAGGAAACAGTACAAACTATGGGAGAAATCAGATAAGTAATATAGTATTCCAAAGTACCCAAGCGTAAAAAAAAAATGGTATGTGCTCAGTGGCGTAATTTGAACGATCATTGGGGGTGTATACACCATTTGGGCAAAGTTGAATAAAACGGAAAAAATCGAAACACAAATCCAATTTTAATCTAACCTTAACTAAAAATTCACTTTTCTCTTCGTATTCCTTGATTGAATTTTTGACGGTAGGCAGAGGAAAACTCTTTTCATCTTTACACTTGACATCATATTGTAATCTGAGATTTTTCAACAAATCACTAATGGTTTGAAGTCCTTTTAATCCTTTCTTTTCTGTTTTCTTTGAATCTTGTTTTCCTCCTTTCGTCTTCTTTTTCGCAGCCGGCATGACAGCTGGTGACTATTTACACACTTGCGGGACATCCGGGCATGCTAGATACTGAGAATATTTGATAGAAGGTGAATGAAGAATTCCACCCAGGCAACAAGAGGTAAAGACAGCTGAACACGAAAATACCAAGAAAACAAGCTTAAAGAAAATCTAATCTACACCATGCGCGTGCCTGAAAATTGAATCTTAAGAAAATCTCAACTACAGCATGAGAAAAATCTGACCTGCTTGCCTGAAGGGTGAATTTAACGAAAATCTGACCTGCAGGCTATGAGGACGTCGAAATCTGATTTGCCACACGCGTGCTTAGAGTTTTAAGATTGAGGACAATCTGACGGTTTCAGACCGTACAACTTGCATTTCTGGAGGTCAATTGGCGTGATAGGCATATGTCATTTCATATATGTAGGGGACCACACCCTGAATTGCTACAAACAGGGCCACCGAGAGGGGGGGGGCAGGGGAGGCATATTGAAGGAGGCCCCTGACTTGAAGGAAGAACTTAAAATTAAAGCACCTTAAAAAAATGTTGGGCTCAGTGTATTATTCGCACACTAGTGGAAAGTACGAGTGACAGTCATTGTTATTTTCAATTCTAAGATACCATGATATTGCTAGTAAAAAAGTTTATTTGTAAAACTTTTTCACATCGCTTTGAAGTACTTTATGCCTAGCAGATACTAAAACCCATGATGTCTTTCTCTCGGCGGCGCTGGCGACAACCAGCAATTCTGGTGATGGGTTTGATAGTAAAAAGTTACTTAGTGACATCCATAGTATGAGAAAACACAGTATTGTAAATGCTGTATAAGCAACAAAAGGATATTATATTGCATAATTACTTCATTCATTAGAAATTCATCTCTTGAGTAAGCAATGCACAATCAATTCCTTTTCAAATTGATTGCAACATATGAACCCATTAGCCTACAATAGACCTTTTTCATAATCACGTCAAATGCGGAAAGTCTGATGTTACACGAAGTTTGATTGGGTCGATAGTTTTGTGGAGCCAATCAGATTTCGTGTAACATCAGACTTTCCGCGTTTGACGTCATTATAAGAAAGGTCTATTCTAGACACAAATTAGTTGAAATAGTGTAATAAAGGAATGATTTGAGCTTAGTAGTTCACAGATGTAGAGAACCTCACTTCCTTTCTCATGTAAGAGTCTGCATCGCTCAGATATCAGGGAAAAATTCAGTGCCTAATTTTATTACCTACTGTTCATTTACTATTACATATTTCAAATCTTAGGTTTGCAATTTGCACACTTTCATGTGTAGATAACAGCTGCTTAGGTGGTTAAAATGTCCATAAAAAACCTATAACACCAACAGTTATTTTCCACCCTATACAAGTTGTTTCAATATTCGGATAAAATTAAATTCTTTAATAAACCCCTTTTTAAGGAAAGTATTTAATTGGAAAGTTTTCTTTTGACCTTTCATTTCGCTCAGAAGCTCCCCCTATCTATGTGAGCTACATATGGTACTGCCACTGACCTATACCACCCTGCCCCCAGTTTCTGCTTCCCAGCTCTCTATTAATCCGAAAATAAAATTTTATCACTGAAAATCAGGTTTGAATTTGTACTGCCGTGAGGCTTGCCATCTTTCGAATGAACATAATTATAATGTACGTACTACAAGTATTACAAACTAACCTGTTTATATAAAATTCCACACCTCCACTCACTCTTACCTACATAAAAATACGTCCTGAAAACAAATAATACTTCAAATATACTTGGCAGTATACTTATCAGTGATGACACATCTTAAGGAGCTATATTTTTAATTCAGAATACGTACATCGGAATAGAAAAGAATACTTGTTTTATTTGTATATATTTGGTTATTTTATTTTAGAATTGCCATGGGCAACTGGAGCGATGTGTGAAGATTGCAAATAATGACAAAAGACTGGGCCGGGCCCCAATAAAGAATGAAAATAAAATAATAAACAAAAATAATGGCCGATAATGACGAGGAAAGCGAACTAAGACATGCCGCAGAAAGATGTGATATTCTCCTGAAAATAAAATCCACCATTGATGGTTTGTTAGCCAGTGGCTCGCATATTACTTGGTCTACCTACGGAGGTCTTGCAAGGATTTCCGACAATGTCGAGCAGGTTTTAACCCATGGGTCTCGGATTGTTGTGGTGAATACAAAATATATTACACAATAAATACACAAAATAGAATGTACATAATGCTTCAGCAATCAACTGAGTATAGCACCGTGTATATTAGAACTCAACTTCTCTTTTAAATTGCCCAAATCAATGCATATCAGTGTAGAAAGTATCTAATATTTGTAGCACAACTGTAATATCAGATTTCCAAATGTTAAAAACCTACTATTATACACTATAAAAATTTGCAAAATCTGAAACAATTCCCGCACTTAGCAGTCTGGAATTGCTCATGACTTTGTTGTTTTACCCAGATCAATCTGGGCAATGACCTGCAAAAAGTTGTGAATAGAATTAGTGTTTTAGTATAAGGGTGGATTTCCACTTGCAGAGAAATAGAAATGTGAAATATTAACATATTTTCTTCTTCGCTAGTGAAATATTAGCATATTTTCTTTCGAAATGAGAATAGTCCAGCTGAACTAATTTATTTATTCTACCCAAAAGGGAAAAGAAAATATGCAAATATTTTACTAGCTAACTCTTCCTTTGCAAATAGAATTAATAATTTGGCAACCAAAATACATTCTTTGTTTATTGAACATGTGCATTCTTTGTATAGTTGAACATGTATCATTGTATATTATTATAGAGACAATCCCGTAACAAACTTGGCGCTACTGATCTGTTGAGCTGTTTAATAGAGATCAGTCGAAAAAGAGACAGCGGAGAGGATAATATTAACAGTGTCAATCAATGGATTCAAAAATCATTGTTGAATCACACTTTATCTCGAAATTTAGTTGCGTTCACAAATAAGAAAAAACGTATCAAGAAATACTATTACAGTATGTACAGTATTCATGAACTAGCAATGTTGCTTAACACACCTTGGTTTAATGGATAGTTAGGCAGGCTTTTGAGCCAAAATTTAGACATAGTACCTGAAGAGAGGCACAAAGTTTTTCTGCAAAAAGTATTGGATCCAAAACTGGACACAATTTAATTGCAAATTCATAGTTGTTGATGTATCATTATTTAGCAGATTGTTTTTTGTTCCCTAGAGTTTGCATTCCTCCGAAGTATTTCGCATTTTCAGGCCTTACAACACTGCTTAAGAGCTATTGAAGAAGATAATCCACTGCTTCCTACAACTATTGATTATACACTGGTAAGGCTTTAATTCATCAATGAAAAACCCCATTATGATGTTTTGAATTTGCATGATATCACTTATGTGATTTTCTTCAAAAGTTTAAAGGAAAATGTTGGATGCCATAGCTATAATTGCTAAATATGTCTTTATGATTTTTTATGGCCGTCAAGTTAAATAAAGAAAGATATTTAGAAGTTTTTCGAAAGAAATTTTGTGATCATGGTTCTTTAAATGATGACAACTCTTCGTGCGACTCCATGAGTGAGAATGATGAACCCGACGTACGGTCTGATCGTGTACCAAGTACAGCGTCTAACGCATCTTCCTCGCAGGGCTTTCAGAAAGACAGACCAAGTGTATCGGAGGATCCAGAACTCCCGTCATTAAACGACGGCCGAGACGAGATCTTCGTGCCTAAGTCCTCCCGTCTTAGTATAACACAGAAGACTAAGCCCAAGTTTGATGAAACAGTTCTGGCTACTGCAGCATTCACAGCTGCCACTGAGCCTGTGGATGTTCAAAATGAAGTGAGGTGGTTCGAAGGAGGTTTACCTACGAAACCTTATGAAGACGGCAATACTAAAACACTACTACGGAATGCCCAAACCGAGTCAGAAAGACTTCTAAGAAGACCTAGCAAGGATTCGATATCCTCAAACTCGACGATCGAAAGTTTGACTTTTGACTCGAGAAATAACGAGGGCCAAAATACGACAGGACTGAGCGAACATGATAAGAAAAAGAAGCTGGGTCATTATCGATCAAAATCTGATCAATTTCATCGTTTTCGGCCATTTGGAACAACAAGGCAGCCATTTTTCGATGACGGAGGACACAATGGGTCAAAAAGTAACAACGCGGACACATTTTCGACATCTCTACCAACAAACTCCGATGTTGCAGGTAGCGAAGGTATAGTTAGAAGTATAGAAAAATCTGTTAAAAATAATGGTGGTGGATTTATAGGTGGGTGCACAGTGGTATGCACTTATGTAGTTTAGTTTTGGTGCAATTGTACTGTTATTACCAAGACGTTACAAGATGCGCATATATATGACATCAGTTGCTAAAAAGTGCCAGATTTGCTAGGTTTCATGTACTTCATACGAGCTTCGAACTCCCTAAATCTTGTTGGTTCAAAAACTGTTCAAAAGTATTTTTCTGAACTCAAAAATATTGTTATTTCATTTAGAGTTTTACGGCAGTAGTTTAGGATTGCCACATTCATCTCGTTCAAGCGACAATCCTGTTCTTGGTTTTCTGTCGTCAAGGGAGTATGACTCGTGTCAGGAGTTTGATCGTGTAAGATGACGCTCTTACATTATTTCTCTACGAATCTATCTAGTGTGCTTGACTTTGAATGTACGCGCTGTATGTCGCTTACCTTGCAAAATGAACTCCTACACTGATACTAGTGGAAACATAGCTACTAATTTTAATTTACCTTTGGCTACAAATTTTAGAAGCATCGTCAAAAAACAATTAAGAAAAGAAAATGTACTTATCAAATAATCTCTAATTCAATATTCTTGCTATGTTTAGGAAAACGCGCATTTTAGTATCTCCGAGGCTCTTATCTGCGCCATTGAACAGGTAAAATCTCATTAGAATTATAGCAATTGTTCTGGTTTCACTTGCCACTACCATACCAACAATTTTTTCTTTGCATGTGAACAAAAATATATTTGAAATATCAATCAATGCACCCTGAAGTATCCCGTATATCGAAGTATCGAGGTCCCAATGAAGCCTGGATCATTGTCTCCAACTTATAGGTCGATTGTATCAGTGTTCCGTACTTTGCAAAAATACCGTATTCCGACAAAAATTGCTTATTATGATAGCTACATAAGTATATGTATTGTCTATTGATCAATTTAGATGAAATACGAGAGTGGTTATTCAGACCTGGTTGACGATGATGACGGTGAAAGTGACGAAGAGATCAAGCAACTACGCGCTGAAATCAGGAAGAAAAAATTGGCGAGGAAACAATCAAAAAAGGAAGAGACGGTGTCTTCTTCTAGCAAGACTGGCACTAGCATATCATCCGGATCTCCTGGGTCTAGCTTTTCATCAAGCAAGTTAATCTATATCTTTCTGCGGATAAAGGCTACTGAACACAGTTATAGACTAACATGCTGATAAAAATGTCTTGAGACTGAATCTATATATTCATGTTGGTACTCAAAATTCGTCGATGTATTAAGGATGCTCAATCCTGTCTTTTCTTGTGTCCATAAAAATTTGTATGATTGAACGTCGAAGTTCTCGTTATACCGCAATAGGCTCGAAATATCAGGCACAGCTCTCCCTTTCGCTGCTACCAATCTTAAGATCATCTGAATTTCAAAGTCAAACCAAATTCTTCAAATAAATAAGCGCTATGTGCTAGCCGCGTGTGCACTACGATAGATCTGACTTTTCAATTTTCTTTCTCTGTAGAGGAAATCTCGAAATCAGTCGACAGTGACTACAATTCAAGTAGTGAACTTGCCAGTCCTGAAAGTAACAATTTAAACAAGCGTGTAGAGAAACAAAATATGATTCCTTCCAAGATTTCATTAGACACTTCATCACCTCTCGAGACAAGTGGTTCTCCGATCTCAGCTGAGCAGGTTGCCTTATGTTTACTGGAGAAAGTTGCTTCAAGGAAAAACTTGACTTCAGAAGATTTAAAGTGGATGGTCTCAGAACATGATGTTCCACAGAGTTTGTTACCCCTACCCACCGCCGTTCCCGTTTCACCTGATGACGAGTTGTACGATACGACTGAAAATTTCAGTAGACGAACATCTTTACCAGTAAGAAATGACATAGGATACTATATAGCAATGATCCAACATCAAGAAAAACAATTTGAACTAATATCGATCATTAATCTTTCCAGTGTCGTCTGAGAGGAAATCTAGAGTGGGCTCCTCCGAGACAGCAAATTATTTTCAGCATTCCATCTAATCCAAAGTAAGCCGAAACTGTACGTTTTTAATACCGCTGAAATATTGCGATAATTTGAAATGAGCGAACAGCAAGAACTTACAGAGAATTTTTTGGGGGAAAAAACGTTTAGGGAATGGGGGACTTTTCCCTGCAGAGTCACATTTATGCCCTATTTTAATTTGTACTATATATATACTATTATAATATTATTACTTTTGGGGGACCCTGGCAACAAGTAATAATAATAATAAATTAATTTATAGTGCGCAAGTTCCATTCAAATATGCTCACATGCGCATCTGTATCAAGTAGGCGTCATTACCTTCCCCTCCCTCTAAAAAGACGTAACTTTTTTGAGACTGTAGTATATTATTTTAGACGAAAGGAGGCGATGACAAAGCAAGGATATCGATGTGCTGGATGTGGAATGCGTGTTGAACCAGGTAAATTGAATACGAATTACGTGATTTTGGCGATTATAAACATAATTGTGCTGATAATTTACAAGGTTATATTACCGTACTTGTGAATTGGGCGTAGTATTTATACTTTATACAATTAAAGTTAAAACCGGGAAACATGCATACTTCTCGGTCAAAATAAATAAACGTTTGCTTCTGTATATATAATATAAATAACATCGGACAAGACAACTATGATAGATTCTTGAGTCAAAAAATGGGCGGACAATGTTTATAGCTATAACTGTGTCCAGCCATGCACATTCCACATGCATGGATGATAACCAGACAAAAGGCGACAATTCTATTTCTTCCATGTAGGATACGTGAAAAAACTCCGCTACTGCAACTACTTAGGAAAATATTTCTGCTATACTTGTCGATCGTCAACAACGACAGTCATCCCTGGTCGTATTATTCAGAGATGGGACTTCAAAGAATATCCTTTTAAATGCAAATGCGCTTATCTTATCCTCTGTTTCTACAGAGTGTAAGGGATAATTACATGCACATCCTTTTGACTTTCCTTAACAATGTTTAAATATGAAGTGTCTACTTTTGCTCGTGATTTGCTTAGTAGAGTGCACAACGATCCGCTGTTCAACATTCAGGCCATCAATAAAACGTTGTATAAAAAAGTGAAGGAAATCGACGGTGTTAAGGTTTGATGAATCGAAATTGCTTTCAAATATTTCGATCAGTGGTCAGGCGTTCATCCATTGAAACATTGCCATCCAACACAATCATTCATGCAATCAGTCAACCATCTAAATTGTGAATTATTTTTATGTTATATTTTAGCATTTACGCCTTCAACTGCATTACCTTGCGTCATTTCTCCGAACTTGTCGATACGCTGTTAAGTGAGTTTTTGATTTAAAAACTATTCCTCGGCTCACCATTTTAGCATATATAACGCCAAGATATAATGGTAATACAATGATTCTCGCATGCTGCTCACTAAATGCGTCTTACCATAGTGAATAAGCCCTTACTCCTCCTTTACAAGGTTGTTGGAACTTATAAATGCGTTACCAAATTACATTATGGACGATATTCACTTATATTCAATCCGTGACCTTCTGGAGGTATGTTGTAATCTGCAATTGTTGACCCGTATTTCATACTCATTAATAACTCATTAGCGACACAGAGTAAATGTTGAGTTCCTACTTATATACGAGTATATACGAGTTTAGTGCATATTGCAGCTAATGTAGAAATAGTTTACTGATTACTAATAGGCTTTACTGACTACCAATAGCTTTAGTTCATTCAGCAATGATGTGTTTTCTATTTACCTTATCAAGGTTAAAAGCGGTGTATTTCGTGAACGTCTTGAACAAGCTGTAAACAGTTCGCTGGATCACGTTTCGACGTGTCAGGTAAAATTGACTCGGGCCTTTCTTTCACTGCTGCAAGACAAAATTATCTCTAAAATTTTACATTTTTATCTCTTAAATTCTTTTATTTATTTATCATCGCCAGTTGTGTCTAGCCAAGGGCTTCGTTTGCGAGTACTGCAAAAACGGTGAAGATATAATTTATCCATTTGAAGTGAAAAGATGTAGTCAATGCCCGGGTAGGTATACACAATGCATTTGGCTATTGTCTAGTAATTATGTCATGCTTTTCTGAAAGTCAAACAACCTCTCGTACCTTTAAAGATGATTTTCTAAGGTTAATTGGTAGTCATCCATTTTCAGATTGTGGCTCTTGCTATCATCGTGAATGTTTCGTTGAAGGAAAGTGTCCCAAATGTGAAAGATTATTATTACGGTATGTGGTTATATATAGGCAATCTTTATAACTTGCTTTGCATAAAAAACACATGGTAAAAAACTAAAAATCACCGTTTTCTTATCTTTTTTTAAAAGGAAAAAAGCCGCAGAGGTTTTCAACTTTCTGCCGGACGAAGATGAATTCACGTAGCCATAAATCTATTTCTATATGAAGAATATACAATTTGGTTTTTAAAAAATCATTTTGATATAGTTTTTCTTATATCAATTCAGTAAATAATGCACAATTTGTTACCCATGCAGAACAATTTTGTTAACAGCTATGTATGGAGCTAAACATGCACAAAAGACATACAGTATAAATTTAGCATACGTTTTATACCAGAGTTTTTCAAAAAATTGAAATCGGGAATACGTGATGTTTGTATATGGTTGAGGCAACCACATGTGAAAATAATACTGATGCGCAACCTATTGTTCACTGGCTCAGAAAATAAAGTGAATTAAATTATCGATCGTAAGACAAGATTCGAGATTACAAACAAAAATTACTATATGGATTGTTACGTTATTTAATTTTATGTGGAATATCTAATGGATATATTTAAGGCCGGGATTTATTTTAAATGTTATAGTTGGCTCTTGGTAAAATCAGTATTATTTTATAGCAGATCAGTGGTTGCGCAATCCAACATCAATATAATTTTAATTTATCAAACTATGAAAATAAATTGTCCTTGTACCATGACTTGATTGTTTTGATGAAAATTGAAATTATTTTCCTTGAACTACATTAATATCTTTTTCAAGCCACCACACTGAGGCGCAGAGTCCCTGTATATAAATCGTTGTTTTGATATTCAGTGCTCTTTGTTCATTCAACTAATTTGTCGCATTTACTTAACAATTGTATTTGCCACTGTACTTTATTTGTCAGTCAGATTTCTTTATGCACGATTGGATGATTTGAGCCAGCTCGTCAGATGACCTTTGATTTTCATTCTCGCTTGAATCAGCTGGGGAAGATCTGTTGACAACTCGGGATACATGTTCGCGCAATGGGCAGTACCTTTTTGTACACAAAAAATGTAATATTTGATGGGTATAGTCCTGCGTGTGTATATAGAACAATGAAATCCCTGAATTTGTCCAGTACTAAGCATACGGGGGGGGGACCGTTTGTGTTTCCATGAATGGTAAACTCGAGAAGATTAGAGGACGATTCCCAATTCATGATCATCTTAACATACGTTCACTACACGATTTTTCCAATTTTGTCAAATCCAATTCACTTCTGATGAATATATAGGCAGCAAATCAACTAAACCAAATCCACTAGCGTTTTAGCCGTCAGCAGACTAGGTACAGAAGTTAGTTGGATCATAAGGCCTGGTTTACACTTGAGAACGAGTAATTAGTTACGAATGCTCTGATGTTTTAGAACTATTTGAATATCAGTAACTAATTCACTCGTTCACATCTATCAAAAGAAGAAAATCGCAGCAAAAATCGCAAGTGCAAATGGGCCTATACAATTTGATAATCTGAACAGACCATTAGGCTGAGTTCTATACAGTTACTTGTTACCTTCGATAAAAATAGCCTGCTCTTCCGATGTAACGTCACTTGTAATACCAAGAGCATGCCAAGGATCAATGGAACCGTTTGGGAAAACAATCTGAATGATGTACACACTATGTTTAAACTTTAAGAATTAACAAGGAGCATTAAAATGCATGCACGAATTGAGCCGATATTTCTAATGAAGGCTTCAATAATATTTACCTTTGAACCAGCGATTTTCATTCCGCCATAATTTGTATTTGTTCTTGTAATGCCAGACATAATCTCTGTCTCATTAAATGAAGGACCAAAAATGTCCATGCACTGTTTGATGGAGAACCTTGATAAAAGATAAAAAAGATCATCGTAAAGGAATAAAGAAAAGTATAGGCAAGATTTCCTACTTACTTCAATGGAAAAAGATTTCCAAATGGTTGTTTCGTAGAATCACTTGTCTGATAAAACCCAAATTCCGTACAGGTCTGATACGTCCATTGCCTACCTACAATTGCATATGATATACGAGTTTCTAAATATAGCTGCTAAATATAATTATAATCATAGAAAATTTAAATAAATTGCAATGTATCGCGAAATAACTTCTGTACATCGCTCTCTGATTGAGTAGTAATAAACAAGGCATACACATTAGCTAATAGCGGTATGAAAGGTGTGATTATTCATTTGCAGATAATTCACAAGTGGGGTGGGACTTAAAATATATATGTTAGGGAACTACTTTTGTTTTGTATAATCAGAAACTATAATTGAACAGTTAGGGTCACGGAAACAGTAAAGTTCAAACGTTTAAGTAAAGCAGATTAAAGTTTACAAATTTTAACCTCCTTCACTCGCAGAACTGCTCCATGACGTTTCCTTCATATCTTTAATCATATCGCTAAAGTTGACATCAAGACATTTCTCTCCATAGGTATCCAGCAATAAACTGTTCACTTTCGCATATCTAGTTACTTCATCTACACTCTGGTTGCTCATGATTTTACATAACACATCGATTGTGATACTCGTGCCTACGGCCCCCTAAAGATATGATGCGATCACAATAAAAATCCAGATTGGTTCGGTTTTAAATCAGATTACCATGCAGCAATTAAGTTAATATATTAACATACAATATTGTTTTTGCACCATGCATTCATCTCATACCTGCTTTACCAGTACCATGTATTAATCTAGTCTAAGAATTCTCAGAACTCTGCATGTTTGTTAGAAACATTTGCATTAATTGCATACCTGCAGCATTGTCGCTAAGGAGTAAGGAAAGTCTATTTGTGTACGTAGCAAATTTGTGTGCTGTGTTTCAGTTGGATAGTTTTCATTCATTGAGTTTTAAAATTGGCAAACATGCATAAAAATATGTGAACAGGGGCACAAGCAAAATGCATTACGTGTTTTCTACCTCAAACTTTCTGTTATCTTTATTGTATTGTACGACGCCCATAAAATTCCCTGCTATACTCTGGGCAAAATTGGATATATCATCATCACTATCACTTAACGGATCACAAAGCCTACGAAAAATATATCATATAGTTCTTTAGATGTAACAGTATTGTGCATGAACGCAATGCCACAGTATAATAGAGCTATAATGAAACTCTTTTCCATCCACCACTCGTCATCGCAGCTGCAAAAAACGACCCAAAACGACCTTCAAGCAACAACCAACACAATTATCAAACCTGAAGATTTTAGAAAGTTGTTGCCGGCCTTCGTCATTTGTTAACATCGACTGGATCTTTTCCGTGGCACTTGAAATACTGTCTGTACATGTTTTGCCGTAACTTGTTGTTTGTAAGGATGCTGTGACAACATCTAAATAGCCTTTGAAGTTCAGTTCAGCGAACACGGGTGCACTTGTTGCAACAGCACCTAAAACGCAGCATAGTAGCAGTTGTGCATATACCCTTTCAAAGCAGCTTTGATGAATTTGCAGAGGACGGGAAAAAACCCGAAAATATCATTTGTGTATGTTGCAATTGAATTACTATACTGTCTTTGCTTAGCCTGCAAAGATGAAGCCTGCTGAAAATGATCATAATCTATGCGCTGTAGGGCAAAAAGCCAGCTTTATTGAAAATCATTATCACATTTCATTTACCGGTGACAAGATGCGGAAACTTCAATCGAAACCAGGCAGATAAAGACCCTGGATATGATCCACCAAAGCAAATCCATTTACTGCCAGTCAACTTAAACTTGATGTTCATTTCTTGAACAAATGCCGCTAAATCTGCCAGTGCTTGTTCACTATTAAGAAACTGTAAATTTTCCACACTGGTATCTCTATATAATGGCAATCAAAACAGGAAATGAGGTGAATATAACATTTGTGCCAGCAGAAAATGACCTGGAAACAACAAAACAATATTCCTGTTATATATGTGACTGAATCATTTTCATCATCATGTCGAAGAGAATCCTTGACTTTAATTGTCAGGTCTCTCTTTATACATTTGTACATTTCACATTTCCATTCCCATATACTTTTTACTTTCAATTAAAGATCCACTATCATTATTCTATTTATGCACAATACAACTGAGATACTTGCCTAACAGTAACCTAGATCGTTTGAACTGAAAATATCATGGTAATATTAATATTTCATTGCTTACTTTGTTGGATGACTCTGACCATAAAACCTATGTTCAAGCATGAAGGTAAATGCCCCTAACTCCTGGGCATACTTGATCCAAGTACCCTCAACCATCCATATTGGGTTAGCCTCGCCTTCTCCACCAATCATGATGAAGACAGGTCCACCTGGTTTCCAATATGTTGAATTGTACCAATATCTTTGCTGCCAGGTTGCTTTGTTTGCATCATTATAATGTGTTAAACGTTGGGTAAACCACTGTTCTGGTGGTAGATTCACCTTATGGCTTACCAAGGGTGATCCAAGCATTCCCTCCCGACCTCTTGGTCGACCTCGGAAAAACCTTGGGATAATTGCTAAATCTTCATGAGCAAGGAGACCCAGCAAAATGATAGTCACAAGACGCTTTGCCATTACTATACCCACTATATCAGACGGTTTATTTCTGAAAGGTGCACAAAAATATATGATCACTTTATTCACGTGTTGCAATTACTGATAATTTGTCTGATAGGTGTGAATCTTTGTTGCCTCAAAACTGCATATAACAAAGAAGAAAGTTAAATTATCCAATGTTTTTAAATTAACTGCAAAGTATCCAATTTGCAATCGTAAACTGATAAATCTATCTCTTGGCCAAACTTTTTACCTGGTGTCTCGTGATCGCAAGTGTCTTCTGCATCATCAATTCCACACAGGCATATTCGCTTTTTTTTGACGTATATCAAGTAATTTATGAGTCTGCTGTCCAGCATAGTGCTGGCTCATATATTTTGGAGTAAACAATAGATTCTTTAGTTTCTTGTTTACTAACAAATCAGGTGCAAAACAATATTTTACGTTCGTTTATCTGTTTGTTGTTCTAACCACTTCTAACTCTTAGATTCCATTAATATCCTGCGCAATTTTGCAAGAGTATGAATAAATTTGAAGCGTGAGTATTTTTTATACTGTAGTTATTAAAATATACTAAAAATATATACTTTAAAGTTTAAATACAGTCATGAGTAACTGTAATGAAACTGTAGTAATTAAAACAGAGTATTCGTCTACGTGTTGTGCAAAAATACTATACTTTTTTACATCTATAAACTAGATTAAACCTGGAGGATTCCCAGAATAGTGATAGTGGTGAGGAAGCTGCTTTTGATGAACAAAATAATGGAGAAGAAAGTGACCAGAAAGAGAAGGTTAAATGGCTTGTAATAGTATAAATAAATTGAATTAAATGTAATGGTAAACTCGAATTACCGGGAGTAAAGGAAAACTTTTAAAATGCTGAGCAGAAGTAAATCTTTTTATCTAAAGAGGATCTGGTTGAGCTGCAAAATTCAAATTGCTTTAATTAATATTGCGCCATTAATTGCGGTTGTTGTTCATCATACTTTTTACAGCAATTGCTCATATATTTTATGATTGCTAGTCAATTAATATTGTATTCACATACCATAGTCTATTCATATACTATTTTTTAGATTAGAATATACTGCACTATTAAATTTGTTTTTAATGTAGATTTAATTAAGAAGAGATACTATAGATTTAATTAATTAAAACATTTCACCAAATATATATTTGATTTACTTTAGGTGAAACCTTTAGTGATCGGAGAGGGTGAACATCAGCTGCAATTTCCTTATGCCCTATGGTTTTCAAAACGACCACCAGGGAAACAACAATTCAACTATGAAGACAATATAAAACTTGTTGGGAAGTTTGCATCTGTAAGAAAAGTGACTGATGTTTACAACAATTAGTGCATCATATGCCACACTAAGGTTAACAATAAAATATATGAAAAGGAAAACATAATACTATAATGATATAGCTCACATCAAATAGCTTATCAAAAAACAGAACTACAACAAAATATAATTTATGTTTGCACCTAATAAATTGTGCATGCTGACCTGGCCAGAATGATCACAAGTAAATTTATAGCAACCATTCTAAGGAGGATTACATAATTACAAGAGTTTGTTCAATATTTTATTTTTATTTAAAGGTTGAACAATTTTGGTCATTATACATTTGGTTGGTTCACCCTAGTGAGTTAACTGGTCATTGTGACTATCATCTTTTCAAGGATGGAATTAAACCAATGTGGGAGGTAACCTTATTGTGAATGTATAAGGATTAACTATAGTTTATACTATATTTCAATGCAGGAATAACCTTTGTTGAATTTTGCTGTAGGACGAAGCAAATAAGCGTGGTGGGAAGTGGATTGTGAGGTTAAAGAAAGGATTGGCATCACGATTCTGGGAAAATCTGGTAAGAAGTAAAAACATTTTCCTTGGTTTAGAGTTCAACACATTAAAACTAAAATATTTAGTATATATATAAATAATATAATATATGATCTGCAAAATATTGTACTCCTTATACTTATATTTTTAACCAATGCTGTGCACACCTATGTAGCACTTTAGTCTGTTCTATTTGATTATTTGATGTGAAAAAAGTGCTTCAACTGTGGAGCAACTTGTTAATATTATTCTACATATGTTTGCTTTAGATATTAGCAATTTTAGGTGAGCAATTTATGGTTGGTGATGAGATTTGTGGTGCTGTTATTTCTATTAGGTTCCAGGTATGTAATTGTCCGAAGTTGATTTTAATGCACTATTACCCTGTGTAATCATTGAAATACCTCTAATTTACATACCAAGGTCATCTATGTTCCCTTTAATTAAGACTAAAATTGACTTACGTGTTCATGGTACACAATTCAAACTGTATTAAAATTTGCATTTTAAATCTTATCTAGGAAGACATTATATCCGTATGGAATCGAACATCCAGTGATCAGGCTGTAACCACCAGAATCAGGTAAAATATATTATTTTGAACGTCTTTAGGTTTTTGACATATGCATGTGAACGGGTGAATTAATAGTTAGCATTCTTTATCTCACTGTGACATGAATATTCATCCACTCGTTCATCTATCAAAGAACATTTTAAGAGAAAATTGTTTTAAAATTGTAGCTAAATATTTTATATGGTTTTAGGGATACTTTAAAGCGTGTGCTTAGTTTACCAATGAACACTATCATGGAGTACAAGACACATGACAACAGCATCAGGTAAAAATTGAAATTCTGAACATTGTGCTTTTTGTACGGTGCGCAACAGCTACATTAATGCATGGGAACTGCACGCAGGCTACTACATTAAGGACAGACAGCTCATGTCGCTTCGTTTCCACAAAACAAAATTAATAATCCATTCAGTTAAGACTGACCGGCCGGCCGGCACGAAGACATGTACCCACTACCCAGGCTTTATTTATAAAAGAACATTCACTGCATTCAGCTTATTCTAATGATCGGTGCTGACAAAAGCTCGCTCTTCTCAGAATATACTATATAATAGTTGCATGTATGCATGCAACCTTCTGATAAAGCAACCTCGTACCCAGGGTCTTTACTCGTGGTGGTGGGGACGCTGATAAAGCGTCTGTGTACGAAGTCTGGACCCCCTCCGACCCAGAATACTGACCAGTTAAAATTAAAGATTCGAGACGTCACACACACTCGTTATCGATAATTTCATCAGATGCATTGAACAACTAGGTAATACGAGTATCTCCCTTTTGTTGTTTTTAGGGACAATTCAAGCTTCAGGAATACAGCTATTTTTTCGAGTTAGCCTGTACATATAGTCAGATAGTCTTGAACAGTATGTCGGTTTTTGAAAAAAACTGAACATCGCGTGTGACTGGCTGCCGACCATGCATATAGAGCATTAATTAAGGAAAGGCGTTTTTGGTCAATTGGTCTGATGAAACATCTGAGTTTGACGTTTTTAACATTGCCATATAATGGAACAATGCTTGCATGCAGGCTTATAAGGAATGTGAATGTATTTCGTTGGAGATATAGTTACTAGCCATACGCGGATATATTTTTAAAGTTGTGTTTTGTAAAAAAGTGTAAGCCGTCTTTCTACCCTGACCAGCGTAACGGTTGCATGACATTTATGTTAATAATAATAATACAAAGACTCCATCCCGCGTGTGTAGATGAAAAATGAAAACGTTTCCGTGCCTTTAAGAGTTTTAACAATAAAAAAAATTTAATTACATGCAACGCATACCGCCTATGGTCACCTAGACTAAATTTTGATATGACAATTAAGAAGAATAATCCAACACCAGAAAGTGCAGTTTCCACTATACGAAACTTTTCGATGGAACGAAAGTTTTCTTCTGGTTTTCTTTAAATTTTGTAAGAATTCCACCGTAGGCGTAGCGGATTTCCTTGACCGGTCAGAATTGAAAGAAAAATAAAGTAATAAATTTCGTTCTGTCGAAAAATTCAGCCTAGTGGAAAACCGCTATTAATGTAAAAGAGTAAAACTGAAAAGTTTGATTCGAAAGTGTTGTAAGTGTGAAACTCACTGTGAAAGATACAGCTATACAGGGCGAAATCGACAAATCTCACATACTGCATGTAAATACTAGATTTTCAAGCAAACTTTAACTCGTTTTATGATGCATTTTGTGGTGTTAGATTAGTTTCTATACTCGCCCGGTTCAAAATTATCCCATGCATATGTATAGCTAGAATCGAACGGACAAGAAATAGATATCAATTTGCCAAAATAAATAATCCTTTCTGTGGCGTTCCCATTCAATATCCCACTGAGCCAGCAAAACGATGATCAAACTTCTTAATTATATAAAACTAAGGACTATACACATGCATACACGCATAATGAGATCTTTCTACAACAGGCACGAACACGTTTAGAAATTTATAATTAAACGTGTCTATAGCATGTTACTACGGGCGCTCTTGGCATGCATGCAACATTTATGTTGAACAGGTAGAAACACTCTCATTCGCTGTGAGATTCGCTGATAAAATACATTGCATTTATTCTGTTTAATTTTTAAGGTTAATATTAGTATTTGTATTCGCGAGTGCAATATTGCTCATCTGTCATCATGCGGAATTCTCTGTCCCACGATACGGTTTTCCCGCCAGCATTCACAGTCGAAGATACTTGTCAGACAAAGCCGAAGGTGTTTTTTATTTTTTCATTGTATAGCTACAAAGCAAAATCGTGTTCGCGCATCTGGAAAAAGCTGAGCAATTTTAAATTAATATTAACGAGAGACAATATATGTCATAGTTATAAGAGAGAACGAGATTAAAAAAAAAACAACGAAACGCTTCTGCATGAATAAAAACATAAATTGAAAACATTGAAAACATGTTCATTAAAGCCGACATATTCTTCTTCAAAAGAATTGTATGGATTTATCTTCGGCGTTTTCAGACCTGCAAGCATATCATTTATATTAAATGAGCAGGTGGAAAGCTGTCCAGTATATAGCCATAGGAAAATTAAGGGCACAACGTCCGGTAGCTAAAGTAAATGACTTTTCGCGCAGACCAATTATTGTCAACAACTTTCGATATTGATTACTTGTGTTTAAAAACTGAGTCAGAGATTATCCGCGTATAACGCTATTTTCTCAAAATGGACGCAGCAATTACCGACCAGCCCGACTCTGTATTGTTGAGTTCGTTTCAGGATGGTCGAGCGTGCGAAGAAGTAATTGAATTGGATATGTTTAGAAATGCAGATAAAATTATCATACAGGAAAAGTCTCACCGCTTTGGAGGTACGTTTTAAATACTCGACATGTTGTCGTAAAAGAGCAATGATCGAAAGCTAGGAATTCAGTTAGCTTTTTTGTATCATAATTTCGATGCGAGTCTTTAAATGCTAAAAATTTAGCACTATATGTCTATATATATAGTTTGGGACGCACGCTAACAGCCTATATATATAATTATACTATAGCGTCTAGATCATCATTCCTACTATAGTCAGAATAGACAACATTATAAACAAAATCTATAGACAATATTATGGAGACAACAAAATACTATGCTGTATTTATTTAATCACTATATAATCACGAGTTTTCGCCTATCGTTGTGGCGTGTATAAAATGGTTTTTCAATTAAAATATATAAGCTTGTTTTCTTTCAAACTTCCATCACTACGTTAAGGCAGGTGTTTTAGATGCCTGCATGCATGATGCGAACGCTTCAAAATTATTTCAGTAATCTGTGTACTGTATAATCGGTGTTTTATCATAGTGAGCTATATGCCGGATGACAGAGCGCAGTAATAGCTAAAAAGCAGCGTATGGAAAGGAATGTGATGATTGGATGAATGAAGGGGCGGTTTCTATTGGTTTCCATTCAATGGTATTTGTCGCAGCTGAGTTTTGAACACATCATAGGCTAGACGATCGATGTAGTAGAGTGCTGACGTAATAATTTCAATTCAACCCGATTATCACTGTAGCGAAGCGTAGCGTATAACGTTCTCCTTCGTTTCCTCCGGTATTCCGCTAAAACTAATTACTTTGAAAAAATGAGATACGCTATGTCTAAAACAGTGGAAAACAGGCCATAGGCCTTAGAAGATCTTCGGCAATGACTTGTTTTCGTCAGCTACGACCATGCAATTGGAAACTAGGCTTTATGTCGACCTAACCAGATTGAAAGCCGAAAAACGCACGGGGATTTCGCCATTACTCACTGGAATTATAATGAATGTAAACAAAAAAGGTTTATAATGATCTAAAAAAACTGAGAGGATGTAATAAAATTGATGTTTTGCAATTCAGACAATTTCACCCTTTGGCAAAGGAAATTATCCCACCCATTTCGATTAATTTACATTTTTTTTCGGCTTCAGATGGAAAAAGGTATACAGTTACCGACAGTCGAACAAAGACGGATTATTATGAAATAAAGCAAGGTATAAACACAATATACTTACAGCTAAAAAATTCCCGCCATATAGTTCGGGAAAAATCGGGGCGGTTCATTGATGACACGATACCGAACTCGACTTTTCACTTCACATACATGCGTATATTTGTTTAAATGGTATGAAACACAAAAAGTTCACTAGAGATATTTTTCTACCTAAAATTGCCAAATATATGCATGGCGGCTGCAGTTCTCGCCCTCTGCCTCGTAGGCCCATGCTTGCTTGCTTAAACGAACGTTATTGCCATGCATTCTTCCAGATACGCCATGTCAGTTCTCCCTCCGTGAAATTAACGACCGAAAAAGATTGGTGAACTTCAATGTTCCTTCTCGTACTTCATGTATATGTCCTTGTGGTAATACTTGTACAATGAGATCACAAACTACACTACTTCCAAATTCTCTCCTTGGTTCTGTACAGCAGACGTAAGTGGCAATATATGAATTGCGAAAACGTAGGTCAAGACACGCTAGTCCTGATTTAATTTTATTGCATGCTATACAGTCAGCGGTAAGAAACAAAAATTATTCCATGCACCAATCGTCCGCACATAGACGTTATCATCGAAGTTATAAGATAATCAAATAGTGTATGGGATTTTTGTGATCCATCGATCAAAATATGCCTCTGCGATTATACGGGAAATGGAAAATTCACAGACGCCCCCCTTCCTCTTCTAGTTTGTTAGATGCACTGATAATATTTCTTTTAATCATAATGCCCTTTGGTTTGGCGCCAAAGCTATACCCCCTGCAAACGATCTCCGGAAAAATTCCTATTTTGTCCACATGCAGATTAACTTGGTGTCAGCCGTATTTTAATGTATACGACAGCTCAAATGAACGAATACTCAGTATGGACGGTTCATTTTCAATGATGTTTTTCTCCATTGGAAGGCATAAGGTAAATTCTGCATGCACATAAAATTGCAGACTGTTGTAGTATATAGTAACTATATAGCACAGAATATTGATGTTGAACAATTGCCGTTTAAGGACGCTATATTTATACTCCGTAACTAGAACAGTGTCCCAAGGCTATTTCTTGGGTGCGATGCATGTAGATCTATCATTTTGACCGAGTCAAAACAATTTTTTTTTATTTTCCGGAAAAGGTGACTGATATGGATGATCGGGTTGTCGGGGACATATTCGTCGATTATTCTGCGTCAGAAGGATTGCACTGCATATATGTAAAATGTAAGGATCTAAATAGTTCTCTACATTACTAAGAGTAATTCTAAATTTGGCCTCACCAAATATCTCATGCAACTAGCCTATTGTGTCAGTGTAGCGAAACAACACTGCAATCGTGTAGCCCATCATTCCCGCGTGGCCACAGCTTTCCTCACAGTCACTTTTTTGCAATTGCAAGCGACTGGGGACGAGGCAGTTCAAGTAGAGCCTCTCGGGAGGCTCGCGCTAGAATTTAGTGAATGAGATTGACTAGCCTCGTTTTGGTACTTCTAAAAGGCAATAATTTAACTTGCAGCATTTTTTTCTCAGTCGTAAAATTTTCACATACTTTAAAAAGCACGCTTTATAATGGAAAGACATGATCTAAGGTCGATATAGAATACAAAAGAACAGTAATTCCTAAAAACCTTATCCAGTTTTAATGAATCTATGTCACTTTCGACAATATTTCAGATCTTGATTAACCTGTTACAAAGCATCATTAGTTGCCACTGTTTTTTTTTATCCATAAACTCAGCAGTTGCCATTGTAATCTCGTATATTTTTTTTTATTTTACTATTGCATGTGTTGTATAGTTAATAAAGAAATGGACGTCTCAACCAAGTTAACACTGCTTGGTGCTGGATTGATGTTCTCAAATGCGCAGGCCAGTAGAGTATAGTCTGTGCATATGCTGGGTAAGACATCGAACCGTCGGAAAGTCATTAACAACCTTGGCTCTCCATGGATACAGTGACGAGTTCGTATATTTAAGGTTTGTTCCCTTGGATAAAGCCACCTGTGGCAAAGATTGTTAATCATAATACAATCTAACGTCTGGGCTATTCCTTCGTACAGCTCTCTTAAAGCACCATGAAGAGACTATATAGAAGCATAATCCAAATATGTATATTCATAATGTGTACTGTAGTTAACGACCTCGGACAGTCATGCAGGCCCAACGGATGGTCATGCATGCAAGTATGCGGCTTCCCGTGTTAATTCATATATAGTAAAAAATATAATAAAACTGAACTATGAAATAAATTAAATAAACTTTGTACCAAATTGTAGCGCGATTGAAAACTCACTAAGCATCAGAGATTGGGAAACTTGACGTGTGCATGGTGAGCTTTCACGCACAAAAGTATTTTTAAAAAGACATGAGAAGATTAAATGAGAATATAAACACTTGCCTGGTACTTCTGTCTGTAATTCCGTTCATTCCACACATTCTACTTTATCCACTTCATCTTTGCCATGATTGTTTATTTCTTCCAGCTTTTCCTCCAACGTATCATTCGTTGTTTCCTTCTCACACTTCTTTACCCTTCCGAGATCCTCCAAACACGGACCAGAACTGTCGTCGCTTTCGCTGGTTGAACTGTCGTTCTGGCTTTCCACTCTTGCCCGTTTCACAACTAGAATATATAAACAAAGACTGAGCAAACTATGTCGTGTACAAAATTAATGATCATCACGCAACAATCATGCAAACGAACAAAAGTATAAATTTTCCTTGGCTTAGGGCTTTAAGTTCTCGATCAAAAGCAACCTTATACAATATACGTGATCAATGTGTATACACGAAATACATACTTGGGCCAGATATATCTGTTGGATATTCTGAGAAATGACGAGATAAGACGACATGAAATGTCGGATACTCAATTACCATCTTTCCTTTTAATGCATCTTTCACAGTTACCAACGTATCAATTTTGAAGAAGCTAAAGTAAGGAAAATTGCCATGTGGAATCTGCAGCGGTTGAGTGGAAACGAAGATAGTGACGAAAAGAAATGGGTTTTTTATATTTCCTAGTTGAAGTAAACTTGGACAGAAAAAATTATGCTTATAAAGCATATAGCCACCCTGTCTACTGATTTTTAATATCTAGAATGTATTTATGGAACTTTGTATGTATATACAGTACCTTCTTTGTTGGGTGGAGTGGTTTTGAAGAAATATCCCAATTTCAGCATCACGATAAACTCTAAGCCTTAATATATCAATAGATTTTTAAATTACTGGCTTTTGAATAGTTTATTGCTAAAAGGACTATGATGCTCTTTTTGAAGTCCCCAATGTGGAAGCAATTTTAAAACAGTAAATATTTACTTCTGTTTGAAGACAGGATCTGCATTGGTGGGATCTAAGTATTTTTCCAACAGCGTTTTAATCAGCACATTTTCTGATTGCCTATAGGAAAGAACAGGTAGTTATGCTGATCGTCTTCTCACAAAATTAAACACGGATATATACATACTTTGCTTCGACATAATGAGTATTTGCTTGAGGAAACTCCCATTTTATTCTCCACATTATAACTTTACTTCTAAAAAGTAACAATATCAAGCTTAAAATCAAGTAATCCTAAAATTATGAAATGATTGTTCATGCAAAAAATGCAGTTGATTTTTCAAAACTTATCAGATAGAAGAGCCTCAAGCCCTATTTACTTTACAATCAATGGTTTGTCATGGCACAGATAAAATTGGGTGCGTTCCATACCTACGCAATTAGTAAAACATACGTATGCATGATGCCAACTAACGAACAAATAACTTACTTAAAGTGAAAAAAACTTGTGTTTTCTTTTCTTTTCTGAAAACTGACTGGCATTAACCTAAGGTTAACCCCTTTCTTAGCTGCCTCAACTCTGAGTCTTTTTACCTAAATTGACATTAAATTAGACACTAGATTAAATTTAACAAAGTTTTCAACCAGTAAAGTGGCCTAAGTGGGCGAATCAGGAATGGATTTGCTGGAGAATGCAGGTCCAGAGGGGGTGCAGGAGAGGTGCAAATTTAGCTCCTTACAGCTAGTGCTTGTACTACAAATCATGCCCAGCAACTGGTCTTAAATTTAATTAGCCTTGGTAGAATGGAATGGCTTAATTAACGGACAACTGTGACTTTTGATTTTATGTCTGACAATTTTAACTCAATCAGGCATGGTAGGCACATGTTCAGCCGATGATATAAGCATTGCTGCCTAAGATTTTATTTTGTATTTACAGCTAGTTATAATAAACAATATTTTAGTAGCTCTTGGCATCTGAATACAAACATTGCTGGAAAAGAACTGTTTCTTCCTTTTGTGGTCCCTCTGAGCATTATCTACAACTCTGTTTGTCTCCTCCAGTAGTCTATAATCTGAATTAAAAAAATGATTTACCATGATGAAAAATCAGTGGCTCTGCATAAATGTACTGTATTTATCCACTTCAATAAACCTTGAGAGGCCCAAAATTTAAAAATTTGATTGTATGAACTCTTACCGCTTAGAAGGTTCTGCTCATTATATTCACTTTTATTAATGTATTTTGTCTTGTCTCGTTGCCCGGAGCAAGAATTAAGCACCTTATGTTTCTTAACACAGGCTAAGCTAAAATGGAAGAGCATATGTGCTGTTTTCAAACATTTTTGTAGTTCTACAAAATAGAATTACTTATTTGATTTTAATAGAATTAGCAAGGATATATATTAGAAAGCTTGCATGCATATTCCAAAAAATTTTAAAATCCCTCTGGGGCCGGTTGTTCAAAAGCAGGTTAAATTTAACCCTGGGTTAGTGCTAAACCTGGGTTAAAATCCTTAACCCTAGGTTAGCTAAACCTGGGTTAAAACTGTGTTGTTCAAAGCAGGGTTAGCGGTAGGGTTAGTTAACCCAGGGTTAAAATATTTAACCTAAGATTAAATGTATTTTAATGACTAAATTGGATATAAGAACGTTTTCGATTGGTCAATAAACGAACGTCAAAACTTTACCCGACGAGGATATATTGTTAGTCGAAAGATTATATGCCGTGAGGGCAGGGTCGAAGGGACGTTGTTTCGAACAGCAATTTCCGTGCATGGAATTTTGGAAAGATTCGAAATCAAAGGCCATTTTGTATGATAAACAATGTCGATGTGAAACAAAATCAAGCAAATTATAAACAACCTATTTTAAAATTTCAGGCATTCTTTGATTATTCAAAATTCAGGAACAAACGTAACCTTACCACTTGCTGCCAATCAAAAGAATCGAATTTTGGCATCCGAAACAAATATTTCGATTACGATGTTTCAAATTGTACGGTTGTATTCATTTATCATGTATTGCATTGAAGCGAAGATAAATAAATCAATACATCAGCTGAAACCGAACGAAGTCAAACTTAAATAATTCTTTGCTGTCGAAATTATTTGTAAAACCTTTCAAAAGTGTTTAATTCATGAGGAATTATACGTGTTTACGTGCTTCAGCTCCTTATTCATCCATTTTGAATCGAAGTTAACCCAGGATTAAAAAGTTAACCCACCTAGCTAGCAGGGTTAATTTTTTTATCAATTTTAACCCAGGGTTAACGCTAACCGAGCTTTGTGCAACGCAAATCAACCAAGGTTTAAAATTTAACCCTGGATTAGGCATTTTTAACCCTGGGTTAGCGTTAACCGGCTTTTGAACAACCGGCCCCTGGAACATTACCACGCCCGTGTTCCCTCCTCTGAAGGGCAAGTGGGGCCTGGGGGGGAAGCAGTTTGTGATGTGCTTTTCACAGTGCATTTTAGGGAAAAGACAAATTATAATTACTTGAGTCTTGTGTGTGCTCGCCAATAAGTTAATAACCCTGCTGTGATATAATTTAAACAAAAATAACACGCTAATGGAGTCTATCTTGGGATATCCAACAATAAATTATGATAGGATATAATTTTATATAAATGCGAATAAACACGTACCTACAAGAGACTGCGTCACATCTTGGACAACGATATTTAGAATCAGAACTACCACAAGAATTACAGAAGGGCAGTCGCTCAGTTTTAGACATGTTTAAACCGGTTTAAAACTTTTTTAGGATTCACTAAGTGATTTCAACGTCGCCATTTTTGAATTTGACCGCGCACGGAGTCATGGACTACGGCGAGTATCTATCCGAATGACCCACAGTATCTGGCGGTCATTACCAAGGCCCACTTAGGTTTGTTTGGGGGACACACCTCGTTGCAAGGGCGTTTACACGCCTGGAAACGAGCGGTGGGAAGTTGAAAAAAAGAACCGATTCAGTTAAAAAGGTAACATTGCCAGGGCCAACATTCCTTCTGAGAGAATCATGTATAAAAACTGTTCTTTCACGATAGTAATTTAAGCGTTTTCTAACAGAATGTTATGCCCGTGGTTACGTCAAGCCCCAAAAAACTAGAAATCATATGTACATGGAACGTTCCTTCCAGCTAAAGAAACAACCTCGCCGTGACGCCGTACCTGCGGTTTTAGGGTAGATAAAGGATCGATGATGGTTATGAATTCGATACGAGCAATTGGTCTTTCCTACCGATTACAATAATTGATCAGAAATGGCTAGTTAGGTTAAAGTCACAACTTAGATAAATACAGAACGGTTGGTGAAGTTATGTGTTAATATATTACGTAAAGTAAAACCGTGGGGAGCCACTCTCCTCCGCAGAGGCTTTTTGGGTAATCTAACAATAATTGAGAATTATATAATACAATTGAGAATTATATGATATAATTCGTAGTAGCGGGCGGACGGGAGGGAGCTAATAATAGTAGCGGTGAGTGGCGGGCGGACGGGAGGGAGTCGGGCGGTTGCGGGTTGAAAAATGAAATTTGAGAAGCCTCTGCCATATAATGTTTCCAATATGGCGTCAAATTACATATCATATTATAATTACGTATCATCTCATGAATATTTTTCAAAATAAATATGGATGAGACTATAAATCAAACAAAGAATGTTTTGTCGTTGACTACCAGACCATTTCAAGAAGCGAATGTTTCCGGTAAAGTAATCTGTTCTAAATGTTATGAAAATACGAAAGAAATAAAATTTTATTTAGAAGATGCAGGTTTAATTCAACATTTTCGGGTGAAACATCGACATATGGCCCTTGACGAAAGACTTGTTAAAGAATGTAGGTTGCTATTTCAAGACTTGCATGGGCAGGAAACTTTCAGTGTATTGCAAAAACTAGCCAAGATTCGCGGCGAAGCAGTAAGTTAATGTTTATCTCTTTACTTTTGTAATTTTGTCAATTTTAATTTTTATGAGCAGTAAAAGCACAAAACCACAACTGCACAAACTGATCTTTGCGCACACAATAGGCAAAATATAAATATCTATTAAAATATTTATATTTCAGAATGTGAACTGTTGCAGTTTGCAAAAGTACGAGGAGTTTTCGGTGGAACACATTACTGAAAATTTGGCTAACAAGATGACTACTCTTAAAGTTATGGCAAGCACGAGACGGGAGGCAGCAAAATTATATGGCTTATATTTGAAACACAGTGGCATTCTAAAACATCTTAGCGGGAATCCTTGTCATGTTCGAGTTAAAATATCTTCTAGTGTAACTGATCACCTTGGCCAATGTTTTAAACTTTGGGATGCATGTGCAAAAATTTATGCTGAATGTTTTGTTTCCCCTAAGAGGGTAAGTTACCGTTTTTAAAATTTGCAACATACATTAATACTTGCCAGGGTTCCTGTAGCATGTGGATATTTAAGTTTAGTCTTTTTAATTGAATACTCGTTGGCGTTGCTTTAAATTGTGCAGGCATTTAAAATTTCAAATAATTTAAAATAATTGTATAAAGTAGTATTTCTTGTTTGTATCTATTGCAGTCTATGTTATTGCCAAGACATCAAACACCTGTGCCAGACAAGTGCTTGCAAATGCAAATTTCTCGAGAATGTAAGACACCTTTGCAGTTTCTCCAAACAGTTTTTGGACATCAAGAATTCAGACCAGGCCAAGGTGAAGCTATTGAGTTTATTTGTCTGGAGAAGATACAGTTGTAATTATTCCAACAGGTGGTGGTAAAACAGTTATATATACTCTTCCTTGTCTAATGACACCTGGCTTGGCATTTGTAGTATCACCTCTTATTATGTTAATGAGTGACCAAGTTGCAAGACTACAACAATGTGGAATCAACACATGCTATTACAACACAATGCTAACTGATAATGAAAGACAGAATATATTACATAATCTGAAACAGCCAGATTGTCAATATCAGTTTTTGTTCATTAGCCCAGAAGCTATTGTAACTGAACAATTGAAACATTGCTTGAGTCAGATTAGTCATGAGAACAGATTGAGTTTTTTCATCATAGATGAAGCACATTGTATTAGCACATGGGGTAAGGAATTTCGCCCAGCCTACCAGCAGCTTGGTACCTTACGGAGCTACAATGTTCCAATTATAGCACTTACCGGCACAGCAACAACTGAAACTTTGGATGCAATTAAACAAACACTTGAGATGGATAACCCAAAGGTAGTGAAGATGCCATGTAGAAGAGAAAATCTAATCTATTCAGTTGTTAACAAGGATAATAAAGCTAAAGAACAAGTCTGTAAAATAATTGAAGATGATTTTGCAGATGTATGTGGTATAATTTATTGTGCTACCCAAGCAGATACTGTCGAAATTGCATTTACTCTAAAAGAACATGGTGTGACAGCTACATACTACCATGCAGGGATGGAGGGTGGACAAAGGATGCAAAATGCTTTGCTTTGGCTAGAAAACAAGGTCAGAGTTATATGTAGCACAAACGCATTTGGAATGGGGATAGACAAAAAAGATGTTCGGTTTGTAATTCATCTAACTCTTCCTTCATCTTTAGAAGATTATATACAGGAGTCCGGGAGAGGAGGCCGTGATGGACACAGATGTGATTGCATTTTATTATTTCGTTTTGGTGATAGGATGTTCCATTTAAAGAACATATCTCAATTGTCATCAGAGCAATTTAAAGAAAACAAGCATATTCTTCTTAATGCTATTACAAGTTTTTGTATGGAGCGTTCAATTTGCAGAACACAGTTTATTACAAAATATTTTTCAGAATTGCCAGGTGGTGCATGCAAATTGTGTGATATCTGTCAAAAAGAAATTACCCACCAAATCAAGGATTTCACAAATGAAGCAAAAAGCATACTGGCATGCTTGACAAGTATGGTTGCAATCCAGAGCAAAGTAAAGGTCAGCATGCTGACAATGACGTATATGGGTTCCAAGGCGAAAGATATTGTTAGTAGTGGATTTCACATGGTTCCACAGTATGGAAAGGGTAAGGCCAATTTCCGAAACATTTCAGTTCTTACACACTTTGTACATTTTTTGATCTTCAAAGGATTTTTGAATGAACATGTTCAGCATGTAGAGGATAGATTATCATCAACATACCTAACAATTGGGAACATTCAGAATTTATCAAATGACTCTTGTAAGGTGTTTTATTGATGGGCATGTAAAGTAGTGGCAACAGCATACATTTAAACTGCACTTAAGATTAACTAAATATATTAGTAGGTAATTGTATATATTAATGCATTGTTCACAATCTATAGTAAAGATGGTTGCACACAAATCTGATTCTGGTTTAAGATGCAATTTGATGAAAAATAAGGGACACCACAAATCACACCACTAATTGTTTTAGGATGCAATTTGATGAAAAATAAGAGACACTACAAATTACACCACTAATTGTTTTTCTTAGAATCGTTTTATGTGCACCAAACTTTATAAGAAAGTTGGGTGGTATGTCACTGCCAATGACCAGTTGCTATATATATAGTTTTGCCACTGCTGTGTTTTCCATTTCCCACAGTAATATATACATAAAACAGTAAACAAATGCCAAGTTAGTTACACAATTTCAAGGGCAACTGTGCAGTTCACAAAATTGTACTATATGGACAATAAAATCCATATGTGATATGATTGTGATGCTTAACAATCAGAAGTGCGAGTTTTCCCCCAAATTTTTGCACGAAATGTTGCCACACATCTTTATTGTGTAACCCTTGCATTTCATTTCTGCAAATGCACTGGTAGATAGATCTATCTCGTAAACTTATTGTATCATGATGTATAAAATCCTTATCCCATAAGGATTTTATACCTCAAATCAGGAAAGGAGTCATACAGTTTTGCTTTAAAGCCATCCCTGATCTTCTCTTTACCTTTCTCGACCACATCAATCAAATTCTTGGGGACTTTTCCACTTGCATCACCTTTACCATCGAGGGAGTAGCATTCAATTTCTTTCCTTTCGTTTTCTTCAAAAAATGCCTTTTGGACACAGAACCAGGCACCTTTAACCTGGTCTGGTAATGGATCTTGGACAGAATGTCTGGCAGTATGTGTGTACATCAAATCCCTCTTTCTCCATGTATGCCCTTCTTATGTATTTCAACATATTCAGGTTGGCCATTAGCCGCTCGCACATATGAACTGTTGTGTGATTAGACACGTAATTCTTCAATGGCTGTACTAATTCGGATTCCACGTAAGCGTCGAGCTCTATTCCATTACCAGGTTTCCCAAGAAGGTTGACACAACAATTCTTCTGCAGCAAAATTCTTGTCGCAGCTGGCCACTTTACTAAGAAATTAACAATGTGCCGGAAAACTTCGGTGTAATAGTTACGGAAACCTAGTTGAGCGTACATGGGAGCCTGAGCTTGATATACAGCCTCGCGCGCATAACCATCTCCATTAGCTGTTGCCGCGTCATACATTTGCTGGAGGGGACCATACAGCAGAAATGAAGTAGCTCTGTGTTTAAAAGCAACATCATTTTCACATGATTTTGATAGCCACTCTTTAAATTTGGATAACAGCGTAGTGGTTGTGCTGCCCGTATTACGTAGTTGTTCTTTTGAAGGAAACTCGTTACTTCCCGTAAACTGAAGAGCTGCCGCAATACCGTATGCTCTACACGCATCGTTGATACCTTCTCTAACTTTTACTAGATTATTTTCTTGAAATTTTTTCTTTTTAAAAACTTCGCGTGTAAGTCTTTTTCGCTTAAGAACTTCTGATAACAAATAGTGAAAACCCGATGAACCATGCACCTTATATACCATTTCGCAAAAGTAGCCTAAAACAACAATAACAACAAAAATTTTTAAAAACTTGGTTTGAACCTTGTGATATCGTGAAGTGTTTGTGAAAGTTGATCGTCCAAGATGACAGCCGCTCAGGTTATCAAAATGCCAGTTACAACTTACAACACCATCGTTAACGCTTTCCCAAATACTTCACAATAAATTAACAATTACGGCATACCCCTATATGTAGTCCGTTTGGGAGGTAAAGTAGTAAACTTGAAGTCTGTAATGTAGAGCTGGTACATGTAAGACACATAAAGTATTGACATAGACATTTGTGCAATGTAAGCGCTAAAATAATGAGGGGTATCTGTTTCCCATGTTTAAATAAACCTAACGCTCATATTGTACAATTATCTACAGTATGTCAACCTTAATTGAAATAGCTGTATATATGAGTGTAATCATGTGTAATTTACTTTGTTACCTTTGTTGTGAAGGTCACCAGGACATAGACCAACCCACTGATACGACCTCGACCTGGACATAACCGCGCTATTTGTTTTACACGTTCCAACGTCTCCTACGATAGGCGTTATAAATCCGGGGACAGTTCGGTTGAAATGCTGGACAGTTCTTTTAGGATGTTCATTTGCGGTTAAACTCTCCTGAAATGTTGCATCGATTGAACGAATGAAATCATCCTCTTCGTCTGACAATACCTGGTCGTATTCAAATATTTGTTGAATGTCCTCAAGATTCAATTCTTTAGCCATGCTGAGTGGTGACGGAACACTTGTAAATAACGGTCCAGAATATTTTGCTCCTGATTCAACTAAATACTTGCATATATTACCGTTTTTCCCATGAACAGCAAGGCTTAGGGGCGTCAAACCACATCCCTCTCGGCAGTTTACATCCATACCAAGTTCCACAAGATACTTTACAAAGTTCTGATGACCTTGTTCAACAGCTACATGTAAGAGACTCCGTTTCAAATGGTCTTTGACTGTTGTTAATGCTCTGTTTTCAAGGCTCGAAATAGACATCATGTAAGTCTCTTCAGAATTTGCAGTGTTAGCGCTCATCATTTCATGCATTAAACCATTATACGCTTCCCAGAATGGTTTGTCTTCATTCTGAAAGCGATTCCTTTCTCGTTCAAGAGTAACGGTCTCTTTTGTAGAAGTACGAATACCTGGAGCGTCTTCTTCATCAGAAGCAAACGAAAAGTCATCCTGCGAATCGTCTTCTGTAAGTCCGTCGAAGGTTTTCCTTGTCGATCGCATTTGACTTTCGGTCCGCTTCATATTCTGCTCGTGACTCTTTTGGCTAAGTAGTAGCTCGAAATGCGCCCTTGAAGAAATAACATCAAAATTACCAGCAACGCAGTTGAACGGTACACATTCTGCATTTTTTCCCCCTTCTGGCAAACTGAAATCCTTTGACAGCTTGTCCAAAATACTCATTGTTCCAAAGATTGTGCTATTATCTTCCAACGACAGTGGCAATATGTGTACATTGCTCTTCGAACTGTGGGATGCATTCGGTAGGAGATCCTTTTCTACTGGTATATCTAGCGTATACTTTTCAGTGCTCTCGAAATTTAGAGGCAGTGGCTATATATGCATCTATCTGCTTCTCAGTCATTTCCTTAAACTGATGCACAGTGAATGGCAGTTTGTTCAAAGCAATATCTAAAAGTTCCACTAAGTACTTGTCAACAAATGCATTAAATAGTTTTGCCTTCTCGTCGTCACTCTCTAAAAAAATATCGTCTGGCTTCATGTCCGTCGCTGAACCTTGTGGTGTTATGCAAGATTCCTTACTCATTGAGTACTTCATCCATTCCATCTACATTTGGTATTAACAATGCTTGACCAGTAAAGTTCCACATTGTTGGACCAGCACTTTTGAAAAGACGCAAATGTTTCCTCTTCCCGCGGTAGATGTTTATATTGTCAATCATCAAAATGACTGGAACATTCACTGGGGATAACTGGGCAATATCTTTCTCTCGTTTCTTTTGCTGCTCGTCAAAGAATTTCATGGCCTTCTCCCAGCTCACCGTTAAGCCTAGATGATTCATCATGGTGACAAATCTGAGCCCTGCTCCAAATGATATGCAAAGATATGTAAACATGAGCCTAAAATCGTTGGTAAGTTTTTGATTTCTCAAGCTCACCAAAATAGCTAAAGCATGGACTGCACTCTTGACACGATACTCACTGACAGGTCGCCCATTTTTCTTGTGTAGAAAAATAGTACATAGCACATTAAACAAAAGTGGACAATTATCTTTAACATCTGAAGTCAATTTGGAAAAACATCCAGTGAGGTCACATTCAGTTAATGTTTTTGAACTAAGTTCTGTGTTCAAAAATGTAGAGAATACAGAAATTTCTTTTTGTAATTGATCTACTTCAAAAGTACAAATATTTTCACACTGAGTCTGTTTTGATGTTAACTGGTTAATTGCTTTCTGAAGTAGACTTGTTAGTAAGTCATTCAGTTCCTGCAGTCTGTTGTGTGCTTCTAGTTGCTTGTGTAGCAATGCCTTCACAACATCTTTGTTTACATTTTTTTTGATAAATGGTCATCAACATTCTTTCTTGCTAAATCAAGTTCATTAGTAGCACTGGATATCAGTGTCTTGATGTTTGCTATCTCTGGACTTTCGTTTAATTCCAGTGAGGGAACATTGCTTGTGGACACTGGTGCAGAAAACGATTTAATACAAATATTTTTATAAAGCTGAATGCGGTCTGGTCCAGTACCTTTTCTAATGACCATTGAGTTTGGAAATGCCAATTTGACAGCATTTGTGGCCTGTATTTTTTGGTAGTTGTTCAACTGTAGCACCTTCATAACAGCTTCTTGCTTTACCTGAGCACCTTCTCTCTCTTCAAAATGCTCTAACAACATTTTGACATAGCTCTCCCTTCTTCTTTTGTAAAATACTCCACTTGGCTTTGGCAGTTCGCATGACTCTATTAAAACACAATAAAAAAACAAAGTTAAGTATACAGACATAAAGTTAATGTTACATTCAATTAATATTACTGTACTTTTACATTTTAAACCACAGTGCTACTATCTTATTGTAATGACAAACATTATGATAGCTATAATGGAAAGCTTCAATTTGTGCTAGAATGTGCATCCACCAACACACATTAAGTAACTCAAACACAATAAGGTTTAGGTGTTTAGCTGTATACTGTATATAGCAACTGGTTATACAAAACATATAAACTAAAATGTTCAGGTTATGAAGAAAAAACATTTTTGTAGATTTTAATAATACAATATAAATTTAAAATATGATAATTAAATATTTGAAATAAATTTTCAATTTAACATTTAAAGGTTCATTAATAATTAACAAAGAGGGGAGGGGGCATTTCAACCCAGCAGTTTAGGGGAGGGGGACTGTCAAATTACCTAAAAATAAAGCAAGCAGTTTAAGGCAGGGTTTGCAATATACAGTACATAACAATAGAATAATTTATGAAATAATTACCAGATGTTAACAAAGGACTTCCAGATTGCATATTCATGATCTTTGAAGGTGGCTCATTTTGTCTTTTTGAATCTGGTGTCAAATCATGCTTCCCAGCTACAGGTACTAGTTGCCGTTGTTTCACCTTCTTTGGAGTACTTGTCAATACAGCACTCTGTATTGGCATGGGCAAACAGCCAAGGTCTTCATCACAGCCTTCTCAGCAGACATAGGAAAACAAGCAAGGTCTTTACCATCATCTCTCTCAAGTGGCATTGGCAAACAACCAAGATCTTCATCATTATCTGATTTATGACAAATTTCAGGATAATCAATTATGGATAATAATTTGTAGTTTACAGATTTATACAATGAACTGCCAGTATAGTGTAAACCACTTGCATTCAGTGGTGTAAACAGAAAAACAAAACAAAATATACGATAAAAATATATAAATACAGTAGCCTGTAGCTGACGACGATTTTAATATATGCAAGCCAATGGCAAAATTAACATAACTACATATGTAAATACTTTCACTTCTGAAACTTGCCAAAATATCAAGGCAATCGAATGATATTAATTAATCTTGCATCAATATTAATATAAACTTGAGTAAATTATAACATTTTATGCATTTGTTAAAATTAAACTAATATATTATACTTACCATCTAGACTCATATTATGAAAAGAGCGCTCAATTTCTTCTATATCGCTATCGAACTCAGCCATTATAATATCGATTGTACCAGTAAACCGCCAAAACCAAAGAACCGCATTTCACACCAAAGAACCGCACGTTATATGGCAGAGGCTTCCCTTCTTTTTTTCCCCAACCCGCAACCGCCCGACTCCCTCCCGTCCGCCCGCCACTCACCGCTACTATTATTAGCTCCCTCCCGTCCGCCCGCTACTACGAATTATATCATATAATTCTCAATTGTATTATATAATTCTCAATTATTGTTAGATTACCCAAAAAGCCTCTGCGGAGGAGAGTGGTGGGGAGCCACCTTGAACAAACACGGCAAGTGGTTTCCTGATAAAACACAAATAAATGATTCAACACTTTCACACGTATTTTTGTCTTGCTTCAGAAAAAATATCATTCTGTTTTCTGTTTGTGAAAGATTTAATGTATAACTATGAGACTTGCATCTATATATAGTTTTGAATAATCTATAAAGGATGATGTCACAGTGGAAAAGGCCATTCTGCGCAGTGAAACTGCAAACATCAGTGACAATTCGTTTCCGACGTGTTGTTTACTTCATCACGAGTGGTATAGGTGGATGTCAACATGAGCGATAGGCAAGATAGTCTCATTTTGCATTCAAGCTCTGAGAAGTAAGTTGCGAAATAACATGCTCGAGATTTTACTCGATTTAATCGGAGGTTTTGGAGAACGGTTGTGAGTAACGGAAACACTATAGAAACATAAGGAATATGAGCAATATAGACAAGTTAAATTTCGAGAAAAAAGGCTTACAGTGATTTAATAACTGAGCTAGGATAATACATTTACCGTAAAATGTATTTTCGACAAAAAAGATCAAATTAGGAATTGGACGAAGCATGATTAGCCCATCATTTTCCTCATGTAGAGTTAAACTGCGGATACTTGATGGATGTAAAAGCTAACTTTCTATTTTAGTATATGAGAAGAAGAATTGAATATTTAAATGTATTATTGTACGGAAAAGCCAATGAAACCACGTAACCACTCGTGACTTTGATACTGAAATCGATCTTGACGAGAGTTGTCTCATTACAGTGATTCGTCTGGAACAGATAGTGACTGTGAAGAAGAAATCAAAATACGTTGGGTAACACCGAGTGCGAACCAAATGTTGACACGGTAAGTACGAAACTGCGGTCTTTATAACTTCACTGTCTGGGGCCAGTTGTATAAAAGACCAGTTAATTTTTAACTGTAGTTAAGGATAGAATTGGCCAATAAGAGTTGTGCCGGATTTCTGAGTTAACTAGGATTTAACTATGCAAAATGTAGAGTTTATACAACTGGCCTCTGGTTTCAATTTATTCGAAGTTGTTGTGAACATGTCAAGGTAGTTGATGTGATCTATAGAGTCGTCGGACTCGGTTACGTGTTTGCTGTCGACAACGACCGACAATCATGGGAAAAAGGCAGTCATCAATCAAGTCTTCTCAAGCCTGTTATTTGAAGGCCGTTTAGATTAGCGGCAAATGAGTCAAAAATTCGAAAGTTTCACAGTATCATTTATGATTTATTATCTTATCCATGACAGTGTGTTATCACGCAAAGGTAGCAATAAGAAAGATAAAGACAGATTATCATCGACAGAGCAAGCGATTCCAAGTGATCAAAGCAAGAAAATCAGAGAATTAAGGGTATATACAATTATATTATCATCATTGTCCAAAAACAACTGAGGCACATGAGATCACTGGGTTGGGCAAAAAGTGTGCATATTCCTGCATTGCTGAAAATTCTTGTTTCAATCAATCAGTCAATTAGATCTGTTCTTGACTTGCATGTGTACATTTTAGCCGTTTAGCGACTGCGTAAATAAGAGTTTTCGAATCGAGGGAGCCCTATAGTGAAGTTGTGGGGGACACATTGCGAGGTTCCACAACAATTTTTCGGTCCGATTATCTTGTGTAAAAATATTAAATTCAACCTTAAATCCCATCAATTTAGGAGAGGTTAAAAGAAAAGGAAAAACTACTTTATCAATTAGAACAACAGGAGAAAGAATTTCTTGGCATCGATAACCAGAGTCAAGGTAACAAATCATGCATGACTAAATGTTGTGTTGTGTGTGATTTGGTGTTTTCTGAACATATCTTATCAATTAACAATTAAAACAAGAGCAAATTCTTTAAAAGTAAGCAATTAACAATTAATGTCAGCAATTAACGTAGTTTGAGATGCAAATCATGCATGCGTGTAAATTATTAAAACAAACAAAACTATAACGACACATTCCTTTATACTTTTATAATTATCGTGATAAATCCGAACATATTTTTACACGACGTACTCCATACAGACCATACTATACAAACAAGTCACTGAACTAAATAGTAAATAACCCCGTCTTAATCTATATACCTATAGTTCAGGAGTTCCTTTGAAAGAAGCTAACCTATAGCCATATATTTGTTAACTTTTTTATATTCTAGATACAACCATGTTTAGAATTGAATTTAAAACCACGATGTCTAAGGATTATTACTTGATAAAAGGCTGTCCAGAGACATTCATCCCAGCTGGAAAATCGGTGACTATATTTGGTCAACTGCAGAATAAACGGTGGAGATGTGTCGTGGAGGATGCTGATTATGCTAATAATGTTCGTTCCTCCAACGAACTATTCGATCCCTTCGTTGACGAAAAAAAGGACACAAGGACTTGTGATGTAAGTCGGAATATAGTCCAAGAGAAAAAGGACAGCAGGTTCCTTCCCTGCTATCCATTGATTGGAAGCCTTCCATCGAGCGTTATAGCTGACTTCAATGATAGAATGAACTTAGAGAATGATGATAGCAAAGCTTTATATTCTAAAGACCATGACATAGACGGAGACATAGAAGACACGAGCATAGATATAGACCATTCTGACATAGTCTTGTGTGAATGTGGCCGACGTCTACCGTCATCTCATGATGTACCCCCAAGGTTACCATCATGCTCCTTCTGTCAGTATTGTACCTTCCCTAGTCCCATTCAAACAATCACCCCTGAACATTTAGAGCAACTAAATTTGCAAAGATTTCCATCCATGTCTGCTGCACATCTTCCTACTTTACCAGAATCTCCCACAGAGTCAACTATAGCCGAGTTGAACATGGCTTTAGAAAGTCTGGCAAAACTTAGACCACGTTCGCGGCCTGCTTCAAGTGGATCAGATGGCAGCTGCCGTAATTCTTGGACATATCGTTAATTTATCGTATGTATACAAAAGAACGTGGATGAACAGTTACAATGACTATTAACAATAGCTTCCTCATGTAGGTCTTGGTCGTCAAAGACAAAGGCGACATTACAAGTGGGCATTACGATAGACAGTCTGTGGACGAAACTGTAAATGAAATTTCTGTAAACGAAAGTTTTATTGGCTTCGCAAAACTAACAAGCCAATCAAACTTCGTGTACCATCAGGCATTCCACGTTTGACGTCATTATGAGAAGGGTCTATTGTGGAAACACATTACATATAAGGAGACAGTGGAAAACATTCATCCATTTGTGAAAGGCTTTCTTTATTTAAAAACCTGAACTACGTTTAGATATTATCAGTATTGAAATAATTGGCTTTCTTTGAGGGGCATTTGAAGCAGTCTCAAGTTCAAACTGGTTTGTAATCTAATTTCGTCTCCAGCTTCTTATTATCGGAAACTTTGCGGACAGCTTTCATAAAATCTTCCTGCACAACATAATCACGATCAGCGCGAATGGCAAACATTCCTAAACAGAAAATAACAATAGGTATCATATATAAGAACACAAGACAATAATAAGAATAACTGTTTTTGTGAGCTCAATATATATCTATAGCAAGAATGACCTATAGTTGTTTGTTTAGTAAAACAATTTCCATGTATAAGAGCCCTGTTTACGCCGCATCCTGGCTTCAACAAGGTCAGATTAAGTCAGATTCATTGAAACAACAACATTACCTGCTTCTGTACAGACATTCCGTAAGTCCGCACCGTTAAAACCATCCGACAACTTGACCACTGCCTCGTAGTCTTCAGAAAACAAAAAAACATCAGGCTAAAAAATTCTCACAGGCTAGACTTTAGCACGAAACTCCACAATTACGTAATCGTATATTACCTATTTCTCCATGTTTTGTAATTGGACCGGCGTGAATCTTCAGAATATCCATCCGAGCTTGTTCATTTGGCAAGGATATTTCTAAAAATGCATTAAACATTGGTTAAGATTTTTGCACTTTCATGTACCAAATATTCCGCTGATTCAAGTTGGGTTGTCTTCTCAGACGGAAACTCTGAGGGCGTAAAGGAATATTGGGCTGTAGTCACTGATCCTAATAACATCAAAGCATTGCAAGCAAGTATGTCTTCAGCTCAGAGTTTAAGGTTTATTGTTTTGGAAGAGAAACCTTAACTAAACTTTAGCTGCATGTATACGCATATAGTTGAAAGGAATACGTATATCTATGTTTTTAAGCACAGCAAAGGCAAGAAATGTACACTTGCCAATTTTACGATCAAGTCGTCCAGGACGAAGCAACGCGGGATCCAACGTATCGGGTCGATTGGTTGCCATAATCATTTTAACCTATCAGTATATATATATATATATAATTAGATCATTGAAAGATGGTACAGTCTGCGTTTAATTTTCCCAATGCATTTGCAAATGTTAGTGAGGTTGAGATTTGACTTCCACTACCCTACCTCGCTATTGCGTTCATGATTGGTTAATCTGATAGAATTATCACATTTGATTGGTTGACGTATTCACCTCAATTGTAAAGGTAGTGGAAGTCGAATTTGAACCTGGCTAATGTACAACACCTACATATGGTAGAAACAGACCTGTCCTAGTCGATCAAAACCATCCATTTGATTCAGCAACTAAAATGAACATAAGACAATAAGCAAGACCAACTTTCTACAAAATACGTCCCGTTGCAAGAACATGTTGGAGAAATCGTTGATGTACCTCCATAAGAGTTCGTTGAATCTCTCTGTCCGCAGACGTCCCTTCGGAAAACCTTCTTCCACCTTTAAAGAAATCAAATTACATAACAAATATTCTACTTTATCGCACGGGTGTCCAGTTTGACTTGGGGACGTTTTGACTTGGGACGTTTCGACTGGTAAGTGCCCTGATTAATGTTGGATATATTCTCGTATACCTACCGATAGCGTCTATCTCATCCATGAAAATTATGCATGGTTCGTGATCTTTAGCATAACCTAGGAAATGAACAATCAAGCCCCACGTGAATAGAAGTGTACATGAAAAATGATAAATTAAGCATTGGGTCGTAAATAAACCCGAATGATTCGAGTGTCAGCCTTACCGAACATTTCGCGGATAAGTCTTGCACTTTCGCCGATATATTTGTCTACGATAGCGCTGGAAACAACCTAAACATGTTTAAAACGGCAAGAGTATTAATAAGCTTAGTCCAAGGCTCTCTCTCTCTCTCTCTGCATGCTGCTCTGATATATTTAAAAAAGTTTGTGTGTTGCTGAGTGTTTGACACCTAAAGCCCACCTTTAAGAAATTACAGTCTAGCTGACTTGCTACAGCCTTTGCAAGAAGAGTTTTTCCAGTTCCTACAGAGGAAAGAAAATGTTCTTTGACAATTCGTTGACAAATTGAGCTATTTACAATTCTAAATGCAATTTGATTAAATTACATGTATAGTAAAGAATCAACAAAATTTATACAGTATACCTGGTGGTCCATAAAGTAAACATCCTTTTGGAGGCTGAATACCAACTCTGAGAAACAGTTCTGGATTAGTTAGAGGCAACTCAATAACCTTAAACCAAGAATACATTTTCATTAGGCATTATAAAAATGGGAGACAACACAAAAATTCTAGACAAGATATATAATATACGCTGAATTGAGTCCAACCTGCTTTCGGTAACTAAGATTTTAGAGACATTATATTGTAATACAACTCTTATTAAATCATGGTTTATGTCCTTAAATTGTCACTTTGATCCTACCTGAAATCTAAGGCCCTATTATTATATGTGGATTGGAAAAGGCTTTAGGTAATCCAATGGCCAAGTATTAAACACATACTTCTCTTAATTCTCGTATTTGTTCACCCAATCCACCAACATCAGAGTATTTCACATCTCCAGGATCTTCATGGGTCATGTTATAGACCAACGGATCAACTTCACGAGGTAAACACCTGCCATGAAATACTTGCTGTTGTAGTATGTTGGTAGCATATTTTGCCAATTAAAGTTTATGATTTAGAAACATTCACAAGTTCAGACAAATGTGCTTGTAAGTTAATACTATCATAACTAAACATACCTCATAATTGTCAACGTAGTCATATCCAATGCCACTCGGGTTCCAGCCTTCAACTTGTTTTTATCCACCTAGGAAGGAAGAATGTCATCTTACTGTTCTGTAAATGTGGTCATTTTATGACAGATGATTATGACTTTACTGGACATTATGAAGAGTTTCCGCAAGCTAAATTGGACAATTTGCGAAGCTAAATATATAAAATAGAAAATATGGTTGGGTGATTTTTGGGGGACAAATTAGATTCCTAAAATATTGAACAGAAGTTTTGCACCCTATGGTTCTTGAACTACCGGTATTCTAAACATTACAAAACACCAACCTGTCTTCGGCAACCAACAACATATCTTGGTCCATTTGTGGCTTTTACAATAACTACAAATTGAGCACAACATATATAAATCAATGAAAAATAATGAATGTATACAGTGTAGGGATATATTTTAATTCATAGTTTGGGATTATTAGGCGTTAAATAGGCAGGGACGTTTAATACAGTAAATGTTTTGAAACAAAATACTAGCCATTATTGAATTCATCTATAATTAAGCTACTCAATTTGCACAATATACTGTGCAATCAATATATATATATATACATCCTAAACTCACATTTCTCTTCGGTTAATTGACGTAGAACTTCACCAACAATCTGAAGAAGAAATACACACTGCTAAACCAAAACTGTTGTTAATCTAAACTGAACATATTGGCTGTATGCAAATGTATATATTTGATAATATAAATATTATGTTACTTTTCAAATTGAAAAAAAAATTGTTCTTGGGATTTGAAACCAAATGAATTTGCAGAAAGATTGAAATTTTTCAAAATGCTTCTATTGCCATTTCCAGGTTATGCTGGTCAATGGTTCTTTGATAAATCTTTTTGGATGGTGTATATCAATGAATCATTAGTTAATGCCAGTTTATTTTTGACCAAACTACGAAACAGACAGTAACAGTCCCTTTTATTATACTGTACCTGTCCAACGCTCTGAAGAGCTTTAAGGTCGTTTTCAGACTTGTCATAATCCTTTGCCAACTCTTTCAATTCTTCACGCACTATAAAACACAATAAAACGTTAGGAACTGCACAGTTAGTTATAAAACTTTTGAAGGGAGTGAAATATTCTCCAACTATTTAACAGATGCTATTCCGTAAGACAAATTTTGCCATGTTGATCGGTGAAAAGGAATTAAGTTATAAGTTTATCTAATAATACCTTAATAAAATTATCACTGACTTTAATACTAACAAAACTGGTAATTTTAATAACTTCTTTTGGGTAATGTACACACAGATTAGTTCAAAAAAAAACTATACTTACTTTTCTTCAATTTAGCTTCAAGTTCTCGGTGTTCCAAAAGCTTTTTCCGGTGGTCTGCTAAACATTTTTCTCGTCCTGTAGCGTTTGTGGTTGAATCGTTCGCCATTTTGGAAATGATTTGATAACCAGTGCCAATCTCCCAACAAAAAAACACGGTTGAAACGGTCAATAATGAAATTGAAAATGAATGTTTGTTTACCAAAAACCGAGGAGATGATTTGTAGAAATTGTCAACTTTACAAACAGATATTAACTGCTAAAGGATCGTTGTGACTGGGTGCAATTCTTCGTGAAAAAATGGTGACCGTTATAAATAATCAAACCATCTTGGAAGAGCATTATGATGAAGATTTTCAGCCATCCGAGGAAGGTAAGTTTTGATGATACAGAGGAACGTGGGGATTTCCAGTGCAGTGTAGTAGTTTCTTCGCAATACCGAAAGATGTAAAGATCGTTCGAGCAAAACCCTTGATCTCGAAGTTGTAGACAAAGTGCTTGTTCCGTTGTAGTTCCCTATCATAATATTTTCGAGGTAGTCTCCATTCATGGACCATGGTTGTTTATATGATCAACGTTTACACACAAGATATTTTCGGGCCAATTGACAGATGCACATTAGTAATATTGAAATATACATCCAAAATTAATTATTAACTTCAGGCAAAAGGCATGCAGCCAAATTGATCTGAAACAAATCAACATAGAAGATTTGAACTCAGACATCTGCAAAACTTTGTCCATGTTTCCCGAAGAGCAGGAGTGATTAGTGATAAGACAATATTCTATACAATATCAACCAACATTAGTCCATTTTTAATACTCTCTTACAGTTTGCTATCAAACATAAAACCTAACATTTAAAAAACCTCTTCATTGGGATGTACATCTTCTAAGATCGTCTTGGGCAGCGTTAGAAACCTCTTATATATACTTCTCCTAAAATTCTTCCCAATTACTGAGCTTTCAAAAGAGTTATTGTTTCTAATTTTGTGGCTTGTCATTTTTCATTCTTCATGCTGTGTGCTTTTGTGTTGATGTGACTTGCACTGTATATAGGATTTGCTATCTGCAATTCCCCTAGATTGTTTTATACGAATATATGACTGTTGTGTCTGTTATTCTTTGCTGTGCACTATTTCTCTTTGCTGTGTTGCCTGTGTGATTTGACGGCTATATGTAATGGTGAATCCTTAAATTACAAGTAGTTGTGTGCTTTATATATTTGCTGCATATATGTCTTTCCTTAGTTATATCTTTGATATCAAAGTGCTTGTGCAAATATTTTGTCTGTTGCGGTTGCTATAGGTGCTAATGTTTTCCCATGCATGGAGATTGGTTCTTGGGTTGCCATGCTGTTGGTGTTTGTTATCTATAGTAGGTGAGCCTGAGGGATCACTAGAGCTTCTTCGACACTTGCTGACATTTTAGGCGCGAAAATTTAATAATGAATGCGTGCATGATATGGTCTATGATGTTTGGCATATGAGAAGAATTAATATGTAAGATGATATATAATACTAAATTCTAAGGTCAGAAATATCAGTTATTTCAACATGTACAACAGTTTCTCCAAGATCTATACATACTCAGCCTACTCAACCTACATGTCTACTTTGCAAACAAGTATATAACACTATATGAAAGGTCTGGAAGAAACAGGTCTTACAAAGAATGTGATATGACATTAATCTGTAAACGTAGACGTTGAATTTAGTTTACATTGAGAGGGAGAGGGGCAGTGGCGTGGGAAGTATGATAATTGGGGGAGGGGCACATATTCATATATTCATGTTCTAGCTGCCTGATCAATTTCTTTTCAAATTGATTGCCTTTACAAACTGTTAACATTGGGTATTTGAATAATTGCCCCCCCCCCCTAATTATCGTATTTCATACGCCACTGCAATGCGGTATGGCAACAAGGCACCATTATATGTTTTTTTTTTCAAATTCTGATTTTAACTGACACCCCTGTTGCAAACTCTCTGGCTTACCCCTGCCCAATATGACTATGTGTTCGGTAAACACGTTTGTTATAAAGCTGTTCAGCTTTGGTTATAAAGCTGTTAAGCTTTGAAAAGTTGTCGCACCTTGCTAAAAACTTGTGAGGTGCAACACAACATTGTTCATTTTTGTTGCCATCCACTCTATTATACTCTATAGTGTCAATTTGCTCCTTTTCACCCAAGTATTGTAGCTAGGTACAAACGGAGCATTTAATTTAGAACATATCTTATATTATTCCTTGTATATAATGCATCTGAGTGTCAACATATTATGGACAATCATAACTTTAGATATATTTGTATAATGATGTTCAGGAAGATATGCATAAAATATATATTGAAGACGTTTTAATAAAACTGATACGTTAAGAATCATCGTCGTAATTTGCACGGGACGTCTTCTCATGCATATGCATGTCTAAAAACGTCTGTATACAATTATCACTGTTTCGAATGCGTTATTGCCAAAATGTTTTACGTTGGTTTCACATCAGTGAGATTGAACTGGCACAACTCTTTGTTTTCCTTTGTTAAAACGATTTTGGTACAGTTTAAAAACTTTTGTGTTCCATAAAAAAGCAACTGCCACGTATAATCCTTGGAAGCAGACACAAATGACAAAAAGGTACTCGAGCGTCACAATGTTTCCAAAAACTACATGTAAGAATCCAAAAATCCAAGGGATACCTGTCAGGGTGGACAATTTTAGGCAGATTTTGAGATTTTGTTTTCTTTTTTGATGAATCACTTCCGTGGTCACCTGGTGCTTCAGCAAAAATACTGCTGTACGGATGAATATTGTGAGTTGGAATGAAAGCGATATGCCAATTGGCAATATAAACAAATAGATCTTGGAATTCTTTGTCGCCAAGAAACAGATAGCGCCATAGTCGATGGGAAATATTTCTGTTTGATCCAGCGCAAAACCAACAGCAACAAATGCCGCTGGTAACATCCAGACAACAGCTGAATACTTTATGAAGGTATCGTTGTTTTCGCTTTCGTTCTTTCTTGCTAAGAATAAATTCTTCGAAAAAACAGCACATGAGTGATGAGAAATAACACTCATGGCCACGAAAGATACAAGAATGCTGTAATGTTCCAAGATGCCGAGAATTGTACAAAAAACTGTGTTCGCTCGTAAATAAGAACGAACCAACCAGAGTGATTGAAATATTAGCATCGAAAGACACAAATTCATCAAATTTTTACCAGGAAGAGCTCTCAATTCCGAAAATAATGTGTATGTTATAAGAACAAACAGACCTGAGAGTATGGAGACTATGAACCCAACCATCGTTAATATCTTCAAGGGTAAAATATGGTCCTCATTGTAACTAATTAACACGACATTTCTGCTTGGTACATTTGGAAGACAAATATAAACCGTTGAATTTCTGAGTGACTTTGAAAAATCATCGATTGGTTTGGCATTAACATCAACATCCTCAGTGTCTTTGTCTTTATTTCTTTTCACGTAATATTTTCCGAAAGGAAACATCAGGTTTGTGGAATTATGGTACAGAGTTAAATTACCAAGAATTGCATATTCCTGGTTGGAAATATTAATCCATGCTTTACAATCGGAAAATAATAGTTGAGGACAAAATGTTATATTCTGCTCTGTCTTTTTAATAATGTTATCCAAATTGAACATTTTTCCTGTTTTCTTATCGATAATTGTGCCATTTTCTTCAATTTTGTATTCACTAGTTGAGAACGTCTTTTGCCCAACGCAAGCGAGTTGTTTTACAAGGGAATTAATCACCGACAATTTCGTGTCAAAATATGACATATTCTTCATCTGTTTCGGAAGCTGTGAAAGGCTGTCCATTGTATTATTGCTTTGGTTTAACCGCACAAGGACTTGATATGGCGTCAGCGTTACTCGAAAAGTCATCACAACGTACCTTTTACGTTTTCTTTCATCATACGACTGTTCATGAGTATTTGTGGCCAATACTTGTTTTGGTTGCATTTTAAGGACAGTTCGCAACTTTTTTTCTACAAATTCATCAGCGCTTGGAGGACCTTGAGAGCCAAAGTAGCGGAAATAATTCTGTTGAACTAGCCACAAAGCAATGAAATACTGATTTGATAATATATCTTTAACAGAGGTTACTTCACCTTGTATTCTGCAGAAGCCTAAGGTTTTATCATATACCAAGTCAGTTTTACATTTTCTTTCCACTTTTATTGCAGCTTTTGAGGCTTTTTTCTCGATACGAAATACAGCTAAAAATCGTCCATCAATCAAACCAGGACCTCCTGGGCCACCTGGAGTTCCTGGGCCACTAGGAGCTCCTGGGCCACCTGGACCTCCTGGGCCACCAGGACCTCCTGGGCCACCTGGACCTCCTGGGCCACTAGGACCTCCTGGGCCACCAGGACCTCCTGGGCCACTAGGACCTCCTGGGCCACTAGGACCTCCTGGGCCACCTGGACCTCCTGGGCCACCAGGACCTCCTGGGCCACTAGGACCTCCTGGGCCACTAGGACCTCCTGGGCCACCAGGACCTCCTGGGCCACTAGGAGCTCCTGGGCCACTAGGACCTCCTGGGCCACCAGGACCTCCTGGGCCACTAGGACCTCCTGGGCCACCAGGACCTCCTGGGCCACTAGGACCTCCTGGGCCACTAGGACCTCCTGGGCCACCTGGACCTCCTGGGCCACCAGGACCTCCTGGGCCACTAGGACCTCCTGGGCCACTAGGACCTCCTGGGCCACCAGGACCTCCTGGGCCACTAGGAGCTCCTGGGCCACTAGGACCTCCTGGGCCACCAGGACCTCCTGGGCCACCTGGAGTTCCTGGGCCACTAGGAGCTCCTGGGCCACTTGGACCTCCTGGGCCACCAGGACCTCCTGGGCCACCTGGAGTTCCTGGGCCACTAGGAGCTTCTGGGCCACCTGGAGATCCTGGGCCACTAGGAGCTCCTGGGCCACCTGGACCTCCTGGGCCACCAGGACCTCCTGGGCCACTAGGACCTCCTGGGCCACCTGGACCTCCTGGACCACTAGGAGCTCCTGGGCCACCAGGACCTCCTGGGCCACCTGGAGTTCCTGGGCCACTAGGAGCTCCTGGGCCACCTGGACCTTCTGGGCCACCAGGACCTGGGCCACTAGGACCTCCTGGGCCACCAGGACCTCCTGGGCCACCAGGACCTCCTGGGCCACTAGGACCTCCTGGGCCACCAGGACCTCCTGTGCCACTAGGACCTCCTGGGCCACTAGGACCTCCTGGGCCACCAGGAGCTCCTGGGCCACTAGGAGCTCCTGGGCCACTAGGAGCTCCTGGGCCACCAGGACCTCCTGGGCCACCTGGAGTTCCTGGGCCACTAGGAGCTCCTGGGCCACCTGGACCTCCTGGGCCACTAGGACCTCCTGGGCCACTAGGACCTCCTGGGCCACTAGGACCTCCTGGGCCACTAGGACCTCCTGGGCCACCAGGACCTACAGGATCTCCTACTGAGGAACAATCGCTGTTTATATGCCATTCGCTTATGCCAGTGAATCCCCGACATGACGCACATGCTTTGTTCTTGAAGTAACGTTTTCCATCAGTGACAACTTCCACAGGTCCATTCACACAGCTGTAGTGTAACGGGTGAGAGGAATTAAAGCATCCTCCTGTATTATCTTTAATAATGCAGTACCGTCGTGGTTGGTCACTACTTGGTTCGGTTTTGGGGGTCTCCCCGCCTTGTTTTATCATAAATTTGATCCCTTCTTCAAGATCGTATTCGGCTGGTATTGTTATATAAGTGAGAATGCGAATGTTCCAGCTGCTGTACCTCGTTATTCCGTGGCAAACGGCGCAATATTGATTACGATAAGTAATGTTGTCCTCGTCTATCACTGGCAAATATTTCTCGATGGGAAAGGAGAAATTATTAGGAGGATTTTCACAGTCGAACTTCGTTTTATCCGCTGGCCAGCTTAGTGGACACTTCTGAATCATCCAAACGCCCAGGATTCCGCATGATTTTATATGCTCTCGGACATACGTGGTTGTAACACATGCCCATATGGACTTTCCTGTGTTAGTGACGCTGGACTTTTGAATCGTTTGGTTTCCACAACATTCTTCATGATCAGTACAGCAGTCGTAAAAGGTTTTAAAGCAAGCGTTATCGTAGTAGCAACTGAATTCGTTCTTATAAATTGACCTTCCACGGGTACATCTGTTTGAACTGCACTTTTTGTGTGTATCTCTCTTTCGTCTAACTTGGGGTGGCTCCGGAATTTCCTTCCATCTTCCATGATCGGTTGATTGTTCGTATTTCTTATTATCTTTGTTCCTGGTCTCCAAAGTATCAACACTCTTTCCTCCCAAATTGCCGTATTCTTCTATATTCTCTTTCCATTCAGAAGGCAGCAATCCTCCGAGGATCTGAATTACAGTAACAGCAAAGACAAAAATGACGTTTCGACGCATAACGTCGACGGACTCTCTTATAGTCCTCAAAATGCAAACGGTTATATTTTGGCTGTAAAATGGCTTTTTAGCGGCTGTTTTGCGTGTATAAAAAAAAACACTGCTCTCTTTTGTATACTTATGCAGCCTTAAATTATAGAGATAATCTAATTGTCGCGGGTCGCGAGTCGCGGGTTTTTGTCGCGGTTCGCTGGTATATATATATCTCACGGGATTTTTTGCGGGTTACGGTATTTTCGTTGGTCTTCCGAAGAATAAAATGTCCGCATGAATGGGTATTTCTATAATGGGTAAATCTCTATTCTAATAACAATAAATAAATACAGTGGCTTCATACGAAACCAATTATAAAAACTCAAGTTTTAATGCAAAATGTACGTTGGCAATGTAAAATGCTAAACTTTCAAAATATTGGCAATGCAAAAGATAAGCGTCACAATATAACTTATTGACGTATGATACCTATAACTTAATACCCCTTACAACTGCGTTTCTTTTAGCCGGTTGTCCTCATAACCTCATTTTAGGAATGAAGAGCAAGAAAAAAAAATTTTGAACTGCCCTAAATCAAGCCTACCAAGATCTTCTTCCAAGACTGTATTTTTGGCATGGATTATTTGAGGCTGTTTCAGATTAGTCCAAGGAGGCAGGCGGCTGATACATTTAAGGATTGGACAAAAATAAAAAGTTGTCTCCACGACAAAGTTTTGTTCATATGGTACATAAAGGCCAGTAACAGATAAGCAAAGCTCTCCATCTTTCTGCATGTTCACTCCTGCTGCTTCGGCACCTTCGAATTTGTCCTCTTTTCTTCTCCTTTCGTTCGTTGTTGTTACGAGAATAATTTTCTAAAAGGTTGGCTATTTTGTCAGTCCTACTGAATAACTTCCAGTTATTCGTTCAAATTCCAGTTGAACGAATCACTATACACATGAACAAAAAATTTATGTACACAAAAAAATCACGTAAAAACCCACGACCCGCGAAATATACCCGCGACCCGCGACAAAAACCCGCGAACCGCGAAAAAACCTGCCACTCGCCACCTGCGACAATTAGACTATCTCTAAATTATAGTGGTACGAAATACAAAGGAAAAAGTTTAAAAGCAGCTGCACGAACGCGCGCACGCCGTTTGTTTACTCGGTTAAAATTGTATGGCACTCGAATTCTATGATAACATTGCCATTGCCATTGCCATTGCTTTCCACTTACGCGTTTTTTATACGCACGTACACGTACGGAAAATTTTTAATTCTTTTAAATTTTTATTATTTAACATCTAGGTCAACTAATGCATAAGTAAATAAGCAGGACACTAAGTTCCTTCGATTTATTCACTTATTTTTTTCAAAGATAACATGTATAAGGATTTCGACTTTGACGTGCGTGTACGTGTGTATGAAAAACGCGTAAGTGGAAAACAGCCTTTATAGGCAATGATGATAATATCTTCCGCTGCAACTAAGTTTAATTTTTTTTCGGTTCTCCTGAAATTTGATCAACTTCTAAAGATTGACCCGCGGATGTATAAAATACGACTATTGAATACAAAATTATTATGAAAGCTTATTTTTTGTGCTTTTCAAATGATTTATTCGCAAACTTTTGACTTTTTCATTTTAAAATATATGGGCCAAATGATTATCACGATAAACTGAAGTGAATTTAAGTAAATTAAACAAATGAGGTTTTTATTGTTTAAGTTTTGTCGCCATTGCTGAATTTGACTACACATGCAATAAAGCAATGATAATACGACCGAACGCCGCTTTTTGTAAAAAATAAATACGTTATTTACCGTTTTTGGTCGCTCCGGATAGATTCCCCTCGGTCTCAAATACGTCCCTCGGCCAGCGACCTCGGGTCGTTTTTGATACCTCGGGAAAATATTTTTCTATCCGGACATCGCAGTCGGTAAATAACATATACAACCTTGAGAACTGAGAAGTAAAAGTCCAAACAAAATTTTCCTGTCGAATACGTGTTTTCTTAAAAGTAGACGTAAAAAAATTTTTTTCCTGTATAGAAATCTTGGAATATGCAAGAGCTATTGACATCGATCCCGAAAAAGAAAAAGAGTTACTGTGGATTGCAAAAGAAGGCATTGTGGCTCCTCTGCCTCCGGACTGGAAACCATGGTAGGAACACTGACATGCGCAAACCGCCCAGCTTTGCACGGGTCTATTTTTTAATGCCCACGTTCACTACCATTGCCCGACTTTCTTTCACCAAAAAAACTATCTATTAACAGGCAGTGACCACCTTACCCATTTTTTCGCTCTTCACCATAACCAACCTGCCGGAATACTTGATGTAAACCCAATTTTCAGGGTCCGCAGAGTACGGCAAAAGCGTGGGAGTAAAACAGCATTATTCATATGGACATTTATTATACGTATTTTACAGTCAAGACCCCAATGGTGAAATTTACTACTTTAACTTTGCAACTGGAGAGAGTATCTGGGATCATCCTTGCGACGAATATTACCGAAGGCTGGTGGCGGAAGAGAGGAAGAAAAATGAGTCAAGTGGTGGGACTACTGCAAAGAAAGTTGTTGTTGAGAAGAGGAATTCCAAGAAGAAGAAAGACAAGAAAACCAAGTCTTTAAATTTCCCTGATAAGGTTTATGTATATTCCTTCCAGAAAATCTTATATACAATGAATTGCATATCCCTAAACGTTGGGCTGGATATCAAACCGAAGTTATCGAACTTTGATGTCGGTGCATATGGAAACTTGCACTTGGAATATTGCTTCATTTTGCAAAAAGAACTGGCATTAAAAAAACCCGGTTCGATATCTCTTTAGCCAAAATCATGGAAAATCAATTTTGCGCTAAATAATGGACAGAAATTTTTTACACTTACATTCATCTCTTCAGACGAACAAAGGTCCTGGGTCTTCTCTTGGTCCGCTGAAGACAGAAACTCTGGCACCGTTACGAGGGCAACCAGGTTTAGGTGGATCTTTACCTTCTCCTGTTGGCGCGCTTAAGCCACTAAATGGTTCGTTAGGAACAACTTTGGGTGATACTAAAGGAAATCAATCCTCAAATAACAAGTCACTTGGAAGTCTTAAACCGGTAGATATTGTTCATCGTTAGATGATAAATAGTCGTAGGATTCACGATATTAATTTTGTGTTCCTATAGCTTTCGTCTTCAAATGATTTTGAAAGAACATCAACGAGCACTAACAACATGACATTGAGTACTGGTGCTGGGGAGAAAATCAATCTCATGATGGATTTTCCAGATGACGATAGTCAGGTTGGTTCTTTAAAAACTATTTTTTATAAGACATGCAAGTTCTCGTTTGCTGTTCGTCAAACCTTGTTAACAACGTACATTTAATATCTTTATGCTTTGGTCTTTATAAATACCTTGAGGTCTTATAGTTGGTTGTCTGATCTAAGTCTGGTAGATGAAGCTCAACTTTGTAGCTATAGGCAACTATACAGTATAATTTTATTCTATCATTGTTATATCCTTATAATTTCCATCAACTATATTCATAAGTTACCATTCAGAATGTAGGGTAATCCAGATTCGCAAAATGTAAGGAGTTATATTTCTCTAGGAATCACCAAGATTGGATGTACATCTGGACACAAATGATCTTGAGGAACTGGGTTATAAAGTAAGTTACGTTGAGTTCGAAACCTGTTCCCAATGAAAAGATTTGTATTATTGCATCTTTGTCAATTGAAATGAAATCGAGGTTTGTTGAAGGCCGTGTCTGCAAAGCCGAAACTAGTTGCTATAATTGAGGGGCAAGAACAAGGTCCGTATAATGTAGTTAATTAACCACGACCGCCCAGGAACTAATTATAATGCTCTAATTTGTGTGGTTTAGCATTTGGACTGGTTTTCCATATGATGAAATAATTTATCATCTACATTGCAGTTCAATTCTCTATCATTATCACATCTCTGGCTTTATTTTTCAACAGAAAACGGCCAGGTTTAACTTGGATTCGTATGATCTCAAAAATCTAAATTACGAGGTGAGCTTTCTTGAAATTTCAAATACATGATCTGATTTCACGGTGTGATTAAATTGCGATGGCCATTTTTCCACAGCACGCCTAACCAGCGTGATGCACCATGCATCCATGTCAAATTATATTTAAAAATTGAAGTTTTAGGACCCAAATGAATCATTGAAATTTTAGGACCCAAATGAATCTAGCGACGAAGATGACTCCAAAATCTTGAACCCTTCTTCAAGTAATCACGAGGACAGCGATGACGATGGCGAAGTCGTGAGTTATTTTTTTAGGCATTTCATTTATTTTTTAAGACAGTCGTGCCGACGGTTTTTTATTTGCTGACTAATTAACTTGTTATTGTATTTCGCCTGAATCTGCTCGAGCTTTTCGCCTGGGTATACCTCTGGTTCCTCTGGTATATTATAATTTAATATAATATAATATAAAATCATAATAATGGTGGCTGCCCCCCCCCCTTCCTGCCCCTACGTCTACTTCGCCACATCATGCATTGTTTTCCTTTCCTTTTCTGCGATATAATCTTTTTTTAAACACTCTGAAATGTTCGTGGTGGCTGTGTTTGGCAGGGTTGTCATCATGTCTAAACCATCTGTAGATTGAGAATACTATGACAGATATTTTCATTACTGCATGCATGCTGTTTGTTATACCCTTCATATTGACTCTGTTGATAATTGTTACAAAAAGGGTTTCTCCTAACATTGATTTTTGCAGGACTTTGGTATTAATCTGGCATTATCTGATCGCTTGGAAAAGATGAGTGCTGATTTCTTGATGCCAGCGAGGATCGATAACAAGGATAATAAGGTATATCATTTTTCACCATAATACTTAATAGTATAGTATTACATGTACAATGCATTTTTTCCCCCGGCTAATTGTAATAAAATCATGCCAGGCGAAGATTCATTGTTGGTGTTATCGTATGACACCGTTTGTAACTTCAATTGCATCATCACGTTTTAATCCGTGTGTAAAATTTCAGGATAACGACTTTTTTCGTAACAGCGATTCAAGCATGGAAGCTTTAAGACAGTAAGTTGCTTTTCCCTTATATACGATTGTAGCAAGAACAGGCATTATTCAGTGTCTTGCATATAAGCGATATATACAGTAAGAGAAAGGCACAGCGATAGAGAAAGAAACAACGATAATATCTGAATTTAATTACGGTAAAAAGCTTTTAATCGTTACTGTTGATCATTTATAAGAAAACACGCATTCACACTTTGAAATTATACAACTTATAACACAACACTGTGGTTGATTTAGACTGAATCTGAAAGAGAAAAAAGGTGTAAAGAATGACATTGAAGATGAAAATAAACTGGACACTAAGAAGAAAACGTAAGTCACTTGCATACCTTTGAATTTCCTTACCTATATAGATCATTTATCCGAACACATGCATGCATACATTTTTATAGAACATCATATCATATATATCATATGCCAGGGCAATTTCCAATATATTCTCCCGTTGTGTACATATTTTGAGATTATAAAGCTTTATATTGTCGATTCTTGTGTAATGGGAATCCTTTAGAAATCTTCGCCTTTTACAAAGTTATAATTCCTAATATATGTTCTCGTCTATCGCGCATGCGTGACATACTGCAATCCTTTTGACACCCCCCATTCAAGGACTCACTACTGTAACTGGATGAACATCATTTGTTCGATTACTAATTATTAGGAAACTGCCGGAAGCGAGACCTACGAAAAAGCTGAATATTCCTGACGAGAGTGTTCAGAGCGAGGACGAGTCATTAGATAAAAGTTTACGTACAGAAAAGAAGGAGGTCATTGGAAAACTGAGAGTGGATTTGGAAAAAGAGCAAGAGAGGGAAGAGAAGAACATTCGAGATGAATACGCGATAAAAATGAAAGAACTTCAGTTGAAAATACGCGACGAACATTTAGAGGAAGAAGCACGTCTTCAGGAAGGAATGGAGGACGCTATCAGAAAAATGAAGGTGGAAATTAGTCGACAGCAGAAAGAGGAGGAAAAGAAATTGGAGAAGAAAAAAATCGACGACCTCGAAGAATATAGAACAATGTTAAACAATGAAAGAAGAAAAGAAGAAGATGATATGAAAGAACAAAGTGAAAACGAGATGAACAAACTCAAAGAGAAATATAAGTCGCAAGAAGCGGCCGAGAAAAGGATTTTGGAAAAAGAACATAAACAGAAAATCGAAGAATTGCGAGAAAAGCTGGAAAAGGAGAAGGATTGTGTAATTACTATATTTTAAATATATTTTTAAAGTATTCACAGTATCTGAGTGGCTGATAGCCATTGTTATGCACAACGACTTGACGTCATAACGTGGGATATGACTTTTTTCATATACGGCGATTCATTACAGTGCGCATGTCTGTGCACCAGTTGAGTAAAGAAAGTTTGGGTTCTGAAATTTGTAAATTTTTTTAGACGCTCGAAGAAATGCAACAACAACATCAGTATGAAATACAACAAGTGAAGTCGGAGATTGAAGAACAGCACGAAAAGGTAACTTTATCAGCTATTGACGATAATAATATAAATACTAAAATATATGCTGATAATTAGTCGATGAATTGATTTGAAAAATCTTTCATATTTATATTGAAATTCGGCTCATTTTAGGAAAAAATCTGATACCTGTATATAGGCTAATTTTTAAAAGTGCTATTAGACAAAAATTTAATCATGCAGGGTTGCAAACCGAAGGATTTTGCATGGAGGATAAGACTGATCAACACTGTATTAAGCAAAAAAGTACAAAACAAAATAATGTAACCTCTATTATCATTCTTGGTTCCGATGTAACTTTATAAACAATTTAAGGATTATAAAGTTTTTAGTTGTATACCTCAGTCAACTTCTTGTGTCGTGTACTGAGCATATGATAATCTACGGTTAAAATATAACATTTAAACATTTTATGATTTTGTGGCAGGCAATTCAGGAGTTAAAAGATGAACTCGAGCGAAATCATGAAAACGAGGCGGAAAACATAAAGAATGAAATAAAAACCAACCAAGGAAACCAACAGCTTAAAGATATTCAGGTTGGATGTAATTACGATTGCTTTTCAAAATATGCCTGCAAAAAAGTCCAACTTATAATTTCGATTTGACAGTATTGCAAAATTTGTTCAACCTTGCCAACGCACATTTGTTATATACTGTGTTGTTCTTGATCATGAAATATTCTCTTTATTTAGATTGTAACGTTTCTAAGTGTTGTACATAAAAAACTAGAATTACTTTGGCCTTTCTCGTCTTATGTTGTTGTTTTTTTTATAGAGAGATCTCGAGAGTGAAATTGAACTAGCTCGAGGAAAGCATGAAAAAGATCTTGTAAGAAGTGCAGTATTATATGAACATTTTATCTTGTCTTTATCATTTCACAATTGCCTGACGACACAACTTTTTTACTATAGGCCTTGTTGAAAACAGAGCACGAGTCGAGAATATACAAGGCGAAGCAAGAGTTCAAAGAAATGGTAAATTTATAGAAAACAAAGAAATGTTTAAATAAAATCATTGCCATTTAGCGTGCTATAAGACCACATTAGAGGGTTAAGATACGCAGGTTTCGGTCTAGGGGTAGCGTCATTTTGTTTAGTCAATTTCCATCCAGTTGTTTTCGTAGCACGGTAGCAGGCAAGTAAACTGAAGCCGTTTACGGCCGGCAAACCCTAGCTGTAGACCTAGAAAATGACGTTTTGCGAGTTCAAAGAGATGATTTTATCCACCCACAGGATTAACGCTTCCCGTCTACCCCAAGGATTATCACCTCTCAGCCACCTTGAGTTTAAAAAAATCCACATCTATTGGCAGGATAATTGCACCCCTTCCCCATCCACCTCCAGAAATAACTCCTTTGACCATTTGTTTTGGTGCAGGAAATGAAACAACAGTTTGAACTGAGCGAGCGACTTGAGAGGGAAAAGAAAAATTTAGAAGATCTCAATGAACTTGAAATTGAAAAAGTGAAAGAAGAATTTGAACAATGTCGTTCAACGCAGATTGCTGAAAATGAGAGACTGGTAAAGCTCAGCTATAAATTGCTCAGATATAAAACTTAACGTATTCTGGAATTTTGATTCGTTACTACGTTACTACGTTACCGTCGATGTATAAGCAATTATTTTAGCACGTGAATCTCATTCATTATTTTGCATCCTAGTGATCTACCAATATACAGTGGCGTTTAAAATCTCCTCATTTAGATTTCCGATAGTTTATCGGCATGCCATAATTCGCTTAATAAAATTGTGTCGTCATCTAGGAGAAGCAAATTGCAATTCGCAGAGAAGAAATTCAAAAGGAATTATCAGGCGTAGACTTGGAAAGACAGGTTTGTTCGAAAAATATCACTGTAATTACTATTACCTTCTTATTACTACTGAGTATTCTAAATATTCACCTATCGCTAATCGTTGTACTAACTAGCAACTCAGTATCGAATCTGAAAACGGCGAGGCTCTAAGACTTCAAAACCAGAAGCTTAAAGGAAAAATTACAGAGCAAAATGAGAATTTAGAAAAGTTGAGAAGGTAACTGTTTACTTCGTTTTATTAATGAAGATCAAATTACAATCTCAACACTTAGTCGCGCTTCTCTTCACTAGAATCAAGGAAGAATTACAAGAAGAAATTGATATACTTAATGAAGCGAAGGGAAAGTTGCAGCGTGATACGAGGTGATTCATAATATTGCTGTTTGAAATTTGGCACTCCATGCCGTCACATAATGACCTCCTAGGGCACCGGGGGACATGGGGCCTACTTATTCTACCTATTCAACTCATATTTTTCTCGCAGTGATTTGGAAAGGCTCCTATCTTCATTAAAACATCAAACAGAAGTCCAGTCTAAAGTACAACCTAAAAGAGCGAAAAATGACACAGAAAGAATGTCGAAAAGCTCAGGTGGTTTGTCGTCTGATGGTGAAAATGAAGAAGTTGAAGATAAGAGGCTTCAACTGGAAGAATTGAATGATAAAACGGTAGGAGCATATACTTACTGGGAAATGGTGGTCTGACTACATAGTTTATGTTGTTCGAAATTCTTCGCTTTTTAATGATAATCCTTATCGGTATGTAATCCATATATATGGGATTTGTACGTATATCAATTTGATCGCACCTGTCAACTCGATGAACCATGTTGTTCACCAAGGTGTTTCTCTCTTCGATTTATTCTTATATTCTCCATTCCACAACTTCTCTTCTCATACTTTTAGTTAACACCAGGAATTAAAGAACCAATATTGGCCTCCACAGGTAATTTTCTACCCACGCCTTTATGAACAACCGTCAGTGTTAAAAATAATAAATATTTGCACTTTTTGCAAATTTCAAGGGGGTATCTTTATTTTTCTCCCAGCCCAAAATGGCGTAGTGTCTCCTGCAGAAGATGAAAAGCATTTGTCTACTAACAGAAAGCCTCCAGAAGCGTGGCCCGAAAGAGATGTTGCAGATACAGGTAGATGATGCTACAGTGTGATGCAATCATATAAATTTTGTCCCCCTATCATATCATATCGCATATCGCGCAGTTCTATCTTGGGGTCAGCCTAAGGCATTTTCACATATTCCAAAATGGGTAGTTCTAAAAATGGGAAGTTTTAGAGGAAATTATTAAATTCGCAATTGCAGACGTATAAAATGTTTTTTAAAATGTCTACTCAGAATGCTGAAAATGACATTTCATATACCTCAGTTTTCTGATGGGCGTGCCCCAGGCTGCCCCAAAAGGATTTCTTTCCTTAGCTCTTACCGGATATCGAAGCAGGAAAATGGCAGTTTTAATTTTTCTTTGGATGACCCCGGGTTCTATAACCAATTTCCATATTTATCTCCCAGCATTAGAGATGGAATTTCTTAAAAGTCAGAAGAAAGTAAATCGCGAGCAATCAAAACCGTAAGTGAAATGGTTTTCATCATAATCACACGAAAGATTCTTCATTCTAATAATTTGCTGCTCGATATTTAGTCTTAGTTATTTATCTAATGTAGGAAAACGGAATCTTTGTGGAAACGATTTGAAGACGAAGAGAATGCTATAGTCAGAGCAAAGGCATTTTTGAAGAATAGATCCAGCACGTTGCACGAGAAAAAGGTCAGTGGAAACTCAAACCCATCATAGCAATTGATTAAGTGTAGAACTGAATATATGAATAAATACCCCCCAGTTGTCGTTCTAGTTTCGGCTCAGCACCTAAGATACCCTTATATTGTTTAATAGGGTTATCTTGAAACCGCTAGTAACACTGTCAGGAGTAGAGGAAGTAATAAGGTAAGTTTTCATACAAGGTAATTGCTTCGTGATTACTGCATAAAAACGTAGGGCTCTATTGTTTGTGGGTAAATGTACTTGTTAAACATTTTGCAGTTATCACGTGATCTCGAGGCATCAATGTTGGATGATATGAAACATAAACTAGACCAGGTAATAAGGGTTCACGATCCACAACACCGTCAACTCGACTCCTCAACTTCGTCAACTCGACTATCGACTCTGATGTCTAGCTGATGTATCCAATTACGTTATAAAACAGCTTATAAAATAGCTTATAAAACATGATATAATGTGACGCACTGATCTAGATATTTCTTATCGTCTTCATAACTCACCAATCTTTCATTGCAGCTGCTTTTAGATAAAGGTTTGTGTAACTTCTTGTTTCAGGAAGAAGAAGAGATAACGGAAGCCTTATATCACATGAGCGCCGGGGAAAATCTTCTCCGTCAGAAGGAGGAGCGATTGAAGATGTTGGAGAATACGTTTGCTAATGATTTAGTAAGTTTCAATTAAGCTAGTTATTGTTAAAATGACCTCGTTTGTTTCTCATATTATGCCCTATTAAGTACTCATTTATTTTCCATTTATTACTATTTTGAAATGGAGTTTGTCTTGGTAACCTTCTGAACTCTTTATTAAAATTGAAAATTGAAAATCTTACATTCTAAATTTGTCCACCGAAATTTACAAAAATAAGTATACAATAATACATCATGCATGGTCAACCAAATCGACTGTTTTTTCTTTCACACGATAATGTTAATATGCTTACGTATCTATGCTCACTTAGTCCAGCACGTCTACCGACAGTGACTCAGAACTTAGACGATATGAAAGTAGACAACCTGTATATCATGAAAGAAACGTCCGGAGACGAGGTTCTCGACGAGATTACCACGATAGGCGACGAGATCATCAAGACAGAGGACGAGAAAGAGCATTAAAAGATCATCATAATGGGCATAATAGAAGAGAACGTCGTTCTCACGAGCCGGAGAGTTACAATTCCGAAACAAATGAACATCTAATGTCTTCAATAAAAGATATAAATAACGAACTCTCCCGCATTTGGTCTTACATGACGAGTATTTACCAAAGAGCTGAACCCAGCGATGCGAGACCAAGCGACCTACGAAAAACTACAGCGAGAAATAGGTAAACATGTTTCACTATATTTCAATGCGAAACGCTTGATCTTTGCCTTTTTATTATCACTCTTTTATCACGTTAGTACATGCATTTGGTTAAACCATTCACTGTAGATCACTATCCTCACTATCCTCTGTTCGGTTTTCTCTCTAACCAATTTTGTAGTCTGTCACTCACAAAAATGGTAGTCTGTCACTCACACAAATATCAAACGATTGATATTAAAGTGTGAAAATAACGATTGTTAACTAATAATGCAAGTATAATAAATTCCATACAACAGGACAAACGGTTTATTATGAACTTGTCGAGATTCAACACTTCGTTTGCATTTAACTGTCGTCCTAGAAGAATGGGACAGTCTGCAAAGATGAGAGAATCAAAACTTTCAAAAAGATTGTATAGCATATGAAATTATTCTATCTCTCTACCATTTCAATAGTTATTTTAAAAAGTTTGGTATAAGTTTTAATTGCAATTGTTGGAATGTTCAAGTTGAAATTTTTTATGTTTTAGAACTGAACCTGCGGAGGTTGCGATGGAAAAGAAATGGATGAATTACTTCGGAAGTAAAGCACTTTAGAGCATGATATTCTTATTCTCTTTGTTCATTATCCATTATTTCCTTTCACTTTGCCTCAAAAGCTTCGTATTTACGGGTGCCTTTGCTTCTAAAGTATTTTGCGTGGCCGCATAGTGGTGATAACCGAAGCGCCTTCGCCGCGAGAATGACACACGTCACCTCGTGTTTGATTGGTTCATCGATATAAATTAATCTTGATCGCGCATTACTGACGTCCAACAGTAAAATATCAGGATACAGGAATCAAGGCCTCCCCAATCCATGTCGCCATAGTACCACATAACCATACTAGACTTCATTTACCATACAGGGGCCGGTTGTATCAAGCCCGTTTAGCTTAAACGGTGGTTAAGTTCAAAATTGAAAGCACGTCTATCGTTTTATTCAACAAGTAAACAAAATGTCTTTAACCTTAATACAACGATCATGTTTACAACTACATTTCAGTGTATAATATTCACGGTGACTCATTCAAGAGAGACGTAGGAGTGTTATTTAATTTTGACTTATCCACCGTTTAAGCTAAACGGGCTTGATACAACCGGCCCCAGGTGTTTTTCAATTGTATTTATTGTCGTATCTAATATTCTTAGATAACTCCGGCCTCAACTCTCGATCAACAACACCTCGTGGTCCTTCTGATCTTGCATACGCATCTCTAAGGTGATACTTGTCATTGCATATCTCGAAAATATTTCGTAACCACGCTTTGTACGATAATTCTGTTTGCGTCCCCCCCCCCCCTCAAATCTTTGCATGATAATAAGAAAGCATAGCAAAGCTAAGGGCATAGCATGCATATTAGGCTGGAGGGTAGCTATATATTTTAAATATCATTGTGCTTTTAGGGATCATATTTATCCTCATCGCCAGGAACCACGAGCTGAGGAAAAGGCGGGAAGTCATAATGAATGGTTGAGAAAATTTCATTCAGAAATACATCTTACTTCCAGACCTGAAAATCAGAATTCAACGTATCCTTTATAAAGTAGAATATGGCAGAAAATACGTTTAGAATCGATTTCTTGTTAATGAATAATGATGCTTTTTAGCCGTGCGACGACGTTTAATTTTGTTCAACGAGAACAATTTTAAAATTGGAAGTCTCTAGATTGTCGCAAACGACCTGTTTATAGTCTTATGTCTACATACTTAGTTAACTGTTGGTTTTTAGCGTATAATTTCTCTGCCCTCTGGACGCATGCAGTAAACGAGCCTCGTTTCCTCGAGATAATCACCTTCCCACTCTCGAAACTATACAGGCTGCATCCAGTGAATCTTGAGTGTTTCCACGCTAGCATGATTCCACATTATATCAACTTTCCTTAACTAATAACTTTAACAGTTCAAAATACAGAAGATTTGACCCTATGGAAATATTTTCTGACTCCAGGCCACAAAGTCGGTTAAGTGCATCATCTTGGCCTAAAAAGTTTACCTTGGACGATATGGGTGAAGTAAAGTATTTTTAAGAAAATATTTATGAATAATGTGTAGATATTTGACATTTTTAACGGAAACATTTTATATAGTTTTTATATTTTATATTTATGGAAATATTAATTAACTTATTTATTTAATGTCATGATAGCCAAACAATTGAGCCATTTTAGGGCACGTGACAATGCAGTTCTCATTCAGGATTAGGTTTCAGAATAAAGATATCGGCAAGATAAAAGTGAATTTGAAGAATAGCAATTCATCATTTCATCGCATTATGCGAAAAAGAACATCATTTGCGTTGCAACATTAAAACTTATTCTGCCTCCATAAGTTGGCAAACTGGGTGAACATTTAACAGTGTGATGCTGCCCTAAAAGACTCTCTCGACTAAGTTTAAAATGGATAGATTTGCACATATACTGAGATGACAAAGGAAATGAGAAAATGGAATCGAATCGATAACTTTTGGCACTATGAAGAAAATATAGCCATTAATAATGATATTCAGTTCATGTGTCTCGCATAGAATAGGGAATGAGCTAGTGATTGTAAAAGCCAACTTGGGCGGGATTTGCTCATAAAAATCAACATTCTTTATTGCTACTGACTTTATACACCTTAATTATTTGCGTATAATTCGCATTGCTATTTTAAGGTGATCTATGAAGTTTTGAACTGTATCTATTCTCGTCATTTTTCTTTACTAAAGTCAAGGGATCTTTCCCATTGGATGGCACAAACACAGGTCTGGTTAGAATTGAAGACTTTGTTTGACCCAAAGGTCCAAGAACATTACGTGAATGCGTATCTCCTTTTCTAGTTTTCAATTCAACTTGAGATATGTTAAATAAAGCAGTGTCTTTTCCAGCCTTTTGCCCTGAACTATTCCTTTTTTCAGGAGTATTTTTTTGCATAAGACTACTTTCTTTCTTAATAGCCCGGACATACGATAATCCCACATTAGAGCTGTTTTTTAGGAAGATTGGTTTGTCATTATCTTTAGGCAATACCTCGCTTGTTCTTCCTACAGATACATCTGATTTGTTCCATCCTTTTGGGTATTTTATTTTCTTTCTCTCAGAAGTTAGCCATACCCTTAAAGGTTCAAAATACTCCAAAACAGCGTCCACACGAAGCTCTCTTTCGCCTGTCAACTTGTAAAGAATTTGTGGCCATGGATGACTTGAACCTGCAGCGAGGAGTTCCCTACACAAATGCAACAAAAACCACATCATTTTGTGTCATTCGCTATCATCACTGGCAGTATTACGCCTGTATTCAAAAAACTAACTCACACTTTCTGAGTGTGACATAAAAATTTTATTATTACTGATCAATGAGAAAGTTCTATTTTAGTCAATGAATAGATTCAAGGTAGAACATTAAAATCAAGCCATTGTTAGACTGAAAATATCGTCATGGGGAAGTTATGAGAAGATTGAGATCTTCCACTCAATAAGTTTGAGTGTGAGTGAGCTTTTAGAATACAGTCGTTAGCGGCTTCACTATCGGATACATACCGAAATTTTTTACCAGCTTCCTTCGATTTATAAATGGAACATTTATACAACTCTTCCTTGGATTTTGCAACCTTGCACAGAGAGCGATGGAATTGAAACTGTAGGATATGACTGAAGAAATAGCTGGAAAAAATCAATGCGAGGAAAAACGTTACGATAAAGAAACGTTCGAAGATAATACAATGCACGGTGAATGGTGAATGGTGCCTACCTATGGTTTTGGCTTACCTAATGTATGGTGAATTCGCAGCAATATGAAACTTAGCACCTGGATCAAAGTCTTTTTCATGTCGTGGCACTGGCGGGGCGACACCCTGGTATCGAGTTCTGAGGTTCCACCATTCTGAATTATACGTTTCAGACGTTATATTGCCTGAAAACACTCCCCAACGCCATTGATCCACAAGGAAAGCAAATGGAATGAACGCGAAACGTTGAAGAGCTTGTCGTAGAAGAAAACTGATGGAATTTTCTAGAAAAGATTTTTAAATTCAAGTTATACTCGGGTGATATAAACAACCTTGTGTCTGTATAGCCAAAAATCATCCCATGCCATGCTTGCGTTTACTGATCAGATGGAGTTGCAGCCGTAATTGCCTCTCGACTGTTCAATGTTGAACCCTTACTCGGCAAAGGGGCTGTTTTAATGGCCATCAGACGGGTTGATTTAGGTTGACTTAAAGACCTACAACTGACCTACACGGTCACGGGAGTATCAACTACATGATATCTTAATTACATGCATAAAATGATTTATTCCTTTGTATTTACAAAACCGTGCATGCTTCTATGCACTCGTGCATGTGGTCGACAAAGGTAAAAAAAAGAATGGAAAATCAACGTCTCTTAACATTGCATCTTTGTGGATTGGAATAAGGAAGCATGCTGTTTGTGTATCATCGATGCTTAGCATATATCGTTTGCGAAACGATAATCGGATAATCAGCTTCATCGGATGTAATCTCACTAAACGCGGTGGGATTACATAACAACCACGCTATTGAAAGGTTTCTCGTCTTCTTACTATATGTGTCTTCTGCTTCGTACAGCAAGCCAATTTCTTTAAGATGTGTTGGATTCTCAACGGAAAGGGAAATAGTGTCTCCAATGGCTTCGTGAAATCCCGGGTTGGCTCCACCACGATATGCAAATGGTTTATCTTTGTATGCAAGGAAGTATGCACAGTGCCCCATTTCATGATGTATAATTATCAAATCACTATGGCTTATTTTTGTGCACATTTTAATCCTATTTGTGAAAAAAAAGGAAATTGTAAAAATAGCATAAAATGATTAAAATCACCATTTTTTACTTTTGTATCTGAATGTATGAAATAAGTAAACAACAGTTGACGTTGTCACGGTGATTTATTTTTGCCAACAAACATCCTATGCGAGATGCAGAATCACCCTTGGAACAAAGACAAAAAGAGCTACGCTCGTGGTTGTGTATTGTGCATAGATGTTTCTCCCCTAAGCCCAAATCAAATTTTTTTATGCGGACTTGGACATAACCATGCATGTGTCTTGCGCCTTTGGTGCATGTCATGCCACTAGTGTTACATCACTATTGAAATCACGTATGTATCATGTATGAACGGCTGATCACTGTACTCAAGTACAAAAAACTTATGCATCAATTTTCCCTCACCTGACCTCACCGTCCGAGAAATCCCAAGCTGAAGCATGGCAAACTACTTTTCTATTTTTTGGTCTCTCAAATAACGACATGTTCCAAAAGGCAAACGGCATTGGATCCAGGCCAATTGATATGTAGAATGACTGCGCTAGCTCGAACATCTTTTGAACGGTGTAGTTTTGAGCGCGTAAATTTTTTGTGACGTCAATCGTACTAGTATTGGCGAATGGCTTTACTAATTCAAAAACATGGTCCCAATGTTGGGCCCACATGTCACCCAGGACATGCGCCGGTATCGGCTTATGCACAGAGACATTCTTATAAGTTAAACTAAGTTTATAACGTACATAAGCATGTAGTTCTTCGTACAGGGGTTGGATTTTTTCCCATGCTTCATTCAATGTTGATTTGAAATTTGATCCAAGTTCGTAATGAGAACGCTCAAAGTACCCGTTATCTACCCAGTCATGTTCGCGCGCGCCTAAATTGACAATCTTCACAAATTCTTCATATAATGGCTTCATTTTTGGACCAACAGCGTCTCTCCAGCCTTGCCAAGCGAATAACAGTTTATTATAATCCCTTGATTTTGCCATAATATTGATTAAACCAGGTTCAAGTTCTAGGTACTGAGGCTTTTTTGTCTGCTTATCTAAGTAGTACACCTTTCCTTTGCTATAAATCCCCGTCATCTTCGCCTGAAGTTCGTTAAGAAGTCGTAGTTTATCCTCAGCTTTTGGCGACGCGCTACGACTGATTAGCATCAACTGTCTTGTTATATCCTTGGATAAACCAGGCATTTGTAGCACCGCAGTTGCATTATTACTGCCTTCTATAAAGAACAACGTAGCTTTTGTCGAGGCTTGAACTGACTTTCGAAGGTTAGCTTCGTTTAAATCAGTTTCATACTGCCATGACATGCGCGTTGTCGTCTTTGACATTTCAGTTGCACGAACTTCATAGCCACGTAAAAAATCTAATGCAAGTTTTGAAGTCGCGTTCGAGCCGATGTTCTCACCGTTGATAATTTTTTGCAGATGCAAAATACTGAGTAACAACACCAGCCATCCGTTGAAATACCAAACCAGCATTGCTATAAACATAGATTTGGTCGGCGCTACACTTGATCAAATGACCAAAGAAATAACACATATAACACATCAATTTTCCTCCAAATATACTGTGACATCATTGTTTTCGGAAGATAGCATTGATAAAAATCCTAACAAACGAACATTGACAGTTGGCCCACGATTCAGTTCTATAATGTTAACATCAGCTGGGAGTCAAACGTCATGGTCCAAAATGAATTTTACGTAGAATTATCGCTCTTGGTTTTGTCGCCGTTTTCTCTATAGGATGATGGTTGTACTTCAGTTCTTCAGTTGCTTAATTTCTAAAGACTATTCATTATTTCCTTAATAATCTTTCCACTGCGCGACCAGTAGGAAAACGATATTAATATTCATAACATTCACTTCACTTGTATTTTGACTGATACATTGCAGTACCTGTAGACTTTAACAATTGTTTTGTAGATACAAAACAGGTTTAAAAAGAATAAACAGAAATATGAACAGATTGTGGCAGTTTAAATAAACACTGGTTATAGGGTCGTCTAAAAATTTGATCTTTAAAAACTTGACATTACTGTGAGGTTGTGTAGCTCTCAGTTTTTATTAATCAATGTATATTGATTTTAGGCCGCGGTTATGATAAACCAATCTTTTAGGGGCGGTTATTAAAAAGTAGTTTAGCTTAAAAGGAGGATAAGCAAAGATGTACTATATTGTTTCACACATTTTGTGAATAAGAGTGAATTTAATTAGTAGGATTCCTTATGACAAATGTGTCCACCCTTTGCGATCGTCAGACACACTGTTCCCTGATATCATACGATTAGGGTAAGTTTCATAGTGCCAGCTACTGCGTGAATTGTTTCTGAATTGGCGTACATCGCGAAGGCGAAGCAATTTCCAAGCGTCGCACTGATAGCGATGAAGTTGCGATGAAGAAATGAGAACAATGAGAATTTTGAAAATACAAAATAAAGTGATATTGAGATAAAAGATATAAATTAAGACAAGTCTAGAGTTTGATGAGATCTATACTGATTTTCGACGACAAGAATTTGCAGCCTCCTTGCAGCCTCCAGTCTTGTTTTCATTCATATTTTGAATTTCAAGAGGACTTTATTTTTCAGTCAAATCGGCCTTTTCAATGTCCTATACCCAAGTAAAAAACACATAATAAAACTGGCGTTGATTTATGTTTATTTAAAACATAATTACATGTACGTCAATCTAAAATAATTGGATTAGTTTGATAAACAGTTTCCATTATCATGACGATTGATGGACTTGAAGACTGAGATGAAATGAAATAGTAACACATTATATATAAGAGGTCATTGATCACATCAAAGCACTCAAACTCTCAAAGCATGCAAACTTTTGTCTATATACATTATTGAATATCCGATGATTTCCGAAAACAAGTTACGGCAAAGTTAAAACAAGGATAAGAAAGCTAGGGGTTCCTACCGAACCGTCAATTAAGTTTCCCCTCCGTTTTCCATGCAGACTGATGCAGTATATAGTGTGACATAATTTTTTTTCCATCTCTATGCGTCAAGCTTTTGCCAGCCAAACTTTATATTGATGGGAATACTAACGAATTTTTTTTGTTAATATTAAACTTTTATTGACCAGTTGGGGTTGTGCACAGTTCCTTGTAATTTGAGACTTCTTTTGCGTGTGAGTCTTGTGATTGGGACCGGAAATTCGTTAAAAATATTGCGTTGTTCAACTTTAAAAGTGAAGAGTAAATATAAGATAGATCAGCATATCTGCTTGGACGCGAATCGAAATGTATCTTTCGTTCACATTGTTTTTGGTTCTTCTTGCCTCTGTGGCAAACGCTGAGGTCGCGAGTGAATGTAATTCCGCAGCAGTGATAAAGACATGGCAAACACAATCGCTCTGCGCTCGCCGGGAAAAGATGGGAGTACTTATTGGTTATGGCTACAACATCAATCTACCTCACGTATACGGTGACTTCGCTGTCCTTGGCATTGATCCTACTGATATACGAAAAAAAGTGATCATGCAAGGACCATCGGAATGTGATTGCACGCAAAGCTTTTGCCTTACTTCCGAACAAAGCGAACGACTCTTTCAAATTAATATTGACCGTGCTCACAAACAAATTTCAAGCATACTCCGTTCCAGTCCAGGCCCGATGCCTTGCTGCGACATTCAAAATTCACTCACGGCGCTTGCTTTTACATTCGGAATTGATTTTCTGAAAGATATTCCCGATGGCTTGTCCCACATCAACAATGGTCATTGGCAAAAACTTGGCGCTGGGCTTAGCACGCGCCGTTGGTGTACCGTGACTGATCACTGCAGTCCGCTAGCACAGAGAATCATGAATGGCTGTGCTAATGTTACAGACAACCTTGGTTGTGCACCACCGACACCGCAATCGTGTGATTCAGCAGGACGATACTGTTGCGCTGCCAACAATACCTGCTGTTCAGGTGAGTCAATATTGATAAACTTGGGAGAGGCGACGGAATAATGGTCATGCAACCGGAGTGTCAGGGTCATATCAGCCTGTCAAATTCTTGAAATAGACAGGTTGTCCCTCAACAGTATGTATAGCACGCCGATAGTTTCGAATTATTTTCAAGCTATTCTATGAATTTCCATAGTTTCCCAATCAAGACGGAATCAGGCGTACTGGTGTTGTCCATTAGCTGGTGCTGCATGTTGTTCATCCAGCAATAGTTGTTGTCCGAAGAAGTATCCAGTTTGTTGTGGCAATACCAACTCCTGTTGCTTTGTGGATTTTCCAGTGTGCTGTTTTCCAGGAACGTCACAAGCCTATTGTTGTGCTGCCAGTTCACCAGTTTGCCTGGGCGAACAGCATTGTGGCTCGCTTGATCCAAACATCCGTCCAGTGTTAGGGAAAGTAAACAGAGCCAATCAACCTCCGCAACTAGAGATTGTTCACTGAAGTGGGGCAATTATGGGAATGATTTTTCAAATATAAAAAAAAGGAATTAATTTCAATAGATTATAACTATAATAATACAGCATCTCGTGAATCATTGAAATAAAAGGTTATTTCATGGTCTCCATGTATACCATTCATTTCAGTACAATAGTAAAAAATATAGACAAACCATGTAGGCTCGCATTGCAATTTGACATAATCGACATGTCGTAATTCGCTATATACATAGGCTCTATTGATTTTTACTAACTTTGACCAAATAACCTCATTATCCATGTTTTCCAGTTTATTTACCGTCTTTCTCGCACGAATATGTTACTTTCTCATTCATCTTATTCCTGACTAAACTGACAATCAAGTAACAATTACTTGTAATAACACGAAAACGAGGCCATTGGGTCGAATAAACGGAAGAGTCGTATGTCAGCTTATTTTCACTATCAGTGGTTTTGGACGGGATAAGGTCAGTCAGGGACACCGGGACGATCTTTATTGACGCATACGAAAGAATGCATGTTGAACTTCGCCAAGGTTGGCTAAAGCAGAATTATTAACAAAATTCAATGAAACTCTTTAAATTAAAGGGGCATCTGTAGCCTCCTGGGGCCGGTTGTATAAAACTGCACAACTTTGATTGGCCAATTCTGCCTTTAACTACAGTTAAAAGTTAATTAACTAGCCTTTTTATACAACTGGCCCCAGCCCTTGCTGGTAAAAAGTGGAAATTGGTAAGACTTAAGGCGCAATTCTTAATACTTGTACTTCAAATTTGGTAAGCAAAAAGATTAATAAATGCTCAACAAAAAAATAACTTAATAACATTCTTGTAAGTTTCACATGGAGACATCAATAAGTAAATTAGCTTGTAGGCTGTAGCCACCACGCAAGTATTTAAGCGTTAACGACCGAAAGCTTACGTGGTGTACCTACAAGCTAATTTACTTAGAAAATACCTTGCACAGAAGATTTGAAGCTTGCACACGGTAAAAACGAATCGTCTAAAATGGCCATTTCAAGCTTTGCGATGTGTACGATGAGCTGTCAAAAGATTGCAGAATGCGTATTCAATCGTTCTCTCTTTGATAGCGATACAAAAATGCCCAATTGCGAACCAGTTACACACCAATTTTTGCGTTTTTGGTAAAAAAGCTAGATGCATGACATCTTTTAGGGGATTTTGACAACTGGGGTAAAGTTAGTGTATTAGGGTACAAAATATCCTGCGAGCAGATACGTGTTACATACAGATGTTTTAGCTTTTTGGAACCAAGAGTCCAAGACTTATGTTACGACAAATGCAGATTAATAATGAAGCAGAACACAGCTGCACAGGGCCTATAGTTAAAAACCTCTCTTAGAAGGGCAACAGCCTCTGATTGGTGATAAAAATGGACTTTGGATCATGCTGGAAGATCTACGGCATATGAAAACCAAACCAAGGCAACGGTAACCACTGATCTGACAATACACTAAGTAAAGACGTATTTTAATGATCAGGGCTCCAGTTCTATTGTAAATCAATCCTAAACCCGCACGTTGACAGAAACGGTGATAATTTTTCAGAACTACAGAGGTTCTGGGCATCGTTGCCTTGAAAGCATGCCATAAAGAAGCTTTGCAGAGTGCTTCAATTAAATTCACTATGTGCAGGAAAACCACTTTCAACTGCAGGGTGAAGGGAGTAATGAAAATATTTAATGATCTCGATATCTTGTTGTTTATCAAAATTTAATCCTAATACAATGTTGAAATTATACAATCTTTTGAGATGAAAAGCCTGAAGAGGGAAGAATTAAAAATAAAAAAAATTAAAAATGCAAAAAAAAATTAAATTAAAAAAATACATTAATGATTAATGACCATGTCAAATGAAGTTCACAAGATTTATTTCACAAGATTTACACAAATTGGGTCAAAAAATACTGCCTTAGTTATTTTTCATTTATGTATATACTTTTGCAATATTGATAAGAATAAAATCTTCTTCAGCAATGGGCATAAATAGGTTATTCTGTTTTCAAATTATCCAAGCCCTAAAATCATAGAAATAACAACGAGCTTAGCATGAATGTAAAGTGGAACACATGACTGATGGTAATTTTCTACTCCAACTTAATGATTTTTAAAAATGAATCATTCAATAAAATTTACCTTTTGGATATACTCTGACTGTGTCAGTCTCTTGTCTCTTCTCGTTAACATTGTATCAAGATGATCAACACTGTATCGTCGAACCTATAGGTTTCAGCAAAGTATTATCTAGAGGCATAACTACATCACAATGGGTTGCGAGAAAGCCTATCCCTAGATGCAATGATATTAAATTCTAGCATGTCACCTACCCATGTAATAAATCTACATACATAAAATATAAAAATATACTCCAGACATAGAATAATATAAAAATATACTCCTTCTATTCTAGTGGAATGACATTCTTACCCCTACTTAATACTGAGAAATATTATATTTGTTCCTTCCCATATAACGGGGTTTTAACCCCCAGGTAAAAGTGATGGAGTGATGCATCATGCATAGTATCAACGTTGACCTTGACTGCACATACCTTTCCATGGAAAAGTTTGTCGATTGTCTTTATAGCTAAGCCTGATGCGATAACACAGCCACATATAATTCCAAATCCTGGTAAGATCTCGTACCACATTACCCAAGTTTTCAAAAGAAAAAGCCACAGAAAGAGACAATAATATTATCAAAATACTTTTGCCGTGAATACTTTTTCTCTTTTTCGTTGTTGGACAGAAGAAATTTTGTAATACTTCATGCTAGAAACAGTTTAGAGGATATTACAGATTTTTGCATACTGACATGCGCATATTGCCATATTTTTAAAATTTTTCAGCGAAATAGAATGCCATGTAAAATTATTATAGAAGAGAATGAAATTTTTGTTAACTATTGTTATTGTATCAATATCAAGGTGGTTCAATTTGAAAATCAGATTGTCTGCCCCGCATGCTGCAGGAAGAAATCCTTGTATTGCGCTAGCTGCTGGCGTAATATGCTTGTTCGGAACAAGCCCATCTATTGCGCAGGATGTAAATAGTTCTACTCCATATATCACTTTCGGTTTCGAAGTTACTGTAACTATTAGTAACTACTGCAAAATTTGAAGACAAGTCAGTCATGTTGTAACACGAGATAAAATATATTAGCTATAAGCTACGTTGATTAACACAACGACTACGGTTGTTCCATATCCTCTTCATTTTTCTAAAACACAAAGTATATTATACATCACGAATATTGACAAAATAAATTTTTCATCAGCCTCAAAATTCTAAAGTGGCAATACTTTACGATATTTCTATGGTTCCACGTCTATTTATTTCCACTGGAAAGCCTTGTTTGTGTGGCTGACCAATCATGGCGCTTGAAGTATAGTCACGTGAGCTAAAACATCGTGGAGAAATTTAGCTGCGCCCAAGCAGCTATCGCGAAGGGCGGCGATAATGAGGAAGAAGCGAAGAAGCAGAAGTTCTAGCGAACTAGACAATGTTAAATAGCAAATAAGGTCTAAAATGAAAGATAAGTCCCCGTACTAAAATATGGGTATAATACTTTTTCTCATAGACACTTCGGCGTCTATGTCTCAACGGACATTCTTGGGTACTACACTCATCGACATCGGGAAAGGTGCCGTAGAAACGTTTATCAAGGTATGTTTTTAACTCCATCATCGGTTCTAGGGCTAAGAGAAGTGGCTAAGAGTAATTCTCACTGAATATATCTTTCGAACAGTTGAGGCAAAGGGACCAAGGGAGCCGAACAGATCGATATATGTTGATGACGTCGGACGAAGTGGGCGCCATTAAGGTAAAATGACAAAGAGAATGCGCAGATAGTTTACTTTTGTATTATTTTGATTATTTGATATTAAAATATGCAACAACCTGCAAACAGGCATTAACATAAATTTAGTAACCGCAAGCAAAGTTAATATTTAACTAATAACCATGATAGTTAAAAAATCAGTCATGGGAATTACAGATCACTTTAAGAGTTTTGCAGTTTATTTAAAGTAGTGGTAGTACTTTTTTAGTAGTGACCATTTCACCCAGAACCTCCCTCATCTTCCTTCCTATGGGGAAGATTAATTAACCAGGTTGAGGCCTGACTGGAAAGTATGCAAACTGCACAACTGAGATTTCAAGAAAATACTAGTAAATATATAGAAGACATCAAAATTTGCACCCAATATATTGGTTGTGTAATACATACTTTTCCACATTGGGGTGGAGGTGTTGCAATTATTCAATGAGGTATCAAATGTGGTCAAGCATTACAATTTTTAGGAGTGTTTATCAATTATATGGCTGATAAAGCATTACTCCTAAGGAAAGAAAGGGGTCCAGGTACTTGTCCTAAGGCAGTGATGCCAAAGGCTAGGGGAAAGGCACAATTTTGTGAAAGGACACTTCTGTATTGGAGTCTTTAAAGAGTGTTTTAAAGCAATAGTGATAACAAATATTTTCTTCATGATCACGGTGTCCTGCAGTTTTCTGCCAGATGATTGTGTAATTCTGAATCTTTTTTAGCTAAATTCCTAGCATTGTTTGCATTCCTAGAACTGTCTGAAGCAGATTTTTTGAAATGATATTCTTTGTCACCCTTTCCCTTTCTGATAGCAGGCATGAAGGGTAGCATCGCCCAGGTCTAACATCTTTGACCAAAGAAATATATCATTCTAAGGGGGTAATACTCCAATTGAATAAAATATTGCACATTATATTATAATGGCTTTGTACCCTCCATTTCACAGTTATTGGTACTGTAGCTGCACAAAGCATTCTCATTAGATGCACACAAACTCAAATTGCTTGTTGCAACAAGATGTTTCACTTTTATACTACAATGTTTTCTCCATGATTAATTTAATGATCACATTGAGCCTGATTGAATCATTTATATTGCAATATGATATTGATTTGTCACACCATATCACAGAGAGGTTTGTGTGTGATGTAATGTCCAATGCTTCTTATGTAAGGCATAGAAAATATTATACACATGATGGCAGATTTTAGTTTTTCAACATCAACTTTTTAGCACCTTGATATATCTTATGGAGTTTGTTAAAGTGAAAAAAATATGGGCTGTAATTTCAAATATTAATATCTTAATATTAGACTTTTAGATCTGCTTGAGAATATCAATACTTGTTATGAATGATTTTCTGTGGTTTTCAATTGAATAACTTTTAAATCTTTACAGCATAGTCTCTTAAGTTTTGAATTAGTTCAAGTTTTTGTTAATTTCATTCCATTTATCATTGAATTTCCAACTTGCAATCTGAATATTATAAGTATATATTTTCCATAAATATCAATGATTAAAATTTAATTTTATTGTTTCAACAATACTGTTAACTTATTCACAATTGCCATTAATTGATCTTTTTCATATTAAGAAATATTGTGTGTGTTGTATTATATATATATGGAGCAAATCATGTTCAACAATATATATATAATATTATATATATATATATATATATATATATATATATATATATATATATATATAATACAAGTATATACATATCTTTATATGGATTTTATGCAATGCAAATATAAAAAAGAAAGAAATCCAAAGCTATATGCTTGCATTATTTTAAAAACCTGCACTTAGTCTGCAGATAGATCAGAGGAATAGCATCCTACTTTAATTTTAGGAAGACCTGTGTATCAATTTCTCCCTTTTTCTTATGTGTTTTTGAAAAATTTAGAACTAATTTTTAATATTACAAAATACAGGCTGGTTGGAAGGAAAATCTTGCAACATTTATGAATGAATTGAAGAATCTACAAGCTACAGGACTGACAAATCTTGGCAGTGCTTTAAAGCAGGCATTTGATCTGCTCAATTTATACCGACTGCAATCTGGGATTGACAATTATGGCATGGTAAGATTTGTTCAGAAATTAAATCCTGGAGTCAGGTTTAAATTGGTTTCATGTTTTTTTCCAGAACTCTTTACATTTTCTGTATAATTTGAATTTGGATCTTATTTTACAGGGTCGCAATCCTTTTTACCTGGATCCCGCAATGGTCATCTGTATAACTGACGGTGGAAAACTTGCCTCATCAGAGGGAGTCAATCCAACGGTGAGTATAAAAGGGAGAAATTTTCTTGTTGAATGATCAACTACAGTAGCGTAGCCAGCCTGAGGATTTGTCCCGCTATGCAAATATTTTTGGTGATCATTGACTTTGAAAACAATGAATTTTTTAAAACATGAATAATTATTATTACTCGAAATTTACATAGCAGGACAAAATCGTCAGGCTGGCTATGCTATTGACCCTGTGAGTGATTATTGACCCTATAATGTATTTTTTTTTCTAAACACCATTTTAACTATTTGCATGAATTGTATGATTTTAAGATGTTAATGTTTGCAGTTCAATTTACCTTTCAATGTGATAAGTGCAGGACAGTCATTCTGAGAAATGTGTATTACATATGGCAATATGAATCACCTCATGTAAGAAGGCTCTTCTTTTGTGTAGTTTGTATTACCAATGGTACCTAGTACTCCTGGTAATGAACTAACTAAAGAACCATTCCGTTGGGACCAACGCCTTTTCTCTTTGTTGCTGAAATTTCCTGGTAGTCCTCATGGCTTTGATAAACAGGCTGGCGTTATTGCAGATGTTGCCAACGAATATTTGATAACCCCAATGTGTGAGGTCACTGGAGGTAAAGGATTTTTTTTTACTATCAGAGTGTCATTGTTGTTGGTTAGTGAAAAATTCATATTAATAAGCACCTGCAATTATGGCTTGCACAATTTTTCATAGTTACCAACTTGCCCAACTATTGTGGCAAGACAGAATCCACCAATGACATGCAAATATGTTCAATAATATTATTAATATTATTTTTTAGGACGATCCTACATAATCACCACGCCAAAATCCCTATCAAATATCTTAGACTCGCTTGTTCAAAAATTCCAAATGGGAGTTGTGATAAATTTTGAAAAAATTGGTGGTCCTGATAAACCAACCGAAGGTGATGATGTATTGTATTTTGTAGGATTGTCGCTGGTACAAGTGAACATTAATTTACATTGCTACTTAAGCATACCATTGCATATGTGGTTGATTTCACTCATCATAAGACCACAACAGCCGTTCTGAACTTGAACTGAAATAAATAGGAAGAAATCGGAACTATTTGAATCTTTGTTGTCATGCATGTAATTTCAGAGTTTAGAAATGCAGTAAGTAGCTACAATTGGTATTTTTCAATGAATATAAAGGTACAACCAATGCTGCAGCAGTATCTGCAAACCAGACAGCAGAAACAGAGAACGAAGAGAAACCAAATATTTTGAACAATGCTATTAAGCAGTCGACAGCTGATCTGCCTGGGTAAGTTTGCGTGGGTGAAAGGTATACATTAGAATTTCGAACTTCCTCCTCATTACACTTCCTCCTCATTACAATGTGATATAAATGTCATATGATTCTAAATAGCGTGTGTTTAGTGTTTGACTGTATTAGCCACATTCTAATGCTGCAATATTCTATGGATCAATTCATTTCCTTCAATAGTCTTCATGCAAAATTCGAACCTGCTATCTTGTGATACTAACTACTAGACAGGGGTTATGCACTTGATATATGTATACCATATTAGGACTGCATGTATTTGCATAATCTTCTGTGTAAGCGCATTGTCGCCGATATTGCATGTATGCCGTGTTGAAAATGTTTTAAAAACTAATATCGCGAAATATAGGATACTGTATTCCACAAGAAAGATATATTTGTTCTATTGCCTGCAAATTGTAAACTAATAAATCAAGCTTTTTCAGAATTTGACACGTTTATAATCCGACCTCATTAAGACGATTACTATTCCTGTTTCGAGATCGGGTCATGCACTGATAACTTAAAGGATGTTTTATCCAGTCTTAGTATAGTATATCAGTGGGTTTATTTATGCAACTTCAATCAAAACTCCACGTGTATTCATTTTCAGGAATGGTAACCATCCTGGTAATGATGATACTGGGCAATCACGTGATGATCAGTTAGCAGCACGTAATACAGCCTCTCCAATACCACCAGCTGTTCAGAATAACATGTGGTACAGCTGCAGAAGATTGATCTATATAAAAACGAATCCTAAAGTCAATTCGCCTGTAGGTCATTGGCCTATTCCGGAGTCTTTTTGGCCGGATCACTCTACGACAACTTTAGTAAGTTTCAATTAATAGTTTATAGTAGTTTATATTACCTTTTAAGCCCTGTTTCCATTTTTTTTGTAATTGTCCTAGACAAGTCATTTTCACTAATGAGAAACAGCCCGAATGCAAATTTGTGTTTATTTCCTGTATTCAAATCGGTCATTGTTGACGGCACAAACGAAAAGAAATGTTCTATCATATCAGTCACCTTCACGTGTTCACAGTAATTACGACAAAATGGAAACGAGGCTTTAGTTTTCAACATTAAAAAATGTCGGCTTTAACAATTCAAGATCTCTGCTAGATGTGGCGTTGCCCGGCCATTAAAACTAAAGTGCACATTTCACGTTCCCGTCAATTCGATTTGTTTATAATATTAGGCTCATGCATTCTTTTTTAATGTATTCACAATGAAGTAAAGGTTCCAAACATTGCAATCTATAGCTATGTGGTCTTGCAATTTCACGCTAACGAATTGTTATGACTTCTAGGAACCACGAGATGCTGATCCTACAGTGCTTTTCTCCTGTGTACATTCTGAACCGATGGTAATGGATTTATTACCTTTTGATAAATACGAACTTGAAAGATCGCCACTGACTCAGCATATCCTGGAAAATGTTAAACCAACGCATTGTTGGCAGGTAAAGGAACTTACAAGAGTCCCTATGTTTATATCTAGAATGGTCATGCAAGATGCAAAATGATTTGTTTTGTGTTTGTTATCTTTAGACATACGTGTCAGGTAGCGGGAAGAACAGCGAATTGGGATATCCATTTGGATATTTGAAAGCCAGTGTTAATTTCCAAACAGTCAATTTATTCGTTATGCCATACAATTATCCTATTCTCATCCCACTGCTAGGTAAGTTTAGTTCTCTCAAGCCCCGTTCACGCTACAGTCAATTTATTGGCACGGCACAGCTAAAATTGGTACCCGTGCCCAGTTTTATTAGTGTCCAAGCTCCCAATACAAAGGCCGAGTACGTATGAAATTAGTACTGATAAATTAAGTAGTGTAAGCGGGTCTTTATTCTTTGCTGTACTCAGCTTAATAGTGAAGAGTAGCGATGTTAGAGTACATTTACTGTACATTTCAGCAGCCTGGATGTCTATATGTCAATAACATCACGACCAACAGCTCCGTGAGCATTAACCATGCAGTTGTAACAAAGGATATTTTCTTATTATGTTCTTAGATGAGCTATTTAAAGTTCTCAAACTAAATCCTACGCCCAAATGGAGGCAACTTTTCGACAAGTATCTGAGTGATCTTCCAAGTTATTACATTGTGGTGAGTAACACTGTAGCTGCATGCAACGATTTTTTAACGCAATCATAGTTTATATTTGTTTTAATTAATCACACCGCTTGTTGTGGAAATTGCCCTGCCTGATTGCCTGACCTCAGCAGGCAAGTGAAAGTGAAATGAGTTTAACACATGTGAATGCCTACATTATACATTTCGTGCGTTTTACCTACTTTGAGTTGGGCAAATTTTTTTGACGTGTAGCTGAATATAGCATTCGATGTTGCGTCTCGCTTTTGCATTAGACTTGCAAAAGTAAGTCAAATAGAAAATTAGTCGTGTAGGACCGGCTTTATACAATGGTTCAATTTGAGATAGTTAAGTGATGATTTTGCCTTATTCCCACTATTTGGCCTAAACAATCCTCTAAGAACTGTCACTGTCGCTGAGACGTTAACGAAAATGTTCTTTTGTTTACGTGTAGCCTTTGCGCACTGCATTACGTCGCATGGGCGCGAATGCAAACATGCTGATACCTGACCATAATGATAGTTCATTGAATAGCAGCGTTCAAAGTTACCTCAAGAAGCTGAAACAGCAGGTATTTTTTAGTGTGCTGGACACTGCACGTGTCTCCTGCCACCATAATATTAGATTTGTCTCACATACACTAATCACAGTTTTCCCCAGCCCCTAAAAGATCTGGTTGCATGTTATAATGTCATAATGTTCATTTTCATGGATTGCCCAAAACTGCGCATGCAGCTTCGAATATTCAGTGTTAAAGATATTTCGAGGCGCGGGACAAAAATCGATATATATATATATATATATATATATAATTATATATATATATATATATAATATATATATATATATATATATATAGGAGAGCACTTTCCCATATTCTACTATCATATGTCGTTATCATTTTGGGCCCTTTTAACCTTGAACCGGGGCAAATTGCCAACTGTATTCTCGTCAGGTTAATCCATATCTTGGTTTTATAATCTTTGGAATATATGTTTCATGCTGTGACATCTCGTTCGACGAAAAACTTCAAAGTGGATTTTTTTCAAATTCCAAATAATCTCTAAATCGATTTGTTAACAACTGTTTGGATGTGTTTTGTGCATGATGACTACAATATATTCGTATGCCTTTTTAATGACCTTCCATAGGCTAAAGTTGAAGCGGATAAGGTCTTGGCGTTGATCGGAAAGAAGAGCCCAGTTGACTATGGAAGGACGAACCAGCAGTAAGGAATTCTAATAATTCTTTATCTATATTTTATTGATGTATTTTTTTAGATGACTGTCTAAATACAGTCTCGTTGCGTTTAGGTTCACTCCTCCTTTGTCACCAACCAGCATGCAGAAACGAGATTTCCCTGACGTATTACACAATATTCCAAGCACAGTTCCCAGGTAATTTCTATGCCCTGCGAGAGTATATATAATGTTACATGTATATAACATTATACCACGCATGCATGGTGCATGTTGTAGCTGCAACAATAAAAAGTTAGGTTTCTTATTTTTAATGCGCTTATAGGAGGTAAATCTGGACGTTTTCGATTGTGAAATAATCGTATACACATGCATGATACACCACTTTCTGTTTTTAGCGCGAAGTCTGATGCTACCAGTGTTAAGAACTTACCAGAGGTTAAAGAGGTACAATTATAACATATGTTTTAACACTTGTGCATGCACTGCAAGTGTGTATATACGTAGTAACTTTTAGTATGCTTCGATCAGTTACATTCAACATGCATGGTGTAATTACCCTGATTTGGACAGACGCAAACAGTAAAAAACTTCTCTATAACCAACATCAATTCTTCAAAATTCACTGTTTGTTTTTCTGCGACATTCCCCTTTGTAATTTACCGGGTTTTTGTCGGGCGTTTTTCAGACCCGACAAGAAGATTGAAGTAGGATTACATGCACCACTATATGCATAGGAATTGTAGATGCGAGAAGAATAATTGTAGTTTGGATAAGCATAGTCTGCAAGGGCTCTTACAACTGCACTTCCGTCTGTTTAGCTTCCAAAGATGCGACAATACAAGAATCCGTTCGATATTAAGCGAACAGAGCTACTTGATCAGTTGGCCCGAATGAGAATAAATTTCTTTCACACTGCACCCACTGCAACAATGTTACAAGATCAAGGTAACTAACTTTAGTGCTAGCATGTTGGCCAAAATTAATGAGACGTCGCATGCTGACACAATTTTCACAGTTTACTAAGTATTGACGCAACTACCGCCCTCTCTTTGACGCAACCCACCCCCCTTGCGATGTCTAATGTTATATTGATTGCTGCGTGCGCTTACGTGAGACGCAAACCCGACATGAAATGAGGAAAGGTTTGGGAACAGTATTTTGCAGTTGTCACACTTTAATATTAGCTTATCCTGTATACCATTCTTATACTGCGTGATACTAGCTGTATCAAAACCATTCCATATGCCTATCTGGTATCCATACATTACTCCTTTTTAGACTCAAGGCACAGTATAGCCATCAGTCAAATGGGGAACTACCAAGACTACTTGAAACAGACAAACCCATTAAGAGAGTTGGATCCGGGAATGAATAGGGCTCACATGTTTGGTAATCCATTCAAGTTGGCCAAGGATCAGGTTTGTGCATTAGTTATGTATTGTGCATTGGACTCAAAAGTGTATCGGGTACGTTACGCACCACCACAACCCTATCGAGGTTCTGGATTTCCAAGGAGTTAAATAAGTCTTACTCTCTTAGTTTTAGCCTCAAATCTTAACATTATACTGAGACATCACCTTTTTAACATAATTTTGCGGACATGCATTATTATGTTAGGAAGTTGTGATAATAGGAAGTGAATAATTCCAGCAATACAAAAATGAAATAAGTAACATCTTTGGCCCTAAAAATGTTCTCGAAATCCAATAGGATGGTTTGTGTCTTAGAATTCTTCGGTGTTTTAATGTGTTATGACTTTTGTAGCCAATGATGGTGGACGAAGCAGATGTAGTTAACGAAGCTGTGGCAGGCGGACCGTCACGTAAGCGTCGCGACAGCCGCTCACCGCCCTCGTCGCCACGTGAGAAGAGGCGGAGGACGGACCTGAACCCTAATCTTGCCAAACGTGCGAATCCTCTTACCCCTCCCACACCGCCGCAGGAAAATGTCATTCATCCAACTCCTCCGGCATCACAGCCCGTCGCACATCTCGCGCAACCACCCGGAATAGTTGGTGATAAGCTTCCGATCCACAATGTCAATCAGTTGAACCACAATGTAAGAGTACCTGTTCCTAACAAGAAGCGAAAACTTTCGGAAGGTGAAGGAATGAATGAACAACGTAAACCAGTTAAACAGAGTGTTAATCCTCAACTACGTAAATTACAACAACTTCATCATAATAAACAGCACAGTCACGCAAACAGCGCGTTCACTACACCGGGGGCTGCTGGAAAGGATAAACTGGAATCCTCAAAAGATATTTCGTCGATATTGAGAAACGCCTGCATGGTCCCTAATACTTCAAATGTCAAACTCTCTTCTGCTAAAGTCGATGGCAAAAAAACTAACCATAGTTTGCATAATGATACTACTCCAAACAAAAACGATAAGATGGGATCGCGAAAAAAAGAAGTTTTGAAAAGTAAAGCATTGAAGAAGATGTACGAAGAAAATACAAAGCTTCGGAATATAATATGTAAACAGATACGAACATTAGGACAAGGTGAGTGACTTTTCGTAAGATATCAACGAGTATGGCGTCGCTAATAAAAAAATATCAGGACCGGATGGTACACCAGTTTCGAAAACCCCCGTATAAAAAGGGATTTCTAAATCATTTCATTATTTTCACCATTATGGTGCATGTATAATTAAAATGTGTAGCAAAGCTGCAATATGAGTAGTTTCATGGCTAGTGTCACGAAAATAGCTTATATTTTTATAGATGCTGATCCAATCATCAGCCATCTTGAAAAGGTTCAAGGGAGTGCAAAAAAGAAAGAAGAGTTTGCTCGATTGATCATTGACGAAGCAAGTAGATTTAAAAAGAACAAACTTGTTGAGCGACTGAATGATTGGCTGACCAAAAATGAACAGACTGTTGGAACAAACAGCCGTAATCATGTAAAAAAGACTGTAAATAGATAACGGTGGTTGAAATTTGTTCATACGTACATACATAAATGAGGGTATCTTCCTCTAAAGCATTAACATCTTTTTACTCACAGACATGTCACAGACACACATATACGGGTGTCTACATGGGATAGAAGTTCATTATTATGCAAGTTGCCAATTTAAACCCTGTTTTTCGGCGACTGTCAAAGTTCGCTAACCTCACCTAAAATGTTAAAATGCAAAGGCGAACGTGCGTTGTGATTCTGTAAATTAGGCAGTCTAGGGTGGAAGATGATTTTCTATACGCAGAACAAGTGATTGTATATGGTTGCATCTGCTTATTCTTCTTCATACTGCGCTAGGCAGTTGTATTCCTGTTCCTAATTTTTATGGCATTCATGCGTCTAGATCTGACTGATCTAGAACAATTGAGTAGCCCTCTTCTACAAACAGTTTAACACTTCCATGGTTAACCAATCTGCATGTTACTACAGCTGCTGAATTATATTAATTACGCTATGCAACACGGCCTCAAGTTGTAAAAATTTAGTCTCGATGTTATAAAAGCAACGTAAGCATAAAGTTTAAACAAAACAATATAGTGTTGATGGTGGTTTACTGGTGAAGCAAGTTATATACACAATATGATTTAGACCACAACAAAAATGTGACTAAAATCTGAAATCCTCTTCCAAGAATTAAACCTCATTGATTTTAGAATAAAGCTTGAAATAGGTGTAGGTGAAATAGCCATGTAGGTTCAATTCCTATTGGAGGTCAGAGGGGAGTACAAGGCAGAACATTTGCTGGATTTCTTGTAATGATTTATGACTTTACATAAATGCCAAATTCCAGAACAAGGGATTGCTATTGGCCTATGTTTTGTGTAGTGTGTGTCTTATCGAGTCCAACACTCAATGAGCTCAAACAAACTAAATGCATCTTCAGTTTGTTCAGTAAACAACTCTTGTTCAAGTTCTGAACTTTCAGCAATACAATCACATGAGAGACTAGCACTTTCATATTCAAGATCATCTGATAAAAAGCTCATTATATCTGGCTCTTCTTTACTTTCACTTGCTTTTCTTTCTTTGAACACTTTCCTTTGTTGCAATGTTAGATCACTTGCAGACACATCCAAGGAAACTAATCCAGGATGGGTGGACTCCTTGGAATTATAGTTTAATGCTTCTGAAGCTTTCTCTGCGATATCCTGACGGAGTTTTTCTGATTTTTTTAACTCTTCCTTAACCAAAGAAGGTGCATCAAATTTTGTTTGATTAAGTTCTTTAATCTTCTTTGTTACAATGGAGGTTGTGTTCATGTGAGGCTGGCTCAAAACACTGAATGTGTAATAAAAGCACATTAGTAGAATATACTCTATATGACTACATTGGTCTGAGTATACTGATTTTCGCCAAATTAAATTTGTATAAGTAAATTAGTTTGTAGGTACACCATGTAAGTATTTATTACTGCAAAGCTTTCATCATAACCCAGACCTTTATTAGTGCAATTACCTGAAAACACAAGGAACTGAAAAGTGGTTAACAGACCTAAAGTGCTTAAATTAATAATAATTTAATAATAATTACTTATGTGGTGTACCTACAAGCTAATTCACTTACTTATTTCACTATGCAAACATACAAGATTATTAAATTTGTATAGTAATTGTAAGTCTGATCTCTTCCATCTAGTCGGTCCTGATAAACTATACTGGATTGGAAAGAATAACTTCCTTTGAAGTATTAGGGGAAATCTATGAGATTGACCAACAAAATAAGCCCTATTTGTTAAGCTAACATGGAAACAAGCCTTGAGGGATATGACAATTATAAAGCCTCACTTTCATGCATAATCATTTAAAAATTCTTTTGTTTGTGTTGAAGAATAATGACTTAAGGCATAAAAGATAGACTAACTTTTCTTTTGTAATCGTATAATTATAACTTGATTCTGACTGTCCATCTCGCCTGACGTATGATTCACGAGTTACTTTCTTCTCAGGTGTGATATTCAGTTGTAAGTTGATTTCAGGACTGAGCAAAGGAGCTCTGATAGGTTTAGGAGGTCGTCTGTTGGGAAGATGGTCAACTTCCATTAAATCGCTTCAAAATTTTGAAACTACACGTTCGAAATAAATAAACGTCGAGAGAATCGGTCAGATCTGTGTTTTGCGCAAATATCAATCTTGTTTTTTTTTTTTGTTTGCCTTGCTTTCCGCGCCAAGCCACATTTTAAATTTTGTGACAATTTCGTCAACTAGCAATACGTCATGTTATATACAACCAGTGAGCTCTCTCTATGTAAGACAACAACTCTCTATATATAATACAACATGGCAAATTTTGGGATTTTTAAAGTTATTTTTAAAATAAGTCTCAAAGATAATATTCCTTAAGTTTTGTAATATGCCAAACTAGTTGTAGAGTAATGCTATTTAATTAAGAAAGATGCTTCCTAACAAAATAGCCTTCAGGAACATAGTTCTTTCAACTTCCTGCCTGTGGTTAACTAGGTTGTCCACATGTGGGTGAGTCTCAGGCAGAAGTTGGTACTATAATGATATCATTGTAGATTTTCCAAGAATGTGTTCAAAGCGGGAAATCACTTTAATAATCTGTCACAGAAGTGTAGAATGTTCCATTTTCTTGGCATCTTGTTTTGCCCGATTTGGAAATTAACTATTAGCTTGGTCTGTGGCCATAAATATTAGTAGAAATATCAAATCATTTTAATTCTATCTTTAGCTTCATGTTGGTAGAAATTTTGGGGATCCGTAAAATGGGGATCTATAAAAAAAATTAGTTTGACAAAAGAAAACAATATAAAACAATTGCATCTATATTGCATCTATAACTAGTAAGGGTAATGATAGCAGACACTGCACAAAGTTGTTTAAAAGCTCTTTTAATTTGGAAATTGCATGTTCTTGCAATACAATGAGACACATTTGTGTTTAACTATGATAACAATCTGTGAATCTTTGATCTAATACAAGATCCTCCAGATCAGGAAAAGGAGCAACACTTGAATACCAACTTTTTACTTCATCCTTCCATAATAAATAACATCTTATTTTAAATGTGAAAATAATGATTTGGAAACCTGCAAATTAGAAATCAATAAGATATAACATTTTACCAAAAAATATCCTAAACTTTGTTGGGTCTATTCATTGGTCTTGAAATATATCTATTTGTGTAAATGACCACTTTGGATGAAACCTCATTTGTGTAAATGACCAAACTGGACGAAACCTCACCAGCTTCATATTTGAAACCCTTACCACATTATCTTCAAATGCATACTAATTTAGAAACACCTGAGTGGTGAGTGAACCCTTGGAAATGTAAATGCTTCGACAGGGGGTATCCAAAATATCAAATGTAATAATATTAAACAGCAATAGCCCATAATTTCCTGGCCTTAGGTTCTATTGGACTTTGCTGAAAACTATTCAATTCAGCAATATCCTTTCATGTAACCAGTTAGGGTAAATTATAATAAATACTTACACATTTATCAACACATCCTACAAAGTCAAGTAACTCTTGAGCACAGTTCTCCTCAGTCTTCGTTCTGCTGTTCACTCTACCTTCACAAGTGTCGAATTCACTTTTTAATGCCACACACCTCGAAATTTCGCCGCATTTTTCCCTTAATGTATCTTGAGGATCCTCAGGATCTTCTTCATCCTCGTCATCATCGTCTTCATCTTCGGACTCCTCGGGTTCTTCTGCATCAGCCTCAGCCTCATCGTCATCACCACTCACCTCGTCCTCTACCGGGTCGTCATCATTGTCCTAAAATTTTGCATTGAAATAGGGCGTTATTTCTACATACTCTGCGCCATTTTGTATCTTTAGTACCCGAAGTGTCGAATTATTCAACTTTGCTAACCTCAGAAACATTATCAAGCTCTTCTGGAGCATTTTCTCCTGAAGTTATTGCCTCCAAATTTTCCCTACCGGCAACCATCTTTGAACGTGTGATGCAATTTCGCCTGCAATCCGGGCTTTTTCTGACAAGTTTTGCCTGCGAATTTGCTTTGAGCCTGTCGTTTACCCAAAAGGAAGCCTGGGACTAGCGGAAAGCCCTCACATTTAGCGATGGACTCCCCTATCAGATGCATTTCCTATAAAAATGTGCTCGACTTTTACATTTCTTCAGAAGCGCTGGGAAGCGCATTGTAGAGTACAGCGATAAAAGGGTAGACTGTATCTCTCTAGATCGCAAGAAAAACACTTTCAGACAATAAAGGCCATATTGTTACAGAAATTATCATTTACAATGTAGTCTGGGCAAATTGTCAGATGTTTTATTCTTAACAAAACCGAGTATCAAACAACGACGTCATCGCATCGGAAAATATTTAGAGCAGGTTTCGTTTTGTCTACTACAGCCCAAATCCCACCAAGGCTAGTGCCTTGTGGTGCTGCACTTGTCCTACCTAGTTATCAGTGAAGATGGCTGTTGGATCTGGTTCTCCAGCACCTTTAAAGAAGGTCCAAAGAGTCCAGTTTGGCATATTCAGTCCTGATGAACTTGTAAGTATAGTGTTGATAAGCAATTTAGCCAGAGCATGCTTCCCTGATCAGTGCATAAATTATTTCTTACCTGATGGGTTAAAATTTTCACATTGCATCATGCAAATGAAATAGTATATAGAGCTATATTCTTGAACAATAGTTGCTATTACTATAATTTTTGCATGCAGTGTGTGCACTTTTTGCATGTATAGAGGTCGGGATAATCAGGTGCTGATGTTGGGGTAAACAGGTATAATGCGGAAGAACAGGGCATTCATGAGGGGGTATGTTGAATATGCATAGTGGCCGGTTAAAAAACAACCAATATATTATTTGGAAATAAATGCAGGATCTTGCATTTCTTCCTTACAATGTCACATATTAATTGGGTTAGCTGGGTAACACATGGTTAAAATGTCTGTGCTAAGTCATTACCACATTAGTGCTTTAGCATTTGAAAGTTGAATTCCAGCATCCTTCTTCACTAGTTTGTCATTTTCTTTAGAAACAAATGTCAGTGACCGAGGGAGGAGTAAAATACTCAGAAACCATGGAGGGAGGAAGACCAAAGTTGAATGGCTTGATGGACCCTCGTCAGGGCTGCAGTGATCGCTTTTCACGATGTCAGACATGTGCTGGAAATATGACCGAGTGCCCTGGTCACTTTGGACACATTGAGCTTTCAAAACCAGTATTCCATGTTGCTTTAATTCCTAAAATCATTAAAGTTTTAAGATGTGTGTGCTTTTACTGTTCCAAACTACTTGTTGATCAGGTACAGAGCTTTGTTTTCATCAGTGATCGAAGCACCTATATGTATGCCTATATACTGCATGGCCTAGTTGTAATCAAATTAAGTAATATAGATTTATTTATTTAATGTGGTATATTCAGACAATTTTTCGGGCTGTATGCAGTGGTAATTTATGTAATTTATTTTAAACTGTAGGACCATCCAAAAATCAAGGAAATCATGTTAAAAACACATGGCCATGCAAGAAAAAGAATAGTCCATGTTTATGAACTCTGTAAAGGAAAAAAGATTTGTGAAGGTGGTGATGAAATAGATGACAAACTTGATGGTGCTGCAGGTGATGGTGAAGTAAAAAAGGTAATATTCAATTCAAGTGAAGTTGTCAAAATGTTTAATAGTCACTTGTAATAAACATGCACAAAAAATCTGTCATTGGATGACTTTTGTCCCTGCTATTTTTATGCTAACTGCAAAAAAACCAAAAAAATAAAAAAAGAAAAATCCATATTATATTCTTTGTGAAAAATACTATAAAAGTCTTTCATTTTGTATCTTAGTTCACTACAGTAGAGTATCAACATTGATGTTGCTGCATACTTCCCAGAGCATGCATGAAGAATTTTCTTGAAGTATTACCATATATTTATGCAATTTAAAGAGATTTAAAGATAACAGATATTACACACTTGGAGACTTTGATAAATTATATAGCTTTGTAAACAAGCCTGTTGGGTGCTCACCAACTTGTTCTGGGACCTGTACTGTAGTTGACTCTCATTGCCTTGGAACTTGGTGGGGTGCAGTGTTAGTAGCTTGGGGGCAGAATTCCTTTTTCAGTTAGAGGGAACACCTTGCCAATGTCATGGAAATTCATTTATGAAATTGGAAATCACACGAAACTCGGCAAACAAGCCTAATATATTTATAATAATTGTATTCTACGACGGGAACGTCTGTTTAGACACACCTATCATCCATCATTACGGAAACGTGATTCAAGCTCGTTTAAATCTAGATAATCCCTCTAAATGTTTTTGTCAATTCCGAGGTAGCCTTTCACAAATGTTTGCCCCCTCTTGACGGACCAAAATGCGTGACTGGAAAGAATGACAAGAAAAACGTAAAATAACGTAGTCCACCAACGAAGAAAATCATTTTCTGTTTTACATTTATCTCTCAAAAGAACACTGTTATTTTTACAAATTTCAACTGCAAACATTCTGAGAAAAGTTTAGCTACATCAACTATCTTTTTATTCAATTGCCTGGGATTTAACAAACAATAAACTTCGGCCCCGTCCACACGTATCCGGTCTTAGGCCTACTCAGCCAACATCATCTGCGCACTTACTGTTTAAGGTTCAGTTTTAAGATTTTCTTACTTAACATCATCTGCGCACTTACTGTTTAAGGTGCAGTTTTATGATTTTCTTACTTAAAGTAGCTCTATGTGTAGTAATTACGTCACATGTCAAGCGGTCCCATTGGTTATTTGTAGGGTCATGGTGGTTGCGGTCGTTACCAGCCACAAATCAGGAGGCAAGGTCTGGAGCTTACTGCTGAGTGGAAACACGTGAATGAGGATTCACAGGAAAAGAAAATTGTCTTGACGGCAGAAAGGGTTCACGAGATCTTTAAAAGAATTTCAGATGAAGAATGCACAATCATTGGCATGGATCCTCAGAATTGTCGCCCGGATTGGATGATTTTGACTGTGTTGCCTGTGCCTCCATTACCTGTCCGACCTTCCATTGTCATGCACGGTGGAAGTGCTAGAAGTCAAGTAAGATGACTTTACAACATCTTACACTTTAACTAGTTCAGGAGAGAGAAAACGAGATTACCTGTATTCCATTTTATATTGTTTTGGCCTGCGCAACCAGCAAATACATGTATTTACATATACTTTCATTCATTTGTTAATTGTATGTGTTGCATGGTTTTCTTAAGGATGATTTGACTCACAAGCTTTCAGATGTTGTTAAATGTAATAATGGCCTTAAAAGAAATGAACTGAATGGTGCAGCCGCTCATATCATCGCTGAAGATACGAAGATGTTACAGTATCATGTATCAACGTTGTTTGATAATGAAATCCCCGGCTTACCTAAGGTAATATAAATGTTGCGTCTTGTGGAGACGCTCCTATTTCGTGTTATTATTCCTCTTTAATATTGATATTGCATTTAGGCCTACCTTATTGCATTTACGGCAATGATTTTCTTATCTGCATATGTGTTTTATGAAACCAGGCAATGCAAAAGTCAGGGCGTCCTTTGAAATCAATAAAGCAAAGATTGAAAAGCAAAGAAGGTCGTATTCGTGGTAATCTCATGGGAAAACGAGTTGATTTCTCTGCCCGTGCTGTTATTACACCAGATCCGAATCTTTCAATTGATCAAGTGGGCGTTCCGAGAATGATCGCGCAGAATTTAACTTTCCCAGAAATTGTGACACCATTCAATATTGATCGGTGAGATACAGTGATGCTCAACATTTATGGCTAGTGTTATGTGTTTCATAGCTAGTGTTATGTGTAGGATACGTGCTGTTTATTATACAAGACAAAAGTTTTGTTCCAATCCGTAATTTATAATATACTGTATGCACGATAGAACGTCCAAAAAGATTATTTCAAAATCGTTTGCTAAGGTGGTCTAGCACCCCACCAGAGTCTACTGTATCCGATGCTGTTTACAAAGGGTTTAATTTTTCATTTGATTAATCATAGCAAAACGCCATCAGTGACTAACAGAAGTTGTTCAAATTTGCAGCATGCAGGAACTGGTTCGTCGTGGTAGTTCTCATTATCCTGGAGCAAAATATATCATTCGCGATAATGGAGACCGAATTGATTTACGTTTCCATCCAAAACCCAGCGATTTGCATCTTCAATATGGCTACAAGGTATTTTAATGCGCATTAAAGATTAATGCTGGCCTCAAAGATGCAGCCTTTTTACACGGAGTATGCATGTTACATAACGCAAAATTTGCAAAGTAGAAGCATGTTTGTACGATGTAAACAGTAAGTTCTGATGCTTTCAGGTGGAGCGTCATTTGAGAGACGAAGATTTGATTGTATTTAATCGTCAACCAACTTTGCACAAAATGTCTATGATGGGTCATCGCGTAAAGGTTTTGCCTTGGTCCACGTTTCGTCTTAATCTCAGGTAAGTGACAGAAGTCTGATGGATTATGGACTGAACGAATGCTTGCATGATTTTTCCACGTTGGTTGCCATTCTTTTTAAAAGAAACCTCATGCCTCATTTGTTTTGTTTGAAATTTGCGTTTTCCCCGCAACCGCACCTTGTCTTAACATTCTTGTAATTTTGCATGGTCTTGTCTTGTTTGTGACATTTGTTTGTAATTTTTGGTACAGTGTCACAACACCTTACAACGCTGATTTTGACGGTGATGAAATGAATCTTCACGTGCCACAATCGCTTGAAGCACGTGCTGAAATATCCGAATTAATGATGGTGCCACGACAGGTTATCACACCACAATCAAACAGACCCGTCATGGGTATTGTGCAAGATTCGCTAACAGCTGTTCGGAAATTTACCAAGAGGGATGTTATGATGGAAAAGGTACATCTGCTTGTCAGCGTTTATCTCCTAGTAGAAGGAATTGTAGTAATTAGCATGCGTGGTGTCTACCAACCAAATGAATTAATGATAAAATATGTCGTTTGTCATGCACGAAAAGTAAGAATATCACAGTATTTGGAGGAGTTTTCTTTTACAGTATTTGTTTGTATAAATGTGTGTTTAAAAGGATGAGAAATAAAGTTTTTGTTCTTTAAGCCTCGATGCTTCATTCAAAATTAAGCAAGTGTCGTAAATTCTGTATATCCAAACTTTGTAATATTGAGGAATGTTTTAACGTTGGATGGTTCGAAGCTTAATTGCATGTAAGGGATGTTATGCCGAAAAATATCGGTTTTATATTTGAGCCCTTGACAATATGTTAATTAATAGGAGAAGGAAATGGAAAAAAAAAGGCCGGGATAACATGTAGCTTGAAAGATTTCCGTTTGTAAAACGTACAATTATTTTTTTAAACTTTTAAAGGATGTCGTTATGAACTTGTTGATGTGGTTACCAAGCTGGAACGGCAAGTTACCAGTCCCAGCAATATTGAAACCCAAACCATTATGGACTGGAAAACAGATCTTCTCAATCTTAATCCCTGGCAATGTCAATATGATTAGAGCTCACAGTACCCATCCTGATGAAGAAGACGATGGACCATACAGACACATTTCACCTGGTGATACAAAGGTATACAAAGGAATTTTCCTTAGAAAGATTGACGAACGGTTTTCTATGTATATACGATCCATCCCTCTATTTTCTATCCGCGATTATAGTATTTTAGTATAACTGTGATAGGAAGCATAAGATTATATATATATGCATGTTAATATACTATATATATTTACATAATATATTTCGCATGCTTCCTGGGCCGCCTATGTTAATGGGGAACTGAACTTGTTAGTAATACCGCCAATATGGTTGATATTAGACTTTGCATTTGCATTTAAATGAATCATGCCATATATTCCATGGGGTTTCATCTTCTAGGTATTGGTGGAAGATGGTGATCTACTGTCAGGAATTATCTGTAAGAAAAGTTTAGGAACGTCGTCCGGCAGTTTGGTTCATATCGTCGCCATGGAGTTAGGCCATGAAGTCGCTAAGAATTTTTATGGAGAGATCCAGACTTGTGTTAACAACTGGCTGTTGATTGAGGGACATAGTATTGGCATAGGAGATTGTATTGCTGATAACGAAACGTACGAGGTTATTCAGAAAACGACGAAAAAAGCAAAGGTAAAGGATTAATCATTATAGTGATCCAATTTGTTGCAGCATGGACTGAATAGGAAGCAACACAGTAGTTGATTACAAAGTGGTGGAAGAGTACTCTTAAGGTCTGTTCACCGGATTCAATTTTGTTAAATCCAATTCACTTCCGACGTATGAAATATACTCAGTTATTGATGAAGCTATAGTGCATTGGCTTGAGTGGGCTTGCTGCTTATATACATGATACATTACAAGACAACAGACTGTAAAACATCCATCAGAAGTGAATTGGATCCAACAAAATTGGATCGTGTCAGCAGACCTTTACATGTTTTAAAAAGTAATAGAGAACATTATGGGGAACATGATAAAGTAATAGAGAACATTATGGGGAACATGTTGACTTGTAAACCATGCCGCCATAATAATTTTTCACAAGAAGGGTGCCCCAAGGTGGAATGTACATATAATACGATTTTTTATTTTATATTTTTTCGTTCAAGGATGACGTTATTCAGGTTATCGAGAAGGCCCACAATGACGAACTTGAACCAACTCCTGGTAATACCTTGAGACAGACGTTTGAAAACCAGGTGGGAGTTATACATATATTAAATGCAGAAATTACCCGCGTGACTTTTTTGTTCTCCGTGCATGTGTGTGAGCTTATTCAAAAGGCGAATTTAACGTATTGTATTTCGTTCTAAATAATTCGAAATGAAAATGTATAGGATACCTACTTTGTTTTAAAATTACTTTCTTCATAGCGTTAACGGTAAAAATTTTAATTACCTAGGTGAATCGTATCCTAAATGACTGTCGTGACAAGACTGGTAGCAGCGCTCAGAAAAGTTTATCAGAGTTCAATAATTTCAAAGCTATGGTTGTAGCTGGCTCTAAAGGTTCCAAAATCAACATTTCACAGGTAAGAAACTTGGCATTGTCCAAGGGCCATTACTCCATTGTAGAATTTGCATCATGTTATTCTATTGTTTTAATGTTTTCGGCAGATAAGAAATGAATCTTCCGCCGGCCGATTGTATTAAAAACATCAGATATCTGAAGCATCTTCGCTGATTGTCTCTACATCTTAACAATCTCTTACTCTACATCTTAACAATAATTTAATGTCCATTTTTTATTCTATTCTATAGGTTATTGCTGTGGTAGGACAGCAGAACGTTGAGGGTAAACGAATCCCATTCGGATTTAACCATCGTACATTACCTCATTTTATCAAAGATGATTATGGTCCTGAGAGTAGAGGTTTTGTTGAGAACTCGTATCTTGCTGGCCTTACACCAACCGAGTTTTTCTTTCACGCCATGGGTGGTCGTGAAGGTCTGATTGATACCGCTGTGAAAACTAGTGAAACTGGTTCGTATGCTTTGAATTAAATACGTGATTATATCTTGAAGTAAAGGCTTCTCCTAATTAATGAATATTTTATTTTCACATTACTAAAATTCACTGTCTGTCTTTTGACTTTAAAGGTTACATTCAGCGTCGTCTGATCAAAGCTATGGAAAGTGTTATGGTAGCTTACGATGGAACAATACGTAATTCTGTCAATCAAGTTATTCAGTTAAGATATGGTGAAGATGGAATGGATGCGACCCACATCGAGTTTCAAAATATGCCTTCCCTAAAACCGAATACTGCAGCTTTTGAAAGAAAGTTTCATTTTGAATCTGGAATTGAGAGGTAAGTGAATTATAGAGAGTAACAAATCCTCCCTAAATCGTATAACATACAATACGGTGTAAAGGATCATTCGAATAACCTTGTCATTCGATATTTTATGCATGGTACTCATTCGAGGGTGGAAAAACACGTATTTTGATGTTTCAACGGCAAATTATTTGAAAGAAGAGTTTTTGTTTGTTGCAATAATCTGGATGGGTTGATTCGGTGCTAAATTTTCTGTGTTTAATAACATTGTGGTTTATTTTCTTGAATTGCAGGAGAATGAAACGATTTCTTCAGGATGAAATAGTTCGGGATATCGTGGGAAGTGCTGCTGCTCATCATGAACTAGAAGCAGAGTTTTCCCAATTAGAGAAGGATCGTGAGGTGTTGAGATCCATATTTCCTTCTGGTAACAGCAAGGTAATAAACCACAAATGCCACACAACTTTGAACGTCAAATTAAAATTTCTGCCATTCTGATTAAAATTTCTCGAGTTTAACTTTATTTAAGCCGTGGAACGATAACAATTAGTTAGATACACGCCTCGTCTGGACGTGCTTGTATGAGTTATATCTAGAAAATATTAGCAAACCTTTATACAGGCAGAGTTAAAAGGTAAATGACGATGAGGTGATTGTAATTCTTGTTGTAGGTTGCCCTCCCTGTAAACCTCGGTCGTTTGATTTGGAATGCTCAGAAGACATTTCACATTAACAAGCGGATACCCAGTGATTTGAATCCTGTCAAGATTGTTCAAGGTACGCTATAATCTTTCAATACAACTGTCATCCTTTGAAACTATCAAAATGCGTTATTTGAACAAGCAATGTATATATAAGCCGTTCAATAATATAGGGCATCCGTCGTTGTAAATGCATGGATTTGTTTTTATCTTTCAGATGTTCGTAAACTAAGTGACAGGCTTGTGGTGGTAAAAGGTGATGATCCCATCAGTAAACAAGCTCAAACTAATGCGACCTTGTTATTCAACATATTACTCAGATCAACATTATGCTCCAAAAGAGTATTGGAAGAATTTCATTTGTCCTCTCAGGCCTTCGACTGGATTGTTGGAGAGATCGAGACAAGGTTTAACTTAGCACAGGTGTGTTTGTGGTCGAAGAAATTTAGAACAAGAGATAATACTGGGAATGCGTGGGTATAATACTAGAAATTGAGTATTCACACGTGTCTTCATAACTTATTAAAGGTTCAACCAGGGGAGATGGTAGGCCCACTTGCGGCTCAGAGTCTTGGTGAACCTGCCACTCAGATGACCTTGAATACTTTCCATTATGCTGGTGTCTCCGCCAAGAACGTAACTTTGGGCGTACCAAGATTGAAAGAAATCATGAACGTATCAAAAAGACCGAAGACGCCCTCGTTGACCGTGTTTCTAGTCGGCAAACCGGCTAGAGATGCGGAAAAAGCGAAGGTATATTGTTAACAAATTTGTGTGAAACGTGTGTAAACTTGCATTGCTTCATTGACTGATGTGTCTTCCAGGACGTGCTTTGTCGATTGGAACACACGACATTGCGAAAGGTAACAGCCAACACAGCTATATATTATGATCCCGATCCTCAGAACACTGTCATTTCTGAAGATCAAGACTTCGTGAATGTCTACTATGAAATGCCTGACTTTGACGTCACACGAATCTCGCCTTGGTTGTTGCGTATTGAGCTGGACAGAAAACGAATGACAGACAAGAAGCTGACCATGGAACAAATATCTGAGAAAATTAATATGGCATTTGGAGATGATCTGAATTGTATTTTTAACGACGATAATGCCGAGAAATTGGTGCTTCGTATCAGGATCATGAATAATGATGAAAATAAGATGCAGGAGGTATATGTGAATGCAATATTTTGAATCCAATACGTTTAAATTAATATTGACATGAACGCACTGTGTATGGGGATTCAAGGGGGGGCCATGCATATGGAGAAATGGAGAAATATGTATTGGAGAAATCTATCTTAACTTAACTATATCATTGGCTGTAGGAAGAGGAGCAGCTCGATAAGATGGATGACGATGTCTTTTTGCGTTGTATCGAAGCTAATATGTTGACCGATATGACATTGCAAGGAATCGAAGCAATTTCTAAAGTTTATATGCATTTACCACAACAAGATAGTAAGAAAAGAATTGTAATAACTGAGCAAGGAGACTTTAAAGCACTACCAGAATGGCTGCTGGAAACAGATGGTGTTAGTTTAATGAGAGTAAGAAAAATTCTTTCAACTTTACATATTGTAGAATTTATTTATATGTGTGCTATGAGTAAATTGTATGTATATGCTATAATCCCCAACGTGGATTTGCTAGTGTTTGTATAAATTGTCTGTTTCAGTTCAGGTAAACGTTTATATGTACGTATGTTGTTATTTTATTTTATGTTAAGTTATTATCTTTCCAACAATGCTACGCTATGTACTGTATGTCGGTGTATGGCCTTTTTGCACTAGCTAATGTTTGAAGTAACTTCTGTTTACGTAGTTATTTTGATACCTGCATGTTTCGTGATTTTATGATTCTTTAATGTTTATTTAAACTGGATTTCTTGCACCATGTTCAGGTTTTGAGCGATCAAGATGTAGATCCAGTAAGGACAACCTCGAATGATATCTGTGAAATATTTTCCGTAAGTACTCTTCTAGATAAATAAGTTTTCCTAGTACAGCAAAAATACAAATTATTTAAGATATTACCCACCTTATACGATGCAATATTTTGGTAGAAGCATGCCAAAGCATGCTTGTTACCCAATTTCTTTGAATAATAATTGTCTGTGTGAGACATAACTACCAAATCATACAAAATGTCTTTTCATGCACCACACAAAATGTTCAGTTTCGTATAAGAGTAATTAGTAATTATACTAGTGTTAAATCCTTTTTCAAGCATATGCCTTCCTCTTCCAGGTGCTTGGTATCGAGGCTGTGCGGAAAGCAGTTGAACGGGAAATGAATCACGTCATCTCGTTTGATGGTTCGTACGTAAACTATCGTCATTTAGCGTTGCTGTGTGACGTCATGACGTGTAAAGGGCATTTAATGGCCATTACTCGGCACGGAATTAACAGACAAGATTGTGGAGCTCTTATGAGATGCTCATTTGAGGAAACTGTAAGTATGCAACTTTCATCCCAGTTATATACATGCATAAATGATTCATACCTTTTTTCATGATATCATTTTTATACAAACACATACCTTCTATGGTCGCCTGGCATGGTGACCACACTTGTTCGTGAATTGATTTATATATTAACTGATTATTGACCTCGCTTGTTAGGTCTGTACTGTGAAATATCAGACCGAGGCTTTTTACTGCAAAAACCTCGATCTGATATTTCACAGTGAAGACCTAACAAGTGAGGTCAATAATCGGTTTATTGAAACATCCGGGATACTGGTCCGAATATGCTTTTTACGGACCGCTCGTCAACCAATCAGAATAGAGGATTTTGAACACCATATAATAAATATATTTATATACCAACTCTCTAGGTTGACGTATTAATGGAGGCCGCTTCTCACGGCGAAGTAGATCATTTACTTGGAGTCAGCGAAAGTATCATTATGGGTCAACTACCTAAGATTGGAACTGGATGTTTTGATCTAATGTTGGATTCTGAGAAATGCAAAAATGGAATGGAAATCCCAACACATATGCTTGCTAGTGGCCTGTTTGGAAGTGGACCGATGGCTGGTAGGTTCTTCATTCATATGACATTTTATGAGTGGATTTTTAACGATGGAACTACACTATTTTCGCTTGAGCATATATAAGATAAGTTTAGGTAAAATACCCAATGTGGATTAGAGAAAACGGCATAAATACAATTGTTATAACAGTTAGGCGCTAAATAGTGTACGGCTTTATAGGGTATTTACACTCATTTTATCTAGACGGGCAATAGATGCTTCTTGTCCCTGAAGGCAATGGTTATAACTTGCGATTTGGGTGATTTTGAAATTCAATTTTTCTTCCTAATTAGCGCCAGGAATGTTCTTTGGTTTAGCAAATTCTCCTACCTCAGCCATGTCTCCTCAAATGACACCGTGGAACCAAGGAGCCACTCCAAATTATCAAGAGGCATGGAGTCCAGGCATGGGTAGTGGTATGACTCCTGGAGGTGCAGGGTTTTCTCCAGCCGGATCTGATGCCAGTGGATTTAGCCCAGGTGGTGGGTTTAGTCCTGGTGGTTGGAGTCCAAATCCTGGGTCACCTGGTTCTCCTGGTGGACCTGTCAGTCCCTATATCCCCAGTCCAGGTGGTGCTGCCAGTTATTCACCAGCTAGTCCTGCGTTTATGCCAAGTTCACCATCTATGTCACCTACCAGTCCATCTTACTCACCAACATCCCCTGGTTATTCACCTACATCACCTAATGCCGGTGGTTTCACTCCTGCAAGTCCTAGCTACTCTCCTACTTCACCCTCCTACTCCCCAACCTCACCATCCTATTCCCCGACTTCGCCGTCTTACTCCCCAACTTCACCGTCGTATTCTCCTACATCTCCCTCATATAGTCCTACATCACCCTCTTATTCTCCCACTTCACCATCATACTCCCCAACTTCGCCCTCGTATTCACCAACCTCACCCTCCTATTCACCAACTTCTCCATCTTACTCGCCCACATCTCCCTCATACAGCCCGACATCTCCATCCTATAGTCCTACCTCACCATCCTACAGTCCAACCTCTCCTTCCTATTCACCGACATCTCCATCGTACTCACCCACTTCTCCCTCTTATTCCCCAACATCTCCGTCGTACTCTCCAACATCACCCTCCTACTCACCAACATCACCAAACTACAGCCCTTCATCCCCATCGTACTCCCCATCTTCACCATCTTATTCTCCTTCTTCTCCAAGTTATACCCCGGAGTCAAACCGAAACTACTCACCATCATCGCCATCATATTCCCCAAGTTCTCCGAAGTACTCACCATCATCTCCAAGTTATTCTCCGACTTCTCCAAGTTACTCCCCAACTTCTCCAAAATACAGTCCCACATCACCAACCTATTCACCCACCTCCCCATCGTACACACCATCATCTCCGAAATATTCTCCAACCTCACCCACATACTCCCCAACATCCCCCACATACTCTCCAACTTCACCGAATTACTCCCCGACTTCACCACAATATTCTCCTGCCTCACCTCAATATTCACCCACATCCCCACAGTATTCTCCCTCCTCCCCCCAGTATTCCCCATCCTCTCCTCAGTACTCGCCAAGTTCACCTCAATACTCTCCAAACTCACCGACATCACCGCATTATTCCCCAAGTTCTCCGCAGTATTCACCATCATCTCCTAATTATTCCCCTACCTCTCCACAATACTCCACTGGTGAAGACTATAGTCCTGTTGCGCCCAGATACTCTCCATCGTCGCCGACGTACAGTCCTTCAACACCCGGCGGTGCTTCAAACGTCTCCCCACAGTACTCCCCTTCATCACCACAATATTCTCCAACTTCTCCAAGTTATACACCTGCTACACCTGGGTATTCTCCGGGGTCAGCGTATTCTCCGTCTAGTCCTGTGTATTCACCTGACGACGGTGAAGAGCAAAAGAAGAAAAAGAAGTGATGATTGCATGGTCAAGTTATGATCATCATCATTTTATGATGACAACAAAATCGTCCAACGTGAACAAAATGAATGTTTTGGTGTGGCCATGTACTGCAGTTTAGTCAAGTTCGTGGCTATAAGAAGATTTTTTAAATTTTAACGATTGTAGGAAAACCTGTTTGTCGTAAAATTGTAAGGCCATTGCGCTGCGAAAATAGATGCTGTGGATGTATAGTCCATAGATAATAAGTAATAACAATACTGGATCCAGCGTTAGGCAAAATAAATCACTGCAGCAAATTTTAATTTCAAATCACCGGAATAACCGTGCTATTGGCTTTCACAAGTAATTTTTATTTCAGAATTTAAAATCTTGCAATGGAATTATTTTGAGAGGTTATGTTGGTCATATCCCCGTTATTTTAAACTCCAACCATAAGGTTTTTTTTATCTGAGCTAATGTTAACTTTTATAATTTATTTTGACTAACGCTAAATCCGCCACTGGTCAGTCAGTCATAACATAGGAAGTACGATAAACTTTCAGACTTCAAAATGAATTAATATTTGATGTTAATTTGTTTTCACCGTGTACGAGTTTGCGTTAACGTGTGAAAAAGATAGATCAAAGTGTTCGCCGAGTTTCCTAGCTATGTTTCTAATGATTATGCTTATACAATTGATTTTGATGTCTGATTGTATTATAGATTTTGTCCCTACATTCTCTGCATTGCAATCCACCCCGGATGTTTATAAAATAGCCGAAAAATGCGAATAACTCTTTTTTTAAGAGTTCCGAAAATGTGTTGATAACTCTTTAGACTTTAGAGTGTTATCGTACAACAAATAAAGACGCATTTTAAGAAAAACAGGGGTGTTGAAATGGTTAGTCTATGGAGACACTCTACAACTGACTCACCAAATCCTATCATATTTTAGGGGCTGGATACAAGGCAGATTAACTGAGATAAGGATTCCAATTAGCGAATAATTGTGATTTAATTCTTTGAATATTTCCACAAATACGAAAAATCTTTTCGTACATGGATCATAAACTTTCTATGTATTCACTATTGTATTTGACTTGTATAGTAACAAATATCATAGATTGTGTAAAAATAAAGAAGTAAAAAACCTACATTTTCTACTGTTCTTTGTCTTTGATCAATCCATTTGCTTTGCTTTGCTGCCTACCATTTTAACACGAAGAAATATAGTAACAAGCATGCATTTTGTAGGTTTGTCATAAGTTTTGACTGCTTCTGGTTTGGTAAACATCATTTACATCAATTAAAATCAGTAAGCGTTCATATACGGTTCATATATGCACGGCACCGACTTGTCTATTCAGTTAAAATTTAATCAGACCGATGCCGATGGGGATTCTTTTGCGTAGTTTCCACAGTGTAAAATAGTTAAATATATGTATAATTCTAATATATAACTTGAAACATTTAGTCCATTTCAGACTCCTAATAAATTTGTTATGTATATTCAAATATAATTCAGCTATATTCTGTAAGAGGCTGCAAATTCTAATCTTAGTCTATCAATCTATCTGATCTTGCTACGTAAATACTGGATGTTTTCACGAAATGCGAACGCGTTAAATTGCTTTCTTTTGCGATATTTTGAAGTGGATAAAAATCCGCCTTAAGGCTGGCTTTCATGTACTTAAAATCAGGAACGGACAGGAAATTTTTTTGCGTGTGGTAAGCCAATTAGTTCTGATTGAGAACAGTACTCAGACAAAAAAAAATTTGATCCGGTTCTGAGGAGAATTTTCCTAAGTGGAAATCGGCGACTAAAATGTTTTCGATATTTTAAAACTGTTGTGTATCATGATTATTTTGAGATGAGAAAGAGAATGTGAATGAAAGAAGTCAGACAAGATTCCTTCAGGCAGACGTTCGCTCGGTTCTTAATCCGAAAGTAATATTATTTTTGAAACGGAAGTTTATAATGGATTAGTAATTTATGAGCTAGTATGCCCTATATAAAAATTATACATTTACATCGATATAAGTTATATTACTAATCTAGATATCTTGCATTGGCACTAATATAGTCCGTCAATTATAGAGATGCTCAAATAGAACAATCATGACAGCAAAGGCCGATAGGATCACCCCGTAAACCCATCATTAGGGCAGGAAGATTTAGCATGAGAACGTGAACGTCAAACAGGCGCGAAAATGGCGAATAAATGGCGTGGCATGTCCAAGTATTGACGCATCACGCCATTTATTCGCCGTTTTCACGTCCTCCTTGACGTCACACAGACGCGATGCGGCAACGCAACGCCAATTTTCAGTTTTCAGAAGCATATATGAGTTAAATTCTTGAAGCAAAATGGACGCAAGAGCAGTCAAAATGTATTATCGTTAAATAATCCTTTTTTTAAAAATAAAAAAAATTGAAAAGTCGCGCCGCGTTGCCAAATCGCGTCCTGCCGCGTGGTCTCAGTTAAATCTGCCTTAATATATATTAGCGTGCCGCGTAACTTGCCAGACTTGGCATTTGTCTGTATCGTCCTCTGTGCACAATCACATTATATACATAGCACAAAATATACTTAAATTAGTTATATATAGTCTGTCTCAAACTTTGTACACCTGGTACAGCATGTGAAGACAACTTGCGTATGACCTTGCAACTGATACGGCATCTTTTCTGCTGGTCTTCTGGTTTTTGCAATTTCTGTTTGCGATTCAGGAACAAGGTGGATTTCTGTTCACCTTGCGTTGATAGGCAAGAAGTTTCGTGGCCATTTTCGGATCCCAATCGGCATATTTGCCAGTTGTACTAAATGCGAGTTCAGTGCCATAACGAAAACCCATGACGAGGAGATCGCTACCGACCTTAAATTTTGGGCATGTACAGTTCTGAGAAGTTGGCATCCATAAGAGAGATGATTTGTATGTTGGAGTCGGTAAACAATTACTCGAACAAACCGGTAGAAGATAATCATTCTTTACGGACAATTCAAGATACTCTTTACCGCTTTTTACTGTGTAATATCTTTTTACATCACCACGCACAACTATATAGAATAAAAGGTTAAAGGTCTGTGTGTATGCCATATTTGTTCGGGCTATAGCCCATAGCTACATTTGGATAGGCTGAACAGCCGAACAAAATTTTATCAGGCTTACAAAGCGCTGCCCAAGGTACGGTCTCATAGGGAATTTAAAGCAACTAAATAAATCAACTTATAAGTTGATTAGATATAGAGACTACGGTGTCGGTAAAAGTTTGAATTCAACCAGCAGCGTTCCTCGCTGTGAATCGTTACAGAACATGTAGAATATGGTGTATTTGTGTTTCCAGGCTTTTTTTTAGCTCATTCAGGCGAATAAGGAAATTTTACCTGACCTGTAAAAATATTTTCAGCTCAAAAACTTACCATAGGCATATTGATAATGACATAGATTGGCACTGGTGATATCTCTAAGTGATATATATGTTCCCTGACAGAGTGCCATGCACAGTGGTCCTAGGAAAAAGAAAATATATATAATATACTTCACTTGTTGTAACAAGTGAACAAATCTTTCATTGTTAAAAATGTATCTATATTTATAGACATAGCTATATATATATATAGCAAGACTCCAATTAGTAGACTACATTTTGACATATTGTATAAAGGTGCATTAAATTTACTCTCGTATTATTTCAGTCACTCATATGGCTAATACACTTTGTGGTTACGTGCATGCAAACTTTGTTTTTCTAAAATATCACATTGTAGTATACATTTTGCTAAGTCGAGACGAGAATTAATACGTGATTTGTGTCCAACTCACCTTGGGTGGTCGGGAATGAGGTGGTAATGCTCCGTCGTTGAATTCGACTTGCTAAAGCAAAATAAAAATCACCGTATAACATTTATTTATATTATTGTATTAGACGACCTTTTCATATATAGAAGTGCAATAAGTTAGCCAACACAAAAACTGATTTGTTTACAACAAGTTTATGTTTTCCCCAGGGCCGCCGAGAGGGGGGGAGCAGGGCTCCCGGGCCCCCAACCTGAATGGGCCCCCGACTTAAAAAAAAAACAAAAATTAAAGCACCTTAAAAAGATGTTGGACTCGGTGTATTATTCGCACACAAGTCGAAAGTACGAGTGACAGTCATTGTTATTTTAATTTCTAAGATACGTTGATATTGTTTGTTTGTAAACTGAAAAATTTATTTGTTAAAATTTTCCACATCGCTTTGAAGTACTTTATGCCTCGCAAAGTTCAAAACCTTGACGTCATAGGGCCCCAGAAAAAACTTTAACCCGGGCCCCAAAATATCTCTCGGCGGCCCTTGTTTCATTTTTGTCTGCTGCAGCTGTTGGACAAATGCGTCCTTTTACTCTGTCCTTCACTCGCCTACCCCCAAACGTAAACTACAAGCTGAGTGAAAATATATCTATATATTCTTATATAGTAACGTAACTTTCTTTGCAACTTCCAATGCAATTCTACTCTTGAGGAATCTAAAGTTGGCTAATTCGAACATTTCTTACGATCTGCTTACGTTTTCTTAGCATTTCGAACACTCTTTACAAATTAACATCCCTCAAACTCTACCTCCTCCGCAGGCCCTTTTCGGGCAAATATGGCTGGCGGTGATATTTTGCGGGTAGAATGCTCCCTAGCGCCTGCGGAGGAGGTAGCCTGAAACTATAATTGCATTGCAGGTTGCAAGGAAAATTAGTGTAACAGCGCCTTTAGCGAGGGCAAATGACGCTGTGCATGGAAATAATAGAAACATAATTTGTTTACAAGAATCTCGTTAAATAGGGGACAACACATTTACTCTGTAATAAATTACCTTTGACATTTAAAATTCCGAGCTCTGACGGACAAGCACTGGAGCGATATTGACATACACCACGAAGCTGAAAGACATACCTCGCATTATCTGAAAAACCGATTGACATGAAGTTAAATATAAGCAAATATCCAACGAGAAGCTTCCATGTGATGTAAACCTAAATTTTCTCCAAAAGCAAGGTCATACAGTGTAAAATTGTTGAGTACGTGTAGTGACTGATACTTTGTTTGCAAATGTGGGTCAATCTAAGCGCAACTTGTAAGCTTTATTATATACTACTCGACTACACAACAGACATGCACGCGCAGAACACATACAAGAGAAATCATCACCTTGTACAATGCAATAAAAACTACTTAAATGCTTGCATGAATATTCCCACGTTGAACGTCGCAGTTAGCATCGAACATATGCTGATTTTAATTATAGCTCAGCCAATCAGCGTTTAAGGTGATTGGATAACCACCAGATGCAACCATGCAAATTCTACTAACGAGCGTTAAAGTTTCATTTTAAAACTTTGCAATGTTTCAGTCGCAGTCATTCGTCCTAATGCAAGCGACGGTAGATACCTGGGTTATGGAAAAAATATCCATTGTTATTTAAAAAATGCAGTATATTTGGATAAAATCTATCGTTTTCATGTTTCAAGCCATCCAACACTTAAACTCACACGCATGCATGTTTTCAGCATTATGACATCAATTATTTTTTGAAGTATTACGTGCTCAAAATGTAACAGATTACTTCGATACTGACAAATCATGTTGACAAGTAGTAATACTCTCACCTTTAACTTCAAAAATATTGATTAATCAATTATGAAAGCAAATTCTATGAGGATAACGAATGAGTTGAATAGGTCGTTAAGTAAGGAACAAATTGTCAAGAAGGACAAATCGTCAGATGTGGAAACAAGACAAACGAGATTCAGATGCTTTTTGTCTGAGCATATAAGTGCAATGTCAGTGTCTCAATGTGATTCTAGAGGCATATGCGCCGATGTCATTAGAACGGAATTCAAGAAATAGTTATTAACACCACCCGTCCTTGGTTGCAAACGACAATGTGTTTGATTGCATGCATATACCTGTTTTTGTAAAACCCTATTTGCATATTTATTACAGTTGTTAAACAAGAGATGCATGGTCCTACCCCGGGGAACATGAGATACGCATTTGAGATCTGAAGATCAATCGTGTTTTGAGTCTTTGAGATGGCGTGCGTTCCTCGCATCGTGTTCTATCTATCATGAACCTTTACTAAAATTGTAACATTTTTGGGCCTTGCCCCTAGCCAAACTAAATCTAAGAAATGTCCTTATAGTCCTAAATCTAACCCCAAGTCTAAAAATAGGATCGAAACTCTTTTTTTCTTTGGGATTAGGCGTGGCCAAGCGTGACTGTAAACCACGGTTACTGTGCCACGGTGGTATAGACGGGCCGAATGACACAAAGTGCCGCCATTATAAAGGGCGAGCGGAAAGTATTATAAAGGCGGAAAGCCTCTAGAGAATCGGAATGAGGTTCTTGCTGATTCCCGTCCACATGCACTGATTCGTTGAAGGCGTGCGCATAACGAAAAAAACATCACTTTTCAACCTCTGGATGGTTGATAAACTTGAGCCGTCGTATGAACTCATTAATCGTCAGACATCGGCTTGTAGCATTCATTCATTATATGTTTTTCAACATGACATGTATCATTAGCCTAAGGCTATACGTCTATATTGTGTGATATATTCAACAAAACACGCAGGCAATCACGCGCTCAAATTTATCGTTTATTCTCAGACACCGTACATTATCAAACATATAGTGATTACTGGCTGCAACCGTGCAACGTCCTTACAACTATTCATCATAAACAAAACAGCAAGGCTTATCTTATTATCAACGATAAACGTTATCAAAAATTATTTTAATATTAGCGATATTTTAAACGTCGAGTAGCAAAGACGGCAAGTACGGTTTCCGCATAGTTTTACTTCCATGACGCACGGGCGCTTTCTAGCTTAAAACCAATGTAAACGCTCAAAAACTAAATATAATTTATCTCCTCCTATTCCTTGAGGAGGAGAAAAGCTAATCTACGTTTTTCATCAAGACGAAGAAAGCCATGCAAATAATATCAACGTATGGAGACTATTCAAAGTATGCAACCACTTTCAAGACTTTAATAATAACAATAATCCAATATGTTTTAGCACAAGTTGACTATCAATCTTTTATGTAAGTTCTACATTGATTTATGCGACCGAAATCAGCTAAGACAGAAAGGGAAATAAACGTTTTGCACGGAAAACCGACTTTATATATTGAATACTAAGACTAAGTAGCTAAAATTGGATCGCATAGACTATATAGATTATATATATAAACTCTTCATCTCTTGGGTTCGAAATCAGAATCACCTTCGTATAACGGCATCGCATGTAACTAAAGGTCTACATGAATAGCACGACCACAAGAATATATGCAACTGATTCAAACACAGCTTTCTTTCATGTATAATCTAGCGAAGCGATCACTCACAAGTGCAGATAATACAAATAGCCACCAATCAAGGTGTCAAAGGTTTTTACGGGTTACTGTTGAAATCGACTTACACTTGACTATGACCTTGTATCTCAAGTGCCAAAAGATACAGCGAAAGGTGTTAAAATCCGAAAGTAGTTTTTTTTCGCTGTTTGGGAACAACTTCCTTTGACACATGCACGAGACTAATCGCTCAATCTTCCTTTCCTGCATGGGTTTAAGAGTTTTCAAATATAATCAGCGGGAAATGTTTTTTCAAACGATACATGCATGGAATTTTACTGAATATACAACGATTTAAGACGACTAAAAAACATGCGACTAGAAAATAGGGTGGAAATGAAATATCGTGTGTATGGCTCGTTGTCCATTGTCAAAGCACACAAGATATGTGTATGACTTGTCGAATAACCGAAAAATTTGTATGAATGGTATGCAAAACATGGATGTATGTCCGGCAGAGGAAATGCATTGTTGCATGAACCTCGCGAGCTTGTACAATTATAAACATGCCATGTAAGTAACAGAATTGATTACATCGCGAAGTTTTACATCGCAAAAGAGTCGTGTTTCAGTGTGTCAACGACACCGTTGGATAGCAGATACGTTTGAATTTGAAAAATGTGAGTTAGAGAACGTAATTGTCCTCTCCTCAATGAACGTGAAGATTTGGATTTTATCATCTTCATAATAGATCAACCTAATTTGGAAAATTTCCGCTTTTTGCCCCTTTTACTGTGCATTTATTTTATATCGTGTATTTCGGGAACTTCTGAAGCGAAAACAGCACGGGAACTATGTTCGTTACGCAGTTATTTTTGTTATCATATATTGTAAAACAAAGATGAACCACTTACGTTTAGGTGGAATGACAATGCTAAGTTTTGTGTGGCATTGTTCTCCTTTGATGTAGATTGTTTGGTTCGTTGGATTTTCCCAACGTAGAATATCTCCAACTCGGACAAAGGCGTTGAGATCGCAAACGCCGTTGCTGGCAATATTATGTATGCTCTGACCGGCCACAAAAAGAGCCACCAGGTTGAGGTATAGAATGATTAAAGTAGACATTTTTAAACTAGGTTCCATAATCACTCGTTTCGTGTTTCACGATTCTTCTGTTATGCCGTGATGCGCAATATGGCGATCTATTTATACAATAATTGACGATGAAAAATAATCTAATTTTAACGACTTGTCATTGACTACACCGAACGCCATTGTAGAGCAGGAAATTGTTTGAATCCGAGGGCATCGCAATTAGCAAGACACATGTTTCGAAATCCGCTGAATACAAACACTCACTAACCTTTTTGCACCTATTTTACAGTGAAAGTTTTCTACGAATTTTGTATGGTCACATTCTTCCAATTTTCTGTTTTGCGTGGGAAACTAATTAAAACTGGCATGGTTCTTATCGTTCATGTCATATTGTTTATCAATATGGCCATACACATGATTGCATCGTCACAACAGACCACCAACCAATAAACACTATATGTAACGTGAGAAAATAACAACGTACAAGTAATACTGTATCTATTTTATCAGATTTCATTAAGATAAGAGGAAAATGGCGAAAACTCGGGTCACTACCTACCTATATGAACAAGCTTTGCTATTGGTTGATGATAACAATAAAGCAGAATGAACTCTATACAGAAATTGATTTTTAAAAGAACGAATCATAAATACTGTTTACTATTGCTACAAAAAGCCAAACAGAAATTCAAAGCCAAACTCTATTTTCCGGAAACATGCAGCCATGCACGAATCATGTTCCCTAATGCAAGTAGCCGAACGACTCCACAAAAAAGTAGTCATAATGCTAATAATGAATCATATATAAATTAGAATACAATATAATATATTCTCAATTTTAAATTGGATGATTGGCCGCAAAACAAAGCATATGACATGTGAGGCTTATAATTAAATTAAAGCATAAAGGCGCTGTTACACCTTGCAATTTGCAATGCAATTATAATTTAAGGTATGTTCGAAATTTATGAAAAAGTTAGCAGATGCCTCTGGAGTAGAATTTTATCGCAAGTTGCCAGGAAAATTGCATAGTGTAACAGCGCCTTAAGGGCAGTTTTTCACTGAACAACTAAAACAAATTTGATAGTTCAATTAAGATAATTCTGAGAAATTCAAATTTAATTAAGACAATTCTGAGAAAAGTGGAAACGGGCCAAAAAGGTCAGAAAGGTCCGCACTTGTTCGATGACTCAACCGTCTTGTATAATTATATATTGTAGTTTGTGGTAGATTGTGGTAGATTGTGGTTTGTGAGGATGAAAATTAATATTGAAATTTCTATTCACATTTTTATGCCTAAGTAACCAAGAAGACAAAAGCCATGATCATGTCTTCTCCTTTTGCACCATCTGCAACTAATCATGAATATGGGTTCCTTAACGTCAATTATCATATATAGGTACCAGGTTATCTGTCTGACGTCAGAAACCGATCAAGAATTATCACAAACGCGCAGGGGTGGAAATGACAGAGAAAAATTCTAAGTTTTGCATTGTTCTAACAGTAAAAAAGCTGACCTGCGCATGCCCGATTCCCGCCCGTCTACCCGCTACTCTTTCTAATACTTATCAGCATATCCCCTCTGAGGAGGAGAGTAAGGCCGGTTTCAAACGTCGCATTTTGCATGTGTCGAATACAATTGTTTGAATTATCTGCATGCGAGATGCGACGTATGAAACAATTGAATTCGCTGTTTTTAATTGCGGTCGACCGTGATGCTAAATTCAACTGTTCCGGTCGCATTATGCGAGCTGGATGCGACGTGGTTTCATAGGTCGCATTTTGCATGTGTCGAATTCAATTCGCTTGAAGAAAAAGGCAAAGAACGTCATGCATGTTATGATATTGAAAGGCACAAGTAAGGAAATATGGAGGCCGTAGACAAAAGAAATGAACCAGAACAACGTAGTAATAGAACGTATTGTATTACGTGTGCATGAAAGTTGACAAAATTCATTTGCCTACCGCGTCTGTTTGTAATGGTTGCGCAGTACACGAACAAAACGAGGAATCCCAAGGCTGGCTGGCTTTCTGGAAGCGGCTGGGAAGCAGTTGGATATTGCATAAAGTGCAATATATTTAGGCAAGAGTATTAGGAAAATAATAGCAAGAAAAGGATTTCTAGAAATATGACATTTTTTATTTACGCCCAAGCGGACTGTCGCTGATCATAAGGAATAGAGCCCGCAACTATTTGAATTCAGCACATGCGAAATGCGACATTTGAAATGACGGTCGGATTATTGTTTTAGGGTCGAATCTAATTAGAATTGTATTCGATGCATGCAAAATGCGACGTTTGAAACAGGCCTAAGCTAAATGTATGCCAATTCATTAGATAATGAATACACTAGCAACAAATACACTTCGCCAAGTATGTGTGAATGGAACCAATAGCTTTACCCTGTCAGCATATTCATGCAGTGATTTATGATACAGTAACGGAGTAGATTATGTAAACTGGCCTCGTGTTTCACTCCACACGAGTGTACGGCATTCCGCAAATGCCTGAAGAGAAATAAGCGATAGCCGATACGACAGACTCACTGCGCATGCATTTGGTCACCTAAGATTTGCCATGCGAGTGTTTAACAGCACGAAGTAGGTCAAATAATACTTCATTTTAGAAGAATAATAGAAGAATAATCTTGTACCTACAGTTATCCAACAAAGGATGTTGAAAAACTGTAGCGTTGCGTGAATAGGGAACGTAAACAATTTAGCACGTGTTCATGCTTTCTAATTAGTTCTAATTGAGATGATGTTGATAGATCAATCGATAGAAAAAGGTCTTCCCTAAGAAGACGTTGCATTTTGTTTATTTACCCACTTTGTTATTGAACAGCAAAGCATAGAATATCCTCGAATAGAACACAAATGCGAGTATAAGCACAAAAAATGTAATTCCTCGTAACATATAATTCTTTCGCAATAATCTCATCTCATAACAATAATATTCAAAGGAATAAACATGACCAAATCATTAACCAAACAACAGGGACAACCTTGCCTTGACACAGTGTTTAATGTTCTATTTCTAATTTTAGATTCTTATATTTATAAAATATCTCGCAGTGCCTAATTTTCACTGGCGGGAGGGGTTACACAAGGTGAAGCTTTGGTCCAGTTGTATAATTAATACACAAGGTGTCTCAAAAGGGGTAATCCAACTTCAGACTGCTATTGTGCTTTAATCTATCGGTAAACAAGCGTAATTTTAAAATAAAGATAGATTTAGCTTTTAGCTGTTGAATGACATGAAAAATGACGAAATGTCCTGGTGTAAATTGCATTTTTCACCCATTCGCCTAATTAACAGGATAGGATGGTAAACAAAAGAATGTGATAACTGCGAATGTGTCGAAGCGAACTAGCGCTGTTCAAATTTATGTTAAATGTAAAAAACTTATACCGCACGCAATTAACATCCCGGACATAACAGTCCGGTATCCGTTAAAAATATCATTACCGAGAGAAAACCTAGTTGAAATATGCGAAAGGTGAATGGAATGTGTAAAAACAGTAGTCAGTACAAACTAATTGAAAGACAATAAAAAGACAAATAATTTTCAGCGGATAAAGTTAATTAACGAAAGGATACGCGAGTAACAATTACACTTTTTTTTTTTATCAAGATTTACATTTACTCATGCGAGTGATGCGACAGTTCAAAGTCGAAAAGCAGCGATGCATGGTCGGATGGAAACTCAATAGTCGGTAACGCTGTGCTTCCAACAATGTCTTTTGAAGGAATCTCAAGGAAATTCCGCACTATAAATTCCGAGGAGTGCCACACGTAATCGATGGTGTGGCAAACTTCTCCATTTGGCCGAAATTTCCATGTCGTAAACTGAGCTTCTTGTCTCGCCGCTACGAAGTAGGCACTCTTCAAGCCTTCCTTCAGCATTTCCTGATAAATAGGCTCATCGGGCGTGGCGTTAAAATCGCCACATATTAAAATTGGTAATACTTTGGTGTCGCTTCCCGTAGCACATTTCATTTGTGTGACATTAAAAAGGAGATCCTTCCCTTGTGCTAGTCGTATCATTTCGTTTCCTTCTTTAGCTTTCAGATGTGTAACCGCTGCCAGGAAAGTGCACTTTTTTTGAAGATCATATAAATTCATCAGAATAGCAACCTGATTCGAGGGCAAACTTTGCTCATCTTTAAGGACTACTTCTTGCGTTCGCTTGATTTCCAAGCGATCTTCCTTTACAAACATAGCACAACCGTCAGGTGAGGTATGTCCTCGTACATGTAGACAGGGAGAGTCAGGTTTAGCAAGGAAGGTACATTTGTAGCCACGAGCTTTCAATTCCGGCGCAAAATAATCATGAAAGTGGTCAACTTCTTCCAGACAAACAAGGTCAGGGGAATACAGGATGATATCTCTTAAAATACGTTCTTTTCGTGCTGGCCAGGAAAGTACTTCAGGAGAACATTTTATGAAGTTTTGCGTTGGTGAAGAGTAACTCAGGGCTAAAAATATACGTTATAGATCTTAAGAAACAAGCACAAAACCTTTTTTCAGCAATGGTTTTGCAGCATTATTGTTTTCATTGCCTCTGTCTACCTGAAATGTTTATCGTAAATCTAACACAAAGGTCACAAACACAAAGGATTTTATTTATTACACATCCCTTTAAATTCAAGATATCAAGTTTATTAAAAATACACTTTAACATAAAACAAGAGATGAATATTAAAGTGATGCACACACAGGTCTGAAATTTCATCTTTCTCACTGCACATATGTTTTAGGTACGGGTATATAAGCAATATGATTCCAGTCCAAAGCATTCTCAGGCCAGTCTAAAAGATCAATCGCATCAACTGTGGTCTACCCTTTCGCTAATTATACACACAATATGCTGTGGGCTATGAAAGGCAAATCCATGGTAATCACATATTCTAGGCTATATTCCCAAGAGTGAAGGGCCTGAAGGTAGTTTGATGACTGCCAATCTCTTTTATATGTACTACCACTATTTGCAATGGCATAGCAATGGGTGGTTTTGCTTTAAGAGTGAGTTATAGTTATATTATTCTCCAGTGTGGGGAAAGCAGTTGGACAACTAGGAGAAAAACTAAATGAAATATTATATAAGCTCATCCTATCTATTGAATTGATTGCCTGTCAATGGGTTCAAAAGCAATTAAGGCAGAACATTAATTTAATTAACTATTTCAGTTAATATGTTCCACTAAATTTTATAATTTTCCCCCATAATATATATACTAGAAATACATGCATGCAGCAACCCCTCGCCATTTCAAACAATATTTCAATATTTTGAAATGGCCTAAATTAAACGTAAAGCCAATAGTGTCTCGAAATTGAGGTATGTTATTACTTAACATATTTAGATATTTTTTTAAGCTCATCCTGTCTATTGAACTGATTGCCTGTCAATGGGTTTAAAAGCAATTAAGGCAGAACTTTAATTTAATTAACCATTTCAGTTAATATGTTACACTAAAATTTATAATTTTCCTCTCATAATATATAAAATGCTAACCATCAGCAAGGATGTTCCACTGCATGACTCTCAACAAACCATTCTTTTTCTGTAATTCCACTTCTCTTCCTGTATTACCATTCAGTAAACATCTCTTTAAAGCCTTAGGTTCAGAACTTGCCATGACTGTATATTAGATAGCAAATTTACTGGCTTTTATTACCAGTGTTAGTATTTTTTAATAGCTGATCAGTCAAAAATGTAGGTTTGATCTAAACTACTGAGGTTACGTCTCTCCCGATTGAGTCAACAGTACAGGGACCGCGCAGGGGGGGGGGGGCAGCTGACTTTTGAACCATCAACAATATAATGTTAATGTATAAACTCTATCCAAAAAATTGACAATTCATGCATACAAAATTACAAAATCAAGCAATATTCAAATTAGAACAATGTTATTGCGGCAATTATCGTGCCATTATCGAACTATTTTGATACATTTAATATTTGAAAGAATGTATTAAAACGTTCTAGTGATGTGTGCTCAGCACGCATATAAACTTAATTATACCCAAAGATGTATAAATCCATGGATGGAGATGATTTGGCTTATCATCAGGCCAAAAAGGCACGGAATTGTTGTTGCCGACATGTTGTAACCATTCTTGTTTGTTTTGGACTGTTTTTTGTCATTGGTGGTATTGTATGTGCGGTCACGAACGTTTTCGAAGATTGGGTGAAAGATGAAATTAGAGATGTAAGCTTAAAGCTTGAATGTTTATGTTTCCCATGACAATTTAGACGATGGTCTTTTCTTCAATGCTTATGAAAATGTCCCATTTTTTTCTGTTACAACCATAAACAAGTGTTTGTATGTTGAGTGTTGGTATCTGCATGTGTAATTATGATAAATTATCCATGTTGGTGCATACATGTAGTCTATTTCAAAAGAGAAGCACGCGTTTTAATATACAAAATGTTGTTATTTGGCATTTCTATATGGACTAATTTTCTCTAGGGTGTTAAGCTGAAAGAGGGTAACGAGGTTTATGATAAATGGAGGGATCCAGAAAACCCAACATATTTGACATATTATATGTTCAATGTGACCAATCCAGATAATGTTAGCAAAGGTGGAATACCAATTGTTCATCAGTGTGGACCATATACATACAGGTGATAACTTTATTTAACTGAAGAAAGTAAAAGAGGCTATAAAATGTATTTAATTAAAAATATGTATGTAAACAAAGGAATATAGCTTCTTAATATGTAAACAAGGAATAGCTTCTTTAAAATATATGTACTGTTTGCTTCCTCGATTGGTGCCCAACATCACTGTTATAGGCCGGAACAAGTACGCAAGCAGCAGTATCACATATTTAAGCCAAAAGCATCATATTTTTGAAAGAAAATTATCTTGCAAGAATTGTGATCCATCTCGTGATTTTATTACAAATGCTAACATTCCATTTATGGTAAGTTTAAAACAAGCTATTTCAGTATTAAGATGTAGTCATCAAATGACAATTAATGAAAGATTGCAACTTACAATGGGAAACAAAGGATTTCAGCATTCAATGAATGAAAAACTATTGCGATGTTTAAGGATAAATGAAGCATTGCTTCAATAAAACTCTCAATAAAAAACAAAAGAACATAGCTTTCATTGGGAATGAAGGATTGTAGAAAATGAATGTTCTGCAGAAAGAGAACTACTATGGTAAATTCTTCCACTAATTTAAGGTTTTTCACTGTGTGTAAGAGCCATAGCTCTTGCACAGTTGCATTTTCCAGTGGAGCTAGCTGTAGGTTTAGGCATAGCTGTACAGCAACCTTGTCATCTAAATTCAGACAACTGCTAAGCTTCACATTTTCTTTCAGACAACTGTGGAAATGGTTGTGAAATACATCAAGTTGAAAGACCCAAAAAGTCTTTCATATGCTCTTCGTGTGTTGGATCAGGTGTTTGTTAAGCTTGATTTACAAGATTTCCACACACATGCTGTTCATGAGCTGTTGTGGGGATACAAAGATGACAAATTAAATGAAGCCCATGGTATCTTGACTCGCTTGGTGAAGTCTCGTGACCCTACATTTAATATAGATCTTCCAACAACATTTGCATTGCAGGTACGTATAGAGCCCTTAACAGAGTGATGCCCAGATGCACCTTACCAGGGTGATGCCCAGATGTACCTTACCAGGGTGATGCCCAGATGCATTATTAAGTAAAGTGAGCATTTTCTTTAGAAGCGCCACTGAACAATGTAGCATTGTGGCCAGTTTTTAGATATAACCCAGGGCTATTAAGCTAGAAGCTGTGCATATTGATTAATATTCATTCTATGCTTCTATTGTTCCTATGATATGTGGACATATATTAGTATATAAAGTATATAAATAATGCCTATATCCCAACACGAATAACACACACAAATAAAGTCAATGCTTGACAAAGAGTCACACTATCTTTTACTCTTCTGATGGCATTTCGCCCCTTTTTCAATGTTGGAAATCCTTCTGTCTTTCTCAATTTTGTCGCAAACCTCGGATGTAAGTTGTCGCCTGGCCTTTCGAACGCCAGTGGGCTCTCTCCACGTATCGAGCACACCAGCACGTTTGAGGAAGTCCTGTATAGTATCCTTAAACCTGAGTAGTGGACGGCCGAAGTCCTCTTCTTGAACCTTCCGTTAGCTCGGCCCCATAGAGGAATACCTTTCCTGGCCGATCGTCTGACATGCACGCAACATGGCCTATGGCCGTAGCCTGTTCCTAATTAGTATGATCTCGATATCTGTAGCCCTGGCGCAATCCAACACCTCATCGTTTGTCACATAGTGATCCCGTTTGCCTTAAGGATAGACCCCAAGTGCCTCTGCTAGATTTTTCTGAGAAGCTTGGTATGGTGATGATATAGGGTTCCAAGTCTCACTTCCGTACATCATTAACGGAATTATGCATTGATTGTAAACCTTGAGGTTTGTATCTACTGTTAGGTCTCTGCTGTTGAATACCCTATACCTGAATCTTCCCATCGCGCACGAGGTAGCCTGAATCCGTGCTGTTATTTCTCCATCCAACTTACAGTCTTTGGTGACATAACTTCCGAGATATTTGAATACGCCAACTATCTTCAGCTTATGCCCATCAATCAGAAAATTTACCTGCTCGCAAACGTTCATGGTTTCTGTTCTTCTGATATTGATTTTGAGAACCATTTTCTTTGACAAAGCACTGTAGGCGGATAACAGGTGTTGTAGCGCTGGACCATTATTGGAAAAAACGGCGACGTCATCGGCATACTGTGCTTCTCGAAAGTATCTGGTAAGTGTTTTGGTCTTTGATACTCTATTCGTTTAGAAAGTTCACCGTCTATGCAGAGTCTAGCATGCACTCCGGAGTACAATGACTTGACGACTTTGACAAAATGGGTGGGACATCCAAGCTTTTCCAGAATCGTAAAAAGAAGATCTCGATTCACACAATCAAAAGCTTTGGTGAAGTCAATCTTTTCTCGAAGAACTGTCAGGTCACATCTGAATCTTTTCATCATTATCTTCAAACCAACCTTGATGTTTCCGCTGTTTCTTGCCAAAGACGTGACTGGTGGCACTCTGCAGCACGTCTTTCAGATCATCCCATACGACCCTTCCCTAAGATCTTGGAGACGCTCATCCAGAAACCTTTCCATTAACTCTTTCTTCTCATCAATCATGGTGGTATCTGATTTCGATGGTGGTTTCGTCCCTCTTCTTTTCCTCTTGACGATGGTAAAACACTTACATGTGAGAAGTTTGTGATCCGTGAAACAATTCGCTTTGGAATTGATCTTTGTCACATCGATGAACTTCCTAGCATCCTTATCAGCAAGCACGTGATTTATTTGATGCCAGTGTTTTGATCGCTTGTGTCGCCAGGCGTTCTTTGTTTTTGTGTCGAGACATGGCTCCCATCACCGTGAGCTGGAAACGGGCGCAAAATTCTAGAGGCATTAATCCATTGGAATTAATTTTTCCCACTCCACACTTTTCAATTATGGTCGGCCAATAATACTGTCAATCTTTTCCAACGCGAGCGTTAAAATCACCAAGAATAATAACACTGTCCCCATTTAGTTTTGACAACTCATTAACCAAGTTCCTCGTAAAAGCTTTCTTTTTCTACTCGTGATCGCTGCATTGTGGGAGCATAAACACTAAGGTAAGATGAGATGAGTGTTATTCTTGAATGGAATCCGAAGCGTCATTAATCTGTTGTTTACAGGGACTGGGTTTAAATGACCAATTTTATTGGAGAACACCAGCCGTCCTGTCTTCACCGCCGCTCCAGAAGATGGTATGACCTCTCTCCTTGATGTCGCCAACGCTCGGGCGTCTAACTTTACTCAGAGCACATACGCCGATGCCTGCCTTCTCAAGTTTTTTCCAGATGATTGCTTTGGCATGTCCTTCTCAAGTTTTCTCCAGATGATTGCTTTGACAGGAATTTCATTTTCTCGAGATCCTGTAGCGTTGTCGTATGGACTTTGCATATATTCCACCACTGCCATAATATGTGGGTCGTCGGTTACCTCGGACGCAGTAGCCTTATCTGTAACTCTCTCATAATTCATCTCATAAAATTGTGGGACTGTGCCTGAAAAGGACGACACTAAACGGCACGAGATAGTGTCCCTGGACGAGTAATCCCTGTATCTCGACGGGACAGCGAGGCTGACACAGTCGCAGTAACTATTTGTTGACTTATTGCCAGAGCTGTTGCCCGATTGATAAACAGCACTCCCTGAAGCCAGAACTGCAGCCGGGTTGACTTACAGGACTGTCAAAAGCCGGATGGGACGCCGAGTTGACGACAAATCCTCCCGTGGGTGCTCGAGGACCGTATCCCTGGCCAAGGGAGGCTTAGGATGTGATAACACTTGCCCATGTACACCCAGGCTAGTTGAGGGAAGGAGGTGCCTTATGCCTCCATTCTAGATCGGCCCAAGAGTGGTCTAGCCACTGCCCCGGTCAAGACATGAATACATAAATATACACCACATGAATACATAAATACACACCACCCAATTAAGCGGTCTAGATAAGGCCTTGACTTTACCAGAGTGATGCCTAGATGCACCCTACCAGGGTGATGCCCGGATGCACCTTACCAGGTTGCAACCTCGTACCCAGAACCTTCTCGTAGGGGGGAGGAGAAGGAAAAATAATTCTTTAAATTTTGGCTGAAATCTTTGTTTCTAGGAGAACAAATCGCTCAACATGTACACAATTGATTCAGGAGTTGACGATGTAGACAATGTAGGAGAGTATTTACTGTGGAATAAGCACCCGTAAGTGTACTTACCCCCATTAGTAATTTAGTATATATATTTTCAATAGTATAATTGGTGCATGTAAATTTCCCTTCAAGTCCTTAATGGCATTTAATTTTGATTATTATATTTTGTGTAGAAATATTACTTGTTGGAATGATAAATATGCAAACATGATGAATGGATCTGGTAAATCTTATCTCAACTATTATTTTGAATACAAACTCTTTAGCATTGCACACAATTGCCTCGGTTTCTTTTCTCTCAGAAGGCGCAATTACTAGCGTACAAACTAAAAACAAGGGTTACAGTAAATATCCCTTCCTTAATAATAAGAGAGGCAGAAAATTGGCAATTTATCTAAATGCTTTAACTTTAATTTTATTTCAAATGATATTACTGCATTTCGCCAGTGTTTCCCTTTATAAACTTGAAAGGCATAGCAGGCTTCAACGTTTAACGTTTTTACCTATTTCCAGCGGATATTTTATGAGTAAAGGTCTATATGTATACGTTTCATCACCTGTCATTCATTCTCTAGGGGGATTACATTACAAACCTTTTCTGTCAAAAGATGACACTATATATGCACTTGTCACGCCTGTTTACAGGTATAATAATTAATCAACTATACCGAGGTCATAGCCAGTTCCCAAGCTTCTGCATTCTTCTTAATCTCTATCATCGCCGGAAAGAATGATGTCGTAAAATATTGTGTCACTGTTTATTGCAGTAATTTTATACATTTTTTCATTCACTGTTCTATTAAATGTCTTCATCAGCCCGGTCATATTTTGAATTGAAATAGAGTAGCTATTTCTCAAAATAGATAGCAGTATTCTGTCTGTACTGAAATACAACAGGACCGGTCCGACCGTTTTTACCGTATAAAGGAAAGCGCCCTATAACACTAATTTTAATCTACCATGCTTGGAAGGCCTGTTTCAGTCTTCATTTTTCACACGACTATAGATCGTTCACATTGATATACGATTCGACCGTGGAATACAGAGGAATACATCTGTATCGATTTGCTCTAACTCCAGAGCAGTTCGTGTCTGGTGACGTGGATGGAAACAACAAGGGATTCTGTCCAAAAGGAAAGAAATGTCCCCCAAGTGGTATAATGGATCTTACCCACTGCGATCCTTCACGTACGTGAATACAGTAGACCAATCCAAATTAGACACAGAAAAATCGCACAAAGCTTTATAGATCAGTATTACATGTCTTCTCTAATTAGATACATTACTACTCATCATGCATGCACACGTTAGAAAGGTATACAGGTATATTAGAGGATATCAAACTAGGCTTACGCATGATAGGGCGTTCCATTGTCGCGTTTTTTGTACGTACGTACACGCCCGTAAAAGTTTAAAATGATTTAAATGATACTTATGAAATCGACGTTTAAATAGATGCATATATAGCCATAGGGTTGGATTCTGTTGATGATTTGGTGTGTTTTTTCGATTCCACTATTATATTAGGGTATAAACGGAAAGGGTATGACCGTGCTAATATGAACAGAAAGCTACGCTTTTTCTTATGCATGCATGTTACAGCTAATTGCAGGGACCACTATTGCTGATATTTTTCGACTCGATTGCTACTTCGTAATCTTAGGATACTAATTGATCGCTATTTCAGCTCGTTTGTTCACATCAAATTTGCCTGTGAATAAGTGGGGCTAACTTTATTCTAAATAATTCAGTTTGTAAAGGATTTAGCAGGACTGAAAACATCTGCTAAGTAAAAGAGTGTAGACATTGTCTTCGAAGTTAGTTATTCGAAACATGTCTTCGAAATAGTTCATTCATGCAGTTTGAAAGAATACACGATCTATTAGATCATGATGTTACTCAGCATGTTTCTTTTCTTTTCTAGATGCTCCAGTTGTTGCATCCCTACCTCATTTTTACATGGGGAATAAAAGTTTATTGCGTACTGTGAAAGGTTTACACCCGCAGAAATATGTTCATGGCACATTTTTAGACATTGAACCGGTAAGCATCCTTTCCATTTGGTCGTGCATGAATATCACCAAAATGGGACTATTTCACATCGGTGAAAACAAAATCTTACATCACTCAGGCCAGCTAAGTTATTATCTAAATATCGCTTAATATCACGACAACTTGGACCAACGCTACGTGAAATATTGGGAATGAAAACGTAGGTTGTTGACATGTAATCATTTCTGTTACTACAATTCCGGTTCTCAATATACATCCATTTCATGGCAACAACATATCAAGTTTATTGTCTTTGTGAAGATCTCCCTGATAGTTCATATTCACTAAAAGTAAAATGTTAAACATTATTGGCCTTCTTGGTCCGCAATATCTTTTGTAAGAGACCGACAGAATGTGAGAAAAATTTTTTTTATAAATTGTTTTCAATAAATCCTGCATGCATAACTTTGGTTTTTTACTCAAATATAGCATACTGGCTTAACAATGCGTGGACATAGGAGAATGCAAATAAATGCCAAATTACGTAAAATTGAAGGCATAACGTAAGTTTTTGTTAGTATGTTATATCAATATACTATCTATACACTATCTGGCAACAAAAGCTTTGTTGTCAAGGCTCCATCAAAGTGCTTGCCGTCAAGAAAACAAAAGATTACGCACATGGCTGTATGTGGCTGTCTGTTTGTTGAGTTCGCACTTGATATTCTCTTTCATCTGTTGCACAATATTCCATAAGTTGTCATTTACTGGTACGATCCACTGAAAAATAAGATGGATCTAGGCGTCAAAGAGCACATATAGGATAGCCATGCATGTGAGGAGAATCGAGCTATATATCTGAAAAAGAGCCAACCTCGTACCCAGGGTTTTTCAAAATAAGCTTGAAATATATTTTAATCGTCGCGTGAATGCCCCTTTGCATGGACGCCTCTAACAAACACGTCCTAAATATATTGTATTAAATACATTTTAGAGCCTTCCAAAACACATCAAAAGTGTATTTACCTGTGTTTTACGGCGACAAGGTGTGTAAATATATAACATGTTTATAACATGTTTATTTGACATAATTAAATGTAAAATTTAAATTCCTGATGATATGGAGCGAATTCTTTGTTAGCACGCTCATATTTCTGAAGAGGATGCTGACGATTTCAAACATGACGTTCTTTTACCGCTGAGATTCTCTCAAGCTGCACCGTTTGCTTTGTTGGGACTCGGCAGTATTTTGTTGCTCGTTGCTGGAGTCATTTCCTTTCGTCGACACCATAGAAGGGTAAGATCCTAATCGTAATCCATATAACGTTGCCCGGTGCACAGAATATACAGAGGTCGCCCCCCTTCTAATTTTAATCGAAGTTGGCTCTGTTCCAGGGGAGCGACAAATCATGACGAATAAAAAAATAATAGGGGTAACTTTCTGTGTTATTCTCTGTCGTTGCTTCAATTATCAAGAATATAGAAGAGAAAAAACCTTTCGTAATATGTTCCACTTCCTGTCACTTTTAGTACAATACTTGCAACCTCCTCAAGCACCCCCGTCCCCCGCATACTTTCTCAGCGAAGTACTTCAAAGAGCCTGGGAAAAAGGCTGGTGCAATACTTTCCTAGATTAATATATAGTATAGTTGTAGTATATATGCATGCAGTAGCTTTAGATTTTAAATGATCTGTTCATAGTATTTTTTGGAAACAAAGGTCTGTGATTTCATATGGTTTCACATATTTTAGGATGGAACGAGTGACGAGCGTCTCCCCTTAGTCTTGAGCTCGGGCAACAGTTTTTCAGGTATTTATATCGATAAACACACAGTACCAGTCACCAGTGTTGCATGCATGTGCTACATATACGATTATCTTTTAAATATAAAATTAGTAACTAAGTAGCCTAACTCTTGCAATATTTAATTTTCATGTAGAATATACGTGATTCGATGACCCAAATGTGGCTTATATTATCCTGGATACGTATTTTACCAAGATCCGATGGGGACGTAATACACATAGGACTCAATACTCAGATATACAGTTTTTTGTAACCCTCCAATCCCGAGAAAGCAGGCAGTATAGTCTGTACCAACCATGCAAGCACTATATAGTCTGTACCAACCATGCAGGCACTATATAGTCTATACCAACCATACAGGCACTATAGTCTATAGTCACATATTAAGCCAAAGCAGTAATTAAGATTTTGCGTTCGTGTTCGCTGTAAAATTTCATGCATTAACCGCAACGAGAGCTTCGAATGTAGCCGTTGAAAAGCACGTGAAGTGTTAATTCTCTGTTTTGGTAAATATGTGACCCTGTCCATTTGTAAGCATATGTGAAATTTTGCGTTTAAGCACTTTGCATAAATGTTACTGGATTTCAACGTTTGCGTATATTTGAATATTTGGGAGGTCATGTAAAACACGACTCTAAATCTTTCATCTCCGACATCCACGTCTGCATCTCCGACAATTTAAAAAAATATATTCTAATGCCTGTTTTCCACTAGCGATATTTTTCGAGCGAATCGACATTTTACTTTTGTTTCAGAGCTCTCAACTGCAACCATCTGGAACAAATTGCTCAAATACAAAGGAATAAAGTCGCTTCGCGCGAAAAATATCGCTGGTGGAAAACCGGCTTATTTGAGCAATTCGTTCCAGATGGTTGCAGTTGAGAGCTCTGAAACGAAAGTAGAATGTCGTTTCGCGCGAAAATTATCGCTAGTGGAAAACCGGCTTAATTAGAATGTGTGAGTTTTATGGTTTGTCCGCATGTCCGCATGCCCGCGTTCACCTAACCAAATACCGCAAGTTTGTGGAGTCACGAGGATTGGCGTACTGTATGAGGTATTTATCGCAGCGGTTATATTTGATTGGATTGTTGTATTGTACTTTACAAGTCAAGGCTGGAGATTTATCTTCTCCATTCTCTCATAAAGGTACCAAATCTTAAAAAATTTTATACCATAAAATTAAAATAAAGTGAGGATTTAGTGAATGGATGAATTACGTTTTCCTGGGCATTTCACTTTGAATACACACGCGAAAATACAAAAAAAGTCAACAAGGAAGTAAATTATATAAAGTACAGATTAATATATGCCAGTTCTTACATCTTCCCAAAAATTATTATATAATAGTTTTATTTGCTTATAGCGAATATAAATAGCATTAATAATATAATGTATAAAAGGTTCTAAGAAATCCCCATAAACAGTCAGTATATCATGTTACATTCTTCGAAGAACATTGGGCAATATCGTGATTTCATATTGTTGAGCACTTCTTCTTTTGATCAGAATGAAATATCCTATTCTGACGACCGCCTATTCCAATATCTTTCATTCCCTTTGGTATTGCCAAAGCTGACTCCGTATATGACAGTTTTAACTGCTATTGATACTCGACCGGTTATAATTCTTATATGACATATAGCATATGAATACAGAGTCCGAGTATGACTTGTAAAAAATCGGTGACATGCATTAATCCGCATGTGTTCTGAATGACTAAAGCGGAATGCACGAACCAGAAATACTATACAATATCGCAGAAGAGGTAATCTGTGGACATGACAACAGTCGTGATAGCATCCTACTGACAACCCACCTGACGGAAGTTTTTTGTTATTTTCGCCGCTAACCATCTATAGAACAAGTGCGGATTCGGAAACTATAGCAATTAGTGTCTCTTTATCGTTCGAAAAATGGCCTCAATTTAGCTGCATGACTAAGATGCCGGTGGGTTATTGCTAATATATTTCCGCTGTCAACAGGATTTTTTGTTTTTGACTCGAATGAATTTAAAGACGGTACTGTTTTCTTTGTGTCTTTAAATGTCTTTGAGACTTTAGTGTTTAGTGTTTATATAAATACTGATTCTGCGTCTATAAAAAGTGAGGCTTTGGAAACTTTGAGTTTTGAAACTAATTTGAAACTGAGAGAGCATTCAGGCCAGCATGTATTCGTTTTCAGTTTCAAAATATGTTCTCGATATTGCGAAAACCTTTGCGGAATCAAAAGCCACATTTCCAATCTCCTTAAATGTCAGTATCGGCGGTTATGTCATGGTCGCATACTCCACTTGTGAATGACGTAGCACATTCTAGTTAAGTCCAGTGCACCGTTCTATCTCCGTAAAAGAGTTTTTGTATGGCTAGTTTACCTTGGGACTAGAATGTGCCAATTAAGGCTCGGTGCCAGACCATAATTTGTTTATCTTGGATAAAGACTGTAAAGTTTATTTGTGAACAGGTAGCTATATAGACATATCAGTTCCACGAAGTGCCAACTCAAAGACAATTATGATTCAATATATACTTTTCGTATGCCTTATATCAAAATTAGAAGATATAAAAGCAAGTGGTAAATCGAAAGTCTTAAACCTCCAATTTTGGATTCAAAAACCGGTTGCTCGAGAATATATTGAGTATTGTTGAATGACGCCCACTACGCAGTTAATCCAAGCAAATTCTAATTACACAAATCGCAATATTTAAATGACGTGCACACGCCTGCTTTAAGCATACATTTAAAAGTGTATGTATGATCAATGTGGGCAAAGTGTTTATCTTCAATTTTATGATTGAACGTTTAGTACGTGGCAGTGAGGCGTCGAACTACGAATATATAACAATCCTACAACGATGGCAAAAGGACAATCACAGTGTTGTTTTTGTGTTCTATCCATTTTGATTATTTTTGGTGTTGGTTTGCTAATCTCTGGTATTGTCGTGGCCGTGTTAGGATCGTTTACAGAACTTGTTGATAAAGAAATAAGGGAGGTTGGTATCCTATATTTCTCGTGTGTACGAGTTATTACATAACTGTGATGTCATTTACTATTAAGAATAGGACAGTATGGCTGTACTTATAGCTACCGTTTTCTTGTGGGAATTCAAATTTCAAAATTATACGCGATAACATCACGATAACAATGCTTTGTCTTAGCATATTAATGTACTGACTTCTGTTTTAACAAAGCCAAAACAAAGTCAAAAAGTAACTGCCGTGCTGACTACCAATTTTCCTGCTTCTTCGCTCTCCCTCGCGTTCGGAGGTTATCGGCATAACAGCGCTCGGCAAATATATATAAACTTACACCTGTAGTGGCTGTATAGTATATACGTATATATATTTTTAAAGAACAACACTGACTTAATTTAAGTAGTTTAATAAAGTTTTAAACCCATTCATGCCAACTGTCAAATTTATTATGGCTATAGACACGACAAGACACTGAAAAGAATTTGGCAACGAACTTATATAAATGAGCTATAAATTCTATAAATTATATATAAATATAATTCAAGATAATGCATACTCGTCATATAGCTAACACACTGCCTCTAAGAAAACGATTCGATCTAAATATTCTTCGCTGTTTTGAGTGGAGAGATTGTCCCAAAATTTGCCTGAAATGGACCTACTGAAACTTGTCTATACTATATAGTCAAACATAGCGATCCTAGTCTCTACAGACCTCAATCCGTATATCAGTAAAATTTCGTGTTTGATTAACAATTTTTATTTGGTCACTGAACGCAGTCAAAACTGTCTAAAAAGTGACAGTCAGTGTGACAGCCCCACAAAGTCGTATCCAGGACGTTCAACCTATATACAGAAGTACAGACTAAAGTACAGGCAATATAGATTCCTTTACCGGAAGACCGAAAGGGACGAAGTGTTCCCGGTTTGGTTTTATTATAGGTTAAATTGTGCTATTCCGTTTTAGCGTTCTTCTATAATAAACAGTCTATGAATAATTCAGTATTGAAATAAAGAAGTGTGAAATAATTTGTATAACTCAGGATACTAAGATACAACAAAGATAATTTTTAATTTCTATAAATACTTTGCTAAGCAGTAAAATCTGGTAGTTTTTATATCAGTTGCTGTAAAATTGAATGCCTAATTAAACGGCTGAGTGCATGCAGTAGTTCAACCATTGAATTTATGCGGAAGCTATAAAATATAATCTTCAAGCTGAAAACCCTGCTGCTATGGTAAACACTTGAATAATGGCCAATCACTATATTGAAGGCGCAGGTGCTGTTGTTTATCAAAATAATAAAGGTTCTTCACTTAAACCGAAAACGTCGAGCTAAAGGCCTCTCCAACTAAGCAGATGCAATGATGCATCATATGATTCGAAAAGGTGGTCTTTGGGAAACTTAACTTGCTTAAATATCCTGCTTTGACAAAAGCCGTTTTTACACTATACGGGCCTATGCCTGATCTTTGCATGCAACTGGTTTTGATCTTGATGTTTGTAGTGCATTTGAACAGACTTCGGCAAGGCCTTTGACATGCCAATCAAGGCTATGCTTACTCACCCAGATATTAGGACAAGGCTTTTACAAAATGCGTTTGCACGAAATTTCTATTTCAAAGCTTCATCAATGCTATACCTACTCCTATAGTCTCTGGTGTAAACACAGCTTTATTTTTGTGCCGATGTCTAATCCGCCTTTTGTCTTTCCTCACAATGTTTCAGACGGCTGATGTCGGAAGTGAAATTACTTTAAACGTGCATGTTAAGGCAAAATGCACGTAATAACATCGCCTTAGTTGAACAATAGCACAAAGTAATAAATAACCTAAATAAGTGCAATACATTATTGGTCTTAATAATCCTTCTCAGTATGCAATTTGTCAAAAATACACCTGTTTGGGCACTGCGAAGGGAAGGGGAGTGGGGTGGTTTAGGGGGAAGCGTGCGCTAGAAGTACGCACCTATGTATAGTATATGTCTACATGCAATATATATTGCCCGTGTCAGTTTATCGGATGATGTTGAATCAGTTCGAATTTGATCACGTCGAAAAGGTATTCGTGATGAAATTGTTGAAAACATGCATGTCATTAAAAGACAAGATTGAGCGAGCCAGTCTTTCACTAAACGATGAATATACCTAACTTTGGCATAAACTCAGGCAGGTGTATAAAAACGCAACACTGAATACTCGTGAATATTCGATATAATCGCTTTCTATTCGATCATGATCACAAAATATCGACTATTTCATATACACGCTCTATACGTAGAGCATATAATAACAAAATGAGAGCAGGTGAGTACATTTTCTTTACGTATATATATATATATATATATAGTGCAATGCTCTTGCCATTTACTCTGAGCCGTGGGAACATTGAAGCGGAAGCAAAATTCCCTAAAAGGCTTTTTATAATTTGCTTGAATTGCTTGATATATTTGCACTGAGAAATTCAACGAATTCAACGAATTTTTTATATTTATTTTGTTGGGTGTTATGACCCCGAGCAAGTTCAGTCGTTTATTCTTTACTTTATATAGTTTCGTTCTATACATTAAGCATGCAGTTATAGCATTTTTTTACTATCCAATAAGAGCATCACATAATATTTTACATCTCTTGTTTCCGGTATTTAAACATATTTACCTACACGAATTATGTAATTTCCTTTATCGCAATTAAAAACGAGCCAAATGATCTTAAATGTGCATGTTTTACAGTGCGTATAGTAAATAGAGGCTTTGTTTGTTTCTTTGTTTGGAATCACTGTATATATATTTCTCAAAATAAAGGACTGAAAAAAATGGCTAAATTTCAGCAATTTTTTATCAAGTAACCCAACCATTCTTATGAGCAGAACCGTCACGTAGACGCTACTGTCTTTATAATGCCTTTTACCGACGAAGGAATACAATTGATTGTCCATTCTTGAATTGGAAATTGACATTTTTAAGTTCTGTTGAAATTAGTTTATCGGATGCAAAATAATGGCACGTGTCTTGTCAGAAAGTTATTTTTGAAACCCCTTCCCAATCGTCATGAGGGAGTCGAGGAGGTCTGGGTCTCTTGATTAAACCTTGATTTTGATATTCTATATTTAGGGAGTGCCATTGAAAAAAGGCTCGACGAGTTTCAAAAACTGGAAAGATCCTGATGGCGATTATTTCATTGAATATTATCTTTTCAATATTACAAATACAAGCACTGGTGATCAGAAAAAACCACTCGTAATCCAAGAGATCGGTCCTTATACGTACAGGTATGGTACTTCAGCCTCCTTTTGTGTCTTTCAAGAATTATCATTACAGTACAGTGCAGTACAGGTAGAGTCTGTGCCGGCCAACATCCGGATCCTAGCTCAAGCCACAGTATACACCCCTTTGTAATACTTGAATGTAACTGTAAAAATGCCATCCCTCTTTTCAGGAAAGTGGCGAAAACGAACGTTCAAGAGAGACTGGGTCAAACCTTGACCTACAACTCAACGACTCATTATCAATATGATAAATCTAGATCTTGCTCCGGCTGTGACCCAATGAAAGACATATTTACAACAGTAAATTACCCGTTGCTAGTAAGTATATATCTACAGTATATTGACTATATATATATATATTTATATATATATAATATATTTAATAATATTATATATATATATATATATATCATTCGCCTGATGATCGTTTCAGAAGAAACGTGAAACACAGAGTGTAGTGAACAATATATTCAAAATTTTGTAATATTTCATTGATTTTATTTTAATCGCTCTATTAAATTTTGATATCGAGCACTCTTTCTTCTTGGATACTTTACTTAATTGTATATATATATATATATACATATATATATATATATATATATATATATATATATATATATATATATATATATACTGGATGTTTACGCCTATATATTGAACTGGATGGTTGCATGTTCAACATGCTCAACCTAAACTATAAGTTCAGTTAGAATATCGCTTTATGGAAAATATTATAAGACATGGGGGTCATCCTAACAAAAAATGATAACTGCCTATATAATTATATATCTTGCCGCTTCAAAGTCGTTATCAGCCGATGACTTGGAAAATGTGTGTAATTAAAGCATTTGAAACGGCATTTTAACTGAGTATTGTGCATGCATGTAGTTACGTTTGGGAATCCAAAATTTCGCTCAAAAACGTTTAGAAATGCCAAATTCAGGTTTCAGAAATACACATTTTCCAATTAGAACTGCCACTATGAACTGCCTTATTTGGAAAATGGGACCTCTTACACATGGCCATGCATTGATTGTACATGCCTATTTCGCATGTATATTTATTGCTCGACTTGTCATCCAATTCTACCTAATTTGGGGTAGACACCGCGATGTAGCCACGGTGTGATGTATATGCTATACACATGGATGCTATACACGAATATCCGAATAATAATATTTCATATACTTTCTTTATAGGTTGGCTTACGAGGATTACAAGCTAAACTAGCCAAAACCAGTGGTAACGCCAGCAAAGATTTAATAGAAAGATCTGTTGGAGGACTTGGAGCGTTAAAAATTGATATTTTTCAGAGCCGATCAGTGGATGAATTTTTGTGGGGATATCAAGATCCAGCATTTGCTCAATTCTTTAAAGGAGATCCAAAAAAAAGATACGCCCTGCAGGTTAGTTTCCTCGCCATGCACGAGATATATTGTAAAACGCATGTCAGCCCATCTTTCCAGAAACCTTCTCTATCATTTTGCTTAACACGTGCAATACAAAGTTTCCTACGAACTACTCCAAGATCATGAACATTGAAAACTAAACAGCATACTAAAACAAATATGAGATCATACTAACTTTTTCAATTTAGCTTCAGTTATAGCATGTGAGTATTTATTATTAAATTGCATTCCACTAAGCGTGAGGTCCGTAGTCTGTGTACAGTAAAATACCAAGCAATGGCGTAGGAACATTTTCAAGGGTGAAGAAGGGGCGCATCTTACGAGTCCATTGGAAATTTTGTTTAGTGGTTCAGAGCATTCGGCTTTAAGGCATCGATTCCGATAATTTGTAAATTAGAAAAACATTCAATCGTGCTGCAGTAAAATAGCACGTTGGTCGTTTTGTAGCCGGTGCACAGCCTGGATTACGCCCGTAATACAGTCTTTGAAAAACTCGCACGATGTAACTAAGCAAACGTTTCCCATTGGCCAAAATTTCCTGGAGTTCTAAAGTGTATGCCTTTTGGATAGTGCAATGTAGGTGTGGCCAAGATGCTAGCTTGTCGATAGCTATCGTGCGACTGTATTACGGGCGTAATTCAGGCTGTACACAGGCTAGTCGTTTTGAGAGTTGTACAATTTCCTAAAACAATAATCTGTGCTGATTTACTCTGCTGGGTTGCTATTTAACTTACCTAAGACAAAGTCTTATCAAAGAAGACCTTTCAACTATAAAGACCCATGCAGACTAAAATATTAATCCCCTGGCCGGCTATGGCTCTCGACGTCACTACAGATAAAAAAATGTGCTGATTGAAATTTTTATTTTATCCAAGTTTAACAACAGTGATAGTTACATCTCAAAAATTCACACTGGAGAACACGACGTTGACAGAGTAGCGGAGTATCTGGAATGGAAAGGAAAACCGTTAGTGTTTATCTAATGCACCATAATGAAAAACCTATACATGCATCATGCATAAATTGGCTAAGTAGAAAAATTAGGTCGGGCTTTTTATTTCGGTAAAATATTTTATTCAAAGATTTATCACTTTTTGTTTGTTCTGCAGTAAATAGTTTGAGGGCGAAACCATGCCTAGAAATTAAAATTCATTTGAATGCATTTTGTCTAAAATTGACCTCAAACACATGCAGGAATCTTTCCATAACGATAAATTCCTTTTCTTATTGAATATCCATTTTTCTTCTTCTTATGAATGCATTATCAATCACAGAAAAAGGATTAAAATGTTTAGGGATAAACATGGATTCTAGGCATGGTCCATGGAATTTCTACCAAATTTTTAGCCCGCTATGCTATAGCATGCAATGTCAAAACAGTTGTTATATTCAGGTCACCGGTCACCGCTATAGTTAACTACTTTTTACAGTAAACATTTACCAACTTACCGCTAACTTTAGGTTGCACAACCGCTTTTATAATGACGGTTGAGTGTCGATTGAAACGACAGCCACATGCATTTATCGTATACGCATCTGAACAGAGGAAAATAAGCTCGTAGTCTAATTGTTATCTATAATTAGCACTGTATGTGACTGGAGATATTACGGCTAAGTATATGATTTATTCACTACAATTCAGGGCACTACCATATTGGAACAGCAAATACGCTAACATGATCAATGGAACAGGTAATTAACTTTTTCTTGATGTATATTACATTACTGATTATTTTATGTAGTCATACACAAGCACGTGTGATTATACATATATATATATATATATTCCAAATCCTCAATCAAATTAGTTATCTCTTACTGGATTGTTTAATTCTGCTTGACAGGTGGTACTAGATTTAAACCTTTTGTTGAAAAAGATGATGAGTTATACGCCCTTGTAACTGAGATTTGCAGGTATGGACGTAATAAAAATATTCTGACCTTTTATTCTTCGTTCTCCCAACAAACCGTTCCTGCGTAACATAAATACATGAATGCCCCCCCCCCAATTATCGTGCTGCTAACGCCGTTGCTTTATTTTTTTTTTAATTAATCAAAACTAACGATATGGATGACTTGGTTGTTATAGTTAGGAATTGAAAGCTATCTTTTTAGCCACTTTCAGATGCATATCTCTAAAATGTTGAAAGGAGTTATTTTGTTTTTTTGAAAACTAGATCACTGAAACTCACCTATGATTCGACTGTGACAGTTCATGGTATTGACCTCTACCGGTTCACTCCTCCGAAAGACGTTCTTGAAAGTGGTAACGTAAACCCAGAGAACAAAGGATTTTGTGTGACTGGTTCTTCAAAGAAATGCCTGCCTTCTGGTTTACTTGATGTTCAGTCGTGTAAAGGTGGTGCAAATATAGGTAATTGCATGGTTCGCACTCCGAATGCTGTTACACCCCTACAATTTACCAAAAGTTACGCAGCTGATTTTTCATTTTTTACATTCAGCTCCTCCATTTGTCGCGTCTACACCGCATTTTTACAATGCTGAACCTTATCTCCATGAAATGTTCAATTTAATGCCAAAGAAAGAAAAACATGCAACATTTGTTGATATCGAAAAGGTTCGTCAGGAAGGCATATTCAGTTAAATAAAATGTGCAATGAACACTCGAAATTAACGTGCACAGACGTCATCCAGTTAAGATGAGGTTCAACATGTACAGCGCGTACCCAAAACAACGCGGCTTTGTTAAGGTTCCTTACGGTGAAACAATCTGATTCATAGAGTTATATTGTTTCTCATTTAATCTCGTTTTCAATTTTTCATTCGTTATTTCCCTCACATGCATCGGGCAAGAATTAAAGCGAAATTGATATATAAGCGCTCATGGCCTACTTTACTTTCATTTTCACTAATCTCAATATTTCTACCTCACATCATTGACTGATATTTGCAGCTAAATAAAAGTATTGTCATATTTTCAACGTTAAGTGTTTACTTTTTAATTTAAGATTAGTTTAGTTAATCATTTTTCATCATGGTGTTAGTAACTATGGTAATTACAGATTCCCACAATTATATTTTTACTCAAGGTAACTTTCCTATATAGGGATATAAAAATGATATAGTATGATACATGAGAACAATTTAACTAATTTCTGACGGATTTCTTTAACGCAGCCTAACTGCGCCTCTTTAATCTCCTTTTCATTTTAAATGCATTGTCAGGGACAAATAAAAATTATATTTCCGTGTTTTCCTGAGCGGATTTGTTTCTTCATACTCTTACGATTACTAACAAATCAATTTTCAAGGCTATAAAACTCAAAACGTGTCCTGTATTCGAGACCAAAACGAGGAATTGGGTAATATGCAAATAAACGGTAAAGGTCTTTTATTTATCATAGAACACTGGAGTTACCATGCAAGGCCATAAACGACTTCAAGTGAGTTTCGCGGTTCAAAAGAGCTTGGATATAAAAACGTGAGTATAATTACAGTCGCGGCAATAGAAGTGTTCCGAAAAGTATCGAGCATTTCATTTTCTCAAATTTATCAGTTAGCTCACAAATTAGTGCCGTATATAATCATACTTTAGAAAACTCTTTGAAAAAGTCCTTAGTTCCTGTAACCGTATTTTCACTAATCAATCATTTTTTGGGTTTCTTTTTCACCTTCATTATTGAGCAATTGTTATTGGGCATTTCATTGGCCAATCAAATTTGAATTTGTTTCTTGAGCCGTCCTATTTGGTCAATGCACAGGAAGTAAGGCGTTTTTCAATGAGTTTCCCAACACATTTGACGAAGTCCGTAAATGAACTGAAAAATATCAGCAAATGAATTGCTCAATATTTTTCGGAATGCATCTATTGGTGCGACTGCATGTAATTGGTACATCAGATACTGCATGTATTTGGGAAAGTAGTTTAAATATCATTCTTGACGTTATTATTGTATTTACTTACATTGCAACTATTTCTATTTAGAATACTGCAGAATCCCACTTCACAGGAGTTCCTCTTTATTCCCACATTCTTCACAGACGACGTAAGTAGAAGTCCGCAACACCCTGTTAAAATACCCAAATGTCCAAAATGCATGATTTTTCTGAATACATCAAACTATGATAGTTCTGCAATATTTCATATAACAAATTCTATCGCACTTCGTTTATTATAGTATGCCAGAATAAGTGAAGAAGATGCAGACGATTTCAAGAAAAGTGTTCTTCTTCCTTTGCGAGTTGCTAAAGCCATGCCATATGTAATGATTGGTCTTGGGGCATTGCTGTTGATCATTGCTGTAATTATTACTCTCGTCCGACGCCGGAACAGGAGAAAAATGAATGGTGTTACTGATAGAAATCGTAAGTATAGTAAAAAATTTAACGCCTTTAGCATTTCCAGAAGCTGGAACGTTTTCCATCTCCACGTGAAGCGTTCCTATATATTCTGGGTGGATTTCCAGCGAGATTAGTTAAATCTTGAGAGCCTATTCAATATATATGCATGTATACTTTATATGATATATCTTAAGCCCAAATTTGTGTAATAATTTGTACGCGAGGAATTTTTCGGCAACACGATACGTGTACAAATCATTGACGAATTGCCTAAAACATTCTTGCGTACAAATTATCACCCAAATTTGGGACGCCTATGCTTTTACTGGCTGACATTATTGTATATTTTCAGCGAATACATTTCTTCGGTGCAATATATTTAGGGATGTTTATCACGTCTTTAATAAGAAATGGTTCGATATAAACTCTTTTATACATATAGCTTAAAGTTTAAAGTTCAAAAAGTACCAGCTTTAATGAACCAGCATACTATGCTAAACTTTATACCTTTTTTTTAGTCGGCAAAGAAAATTATTCAATTTAGGAGGATCTGTTCCATGCCGGTACTTTTCATCAAAGCTCGCAATTTTGGTAAGAAAGTTCTTGGTGCGGCGACTTTGGATAACATTAATAATATAAAATTTGTTGTGTTGACAATAAATCCGATGCTCTTCATTCATGCACTACTAATTTCCGTGCGCCTACATTCAGGGGGGTTGCATTAAATGAGTTATATGAGAAATTTGTTTTGTCTTGAAACGATGGATCTTCCATCAACGCATACAGCTGATACTGAATAAAGCATATAATCGGTATTTCCCCGTTGCACTTAATGTGCTTGGCAGCAGTGCTACATCCAGTGCATGTATTATATAAGTCAAAATAGATTGCATGCACTGCAGTACAATTGTGAATCCATATATTATACCTGCATGTATGAATAACGAAAACAACGATGCTTTTATCAGTTATGATTTTCCAAAAACTGGTGTTAAAGAAGCGTTTTTTTTGTCCGACTAACTCGGGAAGATAATGAATCTCTATTGGTAGTACGGCTTCGAAATTAGTGTTTGCGCCATGATATCAGATCGGGATTTGGCTTCAAGTAATTGCTGAAAAGTATTGGTTTTATTTTTAACACCGCAGATATAGTAAATAAAGTATTAAAATTTCTACACATAAAACACGGCTTTGGGGAACGGTCGTAATATTTAATTTTTGATCATGATTTTGTCTTGATGTTGGTAACACAAATTCGTTGATCATTATATATATAAATAATGTAGCTAAGAGGTAAAAATTTCTTATATTTAGTGAACTGTATAATGGAATATTAAATAAAAATTTTAAATCCCTAATAGTCAAGAGAGTCGCGTAGCTAGCCAAATTAAGCCAAGTTTACACTACGCGCAATATTCGCACGACACGGCTAAAATGGGTACCCGTACGTGCCTATATGTCATTTGTCGACGGCCTTAGTTTTGGTAGCCTGAACACTAATAAAATTGGGCACGGGTAAGAATTTTAGCCGTGCCGTGCCAGTAAATTGAAGCCCCGTTTACACTACACTCGATTTATTGGCACCGGCACGGCACGGCTAAAATGGGTACCCGTGCCCATTTCATCCGTGCTCGGCCTTTGTTTTGGTGGCCTGAACACTAATAAAATTGGGTACGGGTACCAATTTTAGCCGTGCCGTGCCAATGAATTGACTGTAGTGTAAACGGGGCTTCATAGTGAGTGTAGTGTAAACGTGGCCCAAGTACTCGTAAAACTAAAAGTGGCACGGCCGGAACTTTTATCCGTGCCGTACAAAATATCGCGCGTATAGTGTAAACGGGGCTTTAGCTCCGGTATGCTATTTTTTGTTTTCATTGGCTGTGAAAACAACCACTTTCCAAATTTCTGAATTTATTTGCGCGAACTGATAAAAAGTAGGAAGCTGTAATCCTATTTTATCGCGGCGATAAATCTGTTATCGTCGGATTTCAGATTCACTTCGCGTCGCGCGAAAAAATCGCCTAGTGGAAAACAAATTAAATATTGCGAAATTTGGTGAATGTATGACACAAAAAGCTCTTTTCCATGTTTCCATTCATCGCAAAATCAAGTTAGTTTTTGCGATGAGTGTGTGAGAACCTTAAAGCTGGATTTCCATGTACTTACAGAGAAATAGTTCGCCATGCAGCGAAACATTTGCATATTTTCTTTAGAATTTCAACAGCATAATTAATAAATTAGTTCAACATGACCGTTCTCTATTTCAAAGAAGATATGCAAATATTTCGCTAGCGAACTATTTCTCTGCAAGTGGAAATCCATGCACCCTATTGCCCCTAATATATGGTGGCAAAGGGCTGCCGCGCTCGCCCCTGGAAGCGTTGTTTAAAACTGAAAAGGCGAATTCTTTACACAAATAATTTCCACCGCTCTATCGGTGACGTTTTAACGGAAGCTTCTTCATCGACAAAGCTAAAGAACCTTCAAATAAATGCACTAACCACGTGCATATATACATCTAAGACTAAGTTAGTAAATCATAGACAAGAATATTTCGCATTTCTTCAATTTCCTGGTTGCCCTTGATCCGCCTTGAAAGAAAATGTCAAGACTCAAGAGGTCAAACAATAGGAAGATAAGGTAATGATATTTGGGAATATGATTTCATCATTTTCCAGAAACGGCGAGTCGGCACCTACATTGCAGATCCAGCGATCTCTTTTTGTAACAACAGTTGGTAAGTGACAGTCGTGCAAATATATCTTTTTAAGACATACAGTATTGATTCATAGAAAATTAGGAGAGATTTCGTATTCAAATATCGAGTATCTGACTTCCTAGCGTGGCATGTTGGAATTAATAATATTTTTGTGATTTACCAATATAGGTAATATATGTATAGTATACAGTTTATGTATGCCCCCGGTTTTCCACTAGCGATCTTTTTCGCGCGAAGCGACTTTATTCCTTTGTATTTGAGCCATTTGTTCCAGATGGTTGCAGTTGAGAGCTCTGGAACAAAAGTAAAATGTCCATTCGCGCGAAAAATATCGCTAGTGGAAAACCGGCTTTACAACGAGATTCGTTGGTATCGAGATTTGGTTGAACGTGCGCCCATACGCTATTTTAGGCACCAAATTCTATACCGTAATCCGAAATTACATTCAAGTCTGTGCAGGCCCGCTCATGCATAACATATATATTTACATGTCAACACGTATATTTACTATATTAGATCAAATATACAGAAAGACGATCGAGGCAAGTTATCCTCATATAAGCGGTTTACTTTTTTTACATTTTATCTCTATTATATGCCCCATTCCCCCACATAAAAAATTACAAGGCGTCAAGTCCGACAAACGAGATGGCTATTACTTTTTGTTTATCGTGTTAACAGACGCCACTCGTTATATAATATAAAAGATGGATAACAAATACGATAAGAAAATCGCATTCTAAACTAGTACTTATTTTTCACTGCGTTTAGTGCGTTATGCCCTGATGATAGAAAATAATTTAATGGCAATTTATTAAATGCCGAAGTTTGGGTACATTATGCGAGTCGGATTTTCACAAGCACAAAAAATAAAATACGTAATTTAGACTGGCTTTCCTCCTTGGTAAAGATAAGATACCGATGTATGTTATAATTAGTCTATGGCCGGAAAGGTATAAAACAGAGTGACGCGGTAAAAATGTAGTCGGAAGGTCGAATATATTCGAGTAATTCGACCTTGGTATGAACCGTATGATCGAATATACCAGAATACGGTATTTTTTATCTTGGTAAGGTCGAAAACACTGGGATATAATATATTCGACTTTGGTAAGGTCGAGTATAAAGGAATATGGTATATTCGACTTTGGTAAGGTCAGTATACCGGAATATAGACCCCCCAAGAGAGGCTGCGGTATAGTTCAAAATATCGCATCAGTCAGCCAAAATTCTGTATCCGCCCCTGCATTTATGTGCTTTATGTTAATGACATATGTACAATTTTTCTGCTCATGCACGGGATTGCCGAAAACAAGATTGCATCATTTTATTTTATGTTCGTTAGTGACAACGAAGAAATGCAATACCTAATTAATTAGTAATTACGTATATTATTACCACATTATTACTCTCAATACTCCAGATTATCCCGCCGGAACGTCATGTTCCCAGCGGATGACTTAGAGCACAAATATAGACTCACCATGTACAGCTGTACTTTTCTCGAATGAACTTTTTGACATATTTTAAGTTTTCTTCGCTGTTTAGAATATGTGGATGAAACATGAAAAAAGTTTCCGTTCCCGCAATCATATTCGTATGGTGGTTATTATGATGGTCTTGGTTAAATCTTGTGACGCATGCAGCCGCCGCAGAAACCCATCTCCAAAAAGACCTCCCCCAACTCAGCCTCCGAAAACGAGTAAGGAAATTATACCGCATCATTTACAAAATCTAAGAGTTGAATATTTCTGCGGGCCAAGGCAGTCCCACTGTCTTAAGGCACGCCTCTGCTAAGGGCAGCCCTGTAAAAGCAAAACAGATTGTGAAAGAATAACTATATCCGGCAAAAGACTATAGTTAGTTTTAAATATGTCACCCTGCATGGATGAGGTCATGAGGAGGGAGGCCACTGTCTAATTTTATAGAGACAACCACATCTAGTTTTGGAACCGGGACTGTTCAAACTTCTCCGTCAAAAAATAGTTCATTTTCCACAGCGATTCCGTCAGTGATCCCATCCAATACCAGTCAAGTAGAAGATTACCCTATTTGTTATACAACGAGTATTCAAAATCTCACAGTGAAGACGATTGCATTAAAAATTGAAGATTTAAGTAAGTATGGATAGTTTATTTCCCGACTAAATACATCAGCAATCTAACTGTACAAACATGCTGCATGTTATCTTTTGCCGAGGTTCAAACCATCACAATGGTCATGCAAAGTTAATACTTCATGATGAAATCTTTAGAATAAAATTTCATCTAAACAAAATGCACGAAAATATCACCATATATTATCCTATGTCATACTGCATGAGCGAGAAAGAATGAGTGAAACTGTAACGTTATCGGCGCAAAATTTCGTCATAGTAAATGTGGAAAATACAACCTGCAAAATTTGTAAATTCTATATGTTTTAATATTACGCGCGGTAAAAATAATCGGCATTTTTAGGCTGAAAATGGTTTTTAATTGTTTTTTTTAGTAAGTCGTGGAAGCCTCAGTGTTGTATTTAATAATGTTGAAACAAGAAGACGGAATGTGTTCTTAAAATGGTTGCAGTCAAATACAACAACGTGTTCAAATGTCCAGGGCTATTTTATTGCCATAGCACGTGTTAGCACCTCTTATAGCTATAACATAACACTGTTAAATCAAACATCAGCCACGGAACATTGCGAACAAGCTCGAAACTGCAGTGATTTGGGAGAACGTTTAGGAGGTATGACGTTGTCCCCTTTGAAACTTATGCATGAGACCTGACTAATTTAATTATACAAGTTTTTTGAAGCTCTCTCCCTATGGCATGAATTGTAGTGGCTTGCATTTTGACCTGGTGTTTGCTATTAATGTTGCGGAACTCGTCTATGAAAACTCACGTGCACATTCAGATACCGTTAGTGATGTTAGTGCATGATGAAGAGGTTTGTGAAAAAATTTCCCCATGTTCTCTGAAATTAGCCAATGATCTCCATATCCATATGATCACCTGGACAACCAGGGTGGGGATAGATATAAATAAATAAATAAATAAATAAATAACTGGTTGATGGCCGGGTTTTAGGTTACAACAAACCGGTGAACATGAAAATTTTCTACATGACAGCAAGTAGGTAGTTAAATATATGTAGGGAAGGGAGATGGCTTGGGGAGCATCTAAAAATGGAGGTGGATACCAGAGCAAATCATTCGACAGGGCTGTAACGAAAAGCACATAACTTAAAAGTGGTAATCACCTCATATGCTTGATTCGTTTAGGACTTACTATATCAGGTGAATTAATGCCTGGGTCTGTCCACGTTTTTAAAAACAGCACACGCGTGGAACACGAGAGCACTGATGAAAATTCAGTATAAGAATTTTAGTAACACAAATACTTTAGAAATCATTACCAGTATTGTAATATCAAGTAAATTGTTGCACTTGAGAGGTTTAATAGAACATTGAGTGCAATGAGTGGCATAGAACCCTGATGTGCGCTACTTTAGTTACTTTAGTATTTACTCGTCAAAGAGAAAGCGCTGGTGCTTAATGGGTCAATGTATAGAGTTCTGCTGCAAAATATTCAATTCTTATTCAAGGATATATTATTACAATAAATCATAATAGTGGTGGCATTTATGGCTACAAAATAATACGGTTAAATCAAACATCAGCAAAAAAATTGTAAACAAGCTCAAAACTGCAGTGATTCGCAAGTATTATTATCAGGTAGCTATAATAATAGTGCTATCATTTACCACTCCAAAATATTGTTATACGTCCCAAGGAATTGGGGAATAAAAAACAGAAAAGCAGCCAGGAGAAACCACGATGCCGGTGATCATATGGGAGTTCTTCAAGAAGGGATGAAAGGTTTCCGCCCCATATCGTTAAAAATGGAACATTTCATTTTCAGCCACTTTGATCAATTTTACTTCTCTATAAGTTCCTTGTTTCGTTTAGCACCCAGTACGACTGCGACTCCAAAACCATCAGAACAATTCAATCCTACAGTATCGAACTCTTCTCAAGGAAAAGAAAACAAGCCGACGAATTCTAAAGGGCTTAATGATTCTTATGCTAAAAATCCTGATGAAGGTAAAGGTGATGACGGTGAGGTTTCTAGTCTATACTAGTGATATTGTTATACCTATCACAATTTTTGTTTTGCTGCCGGCACACTTCAAAATCGAAGTGCTAAATATACCCGAACTTCGGGTAAACTCTTAATCCTATATATTTAAAAATCTCATCGCCAAGAACCACACCTCGTAGGACTCTCACCAAGGTGATGTTTCCGTCAATTCTGATTAAATTATGTATTTTCCGTATTTTTGGGAGAACCAATATCATTCGCGGTGTGCCGGTTTTAGCTCTGCTGTGCTAATTTTTTGTGTTTCCATTGGCTGTGAAAAGAACCAATTTCTAATTTCTAAATTTCTGAATTTATTTGCGCGAACTGATAAAAAGTAGGAAGCCGTAATCCTATTTTATCGCGACGATTTTTTCTATCGTCGGATTTCAGATTTCGAGAAAAAGTAGCCGAAAATGTATTAAATATGGCGAAATTTCCTTTGACCGCGCAGAGACCTGGAACAAAAGTTAAATCAAATAGCGAATGTATGACACCATAGACAATCCATAGACAATTGTATTTTTTATGATGACACTAAAGCCGGTTTTCCACCAGCGATATTTTTCGCACGAAGCGACATTTTACCTAAGGCGAATTTCCACTTACAGCGAAAGCGTTCGCTAGCGAAATATTTGCATACTTTCTTTTGAATTTTAAGAGCATAAAAAAATGAGTGCGACTTCAATTCGGCTGTTTTCAATTCAAAAGAAAATATGCAAATATTTCGCTAGGAAACGATCTCGCTGTTCGTGGAAGTCCGCTTTTAGAGCTCTCAACTTTAACCATCTGGAACAAAATGCTCCAATAGAAAAAAATAAAGTCGCTTCGCGCGAAAAAAATAGCTAGTGGAAAATCGCGCGAAAAAATAGCTAGTGGAAACTGGCTTGAAGGCGATTCTCCATTACGTCCGCTCCGCCTGCGCGGGACGAAGCGCTTTAGGGTTGGATTAATTCCACTTACAGAGAAACATTTCGCTGGCGAAATATTTGCACATTTTCTTTTGAATTTTGACAGAATAAATACTTTAGTTCAGCTTGACTCTTTTCATTTCAAGTGGAAATCCACCCTAATATATCCGCGCTCGCTCTTGTAAGCGTGGTTTCGGCGCCCTGTTATAAGGAAATATCACGAACTACAAAAAAATCTGGACAAAAATGATCAGGAAAGGGGGTCTTAGCTGAGACACTGGCTTGTGATCATTTATTTTTATCCTTTATCTTCTTCCGGCATGTCTCTTGTTTTCGCTATTAGGCGTTTTCTTTATAATATTTGCCCAGTTTTGAAATATTAATCTGTCAAGTTTCACTTCGTATAAAATCATGCAAAAGCTTGTGAAACCTGAGAAAGCGAATTCTTTACACAAATAATTTCCACCGCTCTATCGGTGACGTTTTAACGGAAGCTTCTTCATCGACAAAGCTAAAAAAACTTCAAATAAATGCACTAACCACGGGCATATATATACATCTAAGTTAGTAAATCATGGACAGGAAGATCTCGTATTTCCTGGCTGCCCTTGATCCGCCTTAAAAGAAAATGTCAAGACTCAAGTGGTCAAACAATAGCCGGGAAGACAAAGTACGAAGCTAATGATATTTGGGAATATGATTTCATCATTTTCCAGAAACGGCGACCACTGAACATTTAAGATACAGCGATCTCTTTTTGTAAGAACAGTTGGTAAGTGACAGTCGTGCAAATATATCTTTTAAGCTCTTTTATTAGGAGAGATTTCGTGTTCAAATATCGAGTATCTGACTTCCTAGCGTGACATGTTGGTATTAATAATATTTTTGTGATTTACCAATATACAGTATAGGTATAAATCGCATACAGTTTATGTCCCAAATGTCCCCTTGGCCTTTAGAAATTTACTCTGTTGTTCAACATCAAACGAGATTCGTTTATTTGGTTGAACGTGCGTGAATCATATACTATTATAGGCGCCAAATTCTATACCGAAATCCGAAATTACATTCAAGTCTGCGCTGGCCCGCTGATGCATAACATATTTACATGTCAACACGTATATTTAGATCAAATGTAGAAAGACGATCGAGGCAAATTTAAACGATCCAACACATAAGCGGTTTACATTTTTTACATTTTATCTCTATTATGCCGCCCATAAAAAATTACAAGGCGTAAAGTCCGACAAACGAGATGGCTATTACTTTTCGTTTACCGGGTTAACAGCCGCCGCTCCTTATTTAATAAAGATGGTTTTTAAATACAGCGATAAGAAAATCGTATTCTATATAAACTAGTACTTATTTTTCAATTTTCACTGTGCTTAGTGCGTTATGCCCTGTGTTGAATAAGGTAAAAGTTATTTCAACTAATATACATTTTGGATGACAGTTTAATCGAAATGCATAATAGAAAATAATTGATTGAACGCCGGGGTTTGTGTACATTATGGCTGGGTGCCTGAGTATGCGAATGCATCAGTCGGAATTTCACAAGCACAATGCACAAATACGAAAGTTAGACTGGCTTTCCTCCTTGGTAGGATACCGATGTATATATGTTACACTCGACTAGTCTATGGAGAGGTATAAAACAGAGTGACACGGTAAAAATGTATATAGCGAAGGTCGAATATATTCGAGTAATTCGACCTTGGTATGATCGAATATACCAGAATATGGTATTTTTTTTATCTTTGTTGTGTTCAATATACCAGAATATTGTATATTCGATCTTTGTAAGATGGAATACATTGGGATATATACCTATGTAGCTACAATTTTTCTGCGCATGCACGGGATTGCGGAAAACAAGATTGCAACATTTAATTCATGTTCGTTACTGACAACGATGGAAGTGCAATACCCAATGTATTAGTTATTACGTATATTATTACCATATTAATACTTTCTAAAGTGGCTGTTGTCATCGGGTGACTTATAATTAAGGCGGCTTTGGGCATTGTTGGACTAGCATGTCAATGGAATACAAAAATAGACCCATCATGTACAGCTGTATTTTTCTCGAATGAACTGTTAACATATTAATTTTTTTCTGTTTAGAATATGTGGATTAAACATGAAAAAAGGTTCCGTTCCTGCAATTATATTCGTATTGTGATTGTTATGATGGTCTTGGTTAAAGCTTGTGACGCATGCAGCCGCCGCAGAAACCCATCTCCACAAAGACCTCCCCCAACTCAGCCTCCAAAAACGAGTAAGGAAATTATACCGCATCTTTTACAAAATCTAAGAGTTGAATATTTCCGCTGGCCAAGCCAGTCCCACTGTCTTAAGGCACGCCTCTGCTAAGGTTAGTTTTAGTTATGTCACCCTGCATGGATGAGGTCATGCGGAGGGAGGCCACTGTTACATGTTTGTTTTAATTTTATAGAGAAAACTACATCTGGTGTTGGAACCATGACTGTTCAAATTACTCCGTCAAAAAGTAGTACATTTTCCGCAGCGATTCCGTCAGCGAACACATCCAATACCAGTCAAGTAGAAAATTACACTATTTGTTATACAACGAGTGTTCAAAATCTCACAGAAATGAAGATTGCATTAAAAATTGAAGTTTTAAGTAAGTATGGATAGTTTATTTCCCGACTAAATACATCAGCAATCTAACTGTACAAACATGCTGCATGTTATCTTTTGAAGTTCAAACCATCACAATCGTATGCAAAGTTGATACTTCATGATGAAATCTTTAGAATAAAATTTAATCTAAACAAAATGCCGAAGTAATCGCCATAAATTATCCTATGTCATACTGCATGAGCGAGAAGGAACATCTTAGAATGAGTAAAACTGCAACGTTATCGGCGCAAAATGTCGTCAGAGTAAATGTGGAAAATACAACGGCTGCAAAATTTGTAAATTCTATATGTTTTAATATTACGCGCAGTAAAAATAATCGGCATTTTTAGGCTCAAAATGGTTTTTAATTGTTTCTTTTAGAAGATAGTGGAAACCTCAGTGTTATATTTAACAATGTTGAAAAAGAAAAACGGAATGTGTTCTTAAAATGGTTGCAGTCAAATACAACCACGTGTTCAAATGTCCAGGGCTATTTTATTTCGATAGAACGTGACCAGTTCCTTTATAGCTATAACATAACACTGTTGAATCAAACATCAGCCACGGAACATTGCGAACAAGCTCGAAACTGCAGTGATTTGGGAGGTATGACGTTGTTCCTTTTGAAACTTATGCATGAAACCTGAATTGTAGTGGCTTACATTTTGACCCGGCGTTTGCTATTATGTTGCGGAACTCGTTTTTGAAAACTCACGTGCACGTTCAGATGCCGTTAGTGATGTTAGTGCATGATGAAGAGGTTTGTGACAAAATTTTCCCATGATCCCCGAAATTTAGCTAATGATCTCTATCTATATCCATATGATCACCTGGCCAACCAGGGTGGGGATAAAGATATAACTAAATAAATAAATAAATAACTGGTTAATTGATAGCCGGGTTTCAGGTCACAGCAAACCGGCGGGCATGAAAATATTTCTATACAGCAAGTAGGTACATGTAGGGAAGGGAGATGGCCTGTGGAGCATCTAAAAACGGAATTGAGGTACCAGAGCAAATCATTCGACAGGGCTGTAACGAAAATCACATGACTTAAAAGTGGTAATCACCTCATATGCTTGATTCGTTTAGGACTTACTACGATGACTTCTAAACCAACTTCTAAACCAACAGAACAATTAAATACTACCGTACCAAGCTTTCATCAGACAGAAGGAAACAATCCGACGAACACTAAAGAAATGACTGATTCTCACACCAATGAACCTGCTGCAGGTAGAAGTGAGGACAGTGAAGTTTCTACTACTACTGTTGTCGGTATATCTGTTGCAGTTGTGGTTTTGCTGGTTATTGTTGTAGTCATCATTGCATTGTGGTATAAACGAAAATGCGTCAGTAAGTAAACTTCCTATATTCAATACGCACGTTAGCTACATTACTTACATTTACGTAATTACACATGTGACTATCGCTGATCTAAAACAGTACTTTTATTAGTACTAACTGTACTTTTTTAAGTACTAACAATACTGTTTTTTAGTACTAGCAGCACTAATAAAATAAACGCATATGTACACAAAAATAGCACGGATTTTAAATTTTTGTGACTCTTAAATTCAAACATTCCGCTTACTCTGGTTTATATAACTGATTTAATGATTCATAAAGTCTTCTAGACGGAATCACGCAATGCATGCTTACAATTTGATGTATAGTCAGTCATTCTTCCATGCATGCACAGACGACCACAGATGAATATTATTATAATGTGAATGAAGAATATTGTATATTAATATAGTAATTATTATAAGCATGCATGATTAATGCATATCAGTAGCAATAATAGAATATTCAGGTAGATTTGGTAAAAATTTCCCTTTTGTGTAGGAAAAGGTTATGGAGAAGACAAGATGTAAGTTAACGGAGAATATTGTTGTTCATCTTTCTAGGACTCGTAGTGATTGGTCATTTAAAAATTCGCAGGGAAAGAAGACTTTTACAAAGTCTCTTTTCTCCACGCTTTGAAGTTAATTCCACCAGTTCATGATTGCAGACTAGTCCCTAGTCCTCTTTACCCCCCTTTGCATTTTACGATTGCTTGAGCTAGGAAGCCTGGGAACGACTTTCCCGTCGGTGAAGATCTTGTTTGCGTCAGGACATTTGTTACATGGGCACAAGTGGGATATATGTGTTGTATGATAGTTATGTTTATAAGCCTGCGGACACAAAAGATCATATAACTCCATCTTATTATAATGTGTTGTAGGCGAGGTTCTGTTGACCATTTGGCTGGGCCAATCAATGGTGACGTTTATACCGTAGTGAACCCAAACGCTGAGAAAACGGGAAAAGGAAAGGTTGGAAATGAAATTTAATTTAATGTTTTATATGTATATATTTAACTTATAATCGAGTATTATTGCAAATAATGTTGCATCGTGATTGGCTGCGCTACTCGCTATCTATCAGCTAATAAATATGTACGTCACCGGAGTTTTTTTTGTATAAATACAGTCACAGCCGCAAAAAATATTTTCTTACTAGTTTTAACAAAAATAATTGGATTACTCATGATGTAATTGTTGAATAGCGACTCGATACTGTACTACTTCCATGGATGCATATCTCTAAAGCGGCGTGTTTATAGCTAATGTTTTGAAACTTTCCTAATTCCCTTCTCAGTTCGTAATTGAATGTAACATGGCAGTCAACTGAAATTCATAAGTCAGAATTTCAGCTTAAAAAAAGGAGGGCCTCCTTGGCTGTACGGGGTATGGTCCGATGGACTAAGTTCCAACAGGAAAACTTTGATTTTTGTCCTACAATTATAGAGTGAAAGTAATGACATGGTTTATATTGAGCTTTCACATCAAAAGTCAGGAAAAAGTGCCGACAAGGTCTGTAAGGTACCAAGTTCACAACAAGAAAACTACGCCGATATTTCCCACATTCTTACGCCTGGTGAAAGCACCTATGAAAATGCGACTCCCAAGTGCGATCAAGATTATGCAAACGTCGTTGCACTCCAGTGATAATTATGTAAGGGTTGATAGAACATAATTTTATAATTTTATATAAATGACGGCAAAGTTGTAAAAAATCTTTCCCGGTAAGATTCCAAGTTAATTGAAGACCTTTCTCAAAATTATCCATTGCATGGCACTGCTCTTTATATCAGTATCGCAATGAAGCTGAAAACTCTCGGTAACTCAGCATATCCAAATTATTTGTTTTCTGGCTGTTGCTGTTATGATCCATATTATATAGCGCGCAGACTCACTCACTCACAGCAAGGCAATTTTCTTTTTCGTAAAACAACTTTCGGACGACCAACTCATGCAGCTCATTTCAATTACAATATATATGTACCATTTTCAACCGCCATTTTGGCTTGGAAACGCACGGATATGTGCGTTAGATTGGAAATTAATGTCAATTTGGAGGGTATACTCGATAGATAGATGGATAGAGATGGTCTAATCACAAAATTTTGCAGAATCACTAAAAAGTAATTAGATACATAAATATATAGTCAATAGAACTAATCTATATAATAATTTTAAATGTCTACATGCTATAATAATTTAAAATGTCTACATGTCTACATCCGCACACGTGAGAAACTTGCCTCTTGAGGCAAATTCCTCACGAAAACTATCCGCACACGAAAGAAACTTACCGCTGAGCTAACAGCCTAGCTCGTGAGGTATTTAGCTCGGCTAAATACCTCAGAGGTATTTAGCTTGGCTTCCATATGACGCCAACCTGCTGCCAATTCATTGTAATCTGGGGAGAATATATTGGAAACGCAAAAGATTTTATTCATCGATGATCATGACCACCAGTGAAACTTCATGAGTTGGCGCCATATGGAAACTAGCCTGCAGCTAATGGAATAAACATCAAGCTCACTTAAATCAGAAGGTGTCCATTTCATGAATTCGACTGGCTTGGAGAACTACGGGCAAACCAGTGGGTGGTTGTTTCAAAAGTGCATAGATAACGCTATATTTCCTTTGGATAGTGATCTTTTAGAATCTTCGAGAATTTTTTTATGTTACACAATTAAGTAAGGATCGGAATTTAATTAAAGATTTGTGGCTTTGATATTTTTTTGGTTTGCAAAAACAAGCCGTTCATTGCACCTTTACGACGGTTGAACATCCCTTTTTTCGAACAACTGGCCACTGAATGCCACAGGTAAACGACTGGACAGAATTAAAATAACGACGGGCTCATACGCGATGTGGGTGGACATGCATAAACGTAAAATCTTTCGACGTGAGTGATTCAGCTGTTTATTCCTTTAAGTTTCATTAAACTCCCCACACTATGCAGTGTAGTTATACATGTCATAGTTCAATGTGTTTAAATCAGTTGTTCGTCTAAAGAGACTGTAAGGCTTTAATTATAATACATAGCTACTAAGTAAGGGATTATATTTCACCTGCATGTATGCATGATGTACAAAATTCATACAGTATGATACCAATATTATATAGCATTTACAGTATTTTACAGTATAACATTAATTACAATAGCAAATTTTTAATTGTAAGTGTAGCTGATTGATTTGCGCCACAAACTGCTTTCCACGTCGGACCACCAGTGAATGGCGATCTATAACACATGCTAAAATATACATGATTCCAATTTGAAGTTCGGTCTCACCAGACTTTTTAAATTATTTTCTTCGAGGACCTGCTTTATAGGTCGAAATAAATGGGTTTTTTCACGCACAAATTTCATGCAGAAGGTTGTCCTTTTTGTCCTGACGTATTGCTAAAAAAATATAACCTTTGCGTTTCGTATGTGGTGTTCCTACATGTGAAAACCAGTTTTTCGGCTGCCATTTTTTTGAACAACATATAGCTATGTAAGATTATTATTACCATGCACTACACTCTAGTATATTACGTGTAGATGAAAATACGTTAGCATCCAAATATATACCTATTATTGATATGAATCCGTGAATGTAATTAGTGATGATTATCACAATCGTGCGAAGTCTTGGGAAGTGCGAGGTGCATGATGACCAACCTCGTTCCCAGGGTCTTCTGTGTTCACGGGCCCCGTGAACACAGAAGACCCTGGGTACGAGATTACATGATGACTTAGTAAATGATATTGGTGAATAATATTGGTAAATATATAATAGTATATTGTTTAGTTGTATAAAAGTGTAAAAAAATGTATAAAAGTGGGAGCTTGTCATATTTTAGTTAACTTTAATGAAGATAATAAAGTCGAAACGTGAATTAGTATATATAGTGTCATCATGATATATAGCCATCAATCAATTAATTCATGATGGAAGCAAAGTTGGGCGATCCCAACTGGATAACTTCTTTTGAAACTCAGCAAAATACCGATCAATAAGGCTGAGATGATTTAGGATATTCTTTCGACCAAAAGAACGAGACGCGTGATCGAAAGTTTTCATTTCATTATCCCCACTACTCTCCGATGTAACATCAAATAATTCTTTCAGTAACAGCCTATATAAAAACAAAAAAGTATATACGTTTAGAGGTATAGTTCATGCATACAGGTAAATAAGCCCAACATATATGTTATAGCTACAGATATATTCATAGTTACTACTGACTATACTGATATATAGCTTATTAATAAAGCGAAGACCTTTCTAATTAGTACCTGACGTACTATGCATGGCTACTTCACTGAGAGAAACAAAAGGTTTTAGATTTCGTTTAATTTTTCTGACTCTGTATTCAAAAACATTATTCAGAAGCTATGTTTGAAGGTATATTTTTAATATTTTTTCCTACTCGGTTGGCAATACCGGCGTTCCTCCCTAGCTGTTACACTGAAAAACCATTTGGATAACTAAAGGCTTTTTGAAACGATCCTACATCTTCCAAGGCCTATATATAGTTCACAATGTTCCGGATTTTCATCGGAGTGGCTGAAATTTTGTAGGATTGTAACTCGGTGAAAATTTTAATGTTGGCAATCCAAATTAGTATGCCAAATCTACCAAACGTGCTACAAATGATTGCTTCAAACGAGGATGTACGTGATGAACGAATCCAATATATGTAGTGTAGACGGGGCTTAATTTAGCTACCGAAACATTAAAAATTAATGACTATGCATTAATGAGACAACTTAAAGGTAGTCGGAAAAATATGCACATATCCATGCAATCGCTAATATTTCTTTCTTTATCCACTGCCATTATTGTTAATTAAATGTCATCATTTACATGCACTGCACTGCAGGAACAATTAAAGCGTGTGAAATTAGGTGCGGTGCGTGTATAAACATGCATATGCATGGTACATGTCAACTTTTTTTAAATTCTTCATCTAACACTTAAACCCCAACAGAGAATACATAAAGATGTTTTGTCGTGGAATTTACAAAAAGGACAAATTTGATGTGAAAATGTTTGATCTTTTTGCAAAGTAATGGAACCATCACGATTGCATGCGTGAGCTTACTCTGCACTCTGCAGGGATAAAACTATATTAAAGCCAGAATTCAACAATTCAGCGTTTTCAGAACACTAAGACACTAAGTATACTGTCTAAAAACTCACCGTGCACGTTCAATCTCGTCTAGTTTGTGTTTAACCGATGTTGTTTCTAATCTACGCTCCCGGTTGTCAGAAACGCCTTTGCTCGTTTCATTCGCCGCTTTCTTGGCAAGAGCTTCTATTGGAAAATATTCCGAGTTGACATTGTGTATTCCTTCAGCAAGATTAGTTGCAACAGCCTCATCAAGGCGTGTGAACATGGTTGCCTTTTGCTGTTTTATCCTTCCTCGCGGAGGCTCCCCTTCTTCAGTATTCAACGATTCACCTCGTACTCGCTTTCTGTTTCGTTCAACTGCTGTTGCATGAGCGTTTGGTTTCACGTTTTCTTTGCTGTATTTCTTTGCCAGACTGTTCTTAATAACTGAAGTTAAAATTGAGTTGTCTACTTCTTGGGCCTGCAGTATTGGGCTCGGGGTACGGGCCTGTGAAGTGTTCTCATCACCATTCAAATAAGTTGGTAAACACTCGGTAGCTTCGCCACTTCGGAAGGAGTTATTACTTAACATAGGTGATACGGTGGATAAACTTGGTGAACAATGGCGTTTTGCAGGACTGCCTTCTTGTTCGCTCTGAGTGTTAGATGGAATAGTCTCTCTGAAACTGTTTGAAATGTCCGGCTGTTTGTTTTTAGTGAACGTTTCTGTTGATATTTGCTGTACACCGTTCTCTGCATTAGCATCCACTTCGGGACTTTGAGCATGCATATTATAATTTCCGATGGAGGAAGTTAGTTCATTAGACCATTGGGAGGAACCGCCCTGTTTATCTGGCGATAATTTTCCTTCAGAAGTTACATATGATTGCGACTCAACTCCTGATAGTGTTGCTCGTTTCGAATTATGTGTACGTTGTTCGGCTTGATTAGTTTGTACAGAAACGTCACAAGGCTTTGTTGCGAGTACATGGATCACTGAAGTCGGAATAGATTTAGTAGGCGAATGTACAATTTCGGTCTTCTGTGCCGATTCTTTCTTATTCTTGAAGTAGTCAGGTATACAGTTCTGTTGCTTCATAGTTCTTCCTTTCTGTTCTATGTCTTGGGATAATAGCGTGTCTAACTGTTCTTTCTCGTAATGTTTATTCGTAATTACATTTGCTTCTACCCGAATGCGTGGGAATTTCGACGATCTTCTATATCTCATCTCATTTGTTGTTGTTCTACAACTCTTAAATGTTTTCCAAGCTTCTTCATTTTCACGATCTCTTTGCGCTCGTACAGCGTTCATGTATTTTTTAGATTTCTTCCGTTGTGCTACTTCTTTAACAACTGGTTGCTCAGCAAGCCGATATGGAAAGCTTCCTTTGTCTCGCCAGATTTTGAACGCGTAAGATTTACGATACTGTGCGCTACTCCTAAAATTTTCTCGTGCTGAGTCGATGGATACGTTATCTATGAGATCCTGAGGCCTTTGTGGTATCAATTGTATGTTTTTAGGAGGTATTTGGTCGCTGTGAACAGGTTGGGTCGTATTCTTTGTTAGGTACCTAGACTGTTCAGATGGCGAGCTGTGAATCATTGTAGGCAATCTTTCTTGATGCGTCGTCATAGCTTGACCTGGTACTTGTAGCGTCCGTACATCATTAATAACGGGATACGTTACTTGTCTTTTTTCTTCGGTGGCCATGTATGGAGGTGAGACCGAAATGCCAAGGTTATTCGTTTTGAATGAGGTTTGACCACTTCTTGTTGCCGCATCACTAAGTTCATCTGAAAGAAATATGTAATGAATAATTTAATATCACTTGATTTTTACGTCAATTGGTCATGTCACTTTGACGGTGAATTCATTAAATGATTTAAAGTGAAACCCAACATGGTTATGGTAGGCAGAAAGTATTAATGTTTAAATAGCCAATTGGGTTAAATGTAAGTTACCAGCGTGTGTTATTGCGTGCTTTCAGGCAAGTTCCTCTATAAGGATAGCGAATTGTAGTACTAATAGTAATATTTACTTATATTGTCTGGCAAAACACCTCATCCGTGTCAACACCGTTTGATGGATTATAGTTTTGTAAAATCGTCGAATGTGCAACGATAGTTAATAGTTCAGCGTATAGTATGCTCTAGTCTATGAACACCACTCTAACTAATATCGCAGTTAATAAACATTGTTTTTCATTAATATCAATATTCATTATTAATATTCATAAAAGAATTTCATTAGTACTAAATTGAGTAGATTTCCCTTTTCCCCAATATCATAAACTATCAAGCACGTTGATAGAACTTGGCAATCTGAGGCCCCGTTTCTACCTAGCCGGATACAAGTGTATCTCATTCGAGTCCCTCTTGAGTATCAATAACACTACCATAACCACAATGCAAAGCGTTGCGATGAACTCTAAAAATAACGTGTCTGGAGGTAAAGTACCGCGAATTTTCGCTTCACAAAAACAATGAGGAGGTATCGTTCCAGTTATTTATTAGAGTTCACTGGGAGAGTCTGATATTGAATTGACCCGGCCCTGATGCATGCATGGTGGGAGAAATTTGAATTTCCGATTTAAAGTTGTCACTGTACACACCCGCACTGCTCGTTCTTCATCGGATTTATGGTATTAGAATATGATGCAACTGTGACCCAGATTAGTTCAGCATACTGTTTGAGTTAAGGAAAATTTGAAACAAACATTCTTTTGCTCAGTTATTAAACCGAAGATCCCTCAGAGATAAGGGTCTATTTTTTCATTCCATATTCGTTCTGCATGATGTCATATGTCAATGTATATTTCTTTGATTTGAGCATTATTCGCACACAGCAAGATTTATATTTGAGTATACGTAGAGCCCCTAAAGCCTGATCTCCACTAACTGGCACTAAGGTCTAGTTAATAAGGCCTAGTTTCCAGCCATTTTTCGTAACTGTCGCATTAAGGTGGACGATCTGATCTCTCTCGTCACGAAAGATGAATGACCATGATTGATTTAAATTAGAGAAAATAAAGACGGCGAGGGTCTATATTTGACATCGATAAAGATTGCTTTTTCGTGACGATTGCCACCAATTTGGAACTTAAGCTTTGACTGACAGACTCAGTTTTCACATATCATAGATCGTAGTGGTGAATAATGATAATACAAGCGAACGTCAGAAGTTAATGGCATGAGTTATAAATATATATGCATGTTGAAAGGTAGTCGAATTGAGAAAAAATGTAAAACCGGTTGCGATTGGTAGGTTGAGAATTGCTGAAATTATTGCTTTATTTATTCATTTCTGCCATTTGCTTTGCATCGTTTCAAGCTCGATCATTGCGAATTGTGCTGTCAGAGACTTAGATTAGCCTGAAAAGCACCCTTTCTGTATGCATAGTTTAGAGGTCACTGTCATACTAGAAAGGGGTCATCCGTATGAATGAACATGCATGGGCAAGATCTTGAAGTCGAAAATCGCTTTTAAAGAAAGAAATTTTTGGTGTGATTCGGCTACGCTGTGTATTGTCTTAGGAATTTTAAAAACTCCCACGTTTTCATCATATCCAACCGAGCAACTAAGCACTCACGGATTACGGTTAAATGTTTTTAAGGACAAACTTATAATTCATTTGTCTGAAATTTTTTGATCAGTAGGTAGACTTGCTGGCGGTAATAATGACTAAATTGAAATTCCCATCGAAGTGCTGGTGTCCAACAATGATGAACAATGTGATGGGAGGGATTATGCATGCATATATAGTCATCAGACCATGCCATCCCCTTATTTGAAATTCTAATTTCATGACAAATGATGAAATTAGTAAAACAACAAAAAGCAAGAAAACACTCCAAATTTAGAATTGATTGACAGTTAGTATTTCTCGATTAGTTGATGTTTCAGTACAGGGCAGTATATAGACTCGATGCTCAGTCTGGCTTTATTGCTGATAAAATCACATACAGTTTGTACTGATTCGCATTAAGAGTGTATTTTTTGGTGTTGCCTCATGGCGACTTGTGAGATTTTGAATTTTCATAACACTGCGTAGCAACGTGACTGAGATTCCAAAAGCATATCACGGTTCGCTTAATAAAACATATCAAGGATGTGAAAACCAGTCGCGATTTCTGGATGCCCTATTCATAGTTATGGAAATGTCTTCGCTTTTAATCGCTATGAAGTACAGTAAGCTAGATACTGAGCCAAAAAAAATTAGTCCTTATTTGTTCCCCTCAAATATGTACCATGGACTAGTCAGTTGCTAGGTAATTTGGAAGTTCACTTCTTATCAACGTCTGAAATTATTTCAAGTCATTCACCTGCCGCAAATATCATGTTCATCGCTAAAGGTTATTCTCCAATAAATTATTTACTTGCTATCACTCAGCACCCTACTAGTACTATACCACCTACCTTGGCGTTGCGACGTTACAGCCGGTCTGAGTCGAGGCTTGTCATTATAAGAATCTTGCCGGTTTTCCTTGTCAAATGATACTTTTTTCTCGACATATTTTGTCGCAATATTATCATTAGAAGTTACAATAGGCATCATGTCTGAGAATTTAATTTTGTACCTCGTATTTGGCCGAAAAAGTTTAAAAACCAAGTTTCGAAACCGATGCGAAACAGCCGAGTTCAACTGCGTAGGCTTGAATGACACTTGAATATTCTAAATATCGAAGTACGTAAAAAATTAGTTGTAACAAAGTCAAAACACTCTCGTATTACTGAAGTTGAAGTTCACGTTACCTTGGAATTGACTGTCGCGCCTCGATGAGGGTTAAAGGGATTGTGATGTGACGGTGTGGTTAGTCAAGTCAATATATTAAGCGCAGTGTATCAATGGCAATAGTGTTTTGTTATGCAAATTCATGATCACACCACGGGTGAAGATTTGCATTTCGAATTGATAAGTTAACAATAAAAAACGACACTTACCTACGATATTCTAATTTCATTCAGTGTAATTTCGACAAACGATAGCGCTCCTAATATAGGGTTCTTAAGGCAAACTTCTCATGTGTTCGACATTTGTGAAGAGAAGCGTGGTTAAAAATTTTAATATTCATATACCTACTAATTAGTTCTGCTGGTACGCACCAGTGACTTTTATGAATAGATCACCGCATGTTGATAGAAAATAGCGTTACAACCAAGCACTATTTCTATTTGCGATTCCTTAATTATATAACACCGTTGACAGTGACGCTGCTATCATGTTATAAAGAAAAATTCATTTGAAACTAATAGGCCGTATTCTGTGGCCGATTATCGTTCAGTTTCGTTGCCCCCCTTCGGGCACTACTTGAAAACACGATAGAAAATTAGGATAAATTATAGAAAGTCTAAATTCACTTGTTTTCACCTTCACAAACCTGCAGTTTTCGAGCATTTCATCTTCGAAAAATCAGTAAATTTGCATGTTTTGCAATACACCGACGCCATTTTGATTCAGGAAGTGTTATGGATACTTGGTGTAATATACGACATATATAGCAGATTCAGCAGTTTTATACCGGTATTTAAATGAAGTTTCTTTCATTTTTGCTGTGCAAGCAGGTTTCAACAAGGAAGCTTTGAGTGGAGTTTTACGAGGTTTTTCGCAAATTTTCATAGTTTTTCAAAACTAAATTAGTCAGAGAAGAATTGGACAACAATTAATCGGAAAACATCCGCCAATTTGCGATTTTTTTATAGCATTCTGCTCTTGGAATTTACAAATAAATAAGAACAACTTTATTTACACGCATCAAAATCATCCACGAGCGTTTTGTTTCTAGTCAATTTATATAAAATAATTACTACACAATTCTTTTCCAGCATACCCTTTGTTTTGTGATTTGCAACGTACAACTACTGTACATGTTAAAATATTGAACACGCATACCAAGGTTGATATTGATACGTTTTAATACCATTGTGGGAGATTACGAGCGCCTTATAATTTTAAAATACAAATAAAATGTTGAACTCAACCCTTTTAATCGGACAGCTAATACCACAATTCATCATCGACGTCATCTCCGAAATCCAGATTAGATCCTGATCCTTCAAGTTCATCATCGTCATCAGATTGAGCCAGGCCATAACTGCTATCATCGTCGTTACCATCTTCAACTACTGCATTCTGGCAATCACCACACGAACATAGGTTGGTGCACTTTAAGTCAGCCTTTTTGCAGGAACAACGCATGCATAGTCGAGCTTTCAGTCTTGCACTTGCACTCAACTGACACTCAATTAAAGATCGCGGAGCGGGTGGGCGTGTCATCCAAGTTATCTCCAGCTATTTATCGTCAAGCGTCCAGCCATTGCCAACCAGTGATGGAAGATCGACTTCTGCACTTAAACACTGATACCATGATGCTGCTTGATTGCTAATGCCACTACCGGTAAAAGCATGAAAGCCTGGTAAACAAAGTGCAACATCCACGCCCAAGAATTTCGAGATAATTGCTACAAATACGCAACCACGTCTATCTCCCGTGCCAATCAAAAAGAAAATCTCTTTCTGCATCTGTTGTTGCATGGCAATCGCAGGTATAAGAACATCTGTATCAGGGCTTTTGATAATAACTTTATCGTACGTTGCTGCTGTGTGGTTGGCATGTAAAATTAAACGAGTGTCTGTTTCTTCGTGGTGCTATGAAGCGAAGACACCTCATTACTTGTAACAATATCGTTCGGGGAATCACCGGGATATAAAACATATCATCTTTCTTTAGCAGTTACGTACATAGTTGAAATGGAACACCACCGGGAGGAGTTACATGACCTCCAGTGTTCACATAAGAAAGATATGAGGGATTTCTGGTTTTCACCGCATCTTAAACACTTTTTCCACTGTTTTGGAACACTCTGATCTTTTCCGAAGATTTGAACTTTCTGGACTCCTTCAGCTCTTCGTTGTTTCTCTGCATTCTTTATGCTCAACTAAGGATACCTGTCTGCAACAATCTAATCGTTTGGAATTATACTTTCATGCTAGCGTGTTGAGGTTTTTAAAAGAGCATCATCGCCAAATGTTTTCCATTTTCCTTTTATCGACTGAATAACTGCCATAGCATCCACAATCAGTGCATTGTTGTTAAATGCACAAACATTGACTTCTGGATTTCCAGATTCATTTTCCAATACTTCAGCAAGTTTAGACTTGGGCCAACTTGGCAGTTTTCACAAGTCCTCTCACGTTTTCATAAGGAAAATGTTTGAAATTTGTTCTTTTTCAACTTCGTAAAGATGTCTGGGTTTTCGCTCAACAAATTCGTTTTTAGTGGATTGATGATAATAAGATAAAGGCGTTGGTAATTAACTTTGTCAAAAAACTGAGATGTTGTAAATAGTTTTGCTGAGAAAACGTGTGTATTATAAAGGTAGTTAATATAAAACAAAGGTTATGCTGGAAAGGAATTGTGTAGTAATTATTTTATATAACTTGACTAGAAACAAAACGCTCGTGGATGATTTTGATGCGTGTAAGCAAAATTGGCGGATGTTTTTCCGATTAATTGTTGTCTAAGTCTTCTCTGACTAATTTAGTTTTGAAAAACTGTGAAAATTTGCGAAAAACCTTGTAAAACTCCACTCAAAGCTTCCTTGTTGAAACCTGCTTGCACAGCAAAAATGAAAGAAACTTCATTTAAATACCGGTATAAAACTGCTGAATCTGCTATATATGTCGTATATTACACCAAGTATCCACGACATTTCCTGAATCAAAATGGCGTCAGTGTATTGCAAAACATGCAAATTCACTGATGTTTCGAAGATGAAATGCTCGAAAACTGCAGGTTTGTGAAGGTGAAAACAAGTGAATTTAGACTTTCTATAATTTATCCTAATTTTCTATCGTGTTTTCAAGTAGTGCCCGAAGGGGGGCAACGAAAATCGTTTTCTAAGCGACTTTTCGTGCCAGAGAATACGGCCTATAACGCGGGAATCAGTTTTGTAATCCATTTTGTAACTCAAGTGTACAGTTGAAAATAAAAGATCTTTAACATAAAGGCAGTTTTACATAACACACTTAGGATTTGGTTGGCATACCTAATTTGTGTCCAATTCAAAGCAATCTAGGGTGGAGACTATACAAGAGCTAAAAGGAAGTTATTCGAAAACTTTTGTATGACGACCAGCTATGATGGGAAAGTTTTGCCGAGTCATACGAAATAATTTCTCGCTGATATGGAAAAACTGTAAAACTCACTACGCAATCAATTGTTCACCATATAGATTTTTGTTGTCACAGCTAATCCCCCATAGATCATTTTTCTATGCGTAGGCAGGCAAAGAATGCGTTTTGTCAGTTTTGATTGCTTTAAAAATATAATTTTTGTTTGAACAGGAATGGCGCAAGAGCTTTTCGTGCGTGTTAAAGAATATTTTAAAGTCTGCCGACTTTGAAAATCAAACAAACCTGCAGTTTGAAAAAGAAGATAATTTTCTAAAATGAATTTTCTTAAAACTTGTTAACATTTTTTTATCCCTGAAAGCGTCTTATAATAACTGTAATGCAGTTGTCGGTTATACTGAATGGGCAGTATGATGAACGGAACAACACTTCAACAATGAATTAATTTTTGCATAAACGTCCACTCAGAATTTTTATTACCAGCATGCATAATAAAGAAAACACAGTTTGAGACATTGTCGATAACAAATACTGACGTAAGAGTTTGACGAAGATACGCTGCTCCCTGGGTATATTGGAACGTAATAAAGCAAGGTCCCTTATAATATATAGTTAAAGGTATTAAGTATAATTGTATTGAACAGGCGTAACATGACACAGTCTCGGCAGTAGACTATCTGATAGAGTTTGTTATATCATGTCAGTGAGGTAGTTCATATATTATGCACGCATTGTCGCCAACCCGTGAAGAATGTTTGTTCCAAGTCCATTTTTTTAAACATAATTGGTTGAATTGGTTTTCGTACAGAATTGAGTATCAAAAGATTAAAAAAGAACAATTTGACTAGCAGAACTGCTTCGATATCGACAATATGTACCTAATTAACGGTACTTAAAAATCGGCATCAAGTCAGGAAGACTGTTTTCGATGGCCTAAGGAGTTTAAGGAGTTGATCCGGCTGCGGCTACGAAGTTTGAGCTGTGTTGCTTTCATTTCATTCACTTGGCACCCACGGACGACGGAAATTTAACTGCAAAAATTCCCACATTTTTGTCTAGAGAATATTACCAATGATGTCACCGCGCCTTAAGATAAACTGATTTTTATGTGTCTAAATTTTTCGACTATGTGGACGTAATATTGTCAGTGATTATTGGTGCATAAAAAGCTTCGTCTAGTGACTTCTTCATTGATCACTGGCTGTGAGTCGGAGGTCTTCGTTAAGATGATGAAAACCAGTTGATGGAGTACTGCATGGTTGAACATGGCTTCTCAAGCTTCGTTCCCATTAAAATACCACAAAAGACAAGAATTGTCTTAGTTGTGTCAATATATACGAGCTGTTTATAAATTTGACTGATGGCCTGATTGACGGTTCAGTCCGGATTGCGGAAACTTAATTGCATATTTGCTGGCGAACTGCAAGTGCAGGCCAAAGCTCTTTCAAGGGAACTCCGCGAAAAGGACCCTGGACACGTTAATAGTTCGCTCTTTCAACACACATTTCTTCAATGGGGACGAATTCGAAAAAGAAACGAGAGACTGCTGTACCAGATGCGCACGACGGATCACAAGGCTAACAGTGCATCATCGCCAGTCTAGGGCGAGCCGGAGGGAAGATCGTATAATAGGTGCGGTTAGACCAGAATTTTCCCTATGGACACTGTTCCCTTCGTTGACGGGACACACATTGATAACAGTCAAGTGGTTAATTTCATATTTCATTTTTGAAGTTTCATAATAGTAATAATAATAATAATTTTATACCCTCATCAGTTTTGAGGCCAGTTTAGTTTTGAGATCTCGAACAAATTCCTGCCTTTCCCAATCTCAGCAATCTCGTTCCCCGAGCCCGCAATTGCTCTGGCGAGAAAACAAAGGCTCTGGGATAATCAAAATCAGAAATGATTCTGATTGGTTGTCGGACACGCCGTTTCGATTTTGAAATACAAAGAACCGTTTCCGGTTTGGATTATTTCAGAGCCTTCGTTTTCTCAATCGTTTTCTCGCCAGAAGAATCGCGGGTTCGGGGAACGAGATTGCCATCTCAGAGGACCCACCTTAAGGTTTTAGAAGAACTGAATTAAGAGTAACTGAGTAAGTGAACAATTTGGATCCCTCCAAACAGTCCATAGATGCTTTGCGGTTCACGCTAGACCCAGTACCCTGCTCGATTGGGAAATGGCTAATTTAACTAGAATAGACAGAAGATCCATTTCTATTATATGTGTATAAAGATTTATGCACAGTCAAAGTAGAATTATGAAATAAAAATCGTGATTGGACGTACGATTTTTTTTTACCAGATGGCGTCGAAATATAGTAGTGATGGATGGATAGATCAAGACATAAGTGAGAGTTCAAAACATAATTCTAAAATTGAAGACATTTTCACATTCAGCACATTATAAAATCTTTCCGAAATAATATCCAACTTCTACTGATAAAAATTGCAAAGAAGTTAAACGATAATGAATATGTTTTGATGCATAAAATTTCGATTTTTGTTGCTCGCTGTGTTTTTGTATATTAAGCGTGTCGTCTCTATACACATTTGATAAACAAATTACTTCATGGTTAGCTCGTTTGTACGATTTTTATTATGCACTCGTTGTGAAGGATCGCAACGATTTTGAAGGATTTCGCTACGCTCACTAGTCACTCGTTCGTTTTGCGATCCTTCACAACTCGTGCATAAAAGTCGTACGCACTCGCCAACCATGAAGTAATCTCTATTACTCAATAAGGTTTCAGTTGATATCATCAAACGATATCTTTCTTCAGAGAAAGTTCCAAAATTATGAAGGATTTTAATAGTATGGCAATGCTGGAAACGAGTTTTGGCATGATGTCGCATAGAAACAAGGGTCGCGTGAAAAGGTCAAGGGAGATATTGCCCTAAGTTGATGTAATGAGACTGTAATATCGAGTGAAAGATTAAGTGATTTGTTTGTACTGTTTGCTTGATTTTAGCATTAAACATAATTGTTGTTTCTTGGGTAGAAATACTATTGGCTAGTTCACTAAGTTGTTCAATATTTTTGACCATGTAGCCTACCGGTACGAACGCGTACGAACGCGTACCTATTTGTTTCGTCGGCGCGCATAACAAAAACAATATCAACAATATAATGACGAACTTTCATGTGATTTTTTTTATTTCACTTCAACCACAAGCAGTTCAAGTGTCAAGTATCGTAGCCAAAAATATATAGTATACTGGGTTTTCAGGGTCAATCTTTTTACATCTATTGCATAACCATGCGTTGTTGTAAGCATAGATTGTGCTGTTCCATAACTTCAATTTGTTTGATAACTTGTGGATTTGTACTCACAGTGGCAATGGCAGTTTGTATTCTGGCTAAAACATTCGATAACCTAATAAAAGAAAAAATAAAAAAGGTTTGATATTTTGTGCTCACAAATAGCTGTATTCAATTTTCGCTTTTACGCGGTTAATGGTTTAATTTATTAATATCACTGATCGTAACTTGTACAAATGTATACAGTATACTATACTCTATACCTACTATTAGTAGAATAGTATATTTGTAGTCTATTACTATTAATAATGGAGGTATTTGACAGAGCCTAGTTATACACGGCCAAAAATCATGTTGATGCAAGTTGTAAAAACCGGAGTGATGAACAATGTTGTGCTGTGTTGTTGCAACAACATTGCATCAACATTGATGATTCAACAAGGTTCAATTGACAACATTAATAATACTGTCCATGGGATGCAGCCCAAAATTGTTCACTCTTGATGCAACAACCTGATCAATTTTTGGCTTTGTACCTATTATAGGATTTCTTTGATTAGATAGATAATTTCATTTGGCTAGGTTTGCATATATTTGGTGGGGACATTGACAGGATACAAGGAGAGGTGTCATTAGCATTTGGCGTCTGTGATGGTGGTGGCAAGTGTGGTAAAAGACAGGCTAATGCTGTCTTACCATGGATATTTGCCCTGTTTTAACCACTGACACTCAATATTTTAGCTTGGGTAAAGTTGGTACCAATACCGATTTATAATCTACCTGTTCTCCGCATTTGTGTAGGCACCTAACACAAACTACAAATACCAAAACTTATCAAAACAAATCATGCTGCTTCCAATGTGTTTTTGTTGAAAGTTTTGAGGCTGGTTTCTGGCATTTCCCACCCCTGATGGCACTTGGCAGTGTATGAGGGTTTTTAATTTAATCATCCTTAATATTATGTCAGTGGGTTTGGAATGATTTTAAATATCATCTAATTCATTTAAGAAAAGAGTTAGGAGATTCTTAGATAAATAATTCCATCAAAGCTTGGATTTTTTTATTAAAGAATCCACAAAGTTTATGATAAGTTGCCTTCGTGAAAAGCGCACGAAGGATTCAGATGTGTTCTACTCCTTAGCTGTCCGAAAAACTCGAAAAGGAAAATGAAAATATATGCTAGAAGTATCATTCTTGTCTCTACATATCCATATTAATAGATTAATACATTTCTCTCAACTCTATATATTTTTTATAAAATTAGCATCCCAATAACTTGTTTTCGTCATCTTGCATTAAGTTTTCGGTTCAAAGAATTGTTAGGATTGTTAGGCACCCGTAAATGAAAATAGTTTGTCGTAGACACATGAAAATAAACAGGAAAAGCGACTTTTTTTAACTTTAAGTAACGCAAACGCTCAATATAATATTTCTCGCTGTTTACCTTTGTCTGTTGTGTCATTTGCTTAAACGTAACATTTCAACCGCTCTTTATATACGCGTGTTCTTGTACCACCTATAAAGAGAAGCCATATTTTGCGCTCGAGCTTGTAGCAGAGAGCTTGTAGATAAGTTTACGTTATGTTCAGATAATGGTGCGTTATGTTCAGATACGTAAAGGCGCGTAAGAATATCAGCATTCATAATTATCCATTTGTTCACATCTATCAAAAGAAGATCATGGTTATGCGATTTACATTTTTTTTAAAAGCCAAACAGGCATTACTATTTGTAGTTGTTTTGCTTTCGCAGAATGTGGAACTGAAAGAAGGTTCAGAAACTTTGAAGGACTGGAAATCGCCATCCTCACAAGTGTACATGCAATATTTTATGTTCAACTTATCAAATCCAAGTGCTGTGAAGAATGGTGGCAGACCATCAGTCAAACAAATTGGACCATATTCTTACAGGTTAGTCTTACTTGTGATATGCAAACATGCAGGCCCATAATGTGTTGTAGTACACTTACAGTACAAATACAACCTGGATTTGATTGCCTAGCAACATATAGAATCGGACAATTATGGAGACAAAATCAACATTAAGTAGCTAGCTAGCGTCGCCTTTTACTTAATTGTTTCCCCTGGCTGAGATTCATGTAAACGATACCGTGGCCAATTTGACTAAAACCTCGTAGGAAGCATCTGATGAGTAAGAGGTACATATAAGTATGATACTTCCGTCGTTTTATCTAGAGAACTTAAAGACTGCATTGATATTCCTATTCTGAATTTGCCTTAATATATATACCTTTTCAGTTGATACGTTTTTATGTAAAATCCTACTCCAACCCCCCCACCCTAACCTACCCAAATTAGGTATATATTGAGTATACTACTCTTAAGTATACTAAGTATACTCTTAAGTATATTAAGTATACTACTCTTACCAGTAAACACCGGTGATAAAACACGTCGAGATAACGCCGCCGGTACTTACTCGAGTAACCCCAGTTTGATCCACTAACTCAGCGTGCTATTATTAATATTTTTACCTGTCATTATAATACTTACCCTTATGGCTACCCCTGCTATACTTCCAATCTTTAAAGTTCATTTTTGAAAAAAACATTACACATGGTATTTTTTCTAGAGAACTTCGTCATAATGTTCCACGTTACTTCAACCACAGTGCTGATACGATAGTTTATTTCTCAGAGAAAGCTTACGTTTTCGACTCGACCACTTCGTGTGCCGGCTGTGATCCCATTGTTGATAAGATTCATACTATTAACATTCCTTTATTGGTAAGTTATTCCACATTATGGAGGTTCAATAAGATACCCATGCCGTTCTTGTATACGCGATAAGGTGCATTGATTGCCTTACGTTTTTGGTTGAATTTGTGCAACTATAGTTTTCTCGGAATTTATAATTCATCGGTGGCCGACCCCTGCTACACAAGGAGAAATCGTCATGCCCAACGAGTGACGTATAACATGGATTACGACTTTTTATGCACGTTTTTACGTCATAGCTTGGTCGAAAAAGTCGTATTGCACGTTATGACGGCACACCAATGACGTAGACGTCAACGTCAAAGAAGCGCAAATGTGAGACGACATAAATCAGGCCACTTATAGCGCCCAGACACAAATGCATGCAAGGGAATGAAGTTCTAAATTACTGAATTTCGGTTTTTCTGTATTTTGGATTGCACAGAAAGACCCCAGTCCGTTATTTCTCGGTAAAGAGCTCGTGCTCGGTGAATAATTAAGAAGTTATTAACTTAATCGATATCCCTTTATTTAGAAAATAGCGCAGTTAATTGAGAAGATTTTGAAGTTACTGCCAAGTTATAAAGCACTTATATTACCCGAAATAAATGAATTTCTCAACGCCAACGACAAGGTGTTTGCTCCGAGAACAGTGAATGGGTTGCTCTGGGGTTACGAGGATCCCATTCTGGATTATCTAAAAAATTTCACATCAAAACTTAACAAAACGCTGGCAAAACATGGCTTCAAATTGCCCATCCCGACAGTGAATCCAATTATTAAGCTGCAGGTATGATTTTATGTAAACATCTTTAACCCTAATAATATTCTTGTATGTTTGCATGGTGACATCAATAAGTAATTTAGCTTGTAGGTACACCACGTAAGTATTTAATAGTGCAAAACTTTCGGTCCGTTAACCCGGGCCTTCATCGGGCTCTGAAGTGCAACTGCAATTCCGGGTTAACGGACCGAAAGCTTTTCATGGTATTAAATACTTACGTGGTGTACCTACAGACTAAATTACTTACCTTTAACCCATTTCGCTTTTTGTACAAGAAACACGAGAATAAATACCACACCGAGTCAAAGGTGTATTTTTGGTGTTTACAGAATTTACATGCAAATCGAAGTAACGTTTTGATTTCCGTTAGACGAACAACTCCAATACCACTGCTGAAATTCATACTGGTGTTGGAGATATCAATCGAATTGGTCAATACGTATCTTACAACAACTTCAGGTAAAGTCGTTAAAATCATAGATGAAACGACGTATTTGCTACTCGCTATTTTTTGTTTAGTTATAGACGAAGGCGCACATCAATTTTTTAAAGGGTTGGGTGTCAGTTGCCTTTCATATACACAAAAGTGGTTGCGAAATTATAGTCAAACGTAATTAGCATGCAAAAGTTTACTAAAGTACAGAACATTTTATCCTTCATCCAATGCTTATGCTGACATGCTAATGCTCAAAAAGAAAGACAAAGCTATATTAATCGGTTTTTCTTGTTTTGAAGACTATTACCATGGTGGCATACAAAGTGGGCAAATATGCTCAATGGGACAGGTATATATACACTAAATACATTAACCCTGCATTAACCAAGGAGCAGCCTGCACATGACAGCCTCTTCGAATAATTTTAACCGCCTAAAATGTCCAAAGAATCTTCCCGATGCTTCCATCAGGAATCGAACCTGTTATATAGTATACTGATCGCACATTTTTTATATAAAATAATACGTTATAATGGTATTACATGAATCTGTAGTTCATTTGGTTGGGGCTTCGCACCCAGGTCTCACCCCTAGACACCAGTCCTTTCTACTAGGCTCTATCAGCACAAGCATGCTGTAGGACCTTCCTCATACATGGAGTTTCAGGGCCGCAGGATCAATTCCTGTGTTTAAAGTTGCATTAGAAAACCTTTTTTTGGAAAACCGCGGCATATGTGCGGTTAACTATTTGCGGCTGTTAAATGATAATATATATAACGTACTGTTCTTTTTTGCTAGATGCTTCTATGTTTCATCCTGATATAAGCGAAAAGGACAAGCTATATACTTTCGTCAGCGATGTTTGTAGGTAATAAAGACGATTAAAGATATTATTCCTCAATTATGTAAACGTCAGTCTAGACACCAGTCCTTTCTACCGCGCTAGAAACTTCAAAGATCATCGACTTTGCCCCTTGAAGGTTCTGGACTTCTTCAATGGAATGATGCATGTGATATGAGTTCAACACCTATTCCGTTTTTCTGTATTTTCAGGTCATTATACCTCATTTTCAAGACGACAACTGACGTTCACGGGATACCTTTGTACAAGTTTTATACTCCTAAGAAGTTATTCAAATATACACCTGACGTTCGAGCAGGATTTTGTGCTCCTAATAAAACGTGCGTTCCCGATGGTCTGTTGGATATCAGCGTGTGTCAACCAATGCGTAAGAATTTAAAATTGTATAATTAATGTTTCTTGAAACATTGAGCTAGTGGGCCGGATTAGGTACGAAGACATCCGGACACTGAAAACATCCGTATTCAAAACAAACTATTCGCGAAAGTACCGCTAATCCTCACAGTTGGCAAAAATAGTGCAAATATTGCTAGGGCGATTAGCATTCCTTTCTGCATCAATTTGAACTTTGCCATAGACAAAGTTTAGATAGAGCCGGTTGCATAAAAAGATGATTAACTAGTGGTAATAAGAATGCCCAATCAAAATCGAGTACTTTGGAGTTTCAAGTTTGATAAAGCCAAACGTAAGAGTTGATTCAAATTAAAACCTTACGGATAAATCTAGCAGCGGTATGAAATTTTATTACTGTGAATATTTAGAGGTTCCTATTGTTGTGTCTCTTCCGCACTTCCTGTTTGCGAATGAATCTGTCATAAAATCTGTTGATGGAATGCATCCAAATGAAGACGACCACGCAACATTTGTCTCAGTTGAACCGGTAAGATTTTTGCTATTCTTCGATTAGAATATCCCGGGGTTGATTTGGCATGTTTATTACGGGAGGTATTCCCAGGGCCGCACCTAGGCTCTCGCAAGTGATGGGGAAGGGGCTACGAAGCCCCGCATTTCTGAATGCAAGATTTGAAAGTCTCGAGTATTCTTCCAAAAAGAAAACAAGAAAACCAAACTCTATTATATAGTATTTTCATCACTCTTGTGTTGACAATATTATGGATCAATGCTTTGCTATTCCTATACTGCGGTCCGTGATATAAAAATGATGATATAATAAATTCAATTCATTAACTATTATGCAGAATACTGGCATTACGATGAAGGCAAGCAAAAGGATCCAGATCAATGTGAATGTAGACAAAGTTGATGATATCGAGTGAGCTAAACGTTTTTATGCCGTTTTATGTACATGCACAGGAAATTGAATAAAAGTTGTTAAGACTTTGAATGCGAGAGGAAATTTGGCTTAGTTTGCAACTGATTAAAAAAACCTATTGAATTGGCTGTACATGATGATTTCCTCCCCTACAAAACTTGCCATAGTACTACTACATTTGAGTGAAAAATCCCATTTCCTCACCGTGTATGCACAAACATTGTTTTACATGCAAGAACAAAAAGGTGGAGATTTTTACTGTCTCTAATATAATGATTGCTATACCATTTTCTAGCATGGCTAATCGCATAAAATTCTCCTTTGTTTTCTATCTGAACTTTGAGTGCATACTTGTGTGCATATGAATACGCCTTTGACGAATCTCACAGCTTTATTGTTTTTGTGTTTAAAACTTTATATTTTTCTCGTTGCAGCGAATTAAAAAATCTTAAGAAAGTTTATCTCCCTGTATTATTTGTGAATGAGGTAAGCACCCCTGTGCGCTCGCACATCTCAGCCACACAAATCTCTATATTACGCTGAATGCAGCCTTTATGTTTTCAAATAAAGCGCATGGGTACGAGGCTGTGCAAACGAGTGAATAGTTAAGAATAGACACCCGTTATTACTTTTCCACCTGGCCTTGACAGTCAACCATTTACAGGGACTATTGTATTCTATTGTTTCTATTGTTTCTATTGTTTGTTATCAGATTGCTTTGCATGTTTATCCTGCAAGCTATACAGGGTGTCCCAAAAAAAACGCAACCACTTAAATATGCAAGAATATTAATATTGTTCGGGTTTGCACCATAGTTCAGCTAAAATGACTTTTAGCATTGTAAATGAAGGATTAAGAGCCATTTTCAATTCCCAGAGGTGCTTATCTATTGCGCTTTAGAGATGTTTTGCATATTTAAGTGGTTGCTTTTTTTTTGGGACACCCTGTATATTTCTAGCAATTCATCAATGTCTTAATGTAGTTAAGAATCTCAATTATTTCATATATATAATAGTCCTTAATATAACATTGTGCTTACAAACTTCAACTTTGTAGTTCCTATTCTGATGTTTATATTTATTTTTTTCATTTAGAGTGCTGTTATTAGTGAAAGTGATGCTGAAAAGTTCAAGAAGGATGTTCTTTTGCTCATAGAAATTCTAAATATAGGAAAATATGTCTTGCTTGGTGTCGGATGCCTTATGATGTTAATCGGTTTGTTATTGCTACGTTACCAAAGAAAGGTGAGTATTTATAGGATTCTGCTGGTCACTTTTTGTTTATCTCGAAAAGGTAAACATTAAGATTGAGAAGGGTATTTAAATAGCCACAGATTAACACGATAGAGATGGTAAGCAGAAGTATACTTTGAAGAGTCAACTAAAGATGGCGAGCCTATACTGACAGATTTAACTTATCCGTGATCCGCCGCATCTTCATTTTTTATTTATTTCTCATTTTAGTTAAAGAATGATATTTATTCGGAATCTACAGTTCAAGTACAAAGTCATAGTGATCCTAGCAGTGAGAAATCTCCCCTTTTGCAACCAGCACAAAATTATGTCACGTGAAGAATAGACATATACACATCGAAAATTATTAATTAGGTATGATTTGGAAAAATGTTAATCAGTGACATGTTATTAATTCTCGTTATAAACTTTACTTACATTAATTATACATCTATACGATGCACTAAGTATAGAATTATCTGGTTTGAAGTATCTTTTTGAGCACTGTTTTTCGGCAGTCGAGGTTCATTTACTTAATTTACCTGGCCGTGAGCCTTTTGTTCAGTGAACTACTTCAACCGGCAAGTAAGGCAAAATGGAACACTTATTAAACTCTGCCACTACGAACAGGTGAAGTAGCTGATACAAAATGTGTGTGAAAATTACATCTCACTGTTTTTATCAGTGAAAACATATTTTTCAAAATGAAAACGAAAATTTACGAAAACTGGTTATAAGAAAGAATTCTAGTTATTCTACTATGATGCATTGCTGTGAAGTTCTTTTGTGTGTCAAAATTTCACTTCATGTGTTTTTTTTGGTCATGTGTTGTCAATGTTAATGTGTGCATTGTAGATGATTAGCCGAGAAAGGGGGTGGAAGTAATTTAGGCGATTGCCCCATGGTCAAAGTTGTCCAGGGAAAAATACTATGCCTATGCAATGTTTTGCGTTACACATGTTTCCTTTGAGCAAGGGGCGTTGGCAGCGGTGCCAACCTATGGAATATTTTTAGAAATTCTGCAAAAGGGAATCGTTTCCTAAACCAAATTTACTAAAAGAAGTGAATATAATAAGAGAAAAGGCTGTTCCCGACGATGAACTGAAGACTTAAATTGTTCGTCTCTCCAAATAGTAACCAAACTCCCACGCCCATGCATGGCCTAGTGTTAATTTTCTTCCTTTTCCACGGTTGTGACTATGACGTTGCCATGTACCTGTGTGTACGTTTAATGTGGAGGGGTTTGGAAACATGTCAAATTTCACGTACATACCACAGAGGTGAATAAACCAAACCTTGATTATGTGTCCATCAAAGCAAGCCCGTTTCGAGTATGGTTTGCTATATGGCAAATTTCAAAATAATAGTTTTATGCTTGAATTTGCTTGAATAGTTACTAAAACCTCATTCTGAAGCATTTTAAAATGTCTGTTAATAATGTATATCAAGCAGTCATTTGGGCTAACGAAAGTCCGAGATTGGCCAGAATTCCCCACCTGGCCAAAATCTGAACCAAAGTAAGAATATTAGTAAGAATATTTTGCCCCGCCCTCTTTTATCAAATGGCGGGAAATATGATGACTGGTTTCCGGGCTATTCCGGCTGGCTTGGTAATGTTTTGCCATGTGGACCATGTGGTTTTGCGCAGTCGTAAAGTGTGATAAATAATACGCAAGGTTTGAGGGAATTGCAATATTGCATGCAAGGTTTTGAAAGGTTTTTAATAGAGAATTGTATGCTTTAACTTGCCACGGCAATTGCCTATTTGGTTATAATATGGTGAGGAATGAATACGGTAAAACGACTTGGGGGGAAGCCTTCTTGGATGCCCTTGGGTAAGTTATATTTTTTGTCATAACATTCAGCAACTGCCTAGTGTTAGAATTTGAAAGCTATTATAGGCTCCACGATTTTCATAGCTTTAGACAAAATTAGTAATATGGACCTATGTAATGCGCTATTCGGATTTCCACCATCATAAAAATATTATGCCAGCGTTACGTACATGCAAATTCGGTTTATCTTTGGTATGTGCCTCACAGGCCAGACAATTGAGACAAAGAACTCCTTTAATATATCAGTTACATGAAGAGGCCGGTTATGCTTGTCAATGTTCAGCGTCAAGTAAATTGTCGACTGCAAGCATTCATAATATTGACGCTTTTGTTTCCCAGGTCTTGTGTTATAAATAAAAAAATATTCCTTGCTTGTGAATGTTTAATATTTATAGGGTGGGTCCAGGGCAGAGGGCTTTATGGACTTTTATCTATCTTTAAGACCTCTGAGTTTTCTTGTGACAGGGGCCAACCTAGTATATGACAGCTAATCAACTGTAATGGCAAAGCACTTACTTGACTAAAACATTCAAAAGCTATGGCTGGTAGCTGGATTTTATCTATTTCATCTGTTTAATCAAGGAATAAAGTTGCTTTTGCACATAGCCAACCAAATAAATATTTCTCATCATGAAGTTTCCAGTTGACCTAATTGTTTTGTGTACCAGAGAGTCAGATACTTGAATCTCTGTAGAGCAAAATGCAGATTGATTCCGGGCTTTTGGATATTGGTGAACCAGTATATTCCACTAGAATTGTGATTTGGGTACTCCAAATAGAACAGACTGTAATAACAACAACAAATACCTTTAAAACCCAAAATGTGAAGTTAATCAATGTAAACTACGGCATGCATAATCCATATAATGAACACATTTTTTTAGTCGTCTTGATACAAATGCAAGACTAGGTCGTGGTAAAACATATGCAAACACTGGAAAAGTTTTGACCATTGGCGTAAAAGGACCACAGGTAATTACGTTTTACCGGTTTACCCATAGTTAATAACATTACATTTGAAAGTTTAAACCTTTTATAAAATAAAGTAATGATTTAACACTAATTTAGTTTTGGAGGGGGGGGGGCATTTAATGCTCCAGGGACCGTGGAGCAGTTTTTGGATTGGGGGGCTAGCGAAGCCGAAAGAGAGAACCCTCGGGGGGGGGGTCTATACTTATCTATTTATATTTTTCTTGTAAACACTTCAATGAAAACATTGTTCACCGACACGGATAGTGAACACATAATTATGATTACACAACTTACTATAAGCAGTTTTTATTCGTATTTATTATGGCCATATAAAATCGCTATAAAGGATCACATGTATTTAGAGAATTATTGGGGGGGCTTTAGCCCCCCCCCCCACTCCGCGATCCCTGTGCTCACCAGCCTTAGCTGTACCTATACCTAAAAAGTGATAGATTGTTGTCACATACTTTAGGTGACTGCCAAGGTTCAAGGGAACTATGGAGTGTATGATGTATTGGTCCAATTTCAAGTATTTGCTGAAAAAGAAAAACAAGAGATTTATGCCATTATTGACCAAAACCCAATTTTACTGGCTCACATTCTGAATGGAGAGCTGCCAGATGAGCTGTTAAATGCCTTATTCGCGGTAGGGTTTAGCCTTAGGGTGGGAATTTTGTTATTGCAATACTGTTATACCTGTAAATTGTGTGTTTTCGTATGTCAACTGAATGTGCGCCACTAAAAAGTACAATTTGCATGTTAGACATGTGTGACGCTGAAATGTTGTAAAATTGCGCACGATAATTTTCACGAACGCACAATAAGGCAATACTTTTCGCATTTTAAACATATATTTCGCCGACTAATTTCGGTATGCTGATTAGGTGATTGTGGGGATTAACTTCACGTTCTTTAAAGTCTTCTGAACAACTTTTTCTTTAAATTTAAGGCGCATATCAAACTCTTTCCAACATCTTGGCGTGCAATTCGTGCTCGATGTTCATGTCCTGATGATGGTAATCCCTGCAAGCATATGGCCGCAGTTTACTTTTTACTGACATCTGAGATAGACAAGAACCCGTTTACGTTGTTTTTACTTCGTGATGTCGACCTGAAGAGGCATTTTAATGTGAAGAATAACGAGATAGAACCATCCTATCCATTACCTGCAACTGAAATCAAGGAAACAACAAATTCCGAAAAGGAGACTGTTGTCCATTGTGAACTTGTTAAAATACCTCACTTAGCGAACTTTATTTTGGACTGTCTAAGTCCAAATCCTGCATTCTCAATGCAACTGGACTATAAAGATGTTATGATGGAATTTTACAGGTATTTTGATCAGGATCATCAAGTGTAAGCCAAAAAAATTGTCGAAGAAGGTGTAACTGAGACCAAATAACTCCGAAAAAAAGTATTCGTATACCCTTTGTTTACTTATACGAGATATGGAACAGTTTACCAAGAATGCAGCTTCGAAAATTGGGAAGGAAAATAATAGCTAGTTTTGCCATAACACTTACTATATTTGAAACTTGTTCTTTCTGATAGATTTGCTGAGAAAAAGGGCAAGCAAGTTATTGGTTCGTTTCCCGAAGGCGATCCATTTGACAGTGCTGATGGTGATACTTTCCAGAGAGTATGGTCAAACAGCTGTTTTCAACTCAAACTTTCTGAGAATTTTTCAAACGCGATGGTTTTGGTCAAAAATGAAGTTTTTAACTCCGATTTTGATATCAAAAATCTAATGAAGACAATACCAAACTCTGTTATGCTTAATAGATTAGGTATACATATAACCTTTTATCAATATTAATCAATATTACATTTTATCAGTTTTATTTTATAGATTATAGTAGCTATAACTTGCATGCGGTGAAACATGTTGTTTTAAACATATATTATTATTGTGTTTTTTTTAATAGGAGAAAGAATTGATAAGGTTATTTCTCTTGATTTGTTTACGGCATTTCAGGTAAAACATGAATTTGTTTTCAAAATGGGTCATTTAATTGTGTTGATATATACTTATAATGACAATGTAGTTCAAAATCTTGATATCTCAAAACAAATTTATTCATGCGAAATTTATTCAAAAAATTTTATACCCAGCTAGCGTTGACTTCGAACGCCTTAAAAAAAGCCCGAATTGAATTACGATGTTTTTTTTATTTTAGGTGTTTTTGCGCTGTACGTCTGACTTTGGAACGAGAAGTTATCGTTATTTTTACTATGCCTTCCGTGTTGCTCTACTGCTCATTAACAGTCAGGCGTATATCCCGGATGTTTTGCCAATGTCTTACTCATCAGATAATGGTAAAGTTTTATTATTTAAGGTGAGGCAACCACGTTTTAGCCATCAAGGGATTTTTAAAATGAGCAAATGCGTTTGCATGGCAACTTCATACATGGTTGGTTACTTTCGTTTTGGCCCGTACGTCAAAAATAATACGCCTGTTTTGATCTTTCTATTTTAGATCATTTGGAAACCGTTATATTCTTGCTCAATTATTTTGGAACAGTTAAAAAATCTCAATGACATATTTCCACTAAAGAACGAAAACTTCTCTGGTGGGTCCATCTTGCTCGAGGTTGCTGGAAAGTCTTCTGTGCGCCCAAAAAAATCGTTAGACGCCAGTTCCGGTACCCTGCATTTACTTACTGCTCTGCTTACTCAGTTAGTCAGGAAAATGGAGTTCAGTCATAAGAAGCTGAAGAATAATCCACCAAAAGAGTCATTAACATTCTTCTTTGGTCAGGTAAATACCTTGCAGAACAACTTCACAATATAGTCTGGGTACTTAAATAATTAGATGAATGCTACAGAGTACAGGTGTTAAACTTGCGGCCACAGGTTCTTGAAATATCGTTGGACACACCAGTATTAATCACGAGTTTACTTCAACACTTTTTTACTTTCATTATACCAACAATACGCTAGTGATCTACGCTCCTCTAGTATGCAGGGGTGGATCCAGCACTAGTGCACTCATTTGCATGACACAAGAAAACTGCTAAAAATAACCACTTTGTTTTGTAATGCAAATTTGTGCACTAGTGCTGGATCCACCCCTGAGTATGTGACTTCGTTCTTACATAATTTGTGAATGTTATATCTGAACTTTTTGGGTCTGAACTTTTTTTAAATGAATGTTTCAAATATTTACTATTCTCTCTGATCCCGTGATTCACTGAAACGACTCGGGTTAATGTGCGTGATGCAATAGGGTGTCAACCTTGTGTGATAAAATTCTAAATACATGCAGTTTCTGAAAGATTTCAGTTTAGGCTAATGTGATGATCGATGTTCATAATGGGTTTGACTTCTTGAAAAATAAACATTTTAATAACGACCATCCTCCATTGAATGCTTCCATTCAGGTCTTCCATGTTATGTCACTAGCTGAGCACAACATCCCGAAAGCAATCACGAAGGCAAGTATTTTTCCAGTGCAGAAGTATTGTCCGGTTGATGGTTGTCCGGAAGTATTGCAATAATTGGTTAGAGAAAATTTCCTTTGTTGACTTTCCAAAAACACAGCAGCTCATATCCAATTTGCCAAAGCATATCGAGACTTTGGCTGGATTTCCACTTGCAGAGAAATGGTTCGCCAGCGAAATATTTGCATATTTTCTTTTGAATTCAGAACAGTCATGTTGAACTAATTCAGTATTTATGCTTTTAAAATTTAGAAGTTTTAAAAATTTAAAGCCACTTTCAACAATTTCAGAAATTTTAATAATATCCTTGAATTTTGCATAGTGAATTAATATAAAATCATCAGTTTGTAGAAAATACCATGCACGTGTACTGATTTTGACCGCGTATATGCATGGAAATGGCAATTTAGATTTGTTTCTTTTACAGTATTTTGGCGTCTTCGAGCTGATGAAAACTGATTTCAAAGTGTCCATTCAAATCACCAATAACACAAGCATCTTACATGTCGGCTCGCCACCAACTCTTAACCCGCGAGATGACAAATTCAACATTGGTCTTTTATTGACAAAATCGGGCTCCCTTGCATCAGATGCCCTCTCTTTAAGGCGTTTCTTGCAAAGATATCCGACTGATAGGAATCAGGTATGGTCATGTAAAGTTATATAATCGTGTTAGTTTCAATGCTTTTGTCATGAGGTAAACATGTGTGTTGTGTTATTTGATATACTTTTTCTTTTCAACAATTAGTATATTTAAACTATTTTATACACATGCAATTTATACTTTTAGATTCTGAAGTTTTTATCCACGTTATCTCCTTACCTCAACAATGTTGAGAAATTTTTACTGAAAGATGATATTCCTCTGTCTTCCGGAGATCTTGAAGTTCTTTTGTTACAAACAGCCAAATTGTTTGCAAATTTGGGAGTTCAAGTTATTTTACCTCGAGAATTAAAGTAACTATATATTAAATGATTTTTTGCATCTTGGAATTACGTCTAGTTACAATGCTAAAGCAGCAGGCTAACGGGGGTAGGAAATATTTCATGAGACATTAGATATAGATTTACTATATCTTGTATTTTGCGGTTCCTATATATTCTACGAAACACGAGAGTATTCAAATTCTTACCAAAAGAGAATTTTATAAGTTGCATGTTGCTACTTTTTTCGGACGTCCTTGCTGTAAACTACTATGTCCTGTACTAACGCAATACAAAACCTCCTTCTTAGGAATATTCTCAAACCAAGAGCTGTTGTTAGGACTCGTAGTAAATCAGTATTAGGTAATTTTTATTTTTTTGTTTAAATTAGGTAATTTCTATTAATTTAAGTACTGTAAATTCCTTGTAAACAAGACAAGATTCAATATTATTCGGTATTCCATAGCATTATTTATAACATGTATTTCTTTGCTTCCTTTATGTAGACGAGAATATGTCACAGAAGAGTTTTCTCAGTTTGAACCAGCTTCTCTGTTATAACTGGATGGTAGGCCTACTCTGCTTAACAAATAGATTACAATGAACCGTTGTCTGTTCAGTTATAGATACACGGTATGACGTCATATGTGATAAGAACAAAAAAAGTGGCCACGAGCCGCCGGGGCGAGTGGTCACTCTTTTGTTCTTATCACATATGACGTCATACCGTGTATCTATAACTGAACAGACAACGGTTCATTGTAATCTATTTGTTTTATATAATAAAACTGAAAAAAATCCAAAATTAAACCGGTAAAAAGAAAATTGCTGTGACGTCATTCCGTGCGTCTGTCCTCTTATAGATCATGGCTCTCGACCAATGAAATTGCTTGAATTCTTTACGTTATTATATAAAGTGTTTTACAGTATTTTTATAAAGCATGCAAGGGGTATGAATTACTCATATCCCATGTTTTTTTGTCATGCGGGGAATCATTTCAGAAATCGATGTTTCCTTAGATATGCATTGGAAATGAACAAATAACTGTTGAAGAATTCCAGAAAATGGTGAGGAGCGGGAAAAAGTTGTTCAAGTTTAAAGAGACGTGAGTTGACGAAATGTCAGAAAGGTTTTCAAAGATATTATTTATATAAACTAGAAGGTCTGGGAACTAGCTAATAAAGAAGTGTGCTAAGAATTCCTAATTGCTGTGAGAATAGGAAATGTTATATAATAAAACAGCTTTGCTCCTAACAATGGGTATAGGCTACTTGATTTTAAAGTTTAGCTATAGTGTCCCATCACACCTTTCATTTCCGGTCGAGTAAATTTAGGAAGAGAAAGATGTTTTTTAAAAATTACATTTAGAAAGAAAAAATTCCTGAAATTTTCCACATTAGGTATGTCGCTATCACAGCCGAAGAAATGAAGAATATTCTTAGTTCTGTGAATAAACAGCCGCCAACGTTGTCAGGAATTGACTTGTTGAAAGAGGTTTGTTTGTAAATGAAAAAATTACATACTATATTAACATACAGTAAGTTGCGGATTCCAAACTGAACCAATTACATTATTACAAAAAGAGGAAATATCCTGAGTTCATGTTGTTTCATCGATAATTCTAGAGATTGAGAGAAAATTCAATGTTCATGTTGGATTCAGAGGTTGAGGAATTCTTCAAGAAGAAGTTGAAGGTCACAGATCATATGGTAACAAAATATTCATCTAAAATTTATATCATATACATGTTTTAAAACGTTTCCCTATTCCTCATGCAGCTAGGTTGCATAGTGGCAAAATATTGATGATAAATTATTTAACCTCAGGTTCCTGCAACTTTGAATTGTACCTTACGAGGATATCAGACGAAAGGATTTAGGTGGCTAGTCTCAAACTTGCTCAACGGTTTCGGGGTGAGTTTTTTACTTCCAGTTTATATCTATTGGATATCATGCATGGTCAAGCCCGTTAACTTGTGCATGAAATATGCAAAGATTACATCATACATCTTCATCTACTGGAGTCATCAATCCATATTTATAAGAATTGAAGGTACTGTGACAAACGTCTGTGTTTGAAAAATAAAATTAACATTTTTTGCACTTTTAGTGTATACTAGCTGACGACATGGGTCTTGGTAAGACCATACAAATGATTGCTGCCATTGCATATCTCAAATCTCAAGGCATTCTGAAAAATACAGTACTTATCGTTGTACCAAGTAGTTTAGTTAGTAATTGGAACAGAGAAATACATCGTTTTGCACCAACAATGACTGTGTCCACATACTATGGCGCTGGAAGACAGATTGAGATGAAAGGTAAGCTTGAACTTCGAATTAGACTTCTCCATTTAAAATGATGTGCATGCAACCGATCATATGTGAACAGTAAAATTCCACATGAACAAATAATAAGATGATGTGGATAATTATAGTACGCGCTTTTTCAATAATCCAATTTTAAATTCTTTATTCGTGGATTACAAAATTAATAACTGCGTATGCATGTAACATGCTTTATAGTATCGCTATTATTGTCCTTATTCAAATGCTGCTTTTTTAAGATCAACAGAACGCTAATGAACTTGTGGAGGTAATCAAGTCCATCACATCTCCGCTTGAAGAACGAAAATGCGACGATATAAAGCAGAAAAGTATTGTTAAATATGAGATGGAAACAGATATCAAAGATGACATTAAAACAGAAGTTAAGCATGAAGTTAAGACAGAACAAAACGCAACAAGCATTGCTCCATTTTTATTTTACAAAGTAAAGACCAATACCTGTGACCAAAAGACCGTTGTTAAATCCGAGATGAAAACTGAAGGCCCTTCGCTACCGCCAGTAAAGGCTGAGACATTAGATCAGAGACCTGCTACGGTTGGTTCTGATTTATACTCAGCCACAAAGGCCGAGAGGAAGCGGCCATTCACACCCGACAGCCACAGCAAGCCAGCAAGTACAAAGAGGGTAAAACGTAAAGCGAACACAGAAGCAAGTGATGTCATACTGACAACTTACAGTTTGATTTGGAGAGATTTGTCGGAACTGCAAAAGAAAAACTTCGGTGGGTGTTATTATATACGAGTTTTTTTACGACTTGTGGGCGTCCACTACCTCTACTGACAGGGCTGTATCTGAGTGGTCAGGCGGTGTGAACTATCATATCCCCATTGCATTCATTCTGCATGCATTATTGTAGACAACCAAATCTCGCGAAAACATCTCGCCTCGTCATAAAGGAGTCTGTTTACGTGAATGATCTTATTTTCTTTTTTACTTCTTCCTGTGTAGGGTTGATATGCATTGATGAAGCACAATACATAAAGAATTCCAAATCGCAAACTACCCAGGCGTTAAAAAAATTAAAGGCACCATTACGCGTTGCTTTATCTGGGACACCTGTGGAGAATAACTTGGCAGAATTGTGGTCCGTCTTTGATTTCGTTCTTCCCAAGTACCTTGGTAATCTAAAGGACTTTAAAGCTTCATATTCAAAACCTATTGAGGTAAGAGCGTTTCCTGAGAGAAGGCCCCTGTCACTTCATGCAAAAGACCGTCAATTTCGTGGGGATATATCACACTATTCACATTAGAATATCAGAAATGGGGATAAACTATCACAAAAATGCTATTTGGAATTTTAGTTTAAGTGCAAGACTGATTTCTCACAGATTTTGTGTGTGTGTTTTACCGAGTACACAGAGCACTTACTATCACTGCAAGTTCGAGAGCAGGGTCAATCCAATTTTCAAAGACTTTGGAAAAAACTTCGCCTTATATGTATAAATCATGCATAGATTGACTGTGTGCCATTCTTACAATGCTTCATGCAGTAATATATATGTGATAAACATATACCATGCGCGTTTCCAGGTAAATTGCGACGAAGAGAAACTGATCGATTTAAAAGCTGTATCTTCACCTTTCTTATTGCGACGATTAAAAACAGATAAGAATGTCATTAAAGATTTGCCGTCCAAGGTATTTACTAAGAATTTTTTTCAAATTTGCCTGCCTTGAAACATTTTTGTGCACTTTCGAGGTCACATGTTTGGCTAATTGATGATATATTGTTTTTACCCGTCTACAGATCGTGGATAACAAGTATACGACACTTGTTGCTCAACAGGCTGCTTTATATGAGGTTAGTGAACTTAGTAATCATGCATCTTTATGCACAGAGTCAGAGATTAAAAACTTAATGAGAGGGGTAAGTATTCGGGAAATATCAAACTAGGGCGGATTTTTATTATTCGTGAAGAAGATTAGATTTGGAACACATTGTGCAGCTATTAACTGTCAGCATTTCCAAACATAATTTTCTTTCTCGTACATGCAGACAAACCTGTGTGTTTGTTATGGCTTAGACTATGTCAAGATTTTATGAATAGTGCATGAGCTCAATTTATCACGTTCGTCATCACCACAGGGAGTTGTTCAGGACATAACCCAGAAGATATCAGAGAGCCAAGGAATCCAGAGAAAAGGACTCATCTTCAAATTGTTAACATCATTAAAGCAGATATGTAACCATCCAGCAAACTTTGGCGATGACACCGATTTAAGTCCCGAGAAATCTGGAAAGGTTCGTGATCGTCACATTGCCTTAACGCTGCGTGGCGTGTTTTACAGCCGTGCGTTTTCATGCTGACCCCCAGTTATTCAAACCCAGACTTCCAACTTCAAGCTTTCTACGGCTAACATCATAGCATACTGTATTTTTAGACAAAACTCCTGTTCGAATTGCTCGAACCAATCATTAAGGCTGGAGAGAAATGCTTAATTTTCACACAGTATGTTAAAATGATCCACATTCTGCAGAAAATTATTGAGAAGAAGTTGAGCGTCAAGCCACTGATCTTTGAGGTATATATTATATTTTCATTATATACTTCAAAATTTTTAACCTCACCTTTTTTTTCTTTTCCATGCATAAAATATTTTTATAAAATGCACTCTTCTTTTCAGGGTTCAATGCCTCAGAAAAAACGAGATTGTGTTGTTAATGAATTTCAAAATCATCCTTATCGCCAGATATTCCTTATTTCTCTAAAAGCTGGTGGCGTAGGGTAGGTGTATTATGTTAACTATTACAAATGCTGCATTCTGATTGGTTACGCTTTTCGCTATACAATTGTATACAGTTAGACAACGAGGTCAAGTTTTCTATGATCTTTTTTTACTTTAAAACTACGTACAACTTTCATTCACTCGCTCTCGACCCCTTCAATATTGAAATGACTCTTCGAAAACATCTTTTCGAGAACATCTTCCGATGTGGCGATCTATATACTACATTTGACTGTGGGTATTTAAGGTATTTTTAACCGGTTTTCGCAATGAAGCTAAATTCACCAAATTTCAAACGAATTATCTTGTAGACTTAATTTAACCGCTGCAAACCACGTCATTCATTACGATTTATGGTATAATCCAGCAGTGGAGAACCAAGCCACTGACAGAGCATTCAGGTATGAAATTTAAGAAACTTGCATTGATTGGGTATTCTGAGAAAGGTTGGTTTGCGATTGATGTTTATATATGTATTATTCTTATCATTATCATCTTAGAATTGGTCAAACAAAGAATGTGTTTGTTCATCGTCTGATAACACAAAATACTTTCGAAGAGAAAATAGACGAGATGTTAAAACAGAAGCAATCCTTGTCGGATATGAGCATCAGTGTTCAAGAAAGTTGGATTACTGAATTATCAAATGAAGATCTGAAGAAATTATTCATGAGAACACCTTAGAATATCATCAAGCATCAAGGATACGGTTCTACTGATTGTTTGGTTAATATTCCGTTACAGCTGAAAGGGACAGTTTTTTATAGTTGAAAGTGGCATGTGTTAAATTATTGGATATGTTTTGTTAGCTCACTGGCTGTAAAAACCCATAACGCTGACCCCGTCGTCCGGTAATTCCGTCACAACTTTATCGTTTTTAATTTAAAACACCTCTTAATGATGAAATATATTTCACGTTTTACTCTAACAAGCGGCAGGTGCAAAGATGCAAAACATGTGCAGAGACGCAAAATATCATGAAAAGTTTTTGACCAATGATATGGAAATAACACGAAATCCGTTCATTTTTGGTGGTTCGAAATTGAGAAGCTTGACGTTATAACCGGGCGGGGCGTTGCTCGTAATTTATAAACAGGGAAATTTTGAAACAAATTTAAAACTCTCTTTTTTTAATAACTACATTTTATGACTCGCCATCGAATTGTAAAATGATACTCGCAGGAAGTGTATGATATTTTATTACAAGCATTCCTTGTCCCAAACCAGCACACATAACTTCAAATCTGCAGTTGAGCACTTTTGACATATTAAATCGCCGGGTACAGTACAGTAGCCACAATCTGAATCTTCACTGCAAGGTTGCTGGAGTTGTTCACAGCCTTCAGTTCCGGCTTGACCGCTGTTCGAACCCTTTAAAAAAGAAGGGTGACAATGAAATATGTGCACTATCAATCATTTTATATTTGAACATGAAGCTACGGTTACTATATATTAGAAAACTTTGACTATTGGTTTCACTGTGCTTTCAGTGTGATATGGTATAATTGCCTAATGCCTAGGCTTGTCAGCCAATTCTTCACCCAAAGATCCCTTCAGACAGAAGACGAGCTTCTTAATTGGTAAGTGATTTCATCTTCAAGGTTAGTGCATGATTTATTTCATCTTCTCATCAGGATCATCAATGCATGTCGAGAAGATATGAAGCGTGTGCAGCATATATACATATATGACCTTGCGCTTGAGCAGTTAGTTCATTAATCTCAGATACGCGTTCCTGCTCGTTGGGTTGTTTCCCGCATAAAGAACTGGCTTTCAGCATTTCATGCACATTACGTTACATTCCACCTTGTAAAGACATGCACTATGCACTTACCCCGAAAACCCAAGCAGATGTTAACGTTGGCATCACCACAAAAAGAACAATACAGACCAGGTATACACTGCGGCTGAATTTCATCTTGATCCTCTAATGATCATCAATTTCTGAATATTCAACGAGCTTTTATATGCTGTCACTGCACACAGTTTTTACGACTATCAACATTCATTTATTAATTCGAGTAATAACAATTATTAGCTAATAAAATTATTTTTTTAAACATACTCAATCATAAACATAGACTTAGTCGTGTATATTTATGCAAAAATAAAACTAATTTGGGGCTTTTCTTAAATTAGTTATTATGGCAACAGACCATGTTTAATATTCTTAATTAATAATTGTTCTTATTACATTTAATCAATTATTTCTTATTTTTAATTTACTCATTAGACCATGTTTGTTCAAAAATTAAAAACCATGGTTTAATATTCTTAAATAATAATTATTCTTATTATTTTTAATTAATTATTTCTTATTTTTATTTTACTTATTAGACCATGTTTGTTCAAAAATTAAAAATATAATATTAAACCGAAATATAGGAATGCTAATAAACACCAATAAAACACAATAATAAGCAAGATATTGCATGGATGGGATTATTTTTTAAAATCATTTCCAAGGATCACAAAAACCGAACCCAAAATCAAAATAGAATATCCGTTTTTAGCAGATTGTATTTTCTTTTTTTTTGTTTTCTAAAAATTTCGTTTATGCCATTTTCCTGCTATTTCTACATTATTCACCCTTCCATCTTGATTCACGTATCCAAATTAATTTTTATTATAATGCACCTTATACAAAATTTACTAAAGATTTCGGGTCTGGATAAAACGATCCATTCTAATTTAAGGACATCAAATTTTAGATTGTCTTGCAGTAGAAAGTGGGCTTCATGCATGGAGCTTCCTTTTCCTAATAAATAAACCATTGCAAAAGTTTAAAACGGGTATCGCACAATAACACAGCTAGAGAATTCGAAGTTCGAATAGACAAGGTAGAAGTAGGCTATACTATAAAAAACTCGAATCCTAAAGAAGGCTCTGCACATGTTAGAGCTGTTGCTCTGTGAGAATCTAATGGAATGGAATGACCATAAACAATGAAACTATATGCAGTAATCTCGGTTAAAATCCACTGTCGGTTTAATGAATTCGTAAAGGAGTTCAACGTACAACGAAATTCTGTTTTAGGATGGACTGGTATTATTTGACAGACAGATTCTCCTTATTCCTTATGGGTGTATTACTATTACCGTCCATGCAATGATAAATATCATGGACACATTTATCTACAATGAAGAACTTTTATTGACTGTTGAATGCTTATATTAAACATATACACTTCATATGCATGATAAAGATTTTACACGTTTTTATTTCTCGCGCTATGGCTTTGGAGTAGCCGGGGGGCAGCCGCCACTGCTCGGTCGGCCGCGATATGCCGTGATACACTTTTTGTTTTCCCCGCAAGTCGTAGTAGCACATATCAGATTGTTGACACAACCAAATTTTTCACAGTCTGACGTTGACGAACACGGTTGATGAAACATTCCACAACCATTACTTGGCGTCTAAATTCAAAAATAATCAATTCGAAAGTAATTCATAATTTCATATACGAATACAGGTCAACCGGCCAGTCAAGTACGAACTATAAAAACTTTTTTCTAATACACCCCTGTTTTTGTGAAATGATGGATGCATGGTTTCGTACACGTCAAGATTGTTCACGGAATCGTTTTATTTTCTATTAAAATCGTATAAACTCAATCTTATCACTAACTACCTTGGATTGCGCATAGTTTTATAGTATATTCATTCAAGGACGTTCATAATCTAGCTATTTTATTAATTCAATAAGCCTCTCATCCAGTATTACCTCAGCCTCCTCACCGCCAAGCCAGGCATCCGTCAGAATTGGCATCGCCAACACAGCAACAAGAAAGAAAATGTATAAGTTACAGATTTTCATTTCTGACTTTCTTCACTTCTTTGACTTTTATAGTTCGATCTGGATATTTGAAATAGTCGAATTTAATAAGGCTTCACTCAATATATATTATCGTATAGCCATCTAACAAATTTTATTATGATAATTCGCTCATTACAATTCAAACGAATAAGCCGAATAATTCACATGTTTGTTATATTGCAAAGAGCAGGTAATCAATTTAGACAATATTAGATATCTGTGAAAAATTGAACTTTATTCTGATTCTTCTAACACGTGCTGAAAATATCGATTGAGCTCATGACGTTATGTTGCCAAATGCATGCATGCTAGATTGCGAATTACTTGTCAAACAATTATACCTTCAGTTATACATGCACGAGTCACTATGAGACTATCATGTTGATCATTATAAACTATAGGTAGGTACAATGTCCCAAAATTCAGGCGAAAATATATTCACTTAAAGTGAATCTCTTGCAAAAAAGAATGCAGTTGAAGAAGCTATATAGGTGTAAAGTAACTCTAGTAAAAGTGGCTATAGGATTCTGTCACATTTACAGCTTCTATTTATTGAAAACCATGCATACACCGTGTTAGCAATGAAAAATGTATATGGCTATAGCTATACCCAGTTAACTGAGAAATAAACAACTCTGATTGGTCAATTCTGTTCTTAACTACAGTTGAAAGTTAACTAGTCTTTTATAGAACTGGCCTCTGGACATCTGAGTTAGTCGAATTTTACTTCCTAGTTCCTTCTGGCTTCTTTTATATCGTTCTCAGCGGTGAAAATCTTATAATTTTTTCAAGTAATTGCTTTTCTCGAATAATCAATGTCCCTAAGCGAAAAAATCTGCAGGAAACTATAGCTTGGTTGATGAAAGTCGGGGGAGAAATGACCAAATCTTAAAAACCATAAAATGCATATCTTCTGGGTTTTATTGTACCTAAGTTTCCAATACAATTGCGAGTTCATTTCATCGTTGCAGAGCAATTAACTGCATGTTAAGTAATTATTAAGTCATTTGGTTTTTGTGTTATACTGAGAAGGATTAATTGGTGATGTGTGACGGATAGATTCTATTTATAGGGGTATTACCGTCCCAACACCGCACAAAAACGTCCCGATTACAGCCTAAATTTTCTTAGAATATTGAACACTCATTCATTTACTATTATAAAAACTTTTATTGCCTAGCTGTTTAATGCTCATTAATATACACTTTCTATGAATGATAAAGTTTTTATAGACAACGTGTTGGTGCGCTGATATCTATTTCAATACACTTTCTTTGTCCAAAACACGTCGATTGCGGAGCACATCTTAGATTTTCACAATTATTTCCTTGACAGTCCGACTGTAGCGAACATGGCTGCTGAAACATTTTACAACCATCACGTTGCTGCTAAAACACGAAAGGTTGTAAAAATATTCAGTTACAATGGAAGTTTGAATTGTATAATTGTCACGTGCACACATTGAAGGTTGAAAGTAATATTGAAAAAGCATTACACTATCTGTAATATTATGAATGGAGAGCTGACGCCTCACCCCCCTCGCCCGGTTCGCCTCACCCGCCAATACACCCCCTGTGCTTATGCAAAGATGATGGTTTCGTTCATGTCAAGATCGTTCACTGAAACATTCGTTTTATTTATACCTTGGATATCGATTGCTCATAGTTTTCTACCATTCAAATAAGACGACGTTAATCATATAACATTTTTCTTGAAACTCTCAGTAGGCATATATTACGGTTAAATATGATGAAAGTCACTTACGCTACCATAATCAAATGTCACACCCTCATTAATCCAGCCTCGAGCTTTTAGCGTTGGCATCACCAACACAGCGACAAGAAAGAAAATATGTAAGTTGTAGGTTTTCATCTTTAACTTTCTTCACTCTCATTGACGTTTGTAGTTCTGGATATCTGAATTCAAGTAACGTCTTTATAAGCCGTCACTCCATATATGATCGTAACAAATTTCATTATGATAATTCGTTCATGAAATTATAAAATAATTTGATGACAATTTAAACCATGAAACCAAAAAAATATATATTAATGAGATAAGTGATTATTGAATATTTACAATCATCTATGACACTAATGAATAAGATTTTGATCAATAACAATAGCAACAATGTCCTAAAAATCAGATGCATGACCCAGACGAATACTTACATTTTCATTTCTGTCAGAGTGATCTTTTTATCCGAAGGACTCGTGCATTGGGTGTATAGCACGTGCTTAAATCTTTCGTTTGACAGATTCAGGGACCGCGGAGCATTTTTATATTGGGGAGGGGCTCATGGAAAATAAATGC